GCGACTTCGCGAGACCTCTGCACGAACTTACCAAAAAGGATGCCACATTCCAGTGGAAGCGGGAGCACGAGCAGGCTTTCCAGCGGATCCGCGATGCCATCATCGCCGACCCGGTGCTCATGCTGCCTGATCCAAGCACACCTTTCGAAGTCGAGGCTGATGCTTCGGACTTCGCGATCGGAGGACAACTTGGTCAGAGGGACAAGGACGGCAAGCTTCATCCAGTTGCGTTCTTCTCCAAGAAACTCGAAGGGCCAAGGCTTAACTACCCGATCCACGACAAGGAGCTTCTCGCAATCATTGAAGCATTCCAGGAATGGAGACCATACCTCAGCGGCACGACACACGAAGTCCAGGTGTACACGGACCACAAGAACTTACGGTACTTCACCACCACCAAGGTGCTGAACGGACGACAAACTCGGTGGGCAGAATTTCTGTCCGAATTCAACTTCACGATCCACTACAAGAAAGGCTCAGAAAACGCACGAGCGGATGCCTTGAGTAGGAGAGCGGATCACCACGACAACACGTCTGAAGCCTCACCACCATTGCTACATCAACAGACAGACGGATCGCTACGGCACGCTTCCCAACCGACTGAAGACTACGAGATCGCAGCACTTCAGCAGCAGTCGGAAGATCCCGAAGCCAGGCCTCTGCAGCCGTTTGTAGAATGTTGTGCGACCTTCAGAGAACAAAGATTGGAACAAGACTTCCAAGGAATCATCGCGGACGACGAACGCGATGCATGGCAAGAAGAGCCAGAATCCAAGATCGCGGGATTGCGACTTGAAGGAACGAGACTCTGGTACCACGACAAGGCCTATGTCAGGCTGGGTGACCAAAAGGAGCTCATTCGAAAGATCCACGAGTCGAGACTCGGAGGACACATGGGAATCAGCAAGACAATTGCGAAAGTCAAGCAGAACTACGACTTCCCAGGAATCAAGCAGACGGCAGAAGAGGTCCGGGCGGAATGCGACCTCTGCAAGCGGAGCAAGCCAGGACGACACAAGCCGTACGGGCTACTACAGCCATTGCCAGTTGCAGAACGACCATGGAGTTCGGTGACGATGGACTTCATCACCAAACTACCAGCCTCCAAGGACTCAGTAACGGGAGTAGAATACGACAGCATCCTCACGATGGTGGACAGACTCACCAAGTGGAGTTACTTCCTCCCTTACAAGGAGACATGGTCAGCAGAACAACTCGCAGATGTGATCTACCGCAACATCACCTCAGTCCACGGATGGCCGGAGGAATGGATCACGGACAGAGACACAAAGTTCGCATCAAAGTTTTGGCAAGCTTTGATGACGAAGCTGGGTACGAAGAGTAAGCTTTCGACCGCTTACCACCCACAAACGGACGGACAGACGGAACGACTCAACCAGGTTGTCGAACAATACCTACGGTTGTATGTCAACTTCCAGCAGGACGATTGGGTCGAGCTGCTGCCAACGGCACAACTCGCCTACAACACCACCGTCACGGAAACCACAAAGGTTACGCCATTCTTCGCGAATTACGGCTACGAAGCAGATTTGCGACAAGGGCCCGAAGTCTTGGTGCCCAGAGCAGCAGTCAAAGCCGACAAAATGAGCTCGCTGCACGCGATGCTCAAGGAAGAACTCGAATTCGTACGAACAAGGATGAAGAAGTTCTACGACAGAACCAGGCTCGAGGGACCTCGCCTGGAGGAGGGGGATAAAGTTTACCTCGTCTCTCGAAACCTTCGCACAAAACGACCAAGCAGGAAGCTCGACTTCCGCAAGATCGGACCGTTCAAGATCGACAAAAAGATTTCGGAGAACAATTACGCACTCGCGTTACCCTCGACAATGCGACTACGGACCAACGTTTTCCACATCTCACTTCTGGAACCAGCGCCCAAGAACGTACGACTCGGCAGGGACGTCGAGGCAGAAGATGAAGAGGAGGAATGGGACGTTGAGGAAGTCCTAGACTCACGCATCATGAAAGGACAGTTGGAGTATTTGGTCAAGTGGCTGGACTTTGGTCCAGAAGACAATTCATGGCAACCAGCTACGAATCTCAACTGCCCCGAGAAACTTCAGGAGTTCCACCAGAGGAACCCGGACCGACCAAAGGAAACCCCACGGACAGATCGACCCCGGCGAGGAAGGGGTCGTCCGAAGAAAAACTAGCACGATCAGCAGGGACCCAGGAATAAGGGGAGGCGGGACAGGGACGCACCCCTGGGCCCAGGAGGGATCGAAAGGAAAGGCACCAGCAGAACCCGACGAGGTCGGTTGCGCGACAGCGGCCTCTTGACGTTCCTGCTCTGCCAGAACTTCCCCCTCCTGCTCAAACATCGCCAGGGCCTTTTTGTCCAGGGCAAGGCGCTGGGCGCGGAGGCGCTCCGCCGTCGCTAAGGCAGCCACGAGCGCCTGATTCGCAGAACGAATCGCTTCGTTGGCCTCCGCCTCTTCGGCGTCCAGACGGCGTTTCCGCTCAACCAAAATACGGACCGCAGAATCGTCGTAACCAAAGGAATCGCACGACGCATTCCCAACACGAGAACAAGAGACGCAGGTATCGTCCCCGGGAGGGACACGACAATCAGGAATTTGCTTTTCTTTGCAACGGGTGCAGCGCACCATCTTAAGGGCCACAGCACTGAGAATGTCGGCCCGAGTACGACGGCGATCGGTGCTGGACTTCTGAAAACGATTCTTGCGCACACGGTTAGGGGGCATGATTGTCGATGACGGAAGGAAGAAGCGATGCACTTACCAAGAAATTTTAGGGCTGTTGGCTCTACTTCAAGGAAGTTGGCAAAGGGAACAAGTCGTCGGGGCGTCGACCTCAGGGGAGGGGCATCGTGTCACGGATATGGCCGCATGCAGCCGGCCGGCGGGGTATGATGGCAGTAACCCCGGACCAATCACCCGACGAGGCACTCAGCCAGTAAGAAGCGAGAGCCATGGTGCTCAATGTGCTCAGAGCCAAGACTCGTGAGCACCATGAGCACCAGGTGCTCAATGTGCTCAGAGCCAAGACTCGTGAGCATAATGAGCAACAGGATTAGATAGTATATAGTCACTCGTTCTGGAGAGCTCTGGGAGTTCTCCAGTTAGCAATCACAACTACAGTTCGCTACAAGTTCGAGAGCCTACTGTTGAGACAAGTCTTTGTTGTGCACCCTTTGGCTGCACCGAACCTAAGCACCCTTGAGAGAATACCTTCGACCGATACTGAACCCTAACAGGACGGGTCCAGAGACAGGTTCGTCACAATAGTTCTGTCGAGCTATAGAGCTACAACGCCAAGTTACACTAATGCAAGATAATGTATAATATTATATGTCGAACTGTAGTATCCAATCACTCCTCTGAGAACTCTGGAGGATTAACCTTGTAAATGAAACGAAGCGTTCCTTCTTCGCTTCCTCAATGTATATTGTATATCTCAGAGACTCATCAATTGAAGCTTCGCTTCAATTATCCGTACACAAGGGGCACCCTGGAACGGAGTGCAAACCGCTGGACCGCCGGAACCAAATTTCCAACCCACAAGTCAACCGTAGAGTCAAGTTGTAACTACTTGACTTTCCAGTCGCTCGGCGATAAGATCGAGACAGTTTTGATTATCGCTCAGCATGGAACTCATCGCGCCTCCCTTCGAATCCTTCCACTCTTCGAGACACACATGATGCAGTTAGTATACGATCTGAGGCTTTCGCATCATCCGTCCGACAACAATCGTTTCATCTGGCCTATTTAGATTTTATGTAGCACAGCAATGCCGTTTGAGGCCAGGCAAGCGCGAGGCGCCGCAAACTTCTCAGTTCTCACTGGTCGACTCCGCGCGTACCCTGGTCGCAGGGTCCCTGACCTGCTTCAGAACAACGCCAGGCGCCACCCCATTGTTGAACCGGGCAGGACCTTCCTGCCTCAATTACTTGACGGTCGTTACTTCCTTTAGACTTCATCGCAACACCTATCCATACTTCTTTTCCTTCCAAACATGCCCACCGTAAAATATTTCACTTTTTTCACGCCACCCTTGCAGCTTCGCACAGAATCTCAAAAAGTCCATCTTCACCCAACGATCAGGCTATCTCTTGTTAGGCGAAGAAGGACCTACCTCACCTTGATTTCACCCACCACCTAGCACCATGCGTGTTGCAGGGTTTGTGACCTTAATCTTTGTGGCGTTGGCCGCCGCCGCTCCGGAGATGACGGTCGAGAAGATACGGGAGCGCGAGCTTTGTGTAAGTGTTGAGTCATTGATTGCGCACTCTCGAAGAGTTAACTTGCACCTCAGCTTGTGGCGTCGAGACAATCGCTAACTCAATTGTAATCCAGGTTTGTACAGAGATCGATTGCAAAGGGCCCGCCTGCTGTGCAAATGGGAGTTGTTAAGGGACGACCAAACCACATCCCGGGATTCGGATTCAACAACTAAACGGCCAAAACATCTTATTGTGCACTGCACGCCGCCATCCACACTTAATTCAACTTACCTATTCCGCCCTCTTACCAACGATAGCTTCACTCGGCTTCTTTCGGACCATTAGACATGGGGAAACGACTTCTATTCCCCGCTATCGCACGCGACACAACCCGCCCAGCTTCTCTCAGACCATCCCCCATCGCTCGACCTAAGCACAGTCAACCCGCCAGCCCCTGTGGCACCCACAACACCCGCCCCTCTGCACAGACGGCCAGGACCGCGCCGGTGGGTTGAGTGGCACGGCGAGCGGACCCGTGCCCGGGGATGATCGGGAGTGGGTTGTTGTGTTCTTGATCTTAGGCACTAGGGAATATGAGGGAGAGGGACGAGGGAAAACATTCATTTGTTATTAACACAACACGGTTGCCGGGGTCCGAAGCCCAAGCCACTGGCGGGCTATGGACGAAGACCAAGCTCCGTGAGGGTTGCAAGTACTTGAACAGTCGTCTACGTCGCCGCACATGTCGGCACTGCACTCAAAGAATAAAAATCATCCATCCCTATCCTCGGCCATTCTACTTATGCTTGTCAAACTGCCGCCCAATCTCCAGCATGCTCTCAGGCCACCAGTCCCGATCCCGATTCCACATGCACATCTCCCACCCCCCACGCCGCCTAACCTCCACGAACCGACCAAGCTCCCACGCCCCAATTTCCCCAATCCACCACACGTTATCCAGCAGCATCACCAGCACCAGCCAATGCGCAAAGATCTCAACCGCCAACTGGTGCGCGATGCTGGGCGCCTCGCACGCCGCCTCGTCCGCCTCGTCTGCCTGCAGCCGCCCGATCATGTCCTCGATCAGGTTCAGGTAGGCCGTCGGCACCTTGTGCACGAAGGACATGATCGTCCTCCGCGGCACGTGGGAGGGCACCGTGGAGGAGATGCTGGCCGTGTATTTGCGCAGCCAGGGCGAGATCTCGGCGAGACGCTCGGCCGCTTCGTCGTCGACTTGTTGGATGTCCGTTATCGGGAACGCGAGGTGGCCGTGGCCGTGGCTTGGTGTGCTGGGTGTGGATGAGCTGGATGGGAGGAGCGAGTCCGTCACGATCTGGCTGAAGATGGCCAGCGCGCTGAAGCAGGCTTGGAGCGCGAGGTTGTCGTTGTTGTTGTTGTTGTTGTTGTTGATGTTGTTGCTCGCTTGCATCATGGCGTGGACCTCGCCGGCTTTGTCGTGGAGTCTGGCGAGTGCGGAACCGGCTGTGGCTGCCAAGATGGGGCCTAGGGGGTGGCTGGTGATTGTGAAGGTCCGCGAGTCCTCGGACGGGACGCGAGAGGCTGCTTTGTAATCGTACTGGACGGTGAGGGCCGGGGGGGTGCTGGCTGGGCTCAGCTGCGGGGAGCTTTTGAGCAGGCCCGCATACGCCAGGCGGACGGCACGGAAGAGACTCATCCACTGCGGGTTCCCGGGCATGGTCAAATCAAACAGCTGTGGGTCTTCGCCGAAGGGGGCCGTCTTTGCCAGCCAGATGCGGGCTGCGTGACTTGCCGACCCGTACATGCCCATCATGGCTGCGTTGGCGAGCACGTGGTCGTAGTTCTTGGCCTCGTAGAGGGTGGCCTGGATCCCATGCAGGGATTCTGAGTGGTACTGCTGTGCCAGCGACAAGAGCTCGATCACTTGGGCACGGTCAGAGGCTGCAGGGGGTGTCGATGTCTGGTTGATGATGTCACAGCACTTGCAGGTTGCCGCAAGCGCGAGCACCGACCTCATGAGGGGCTTGCATTGGCAGGCTAGATTCGGGATGCCGATCTGGAGGGTGTACTTGTCGTGCTCGCCAACAGTCGGGTGTCTGCTGGTGTGCTCGAGATAGTGTCTCAGGAGCTCAAACTCGGCGGGTGGTAGCGCCTGTTCCAACCAGGAGAAGTCGGGCGGCTCCGTCCATGAGTCGGTATCCTTCTTCTTGCGGTACTGGCAAGTCAGGTTCATCTTCTCGCACCTTGAGCACCTCGGAGTGCCCTCGTCGCACTGCATGCCGGAGCCGCTAGTCAGCCACTGATCCCGCTTTCCCGCTCCTCCCCACTGTGCGACAAGCGTATGTACCTTAATTCTGCGCGCCTTGCATTTCGTGCAGCCGTATCTCGACTTCCTGTGCGGTCTGCGAGTCTTGTGGGTATGAACTGGGTCACTCCCACTCCTGCCAGAGCCCACCGCCTCCTGACTCTCCTCGGCTTCGTCACGGTCCATCTGACTAAGATAATTCTGAAGGGAGCAAGACATAGTTATTCGTAAATCAGGCAGGCACATGCGTTGGCCACTCAATAATACCACGGTAATAGTCGTGTCAAACTTCTCACTTTGTTTCCTGTGATGCCCGTGCATGGGAGGGGGTTTTGACTGTTTTACGGGTTTTGTGCATCTTGAGATCATCACCAATCGGCATTCGAGCAAATGGGCACTTATTCAGCCCCATGCCGCTGAAGGGGCCTCAAGCACAGCCCAGATTGGCTTTTTGAGTCATGCTGGCTGTGCCCAATGGCTTGGCATCTAGTTCCTTGGATTATCAAATCAGTCTTGACCGCCCCTTTACGAAGGTTTGTGCTACCATTGCGCGAGTATCACAGCCCGTCGGGCCCGAGAGTGTGGATGCCCCTGTTGCTGAAGAGACGCCAAGGAAGATAATGACAAATGTTGAGGAAGCTTAACTGGAGCTGCAAGTTTTACAGACGGCTCTCGGAAAGGGCGCAGTACGACGGTAAGCTGATTTGGACGTGGTTTTTGAGGTAAGGAAGTTCGGTGGTCACGTCGGGGTTAACGGGGTATATGCAAGTGCGTATTCGCCAAGAGTGCCAAGTTCGCGAATACGCACTCTGGGCCGGCTGAGCGAGCTTGTTGTCCACCGACTCAAATTCCAAATACACAAAGCCCAGTAACTCCCCTGATTTCTGGTCCACAACATCATCTTTGCCCGTGAGCTTCCACGCGGCGGGTCGATTGCGGAAGATGCAAGACTACCGCTGGCGCCATTGCTGACAAGTACTGCTTGACGAACTCCCTCCCCTGAAGTCCCCCATGTACACGGTACACCTAGTTCCCCATGTCATGATACCAGGCAGTGCCCGCGAATGTTTTACCCCTCAACTGGTATACGCGATCTAGCAGACCTATGTGAATGTAAATACGCTTGTGGCTGAGTACCCTTGAAGATGGTTGTAGTATAAGTATGTATTTAGAATCTCCGAGTCGTTGATTCAAGTCAAGCGGCTCACAAGTACCCAACTGTTCTCCCCTCCTTACACTCGATTCCAACAATTCTAACATCCACAATTCCATCATCGCAATCCGTCATCATGAAACTGGGTGTTTTTGTGAAGGTAGCTCTCTTCGGCCTTGCTGCCGCGGTGGAGGAACCAGAGGGCCATGAGTACCATCAGGACCCGGCTGATAGTCAGACTTACCACTCATCTTTCCGACCTCATTTGTACGCCGGTTAACCAAACATCATAGGTCGATCACCCTGCCCCGGCCTCAACGCCCTGGCAAACCATGGCTTTCTACCCCGCTCGGGGCTGAACATCGACATTGCGGCGATCCGGTACGCTGTGAACGCAGGGTTCAACTATGAGCCCAAGTCCCTCGACCTGGCTTTCAATGCGGCAATCGACTTTAAACTATCCACCACAGGCAACAGCTCGACCATACACCTCGCCGACTTAGCCAAGCACGACACCATCGAGATGGACGGTTCCCTGTCGCGCAACGACTTCCTCCTCGGGGACGCCCTGACCTTCGACCCCGCCATCTGGCACACCGTCGCCGTGAACCTGGGCCTCTACAACACCGGGCCGTCCGAGGCCGACAAATATGTCACCGTGGAGACGGCCGCGAGGGCCCGCGCCGCACGCGTGAAGGACGCCATGGCGGCCAACCCCGGCTTCAACGCCTCCGTGGCCCAGATGATGGGAAGCCCGGGAACCACGGCCCTGTATCTGACGACCCTGTGGGATGACGAGGTTGATGCCGCGCCCAAGGCATGGATCAAGCCTTTCTTCGGTGAGTTGCCCGACCCCTCATACCAAGTAGTAACCCCCCTTAGATCGGGCAGTGCTGATGATTGGATCTGAACAGAGGAGGAGCGCATCCCGTTCCTCGAGGGTTATGATCCCGCAAATCGCAAGCAAAAGTCGTTCGATGACGTTACCGTCATGTTTAACAGGGTCACGGCTGTCAACACTGAGCCTACCAAATGTAAGCGCAAGTTTAGATCGTGAGGGACTTCGACGCTGGGTGGGGCACAGTCAGGGGGCGCGGTGATTGTGGGATAGATCTGGGGCATAGCGACGATGTTAATACGCCGCCGGTGGTAAGGTTGTGTTCCATCAACTAGATACAGTTTCAGATAGGGGGGTTTATCCATAGGCATGCAGTTTAGATGGGCTACTATGTACACACTGTTGGTTCAAATTGTTGCTCGAACACGGGAAACGACTTGTTAACAACCTCGGTTAATGTTACAATACACACATGGCTACAAATCGTATATCCTATTCGCCGCTCAGCATCGCAGCGGCCCTAACCTGAATACCGGGAACTCCTTCACGCTCATTACAGTATCAGACCCGCCATGCAGTTGTGTACCTAGGTACATATGGAAGGAACATGCTAAGAAACGTGTATTCTTTGCTTATATCGTACCAAGTACGGTTACATATAGCTGTCCCTAAACAAACCTAAACCAGGGAGTGCGAGTTCCTGATGTCCCCAATTTTAGGACCACGAGTCTCACGGGTATCTATTTAACACTAACACCACCACACAAGGGATGCAAGCGTGGAAAGCGGACATTGACATTGAAGCAACTCCGCGTTCCTCCTCCGTCGCAAGCATGCCCCTGGGGTATGGAAATTCGACATGGGCTAGTTTGCGAGCCCCTGTTGCGAGGAACGTTTCTTCCATCCGTGGCGTGGAGTGCACTTCCCACGATCCTCACCCAAAACCCGCCTGGCTTCCAACATTGACAAAAGGCGGCTTGCCTCACAAGTTGGCACTCTTTAGCGGCTCGTGTCGAGATGTTCCCGAGAGAGGAAAGCTATATTTGAAACACTGAGTGGACACCACGATGGCCGTCTTTCAAGTGCCGAGACGCCCCGGACGTGCTAAAAGGAGCGGCCGACTAACTCGAGTTCGGCGAAGCGACGCTGAGCCAGCCGGTGGCACTGGGGCTCATCTGTTTTCAGAGGTTCTTAGCGAGTGGTCGTAACATCAGCTTTCCGCAAAGATTTTGCCCATCCCATCGGGATGTGGTCAAAAAGGGGCGGGCCGTCTGATCTTTTCGTCCCCTCCATTCCATTCGCTCCCACACTTTCGCAGGATCTGAGAATTTTGAGAGGAAGCCTCCACTTTCGAGTCCCGCTCCAATAAGCGTGTCCGGGGCAATGCTGACGAAGTCCTCAGAGAGCAAGGATCGACCAAAAGAACCACGGTGTTGTCGCTGCCCCGGTTTCCACTGATGCCCGTCGCCCCGTTGCGCCGTTGCGCTGTGGAATTTGCGGGGAACCCAGCTTGGGTGAGGACTGGGCTGGTTTGAGAATCATGTCCAAATGTTCTCGCGGGGAGGAGGATCAACAAAGATGGGGCATTTTCGGGGAAGATGTGCCACTGGATCGGCCAGTCTCAGGCGGTTCCGAGCCGTCCGGACTGCCCATCCTCACAGACAAGCCTGGGCAACACCGAACAGAGCCGTCGGAACAGGTCCGAGCACCAGGTTAAGGGGCCCCGTGCAACCACACGTTCCCCATTCCGAACAAGCGACTCTCAGTGTCTCGGTCGCACTGCATGGGTTGTGCCAAGGTAGCCACCCCCTTGACTTCACGTGATTGCGACCTGGTTTTGCATGAAACTTGCGGCGGGAGTGGTGCTTCCAAGGAAACCTGACTTTGGCGCTGCTTCGCATGTTATTAGGTCCCTCGGTCCCGCTTCGCTCGCGGCCGGGCAACACACGAGACCACGCCCGGGCCTAGTTCTACACCCGATGCCTCTCGCCCAAAGGTTCACCGAGGAGGAACTGGCCCTCCTCCCCCACGAGGACAGAGGCCGCGACCTACTGGGGGTGCATTGGGGTCTGACAGCGGCTGCAACCGTGTTTCTACTCCTCCGGCTCTATTGCAAGTTCTTCATCAAGAGGAACTTGTGGTGGGACGACTGGATTTTGATTGCCTCTTGGGTGGGTACAATACCTCTACGGCGGCTTCACTCACTAGTCCGCCGTGGCCCGTCACCAATGCCATTGTTCTAACCCGGGGGCAAGTTCACGATATTGGCAACCGATACCCTGACGACCATCTTGGTCCGCCAATTCGGGCTGGGGAGGCACAGCTATGACCTCAACATATACGACCCACCTTTGTTCACCGTCCTCATCAACAGTCGCGCGACAACCACCCTGACCTCGCTTGCGTGGACCAAGACAGGCTTTGCCGTCGCACTCCTGAGACTGACCAACGGTCGGACGAAAGCATTCGTCTGGTTCATCATTATTTCCATCAACATCACACTCGGCTTCAGCGCGGCCGTCCCATTCATTCAATGTCAGCCGCTGGCAAAGGCATGGCATGGACAACTACCAGGGACCTGCTGGGCTCCCGGGGTAGGCACGAAGATTTGGATCGGAACCGGCGGTAGGTTGGCCCTCCAACACCCTCGCGAGATATGCAACTACTAACCCCATCTCTTCAGCATATTCCGCCCTGGTCGACTTCATCCTTGCCGCCCTCCCCTGGACCTTCTTGTACCGCCTTATGCTAAGGAAGAAGGAGAAGATCGGTATCCTAGTTGCCATGAGTATGGGCGTCGTGTGAGTGGAAAAGCTTAAGCCCCAATTTACATGGCACCACCTAACGGTCTTTCTAAGCGCGGGAGCCGTCGCCATCGTCAAGTGTGTTCAGCTCCCGAGACTCGGCCAAGGGGACGCATGTAAGCCACTCCTATTCACCCGTCTACGAATTAACCGGATAACTGACACGGCTTAGTTTACGAGGTTGATCTCTTTGCTTGGGATATCGCCGAGTCCACAGTTACCATGATGGCTGCTTGCATTCCGGCCCTGAGGGTTTTGTTACGAGACGTAAAACAATCGTCAGTCTCCGGTGGGAGGTCAATCGCGCTTTCACAGTTCTCCATGTCCTTCATGTCGACGCGAATGGGGCGAAACCTGGATGGTGATATCGAAGTTGTACAAGGGGGGACGAGGTTATCCAAGGAGGATACGACACTGAGCAGCTACGGCAGGACAAGACACAGCGGAGCAGGCGAGGGGACCGGGGGGAGATACAGCTATACGGATCACGGACGGGGTGCAAGACACCACTATATACCCATGGACTAGATGCATCATGACTTTCATTATGATTAGTTAGTACACATTAATGAGCGACCTTTGCCTTATGGACTTTGATCATTCCTCATTCAACATAATCGTATCTCGAGGAGCTCGAGCTAAACATGTGACACCCATCCACCAATAACACATCATGCGCGGTCAACAGTTCCGTGGTGCCACTATTTGAGGCCTACCATTTCGTGTGACATAAGCCATGGCAGTCGAAGATGGACGCTTCCCCGCTCCTGGTCAACTCCAAATGTGGCACATTCATCATCTAGTTCAGCCTACCCTCACCCTCTACTGACGGACACAACCTTCTTCACTCCATCATGGCAAAGGTGGTCTGCGAATGCGGGCGATCTTTCAAAACGGATATGTCCATGAATCAGCACAGGCGGGACTCACCGAGACACCAAGAACACCCCGAAGATGCCGCAGGTGACTCGACGCCGGCAAGTTCTAGCCGTGCTACTAGAAGTGGAAGGCCGACTCGGCAGGTACTTACTAACCGGCCAACTCACACCGGAACGAGTCATGCTTGCTTACCATTACAAGGCATCTACCAAACCACGCACTAGCAGTTTTGAGTGGTACGCTTCTCGCTATCCGGTCACCCAATTTGTGAGAGCTGGCGAGTCGCCCGAGACCATCAAGGCCAATAAACTGGGACAAAAAAGGAAGACAACCGTGGAGGTGCTCTCGATTTCGTCGCATCGCCGCTCATACGTGCAATATACGCATCGGGATAATCTGGACTGGGGTCTTTGTGACAAAGACTGTGGCTGGTGCGGCCGTTGTGCTAACGGTGTTGTCTTTTGACGTTTAAAAGAGTATCGCAAGTACTGCAATGCGCAAATGATCTTCTAGAATCTCCCTTGCTGCCTCTCAGAATAATGGTCTCCTTCGTTTGGGTCAACGACGCCTTCTAAACGACCCAGAGCCGCGTAGGTACTGACCGTGCCTATGTATGTACCTAGACACTAGTACCTGCTCACCATGTCCGGAGTCCTGTCTACCAGTTATCGGGCTGCTTACTACGTAGGTAGTCACAATGCCTAGGTAGGTATTTAGATACCCCGTCAGCTCCCGCATTGTATCCGTTTTGAAACAACTTGGCTATCACCGGGGCGAGCCCGGTTAAGTACTGGGAGGGCGCTTGTCGATAGCTCGCGCGCGAAGGGCAATACCCAGTCGGATGTTCGGGACTGTGCCTTTGGCCTGCTGGGGTAACACCCACGTTCAGCCTCCCCGCTAATCGTCCTCAAGGAACAACCTCACCTATGTCAGGATTGGCCAGTGCGCAAACAATGACGAGGGAATGATGTATATTAAAAGGTAGTAAGGGAATGTGGGAAGGCACAATACACCAAAAATAACTGCAATGGCGTCTTGACAGAAGCTGGGTGATGAGAGAGGGTGACATAACCGCATTATATTACTGCGACAGCAGGGTGTTCCTTATCATATCTTGTTTGGAAAGGCAACCTAAATTGAAAGCGTTGGAGCTTTAGATAGCGCTCTACATCCCACGAGATTCCTCATCACAATACAGTGCTACCAAGGCCCGTGGGTACTCACTAGTCACTCCCTAACAAGACCTGGGGATGTATACACATGGTGCCTCCCGCCTCAAAACGGATCCGCCGCGTCATTATCGTCGTCACCGCTGCATGAACCGAGCCGGGCTAGGGCCGTTAGTATTACAACGCCGCGGCATAATAATGAACCAAATCCATTGGTATGGGGAGGTACGTACCAAGGGTGCAGTGGTTATCAGTGTAGTGCCCGCTGACGTAGCAGTCCAGCCCCCGGATGTAATGCCAGCCACTTTGGATGGTTAGCGGAGTGCCGTCGAGGCGATCTGACGAGGCGGATACTCACCAGTTCCGGAATCCGTTAATCGTCACGCATTCTCCGGACCGGACACACCAAAAGTCGTAGGTGTTGCCCCTCCGCAGCGTCGTCCTCATGCCGGACGATGTCTTGGGGCGGGAGCGGCAGTTCACCTTTGTTGCCCCGCCGATGATTTGGCAGTGCTGAGGGCGAGAGAAAGCCCGGGCATCCAGAGAGCTGTCGACATCGGCCTCGGGGGTGGGGTTGGCCATGAGGCCGAGGGGGAGGAGAGCCCCGGTAAGAAGATACTTGAGCTGCATCGTCGTTGTTTTTGGGGACTTCGTGTCGTAAGAGTTGAACGTCTGGTTGGTGGGTGACTGAGAGAGGATGACAACTCCAAAAACAGGGGCTCAGGGGCGGCAGTTTATAAGAACACCGAAAACTCGAAGCATTCCCCCCTAACGGGCAAACAACAATCCGCTTACCGGGGCCAATTAATTATGAACATTTATTAGAGATCTTTCGGCCAATCCTACTCGTGCTACAGAGGGAATCCGAAGTTGGTGTGGTCGTTGGCGCGGGATTCGTGGCGCTGCAGGGCGCTTAATTAGTGCGAAAGCGAGGACTTCAAATCCATCTCCCCACAACACACGAATTTGTCTCCGCGGCGGTGGGAAGGTTCTTTCAAAGGTGTTCCTTTTGCATGAAATGGGTGGGTTTGCTGCTGAGTCCGGGATGTTGACATGGGATCCTAGTCCCTCGCGACCAACGAGACAACCGAGGGAGGAAGCGGTCAAGTTGGTTTGTGGTCAGGGCTTGCCGGGCAGTACTGCCCTATTGGGTATCGACTTTTCTATTTGAAGAACCCGCTCTCGCTTCTCTCAAGAAGTACCAAGTCGTGGTGCCGACTCGGGCCAAAGTTCCGTAGCGAGCTGCCTTTTCATTCGCCCGAGGAGGGGCGGCTCATGAATGAGCCAAATCATCGGGTTGCGCACCAAGATACCATGCATGCGAAATTGGGCTTCTGGCGCGGGAGCGTGTCGGTTCGCGTAGTTCCAGATCAAACCACAAACGGCAAGGGTTGCGGACGGCTTGCGTTAACTCGACGCGTTTTTATTGCCAAGAGGTTTTAGGGCTGACGAACCTCCACTTGACTGCCGCTTGGCCGAGAAGGCGACTGAGTCTCGGCCTAACTGTGCCTGAGAGGACTCTCGCTCGTCGCGGCTTACTCTCGGCAACTATAGCGAAGAGTATTCCGCGTGGGAGGCGGAGAGGGTGCGGAAGGAAGGGGACGGAAGCAATCATTGCAAGGTCACGGGGAAGTCATGATCTTTGAAGAAGATCAAGAGTACCTGAGAGTTCATGATAACATAATAACATTCATTGGAATGATTGGATAATTAGGTAATCTCTTGCTAAGGAAAGTCCAACGCCCAACTCCGGAGTCTAGAACCCCCCAAATGCATGTTGTTAATCTGAGAAGAACATTGAAAACAATGACCCGTCCACCCTCTGCACAATCCTAATCCTCCTCCACCATTCATGCGATCTGGATCTTCGTTGGCGTGGAGACCTTGGCCTTCGGCACCGTGATGCTCAGGATCCCGTTCTTCAGGACCGCCGCCGCGTTGTCCTCGTCAATACGGGCGGGGAAGGTGATGGTGCGCGAGAAGCGACCGATAGAGCGCTCCCGGAGCCAGTACTTGGACTGGTCCTTAGGGGTCTGCGCCGGTGTTTGGGTTGTCTCCTCGGCAGCGGCCGGAGCGACGGGCTTGGCGACGTCTGTCCAGGGAGAGGAAGGCCGGCTAGAGGCGGGGGTGTTCTCGTCCTCCGGGTCGTCCTCTACGGTCGCCTGGTGGGAGTTGCGACGCGGCTTTTCGGTCTCGGTCTCAGTCTCGACCTCGGGAGAGGTTGGTTCCTCGTGGCTGACATCACTGTCCTTGCTTGAGTCCGAGGCGTAGTTGCGCTCGACGGTACCACTGATGACAATGGTTTGGTGCTCGGGGAACTGAATGTTGATGTTCTCGCGCTCTAGACCGGGCAGCTCGCCGTGAAGTTCGTAGGCATCTTCTGTTTCCCGGACGTCGAACCTGGGGTGGAAGGCAATGGGCTGGGGGCGAGCCTGCTTGGCGCGCTGTTGACGAGGTGCAGGGGCGGATGCAACAGAGGCACCGCGGCTGTCACGCGAGTAGTTGTCAAAGTCGTTGAGCAGGCGGAAAAGAGGGAAGAATTTGGGCTCAGCAGCCTGAGGAGCGCAGAACGAGACGGGGAAAGAGTGCATCATTTTGACTGAAGGTAAGGATATGTTGCTGGAGGCAGTTGTGGTGGCCGTTATGAAGTGAGGAGTTGTGTTCTTGGTATTGGTGTTGGTGTTGGTGTTGGTGTTGGTGTTGGTGTTGGTGTTTGAGATCGAATGTCTTGATGCAATGCTCGAAGTGTGAAGATTGATGTACTGTGTAATTCTGGAGAAGACAAGATTCATGGAACTGGGAATTCACAACTCTTAAATATGCATTTTGCCTTCTCAATTACGCGGTTAGGCAACATGATGGATGCGAAATCCATGATTACGAATGTTTCCAAGTTGGCGGTGCGAAACCGCGAGAATGTTGTCGATGTTGCTTGCGTGTTTCTTGAATCTGCGACAAGCTTCTGTCAGCGGCTGGAGGTTGCAGGAAGATTCGAGAAATCCGTGGACTTGGTTGGATCAATCTGATAAGCCACGTGCAAGCCTCTGCCAAGCGTGGGTTTCCCAGCGGCAACAGGGTTAGGGTTTGTACCAAACGATCCGGGCCTTGTGCCAAGACTGGTTGCGCAATGTCTCCGCCGGGTCACGGAGAGCTCCGAGCAATCCCGAGTCCACCGAGCGAATTTCAAATTCCAGGAGAGTGAACTCCGTTTTTGAAATCTTGTGCCATTGCATCGAAAATCTGCCTATCTTGTTTCGGCTGGCCGCGCTCAAGTGTTGACAACTCCCCTGACTTGTCGAGATTCTCTCGGGGGTAAAGTTGCACTGACTTTCAGTTTCAACTTACTCGGTTCACACCCCCTGTTGTTTTGGAGACGCCATCAATCATCAGATCAGCGAGGGACACAACCACGATGCATTACTCAACCTTCACCACCTCGGACAACTGCCGCCTCGCCTTCCAGTCCTCCATTCCGCTCCCCACAACCCCGGACCGCACTCCAACAACCACAACCACCACCACAACCACCAACGACACCCCCGATTTCACCACCTGCATCCTCCTCCTCCACGGCTTCTCCGGCTCCTCGGCCTACTTCACCCGCAACACCGGGCCCCTATCCGCCCAGCACTGGGTCATAACCCCCGACCTGCGCGGGCACGGGCAGTCCGGCCACAACCCCTCCCGCGGCGGCTACCACGTAGCGCGGCTCGCAGCCGACCTGCACGAGCTCATCACCCACCTCCGCACCCTCACCACCACGACCCCTACCACCACCAGCACCGCCACAACCCCCAATCCATCACCACCAACAAAATTCATCCCCATCGGCTGCTCCATCAGCGCCGCCATCCTCTGGACCTACACCGAGCTCTTCACCGACGCCGCCTTCGCAGGCTGCATCGTCGTGGACCAAGCCCCGCTCCAAGACCGCGCGGCGCTGGGGCTGGGCGGGACCTGGGGCGCCGGGCTGGCGCACGGCGGGTGCTACGACGAGGCGACGCTGCTGGCGGCGCAGCGGGCGTGGGTGGAGGAGCCGGCAAGGGCGCGGGCGGGGTTGGTGGAGGGGTGTTTGGGGTATCGGGTCGCGGCGGCGGCGGGTGATGGGGAGGGGGTAAGGGAGGTGGGGGAGGATGAGAGGGTGAGGGATGAGGTGTTTTTTACGGGGGTCAGTGCGCTGTGTGATGGGGTGTGGTTGGCGAGGCTGCTGGCGGATCATACAAGGTATGATCATCGCGAGGCGTGTGAGGGGTTGACGAGGCCGGTGTTGGTCATGGCGGGAAGGAGGAGTGGGTGTTTTACGTTGGAGGGGATGGAGGAGACGGTGAGGAGGGCGAGGAAGGGGGGGAATGGGGATGCGGAGATGGTGGTGTTCGAGTCGGGGCATTGGTTGTTCTACGAGGAACCGGAGCGGTTCAATCGGGAGGTGCTCGCGTTTGTGGCGCGCTGCACAAGGTAAAGTAAGAGACGGATGAGTTCAATTGGGGCGGTGTGGTACTGTTCCTAGGCTATCATCTGCCGTCAGAGGGCATCTGCAGGCACGCCGAGCCGCGCCAGCACGTTGGCAGGGCCCCGTTCCAACCAGATATTCATCTTTTCCTCGCTCTTCACCCACACCATGCCCAGCATGCCGGCGGCGTTGGTGTCTATCCCGTCCCAACCGGCCGAGCGCCGCGGTACCACCACCAACCAGTTCCGGTCCATGATCACGTTATGGGGTATGGCCGCCTCCCCTTCTAGGGTCGCGTGGCCGAGGGCCCGCTCTGCGCGGCGGAGAAGCACGCGGTAGATGCTCAACAGCTCATCCGCTTGGGGCAACCCGCCCCGGAAGCGGTGCATGGAGTACTTGAATGGCAGCTGGGGATGTTCCGAATCGGGCCACAAGGGGAGTCCCTTAGGTGCAGGAATCAGTTGCATGTGTTTGTGCATCCGGCTACACCCACCGTTGATACCGCAGTTGAAGAGCATCATGTGACGGCTGCGCATGGAGGAGATGACCTGTCGGGCCGCCGTGAGGTCGTCAATACTTAGGGCTTCGAACTGCCTACGAAATCCGTCCTGGGTAAGAATGAGGAAATGCGGTCTCGTCGACGGGAATTTGTTCACAGTCAGGAGATGGGTCGATCCTATCGTCGCGACTTCGTACCCGGACACATTGATGTCGCTCCCTGGCCTGCATCCTGGCTGCTGTGAAGATGAGTGCTTCTGGGGGTCGCTTGGGGCCTGGGGTTTAGCGGCGTGGCTGTCGAGTATGCGAAACTCGAACTGATTGGGGTGTTAGTGAAGGGATCAGTAGGGATATGTATTTGCATCGTAGATCTCACCGAGATGTCCTTGTCTGGGCGAACTACTGTACGGTGGTTTGGGTTGTAAAACACCATCCCCTGCTCGATAAGACGATCGAACTGTTTGAGGAGGCGACCCTCGTTCACATTGGACTCCATGGTGTTGGAAGAAAGGAAAGCAGTGCAATATCGTGTATCGGATTGGACTGGAGGCAGAGTGCAGGTGGATTGGGCTGACGGCGCTCCTTCGTCCTTATACTAGGGGCTAATGGCGATTATTAAGATATCTGACGTGGGATTTTGGGTGACCCAAAGACGGCCAGCCTATTGATTCACTCGGCTCGCGGTTTCATTCCTTGTCATTGGGTTCTGGCGCCTCGAGGGCGGCCCCCGTATCAACCCCGAAGGCTTCCAGATTCTCGGGATATCGTGTAATTACAGTTCCATTTTGAGTTGCTCATTTCCCGAGGAAACAGTAGGTAAGGTACATGTACTTACCAATGAAGGTTGGAAGATGGCAACCACAACGGGAAGCGTTCAGCCAGCAACACATGAATGTGGTTGCGGTAGTATTCTAGCGCGTCCCCGTGACTCGGGCTCACACTTATTTCGAACGTGCTCTTGTCCAATGGTTGTGTTTAGTTTTATATTCCTCTCTTTCGTCACTGTTCATACAGTACCTCTTAATTAAATCACGCTTGAAATTACCATGTATGGCATGTTTCATCGGATCCGGGGCCCATCCCAAGACCCGCCAACCCGGCCCCGGCCTCAGCCCAAACGCGCTATATTCGGTCCCCGAGGTCAGTCCCCAACCAACAAACATGAAACTTTTCAAAGTTCCCTCGGACTGAATCCTCGTCCTTTTCCCTTTTGCAATCAACTTTGGCGGGCCCCAAAACTTCAAGTGCGAAACGCCATTACCTACCTAATTGTATTCGACACTGCAAGCACTGATGAGAATTACGAGATGAGCAATTTGCGCCGTCTATTTTTGTCCGCACTGTTCAATGCCACGCGTTGCAACCTTAACTGCGAGGCTCCAACAACAGGTGCTGGGGGTTCAAGCCGAGCCCCCGGTCTTCATTGCAAAGTACATACATGTATGTCCATACCCGCCCAGACAGGATGGTTCGGATGACAAATCTGAAATTCAACTTCCTCCCTCAACCTCCCGACCGACTCACGCAATGAGGCGACGGCCGATACCCGGGGTATCAGGCAACTATAATGCGTTCGGTCCTAGTCGAAGGCGGCATCGATGGAGACTGGACACAAAACCGATGTGCGGCTTTCGTCATCCCGAAACGCGCAGACGCGGCGCAGTGCCGACGACGAAAACAGCATGCTGTGTGGCGATGGGCGGGTAACATGACCAAAGGCGGCATAATCCCTAACGCTAATACCCTACCAGATCGGAGGCCCGCTGCCCGGCGGAGGCTCCGGGGCTGGGGCGCCAGTGTTGGGTGGGCCAGACATCAACCTTGCGTTCCCGTCAGGATATCCGCGGAAGGGCACTTGTGGCGCCAGTGCCATCGGGGGTAAGCGGGTACTCGGGGTCGGCCCGCTCGATGGGAAAAATGGGGGCGGCGGCATGCTTCGGTCCGCCGCCGTCGAACTTCGATCCGGTTCAACGCCATGGTTGGTAAAGGCGGTCCCGAATTCGCTGCCGACCGGAAGTAGCGGAAGCGGAAGTCCCACCGAGCCGGTGCTCAGAACGTCCGCCTGCGCCTCGCGCGTCTTTTGTGAGATCCTGCTATCTCGCCTCGCGCGGTTGGTGTACGATCGAGCGTTGGACTGAATTGTCCTTAGCCCCGCTCCCATGCACTGTTCCAAGGTCAGCGGGTGACACCCAAAGCTACCACGGGAGAAGGATCAGCAACCCACCAGAGCTTCTACGACCTCCCACTTCATCCCCACTCGATCCGCCAATCCAGACCAGACGTCTTTCCGCATGGTCATGTACTCGCTGGCCACCATCTCCAGCCTCCGCCCGCTATAGTCGTGTATTCCCCGCCGCTCGACCAGCCGCTCGTACCGTTTTCGGCATGCGTTCGCCGTCTTCGTCGGGAAATGCGTTCGTTGGAGGTCGGCCCAGTTCTGCCCGCGCGAGCGCGCCTGGATCAACGTCTTGTCGTCCTCGGCCGTCCACGTGCCGTGGTTGTATATCGAATAGGGGTATTCCGCCAGCGTGGCCGTTTCGTCGCCAATCAGCTCTTGCCCTGCCGCATTGGCGCTTCCATCCCCTTCATCAACCGCCGGGGGTTCGAATTGTGTATGCGCAGACGCCGAGGGCATGTTGTGGCTGCTTGGGGGCGGCGGTGCGGCGGGCAGCGGGGGGTATCGAATTGGGCCGGGGCCTGCCGTTGTGCTCGGTTGCTGGGCCGCAATCAGACGGTACCCGCCCCCTTGAGCCTCGGAGCTCGGGGGCTGAAAAACCCCCGACGCTTCCTCCGGCCCCTGAGCGGACCGCATGTCCCGGTTCGGCCGCCGGGGCGGACGCCGCGTCCTCGTCATCGCTTCGCAAACGGCCAGTCTCCTCGGTTGTTCGTTCGGATGTCGTTTCCACGCGCCAAGCCAACCCTTCGGCAAAACCTTTACGAGGCGATGTGAAATTCGGACTCGGTTTACGTTTCAATGCGGAGGAGAACAAGGTTGGAGTTCTCGTGTGCTTGGCCGCCACGGGCGGTCGACTGGATCGGGGCGATGAGGTAATTCTTCCCGGAGATCGGCCGTCTGGGGCAGGCAGCCGTCTCTCCGGAAGAACAGATCGTTGTGGAACCTCTCACTACGAATCAGAGCCGCCCGGAGGCCACTGCAGAGATGCCGATGCAGAGGGCGTGGGTCTAGAGGGCGGCCGCAGGAGAAGCGGCCTGGTCCTCCTTCAGCTCCGGGCGAGTCCTCACCCACCGCTTATCCTGTCGCCAACTTCTAGGGGCGAATAGTCGTCTCTCCCTCGTCTTTGTTGGAGTAGGGCATAGATATTGTTCGCCGCGGCCCCAGCTGAGCATATAGGGGTTGTTCCACTCTCTGCTGTTGCTGTGGCCTTTTTTTTGGTCACAGGCGTGATCGGACCGACGAAACTCCATCACCAGCTTCACAAACTACGAGCTTGGGCACTTCCTGGGTAGCCCCTGAAGGAGAAAAGCCCAGTATTACTTTTTCCCTGGTCAGGTGCATCTGACCGGCCATTCCAGAAGGCCCCTCGCCCACGTCGCTGGCGAGCCTGCTCATACTCCTGCAGGTCGTCTCTGGCTGCATGCCAAGTCACTCCTCCAACCAGTAGTATCTGTTCGGGACATTACAAAGCGAACCGCAGACCTGCAGCTGCAGGGTTTCACGGGGTTCCATCGAACCCGCTGGCAAATGTTTGGAACGCCCGCACCTGAGTTGCTTCAAGTTTGTCTATCAGTGCCATGACGCGGCCGAGTGTGCGCGGGCCGCTCAGAGCACAGCGGCAACATGGCTTCCGTCCTAAAGATAGCATCCTTCCCGCCAGTGTTGTCTTGCTGTTGTGTAGTTTCCTTCCCCTTTGTTGCTGATGCCGTCCGAACCAGTTCCAAGACCAAGTCGAATCCGCAGCACCTCAACAACGAGCTGACCCACAAGTTTATCGCAACAAGACGGTCAACGACTCCTTTCTTTCCTTCTAGTGTCAACTGCCTGGAACTAAACCATAAAGCATGCCCCCCCCCCTTAAACGTGCGTCCGCCCCTACCAATCCCCCTTCCACTGACCCCATCACTCCGACCAACCCTCGTCGTCGCTCTCCTCCCCCGCCGAAACCCACCGAACCTCCCCCCTTTCCTGCAGCTCCCTGCCCGCCTCAATCTCCACCGCCATATCCTCCCTCTCCTGCAACTCCCTACCCGCCTCAATCTCCACTGCCATATCCACCCTCACCCAATCCCGATACCCCCGCCGCCGCATCATATCCACCTGCCGCGCGATCTCCGCGCCACGCAGGCCCCTCATCGACAACGTCGACACCGCGCCAGAACCAACCCCAGAACGAAAACCAACCCCAACCCCATTCCCAAACCCAACCCCAGAAAACCCAACCCCAGCCCCAGCAACACCACCAGCCCCATCCTCAACACCAACCCCAGAACCACCCCCATCCCCACTCTCACCAACACCAGCCCACACAAACGCCCGCTCCACCTCGTAATTCACATGCCTCTCGAACCGAAAGGGCGTGTGCCGCGTCACGGCCCGCACCCGTACTACGCAGCTGCTGTCGAGGGAGCGCAGGAAGAGGTCGGGGGGCGTGCTGCCGTCGTCGTCGTTGTTGGCATGGCTGGCTTTGGTGGTGGTGGCATGGCTGGTGGTGGTGTTGGGAGGGGTGTCGGTGGCGGGGGTGGTGGTGGTGCCAGGGGTGCCCGGGGTAGGGGTTGAGGGCGCTGTGGGTGTCGGTGATGGGGCTGTCGAATGTTGGGGGGGGGGATGACCGTCTCGGCCGCGAAGGTCGTGGGAGGAAGTCTGTGTGAGTGAAAAAGTTTGGGGGCGTTGGGTGTGTTGCTGGTGGTGCTGGGGCCGGTGGTGCTGGAGTTGGAGTTTGGGTTGTAGCGTCGGTAGTAGAGGGTGGCATGCAGTTGGACGAGGAGCGGCTGGTGGGTGTGCAGGGAGGGCATCTTGGCGAGCTTGGGTTGCTGTTTTGGTTCGTTGTTTTGAGGGAAGAGGGGGTTGAGCTGTTTGGAGTCGCGCGGTTGCGGAATAGATTGAGTAGCACTTGTGGGGATAGGGGCGGTTGATCCAACATTTGGGTATTTCGGGCTTTGCTGTGGTAGATGAAAGATCATTATTAGTTGCATGCAAGAATTGCTTGTACTCTCCTTTCATGCGCATGCCTTGTTCAAGGTAATGCGGCCATTTTGGGGTGTCCCGGCAGTACCTCCGCAACAAACAAGCGGGACAACCGCGGCATGAACACCTTTACCTAGCTCCGTGATCCGATCACTGAGTACAATATTCTGGCCGTGGCCCATCAAGCGGGAGGGTTAGGCCCCGGGCACATCACCACACCTTCTTCCGAGGCTTGATCAACCATGCAAACTTGTGTTCCAAGTCATCCTCAAGCTTGAAACCCCATAACAGTCAGCACATGTTCATTCTTGACGCCACGGCGATGATAGAAAATTAGAAATGGGATGATCAGCAGCCCTACCGTTTCGTTCCTCTTGAATATTATCCATATCCCGACACACAAGAGCATGGTCCCTAGGGCAAGCGGTAGATACCACCACCACGGGGGCGGCGGGTCGAGAACGTTGACGTTCATCCCGAATAATGTCTACTCGGCTGGTTAGCCTCCAAATGGGTACCACAAGTGTATGCAACGTACCGAGATGAAGGTGAGAGGCAGGAAGATGAACTATTGGGATGAACGATAATATGATTAGTGACCTTCCAGGCGTTGCTGCTTTTACTGACGGCTTACCGTAATCCAAGTCAGTCGCTTCATGCTGTTGTTGGTCGACGTCGAGTTCTTGGCTTCGGCGATTGATGTGAGGTTGAACTCCTTTACGGATGAAGAGCAGGGTCCCTCAGTTAGCAATTGTTAGTGTTACATCAGATCGATCACCGGGACATACTATTTGGATCAGTTCTTGCGATTTTGCATTGAGCCCCTCTAGCCTGCGGCCGATCAGATCTGCAAAGTCTCGGATCATGGCTGGGAGCTCGTTGAGCGCTTGTTCGTCGGCATCCAGGCCCTTATACTTGGATTTGAACTCGTGGGCGGCCTCAACGTGAGCCTGGAGATTGGTCTGCAGTTCTAGCCACTGACTAGCATCCGCTAGGAGACGGCGTATCATGTACTGGTCAGTGCCTCCTTTGCTGAGCACGGCTTTTCTCTGGCGTCCCAGGTATGTATGTTAGCATGGAGTTCGTTTTAGGCCTAAGGACGCTTCGGACAGGAGGTACGAACCGATTCTGTCAGGACCTTTTCTCCCTGTCCACAAGTCCGCAACCACATCGCCTGGAGCTCACCGAGGAGCTGCTTGAAGAAATCGACGCCGTCATCCGGAATCCACCCATTGGGCAGGGTGCTGAAATGACTGACACTCTTCCAGCTCTCTCCCGTCCGGCTGCTCATGTCGGGTTGTTTCATAACGATCCACTCGATCATCATGACCTCATGCTCCAGCATCGCACTCCTCGAAGCAGGATCCGTTAAAAGAGGAGCGACGGCAGCGACTAGCAGGAGAACGGTGCACTTGACACCACCGCTTGGCAACTTGGAGAAGGTTATCGGGGGTAGATTGAGGTCACGGGGGGAGGGAAAGAAATGGGCCGAGACACCTGGAAGTTCGCTCAGGGGTTTCGCAAACACGCTAGCCAATGGGTATCAGTGACCCCTCATGCCAGTGGTGGTTACAGCCCTGACTGTTGGGATGGGAGGGGATTGCTTACAAGAGTTGTCGTTGGGCCAGAGACGACGTTAGAGTAGGGGACACCCGCCCTTTGACCAGTTCGGAGAGGAAGTCGGCCACGTAAAGGCCCCATACCTTTGTGCCCTTGTCTACACTGTGCTGTATCTTGATGATTGGGGGCGGTGGGCCGTGGCTGGAGCTATATGTTCGTATCCAGTCCTCTGCGGTGACATTTCGAGTTGGACAGACCGCGGACTCCAGCAGCGCCTTCACGAAATCAAACCTATCCTCTCGCAACGCCAGCCGTAGCGGAGTCAGGCCGTCCGTGTCCTCGATGCCCAGATCCGGTTCTGGGTCCGCTTCGAGCAGGGCCTTCGTCATAGCCACGATTCCGTCCGGTGCGCATGCCACGGCCGAATGGAGAGCTGTCCGCCCCCACATACCTCTCTTGTTGATGTTATATCCAGCGTCTAGTAGACGGCGGACTAGGTCGACGTTGCTTCGCTGCACTTGCTCATGGAGACTGATATGGTCGTATCGCAGGAGAAGCTGGACAACGCTCTGGCTGTCGGTGGCGAACGAGAGCGCTAGAACTAGCGGCGTGGTGCCGTCCACCGCGGTTGCGTTGGCATTTGCATTTTCCCGTAGGAGGAGGTTGATGATCGCTTCACTCCCTGACTTGGCCGCGTAGTGAAGAGGGGTCCAGCCTTCCAATGTCCTTAGGTTTACATCTGCGTTTGCGTTCAGCAGAAGCCGGATGATGGGAATGTGACCCATCTCAACAGCCCAGCATATGGGAGTCTTAGCTGACGTTGCATCGAAAGCGTTCGGGTTGGCATGTTTGGCACCGAGGAGTGCGTTGACGGCGTGCAGGTTCCTGTGTTTGCAGGCAAACGATAGGGCGGTTTGTCCATGCATGTGCCGGTTAGACCTCGTGACGTCGCCTCTCTGCGCGAGGAGCTCGACCACTGCGTCCTGGCGGGCTTCTATGGCGGCAAACAGGGGGTAAATGTTCCTGATTCTGTCGCGCCATGGTGGTTTGAGTGATACTCGCCCGCTATCGAGTAGCTCCCGCACCGTGTCGACGTGGCCGTGTTTCGCCGCTAGTGAAAGCGCATTGTAGCCGGAGCTATCGGCGGCTTCGTGGTCTAGATCACTTCGCCCAAGCAGTTGCCGAACCGTGAGCGTCATCCCTTGCTGCGACGCCAGGCCAAGCAGTGTTGTCGAGTGAGAGTCTGTGTAGCCCGCCTCCACGCCCGTGACACCGACGAGATAGGCTGCGGCTTCATCCTGGCGGGCGTCAATAGCGCGCCTCACGGGCCGTTTGCCTTCACCGTCCTCCCATTCAACATCGGCCCCGCACCGCAGCAGGGCCCTTATCACGCCCATATGCCCTCCTTGGGCTGCCCACCCCAACGGGGTGATTCTGAACTCCTCATCCGATGTGTCCACAGCGTCCGGATGGCTTCTTAGCAGACCAATGACAACAGATTCCTCCCCGTCCCGCGCGGCCTGCCAGAGTAGGCGTCCCAGAGTGCCCGTTGAAAGCCCGGTATCTGATCGGTGTAATAGTAAATCGATCGATTCCCATTGGTGAGTTTTGAGGGCTTCCGCGAGTAGCTCTTCGACATCGTAGCCCCCCAGGTCCACCTCGGAAGCCAAGAGAACCTGTGCGACGGACCAGTGCTCGTTCAACAGCGCCCCTTGAAGCGCCGTTTGGCCGCCAACGTCCGCAATTTTGGCTTCTGCTCCGGCTACGATAAGCATTCTGACTGCCTGGGGATGCCCGTTGCAAGCTGCGGCAAACAGCGGCGTTTTGCACCCGTGATTGAGTTGATCTAATCCCAAACCCCGGGATGAAGCGGTGCGGATAAGAAGTTCAAGTACCTCCAAATGGCCGTTCGCAGCCGATCTGTGTGTCGCAGTGTCGCCGTTTTCTAGAACACCGCCTGGATTTACACCGCGGTCAAGAAGCAGCTGGACAACACCACAGTGCCCGCGTCCGGCAGCCTGAATCAAAGCGGATTCGGCTACGGAAGGTTCAATCGAAGCCCCTCGCTCGAGGAGCTCGAGGGCAACTTCTGCATACCCTCGAGAGAAAGCAATGATGACGGCGTTATCCCCAGCTTCGTCAACATGATTTGGATCAGCACCCCGATCTAGCAGCAAGCGAACGACAGAGAGACTGCCACCGCAAGCTGCCCATAACAGAGGAGTCCTACCCCGCTCGTCCAATGCGTGAACTTTGGGAATCGGGTCTTCTTCGTTGTCTGCAAGAACAGAAGGTATCAGGGCAGCTAGACCGAGATACGGAACGACGTGAACAGGCGCAATGAGTATCAGCGCAGCGTCTTGGGACGCGTTCGTGATGCCCGAGGTTGAGGGCGCAACGGATGCAGTGAGCACTTCATGTTGAAGCACCGACAGTGAACCCAAATAGTTGACGTCGTCGAGATGCGGGTCCCAGTAGGTTGACGCGTAGTTGTAAAAGGGGTAATCGGGGTGAGGTCGGGCTTGTATTGAGCCCAGCGGACTGATGTACTGCAAGCAGGTACGAGCAAGACTCAAGCGCCACTCCCGTGCTGCATCGGGCTTGGTGCGCTTGAAGAAGGCCGCAGCAGTGCCGTGGCAGAATTGAAGGACAGGGACATCGTTGATATTCTGGAGGATGAACAAGCCTTTGGACCTGCTAATGATGTGCTCCACGACTTCCGAAGCGTCGTCGCCCAAGTCAAAACGACCCTCGGCTACTGACAAGGCGTGTTGGAGTTCAGGAACTGACAACGGTCGCTTTGACACGGTGACCCAGGGGAGGAGAGCTTGCCATTTGCTGGACTCGGGGTCGGCGTTCAAGCGGAACACCAAGTCTTGGTAGAAAGGGTCAAATACCCTGCCATCCTCCAATGCCGCTATTATAGCGCGGCGACTCCCCAACTTCGTCACTGACTGAAGAGTGAGATCCGCAAAATGAAATCTGAGATGCGCCGTCACGTCAGCGAACGCCTAAGGGGGTGCCAAGGGGAGAACTGACAATCCATCACACATTTCTACCATCTTCTTGATGATTCCCTGCGGAAAGTCGTCGTGCTTTGGGTCAAATAGAACTCGTCGAAGCCGCTGATTCAAACCGATCCTGTGATTGAGATGTTTGGCTATGTCATCAGGCGAAGCTCGCATTTCCAGGGAAACGGCGCGAGGGAACAGCTGGTCGGTACCGGCACCCAGTAGTCCCGTCGCCAATATATTGAGGCCCAGGGTCGCCTGGAGGCATCGAAGCTGCGGCAACAGTGTTGTCCGGACGTCTTCCGACGACGTATCCACGGCATCAAAAATGAGAAATATTCGTCTCGTAGGGGCCCCAAGAGACCACAAGGTTTCTGACAGATCAACCACCGTGGTTGCTAGTGGCCATGACTCCAGCTTTTCTTCCAGGTGCCTGGCAACCTCATCTGGAGGGCTAGCGGTGTCTTCGTGGTGGAGGAGGAAAGCTAGCGTGGCTATCACCGCACCCGCCGTCTCTACGCACTTTGGATTGTCTGGTTGTCGCCATGACGAACTGAAATGGAACCAGGCGACTCTGGCGTCGGGACCTAAGCTCTTGCGCAAATCGTTGACGACGAGAGACGTCATGACTGACTTCCCCGAACGCGGAATTCCAGGGACGAAGAGGGTTGCCCCAGGACTTGAACTCCAGCCACCATATTCGGCAGAAGCCAGGAACCGGTCTCCCGACCCTGGAGATGCTTTTTGCTGGTTCTCGTAATAACTGATGACGTTGTCGAGGGTGTATTGAGTGCGCAACTTCTTAAGCTGGTCGGAAGATGCCATATCTTCTCTTTGCATTTCCGTAGCAATTCCAAGTCTGGCGGCGAGCGGTCAGTTTGACGTTCTACCTTGCCGGAGGACCGTCGTGAGATGGCTCATGAGTACCTAACTCTAGTCCGGCATGGTAATGGAAACCGATACTATTTGTGCTCTGCCCTTGGGGTGATAAAAGAATGCCCACCTACCTTGTGTGAGGTCGGGAATTTGACGGCTTGCGTACTGCGGCGTCAAACTCATCGGCCAGAGCCCAAACTTTTGAGAGTGGTGCCGTGAGTCGACCGGCGAAACGTTTGGATATTGGGCCGAGTTTTATATCGGCCGCCCTGAACGGTGTCTTGATATCGGCCTGGAGCACCACCAGGTTATCGATTTGTTGCTGCAAAAGTTGCTTGATTTGGCCAGTCGGGTAAAACGGCAGCGAGAGAGTACGGCCGTACCGCGCCTGAAGTGCCTGAACACGTTTAAGGGCGTGTTGGGCATGGGGGTCGGATTCAAAAGCCGGAGTAGACAGAGTCTCGGCCACGCCTCGTATTCGAGCGTTAAGCGTCCCCAACAAGGCAGTGAAGGCCCGTTGGTCATCGTCGTTCGTTGGCCGTGGCAGTGTGTCGCCGCCTCCCCTGACTGCACTGGATGATGTCTCAGGCTCGCAAGCCATGCTGGCAGTGCTTCAAAGTCCCGTAACTATAGCCGACGTAGGACCCAAAAAGGTTGAGGAATGAACGGTCACGCATGGCATTAACTAGGTAACGAAAGGCTGCAATGGAGTGTAAAATTGAAATCCTTCGGGACTGCCGAGATGAGCTGGGGCGTTGCGGGGCGACACTGTTATTGGTTTAGAGAGTTCATTCATGAGTTTGACCGACCCCCCTGTCTCGCACAAAGTATCCGGAATTAATCCGGCCTCAGCTCAGTGCTCGGGCATGCAGCCACAATGTTACACACGACCGTGACAACCCCGGCCGCACCACTCTGTACATACTGGGCTCGCAGCATAACAAGCCGTTAATAATACAACCCCTTCCTGCGGTGTTCAACGGCATTTTACGAATTGTAAGCCTAGGTAGGTCAGCTACAGGCGCAGGGTTATTAGGTAACTTATTCTAAGCGCGCAGTTAACGACCAGAGTCACGGCAGCGAATGGACCTTCTTCAAGAGCATTCCCGCGGCAATGTGTTGTTTGTCTTAAACTATAATATCCCTAGGTAAGTACCACGTTGGCTCCAGACATCAAGCTCATCTGTTCGGTCCTTGGAACACGACGGCACGGCAGTTAGCATCTCCCGGTAACTTTTACTTTTAAGATCCAGAACGCCTTCAAGACCATCAGGGGATTTGTTACATGAAGTTTAAGCGCAGTTACTACCCGGTCAGAAAGGTCCATAGCCGATGTATCCGTATCGCTCTTTCCAGCCGTCGTCAGTACTACCTGAAAACTTTGGCCCCTAGGCATATATACCGTCCTCGGAGCGGGGCTTAACACCGCCGGTTGGAGAAAGGAAATGTAAGTTACTAACATAGAAGGCCCCTCCCTCCTTGGGAGCTAGGACATGTGGATAACTTCCTTACACCCAGCACTTCTTTCCCTGGCGCCTCTTATGCGATGTCCTGGACCATCGTTAGTATCACGATAAGCCGATGGCCCCGTAACCCCTACCCCCTACTTCGTTCCTCCGTCTCAACCCTTTCAGCCAACTCCATCGACACTGAACCCACCGGGTCAGGACAAAACGAAATAGACCGCTGGGCGAACTGGGGCAGCTCGGCCTGTCGTGCCGCGCGGTTCACCGAGTCACCCCGAGAGCGACGGAGGCCGCAACTAGGCCTGACCGGCACGCACATATACCGTACGTGGGAGGCCGAATCGACTGTGCGAAGAGGGCGAGGGGGTGGCCGGGCTGGGGTGATGGAGATGGCGGGCGATCGAAGTACGACTTCGACTATTCCTACACGATGATCCCCAACGGCATGGCATACATGGACATGTAGCTACGATTGGGCGCGGCCGAGTGAGGTTATACCCAGCTCTTATCGGCATTCGCAATCTTCCAACACCCTTTCTACCCGCCTTGGTGCGTGCCGCCTCCGAGGCGGGTTGAACACCATCGGGCCGCGCTGGCTTTGAGCCGACCTAAATAATTCTTTTGTTTGCTAGGTCACTTCTAAGTTCAGAGTATACAATAGCCATTGTGCATAACAAGATCCCGCTGATAACATAACAGTTAAATAGGGGTGGGATGACTATATAAAACTACCACGTTCCTTAGTTGCAGTTTTCCCTTCTGTCCAAACACCCACCTTGATTAGTCTCATCTTGTAACCACAATTGTCGAACCCGGAAGCATTACAACCCACATCGAAAGCACGCTAGACACCATGGCCACACGCACGAATATACCTTACTATGCGCGAAAAAAGGCCCTCCCGGAAGGAGTAGAATCCTTGCCCACTGTGGAGGATATCCTTGCTTCGACTGACCGCATATCGACTGAGTACAATGCTTACTACGTCTACCGCGTCGGTGTCCATTTTGTTGTCAAATATGGACAATCCAACGGAGCACTCCTTCAGGAGGGCGAGAATATGCTTTTTGTGGAGCGATCGACTACTTTGCTGCGCATTCCGAAGGTCTACGCGGTTTTTCATGACGAGGCAACGGGGAACGACTTCATTGTCCAGGAGTATATCCCTGGACAATGTCTCGGTTCGGTATGGCGTGACCTCACTGCTACCCAAAAGACGGCGATTACTTCGCAGCTGCGCCAAGGTCTAGACGAGTTGCGTAGTATCCCTTCCCCGGGCTACTATGGCGGCATCTGGAGGCAGCCGACCCGAGAGTGTAACTTCGAGGATCCGGTGAAGATCTGGGAGCCACACAATGATGTTACAATTTCGGGGCCTCAGGAGACGGAAGAGCAGTGGATCGACGCTATGTGGCGCTGCGCCGGATCGAGGGTCGATCCATCACAGCGAGACACGCTCCCGCAACTTCGTGTGGACTACCACGCAGCTTTCAAGGGGCATAAACCGGTCTTCACCCACGCCTGTTTGTTTCGATCAGAGATGATCCTTCGAGAAGACGGTGTCGTCGTGCTTATCGATTGGGAGTATGCCGGCTGGTATCCAACCTACTGGGAATATTGCTCCGCAATGTGGATGGGAGACCGTTGGGGTTCCGAAATTTCGGAGATCTTGGACGAGTTCATTCCGGAACTGGATGGGATGATAAAGCACAAATCCATCCTAGAGTAGGACCTTAGAAGAAGACCTGCCGAGTGATTCAGCGGTGTCTACTACTAGGTGGTGAGACAGGCAGAAAAGATAAGGCAAAAAAACGAATAAAAAAACAAAACGAGAAAAAAAGGGGGTGGGAAAAGTCGCGGGGGAAAGGGTGTTCGGAAGCAGTTCACGGGCCAGGAACAGGAAGAGTCCATGGGACTGGTACATGGTCCAATAAATAGATATCCAAACTAGAACTACATGAGTAACAACTGGATATGTGACCCAATCCGTCATCACCCCTCAGCTTTCGTTCACCAGGGCGACCTGAAAACCGTCGCTTGGTTATCCGATGGCCGCGGCTGCCTCATGACGTTGGAAGAGAGCATTGCGTTGACAGCCGTGATAGCCCATTGCCGAGTGGCGTCAAGCAAGTCCAGCGGCTGGCCGGGGATGGGTGTGGGCGGAGGCACCCGGTTGCATTCGGCAAGCATTTCCTCCTGGAACTCATGTTGGGGCACCCATCCAACCAACCGCATGCTCTTCCCGGTTTTTAAAGGTCTGAAGGGGTGGTGGCGATAGCCATGGTTGAAGACCATCTGGGTGTCTGCCGGGGTGCCTCGGCGGACCAGGAACTGGTAGCCCATGGAGTTTGTCAGAGAAGGGTCGGTCTCCACGAAGATGCCGCAGCATACGTCTGCTCCCACGAGTTTGTAGGTGTAGACTGAGACTCTGAAATGCGTGACCTCAAGCGGGGCATTGCTGGGGAGGTCGATGTGGTCAGAGTCAAGGGGTTGGAGAGGTATGTCGTCGAGGCTAAGTCTCTGATCGACGTCCTCGTCGTTATCGCGGTTGTCGTTGTGGTAGGCCATGTTTCCGGATATAGCATCTAGATGGAGAAAAGGTGGTCCATAGAGAAATTGTAAAACGAACTACAACTCACTTAGAGCCACGCGTTATATACCTAAATTTAGCCCTCACAAGCCCAGAGTCATGAAAGGCAATCGTGCGTGGTTTCATAACTAAAATGAGTCCTGGGTTCGTTGTTTTTGTTGCCAGCTTTGTCGTAGACCAGTACCGAGGGCATTCAAAATGCATTCGTATTGTCGGATAATCTGATTAATCGTAACTAAGGAACAAAAGGCGAGAGCCTGTATGCCTCCCGAACAACTCTATATTCAGCCCTGATTGTGAACCTAGTGACTTGATTCACGCCACCCGTGTTGTTCAACACACTTCGCGGGGCTCAGTGACGGAATTGGATCCCAGCAAAGGATGACGGACAACTTCTTGTTGATGGTTGGATCCGCATGCATTGCTGGTCGGGGCCCCGAGCGCTGATTTCCCAAAGGCATTATTACTAACGTAGCTTGAGATGTCTCAATTATTATTCCCGTCGCAACCAAAACCCCCCCTCAGCCCCTGTTGCTTTGCTCACCTGCCACCCACCCCCTGGGTTGGGACCTGAAATGTAACTTGAATCCATGCGATGCGGATCACAGCGGCCTAAAAAAGGCGGCACGGGGAGGAGGTCGCCCTCCGTACACTGTGCAAGGTCCTGTGATTGTGTGGCGAGTAATCGATTCCCTCGGAGATCTTCGGAGAGCCTACACTGGCGGATGCAAGATCAAGTCACTTTACGCACACTGACCAAGATCCTGACAAGTCTGCGTATGGCCAGTGACGCCCAAACCGTCCTTGAAACTTCCAGGCTTCTCAATTCCGACCGAAGCCCAGACGGCCCAGGAGCCATCGAATTGGAGCTAGCCAGGAGACCATTGCCGTCGAATGTGAGATTATCGTCCGCATCAGCGGCCCAGCCCTTTGCTCCAGGCCACCGGGCTGGAAAATGCCAGTCTTGTGGAAGTAGCGCATGATTCCCTGGCCTAGAATATCACCACTACGGTTAATAAAATGCTTCCGATTGGGAAGATGAGAGAGGCACTGGGGCGCTTACCGATACTGGAACGGTCAACCACGAACTGTTGCACGGTTTCACCGTTAACGTAGAGTGTACAAGGAGGGCGCCGCAATACAGATCACCTGTGGCATCCTCGCGAACGACATGGCCGAAGTCCGAACCTCAGATACGTGGCCCGGCCGGGAGACGGTCGTCGTGCACCACCAGGAGCAAGTCGCCCTCGATGATGGCGCTTACCTTTGTGCGCCTGGAGACTAGGGCGCCGCCGTCCGCCGCTACGACGGCACCATAGTCGATATCCTCTCGGCCGGCATGTCCCGGCGCGATGCGCAGCACGACTGGTTATCGGAAAACCCTGCGTCACAAAGACAACGGTGCGCCGTCCCTTGTGTCTTGCCAACATTGGCTTCGTTACGCCGATTCAGACATTGTTGGAGGATGGGAGGGACGAAATTGGGAACCAGTTGGTTGAGACTGAGTTCACGCTCCGACCTCCGCCGTATGACACGGGCAATCCATCGTTTTAGCCACGGTGCGCATTATGATGGCCTCGTTTAGATGATTTCGACCTATAGCACTGTACCGCTGGGGAAAGGGGTGAATGAAGATCTATTTGGCGCCAGGAAGAGGTCGGATCGCGGCCTGTAGCATCGGTCCCGAAACCCTAGAGTTACCTAGGTACCCAAGTAGGTAGCTAGTCGCTGGAGAACATCTAACACATCTCTGGCTAATACCTGGCATAAGCGGTGACTCTCTTCTCTACAAAGTTTAAGACGTCGCGGTTGGTCATCATGCTGAGCTGGAGTCTCGATCCCGTCGCTAGAAGTCATGATATATTTAATCAGGGGGTCAATCAACACCAGAGCTGGACGCTTATCCTCCCTCATTCCCAGCCTAGCATTCCTTCTCATGGTGTTTGCAATGCTCCTCAGTTCGTGCGGCCGTTAGCAATGCGTTTCCAAGTCCAATCTTTCACCGATCCAACCAAGTTCCCGACGTGCAACCCAACACCCCCCAAGAGACCGCCGTCCGTCTCTTCCTGTGGTTGTTGAACCTCTGATCCTTGCCGCTCTTCCTCTTCCAACACCCCCCAGTGCGGGTTATAACCCACAGCAATGCGCCGTGCCTCGGGCGTATAGCATTCGGGCCTTCTCCAACGCAGCTCCTTCAGGATCCCGTCGGCTTTGTCTGTTGGCTCACCAGAGGCTGATAGGAGGCTCGGTGTTACCCTCGCGCCCTTTTCAAGCAGGGCTTGGACCAAGTCATAGGGGTGCCATGCCACGGCAAGCTCAAGGACGCTGATGCCGATGCTGTCGACAGCGTTTGGGTCAGCCCCGTGGTCCAGGAAGGCGATGATGCATTTGTGCAAGGCATTGGACACCTCGGTATTCCCGTCGCTTGCATTGTCGTGGCTCGAATTATCAGTCTCAAAGCGGGACGAGAGCAAGTAGTGAACTGCAGATCGTTCGATGATGAAGCTTTCGTCGCTCCAGTGATTCCGGTAGTTGGAGGTACCGGCGTTGCCACCTGCTTCCACAAGAACCCGGAGCATATCCAATCGGTAGACCGTTTGATAATACCACCGCTCTACCCTAACCCGGCAACAAGCTATCGCCAATGCCAAGTGTAAGATTGAGACCCGGTGCAAACAGGTTGCCTGCTCGTCGCTTTCATATCCTTCGCTCTCAGATACTATGCCCTCGGTGCTATCTGTTGAGTCACGGCCGCCATGCTGCACCAACTCAGTCCCACGGTTGTTCTCCTCTCGAGTCCAGAACTCCGGTCGCTCTTCTCGGCACGCGCTCATGAGTTCGAGCTGCCCGGAACGCGTGTCCATCTCCCACACGGCGTTTACGCTGAAGCCTTTCCCGATCAAGAACCGTGCAAAGTCCAGCCAGGATTTGGGAGAATGATAAAGGAACAGAGACCCCTCCCAGCGAGAAAGCGCGTTGCCTATCAGGGTATAGAATAAGAGTTTGGGGTTGCGGGTGATGTCTGGGTTTGTCGGTATATTCTTTTCGAGTTCGATTTCGACGAACATAAACAACTCGGTTTGCATTGCAAACTCCAACAGAGATGCCGGTTTTACATTGCCGCGAACCCAATCATTCGTCGGCCGGACAATATTACCCTCCCACTCAACGGTGCTCCACCATGTGTCGCGCCAACTCTGGCCACAGGAGGTGACCATGGCCTTATCAAAGTCATGGATCAGCTCGACGCATGTTGTTTCGAAAGCACATTCAGAAAGCAATGCCCATCCGAGAAATTCGACAACAACGGAAGTCGCGAAGTGGGGATATCGCTCTGGACAGGTCGGTGCGAGAAAGCCAGAATAGTCTAGGGAGCCGATCCAGTTTTCTCTGTGTTCCCTGATATGAGTACGGATGCTATCAAACAACAACCTCGGTATCCAGAGTTACTGCAACGAGTAAGGTTACTTACGCGGAATCCATTTTCTTGACGAGAAGTATGAAGAGGCGCATCATACGTTCCATGCCAGCCAATGCCATGGTTCGAGTAGACTTTCCGTCGAAAATGCCAAGGTCGTGTGCATCTTGTACGAAAGACTTCGCCGTTTGATGTACGAATTGCACGCGGCCGGTCGACGATATCTCGAGGAGACCGCCGGAGCAGGCCTTTATGCGTCTTTCTACCTCGCGACGCCGTCTCTCATCCTCGGCTGGGGTCAAGTGTATGTCCTGTGGTGTCGCCAGATCCTTTCGTTGCATGACGTCTATGCCGAGGCAGAAGTATTTCAAAAGAATTCCTGGCTTGAGATTGTTGTAATCAAAGCACAGTACTAGCTCCAGCATGGCCATGAGGACGGGCTTATCATCCTCGTGTATCTGCCTCACCATTCGTTCATAGAAGGCAGGGAGGCCCGTGGGGAGTTCGGATAGCTTGGTGCGTGCTTCCTCTACCGGCATACCGTTGCAAAGGGGCTGCCAGAGCTCGTCAAGAACAAGTTTAACCCAGAGAAAGACGCCGTCCGCTTTGCTTGTGATGTCGTCCAGTATAATGTTAGTTCCAGGTCTGTCGCATTCGGCCAACCTATCAGAGGCGTATTGCATGATATCTGTCTGCGTCCAATTGTGGATAGCAAAACTCGGTATGCCCTTTAGCTTCGAGACGAAAGCGGTCTCTGGTCGGCTAGATGCGCATACTCGGAGTTTTAGTTTGGCAACGCCCCCTTCATCGACGGGAGAGGCGAGGCGCTTAACGAAGTCGGCAATGTCCTCCCTAGGACCCGAGTACTCGTCCAAGGCATCTATGAAAACACAAATACAGCCTTCAACTTGTTGTCGACGTAGATTGTCCATGGCGGTTCGGAGTTGGCGGAGGGACCAGGGGCATGGGAGACCCTGCTCCTTGAACTCGTTGTAAATGCCGGCGACGGAGTCGACCAGCTCCGGGACCTCCGATAGTAGTTGGTAGAAGAGCGATCTTAGGAGGCCATCGAATGACTTTTCACTCTCCGCGCCCCTGGCGTGGAAGTAGAACTCAGGCATGGCAAGGATCTTCCGACCATTGTGCGCAAGAGCCTCCTTGGTGCGGTCGTCTTGATGCAAATATTTCATGAGTGTCGACTTCCCCGAGCCTGGCTTCCCTGTGATCCAAAAGAGACCGTCATTGCCCTGGAGCCATTCCGGGAAACCAGTTTCGGATGGGGAGAATGCCCAGTCGAATGTATGATCGTGTGCTGTCTCGACTTCGCCCACTCTCTCGTTAATTTGTGCCGCCCTGAGGCTGGTGCGGATTTCTAAGAATCGATCAGCTTTGCGGTGTGGCATCTGTGAATCTCAGCACATCACCAACCACGGATAAGGTTTGACCGTTCGAGTTCCAGTCCTATGAAGTCAGAAATCTCAGTGCTCGAGAGGTCGAGTGCCACTACCTACTTCCTTTCTCTCGGGCAACGTCTTATCATGAATCAGGGTAAGCAATTGAACACCCGTTGAACAGGGTAGGTAGATGATACGTACTCTCCGAGAGTAATCTCTGTTTCTGCTCATCTGCTACTGCTTAGTAACGAGAAACTTCATAAGCTACGTATCTAGGTAGGTAGTGTCGCCGAATTGCGTACCCTCTCGCGCTTGGGCGGATTGAATCTCGTCCAGATACTGGGTCACAACGCCTTTCACCTTCCTATATCCCGGATCATGCGGGTCGCGGAACCTGCACATCATCATGTGGTTCGCATTGATGAAGTCGGTGGTTTCCCTGGCGTCGCCCAGCCGTGACGATTCGTTGTCGACAATATGTACCAGGTGTCAGAAGTCAGATGGTGTTGAATTTAGCAGGTTGGGCACCGCTAACCTTTCGCGACAAGAAGTGAGCACCCGTAAACCCCATACCCTCTTGGAACGAATGAACCTTAAACGAGCCGTCAAGAAGCATCCGCGCGAACTCATCGCCTAGTATCGTTAAGATTTCAGCGTCGGGTTCGAGAGATCGGAGGATTGTATCTCTGGCATCGAAACCGGCAATGACGGCAATGTCTCGCGCCAGACCGCCCATCTTCGCGTACGAAGACCCGCGATGTGGCGTGCCGAAGAATATGATGGCGTGTGTCGACTCGTATATATCACGTAGACCATGCTGATCGGCCATGGCGGTCTTGGACCGACTCAGAGCCTGAATTCGGCGGATCAGTTCTGCTCCCTCGTCCAGGCCAAAAGTCCTCACCTGCTTCAATATGAGTCCGCCCAGGCTGTGCACAAGGAATATGATGGGTCGTTTGCGACACTTTCGTCGTTCTACCTCGAGCGCGCGCATGAGAGAGACGCCATGGGCAAGAATGCCGCTCTGGTTGGCGGGGCCTTTGAAGAAGTTTGATATTTGAGAATCATATCCGTACGTGAGAACCCTAGCGTTTGGGCAGTCCTTGCTGAGGAGTTCGTGCGGCCAGAAGAGAGGCGGCGTGCCAGTGGCGCTGCAGGCAGGCTCATCGGAGTGGTCTTCAGCGTGGCTCTTGCGAGCAAAGAGCCTGGATAACCGATTCTTGGGCTTCGCCAGCTTGGATTCTTTCTCCATCTTTCCGTACGTCCATGTCCTTTCGGGGTGGCCCTGAAGACCGTGAACGAAGACGAGACTATTTGGAACGTTTCAGTCAGTCATCTTGATGCCCAAGCTCCCAAGCGGCATGCGGGTGTCAAACTCAGCAATCGGCTCCGGCCCGCCCTCAGAGAGCTCTGTGAATCCTTCTTGTCTGACCTTGACTGCGGTCATTTCGATACCTGCAACAGAGCAAATGGGGTCGACGGCTTAGTCGGGTGGTTGACAACCCCTGAGCGACGAGATGTTGGTAGAAGAGAGACAGCCCATCAGTGTTTGTCGCAGCCCAGTCCTTACCCCGCCCGCTGCTGCCGCTGTCGTGTGTGGCTTGCTTTGCTGGCGGCGCGTTATCAGCTCTCTACTACTCTCATTGGCGGAGACGCGACGTGTGGTGGGGGTCTGAAGCATCACCAATACGCTTGGGGCTTCATAACAAGGGCCAAGGCTTGAGAACCCGAATAAGGATCTGCAATTAGTACAAAACCAACGGACTACTACATAACAACGGTAACATCAGTGACGCAGGTATCGCGTTGTAGCCGAGCCCGTGCTAGTTATTCGGCTAATCGACGAGTGGAAGAAGGGCTAGGAGTTGTAGCAGTTACCAAGCTACCTGTTACTAGCGTCGACGGTGGTAAGAGAGGACTCGTTGACGGTGCGGTACATGTAGATATCAAAGGCTGTCTAGCCGATGGGCTGGTCGTAGTTCGCCCGGGATATCGTGTGGAGGTCCGACATCATGTATATGTTGGCGGCCCAGTTAGCAACGGCTTCCGCCCACGCCTAAGGGAATATGTGTGCCTTGGGCTTAACTAGTACTGCACGGGTAATGTTAACACCGAGAGGGGACACGTGCCCGAGATGTACTTATAGGAGCGGCCTGGACTGCGGAAACTTGAGGCCACGCGCCCGCCAAAAGCAGCAGTCCAAACCACGGCACACATTGTCTGGGTGGAGTACGGGAAGTCCACAGGAACTCCCGGCTGGGGTATGGGGTACATACATGGAAGGTGTGGGATTTCGAGCTCTTGTTTTTCCGCATGCACGTACGGATGGAAAGCGTTTACTTGTTCACTACCTGGTACCGAGGTAGGTACCTACCTACCTACCTAGGTACCTAGGTACGTAACGTGACCAAGACCATGTGTTTCCCAACGCCTGCCAGTTTCATGACATCCATCACTTCCCACCTTCCTCCTCGCGCAAGCAACGACTTTATTTTGCTAACTGTGTAATCGCCTTCGCCACCACCTCCTTCGTCCACAACTCTATTGCGCAGTATGGCCATAACTCGTGCTGACATGCCTGACGGCTCAACTCGGTCCCGAGCTGCCTTGAAGGAAGCTGTGATTATCAGCATGCTGGGTGGTCCTGGATCTGGGAAGGGAACGCAATGCCAGATGCTTTCGCAGAAATTCGACCTCGCCCACATCAGCATCGGAGATGTGCTGCGCCAGGAAGTAAATCGCCCGGGCAGTCAGTATGCCGACATGATCCGGGAAAACATGATTGCTGGCAGGCTTGGCCCAACGAAAATAATCGTGTCCATCCTGAGAGATCACATGTTAAGAAGCCTAGCACAAGGGACGCATGGCTTCATTCTTGATGGTACGTTGGTTGTTCTACGCGTGGTCAAGAACACCCCGAAAGCTAACTGCACTGTTCCTCAAGGCTTCCCACGCGACAAGGAGCGGTACGACTACTTTGTGGAATCGATCGGTCCCATCACCCTCCTCATCGTTCTCGACTGCCCAGAATCCACAATGATAGACCGCCTCACGCTGTCTGACCGCAATCGTTTTGACGATAACACGGACAGCATCAGAAAGCGCATCGAAACCTTCCAGAAAACGACATGCGAGGTGATCGATGACTTCCGAGGCCGAAACAAACTCCACACCGTCAACTCGGACCAAGAACCCGGCGCCGTTGCGCTCCAGGTAGACGCCATTTTAGACGGTGTGGTCAAGAAGCGGACAGGTGTGTATCTGGATATTCGGGGCTTGCGAGCATGGTGATCCTGACCTTACTTTCAGAACCGGTTCCGGCCTAGGCGGCGTCACAGCCTCCTAGACCATTGCTGGACAGAGGAAACTGGGAATGCAATATCTAGCAGCCATTATGGACAAATAAGGATGTAGAAGTCGCTCAGACGGGGAGGAGCTGACCCGGACAGGGAGTGGAAACCTTAAAGCTACGATTTCCACAGACTCTACAGGTTAAGGTCGCGTTACTACCTGGGGTAAACACGTGTGGTGGCAACGGGAGACCCTTACTCCGGAGATGTAAATTACCGGGCTGGCCATCATTCCGGCAAAGAAACAGTAGCTCAGATCGCGCCACATGCTGTCCAAGGGGAATGAGCGAGGTTGTACTAACTTGCTATGCATGTGTATCCCCTCCAGTTCCCCCCGTAGCGGCGGCCTTCCTCCCCGTTCAGTGAACACGGGGAAGTAGGATCCCAAGCACCCAAACAGACTCGTAATCCGCCAGACGTCCTGCACACCAATCCATCCCCCGTCCTGAGTTGTCCAATTCCTTCTTCCACCCCTACCCCACCCGGGCACTCATGCACTTTCCAGCGCGGCCGAGTTCACAGGATCGTTGAGCACGTACTGGTACGGGTTCGCTGACCCATCGGCACCACCGCGACGGTCAGGGCCCGTCCAGCGGCCCAACCAAGGGCTGTAGTACCGCCCCGTCCGGCACGAATAATACAAACCCGTCTCACCATCCCACCGGTACTGCGCACCAAAACCGCCACACATCTGTCGCCGTCCCGCACCCTCTCCCTCCCCACCCCGCTCATCACCCTCCTCCCCACGCCACCGCGCCGCCACGGCGCCAAACGGCGAATACTCCTCGCGCGAAACCACCCGCCCCTTCTCGTCCACCTCCATCCCATCCCCAACCCGATACCGCACCGCCACCCCATCACCAGCCCCCTCAACAGTCTCCATATACGCCAGACCATCAACCTCAGCAGTCCACCGCCGCACACCCCTCCCCGTCCCCACCGCCCGATCATCACCACACTCCACACAAATCTCCACACCCCCCAACCAGAACGTCTCCCGCACCCGCCGGCCGGCGGCCACGTCCTCAGTCACCTTGCGCACGCGCCGGCCGGTGTGGTCGTAGACGTAGTACGTCGTCTCGGGGCCCGCCACCGTCGCCGCGGTGGTGGTGGTGTTTGTGATGGCGGTTGTGGTGGTGGTGGTGGTGGTGGTAGTGGGGGTGCGTGACATGGCGAGCAGGCTGCGCGGGTCCCAGGCCAGTTCGGCGGCGGAGGGGGGCAGCGAGGTCATGTGCCCGATGCGGCCGGCGGTGGTGGGGGTGTAGGCGTATGTTTCTTGTTCTTGTTGGGGGTTGTCTGGTTGCGGTTTGTTGTTGTCGTTGTCGTTGTTGTCAGGGGTGGTGGGGTCTTGCTTGCGTGCCGGGTGTACGACTGTGCCGCTGAGGCGGTTGCTCTTGGCCATTCCGTCGCTGCTGAGGAGGCTCTGCTCCTGGTAGAGGTAGTCTCTTGTCCAGCCCGACAGCGACTCGTCGTCCACCGGAGTGTGAGTAATCTGAGTGATGTTGCCTGCCAAATCGTACGTGTACGACTCGCGGTAGGTGTACAGACGATTCGCGTCTGTGGACGGTCGTTCCTCCCGCGTCTCGGCGCTGTGCGCTCGTAGTTGCGTGCTGGGAGAGGTTGGGGCTTGAGCCCTCCCTGTCGCCTCAACGAGCTGGCCGACAGCGTCGTAGGAGTACCCCCACTCGGGTTTGGTCTGGCTGGCACCAACGACAATCTCCTGTTTGGAGGCGTCCACAGCGTGGACCAGGCGACCACAGCAATCATGCGCAAAAGAGAGGTCCTCGAGAGTTTCCACCTGCTTTCCAGTGCCGCGGACCGTTTTCCGGGAAAGGAGCCTGCGAGACGTTTCATCGTACATGTACTGTGTCTCGACCGCATTCCCACTATGGGTCAATAGGGGTAATCCGTCGGCAGTGAAAGTGGCGCTGTGGATGGGTATGGCGTTAGAGTCCTGGCCGCCTTCCCGGTGGAAGCCAATTTGCTGAACATGGCCGAGTGGTGAAAAGACCTTGTGGATTTTGTTTCCCTGTGCATCTCGCTCCTCAAGCAGCTGGCCGAAGTTATCGAACACTGCCTCATCAGAAAACACAGTATCCATCAACGGGGGGCCAGCCTGCCAATTAACCTCGCCCTTGTAATGGTCGGCAGGCTGAAAATTCCGCCTCGTACAGCGGCCGCGAATGTCAAAAGACGCGTTCTCGTGGAGACCTGACTGGTCTTTGACTTTCCAGACTTTGCCTTTGAGGTTGTGCTCCGTTGCCACCGTGCAGGCCTCGCCGTAGATCATCTCAACCGAAAGTTTGGCCTCACCGGCGCCGTCGCCGTAGGTCCACCGCTGAACCTCTCGACGGAGCGCATCATACGTGCGTCGAGAGCCGATACCCCGACTGTTCCACGAGACAAGGTCTTTTCCATCTACGTCGCGCAACTCCCAGGACTCTCCGGTGTCCATCCCAGAGGAGCAAATCGAATGACCACGGAGGTCGTAAACTTTGGTTTCAACGACACGCCCAAGGTCGTCGGTCTCGCGAATCTTGTTTCCTGAGTGGTCGTAACTGAAACCCCTAGTATGCGTCCCAGCTTCAGTCTGGAGCACCCAGCGAATGGCGAGACCATGGGGGCCATAGTGCGTGACAGTCGGGCTATCCTGATAGACCTCAGACTTAGTTGCAGCCAGCTGTGTCGATGCATCACCGTTCTTCTTGGCAGTCTCGTGCCAGCTAGGAAGGAACCGGGAAGACTTGATCCGGGAGAAGTAAAGACCAATATCCAAATCATCCTGAGGGTCGGCGCAAAGAACCGTGCTGCCGACGTCGTGTTCGGCAACCGCCCATGGCGTGATGACCGTCTTCGACCAAGTGTGATCTGGATAGAGGTGGCCAACGTTGCGACCAAGGGGGTCATAGAAGCTGGTTGTTGCATTTGCCGCCACCAGGCGCTTCGGAGAGATGAAGGATGGCGAGCTGACGAAGAACGGCTGGAAGGTGCGCAGCTTCTGCCCGGACATGCTCGTCGCCGAAAGGTCCTGTACCAGCCAACTCTTTGCTGTGTCTTTGGAGTCGGCGAGGCTCACCTTCTGGATCACTTGTCCGGTGCCACCAAGGTATGTAACCGCGACTCGAATGGTGGGATTATCGGACTTCCGGAACGAGGCATCGCGAGATATCTCCACGATGCAGGCGGGTGGGATGGTCCCCGTGGTTTCGGGCTGGTGGCGTGCCTGCTGAGACTTCCATTGCACGAAGCGGTCCAAGCAAAGGAAAACCCGGCTCCCGGCATTTCCTAGGATCTGCTTGCCGATATCATGAGAGTAGTGATCAAGGGCAGAGACCACATCACCGGCTCTAGCAGCAATCTCTCCTTCCAGGCTGTCCCCAGCCGGGTCTGACCCCTTGCCGAGGACTGCCACCGCAGTTGTGTGACCAAGTGGATCAACGGAGACACGCTGAGCGTTGAGATTTGCGTCTGTGATCTCCAGAGGTTGGAGGCGGCGATAGTCGTTTCGGAACGACACGCGCTGCCCAACGGCGTCCGTGGTGCTACCAGCCAGCAAGGAGTCGGCATCCAATTCAAGGAATGTCTGGTTACCGAAAACATCAGTGAACACGGTTGGCGTGTAAAATGCTTTCCTAGCCGTCTCAAGCACGCTACTTCCTGGTGTTGCCTCGAAGCTAGCTGTGTCTGATGGCGCCCACCAGTTGCCATCTCCATCGAGGTCGATGAAACCACCCTCCGACAAGATTTCATTGTCATCGAAGAAGTTTGATACACCATTGGTCCGAAGCCCTCGTTGTACCTCCGACAAAATCGCTGGCGTGAAAGCGAGAGTGAAGGATTGCTCAAGGATTGAGTAGGGTTGGAGTTCACCGCCGGGCAGGTGGCTGGAGAGGTCTGATCTGCTGAAAAAGCTTCTCTCGCCGGACCTGAGGGCCTTCCAAGGACCAGAGCTGCCTTCCTCCTCCGGCAGGGCGCCAAAGTCAAGCTGGCGGATCTTGTCGACGTCGATCACGCCACGAAATTGGAATTTCCGGACTTCGTAATCCAAGCTCTGCCAGACCACTGGTTTGCGGAAGCAATGCGCTTCGTCGACCACGTTTGTGTACGTGATGTTGGTCAGCAACATGCTCCCTGCAAGTTGGTCCAGCTTGATGTCCTCAAACTCCCCAGCGGCGATAACCGCGTGCTTGGTAGCGCGCGGGTACACGACGTCCAGGGATGCTTCCGGATCGCCCCAGGCATTCGACCGAATCACCACCTTGTGGCTCACACGCGGATCATCGGCGTGCCGGTCGTACTGCGAGTGGGTGGTTGAGCGAGTTGAGACTCGATACACAGGGAACTTGGCGGTGGTGGAACGTGGTTGGAGCTGCACAATGTCATATGTGAACTCTTCGACTGTGTAAGGCTTGTCGGCTTTCTCGGTCCCATCGCGACCAAGGATCTCAACCCGAATCCTGTTTCCCCTAAGCGCCCGGTGGGCTTGGGCCGGGTCCTCGCCAGCCGGCTGCTGGACGGCCGAGGACACCAGGGGCGGAGACAAAAAACGACTCTGGTCCACGCTCAATCCATCCCCCACGCTGAACCATGACTTTGCGGTGCGCGTCTCTGGAGACTGGTACGTTTCCCCCTCCCCCAGCGTGGTCGTCTCCCGCACCCACTCCTCCACCATCTCAAACCCGGCGAAGTGTTTCTCCACTGGGTCGTAGTACCCATCGTGGTAGACATAGTCCGTGGTCATGGAATTTGCGGTGATGTAATCCATGGCGTGAACGCGGGATACGCAGTGCACAGGGAAGGGGAGCGTCCTGGTCCATGGCTGGCCCCGCGCCTCATCATCCAGACGATATTTGGTGGAGGGAGCGTAGTTCACCTCCCGCACTGCGCCCAGACCGTTTTCGTATTGACACAGAAGGTGTGGCTTCACGCCGCCCATGAGGTCCAGATACCGGACTTGGGTCGAGCCCGACGAGTTGGAAGTGTCAACCCAACAGAGGCACGCGGTGCCCTGACCCAGGATATCCAAGGTGAAGACGGACGAGGGCGACACAATCTTGGGCACGTCTTCTATGAAGACCGGGTTACTCCATGAGTTGCCAGCTTGGTTGTAGTAGAGGTGGGCTCCGCCAGCGGGGAGGAGATGGATAAGATCAGTGGTGCCGCTCCCGTCGACGTCGACGAGCCGTATACGCTCTATCGTAAAACTACCGCCCTCGCCGTCTTCCAGGCTTGGTGAATTACCCATCTCGACTGCGTCGCCAAAGTGCCCGTGGCCATGATTGGGCCAGTATGTGATTTTGTTAGCCGAGACCTCGACAACATCGGCAAGGCCGTCCCCTGTCATATCCGCGGCAAAGGCCTGGGCGTGGGGAGTGATTTTGGGGTTTTGTGCAAGGCGTGGAAGGCGGTTACTGTTGCAACAGCTCGAGCTGCGACTTGGGGTGCTGCGATACCCGGACATCCCCTTCTTTCCAAGGGACTGCCGCCAGATCACGTCACGGCCGTCTCCCTCTCCACACAACAGGTCAGTCGTCCCATCGCCAGTGACATCAATCTTCATGACACTCCTCTCCAAATCGGGGTCCGTGACGGATAGGTCAGTCATGTCCGAGTACTCGCTCCAAGTGTCAGATGTGTCTCGCTCGTAGAATCCCCGGGGCTGACGGTCATGCGGGTCAAGGCTGACGAGGTCAAGCCGGCCGGTCTTGTCGAGGTCTCGGAACTCTCCCAGCCCACCGCGGCCGAGTGACGGCTGTTGGTCAAGCAGTCTTGGGGCGCCGAGTTGCAACCCGCCATCTGGCGACGATCCAGCACCCCCATTGCGCTGGTACAGCATCGTTCCGTCCCGCAGACGAGTCAGCAAACCGGGGATGCCCTCTCCGTCAAGGTCAATCCATTCAGCTGATGGCGACGCGCCAGCCCTGGGCATGATATCCACCAAGTTGGCTACCTCGGCTCCGAGCGCTCCGACTTCAGAGGGGTCGGGGGTAGTGCTGTACTGGAATGACCAGGGGGGTAGAGACTCGCTCGCGTGTTCATCGTCTTCCATGCCGTGACCGGTAACAACGAGCCCGGAAAGAAAGGACCCCCGGGGAGACTGGTCGTACGTAAAGGATGTTGAGCCGACAAGGGTCTCGGGAAGCTTTTCCGAGTTTGGAAAGTGGTGAAACATGAGAACGCGATGGCATAGGCGATAGGTGCGCAGCTCGAAACCGATGTTGCCGACTGAAAATGGATCCTGCCTAACCTCCCATGGACGATACTCTGTGGTTGATGGTCCATCCGCGCCGTGCTCGCCGTAGTCAAAAACGACCTCGAACATCCAGTCAGTGGGCCAGGAAGACGAGGCTTCCCAAGTTCCGAGATCCCTGTTGGGGACTCGGTTACCGTAGCGAATGCGCTTGAGATACTTCTGCCGGCACCTGGACTCCTCCGAGCGGTTTGCCTCCCACAGGGGTGGGATCTGTCCGGGGCCGACTAGCCCCACGCCGTCCTCTTGCTTGTAGCTGTACTCCATCGCGTTTCCCCAGGGGTCGTAGGACCGGCCGAGCAACCACGAGACAATGCGCTTCCCGCCCCCAGAGCTGTCGAAAATGCGGCAAGAGTCGTCATATCCATACAGGCTCGTGACATTGTCCGCGGTGATGGTTCGCCAATGCATGTCTTCGGTGCCTCTCGCGATGCTGATCCACTTCTCGATGCGCAGGGATTGTGTCTCGATTCTATGGCGGTACCGAACGACGGTCCAGTCACTCGCCACATCGGTCCTCACATCGAGTTTCCCGTCACTCTTGACACAAGGCACGATGTCATCGTTGAGGAGGACAAGGTCGTCGTCGTCCTCGTCGTGGCTGTCGAAATACCGCGGGATACCGCGAGCGGTCTTGCGGCGGATAGAAGGAAAACCCAAGCTCCAACCGAAACCCCACGGCCCATTGCCCGAGCCGGAATCATAAGCAAGCTTCAGCTTCGGGCAAAACCCGCCTCGGGTGGGTGAGGTTGGGATGGGAATCGCAAGATAGAGGGTGCCGTTGGCCGGGTTTACGGTGAAGTTGTCACCGATGGGGCGGAAAGCACCGCCACCCTTGCCCGACGCGCCGAATGAGGTCCGAAAGCCCGGGATACCATCGCCGATTTTACGGACCCCATGTTGCCGGTGGTCATCTTGGGACGCCGGCTTGGATGTGGCCATGGACACGCCACTGGGCGACAAGCGCGACGAGGGAACCGCAGAGGCGGCGCCATGCCGCGGTGTGTGTCGGTGAGCCATTGACTGCAGCTTCTCTTTGCACGACGTAGAAGTCGGACCTCTTGTTTCGATGCTAATGCTTTGCTCTTAATTAGGTAGTCCCAAGGGTAGACGAGTAAACAATCAGAATGCCCGAAGTACCATTGTTAACCCCGAAACTCCGCGCGTAGCGGAAAGCCGCTGTCTTATTTCCATTTTCTTTTCCATGAACTCGACAGCATGTCTACCAGCTGGCGCGCAGTCCAAAGGACCAGCCAGCCCAGCGGGCGGGAGGGTGTGGGTGACGTCTCTGGTGTGCGAAAACTCCAAAAGTTTAAAAATGAGGATGCCAATCGATGGGGACTTGCCACGGGGGGGACACAGTGCGCAGAGCTTTTGCTGAGTGCTTGGGTAACCCCGCTCTGCCGCGCCGCGCACTTTCTGATCAGCACCTGAAAACGATCGATCAAACTCCCCTCCTCCTTCCAAATTCCTCTCGCGCGGTTTCTGCGGCAAGCTCGACGGGATGCCCTCTTCGCCCCTCCTTCCTCCTCTTCTCTTTGCGCTCTCAACTAATAAGAATGAGGGAGTCTCATGCAACCCCCGCGAGGAAAGCACCCTCGCATCCCAATCGGAGAAGCGGGGATCAGAATTCGGAGTGTGCTTTTTCCCTCATGCACAGCGGGACACACAACAAAACAGCTTATCCACGAATGGTCGATCAAGGTTACTCGCGACAATCGGAGGATCGGCACGACGGCACCTGAAGTCTGACGAGAAAGTCTTGGGAGCTATTACCAGGATACCGAGCATCCGAGGCATGCGCGGTCCCAACTTGTTGACGATGGCTAACTGGGACAGTCCAAACGGTGAGAGCTGTGAATGGAATCTTTCGTGGTCGGTCTGGATGAATATATACCTAGGTATGGGTGAAGAGGTACCCTCGGATGGAGGCAGGTCACGGTGAGAGTTAGGTTGCTGGGCACGATCAAGTGTCAAACGAGACAAACTACTGCATTGTATCATCGTCTATCTGGGTTCTAACAAGTGACATTGCGCACTACAATAAAACATACCCTTATTTCTCCTTCTTCACCCCCTGGATCTCCTCGGCCTGCGCAAACGTCACCCGCTGGGCAACACCGCTACCCGTGCCATCTCCGCTGCGGATCAGCTTCACGCTCGAGAACGAGTCGGCCCACTGGCTGCTGTCCAGCTCGTCCTTGAGATCCGTGGTCTCCCACAGTTCGTGCACCTGGACGACGTACGCGCCAGCCTCGGGCGCCGTGCCCTCCAGCTCCAGCGTGAATGTCGACTCGGTGTCCATGATGAACCTCGACCGCCTCCCCGACCGCAACTCGACGTTGGGCAAGATGGTGAAATCGAGACTGTCCTCTCTGGACACGGAGAGCTGGAGCGGTTGATCGATGTCCTTGGTGCTGATGGACCATGTGGGGTGGAACTCCTCGACTGGTGGCGGGTCTGTGGTTGTCTTGTCGGGGGTTGTTTTGCCTGCTTGCCCGGCGTCTGCCCCTGGAGCAGGAGTACTATCTTTGGCGTCCTCCTTCAAGTTCACAGTTAGGGTTGCTGTGTCTTCTCCTCCCCCGTTACCGCCGCTCTCTCCATGTTCTCCCCCCTTGTCACCCTCCTTGTCACCCTCCTTGTCATCCTCCTTGTCGCCCTCCTTGTCGTCCCGCTTCTTCTTCTCCTCCCACTCGCTGTCGGGCTCCTTAAACAACCGCTTGACCGATTCCTCGTGCCGAACACGGAGGATCTGGACCTTGACCATTTGGAATGCCGTCGCAACCCTGCCCGGGTTGGCCATCTCCAACTTGACTCGGAGCCGGCCCGTCCCGGGCCGGTAGCTCTGCACAACTGCTTGCCACGCAAGATGCGGGTGGGTCTCAGTGTCGACCGTGGGGTTGGGCGGGATCGTAACCGGATCGGGGACTTTGAAGAGAGGGTCCCCGTACGGGAAGTTCACCGGGCCCCGGACGTTGACCAGGCCCTCCTTTGGTCTGCATCAGGGGGGTAAGGTCAGTGTGCATGGTCGTAACCGGGGAAGGGGGACAAAACGGCGGATGGGCCAAGACTGGAACAAAGCAATGGAAATTCGTCACTTACGGTAAGAAATCGATGTTGGCGTAGACGTCACCATTGTTAGCCAGCTGTGGCGGACCAAACGACAGAGTACTCGCCCCGGGGTAAACAAAACGACCCGTTGTGTCAAACTTCCCCTTGATGCTCTCGATGAGGTGCTTCATCCTGTCCGAGAGCGCGCTCTTGATCTTGGCTTCGGCCTTCTCGAAGTTCATCTTGATGTCGTATCTCATATCGCGGGTCTCAACTTTGAAGTCCTTCGGAAGCCCCGTCGACTCATTGAGCCCAACAATTTTGGGGCACACAATACCGTTGGCGGCTTTTGGGCCATCCGTGCGCAAGTCCGCGACCGCTGGCACCGTGAGGTCAACCTCGATGCTCCACGACGCCACGGTTGTGTATCTGTAACCGGCAACCAGCCCACGTCAGCCAGGGAAGCCACGGGATACGTAATCATAGAATGCCCTAGAAAGGCTGGAGGTCACTTACACTCCCCAGTAACCTTCAGCCGGGTCCATGTTTCTCCACGGGAAGCTTTTGCGGGAAGAGTAGGCCTCCCAGTGAAAGAACATGGTGTTCCCCGCAACCCGGAACTTGTGGTCGCCTGCATTCCACGTCACCTTGACGTCTTGTTCCGAGTACGTCTTCCAGTGGCGATACAAGGGAAACCTCTTCGAGCCTTTGTAGGCGTATGTCTCGGTCTCACTGCCTGGGGCATCGAACCTCTTGCTCCATTGGTAGCACCGCTCACCCTTCGGCTCGAGGGCGTAGAAGCTGTCGTTTGCGATCGGGGGTGGTGCCACTTTGAGGGTTTTGACAACTGCAGGATCTGTCGGCGCTGCTCCCACAATGTACACAGCTTCGCAGCGGCCGGCGCCACTCGGCTGCTCCACGTAAAGGTAGGGACGGAGGGGCAAAATCATGGAGCCCATGCAGAGTTCCTGCAGACGGGGGTAGCAGATGCCTCTGGAGAATAATGCGGTGATCAAGCACAAAGGTACCGGCCAGGTGGCGGCCGCCCGGGGAGTCCGCTGGCGCGCCGAGGTTCCCAGTGAAGGACAACAGTTGGGTCTTGGGGAGCGTCCTCTTGCCGACGGTCTCGCAGATGACGAGGCAGTTATGGGGGTCATCTACCTCCCCTGTTGGCTGCTCGCCTTTCTGCTCGTATCTATCGAAGGCCTTCTGACTGATGTATGGATAGCCCTGTAGTCGGGCGGCAAAAGGAACTTCCGCGCACATCGTTTTGGTTAGTCCATCGGCCTTGGGGAGCACTGTGGGGAGGGCACAATACCAAAGGTCGGTGTCGGGTCATTGCCTAATACTCATCATGGATTCCGTTAGCATGCCGGGACATGAACCCCCGCTCGCGATGCCGTAGACTGACCTTCTGCTTCATGCACGCGCAGTTGGAGGCCCAACGTAAAGAAAGGGGAATGCTGATGCTCGAGAGCCCAGTACTTCAGTGTCTCTTTGACTCTAATGTATTTACTGAGCGTATCTGGAGACTCTGCCCACTTCGACAGAAGCATGGGCTTCCCATCCGGGCCCGGGAGCGTAGAGAATCGTTCGATCGGGTCGTTCCACGAGTTTTCTACAGAAAGAAGGGAGTGGACCATTAGCACTACCGGACAGACCCTCGTGACCTTTGACTTCGTACCGGTGAGAGCCGCGAAGAGGCGATGGATAGAGTACTTTCCAGCCTCCACCTTTGTCGGGTCGTCCAAGACGAAGTGTTCCTCGCTCAACGCAAACGTCTTCTTCAGCTCGCCAAGCGCCCGTTTCTTCTTGAACTGTGTGTTGTCATCGTCGCCGTGGGCGGCGGATGCGACCATGTGGCCGAGGTTGGCCGAAACTGTAATGACCCAACCGCTAACGCTGACTTCAGACTTGGAGCTGTACCAAATTGACCCTTCCTCGAAGCTGTACCGGAACGCGGCGATATGGGCATGGTGTCAGAACATTAACCTCCACCTTCATATTTTGGGAGCGGGGGGGACTGACGCAACTTGCAAGTATATCTCGGGGTCCTTGGCCTTCTCCTGGTTAGGGTCAATCATGACCTTGGGGGCGAGAAGTGTAGCTTTCAAGACGCCATGAACGCCATCGTTGAAGACCAACTTCTTGACATCAGGGCGTTGCTTGAAGAGCACCTCAAAGTTGTCATTTATGGTCTGCGCGGACAGAGCACAGACTTCATCGTAATACTGATCCTGACCGTCACCTGTGTTGAGCGAGATGTTGACACGCGACACAGACCCAGGCATGGTGGGCAGTTCAGGGGCAGCAAGTGACGAAAACGCGGATACTAGTGCGGGCGAGATGGGGCAAACTCGGCTGGCCTCCAGAGCACAACAGAAAGACAGTGTTCAAGCTTCAAGAGGAAGACGTGAGAAACCTTTAGTGTGGAAACAATCCACCATGTCTCGAATCTTCGATTTGGAGACACAACTCGATTAGCCTCGATGTCTGCCTTTCCTCATGAGACCCGCCTCCTCCGAGAATACTGATATCAAATCCCTATGGAAGCCACCCACCACCATGCCCAGGTAGCCGGTGCGGGGCCAACCCTCCACACGCATGGGATGCAGTGTGCTCAGGCTTTTGCACAGGCATCAGCCCAATTAGCACTCACAAAGCGCGCGGGATATGTGTGGGAGGCCGGTTTTTAGCAGCAGCATCTCCTCACGATGTTCCATGCAAGCCGGCCCAACCGCGTATCGCTCCCCTTTTTTCATCAACGGTTCCCCTTTGAGACGCGTGTGGCTGGAGGAGATGACACAGGCGCGATCGCCGATATACGGCTGCGGTGCACCCCTCCGGAAAGGTAGACAGGTCTTGCGTCCCGCGTTATTTCATTGGGCATGGACTCGCCGATGTACTGTTACAAACTCGGCAAGGGGAGCTACATGCTGCAGGCTGAGGGCGCCCCAGCTCAGAATGGTACGCCCCCCACATAGGAGGATCATATCGAGCGCATACGGCTTCCTGCTTGCGTGGGAAGGTTGGGTATCAAGGCTTTCATCACATCTCCGCACGCAATCCCGTGGAGAAACTCCAAACTGAAGATCATGGTAAGTTGAAGGAGAGCTTCGCAGCCAATAACTAGCCGCCATGACGACTACCGTGTCTCATGCCGAGCAATACGGGGAGTTGTCCCGCTGTTCAGCCCCCCAGAGGTCAAAAGAGTCAACGTTGATAGGCCGAGGGCCCCAGTTACGCCTGTGCAAAAATGCCACCTCATCTTTCTGCAGCCCAGCCAGGACAGTGCGCGCTTCTACTGTCACAGTAAGTACGGTAGGTTGGAAGGCTAGAGTTGCAAATGGGTTTGTGGGTTGTTCACATCTGAGGTGACGGCATGTAAAGACAACGTCAGTTGTCTAGGTAGGGGGTTACCCGCCTATCTTCAGCACAGCCGACTGTTGGTACCTATCTAAATGCTGTCTGTAACAGGCAGCTAACTGGCAGCTACCAGACATTGGCCACTTAACCCGGCATCGTGGGAAGCAGTCAGAAAAGCAGAACACAAAGAGAAGAACCAAGCAACAAAAAAGAGAAAGAAAAGAAAGGCGAAAAGATGATGACCCTGAAAGATTTCATGGCCAAGTCCCTCGCGGGCCATGTCAGCGAGGGGTTGATCAAGAAGTTAGAGGCCGAGGCTGGCTCGCAGAAGGACGCCGGAGGGGAGCGCGCAATAGAGGTCATCGATACCATTCTGGTCAGCGCAGAGCTCACACTGCCCGACATCTCAGCACTTCGGCTTGTCAAGTCGCTCCTGGAGGCTAGCGGCAATGGTCTCGACTTGTGCAATTGGCTGTTGACTGAAACAGAAAAACCAGCTTCAGCAGAGAACTTCTTTCGACATCTCATTCCACGCGCAAACATCGACAAAAGGTTCGATGCTCAGGGCAGGGTGGCGGCCTATCGTCTACGGTCTCGCTTCTTCCGCGCTGAGCCACTCGCTGCCATGAGCGTCCTGATCGGCGAATTTAGTCTCAGCGAGCCAGCTCGAACCGTCGCGGTGCGCATGCTGAGGGTCATGGGCCAAGAGGGGCTTGGTGCCGGGGAGAGCGAGCTTGTTTCCCGGGTAAGGGAGGCGTCTTTCCGCGAGACTACGACAACACCATTGCCTAGCGACGAGGAACTCGAGGCTGCTGCCGACTTCATCAGATCGTTGGCGTCCCTCTGCCGCGTCGCCGAGGAACCCGAAGATGTGCCTCAGCTCTACAACAAAAAGTACCGGACGGTGCAGAGTATCACACGGGAAGGGGTCGATGACTTTACCGACGTGATCACCGAAACCGGCATGACCAAGGACCGCGCCTCTAGTGTACATGACAAAGCCGAGCGGATCGACTGCTGGAATGACCACCTTTGGCTTGCCCTGATGGAAGCCCGGCAGCGCGGCGGCATCCCCATCACACCACCAGAAAAAGTGCCGGATAAGACCCCCAAGAGGAACGTCGGCAGAGAACACAACAATCTTACCGACATCTTCCTGCTCCAGGACGAGACCTGCGAGACATGTTGTTCTGTTACCGGCTTATCGGCATACTTTGCCGATCTCATGAATCTTTTGAGTGCCACGAGATGCAAGCCGGATGAAAAGCAGACGCTCCTGGACGTCCTTGGAAAGCGCCGGCCCGACCTAAAGTACCTCGAGTTGACCTGCGCCAACTCGCAGACCCTGATTCCCTACATCAGTCTGGTGAACGAAACACTCGAGTCATTCATCCGGCACAAGCACAAAGGTCTCGCCGTCTTTAACACGCCAGCCGACACCGACATGCAGGACTACAGCTGTGGCAACGATGATGACGGCGATGACAAACCCATTTACCTACCCGGAAACACCGATACCGAGATCTACTCCGCAGTCATCTCGCAACAGATGTTCCCCTTCCCATGTTTCCCCTACAACCAGGCGCGCGACGCTTCAGCGCAGATCCTCGGTAGTTTCAAGGTCGGCATGGCAGAGCTCGTGGAAGTATTCCGCGCTCCGGAGAAGATTCTTCAGCGAGTTCCCTCAGCGCAGCGGAGCGGCGAGACAGAGGCGAGACTGACGCAAGGGATCACCGAGGTGCTCGCTCGACAGCAGGCCGCTGAAAAGCTTGGGATGCAACAAGCTGAGTTCGTAGCCATCACAGGCGAGACTTTCTTCCCACCTTGGGTAGCCGACCTCATCCGCGGCCTGGCCAGCGATCTACGCATCGACACGGCGTGTCCGTGGACAACAGCAAAGTTGTGGGGATACGACAACACAACAGACATGAGAGACAGGGAAAGCGGTCAGGGTCTGTCGTTCATCAAGCGGCAACTCATGCGGCGGGCGGATTTAGAGTTCCAGGACGTCGTCGATCTCGTCAACACACGGTCCTTCAACCAGGATTTGGTCATCACCAACAGGACCGGGTCCGAAGTGTTTGACAGCGCCATCGAGAACCTGCGCTTGCTGTGCGGCTCCTCAACGCCCTCTTTTACCGCCCTCACCGACGAGGTGTGCTTTCGCCTTCAATCTTTCTTACGTCTGCGCGCCAGGCTAGGGTGGTCGACTCGCAACCTCGACGCAGCTATCCACTGCCTGCGGACCCGCGAGATGGAATCTGCCGCGTCAGGATCAGGGTCCGCCTTAACGACGACGACAACCGGCTTGACAATAACACCAGCAGTCGTCAAAGGACTCGCGGCTATCGTACGCCTGAGCTCCATATCAGGCTTTGACGCCATGTCACTGCTGCCGCTATGGGGAACCATGGACGCATACGACACCTCGTCGTTGCTGTACCGGACCTTTCTCACACCCGCACTGGGGCAGATCTCTCGAGCCTCCCAACGCCCCGCAGACGGACGTGTCTTTCTCACCAACAAGTCCAAGACACTCCTAGTCTCAGAGAAGATGGCCTTGTGTACCGCACTGCGGTGGCCCACCGAGAGGTTCAATGACCTCTTGAAGATAACCGGACTAGATAAACCCGCCGTCGGCAAGGTGGTCAACTTGGATGTAGATGCCGTGTCTCAGCTCTACCGGCACGTTCTACTCTCTCGCATCTTCTCCGTCACGCCCGATGATGCCCCGCGGTTTTTCAGGCTGTTCTTCGACAAGGGCGTCGAGACTGGATGGGCAAACCCGCTGGAGAATCCCGTGGCCACACTAGTCGCCGTCGAGAAGTGGAAGAAGCTATTGGAGTCCCAGTGGACGGTGAAGTCCCTCTCGAGTGTTGTCGAATACGCATCTGGCGGCAGTGAAAAGGGGATTGGCAATGAGGATGCCAGCGCGATGGCCTCGGGTCTCAAGCTGTTGTCAGTCATTTCGCAAGGGGTCAGGGATATAGAGAAGTCGCTCCCGTTTCTCTCCCCCGACGGCCATGGGATACCCAGCCCCGAAAACGCGAGCGATTGTGCTGCGCGGACCTTCGATTCGGAGACGGCGACCATCATTCTCGGTTTCGTTGAGGGTGCGTAGTCCAGCAGCAACACATTCTTTTGCCGACCTGAAATAACTAACAACCAACAGGAACCCAAATACAATCGACAACCGTTCCCCTCAAGGACAAGGATGAGCTACAAGCGCTCGTGGCAGCGTCTCACTCATGGACGAAAAAGATCGTTGTTTCCCCTTCGCATGGCAAAGACGGAACCTCCGGGGCCGACATTGAGCTCAGCGGTTTGCTCAGCAGCGCCGAGCACAGTTGGCTAGATAAACTCGTTACCAAGCCGGAAAATGTCAAGGATCGACTGCAAGAATTGGTGAAGAGGTCGGTGAGACCAAGACAACTACTAGCATCCCGCTTCGACTGCACCGACGCCGAAAAGCAACGGGCCCCTGAGGTCAAGGCCTTGTTTGAGGACGCACAAGAAGACGGAAGCGATATCCAGGCCCAGTTGCTTCTCCGAGAGCGCAGGCGTGCTTTCATTAACGTTGCGGGCCCAACTATAATCCGGGACGACCTCAACTCCCATATTGTCGGGGCGGTCAGGGAGCTGGTACCCGATGTTGACGAGGCCTCTATTCCTGTTCTCCTATCTAACGAGGTGCGAAACGGGTCAAGCGAGCCCATGTCGGCCATGGCGGTTCTTGAACGTTTGGCCAACGGGTTCAGCAACAGCAAAGTTCCCGCAACCAGTACCCCTGAAAAGGAGGAGAACCTCGATGTGTACATGCAGTTCATGGCCGGCGCGTCAGCTGACACCTTCACCTTCTCGTATGACAACGGCAACAAAGGAGCACCATCCCCGCTTCCAGAGCTGTCCCTGGATGGAGTGGTCTGTGAATCTGGTGAGGTGACCGGCAGCTGGAAACCTCTGAAGCTCGCTCCTGGTCGGGCGCACCGCCTGCAGGCCAACTTCCCCTCCTCTCAACTTCGGTGGTCGACTCCCAAGTCCCTCGCATTGACCCCCCTCCCTCTTTCGGATGGCGGCGACACGATACAGTTCCTTCCAGCAACAAAGGTGTCACTGGCGTCTCGGGTTGCTGCGGCAATGAAGCGTATGGGGGGCATCTGCAAAACCCTAGGCCTCACGCCCAGTGATGTCGAGTATGTCGGATCTAAGCCCACGGCCACAAGTAGGTCGACGACGCCAGGGTTTCCACCCATTCTGTCGGTGGACTTCAATGCTCTCGCGCCCAACGACTTGATCCGGCTGAAGCAGTACTGCGAGCTCCGAGACGCGCTAAAATCCAGAAGACAACCGTCCTCATCCACATCCAACGTTCCAGACGGATTCCACGAACTTCTCGAGTGGCTGTCCAAGAACCCACCCAGCAATGCCAGCAGTCCGGAAGCGGTCGCTGCCAAGATCGCCGACTGCACCGGGTGGGACTTTGCTCGAGTAGAGGCGTTGATCGAGCAGAAATACCTGCGGCACAGCGGTGTCGAGGTGGTTCAGGAACTGCGCAGCCTAGATGCCCTGCTTGCCATGCGAGCCATCATAGCCCTCGACAAGAGGCTCGAAGCCGCCGCCGGCCCCAGATCCAGGCCGTCCATGGCGGTTCTCTTTGGCCTCGCGCAGCCGAGCCTAGTACTGGCCAACACGGGCCTCGCCGACGCACAGCTCGCCCGGGATCTGCAGGCGAGACTGACTCCGTCGCAGCGGGCGACGGCGGACGAGGGCCTGATGGAAAACCAACGTCGAGCGCTGGTGCAGTACCTACTGCAGGACAAGTATGTCTCCGGGGAGCTGGGCATCTGGGACGCCGACGGCCTGTTTGTGCACTTCCTCATCGACGTCCAGATGGGCCCGCAGCTGCGTACCTCCCGCATCAAACTCGCCATCTCCGTGGTCCAGTTGTTTGTACAACGGTGCCTCCTCGGGCTGGAGAAAGGGGTTGGCAAGGGGAGCCTGGTCCGCGCGGACTGGGAGTGGCGCCAGCAGCACAGCCTCTGGGAGGTTCACCGGAAGCTCTTCTTGTACCCGGAGAACTGGGTCGAACCGACGCTTCGAGACACCAAGAGCGAGTTGTTTGAGCAGTTCGAGGCCAGCCTGATGCAGAAGAACCTGAGCGTCGAGACCTTCACCCGTGCCATCAAGACGTACGTTTACGGGCTTAACGACATTGCTCGCCTCGAAGTGGTGGCCTACCTGCGGGACGGCGCCGGGTCTGACGATACGTACCACATCTTTGCCCGCACCCGTGCCGCTCCTTACAGCTTCTACCACCGCAGCCTCCTGGTGGCTCAACCGACCCAGAATGGCGGAGCCGTCTTCTGGCGGCCCTGGACGAAGATCGACATGGATATCCCCTCCCCCGAGACCGACCTAGGTGGGACACGGCTGGACCAGACAGGCGCCCACATGATTCCTATTGTCGCAGGCAGCCGGCTGTATCTCTTCCTTCCACACATGGCACCCAAGACGCTCCCAGATACAGACGGTGTAATTGCACTCTCAGGCGGGACTTTCCACGACATTGCCGGTAAACACGTGAAAGACTCAAAGCCCAAACACATATGGGAGGTTTCGATGGCATGGACGGAGCTGACGGACGACGGGAAATGGACGCCCAAACGGGTCTCGCCGGGTTGCCTCAGCCTCAACGTCACTGCTACGCCGAGCCAGTTCCAGTTCGATCCTTTCCAGGAAGGCAAAGGGGGAGACACCCGTGTGAACCTCCTGGTCAGCTACTCCAACAAGCCTCTGGGTGCTTTCGTTTTCCGCGAAGATCAGATCAGCGTCCTGGACGCGGGTGCCGTGGAAAAGAAGAAATGGAAGCCTTTGGGCAGGCCTTTCACCCCTTCGTTCCAAACAGTCGTCAGTAAGGGCACGGTAAGCGAAGAGGGCGTAAACGGGGCAGTTTCAGATGTTTCTGGTCAAAAGTCACTCGTTTGGCTTCCCAAGGGCTTGAAGGACGCCGCATCGGCAGCCCAGTCCATTAGGTGGACCCTTTCTCACAGCGGTGAAAGCGCGGACGCTCTGAGACTGCTCGGGTTGGCTGTCAGCTCGGAGCAGAGCGATGGTACTCAAGCTAGCTACTTCAACGTGCCCAGGTCTAGGCTTGTGCCCACCGCTGACTGGTCGAAGGAGAAGCTCGGCAAAAGTATGGACTTGGCTAGGCTGGATAATGCGCTTTCGAGCAGTCTCGTGCAGGCCGCCGCGGATCGGCTCGACCCCCTGAAGTCCTTGTACAGCTATCTGGGCGGACCACTACCGGCGGCGCTTCCCGGTATCTTTGGGAAGCTAAGCGATGACCCGCCCAAGTACCACGAGCTGGCCCAACCGACGGCGCTCTACGACTGGGAGCTGGGCTTGCACGCCGTCCTCCTTGCCGTCGACCGCTTCATAGCAACGCAGCAATTTGACGAGGCTCTCCTGGCGGCACGTCTGGTGTTCGACCCGGCCATCGACATGGTGCCCGGCCAGTCTTGCTGGCGCTTCCCCCCTTTCCGGCAGTACGCCGAAAAGATTGCCAAGGATGGAAAGGAGGGCGATGTCGACCTCCAGGATCTCAGCAAGGAGATCCATAGAGCCATCTTGGAGCGGCGGTCTGCCGGAGCACTCGTCCACACGACCGCCCGCGGCCGTCCCCAGGCCTACATGAAGTGGGTTGTCATGAGGTACGCCGAGGCCCTCATCGCCAGCGGCGATGTTCACTTCCGCCGCGGCACCATGGAGAGCCTGCCGCTAGCGACGCAACGCTACGTCGAGGCGTCCCACGTGCTGGGGCCAGAACCTCCGAGGGTGCCGTCCCGCCTCGCGAAGAAAAAGACCAAAGTCCTCTGCTTTGACACCCTGAAGAAGGAAGCGATCAAGAATGAGCTCGGTCTGCCTTTTTCGGCCGAGTTGGTGACAGGAAGTGGTGGCGGTGGCGGTCATCGTGCGAAGGGGAGCTACATCATGTCTCCCTATTTCTGTGTGCCTCTTAACCCCAAGTTCAAGGAGCTGCGTCGTCTCGTCAACCGACGGCTCCACGACCTCCGCAACTCGCTAAGTATCGATGGGAAGCCGGTCCAGTATGCACTCGTCGACCCGCCCATCGACCCGGCCGCTCTTATCGCACTCGGCGCTCAGGGCGGGTCGGTGGCCGGGGCCATGTCCTTGGCCGCCGGTGGCCAGCATGGTCCGCTTCCCCGTCAACGGTTTGATCTCCTACTTCGGCGTGCGCTCGAGTTGTGTTCTGAGCTGCGAGCTCTCGGAGAGCGGCTGGTGTTGGCCATCGAGCGCAAGGAGAGTGAGGCCTTTGCGGCACTACAGGCGCGACACACCACGGCCATCAGTACCATGACGCTGGCCATGCGCAGGATACAACTCGACGAGGCCCGGCTCGCCATTGACTCGCTGACCTTGCGGCGTGAATCACACAAATCCCAGTTGGCCTTTTACCTTGCCCTCATAGGAGAACCGGCCACGTTGATACCCTCCCCGACGACCCCCTGGACCGACATCCGACAGGACATTGCAGAACCCACAAAAGATGACCTGCGCCTATCGCCGTACGAAAGCTTGGAGATGAGGCGGGCCGACGCAGCATCGGTGCTGAACATGGTCGCCGCAGGCATGGACCAGCTCGTGGTTCCACTGTGCCTCATCCCCAATTTCGACACCAAGATCCAGCCCATGGGTGTCGGCATGAGCATGGCCCTCGGCGGGTCCAACTTCTCATCGTCCCTCCAAGCAAGCTCGGCCGTGGTGCGGAACACGGCCACGGGCCTCCTGGAAGAGGGCAGCCGGGCATCCCGCAAGTCCTCGCTCACCTCGCAGCTGCAGGAGCGGCGGCGACAAGCGAACTCGCTCGGACGCGAGATCAAGATGACGGACAAAGAGATCGAAATCCAAAAGACGCGCATCCGCGCCGCCCAACAGGACATGGACATGCAACAGACCATGCTAGACCACGCCACGCAGACCGAGGCCTGGCTCCGCACCAAGTACACCAACGAGCAGCTCTACGGCTGGATGGAAAAGTCCCTCCGCGCTTTGCACGCGAGCGCATACGAAGTCGCCGCCGCCGCCGCCCAGCGCGCCGAAGCAGCCCTCGCCTTCGAGCAAGGCCGCGACCTCAACCTCCTCCACCGCGGCGGCGGCGGACAGGGCTCCTGGCAAGGAACAGGCCTCCTCGCAGCGGACCACCTCTACCAAGACCTCAAGCGCCTCGAAACAACCAGCCTCGAGACCCCCCCGCACGACTTCGAAATCACCAAGGCCGTCTCCCTCCGCCAAGTCAACCCCAAAGCCCTGCTCCGCCTACGCCTAACCGGCACCACCACCTTCTCCCTCCCCGAGCTCCTCTACGACACCGACTTCCCCGGCCACTACATGCGGCGGATCCGCAGCGTCGCCGTCTCCATCCCCGCCATTTTGGGCCCGCACACGGGCGTCAACGCGACCCTCACTCTCCTCAGCCACAAATACCGCACGTCGGCCAGCGCCGCCACGGGCGCCGAGTACAGCGGCGCCGACCGCAGCGCGTTCCGCACCGATAACGTCCCCGTCGCCGCGGTCGCCGTCAGCAGCGGGTCGCACGACGCGGGCGTGTTTGAGCTGGGGTTTGGGACCGGGGCCCGGTATGCGCCGTTCGAGGGCGCGGGCGCGGTGTCGACGTGGCGGTTGGAATTGCCGCCGCTGGGGATGGCGCGGTTTGACTACGAGACGATTAGTGATGTGGTGCTGCATGTGCAGTACACGGCGTCGGATGGTGGGGCGTGTCTGCGCGCGGCGGCTGCCGAGGCGGTGCATGCGGCCGCGTGTGCGGTGCAGGCGGAGGGCCGCGCGGATGGGTTCTGGGCGCTGTGGGATCTGCGGAATGACTTTCCGGGGCCGTGGCATGCGTTTGCCTCGCGGTTGCGACCGTTGAAGGGTGTGGGTCTGGGTGTAGGTGTGGGGGAGGGCGGTGATGAGGTTGCTGTGGCCGGTCTGCGGCTTGGGAATCTCAAGGACCGGTTGCCGTTCTGGTCGCGCCGTCAGAAGGCGCTGCAGGTGTGCACCGTCTCGCTGTTGTCGAGGAGCGCCATGCTTGTGCAGGGGGTGGAGGTGTTTGGCGCAGATGGCATCGCGTTGTCGTCGGAAGTCGGGCAGGACGAGGAGCTGGGAGACTGCACGCTGAGGACGTGGGCAGGGCTGGATGTCCAGAACTTGGATGGCTGGGAGGTGCGGCCAAAGCAGGGGCAGCAGCTGCTAGGCGAGAAGGAGACGGTGGTGGAGAATGTCTACATGATGATCCGCTATGTGTTTAAAGGGGAGTGATCCTAACGGATGAGGGAGGTTATTACAGGGGACGATTCGCAGTAATCATGGTTGCCATTCTTTCTATCATTCATCGGGCTTTCCTTCCTTGGCCGCATCTTCTCCTCCGTTCCAGTACCCGGTCATACCTTGCCGCCAGAGCTTCGAGCGTTCCTCGAATGACTTCAACATCATGTCATATTCCTCCCCATCCCAGCTGCTGCTTGGGTCCTTTGACGGGCCAGCTTTAATTACAGCCAGCAAGTCAATCCTTTGCATCCGGCCCCAATCCCATAACACGTAGGCGCGCTCCCGAAGCCAGGCATTATTGTCGAGCATGACGGACACCACCGGGGGCATACCAAGATGGGCGGCGCGCCAAGCTTCATAGGGTCCCCTATCTAAATTAGAACCGACCCAGGCCGACGCCGCCGGCAGTAACTCCTCCTGGTCATAGTCCCCCACTGACTCGTCCCAGTCACCGTCGGTCTCAGTCAACCAGTCCGCCGCCAGGGGAAAAGACGCCGAGGCTTTGGCGAAGGTGGACGACAACAAGCTCCGTTTGGCTTCGTACGAATCCGCATTCATGAGTTTGTCAATGAATTCCAAGCCTTGAGACAGCTGGGGTTTGGTGCCAGCGAGACATCGATCAGCATCTGGCAGGACGATGGCAGTATTGTAAGGAATATGAACAAGGGCGCTCACCCAAAGTTGATTCCAGTTATTATCTCGCCCAGTGCTCACATAATCGATATCGATTTCCCCGAAGAAAATGTCGTGGGCAACGACATCCCGCGAGGCTACAGAGCACGCAGCCTGGCATCAGCTTGGGTGACCATGTGTTGTTGGTGGGGACATCCTCCTACCTTGACGTAATTTTGCCTCGAGGAACTCGTGGGCGCAACCGATCTGCTCATTCTCCCACGGCGGGTGTCTTGAGAAGAACCAGGACTTTGTTCTCTCCTCAAAATCAGGATCGAGAACCCCTGATTCGGTGCGAAAGAGCCGGTAGAACAGCTCGAGTCGATAGAAAGTGCGGCAGAAGCGAGAATCCTCAGTGGGCGAGAGGGAGATGCTGTCGTCGTCGCGGTTCCCCGGCGAGAGATGGCCCCATGCCTCCGTGGCAAAGAGGGTGGACAGTTTACGAATCAACTCGTGCGAGCGAGCCATCTGCTGCAGGGTGCTCACCGGCATGGATGACACCCGAGCGGAGAGCTGGGCCGGCTCGTTATAGAGCGTGTCCAGCAAGCCGCCGGCGAGCGAACGTGGCCAATTTGAAGCATCCAGTAGTGCAACCGAGTACGGGAGTAGGGCGGGGGTGACCTGGTTGCGTACAATCGCCGGTTCGATTCCATGATACTGTTTGAACGAGGTGTAGAAATGCCGGCAGGTCAGCAGAGCCGGGGTCAAGGACCGCAGGTTGTCGAGGTTGCGCAGGATCGCGGCCATTACCTCGCAAGGTAGTTCCGTAATCGTAAGTGTAGGCATAGTGGCAAACTCAGAGCTGGACCGATGGCAGTGTGTGCCCTGGGTGCCCTGTGTGCCTTGTCACCCCTCGTCAGCTTGTGTGATGCGGTAATGGTGGAGCAGCTCGGAGGGGGGTTCCAATGTCGACCTTGGGAGGCGTCGGAGGCATTCACTGGCATTCCATAGGGCGAGCGGGCGGGCAGAAAATACCCAATAGCGTGTATGTACATACCGACACACCCGTACCACGCCCCATATTTATGTGGTGGCCCCCCACGACTTGCTCTCGCAGTTGTACTCTCTCCTTATTATGGGGCGGTATCAGTTCTCCGCCCGAGAAAGGGTTAGAACAAGCTCACTTCCACAGCTGAAAAGGCATGCAATGGTAGATCTTTGCCTGATTCACTGGGGATGTCTATCCGATCGTCGACTCGCATGCATCCGTCGATAGGATCAGGAATCCGAACGTCTCTTCGGAATTCGGGTTGGTTGGGTTTCCTTTCTTCGGATGACTGGCCAGGGGAGGTCCTCGGGTATGCTGCCGCATGCACGCGAGTTACGCTACTACATACCACACTTTGTAGATGGACATGTACATGTACCTACCTGATGTACAACCCCTCCTCCATCCTACTTGCAGCACATGCTGCCACGGAATACCCGCCCCAACCGCCGCAATGTTTGTGCCGGCAAAACGCCCGCTAAACGCGAGTCCCAGACTGGACGCCCACCCACGCGTCATTCTCCCCTCACTTGGGCACTGTCCTCATGGATGGCATCGGCTAAAAGAAGCAATGAACGAGGCTCAGGATAGGTATGGTAAAGGGAGGGGTCATCTGCAAAGAAACCCGCACATCAGGTAGGCATCCAGTCTGCACCAAGTCAAACGAGTATCTCTCAGCTTGAGGGCAATCAAGAAAGCCCGGGCCCATGGCTGTGCTCCGACGAGTCTATGGCTAAAGTTTAACTAGGTAGGTACACAACAGCCCCGTTGCGGTCCCATCCATGGCTTTGGTCTAGCTGACCACCGAGAAGCTCTCATCGGACCGACCTGCCAAACGGCCGAAACCCACCATGGACCCCGAGCCGCTCGACATCCCGGGCCTCCAAAAGAGATTCCATGGTCTCAACGCCGACCTGACCTATGATAAAACAGCAACACCCTATGATGAAACAGAAACAGCAACACACCCGCACTCGATCTACCACAAGTATCGCGCGTACAAGGACCCCCACGACGCAGCAACCCACTTCGCCGGTGAATACAAGAAAGGCGCTGTGAAAGGCTCCCTGCACGAGACGGACCGTGACGGCCTCGTGGGTATGGTCGGACAGAAATGGTATACCCACCAAGAGCATATAGCAATGAGAGAGCTAGCCGCCAGCGCGGCCACGAACTTCCAAACGTAAGCGCCCATCCGCCATTTTCCTGTCCCCTTTCCGGTGTGTGAACAATGTGAGCCTGGCTAAGTAAACGCCATCGGCGCGTCTGACAGCACCGCCGAACGTCGTCGTTCATTCAACGAAACGTACGAGGAAGTTTTGAAAGCCGCCGGTAGGCTGAGGACTCCGCATAATCCTAACGAAACCTATGATGGCCATGTGACGCAGCAAAGGCAGACAGCATCCTCCGCAAAGAAATATGCCAGGTTCCGCAAGGGTCACGAAAAGTTTGTCTAGGCTACCCTGGCGGCTCTCGCAGTATTGTCTTCGTAACAGCTGGTAGGAATGATGAATTGGATTCACGCCTGGCTTCTACCACGTATTATGTGGTAGGAGAAGAAAGTAGTGCCTTGTAGATAAAGCAACAGCGCTATGTTTTACCCTATAGGTGCCCTCAGCAATTTCCATGTTCGTGCGTGAGCCTCGCTCCTGAGCTAGGGTGAGATGGACTATAGCACACGTTCAACCCGCAAACAGGATAGGGGTACAGCTCTAGGGACAGGATCCAGCATTCTCAAGGCTGGAGACGCGGTCGGTCGAAGCCAATGAGCGTGCCGACACTTCGTCCAGGTACCCAAAGGCAGCAAGACACAGTATTCTTTGGTAGTCATCCATATAGGTAGTTGAGGGAAAATGGGATGCGCTCCAAGCATTTATGTGAGCTTTATCTGATAGGAGCGACAGCGACGATGCTCGGCGCACATTCCTTCGTTGCTATAAGTTACATGTGCCGCCTCGACTGACCACTTCATTCACCACCTCAGCTAACCCGCCCGATTCACAATGGGGCTCGTCCTCCCTTGTCCTGTGCTGCCCCCGACAATACGCTATATCGTGCCCGGCCCGACATGACCGCCCGACCCTTCATATTCCTTCGAAGCAGGAGCGTGAGAATTGGTCGAAAAAGGGTGACCACGGCGAACCAAAGTCTCTCTGGCAACGAAAAGGAACGGTATGGTGCAAAACACCATCAAAAAAGGGTTGGGTCTCAAGCTGAACTACACGACCGCCACCACATCCACATCAGTTGTCACATCCGTTGTAACATCCGTTGTAACGTCGGTTGTCACATCGGTTGTCACATCAGTTGTCACGTCGGTGGTAGTGTCGGTCGTTGTGATAGCTAGGTAATTATCGCTCCGAGTCAGCATCTTGGTATTTACGAATCAACACGGGGGAGCAAACACTTACTGTCGGTGGTCGTATCCGTAGTTGTGACCGGTGGGTCAGGAACAGGAAGGTCATTCGGCGGCACGTCCGGCGACCCGCTCTCGGTCGACTCAACAGCCTCCTGCTGCACCGCCTCCTGCTGCTCGGTACTCTCAGACACCTTCTCAGTCGCATCCTCGACCCCCTTCTGGTTCTCCGGACTGGGGTTTGCCATCTGCTTCCGGATCCACTTGAAAAGCTCGATGATGGCATGGCTGATGACCATAGTGGCGACGCCTACACCGATGTTGATGCCCACAGACTTCCACTCGGATGCGGTCTGTGACGGCACCGACTGCGTGCTGGGGTTCGCGCTCTGGCCCAGGCTCATGAAGAAGTTGACCTTGGCCGGCATGCTTTCCGTCGGCCCCCAGACGCGGCCCGTGGCCTGCGCGCCCAGTGTCGGGTTCGTGCTCGTGGACGTCTTGTTGATGAAGAAGCTGATGGCCCCGTTGGTGTCGTTGCCGTCGGTCGTCGACCAGCTGAGCGTCTCGTTGCCCGAGTACTTGTAGTTTTTCAGCATCTTGTCTTTATACACCGGTATCGGGTTCGCGCCTGCCGAGGGATCGCTGATGACGAAGGGCCCGTCCTCGGACCACTTGCCGGTGTTCGCGTCAGCTTTGTACGAGACAAAGTTTCCGGCAAACGTGTCCAGCGGGGTCGGCGTGACGGGCTGGACGGGATCCACGGGCTTGGGCGGCGCCGTGCCCGTCTTTCCCTGGATGTTGGGCGTCGACGGCTCCTCGGACTTCCAGTAGGTTCCGTAGAACTGCGGGCCGATGTACGCGTCGGCCGCAAGCGGCTTGCCGTCGTTGTCGGTCAAGATGCGGAACGTGAGCTTGGCGTTGAAGGCGTTCCCGTCCTTGGTGCTCCACTGCAGGAGGCTTTGAGCATAAACGGGGTTCTTGATCACTGTGCCGCCGACAGTGACCGCCCCGTTCTGGATCAGGATGCTCGGCCCGGCGCCTCCGTTGGCGAAAGTGGAGGCGTAGTACCCCGCGTACGTGTTCAAGTCCACCGAGATGGCGTTTAGGTATGCGGTGTTCACATCTTCGGGGGTGGTATCGTAGCCCTCGCCCTTCAGGAATGCGATAATGTTGGTCTCGCCATCCGGGTCGCCGCTGTTGCTTTTCAGCACGGCCGCGTACTTTGACGCCAACGTCGAGTCGCGGAGCTCGGCCTGGACGAACTGGTCGCCACATCAGCCGACGAGTTCAGAGAGAGAAGGCGGAGAAGCCCAGGGGAGCCCGTCTTGAGCACTTTCTTGACGTGCGGGGCCACGTCCGGATATGCGTCCAAGAACTGCGTCGGGTTCCGCCTGAAATGAGCGACCGCCTTGGGGCTTGTCGCCAGCGCCGTGAGCGGCGGGAGCGTAGACGTTGGCAGCCTGTTCTTCTTGTAGCTCGGTGAGGGCTTGTGTGTCTTCAGGGCCTGGACCGCACGAGTCTCCACGGCGTTGTACGAGACATCGGGTCCGATCAGGTGTCCGAAAGACCGATCTGGCGTCTTCGAATCCACCTTCAACCCCAATCTCGCCGCCATATCCGGGTTATACGGAGCCTTCCCAACCTGGGGCACGTAAAAGGTGGAGATGCCGTTCATGCGCTTCTCGACCTCGGGGTTGCGTAGATCACCAATGCGCAACGGTTCGATGTGGGCCCGACTCTGGCTGAGCGTTGAGGCAAAATAGTGGATGAGCTCATGATGGGGACCGTAGACTTCCTCGAGACGGTCGACGAGAACCTGAAACTTGGTCTGCGTGAAGCCGCCGAAGTTGAAACCCGTGTCACCCACGACGCCGACCTGCCAGACAATGAGATGGCTGTAGGGATTGATGGGGCGGTCGCGAAGAAGCAGATCTGTGGCCTCGTAGGTCTGGCATCCGGTGAAGCTGGGGTCGATGCCGAGATCGGCAAAGAGGCAGTCCTCGGCCGAGATGCCCGGGAGCATGTAGGCCTCGATGCCCTCGCGCTGGGCGATGCCGATGGCGCGGTGCGAAGGGCTAACGAACACGCCCGGGTGGCCGTAGAATACGCCGACCGAGAAGAAGCCGTCCCGGGCGGCTTGGAGGCACAGCTCGGCCATCTGCACGTAGGTTATGTAGCGGTTCTTGTCGTTGTCGTAGAGCGTGTACAGGTCGAAGCTCCACTTGGCCTTGGACTTGATGAAGAGCTCGGTGGCCGGGTCGGCGACACAGTAGAACACCTTGTCGGCTTGTTCGATGTAGCTGACCGTCTCGAGAGTCATGTGGGAAATGCTCTTGATACCTGAACCCACCATGACCAGCTTGCCTGGTCTGCGGCCCATGGCAGGAACCGTGCGGCGAAGGGAAGTTTCGACAGTGGAGGGCGTGGCGGCCATGTTGAACTGCTGCTACTTCTAACGGAAGATGGTTGGGGGAGTGATGCTAAAGGGCTTGGGATGAAAACGAGCTTGAGATGGAATGAGGTTGATATTCAACCGAAACTAATTCGATGTTTCTTGCTTGGGGGAGTGCCTCGGCAGTCGAAGAGTTCGTATTGAATATGTTTGGGAGAACTGTCTCTTCAAAGAAGGCTCTAGAGAAGACGGGAAGCTTGATTCCTCTTATACTATTTACCTCAGCGGGATCAACAAGGAGGAGAGGGGCAGAACAGAGTCCAAGGGATGTATGGGCCGCTCGGTATCGACGGCAGAAGGTACATACCTGATTTGACCATTATTAAACTATGCAAGTCTTTGAAATGGACGCTCTCTTTACTACCCAAGTAATATCACACTGCAGCAACGTACCATTTCCATGCCACCTAACTCTAATTCGAGCAGATTTCCTTGACAAAGACTTGCATCCGCCTATCCGCATACTCTCTTCCGACCTCTACCTCTGTGTTGTAGCCGTCTTGGGATACAGCTCTGCTTCTCTTCCTCTTCGTCCGATGACTCCGATCTGGTAACGATCATCCGCGTCTCATTCTGCAGGAGTCTGCTTCTGGTTCACACATGCCACCCTACGGGGTGGTGGGGATGATGCAGTATGAAACATGCATTGCGAGGCAGCGTGTCTCCAATAAAAAAACGAGGGCGTTGAAACCTAGAAGCCGCGCGAGCCGCGTCGAAATTCCAAATACCTCACCCTCGATCTTTTTCCGCAATTTGCCGCACTTTGCGAGGTCCACATTCTCCGTGAGCCAAATGGTTTGAGACATTTCCTTCTACGAGGCCGCGTATAGCGCAACCTTGCGGATGCCAAAGTACCTACCTAACTAGGTAGGTAGGTTTGGTTGATGGGATTTTATGGATGTATCTCGAGGCCGCTTCAATTTAATGGTCTTGGCTCATGTCTTCTTGCCCGGTATGTCCTAGGTACGTACCAGGTAGGTAGGTACCTAGATACACGTACTACTACCGTAGTCCACTTCTTGGGCCTGTGTCCCATCACACCATAGGTAGGTAATGACCGAGATAAGAGCTAAAGTACACACGAAATACTGAATCGTTAACCCCCACCCCCCCAACTCCATGGCATGGTACCTAGACAATCACATCCCCACCCCCTAAACATTCCGGTACGTCTCATCAAAGTCCTTCCTCTCCCGCACTATAAACTCCTCAAACGTGGTCATCTCAACCCCCCACTTCTCCACCGCCTCTCTCGGATCCACGCCAGCATACGGATCCACCCGGCCCAGCAGCTCATGCATGATCAGAACAGGGTTCGTCGCCTGGGCGGCGCGGAGCTCCTCGCCGTCGAGGTAGCGGGCGCGGATCTCGGGGCGGCCGAGCACGCGGCGCATCGTCTCCATGCTCTGCTCGACCGTGACGGCCTGGCTGATGACGTCGATGCCCTGCGCGTGGAAGCGGTCCGGCTGCTGGAAGGCCGCGACGGCAAACTTGCCGATGTCCTCGTGGTCCACCATCGGCAGCATCGACGTCGGCCGGAACCCTGTCGTGAACAGGCCCTCCTCGGCCGCACCCGGGAACTGGGCGTTCACCTTGGGCGACAGGTAGTTGGGCATGAAGAAGCCCGGGCGCAGGATCGTCCAGCGCGGGAACCCGGCCTCTGGCAGCGCCTTTTCGAGCATCAGCTTGGGCTTGAAGGCGAGAGCGGCGAAGTGGTCGGGCTCGGTCTCGGGCACGGGAACGGTGGTGCTGTAGACGACGTGCTGGACACCGGCGGCCTTGGCGACGGCGAGGATGGTGGTGCCGGCCTCGAGCTCGGCGTTGAAGTTGGTCAAGTCGGGCAACAGGGTCATGTAGAGCAAGTCGCAACCGTCAATGGCGGCTTCAAGGGCGGTGCGGTCGCTCCAGGACCCCTCATGAACTTGGACGCCGATGGAGGCCAGGCTCTGGGCAGCGGCGGAGTTGGTGTTCCTTGTGATGGTGCGCACCTCCCAGTTGAGGACCCGGAGCTGGCGTGCAAGCGCGCCGCCCTGAGCACCGGTGGCACCGCAGACGAAAACCGTGTGAGTGGCCATGATGGATTGTGTAAATATTTGTGTTGTTGGGTGCTGGTTCTGATATGTTGATTATTGGGTGGAGATATGATTAGAGCACTCACAACCGGGCCCTTCGTCTGAAGGGATAATGTACGTTTATATATACTTTACAAACCCGTCGTCGGGTTTCTTGAGGGCCCCGAGGCCATGAATCCAGTATATCTCCGGCTCAACTTACATTATACCGACTCGGAGAGTTTACAGGTGAGATGTGGGGAGAAGGATGCGGCTGCGCTGCATGCCAGTCCGAATACGCACACTTCCAGAACCCGAGAGTTACACAGTACAACCCATCAGGACCATTTAGTCCCCGTTCCGTTTGTATTGGTTGGAACGGGGTTTCGATCGCATTGTGTGTTATCAATGAGATGGCTGTGTACCAAGCAAGACATGTCATTACATAATTAGGTACCTCTCCGACGCAATTGTGTTGCTATCTACATACATACAATTAATTATTTACATATGCACAGTATAGGAAACTCCAAGGTGGCTCATTGAGAAGGATTCGAGTGCATCTAGGGAGGGTACTCCTCTATCCTTTATTGGGATTCTAGCAGATGTTCGAGTCACCAAATGTGGATGTATGGATATATACACTTAAGCTAGGTATGTAACTAAAGGTAAATACTAAGTAAGGCAATAGTAGTTTTATATTCCATACATGCTATCACGTGTCCCGGTATGGTAGCCCCAACAGCCACAAGCCAAGTGGCTCAAGCGACCAAGCCCGGATCTTGTTTTGCACAATGCAATGGCATCATTAAACTCCCAATATTGGGGCGTTGACCAAGGCCTCGTTTCCGCAGTCTGTGCGTGGCCGTGGTGCAAGGTTTAAGCCTCGAGTTTCATTGCCAAGCCAATGTCATCGGAAGGGAGTGGCAGATCGGGCGTGCATACGGAGACATATACGAATATGTATGTATGTATGTATGAATATGTACTTTGCTTGCACACTGCCCCAGACTGAACCAGGGGCGCTCCAAAAGCGTCGAATTCTGAGACCCACTCCGAGGGTAACCGGACGCTGTTGATGTGATTGATGATGCAACCTCGAGGCAACCCAAGGGGAAATGTTTTCCTTTCGCATTCCACGATCAACCACGCACCCGGCGCAATGCAAGAATGTGAAAATCAAGATGCTGAAGCGGGTGGGAGATCGTGGATGATCCTGCATGAAGATCAGCTGCCCCTTTTCCGCCAAGATTGCCTCACTCTCGGAACAGCAACCGGCTCCGGGGATACCCCGGCCCTCCCGGTCCCGCAAGTTCACGGCCCGAGGACGACCATTGTTCTTGGCATATTGACATCGCGATAGTCGCAGCTTGGCGGGCAAACGAGATGGATATGAGACCCCATTTGGGCGTCAGTTGGCCGAGATGGGAGATGCGCGGCGGGCGACAAGGTGGTGGCGCTGAACCCCCCCCTGGGATCATGGAAATTGGGTGATTTGGGCCAGAAAGGGGCATCATAAAAGAAGCCTCCCTGGCTGCGCTTCCTTATTTCTGCAAACCCGGCTGTTCTTCCTCCAAATCCCAAACTCTCCGTCTCTCAGTCACCAAACAAAACCATTCCAACGCCGGCATCCATCAAACTCCACCGAACCTCATCACACATCACCCACAACCACACCAAAGTCTTACCAAAACCAACCCCAAAACCCAAAATGTCCGCCGACGCCCCCAAGCTCGAAACCTCCGCCCAGGAGCAGCAGCAGCAGCAGCACGCGCAAGACCACCAAGACGACCAAGCCTCCATCACCTCCAAGCCCGGCCAAGACAACAACAACGATAACACCACCGGCGCCGACGGCGAGGAAAAGCCCGCCAAGCCCAACCCGCTCAAGAAGCTCGGCGCCGTGTTCAAGACCGTCTTCGCCTGCCTGCGCAAGCCGGCCGTGCGCAACGAGGACGACGAGGCTGCCGCCAAGGCGCAGGATCGTGATGCCGCTACTGGTGCTGGTGCCGGTGCCGGTGCCGCGGGGGGTGATGATGACGATGAGGAGGATCTGAAGAAGGGGGGTGCTGGTGCTGGTGCTGCGGATGCGGTGGAGAGCCATGGGCCTGTGGTCTCGGGCCAGCCGCCTGTGATTGAGCAGGGGGTGTTGACGTCGGGGGGTGAGCAGATGAAGGAGGGGGCGCCGCATTCGTAGGGGGGGAAGTGGAGTGAGTGGTTTGAGGGGGTCGGAAAAGGCGGGTGCGTTGGGGTTGTCGTTCGGTTGTGATGCGGTGAGAAGGGGGAAGGGGTTGTTGGCCGGCGGGATTACAGATTTTTAATGTCGTTCTTCGTTTTCTTTTTCGGTTTCTGCTGTCACATACTTCAATATACCCAAGCCAGCTTCTGTTCTTTCCCAGAGAAAAAACCAACCACCACCACTGCTGCCAACACAGCGCCGGCCATCACGACTGCCCCTCCTCGTACCCCTCATCCTCCTGCACCTGTTCCCTCCCCCCAACCCTCCTCCCATAAGCCGTCTTATCCCCATGCCCCACCCCCTCCCACGTCCTAGTATCCGGCAGGCCGTACGTGCTGATACCCCTACCCCACGTCGTCCAGGGGTTAGTCCACCGCACCACTTCGCGCGGCACCGCCTCGCCGGCGGGCACCATCGTCCGCCAGTCCTTGGGCTTGTCGCGGTGCACCAGGTAGCCGCCGAGGTGGCGGTGCCAGATGTCGGGCGGGATCTCGTCCGCGCCGCTGTTGCCGAAGCTGGAGTCGTCGCCGCGCGCCCAGTGCCGCGCCAGCGACAGCCGCACCTGCCGCTCGATGCCCCGGTGGCCGGTGACGGTGGTCAGGCGCCGCGCCCAGCCGTGGCAGTAGACGGAGCGGTTGAGCGGGGAGAGGTCCTGGGCGACGGCCAGCGCCATGGGCGGGAGGGCGTGCGATGCGATGAGTGGGGGGATGTCGGGCAGTTCGACGTCGGGGACGATTTGTATCGGGAGGTGCAGATCGGAGGGGACGGGGGTGGTGGACCAAGTTTGGAGGTTCCGGCGGCGGGTTTCTGCGGAGGCTGATTCCTCGGACGGTTCTGAACGGGGGAGAATGAAGGATGCGCGCGTCTCTTCGGAGTGGGTGGAGATTGCGTCGATGAGCTTGCGGAAGTACGCTACTGCAGAGCGGGTGCAGACGAGGTGGCGGCCGCGCAGGGCGGGGTACAGCACGGCCGCAAGGATGTCCTGCCGCGCGACGAGCTCGTTGTTATCTGTTTCGTGGTCGAGGATGGACTTGGCGATGATGTGTTGCTGGGACTCCGGCTGTAGCGGGACCGGTCCGTGGTGGAGGTCTGTGACGAGAGCCACTAGAACGCTGGGGTCGAGGTTGACCGTCTCCGTCAAGCGGCCGCAGTCGTCGCTGACGAGAGGATCCCGGTCTTCAATGAGTGCGCTCACAACGCCGTCAAGAGGAGGGGGTGTGTCGGTGAGGAATGCGCTACCAGCACAACTGACACGCACTGATACATCCTCACCCCCAATCTTGTTCTGGACGTAGTGAATCATCCTGTCGACCAGTTCTGACTTTCCCTCTTGGAGCCCCGGCAGGACCAGGTGCACCTGGTGGCAGTGGTTCCATCGGGCAGCCCGGATGATCTTCTTGACCGTGTCGGCAAATTCGGTGTGGGCGAGTCCGTCGTCTGCATCACCTTCGCCATTGCCGTCCTCGTCCTCCGACTCGCTCGCCCACCCTTCAGCCACCACCTGGTACTCGAGCGTCTTAGAGGAAATGGAAACGAACTTGACCCATGTGGCGCCGCTGTCAACCACGGCGTCCACGGTGACTGGTCTCTCCTGAAAGGGCTGGTCCTTGTAGTCCAACCACCCGTCATCTGGAGAGACAGGCAACCGGGGGCTTCGCGGGAAGTCCTTGTTGATCGCGATCAGACCGCGGCATTTCTTGACCACACCCCATCTGTCGTCCCAGCAGCAGCTCTTGATGCCGGAATACTGGGCCTGGGAGATGGGTGGCGCTGTCGGGGAGCGCTGCTTCTGGGTAGCCTTATCCAGGGCACGTTGCTGTGTCTTTAGCAGGTTGTTGAGCCCCCGCACCGGGCGTTTGGCTATTTCAGATGCTTGTTGAAGACGCTGCAGCTCTTGGAGACAAGCCTCCCATCGAATGATCAATGACTCAATGCAGTCACTCAGCGCCGTCTCCTCTTGATGCTGGGTCTCCTTCGGGTCCGGGGCCCCTTTTGTTGCGTTCGTAGGCTCGGATGCTGCGACATCATCGCAGGCCGTTTGTATCATCTTGCGTACGAGGGAACAGGAGTAAAAGCTGGAGGGGTTGTTTGTTTGTGACCAAAAATGATGACAACCCCGCGGTTTGACTGGGCGAAATTTCGGTTCAAAAGCCGACTTGGCTGAGGCAGCTCGAAGGGTTAGGGTTCTGCTCCTGAGAGGGACGTCGAGAGAAAGTTTTGAGATCTTAATCTGCCTCTCTCTCCCTTACCTCTTCGTCACCACTCGATCCGTGAGAAGGGCTCACGTCTTGAAGGTACGGCTGATGGCTGTGGCGCCCGAAGGACCTGAATTCGGACTAGGCCCCAAATACTTGTTCAAAAGAGTTGTAGGATTTGGACTACTGTGTCTCTAACACGGAGGGGAAGAAGCGAGCTGAAGGTTTGGAGGTAGAATGTACCGAGATAATCTCCATATTGTGACCTCTCGTTGCTCTTGTTCTATTCTTTGGTTAAACATGCTCTAAAACGTATGAGATGGGGGGGTTGCACGTCACATGCTTTTTGGGGGTTGTTGTAGTAACGGGCGCGAAAAGGTTTACTGGTGGTACCATTTTTTGAACAAGGAGAGCAAAATAATGAGCAAAAAGAGGATTTGGATGCGACAAACACGACTCGAACTCAGGTGGGTAGGTGGCTGAGTGAGGAAAGCTCCTCGCGAGGGATTATGGGAGGGTCAGGTATCTTAGACTTAACCGCACGCATCAACCACCCACCACTGCGCCATCCGCTTGGTTTTGATTTTGGCCTTCGAATACCGAACCTATAACCCCATGGCGCCCGCACGGCGCCCGCACAGCGCACCAAACACAGCACTCATCCGATGCCAGCACCATCACAGTACCCAGGCGAGGGAGCCCTTCTGCTTCAAACTGTGTGTTCACATGCACTGCCTGCTGCTTGGAAATTCCTTATTATCTTCCAGGTCGCCGTTTTGCATCCCCAACTTTGCAAACTAGAGTGCTTGTTAACGCGATCTCGAAAAAGCGTAAACCTACTGCATCGAAAGGCACAACACATAGCTGGGACCCGATACTTACATTTCCAGGTACCTGGTATGTCTCTTTTCTATTGATTTCTCTTTGCGATAGTTTCCGTTTATTCTAAATCCGAAGGCAAAACAGAAACGCATTTACTGACATGTTAACATGCAGCCACCTTCGAATCCCCGATCCCACTGTGACCCTCCCCTACGCCCACTGGAAACAAATCGGACCCGACCTGCATCATGTCGGATCGCCGCTTTAAGACGCTGCTATCAAAGCTTTCGGGGCTTACCATTGTGGCGGAAGAACTCTTCCTCACAGACAACGACCGACTTCTTGTCGTCGCTCGTATCCTCGACATGCACCCTGCTGACGGTCCGGACCAGAGATTGGACAAGGAGACGCTCCACGATTCGCTACTCAAGCTGATGGAGACATGCCACGCCGAGAGGGATGCAATGTGGTTCAGGTCCCGTATGGAGCCTCGTTTCTGGATGCGCGTCCGAGCCAGCACTCCCTGGGCCGGTGGTCTAGACTTTGAGGTCCTCCGCACGTTGGCTCTTGGCCTCACCCAAGCCGCCTGGGCACACTTCAAGGACCCCAAGCGTAATAAGAACGGCGACCCACAGCCCTGCTGCAAACTCGCCATGGCGTCGCTCCAATTTGCCAGCGACATCAACGTATACGAGGGCCATCTTAAGCCCGAGAAGCTCAACGACATGAACTTTTCCGAATGGCGCGGGCCTGTTTATCTTGAGAATGGGAAGCGACTCCAAGGACGGAACAAGAAACTGACTACGACGCCCGTGTTCCCCATCTACCGCCACGACATTGCGTTTACTCCCCGCGCGGAGGGAAACTTGAGCCAAGATTACGACTTGACTGCGGACGAGCCCGAAATCTTCAAAATTCTAGTCCGTGTCTAATACGGAGACAGCGTCGAGCGAGGGACCGAAACCAAGGAAGTGAAACCAAGGGACGTAACCTATGACTACATGTACCTAGGTAGAGTCCGAAGCTTGAGCCGCGGGTAGCGCTGGAAGCTTACCTAGAACGGTAGAATGGATGATTTGTCTCGAGGAAGTTGTGTGTTGTGTCGCTGCATGTGCCGTGTCCATGGATTGTGGTGTGGTGTATTGAGAAGACGAATTGTACCGATCATATGTTGACGTGAAATTGTTTCCGAGAGCCAAAGGTCGAGCTGGGGTGTCGATTGACGTCGTCGGGTTAAGACTTGCCAAGGCCGGTTCCCGCGGCGCCGACCTAGCGACCGGGACTTCCGCAGCACACAACTTCGGCAGGGGCCCACACTCAAAAAGGCAAGTTTCTCCGTTTCATTCCTTATCATGCCATGAACAGATGGACATGAGATTTGATTCCCCACTCTCTTGATAACCCATCACATACATAGAGGGGGGACAAGAATATTCGGGGTGAGTCGCTAATTATCCCCCAAAGTGGACATGTTCCCTGCTAACCGTTTGCTGTCACTAAAGAGGTTGCCCCCGGCACACAACCGACAACACGCAACGAAACCTTGATACCATCAGTGGGCCAGCAAATACGAACACCGCAAATGCATGGCGTTCAGCTTGGGGCTGATATGACCCTGCATCACCAGGCGAGTGTTTAATTCCGCTGGCTATCTCGAGTGGAGTGAGTTAAGTCATCAGATGGTTCAAATTCTTCACCGGGAGCCAAATCCGGCTCTGCTCGGTCTGCGCCAGGCTTTATCCATACAACCCAAGGTGCCAACTCTGCGCCCCGCGTCGCCGTCGCTGAGTGATGCTCACGACAGGTTCCATTGCTGTCGTGATCACCTTCCGCATTCGCCTGCCCCGCCTTGCCTTAGCGGGGTTTGGCTTCCCCACAACTCGGAGAGATCCCCAGAGCCGCCGCCAGAAGTGCCGTGGAGAGCGGCACAGTGATTGCACAGAGGGAGCAGTGGAAGCCCAGAAGGCCTAGGCCCTGCTTGGACCTTGCAACGCTGGCTCGACTGGCTCGAGGCTGCCAGGGATGGTCTGCGGTTCCATCCCAGGCTGAGCCAGACTCGCCAGGTCTGGCTTGATTCCAAGTTACGCGTTTCCAGCCAAGCGGAGCCAAGGACGGTCCGTTACAGCCACCGAAGCTTGTCTGACAAGGCGCCAAGGATTGCACCATTTAAGGATGAGCCGGGAGCATTGCTTTTTGAGACACCGAGCGATGCCGCTCGCTCCCCACCAGTGTACATCTGTACGACCTTCCAAATCGCCCTGCCGTTGTCTGCGCAGGTGGCCCGAAGGCTGGCTTCCAGAAGACTGGCAGTAAGGCGGCCTCCCACTGCCACCCGGTCCCCTCCCACTCCCAAACCCCAGGGTCCATGTCACGATGGCGGCGCGCGAAGCAGACCGGACCGGGAGTGGCATGCAACTTCGATGAGCCGGGCACCCGGGGCAGTGCCATGCACGTCGCACGTTATCAGATGCCATTGGGGGGCCCGCTTTGACCTGCGTCCCCGGCCAGGCTCAGTCCCCCCCGAATGCTGTTGGCCGTCCCCAGCATGAAGTGACCCGGCATTGCCCGGTCAGACTTCCCAAGCCATCCCGGCCACTGCATCGTTGTTCCACTGGCTTGTTCCACTTTGGCAGACCGACGGGCGCCCGACGATAGCCTTCTTGCTTCCTACGCACCTCTAATCACATATTAATAATCCCCGAACCCGCCGCCCATAATCTTCCCTCCGTTCTCATACCATACCATATCCTACTCCCCCCTGCGCATCGAGTTTTGGCCCCATCTCAGCAGGATTGGTCAGGATTCCCTGTGGTCCTTCCGGCAAAGCGTGATCTTGGGCGGTTTTCGCGACACGACGAGCGCATCATGGCGAGGTTCTTTGCCAGGAGGCGCGGCGATGAGCAGGGCGAGAAGGCGCCCACGCCGGCGCAGGAGGTATCGCCGGCGGAACACAGCAGCGAGGAGGGTGCCGTCGATGAGGGGACCGAGGATGACCTGCACCGGGGAATGAAGCCTCGGCAACTGAGTCCGTGATACCTGCTTTGGAAGGGTTAGCATATGCTGATGCCACGCAGATATGATGGCCATTGCGGGCGCCATTGGAACCGGTAATCCCCGCCAGGCGCGCACCTCGAGGTGCAACCGACGATAGCTGACACTTTGCGCGCAGGTCTTGTTATCGGCACTGGCACGTCGTTAAAATTCGGCCCCGGCTCCCTCCTCATCGGATACGCCTTCATGGGCTTCGTCGTCTATGTGGTCATGGTCGCGCTTGGGGAGATGGGCGCCTGGCTGCCCATGAAAAAGAGTTTCTCCGGGTACGCATCGCGCTTCGTCGACCCAGCCATGGGGTTCGCGACGGGATGGAACTACTTCTTCAAATACATCATCGTGCTGCCGAACAACTTGACCGCGACGGGAATTCTGCTCCAAAAGTGGCGGCCAGATATCAATGTGTCGGTCTGGATCGTCGTCTTTGGCGTTTGCATCATCCTGCTCAATGTATGTACGCTCCGCCGCCCGTGTCATTGGAACCCGTTAGTACTGACTCCTACAAAGATGATTCACGTCTCCTTCTTTGGTGAAGCCGAGTTCTGGATGTCGCTCATCAAAGCCCTCGTCATCCTGATGCTGATCCTGCTTTGCTTCATCATCGCACTCGGCGGCGGCCCGAGCGGCGTGCGCACCGGCTTCTACTTTTGGCAGAACCCCGGCGCCTTTGCCCCGTACACGACGACAGTGGGCGGGGAGACCACTATCATCGGCGGCGACACCGGCCGCTTCCTCGGCGTCTGGGCGTGCATGGTGCAGGCTACGTTCGCCTACCTCGGCACGGAACTGGTCGGCGTGGCTTTTGGCGAGACCCCGAACCCGCGCAAGAACGTCCCGCGCGCCGTCAACCAGACCCTTCTGCGCATCGTCTTCTTCTACGTAGCCGGCGTGCTGGTCCTCGGCATGGCCGTGCCCTACAACAGCCCGCTGCTACTCGATGCCACGAAGAAGGGTACCAGCGGATGTACGTGGCCTTTGACCCCCACCCCCCAGCGCCTTTCCCCATTTAGAGTCATGCGATACTAACCGCTTGTACTCGCTCACAGTGGCCTCCCCTTTCGTTGTCGCCGCCCAGATCGCAGGTGTTAGCAAGCTCGACGACGCCGTCAACGGCCTGCTGCTCATCTTCACCATCAGCGCGGCCAACTCGGACATCTACCTGGCGTCGCGCACCGTCTGGGCGCTGGCCAAGGACGGGCAGGCACCACACCTGATGCAGCGCACCAACAAGCGCGGCGTGCCCATCCCCGCCGTCGCCCTCTCCTCCATCTTCATCGCGCTGGGCTTCATGAACGCGACCAAGTCGGCCGCCACCGTCTTCGGCTACTTCGTCTCGCTCGTCACCGTCTTTGGCGCCCTCAACTGGATCGCTGTGCTGGTCAGCTACCTGGCCATGATGAATGCCATGAAGGCCCAGGGCGTCCCCCGCGAGATCATGCCCTACCGCAATATCCTTCTGCCCTGGGGCGCCTACATCGCCCTGCCCATCACCACCCTGGTTATCGTCTTTAGCGGGTACTCGGCCTTCATTCCGCACTTCCAGGTCGACAAGTTCTTGACGGCGTATATTGGGATTCCGGTCTATGTTATTAATATATTTTGGTGGAAGTACGTCAAGAAGACCAAACGGGTCCAGCCGGTGGACGTGGATTTGGTGACGGGAAGGCGGACTTAAGAACCGGGGGGGGGGGACCTCTTAGCGTGGTGTTCGGCGCCAGGGGGGATCCTCAGGGGGGTCAGGCGATGGCTTTCAGAAATGCGTGAGTCTTGAGAGTGCGACCCGGAAATGACAGCTATGATTTCCGCTCGATGGCAACGGTCTTGCATGGTGCATTCTTCATTACATGGGGTTTTGAGAGTTTGGGAGTTCCAAGAAAGCCTCCGTCGTCATCCTCCACATTCGGTCCGGTTCGTTGGGTCTCAAGATCTGCTCGTTCGCACACCCGTTGCGTGGATAAATCGAGCCGCGAGTGGGACCGAAGCTGGACATGGAGAGCGCTTCCCCGACGATCGGACCCGACTGGGGCAACCAGCGCCGCACTTCCCGGCCGCATTTGCGCATGACGGACCCAGTTTTGATTCACTTTAAACACACCAGCCAACGACATCCTGGCTTGAGCCGCGTTTTCGTCGATCGTTTCTCAACTGCGCACAATTCGGGAACGAGGGGGGTTGTGGGGTATTTTGATACACGGGCCGTTCTACCTGTCGATCCAATATCGACCAGCAAGCGTAGGCTGACAATTCCATGTCTGTAAATGATGGAGGCATTTTGGGAATAGGGTCGACGGGACGTTTGGTACCGAGATCTGGGGGAATTCCGGGGAACCATGGTCTCCCGTGAGGTATATTTAGGGCACCTTCGTCGCTCTTATCCTATGTAGGGAGATCAGCTCAAGTCACACGTCCTGCCTGCACCCAGCTCGACTCTCAACCTTGCCCAAGATGAAGACCACCAGCACCGCCCTGCTCGCGACTGGCCTCCTGGCTCAGTACGCTACCGCCCACTCCATCTTCCAGCAGTCGGGCAGCGGCTCGATCGACTTCGACACAAAATGCACCCGCATGCCGGTGGGTGTCCTTTTATCAAGTCGGTCGTGGTCGGACCAACTGACATCCACAGCCCAGCAACTCGCCCGTCACGAGCGCGACTGGCGCTGACATTGTCTGCAACGTCGGCGGCACCAGCGGCATCGCCGAGGTTTGCGAGGTGAACGGTACGTTCCAGCCCCCCATCCGCTACCCTCCCTCCCACAGTTGACTGACATCTCTTCTTTTCCCAGCCGGCGATGAGTTCACCGTGGAGATGCACGCGCAGATGAACGACCGGTCCTGCTCCAACGAGGCCATCGGCGGGAACCACTTCGGGCCCGTCATGGTGTACATGAGCAAGGTCGACGACGCCACCTCGGCCGACGGCTCGAGCGAGTGGTTCAAGGTCGACGAGTTCGGCTACGACGCCAGCAGCAAGACCTGGGGCACCGACCTCCTCAACGAGAACTGCGGCAAGCGCAGCTTCAAGCTCCCCAGCAAGATCCCCGCGGGCGACTACCTCGTCCGTGCCGAGGCTATCGCCCTCCACACTGCCGGCCAGAGCGGCGGTGCTCAGTTCTACATGAGCTGCTACGTGAGTGATTGCCTCGGCGCCTTCAGGAATTATACCATGCTGACCATGTTTTCAAAATACAGCAAGTCAGGATCGCTGGTGGCGACGGCCAGCTCCCGGCGGGCGTCAAGTTCCCCGGTGCGTACAGCGCCTCGGACCCCGGCATCCTCGTCGACATCTGGGGCAACGGCTTCAGCGAGTACACCATCCCCGGCCCGGCCGTCATCGACCAGAGCTTCTTCTAAATTAGCGTGGTTACGGAGGGTCATGGGTGGTGAAGGGGTTGGGTGTTTGTGACTTATTGTAGGCAATGCCAGCTGCGCAGTGAAGTCAGGGGTTGGAATCAACTCTAGGAGGAAGAATCCCAACAATACCTATCATATGACCGCATTTGTGTTCTCGTGCCCCCTGACCACACCTCCCCCTTTTCGTCCTCGTGCCTCGCTGCCCCTGAGCTTGGCAACCCTAACCCATGGAAGGTCGAATGATGACGCAACCCCGTTGAGCCCGCAACCGGTGGGTTGTCCCTGACATGCTCCCTCCTTTTTTTCTATGAGACATCGTAAACACGTCCCGTGCATTCTCTTGCGCTTTTTATTATGTTCTCCAGTCCCGGACCGCGTTCCCTCGAGATCGCAGTCAACACTTCCACTCTCTTACACATGCGGGGTCTCCACTCTCTCCGCCCCGCTTGGATTCTCGCAGGAACTCCTGCACACACTCGCTGCCCCTCATTCTCACGCTCACTTTCAGCCGACCACCGGAACCCCACCACCCTCAACCACAACCTCAAAACCAACAAGTCGGGCACAACAACCCAACCATCACCACCACCGACACCACCATCTCATCACCACCCTTCACAACCCACCGCCACCAAAATGTCAAAACCCCAACCCCAACCCCCGGTCATCACCTCCATCACCGACCTCCCCACCGCCGACGCGAAATGGATCACCCTGCAGCGCATCTCCTACCGCGACCAGACCGGCACGGCGCGCACGTGGGAAGCCGCCTCGCGCAAGACGCGCGCGCAATCCGCCGGCGTAGACGCAGTCGCCATGGGCAACGTACTCCTACACCCTTCGCGCCCGCCCGCCACGCTGCTCGTCATCCAGTACCGCCCGCCGCTGGACGCCTTCACGGTCGAGTGGCCGGCGGGGCTGGTGGACGAGGGCGAGACGGCGGAGCGGGCGGCGGTGCGCGAGTTTCGGGAGGAGACGGGCTATGACTGCGAGGTGGTCAGCGTGAGCCCCGTGCAGGCGGCGGACCCCGGGTTGAGCAGCGCGAATATGCAGCTGGTGATGGTGGAGGTGCGGCTGGGGGAAGGGGAGCCGCTGCCGGAGCAGCGGCTGGAGGATGGGGAACATATCCAGCGCGTGGTCGTGCCGCTGGCGGAGCTGTATGGGAGGTTGGTGGAGTATAGTCGGAGGGAGAGGACGGTGGTGGCGGCGAAGTTGTTTCATTTCGCGGCGGGGATGGAGTTTGCGAAGACTAAGGGGAAGGAGTACGGGTTGTGAGGGGGGGTCATGGTGGTGAGGGCGGGGCCGGGTGGGCTGGACTCGTGCGTGTAGCTCTTGGAGCCAGTCGTCTAAGCCAGGATGCACTCCTCTGGGGGACTCGAAGGCAAGAGACAAGGCTTTGGTCGCGGTTATTCCCCAACCGAGGCTAGATGCGAACGTGCGGTAAAGAGCATTGGCATTCGAAGACAAGACTCATCCCAAGCAAAGTCCATCTCGCCTAGTTCACTCAAAGCTCGCTACAAATCAAAAACATCTAACCTGGGGCCATAGGTACTTTGATTTGGTTCAGGTTTGGCCATGTTCGGCCTGTTTGTTGTATGTAATGATTCAAACTGGAACAAACCAAATCCCCCGGCCACCCCCCATATATAGGTAACCGTGACCCCCCGCTACACCAACTTAGTGATTTTCAGTCATCGGGTCTATCAACTATATAAAAGGGCAGTACCGGTTTATCTACACCGCCCGGTTCTCCTTCCCGTGGATCTCCTGACCCAACCTTTCGAAACCTCGTGAGGTACCTCGCACCGCTCCGGGCTGCAGTCGTCCAAGCAGCCGCAGGTCGGCATGTGGATGAAAAAGGAGACGCCCTTGAGCGCAAAGCGCGGGTAGGTGTGGACTAACGAGCGGGGTTACGGCATCACGGGATGCCACACCTCGTACTTCTCGTCGGCAGGATGGAAGTGAGCAATGTCTTTGCCCGGTCAAATGGTTCGGTCGGGACGCAGATCTCCCAGTTCTGGCTACCTGTTCATCACACGAGCATTCTACCCACTCAAACGAACATAAACCGACCATGGGGACTCGGTTAGCGCCATACTAGACCAGCGCGTTTGCGCCGACGACGCAGCTGGGGATGCCGTCGACCGCTAGCGTGTTGATTGTCAAGGTCGCTTTACATAAATTGGCCGGGCAGAATGTCTGGTGGGTGTGAACGTATGTGCCCAACTACCTCCCTCCCTCGCGATCACAGGTGGGGCTTTGATACCCAATCTAACGGCGCGGGGCTCATGTGTTTGTGTGCGAATGCACAGAGACCCCGGCTGGGCTGATGAACGGGAGGAGGGCTTGGGGGGTTTTCGGAGACAAGACCCCACAGAAGTTGTCAAAGGGAAGCAGGCAAAAACTAACCGAATCGAACCGCAGAAGTTGAGCGGTTTCGAATAATTCAGTCGAAAGTTGTGGGCCGTGGCTGCAGGATGCCTCGAGATTCGGCAAAAGCCAAGACTGTTTCAGCTTTCGCAGTCTCCCGCCGAACGAAGCGGTGTGGAACCGGCGAGGTTCATCAACGGTAAAGAATCGGCATGACGGTCCCGCAGATTGAAATGACAGGAGTTCATGCTATTATTAGCACACCTGTTATTCCAAGCCCATCTCATGAAAGCGCTGGAAATGGCCGCCGCCGGGCTGCTGATGTTGTCTGCTAGGCAATACTACAATTCTTAGGAAGCGTCGGGTTTCTTGTTCAGGAAAGGCCCAAAAATAATCAACAAGCAGCCCAACCGCATGCAGTCACCTGTTCTCAAGCGGGGCCTGCAAACCCACCAAAGTCTGCCCCACCCTCGTGCACGGTTGCCAGGGCGCCAATCGTTAGCGCATGCGACGACCCAGGAGGTGTGACAACGGGGTGCCAAGCACAACACCCTCCTCTCGAAGGGGATCCTCGTTCCTCTGACATCGACGACACGGCCCTCGACAATCGACGACAATAGCCGCGCAATAGGTAGGTAAGAGTGTCGCGCGAAGCGACCACACGACATCAATAATCGGCGTCATTGAAGACCGCCACTTCCGTACGCCCGGAGGCCGAAATATCGACGACGACGCCCAGTCGGGTATGTTGTGTCTCTCGGTCGCAGCAAAAGGCGGAGGTTGTTGACCCAACTCTCGCCACGATCGCAGTGCTGCGAGCGATATACGGCCACACGGGACACACGACAAACAACACCCTTTCAGCCACGGCAATCTTTAGATCCGAATCGCTTGACGATAACGACAGACGAATTTCCTTTTGTTTGGTTGCGACAACCAATTCCACCGACTTGCAACACTCTTTTTCACCAGCTTTCCTTGCGCCGATTTGACACATGCGAAACCGCGCAGCGCACTACGCCGCAGCGTAAACCAGCCAAATGTCCGAGCCGCCGTCGTCACCCCCTAGAGCAGGAACCAGCGTGGAGGATGCCTTGGCGTGGTACAAGTCGCAATACGAGGTGCTGGAGGCGGAGCTGTCCGAATTTCAGGCCTCCAGCAAGGAACTAGAAGCCGAACTCGAGAAGGATCTGGATGCGGCCGACAAGCGCGAACGGTCGTTGCGGCAGAAGGCCGAGGGGTTGAGCTTCGAAGTGGAGGAGTGGAAGGTAGGCCTTTGCACCTGTTCCTCGGCGCCCGCGGTGCGCGAGGAGATCTCACTGACGCATCCCTGCAGCGCAAATACAAGGAGTCCAAGACAGAGGCGAACGCGGCCCAGAACACCCTCGAGAAGGAGATTACGATTCTCCGCGACACCAGCAGGACGCTTCAACTCAGGCTCCGCGACATCGAGGTGGCCAACGACGATTTCGAACGCCAGGCGCGGACTACCACCTCGTCCCTGGAAGATCTCGAATCCAAGTACAATGTCTCTATCGAGAGGGGAGTCATGCTGGAGGAGGAGATCAAGATTGGGGAGCAGGAGCGAGAGCAGTTGCGCGTCGAGGCGCAACGACTGCGAGAAGAGCTTGCCGACCTCAAGATCGAGGCCGAGATTCTGCAAGACAAGATCAAGAAACAAGAGTCTAGGCACCTCTCGAGCATCTCGACCGATATCTCCTCAATTCCCGGGTCCCCGTCGTTCTGCAACTCCCCACACTCGACCGCGAGCTCTCCGATGATTATGACACCGCCAGATCTCAAGTCGCTCTCCGCGGCGGACACTACTTCAGAACTCCAAGACCCGCCCTCGCCACCGATGTCGGATGCCTCCCTACCTTTACCCAAGATGGGGGGGCTAAAGACGCCCGCCCCTCAAAGAAGGAGCCGCCTCCCCTCGGCCGCCGACACCACCACGCCGAAACCGAGGTCTTTTACGGCGTCGACGTCCTCTTCTCGCCCAACGCGCGCAGTCACTACATCCAATGCGATGCGAACATCGGCCCAACGATCGTCGGCTGCGAGGTCCACCCGCACCTCCTCTCGCGGGGTACCAGCTTCTAACACTCTTACCCACATTCGCACACTCACCGCTCAGATGGAACGGCTCGAGGCCCGCGTGCAATCGGCGCGCTCCAAGCTGCCAGCGCCACCACCGGCCATAACGCCACCCCGCTCATCTCCCGGAGGCGGCATGGCAATGCCAGCTAGCATCACAATCCGCAGCCGTAAGCGGACCACCGGCTCCACCGCCTCCTCCAGCGCCGCCAGCTTCGCCGCCTCCGAAACACCTTCCCAATCCCGTCACGCCCCATCCGAGTCCCACAGCAGCATCTCCTCCAACAAGCACGTCCCCCGACTCAGCACGTCGGGCGTCTCGCGCCTATCCTTCGGCCCCCTCCCCAACCGCAACCCCACCAACCCCAACAACAACAACAACACCGAGCCCGACTATTCCCGCCCCAGCAGCCGAGCCAGCCTCTCGAGCTACACCCGCCCCGCCAGCCGCAACGACTCCCACCACCACCACACCCCCACCAGCAGCAGCATGCTGCCCCCGCGGCCCATGAGCCGCGCCAGCCTCTCCAGCAACCGCACCCCGCTCGCCACCGGCGGACCCAACAGACCCCGCAGCAGCCTCGGCCTGCACCACGGAAGCCACGCCCGCAGCGGCAGCATGAGCTATGCCAGCAGCATGGCGGCGGCGCCGACGGCCGAGGAGGAGGCGGATGAGTCGTTCGATGCCAGTTGTGTTGGTGGCGTCGGTGGTGGTACCGGTGGCGGTGGCGGGCGGTTGCGCACGCCTAGTAGGCGGGGGACGTTTAGCCGGCGGACGGAGATGGATGCTACCGTTTCGGGCAGCGGTGGCGGCGGTGGCGGCGGCGGCGGGTTGGGGACGGGGCTCCCGTTGCCGAGGCGGCTGAGCGGCGGGTCGGTGTCGTTGTCGGTCTCGGGGCGGCGCACTAGTGGTGCGAGCGCGCGGGTGCTGGAGGATTTGGGGGAGACTTATTGAGTTTTTCCATGGGGTTTTTGTTATGGGTGGTTGGTTGGTGAAGGGGTTTGGGGTTCGCTCAGGGAGATAGGTGGTGGGTAGGTTGCTTGGTGAGCGAGGTGTGTTCCAGGTTGCTTGGGAGGGAGGGGAGTGGGCTTCTGAACGGGGGGGTTGTTTACCGTGGGAGGTTTGTTCGCCTGAGCGGGTTGGACGGTACGCGCGGGAGGTTGGGCGGGGTTGGCTTCACCCAGTTTGGTTTTTGCCTGTCTCTGTTTGTCGATGCGGATACCTTGCTTGCGTGGCTTGGGCTTGGTTTGAGGGTTTGGGTTTGGGTTTGCGCCGGGCTGGGTTTGGGTTGGCCGGCGGAGGTGTTGATACGGAATACCTTATACACTTGACTTAATTTCTTTTGTAGTTTTGGTTCATTCATTTCTTTTTATACCTGTCCGAGTGTTTCTGTTGTCTGGTTCAACGCATGCCCCATCATTTCGTCACCTTTCTGGTTGATCTCGCTCGTAATGGTTTGGTCTGTACCTAGGTATTTGGACTCGAGTTTCTTATTTGGATTTATGCATAGCGCCTGGATTAAGCACTTCACAATACTTGTCGGAATGCCGTCTTGAACACCCAACGGACAATTCCCACGCTTCAGTGGCGACCGTTAGGCGACGGTGGTTTTCCGACCCAACCTTGCATTACCCGTGCATTACATTCCGGAATTCATACCCATGTACATGTACGTATGCACATCGCATAACTGTACATGTCTCTATTTGTATCACGGCCGGGTCTCGACGTGCAGCCATGTCATGCCCGTCATGTCCCTGCAGGAACCCCGGCAAGGCTAAACCAACATCGAGTTTGTCTCGGGCACTGTGCATAGCATACACCGGGCAGCCTGGCGCACATACTCGGTAGGGCTGAAGGGGGTCTCGGGGGTGAAGGTGAATGGCTGGATGGGGTCGCTGCCCTCGCATGGCATGTGGGTTATCGTACGATTTTGATGTCAGACGCCTGGTGGGGAACCGTTTGGCTGGGTCGCCTGGTCGGCTTGGCTGCGGGTGCGGTCTGGGGAACGGCACCCGGCCGAGATCGATCTCACTTTGCAGGTCTTCTTTCCCTGTTACGCCGTTATTTTGATGGCGGGGTGTTGTTTGGGATTGTCTCGGTCCGATCGTGAAATACGTTGCATGGGAAACGCGATTGTATGTAGAAGTGCCCACGTCACACCGTCACAAGGTGGCTGTCGCCGCACATGGGCCCGGCAGTTTAGGATTGCATGTATGTACGTAAGGTAGATAAACACCAAATATCTGTAAAGATATCCTCATTCAAGCCTGGAAAGAGCGACTGGCAGCTTGTATATTGACGTTTACTTCGCAATCAGCTTGACTTCGGACGCGGCGGAGCTCTTTCGGTATCTTCGCCGCGGCCCGGTCCGAGATGGTCGCAAAGTGCCTCACCTGCACGTCGCCGATGAAAGGGACGCCGTGGGGGAGGATAAGGTACCGAAAGCGGACGCATCGCGGACTGGAATCAACTGCAAAGCTGACCTGCGATGGCTTTCAGCGCACAGTTTCGGTGAGTTTGACTTCACCGGAGCCCGCGGATAACGACCAGGTCGGTGGAATATTCCAGTCAACGAGCGGGAGGAAGCGGACCAACTCTCAAACGGGTAATTTACTTGGTTATTGGAATCCCGATTGGCCGAGATAGGGGTCAGTCAGCCCTGACATCCATTCGCAAGTCTCGTTCCGGCAAACGCCCCGAACTCCAACAGAACGCTGGCCTCCGCTCATCTGATGAACTCGGTGTTGGTCGGATGAATGTTGGGGATCTGCGGGTCCAACTCCGGCCCCCCTTCTCCCCTTCAAGGACCCCACGCTGTTTCGACATTTCATCGATCGGGCTAGCCGGGGTGCCCGGCCCGAAGTGGGAACTCAACAATTGGGGAACCTCTGACAGCTGGCGAGTGCCATCGCTCAACAGCCACAATGCGCTCTTTTTATCGGGATGGGCCAAGCCAAATACGATTGAGTATCAAAAGAGATGGAATAGGCCTTGCATTGGACGCGAAACTGCGCTCAACACGCAGTTGCGTTGCCTTCTGGCAGTCATTGTCGAGTTTTGTCCGAACTTCCCCGGCTCTCCCGGGCCCGTGCTTGGATCCACCGGGCTGATGTTTGGTCAGGGGCCCAGCAATGAGCCGCAGGAAAATGGTTGAACGACGCAGAACGCGGCTTGGGTCTCGGATTTTGGTTGTTGAGACTGAGACTCGTCGTCCCGCCTGCCATGGACCCACTTATCTAAGTCCCGACTTGCTTTCTTGAACATACCACGTCCACGATCGGCTTGCTGCGAGTTAGGCGACGGCTCTGAACCAAAATTCGAAAGCGTGGAAAGGGCGGTAAAACAGCAACCCCGCCCTATGAACAATAAGGTTGCCATACATGGCAGCCCGCCACCTCTCGGACACCGGATGGCGCTGCCCGACTCCAGTGTTAGGTTTCTGGGAGGCTTGGCATATCCGGTCCGAAAGCTCCAGCGGAGGAAACACTGTGAAGGATAGTTGCGAAGAACAGGCACCCGCTTGGAAGACCTGGCCTGCGGTTAAGACTTAATGGTAGCATTTAAAACCTATCTCCATCCCGGGGAGGTCTGGGGCCACGGCGGAAGCGACACATCACGTTTCCGTGTCTTGATTACCCCAACCTCAACCCCCCGAACCGTTTTTGAATTGGCCGACGACTGTGTGTACAGATTAGGGACGACTCGACCGAACCCCGAGCCAGGAAGAGCGGGGCTCCCGCACGGTAGTACCCGGCCTTGAAGACCAGGAAAGCTGTGAGAAAGGAGACAACTGGGTGAATCAGATGTCCGGCTTTTGTAAAAAACAATCGGCCTTTTCAGGTACAAAAAGGCCATGCGCAATATTGGGGCCTTGGATCAATTTCTGTTTAAAAAATCAGTGTAAATACTTGGGAGTTTCGTGGGGTGCTCTGCTAGGACGGTGCGAGTCTATGGTTTTGCGCACTGTAATTTATGGTCCCCACCTACCCCATGCATGCAGAAAGAATCCCACCAGAAACTCTCAGATTGGCATTCATCAAGCCCGCTGCCCCCTTCCTGCCCAACGCGTGGTCGCCCTCCCGCTCCTTCCACTAATTCCACAAACTACCTGCGTGGCAACCACTGGGCACGAGATCGACCTTCGCTTCTTGTTCTTTGCTTTTTCGGTGGTCTCCCTGTTATAATCGGCGTTCGAGTCTCCATCCCTTGCTGACTTGCCCCGGGGCATTTGTCCACTCTCTCCCACGTTATCTTACCTGGCGAGGAACCATTCTTCTTTCAGGAAGCTCGCGCGGCGCACTAAGGTTCGACTTATTCCTGACCTTACATGGTAGAATTGGGGAATGCTGACGGCAGGACATGAGGTATAGGGCCCCCCAAACAACCCTTTTTCGGAACCCAAGCACATTCCGGGAAACCATCGGACTCCCGATCCCTGCCTGCTCCGAGTCTTACACCCACCCTTGCGGTTTGCACAAAGCGGTACAACTCGGCCGAATATTAATATTTCGTTCGTGATCTTGACGATTTATACCGAAAGCGACAATGGCGGAAACAAACGGCCATGCGAACGGCGTCGCAACAACGTACGCCGAGGCCCATAGCCTCCCTTCGCACTTCATCGGCGGTAACAAGCTGGAGAATGCTCCCGCTTCCAAAGTCAAGGAGTTCGTGGCCAGCCACAATGGCCACACGGTCATTACCAACGTGAGTGTGCCCAATACCCCACGCCTGGGGGTTACGACCCCGCCCAAGTGCCCAGCTGACAACCACTGCCTCCCTCCAGGTGCTGATCGCCAACAACGGTATCGCCGCCGTTAAGGAGATCCGATCGGTACGAAAATGGGCGTACGAGACGTTCGGCGATGAGCGGGCTATCAAGTTTACCGTCATGGCCACACCGGAAGATCTCCAAGCAAACGCCGACTACATCCGCATGGCAGACCATTATGTGGAGGTCCCTGGTGGCACAAATAATCACAACTACGCCAATGTCGAGCTCATCGTTGACGTCGCAGAGCGTATGGACGTCCATGCGGTTTGGGCAGGATGGTGAGTCCGCCATGAACGGCCGACGGTGGTTGAGATCTGACGCTAACGAATAACCGATTAGGGGCCATGCATCCGAAAACCCAAAGCTCCCCGAATCTCTCGCAGCATCACCAAAGAAGATTGTCTTCATCGGCCCTCCTGGCTCCGCAATGCGGTCGCTTGGTGACAAGATTTCATCAACCATTGTCGCCCAACACGCGGACGTGCCCTGCATTCCCTGGTCTGGCACTGGCGTCAGCGATGTCAGCGTTGACGACAAGGGGATCGTGACCGTTCCCGACGATATCTACCTCAAGGGATGTGTGAACTCCTGGGAGGAGGGCCTGGAGAAGGCCAAGGAGATCGGCTTCCCCGTCATGGTCAAGGCATCCGAAGGTGGCGGCGGCAAGGGTATCCGGAAAGTGATGGATGAAGAGAACTTCCAGGAGCTGTATAAGGCGGCAGCTAGCGAGATTCCCGGCTCGCCCATCTTCATCATGAAGTTGGCGGACAGCGCCAGGCACTTGGAGGTTCAATTACTCGCTGATCAGTACGGCAACAACATTTCGCTCTTCGGCAGAGACTGCTCGGTCCAGCGGAGACACCAAAAGATTATCGAGGAGGCCCCCGTCACGATCGCCAAGCCCACCACCTTTAAGGCCATGGAGGACGCCGCAGTCCGCCTCGGCAGACTCGTCGGCTACGTCTCTGCCGGAACCGTCGAGTATCTCTACTCGCACGCCGACGACAAGTTCTACTTCCTGGAGCTCAACCCCCGTCTCCAGGTCGAGCATCCGACAACAGAGATGGTCAGCGGCGTCAACCTGCCTGCTGCCCAACTTCAGGTTGCGATGGGTCTCCCCCTTCACCGTATCCGAGACATCCGGCTTCTGTATGGTGTTGACCCCAAGACGTCGACGGATATCGACTTTGAGTTCAAGAGCCCGGAGAGCGAGAAGACACAGAGGCGCCCGACGCCCAAGGGCCACACCACCGCTTGCCGTATCACGTCCGAGGACCCGGGCGAGGGCTTCAAGCCGTCCAACGGTGTGCTCCACGACCTGAACTTCCGCTCGAGTTCGAATGTGTGGGGTTACTTCTCTGTCGGTTCCGCCGGTGGTATCCACAGTTTCTCCGACTCTCAGTTCGGTCACATCTTTGCCTACGGCGAGAACCGCGCCGCCTCCCGGAAACACATGGTTGTTGCCCTAAAGGAGCTCAGTATCCGCGGCGATTTCCGCACTACTGTCGAATACCTAATTAAGCTCCTCGAGACAGACGCCTTTGAACAAAACACAATCACAACCGGCTGGCTTGATGAGCTGATCTCCAAGAAGCTCACTGCTGAGAGGCCCGACACCATGCTCGCCATTGTCTGCGGCGCTGTCACGAAAGCCCATATCACTAGCGAGGGGTGTATCGCCGAGTACCGCGGCGGTCTTGAGAAGGGCCAGGTTCCCGCCAAGGATATCCTTAAGACCGTTTTCCCCGTCGACTTCATTTACGAGGGGTACCGCTACAAGTTTACCGTTACACGCTCCAGTACCGACAGCTACCGCCTTTTCATCAACGGTTCCAAGTGCACCGTCGGCGTGCGCGCCCTCAGCGATGGTGGTCTCCTTGTGCTCCTTAATGGCCGCAGTCACAACGTCTACTGGAAGGAAGAAGTTGCTGCCACGCGCATGTCCGTCGACGGCAAGACATGCCTGCTCGAACAGGAGAACGACCCCACCCAGCTGCGGTCTCCCTCTCCTGGCAAGCTCGTCAAGTACAGTGTTGATAACGGCGCCCACGTCCGGTCCGGCCAGACCTTTGCCGAGGTCGAAGTTATGAAGATGTACATGCCCCTTATCGCCCAGGAGGATGGTATTGTGCAGCTCATCAAGCAACCGGGCGCAACCCTCGAGGCCGGTGATATTTTGGGCATCCTCGCGCTCGATGACCCTAGCCGTGTTAAGCAAGCGCAGGCTTTCCTGGGTCAACTTCCGCAGTACGGCAACCCGGTCGTCGTTGGCAACAAGCCCTCGCAAGTCTTTTCTTTGAAGTACAACACGCTCGCCAACATCCTTATGGGCTTCGATAACCAGGTCGTCATGCTTGACACCCTGAAGGAGCTCGTCACGGTCCTTCGCGACGACAAGTTGCCCTACAGCGAGTTCTCGGCTCAGTTCTCTGCCCTACATGCTCGCATGCCCCAAAAGCTTGATGCCCAGTTCACCCAGGCTCTGGAGCGTGCTCAGCAGAGGCAGGTTGAGTTCCCCGCCCGGAACCTCATGAAGGTATTCCAGAAGTGGATCGACGACAACATCCCTGTCAAGGCGGACGCTGAGCTGCTCAGGACCACCCTGGCACCGCTCACTGACATTCTTGACCTCTACGCCGACGGCCAAAAGTCCCGCGAGCTGAACGTGATCGCGGACTTACTGTCGCAGTACGCAGATGTTGAGCGTCTTTTCTCTGGCCGCCGCTTGCAGGACGAGGAGGTGATCCTGAAGCTTCGGGACCAGAACAAGGATGACATTCAGAAGGTTGTGCAGACCGTCCTCTCTCATAGCAGGATTGCCGCCAAGAACTCTCTGGTGCTCGCCATCCTCGACGAATACCGTCCTAACAAACCCAACGTTGGGAATGTCGGCAAGGCCCTCCGGCCCGTCCTGCGGAAGCTGGCTGAGCTCGAGTCCCGCCAAACAGCCAAGGTCTCGCTCAAGGCTCGCGAGATCCTCATTCAGTGCGCCCTCCCGTCTCTCGAAGAGCGGACCGCCCAAATGGAACACATTCTTCGCTCGTCCGTCGTTGAGTCCCGCTACGGTGAAACCGGCTGGGATCACCGCGAGCCGAACTTGGAAGTCATCAAGGAGGTCGTCGACTCCAAGTACACCGTCTTTGACGTCTTGACGCTGTTCTTTGCCCACGAGGATCCCTGGGTGTCCTTGGCCGCCCTGGAAACCTACGTCCGTCGTGCTTACCGTGCCTACAATCTCAAGAAGATCGAGTACCAAACCGACGAAACCGATACGCCTGCCTTTGTGTCCTGGGACTTCGCCCTCCGCAAGATTGGCCAGTCCGAGTTTGGGCTGCCCGTTCAATCAGCCGCTCCGTCCACGCCTGCGACGCCGATTGACCAGACCTTCTCGAGGATCAGCTCCATTAGCGACATGTCGTATCTGTCCCAGCGGACACGGGAGGAACCGGTTCGGAAGGGTGTCATCATCCCTTGCAAGTATCTCGACGATGCCGAGGATATGCTTTCGAGGGCGCTCGACACACTTCCCATGCTAGGGAACCGCAGAAGGGTCGCAAACCCACTTGCCGCCCTCAGCGACATGCGTCGGCCGGCCCCACCCCCTCGCCTTGACAGCATGGATGAGCTTTCTGCCGTGGTCAACGTCGCAGTCCGGGACGCTGAGGGCCGCAGTGATGAGGAGACATTGAAGGATATCCTGCCTTTGGTCGAGCAATTCAAGGACGACCTCTTCTCCCGCCGTGTCCGCCGCCTCACGTTCATTTGCGGTCGGAACGATGGCTCGTACCCTGCTTACTACACCTTCAGAGGGCCCCAATACATCGAAGACGATAGCATTCGTCATATCGAGCCGTCTCTTGCTTTCCAGCTCGAGCTCGCCCGTCTCTCCAAGTTCAAGATCAAGCCAGTTTTCACCGAGAACAAGAACATCCACGTCTATGAGGGCATCGGCAAAGACGTCGAGACCGACAGGCGCTTCTTCACCCGTGCCGTCATCCGCCCGGGCAGGCTCCGTGACGAGATCCCCACTGCCGAGTACTTGATCTCGGAGGCGGATCGGGTGATCAACGACATTTTCGACGCCCTCGAGATCATCGGCACGAGCAACTCGGATTTGAACCACATGTTCATCAACTTCAGCCCCATCTTCCAGTTGCAGCCGCAGGAGGTCGAGCACTCGTTGCAGGGCTTCTTGGACCGGTTCGGCCCTCGCGGTTGGCGCCTGCGCGTGGCGAATGTCGAAATCCGTATTATTTGTACGGACCCCGCCACCGGGCAGCCTTATCCCCTCCGTGTCATCATCACGAACACTTCAGGGTATGTCATCCAAGTTGAGATGTACGCCGAGCGCAAGTCGGAGAAGGGCGAGTGGGTGTTCCACTCTATCGGCGGTACTACCAAGATCGGCGCGATGCACTTGCTTCCCGTCTCGACGCCCTATCCGACCAAGAACTGGCTGCAGCCCAAGCGGTACAAGGCCCACATCATGGGCACCCAGTATGTCTACGACTTCCCGGAGCTCTTCCGCCAGGCGATCCAGAACAGCTGGACCACCGTTGTCAAGGCACAACCTTCCCTGGCGGGTGACCAGCCGGCCACCGGCGAGTGCATCGACTATAACGAACTCGTGCTAGACGATCAAGACAACTTAGCCGAGGTGTCTCGCGAGCCTGGTACCAACTCGTGCGGTATGGTTGGTTGGCTCATCAAGGCCCGTACGCCCGAATACCCCAAGGGTCGCCGGTTCGTCGTCGTTGCCAACGATATCACCTACAACATTGGCTCCTTTGGTCCCAAGGAGGACAACTTCTTCTTCAAGTGCACGGAGCTAGCCCGCAAGCTAGGTATCCCGCGCATCTACCTATCGGCAAACTCCGGTGCGCGCCTGGGCCTCGCCAACGAGCTGATGCCTCACTTCAGCGTCGCTTGGAACGATGCCGAGAAGCCCGAGGCTGGCTTCAAGTACCTGTATCTCAAGGACGAGGCCAAGCGTCGGTTTGAGAATGAGGTCATCACCGAGGAGGTCACGGAGGATGGGGAGAAGCGCCACAAGATTGTGACCATCGTCGGTGCCGAAGACGGTTTGGGCGTCGAATGCTTGCGCGGTTCCGGCTTAATCGCAGGTGCCACGAGCAGGGCTTACAGCGACATCTTCACCTGCACGCTCGTGACCTGCCGCTCTGTTGGTAAGTTCATGTCCCGCAAACCCCGTCTCTTGTCTCACGCAAGCTAACTTGTTTAGGTATTGGTGCGTACCTCGTGCGTCTTGGCCAGCGTGCCGTGCAAATTGAGGGCCAACCGATCATCCTCACCGGTGCTCCGGCGCTCAACAACCTGCTCGGTCGCGAGGTCTACACGTCCAACCTGCAACTCGGTGGCACTCAAATCATGTACCGCAATGGTGTCTCTCACTTGACTGCCAACGACGACTTTGCCGGCGTCTCGAAGATTGTTGAGTGGATGTCTTTCATCCCCGACAAGCGCAACAGCCCCCTCCCCATTCGGGCGAGCATTGACGACTGGGATCGCGATGTCGTCTACACCCCGCCGCAAAAGCAGCCTTACGATGTCAGGTGGATGATTGCTGGCAAGCAGGACGAGGATGGCTTCCAGCCCGGCCTGTTCGACAAGGACTCCTTCGTCGAGACTCTGGGTGGCTGGGCTCGCACTGTGGTGGTCGGTCGCGCCCGTCTCGGCGGCATCCCCATGGGTGTTATTGGCGTCGAGACCCGCTCGGTCGAAAACATCACGCCCGCCGATCCTGCCAACCCTGACTCGATCGAGCAGCTGACGAACGAGGCCGGCGGCGTATGGTACCCCAACTCGGCCTTCAAGACGGCTCAGGCCATCAACGACTTCAACCATGGTGAGCAGCTCCCGCTCATGATTCTCGCCAACTGGCGTGGTTTCTCGGGCGGTCAGCGCGACATGTACAACGAGGTTCTCAAGTACGGCTCTTTCATCGTGGATGCCTTGGTCAAGTTCGAGCAGCCCGTGTTCATCTACATCCCGCCCTTCGGGGAACTGCGTGGTGGCTCGTGGGTCGTCGTGGACCCGACCATCAATACCACGTTCATGGAGATGTATGCGGACGTGGAGGCCCGCGGCGGTGTCCTTGAACCTGAGGGCATCATCGGCATCAAGTATAAGAAGGACAAGCAGCTCGAGACGATGGCCCGCCTCGACCCTCTGTACTCCAACCTCAAGAAGCAGATGGCCAGGGAGGGTCTGTCCAAGGAGGAGGCGGACGATATCAAGAAACAGATGACGGAGCGCGAGCACCAGCTCCTCCCGGTCTACGCCCAGATCAGCCTGCAATATGCCGACCTACACGACCGCGCCGGGCGCATGAAGGCCAAGGGTGTCATCCGCGAGGTGCTGGAGTGGCGCGAAGCCCGCCGCTTCTTCTACTGGCGCGTGCGCAGGAGACTCAACGAGGAATACACCCTTCGTCGTATCAACAACGCCACCGCGCCGGGTGGTGCCCACGCCAAGGACGTGGCCGCCCACGCGCTGGTCTCGGCCGAGGCCCGCAAGCGCCACCTGCACCTGCTCGAAGCCTGGTCCGGCATCCCCAACTTTGCCACTGATGACCGGGCCGTGGCCGAGTGGTACGAGGCCAACAGGAAGCTGGTGCACGACAAGGTGGACGCGCTCAAGAAGGAGGCCATCGCCGCCGAGATGAGGGATCTCGTGCGCGTCGGCAGCGACGGCGCTGACGCCACCGACGGTGCTGCGTGGAAGGGTGTCCGCGACATGCTGCGCGTGATGCCGGTGGAGGAGCGGGATAAGGTCCTTGAGTTTTTGAAACAGGTTTAGGTTTGCTTGGTTGGTGACGGCTGGGGGCGGTTTGGGTGTGGAAACAGTGGTTAGTTAGACTTGGGGGTTGGCGGGTAGAGGACCGGGGCGGCCTGTGTGATGATGGCTTGGCTTGGCTTGTATGGTTAGCGTGGCGAGTAAATGATGATTTTGCTATTTGGTACTGCGTTTTGCTGTGGTTTGTTCTGTGACTGTGCTCTTTTTGTGGTGGATTCGTGACTGGTCTGGTTGGCTTGTGTTACTCGTGGTCTCGTGGGAGGGAGTAAGCCAAGTAAGCCAAGTTTGGGTTTCTAACGTCCAGTTCTTCAAAGTAGGGGGGCAGACACGAACCGGCTCTGGCGTCGGCCAGTGTTCCCTCCTTTGGGTGTGTCACGGGAACCGGGACGTGGGTGGGTTTCTGTTACAGCAGACGGGTATATTTACTATCCGTTCTCACTGGTTCCCCAACGGGAGTCGGTTTCCGTTTTGGAATCCGCGACGGATTTCTTGTCAACTGTCAACACTGCCACTCTTCCCCTGGGTCTGTCGATAACTTCATATCGTGGAAGGTAACCGCACCAAGGGCAGCACTGGGCATGCCAGACCGAGGGGTTATCAAATGGCAGACTGCTTCCCCTTTGCCAGGCCCCTCAAGTCTTACCTATTCGCTGTCTTTGGCATCTACCATGAATATCATGGAATGACTCAGGTCGTCCGCGGTTACCCAAACACCAAACAGTCTATGTATACTAACTATTGGGGGTCCCATATTCAGCCAGGGCTGCTCGCATGGTTGGCGTTACGGACGGGCATGGCCCGCGCCCTGCCTCCCGTAGGCAATCGACATGGAACCTCATCTCACTACCACCAAAGGATGGCGTGGCTCGTGCTGGGGTTCCGCAGATCGAACACGACACATGGAATATTTCCGTTTGCGTCACGGCTAGGATCTTGAAGGATTGGTAATATCTTCGCGCACTAAACATAGTGTAGCAAGTGAAACGTGGGAGCATGCGGCTCGTGATAGGTTGTGCAGGTCAGAGTGGACACATGGGGTTTGTGTTCAGTCGCAATGCTGCCGGTAAGGGTGCTATGCAAAAGTTGTTTTCATAGTTGCCATTGTAGGGGTCGTTGGCGTTGTCGACGTGTGGGACTCGCGATAGTAGAGTCGGTGGGAAAACGTGTGTGGAATGTTGTGTGTGGGAGGAAAAGCTAGCTAGCCCTGCCACTGCGGGAGGATGTGGGCGGTTGCCCTGCACGTGAGGTGGGCCAGGGAAGGCCCCACCTCTCACACGACGGGGTTTATAATGTTAGTGGTAAAGCTTTGTTCCTGTCTATGAAGTTAGGATTTGTGAGGCCATGTAGCGGAACGCCGTCAGAAGGCTGATAATCTCCTTGCGGCTTCGTCTCACTACTGTACAAGTAGCAACACTGCGGCTCGTGGTGGGTTGTACAGATCTGAGACAGCACGTAGAGTTTGTCTCTAGCCGTGATCACCACGGATACTGGCTGTGGTGGTCGCAGCAACGTTTTGGTGACATCTCCTTTTTAGGAACATCTGAGCATTGTGAAAAGGGACAGAGCGACCATGGGTACTCAGCTTGTGTTTGCCTCTGATAAAATATTGATTGAGAGTGACGTTGGCTCACAGCTGGAATAGCTGAGGAATGAACCCCTTACACCTTGACCTAACGTTCTTGACTCATCACGGTTAACTAACGAGCCGATGTTTCAAGACACAAGCACTAAGGAAAGCTTACACACTGCTCTGGTTGTATTTATGACACATATCGGGCATTCCGCCTGCGGAGCTAGGTGTATGGGGTTATCTGGGTGTCAGAGAATGACATATAAATATACTCTGGCCTCAACCATTCACTTGGTTCTTTGCAGTCGGATATCATATTATCATCAAGCCGCCCTCATAGACATCAACCAGTCTCTTAACCCTCAAACTCAACCGTTAGCACAATGACCACCCCATCAAGCCCGACGGTCACGATAGAGGTCCAGCCGCCTCCCATCGTCCAACAAGGCAGCGCCATCTCGCCGAAAGTCAAGGCCAAGCTGCAGTTGAGCTCAGACAGCTACCCAGGATACGGGGTTGACAACATATTTGCCACGGCCGTTGTGAGAGACACGAATGGGAACCCAATCGACAGCTCGGATTACCAAGGCGGCACGGACGTGCAACAGGAGCGCGCGAAGACTGCGGGGGGTAAAACGACCGCGGTTTATTCGTTCCGAAACCTTTGCATCTCCAGGACTGGAACCTTTCGCCTCCGCGTTTCGATTAGCCACTTCGATAATGAGATGGGGACTGTAGTGCTCTGCCATGTTGATACTTTGACCTTTATAGTGGATTGAACACCACTAAACAGAGGCCGAGGATTCAATGGGCAAGTAAGCGTGTTTCTTAGTGTTGAGTATGATGGCTGATATGCTGACTGTCCTTCGTTGTATAGAGAGTTGTAATGCGAGTTGGAAGTTGTCAGGCTTTGAGCGACGTGATTTTATTCTTATTTTAGGATTGCTGGGTATTTATCGAATGAAGGGTCTGGAGAACGAGGAGAATGTCATGGTTGTCGTGTCACCATACGGCGGTATGTTTTTGTTGTTCTCACCCAGGTTTCATATGATGGGCAGGAAGACAGAGGTTCTCATAGTAGCGTGACACTTCCTTTTCCAGGCTCGGAGTGTTTGTTACTTTTATAGCCGTTGCACAGGTCATAAATACCGTGCATGTTTCAACTTTCCGTTTGCAAGCTTGGTGTAAGATGTGATCGGGATAGATTTGACATGTAAAGATCAGTGTGGCCGTTGTCCCCCGTAACACCCGGTGTTACTTTCCGAGGTGGTGTTCTCCCACGTGCGTCTCGGCGTCATTCCAGGTCATTGTTAGGCATTTTCCTAGAATCATCTCAAGTTCTCAACTACCCTAGGCGGTGACTGGTGGCAGACCTCTTAGGATGTATCGGAGCATATAGGAGGTTAAGCTCAAGAATTACTATTAGAAGCCTGCTAGAACACCTACTGTCCTAGTTTAGAATTGTAACGAGAAAGAGGAAGTTAATATAGGTTATGAAAAGAAAAAAGAACACCAAAAAGAGGTGTTGGGAAAAAGGGGGAGGAAAGCCCAAAAAATGACAGGATGTAATCGCTGTCGGGAATTGAGCCCGACGTGGGGGTCGAACCCACAACCTTGAGATTGGAAACTTCATAAGAGTCTCACGCTCTACCGATTGAGCTAGCCGGGCAGGCTAGTTAAATGTTTGTTGAAATGGGCTTCGGAGATGCAGCATCTATGCCCCTTTGCACAGATCACTTCGGACCCTGCTTAGAGCCAAGTGGGAGGGGGAATGCTAACAAAGGTCGAGGTCTTCAGTTTAGACGCTCGGGGACCGAACCCCGGCAGTCATTGTTCTCTTGCCCATGTGGCAGCCTAGACATACCAACTCCAAGCACTGGTAACTCTTGGGGCGTTCCTTTTGGGGGGGCTTGGTGCGCAATGTCAGAGTTTCGACCGTCGCCACGGACTGCCCGAGGGACTGTCCGCCAAAGAGAGTTTGTGACCCCCTGCACCAACGTCAACGCGTACGCCCTTCCCAGTGGGCAGCCCAAATCATTGCGTCCTGTCCAACCGGCTAGCCAGCCTAGCAAGCGCACCCCAGTAATTATAGAAATAACGCAGTCCCGGAAGATAAAGAAAGCTGAAGAGTTCCAAATATACAGGCTTGAAATATACTGTTGTACAGCCGCCATATCGCGGTAGGTATTCGCGCTGTATGTGGGGGCGGGCGCAACCTTTTGCCAGGTGACAACCCGCCGCCTTCCGCCACCCCATTCATTCCGGCGCAACCAATCTCTCGGCGCCGCCCATCCGTCGGATCGCTTAGGCCGCTGCGGTGCTGCTGTGTCTGGGCCGCTTGCGCGCGCTGCCGGGGGCGCCGGGGTGCATCTTCTCGTTGCGCTCGCGCTTGAGCTTCTCGTCGAGCACGCGGGCTGTGGGAGGAGGGAAAGGTTAGTACGCCCGCGGGGGGCTCTCGGGAAGGGGGGCTGGTGTGCCACATACTGAGTACGTCGTAGCCAAACTGGGGGAACTCCAGGCAGAGGGTGCGGAACTCCTCCTCGGCCTCGGCGCGCAGGGTGTGGGAGCGGGTGGCCCAGAAGTTGGCGACGGGGACGCGGATGGACGTGTCCTCGCGCGAGGTGTACTCGTAGACGTAGCGGGCGTAGGCGATCTCGCCCTTGGCGGTCGAGTTGACGCAGTGGATCTTGCTGGACGCGAGGTTCTTGAGGTCGGTGAGGCCGAACTTCTCCGCCAGCGTGTACACCTTGGCGTGCTTGAGCAGCTGGTCGCCCGTCATGTCCACGTCGGGGATCGACGCGTCCTTCTCCAGCGTGCGCTGCCCGGGCACCTTCTTGGGGAAGTAGTCGTTCGTGTAGAGGAACTCGAGAAAGCACCCCATCGCGTCGAGGTCTTCGCCGGGTAGCTCGATCTGGCGGGGCTGCGGGACACACACAACACACAGATAGTCAGCACCACTAAAACCTCCTCAAAACAAACCCGCGGACAAGCTGCCCGCGCGGCACACATAACATACACTCCCATCATCCGCAAACTCGGCGCACGCGTCGGCAAAGTACGGGCTCTGCACCAGCAGCCCCTGATGCGCCGTGAGGATGGTCTCCTTGTCGCCCGTCCCGATCAGCAGCGTGACGACGGGGCTCGAGAGGTACTGCAGGAAGGACACGCGCTCCGGGACCGGGTCCTCGGGCACGCCCTCGGCGAAGGGGAGCACGGAGCTGTTGGGGTTCTCGGCGGCGGCGGCGGTGGCGGCGCCCTCAGCCATCTCGACGTCGCCGGTGCCGGTGGCGGCGGCCGGCGCATCCTCGACCATTCCCTCGTTGAAGCTGTCGGCCATGTTTGTCTTTTTTTGGGTGGTCTCGTGTACGTCGGCGGTCGGTGGTCGGTCGGTAGCTCTGTTGCGCAGTTGGCTAAGCAAAAGCGAATTGGCAGGTCGGTCAATTGGTCGGCAAAGTGGTCGCAAAGTCTCGATTAAATAACTAGATGAACGATTGAAGAAGTGCGGCGGGCTGCGCGCGTGCGTGGGAACCCTGAAGGACCGGAGGGAACGAAATCCGGCAGAGTACGCGATTGGATACTCTCGCACAATAGTTAAGGGAGGGTGGGGAAGCAAAACAACAATGGCGTTCTTGGTCCAGCGTTGGGACAATGGAGGGGATCACAAAGATGGCCCGTTCGGAATTGGGAGGCTGGGGTAGCGAGCTCTCATGAGCTCCCGAAGCTCCAGCAGCTCCAAGCTTGAAGAATGCCTGAGGCTGCAAGCCTGCAAGGGACAGGGAGTCCCAGTTGCCGGGGCACCGCGGAGGGGTACAAACATACAGAAAGATTACATGTAATGTGTAATCTGTACCAGCAGCGTCTATCGCCCAGAGTCGGGACAGCCAACAAGTCACTTTACCCGACAGGAAATAACCAAACTCGTCGATACACAGCTGGGCAGAGGGCATATCTAATTATATATTCCATTACGCCACGCTAGAAACTACTATAGCCACGTCCTGCATGCGAAATCAGCGCAGAACTCATCCACTGGTCGGCCGCCATGCGCGACGACCAGGCACGATAATACAAATATGTAACACACGAGGCGCTGTTCTCACTTCCGCCAACTTCAAGCCAAGCCACCTACTCGCCATTCCATAACTCACTGCCCCATAGCCTTCGCGCTCGCCCTCCGCGCACGACCGCTACGGCGGTGGCGCTCACCAGCATCCCCCTGAGGCGGACCCGATTCTCGCTGTCGGCCGCGTTCCTCGCTGTGCGCCAGCTCGCTGCTCTGGCCCAGGCGCTCCCTCCAGGGCTTCCGCCCGCGGATGATGGCCTCGTCGTCCGGGTGCAGGAAACGGTTGACGAGCCTGTGATCGAGCACACGCTCCTCTTTGTCGTTCTTGCCAGCCGGCGCCGTCTTGGGCCAGACGTAGCCGTACAGCTTGGAGTGGCGCTCGCACCGGGAGCAGTTGGCCCGCGTGTAGTAGGCGTCCCCCTGCACGAATGCCACGTTGCAATTGGTGCAGAGGATCCACGCCATCTCGGGCTGCGAGAGGAGGAGGGGCGTGAGAGTATAGTCACCAGGCACGCGCTGTTTCCGGACGGGTTCTGGCGCTTGCTTTTCGGAGACCCGCCGCTGTTTTCTCTTCGTTGCAGGCGCTGAAGTGGCGGAGACGACCTCGCTATTGGGCTCTGCGGCCGGGCCGGGCGCTTCTACCACTGTCATTTCTGCGCTTTGTTGAGCACTACCCTCTGCTTCTTCAAGCCGCGGGGCGCCCGAGTTCGGCATCGCTGGTGCACTAGCCTCGAGACTCTCGTCTGGGATCGTCTCCTGTGAGTCTTCCCGAGCTCTGTTTTCTGCCTTTTGAACGGGCAAAAGTCCCGTAGAAACAGGTGCGATATGAACGGGCAAACCTTCTGCTGCTAACGAGCATTCAGAACCGGGAACCGAAGATGCAGAAGTTGTTGTCAAGTCAAGCCTATCTTCCACGGGATCAATCTCCGTAGTAGGAAGAACCGATAGTGGTGTGGTAATTTCTGCGGGCGCGGCATGGTCGCCATTCGATGTGTCGCCCAACGCGGCGCCATGCTTCATCGGCGACATCTCTGGTGACGGCAGCGGCTTTTCTAGCCTCAAAGGTGGTCCCGGCTGCTCAGATTCGGGCGTTGTCGCTTGTGTCACGGTGCTCTTCCCGTCCTCTGATGGAGCAAGACTGTCGGCGACGCCACTAGCTGAGCTGTCCCTCGACACGTCTAGGCTCAGGGCAAGGGTAGAAATATCGTAATTGTTTGACTTTTGGCGTTTAGCTGGCGTGAGTGGCGGCGAGCTGAGAGCTACGCTGTCAAAATTCCGCTTCGGGGGAGCTGGGGCTATCGCCAATACCTCGGCGCAGTCGGTATCCGTCGTCGAGGCCCTGTCGGTCGCCATTGCTCGGTTTTTCGCGGTCTTGAAGATTCGCGGGGCGAATGTCGGGAGTGACCGAGGAAGTGCGAGACCCAGCGACGCTAACACTCCGTTCCCGCCTCCGGCGCCGCAGCGAATAGCCTTGGTCGTCACCGAATAGGCCCTCCTCAATGCTCCTATGCACCGGTACGGTACCGTCCTTGGGCTTCCAGCCGTTGGCCACGTTCTGCTCGCATGTCTGGCAGAGGCAGTCGCAGTTGTACTCTCCAAAATAGCTCTCACTATACGTGACGGTAATTTCCTCGCCCAATGCGATGTCCCTGCACGCAAAAATCTCGATCCCTGCCGCGCCGCGCGTAACGAGCCTGGCATTTGCCGCACAATCGTGGTTGGCGAATCTCGCTGGCCCCATAAACAAGCTGGTCAGCTTGCTCCGGCTGCTGACTACGAGACTGAAGTCCTTCTTGCGCAACGCTAGCTGGGCCTCCTCCTCGGGCGTAACCGTTACCTGGGTGCCAGCCAAGTACTTGATCGCCTCATTGCGCCTGATGGGGCGTCGCGCCGTGATGCTCGCTTCGTATGAATCGATCGTGAAACGGTTCGTCGCATTGACTTCGAACGGGCAGTCGGGAAGGTAAATGGACATGTATCGCCGAAGATGTGCCTTGAAGTCGTCTTTCTCTTTGGACGTCCTGAGCGCATTATGAAACTTTCTTAGGCCGTCGGTTGCCAACAACTTCCCCTCGGCGACGGCGAGGTCCGGGTCGACGATGAGGTGAGTTTGGATGATTTTGGCAATGTCCTCCTCCCGGACGCCACGGGAAGGATGGTACGAAGGGCGGTTTTTCGGGATTGCCGTCCAGTAGTAAACCTGTTATTTGTGGTCAGCGACTGGTTCCCGTCAAGCCGAGTCCTGCATCACATACATGGTCAACGAGGGCGTCGGTCAGGATATCATCGTACGCAGCGAGCTGCGCGAAGGTCAACGGCTGCTTCTTGATCGCCGGAATTGGGGTGCGAGGCATTATGGTGAGATGGGGGGTGTTTTCGCAGGTAAGGTGGAGGATCGAGGGGAGCCGGTTCGAGCGTGGGCGGAAAAAGGAACGAGTGAGGTGTGGGTGGAAGGAGGCCACCCGTGCCGGTGAAATAAAAGGAGTGGAAGGATAATGTCGGTGCGGCGACAAAGTAACGAGCGTCAGATTCTCATGCCCAGTGCGCCTTCCTCATGCGATTTCCGGTCTGAGAAATGTGTCCTGGTTGGAGAAGCGCCGTCTTGCTGCAGCACGCACGTGCTTGAAACTGTCGACCAGCTGAATGTAATGCGAGAAATAGCTGGACTCAGCCTCCAACTGCGACCCTCCAGCTACAATTGGACTGCCAATTGGCGGCTGCAGGATGCAAGTCAGTCGAGTGCGCGCCGAGAGTCGTAAATCGGGTAGCCGGGTTCGACTCGTGTTGTCGTCATAAGTTGCGGGAGTGACCAGCCGAAACCCTGAGAACACACAACCCTTCGCGGGATTGCGGTATGATTGGCGATTCTTCTGGGAAGGGTGAGTTTCGGGGGAAGGAAATGGTGGATGGTGCGACCCTCTCCCCGTGGAATTTTGGAGAAGTGACGGTACATACCTGAATGCCAAAAAGAGAAGAGGGCGACACTTGCATGAAAGCATTCAAGGCCCCTCGATGTCCCGTTGCCCTGGAAATTGCGAGGCTTGGCTCAGCAGCCGAGCTAAACAAGGAGAGGGGAGGAACGACATGCGCCCGAAGCTTTGCGCAACGGACTCCATTGGCTTTGACCTCCGCCAAGCCTCCGCACATTCCCGGGGTCGACACCATCCTCGTTGCGCATCTCACAGCGGATCTCACACCGCCTTGGTTACATAATCCAGCCTCTTCCAAGCCAGCCGCGAACAATTTTCCAGGGCCGGCATTGGCCGAAAGTTGAAGTGGGCTTCGACGTCAAAAGTCCAAGACAGTCAGTCAACACCACTGCGGGCGGGCATCGTGTGAGAGGCAAACGATTTCAAGATGATCCAATTAAAGGTGCGTACCGTTCCTTACCGGATTCGCATGTCAGGCTGACGAGAGACCAGTCGATGCTGAACTGCATCGACAACTCTGGCGCGGCCATTGTCGAGTGCGCCATGGTCATCGGGCAGAAGAGGCACGCATCGATCGGTACGTACAACCGCCTAGTCGAACCCGAGCCCCCCGGCAGGCATTGACCGGCACGATCACAGGTGACAGGATAGTGGTGGTCGTTCAGAAACAGAGAGGTGCGCAGGCGGAGGGCATGGCCGCCTCCTCGGGTACCAAGGTCAAGCGCGGCGACATCCGGCACGCCATCGTGGTGCGGACGAAATACAAGGTGCAGCGGCGAGACGGCAGCGTGATCAGGTTCGACGACAACGCCTGCGTCCTGATCAACAAGGCTGGGGACCCCATCGGCTCACGAATCAACGGCGTCGTGGGACAGGAGCTGCGGAAGAAGAAGTGGAGTAGGATTCTCAGCATGGCGCCCATGCAGGCATAACCGGGGAAAGGCTGGGGGTCTGGGAGCGCCGTCGAGATTCGTCAATGTAGCGGCCTGGTCATCGCGGGCTAATTCTGCCTGGGCAGTGAAACGGGCCTGGCGTGGCGACTGGGTTGATAGGAATGCAGCATTAAACGGCGTTATTGGGCGTCGTGTAGACTACTTGTACAAATGCAAAAAAGGAAACCGGTAGACACCACGGTTTGGTTCTCTCCGGTGACTGACGATGGAGTAGATACATGCATTGACCCTAGTGCAAACGCTGCGCCGCCCACAAAAGCCGATATCCACCTGGAAGAGCCCCTATCGCTAAACGCCAAAGTGTGCCGATGCCCTCTAATGAATCATCGGTGGAAGCCAACCCCGCGAGGGGAAAAAAAACAGTCCTATTGGAAAATGTTGCCGCAGTCGCAGCAGACATAAAAAAGTTTCTAATCATGTTAACAATGCGTGGTTCCCGAGCGCGTCGACAAGGGTTGCTCACCATTCCGGTTTCAGCACTGCGCTGCTGGGACTGGAAAAAGACAGCCTCATCATGGTTGCAAGCCGGGCAAGTCCGTTTGGCTCTTGGTAGCTAGGCAAGAATTATCGTCAGCGGTTGGTCCCTCGTCCTGATCGAACAGAAAGTCGCAATCCAAGGCCTGCAAGCTTCAACCGCCAAGTCCTAGTCAGCGGCCGCCGCGATCGAGGCGGGTTTCTAAGTCGTCTTTTCGCAATAATGATGGAGATAGCTGGAGCGTGCGTGAAGTCCGCTGTTGTGAATGTATGTCGTCCAAGCCGCTGAGATTATTTCGCGTGATTTGAGCTTGTTCGAGTGACTGCCGATGTTTGACGTTTCAAGGACCAGTCGCAACCACTTGGGGCTTTCTTCCGCTGGCAATAAGGACCTCGTCGGTCTTGTCGCCCACGCCGAAGTCCATCTCGCCGAGCCCAAAGAAGTCCTCAGTCCGCGACATTAGTGCGCCGAGTTCGTCCAGGCTGTCACCCGTCCAAGCCACAATCTCGATGTCGTCCAGATCCACGTCCAAGTCGTCGTCATCGTCCATATCGACGTCTGGGTCGAACTCCAGGACGCTAACCTCGTCGTGTTCTAGCCCGGGCGGGCCCGGGTCGGCAGCAGGCATGGAGAAGTGGTCGCCGCATGTCTCGCAGACAATCACGCAGCCGCAACCAAGGCAGGAAGAAACGCAGGCCGAAACCGTAGACGCGCTCGTCGAGCCCGACGAGCCAGAACCCCGGCGGCTGAAAACTTCATCGCAAGAAATAGAAGAAGGGCTACCCACTGTAGGATCGCTACCGACGTCCTGCGTCACACCGGCCGTCTCACCCGCAGCGTTGTTCATGGCGTTGCGGAAGATACAGGACGAGGTGGCCTCCTCCGAGAAGTTGCACGTGCGGCACGTGAACATGAGCTTGCGGTCAACCTCGTCTTCCTTGGGGTACAGCATGTTGCTGCACTCGGAGCAGAACCGGAACGTGATCTGCTCGGCCGGCTTTTTGCGGTCATCAGAGGCGGAGGCTGCGGGCGACGACATTGTTGGCGTGATGGATGGATGGTTTGGTTGATGCTTTCTTGACTGATGGAGGTTGTGTTGCAGGTTGCGAGAGGTCGGCGATGAAACTGAATAGGACGCGAGGTTAAAACCGATGCAAGGTTGGCGCTTTAGTAGTTTGGGGCTGAGGATTGCCTGTCGGATGGAAGTTGATGAGTCGGTTGATGGAAAGATTGGCTGCTAAGGGGAAAACGATGGTTTGCAGTGATGCTGATGTGGCAGGGGAAAGGCGGGAAGATGGGCGTGGGGGCTTGTGCTTGAGCAAACCTCAAACCAGCGGGGCGTCACGTTACCTTTTACCTAGTAAGTCTAGTAAAAGGAAAGAACTAAGTGAACTCGGTGAGGACAAGAGCGGGTGGCGAAGGTGATGGTTCCTGCGAAGTGGGGCCTGAGGTTCAAGTTGGTAAGATGAAAGTGATGCTCGGAAGCTTGTCACAGCTCTGTCTCGCTGAGAATAACTCACTCCATAAAAAACGAGGCTGCGCTTTACCATTTGCGGCCGCTGCCTTGCCCGTGCCTGCCCCACCGCCCGGCTCGCCTCGTTCACAAAGCCAGGCTGCCCTGTGTGCGGCCTTCGACGTCCGTCCCTCTTCACATTTGTCGTTTGGCATGCCCCTAAAGTCAAAAAGGAAAAAGAAAAAAAGAAAAAAAGGAACCAACATGCTCCCATCTTCCTGAATACCACGCGATACCCCATGCGGGGGTGTGCCAGACGGAGAACTTAGCAGTCCTCGGCACCACCGAGGAACCTCGTCGAGTTGCCCTTGCGCAGCTCCGAGAGCTTCACTTACCAAGTTCGACGCACTTCGCCCCTGCAGTGCTCAAAAATGCATTATGGACTGCTCGTCCGGTCCATCGAATTCCTCTGGCCACCATGTGTCGCCCCAAACACCTAGCGATGGTGCACATCTTTACATTTAAAGGTGAGCTGTGTATGTACGTACTACGATTAATTGCAGTGATATTCTGGGTTGGCTGTGGGTCGCATGTTTTTGCTGGCGACACCTCCCTACCGACGGGAGCCATGGAGCGGCCAGGGTGTCCAACCTGATAATTCTCTTTGCAGGCATATCGACCGTTGTAGAGGGCCAGGCCGGGCACTGTGGGCGGCCGTAGCATCGAGAAAATTTGCCCCTCCAAGAGCTCCTCGAAATGGTCCAGCCTTTCCATCCGATGTTCGAGCTTCCTGGGAGGTGGAGTTCCAATACCAGCTGCAGGTGCAGGGCAGGTACACCTATACCGACTGGGGTCTCCACTCACAGCGAGAGATTGCAATCATACCTAGGTAGGTACGGACGAGAACGAGAGAAGCATCACTTCCATCTTCTCCTTCCACGTGCCTCTCGGTGAACCTCATCAAGCTCGCAAATCAAGTAGTGGCTCTGTGATTCGCTCAGATAAATGGCCACACCCAAGGTAGCCGGTTAGAATTACCGCACCAGTTACGTCGACTGTGACATTGCAACCTCGAGCCCCGAGCCTCGTGATGGATGATGCGCGAAAATGGCGCCCACACGGGTGGGACAGGTGACGGGTGACGGAGCCTGGCGATGGCGGGGTGCTCGGCCACTCTGCCCACTGAAACAGGGGTCCGGTGCAACCCGCCTGCCGTGCCCTGAGCGAGCCTTGCAATGGAACATCAAGGCGCCAAGCCCTCCAGCGCCCCGGACCCCCGAGCAACCTACCGAGCAACCCCCACCACTTTCTCATCACCCCCGCCTTCTCGGCCCAGCTGCACTCCGCATCCAGGTAGACTTCGATTGACCATCACTGCAACCCTGCCACTCTACCGACCCCTACTAAAGACGAAGCGCGTCATCAGGTGCTCTGAGGAACACCTTTCTCTGACCGGCTATTCTCTTCCGCTCAGCTTCCTGATCTCGTGTCATTTCAGCCCGCTACCCATCAGCGATACCTACTCGTGCGCAACCGAAGAAGTCAACCCAACCCAACACCCCATCCGTGACCACCACCGCTCCGATATCTGTAGTAGTGTTCGAGTCGACGACGACCATGGCCGACGTAAGTGATGCACCGGAGCTCCCTCTCAGCCTTCCCAGCACGCCTCAAGCCGCAGGGAGCTAACATGCTCCCCTCTCAGCAATCCGAGACCGGCCTCCCGCCCAACTGGGAGGTGCGCCACAGCCAGTCCAAGAACCTGCCCTACTACTTCAACGCGGCCGAGAAGGTTTCCCGCTGGGAGCCGCCCGCAGAGACCGATACAGAGAAGCTCAAGATCTACATGGCCGAGTACCACAGCAACAAAGGCCTGGCCACGGGCACCGGCGAGGACCGCCAGCCGGGTAAAATCCGCGCCGCCCACCTGCTCGTCAAGCATCGTGACAGCCGCCGACCCTCGAGCTGGCGTGAGAATACCATCACCCGCAGCAAGGAGGACGCCTACGAAATTATCAAGGCTCACGAGGTCCGCATCAAGAACGGCGACATTTCGCTCGGCCAACTCGCCCTCACCGAGTCCGATTGCAGCAGCGCCCGCAAGCAGGGAGATCTGGGGTTTTTCGGCCAGGGAGACATGCAAAAGGAATTCGAGGACGCCGCGTTCGCGTTACGGGAAGGCGAGGTGTCCGGGATTGTTGACACAGCCAGCGGGCTACACCTGATCGAGAGGTTTGTTGTCCCCTCTCCGACCTAGGATTTGGAACGTTACTAACTTGGTTGTCTTAGGCTCGAGTAAGCCTCCTTGAACGAGTTGCGAAGGATCTGGTCCTGTATGGTTTGCCACGCATTTGCCTGAGAACACTAGCAGCCATAGCGTGCCTGTTACAGCAAGATTACGTTGATGTGCCACGCTGATAAGAACCGCACAACAGTTCGTTCATGTGCTAGAATGGAAAGTAAATGCGCAAGCCTAACCACGGATGTGGTCCGACTCCGAAGTGCCGCCCACGGTCCTCCGGCAGGAGCCCGAATTCGAGCCTATCCGCAGTAACATCAAAGACATCCATGTTTTCCGAGTCCCGCGATACCTGTCTGTCCAAGAACAATATTGCCCCCCTCATATGTTAGTCGCCCTCTGGTATATCCGAACCCTGATTTTGTATGTAACCTCTCATTCTGCAACACTTTTTACAATCCACCCCGCGAGCGGCGGAATACTCGAGAACACCACCGTCATAACCCCTAACGCAATCATCGACAGCGCAGCGTACGGCGCCGACTCGCTCTGCGCCTCATACAAGTACGCCGTGCCCATAGCCGCGGCGTTGATGCCGACGGTGACGCCGGCGGCAACCACCCTTGGGTCATTCGGCCTCCGCCGTGTTGTTACGGCCGCCCTCTCCTCACGGTCTCTGCCCCCGCCCGTCTGTGTTTGTGTCTGTGTCTCCACCCCCGTACCCGTGCCCGTCTCCGTACCACCACCACCACACCCTTCCCCGCAAGGCCGACCCACCGCCGTCCTCTTCGCTTCTCGCCCATCGCCGCTCTCAACCCCGTCATCATCATCTCCTCCCCTCCCCCCATCCTCATCACCCCCATCATCATCATCATCCTCCTCCAGCCCCTTCAACCCCCACCACGCGCCCACCCCCTTCACAACCAACACCCTCTCCAACCACCGCCCGACCCCCAGCCCCAACCCCATCTGGTACACAATCCCACCCCCAACCACCATAGCCGCATTAAGCCCGACATCCCCGCCCAGCAGACCCATGACGGGCCCCGCCAGCGCCACGGTGACGCTGCGCGCCGCGAAGGCCAGCGCCGCCCCCTCCGGCCCTACCCCGAGCCCCCACCGCCGCCCCGCCAGCGCCGGCCCCAGCGCCGCGTTGCCTAGCGCCAGCCCGGCCGACACCCCGCAGCACGCCAGCCCCGCCCGCGATACCACGCGCCCGCGGTGTGCGTAGAGTTTGAGGCCCCACGCTACGAGGCCGGCGTTGAGGAGCGTGATGGCGACGTCGCCTGCCGCGGGGGTCGGGGTTGGGGTTGGGGTGGTTGCGTTGGGGTTGGTGGTGGTGGTGACTGTGGTTTGGAGGATGAGGGTGGAGAGCGGGGTGTGGGTTTGGAGGGTGGCGAGCATGGCGGGCAGGGAGCGGCCGCTGAGGGCGGCGTCGGCGAAGACGTAGGCCACCATGGCCAGCGACGTCCACAGCACCGGGTTGAGCACGCCCGCGAGCACGGTGCCCAGCCAGGCGGGGAGGCGTGCCGGTGTGGATTTGATGGCCGCCTGGATGGCGAGGGTCGTGAGCCAGCTGGAGAAGAGGAGGAGCGTGGCGAGGGGGACGTCATTGCCCGCGCGGTACCGGAGCGGCAGGCCGATGGTGAAGGTGAGCAGCCAGCAGAGGAGGAGGATGGGGTTGCGGAGGGCCCAGAGCTGCAGGTGGGTTCGGAGGGATGGGGTGTCGGTTTGTGCGTGTGGGTTGGGTGCGTGTTGTGGTGTGGGCTCGTCCGTCTCGGAGGACTCTGCGGAGGAATCGAGACCGATCGTCAAGGAGCTGTTGGTGGGAGAGCCCTCGCATAGCGCTTTGTCGGGCTTGCGCGCTGCCCCCTTTTCAGCATCGGCATGCTTGTCCACCCAGAAATGTTTGTCGTAGCGAACCATGAGGCACTGGATCGAAAACGTGAGGAAGTAGGCAAAGAAGGTGTTGAGTAGGCCCATGAGCGCTTGGAAAGGTTAGCCAACTTGCTGCGCCGGGTGGCATGATCCGCTTACCGAAGCAGACAACGATCATGCCGATACTGCGGGCGTCGGATACGGGACCGTGGCAAAGCATGACAACCGGAATGGTGAAGCCGATGGACATGTGGCGGTTTAGAAGCTCTGTCTACTCCGGTCAGACCCAACAGACTGGAGGAGTCTTAGGATGGTACTCACAGCACGCCGTAATCGCTTGGTGTAGAACTCGTCGAGGCCCTGGACGATGCACCCGCATATTGAAAATGACAAAAATACAACGGCCATGGCCAATATGGGCGCGGGAAATTCGGACTTCTCCTGATCCAGACCGAGTTGGATGGCGGCTATCAACAACTGGGCAACCAAGGCAATGAAAATCGCAATGGCTCCATCTCGCAGCCTCTCCAGCAATTCTACCCATTCCCGAGACAGCGGCGTTGCTGCCCCAGGGCTCGCAGCAGGAGGTGGGCTCCGCACGGGCAGTGAAGCCATGCCGGACTCGCCCCAGCCCCACGGCACCGGCGCTCGGAGAAATGTTGGGTCCAACAGAGTGCAACAAGTGGACGGCGGATTGTTTGCTTCTAACACAGGCACACGCACGTCAGGCAGTGAGACATAACCTTGGACGAAGCTTGGGAGCAAAAGGAGGATGGCGACAGTTGTACTTTAAGGGGACAACAGCGGGAGCGACCCGTGGTGTCTGGAACACACACTGCAGCGGGCCTGGCGTTTGTATTCCCCGGTCCATGACCCGTGGCCACCCTGACGGTGAAGCCCGGGATGGAGCCCTTGGGCCGAATTTAGTCCTCAGTCGAGCGTCCTGATACAAAGGCCGTCCCGTCATGAACCAAACGAAAACTTGGCATGGTCGCCGAGCCGTGGAGATGCCCGCCAACCGGGAGGAGCAGAGAATCGGGGTTGACCCAGCCAACGAACGAATGAGATGTACAGGTTAGGGTGTTGCAGAAGGTCGTGTTTGCCGGCAAGGGCTCACGACATACCCCGAAGCGATGTGCTGAAGCGACACGTCGACATGTCGGTGTAGACCGTCCATTTTCGGGGCAGAGTTGCCCAGCAGGCTTTGGGACGTCCTCGGGTTGCGACTGCTTGCAGGTCCGGGCCAAACAGAGTAAACAAGGCGTGGGGATAGAGTACTACGGGAAGCGAGCCGGCGTCGTTGTGGGCTTCCAACCGATAGCGCGACGGGACACGGGAAGATGTTCCCCGCCGACGTAAGCACACCTTGATTCCCCGATCGAACCTCTGACCAAAGTCCGCTCCGCGGCCTGGTGGCCGAGCTTGGAAGAACCTACGCCCTTCGTCTATCCGATCAGTCTGGCGCTCAAACGCAGTGTCTTTCTTGCCTAACCTGAGCGCAAGATGTCAGTGGATGGCCGGCATGCTCCACATACGGCCGGCGGAGGAACCGAATGGGCATGGCTTGTTCGGTACTTCAACGCCACCGGGGGCGCCCCCGGCAAACGGCGGAGGGTTGGGCTGCGGGCGAAGGGTTTAGTCCCGCGGAATTGGGAGAGGCTGGACACGGGTCATGTCAGGATGCCCGATGGGGAAGCTGGCATTAGTTGGGGGGCGCAAACCAACACCCGTGCGTTGTGCGGAGCGGCCGCAAACGAGAATAAGAGGAAGAGGCCAGCCGGCGACAGAGCCGTCAACAGGCTGGTGGGAAGCCGCAGGGCTCTGGCGTGTGGTGGCGGATATGCGCGTTCCCGCCTCGCAACAACGGTTGGCTGCGGTTCGAGCCGCCGTTTAGTCCCAGGCGTGCGTGGCGGCATCGCGTTTTGTCCTCAGCGCACAAGCGGCTTGCTAGTGTTTGAAAGCTGGCTCGGCTTTTTGAAGGCCGTCGGAGGGAAAGTCACGTTGTGAGGGTGTTGGACGAGAGTGTTGGACGAGTTTTCGGTCCGCCACGCGGTGCTTGTGCTGCGCGGTTAAGCTTATCCAGACCGTCAGCATCTAAAGTCTGGACCTTGAAGGGCTGAACGCGGGCAAACAGTGACGCTTTGGTTGGTTCTCGCAGGCGCTCTTTTTGGCAAAAAAGCCTGAGTGCCTCCCTCTCGTCTCCTTGGGCAGCCAAGCGGTTCTGGGCTGGAATCTCACAGCAGCACTCTAGTCTCAGCCGTTGCGAAGCCTGATGCTGTGCTACACCGTTGTTGAAGGCTTGGGAAGAACGGGATGGCCCTCCGGTGGTGCGGAGGTCGTGGCACTCGCAACAGGACAAAGCTGACATCACCCTCGCCGCCAGCAGGCATTGGGAGCACTAGAGCTGCCCGGTTACCCCATCGCTCGGCCGAAGTGCTCCAACGATCTTCGAAGCCATGATAATAAATACCTACGAACACAGTAATGAGCAAGGTAGAGGAGTTACACACATGTTGGGACCTCTCTGCCACTTGGATCAGCCTTGATAAAGCCTGACTGTGTGAAACCACCAACTTGTGGGAAGCGCAGCTCAAGGTACACTTTTGAACCGGAAAGTTTCCCGAGCATGGTTTGCGCGTGACCAGGAGAACACCCAAGTGTGACCGCCATCACATCGCCAATCCTCGGCTGGAATTGCCGTGGACGACTAGATGGCTCGAAAATGATGCGACCTGTAGCCGTGTCCGGATTCTTCAAACAGACTCGGAGGCCTTCCTGGAAGTGGGCTCGTACGAATTGGGAAGGTGAAGTGAACTCAACGGCGGTGTTTGGTAGAACCATCTGAACCCATTGAGAACACAACGACTTGCAACGGTGTCTTGACCTTGGAAAAACAACCTTGCTGTTCGGTGGCTTGCAGAAAATAGAAAGTGGGTACTGAATCCGTTCCATGTTGTGGTTTGAAGCAGGTACGGCTGCCTGGTGATTACCGAGGTGCCTGCTGGGAGGTTGCGGGAAACTGCAGACAACTCGCAAGAGCGCGTGGCGGAGAAAAGCCTGGAATCGCGAAGGCGCTTTACATTCCATTACCACCCGAGGTACGGACGTAACGAAAGGATGGAAGGACCGCTGCGAGCTTTTCGCGAACTTTGCTGTTGTGGAAGGAACCAGACGACAGAGCCAATTCGATGCTCAGACTTGGCGCGAAAGCATGCTGTGTCCGGCAAACGCCTGGTCGTCTTGGCGTGCGCGCGCGGGTTGCGCAACATTTTCTAATTTTTTGGAACTTTGAAAGGGGAAAAGGAGAATTAAAAACTTCATATAGTTATATCAACCAACCCACCACATACGTGTACCGCGCAAATACCTTAACTTACATATATAGATATGTAGAATCTGAATTTTATACCTGATCGACGATGCGGATAATGCGCGTTGAGGTATCGATAGATTTCTATTTTTCTCGATTGTATTTGAACTTTTCGAAGATATCTTGGCAAAGCTTGGCAGATCTTGGCGATTTTTACCAAAAATTCACCAGTTTTTAAACCTATCAAGATCTCAGCGCGTATTATCCGCATTATTAATCGGGTATAATATTCGGGTTCTACGTATTTAGATATATAGCTTAAGGTATTTGCGCGGTGCGCGCATGTGGTGGGTTAGTTGATATAGCTGTAGATAGTTCGACTGATTTCTGGTCTTCTGGCCGTTTTTTCAAAAATTAGAGCGTGTTTCGGCGCGCGCGTACGCCAAGACGACCAGGCGTTTGCCGGACACAGTGGGTCACAGCGCGTTCAAAGCGTTGCATTAACGCGGGGCAGCATGGGGCGGCGGCAGATGCATCCAGGGGTCGAAATCCACCACAGCACCTGTGCACCCCAAAACTTGGACTCCACATGCAACTTTTTGGCGGCGAGAACAAGCGAGGATCAATCAAGACGACGGCGGGCAGGATCAGATGCCATACGCAGTATTTCACTTTTATGCTGTGGCCCTTTCTCTCCATTCTCTTCCGAAATGAATGCCGACTCACTGGTCAGAATCCTGCGGGCGTACGACGTGTCGTTGGATGCAGCAGCAGTGAAAGCGGCCGTTTCGGCCTCGGACTCGACCCATCTTGTACACTGGGCCACGGTCCATCTCACTCCCGATACGCTGCTCACCGTCGACGAGTTGAACCAGTCCGTGGGCTCGCACTCCTTTTCCATCCGCCCCCTATGCTAATCGTGCCCAATCAGATATGCCGCCCTCGGAGAATCGGGCCTGGCCGAGAAGCTTGCCATATCGTCAGACCTCACCGCGGCTCGTGTCCTGAGTGACCAAGAGATCAAGGACGCCATAGAGGAACTCAATCGCTCTACGCAGGCTATCACGCGACATACCGAGACCCTCAGGCAGCAACAGGAAGCTCTCGGTCGGCTTGTCGATGCTGGTTGCGTGAGCAACAAGGAACGTGTCGCCGTTGAAGAAGGTCGGACCGGGAAATGGCAGGCTGAGCGTAGCAACCTCGCATTAGAAGTATGCCCTACCATACCCCGTGTGCTTTCCTGAGTGTCCCATATTGATACTTGGCCAGGCAGATGAGCTCTCGCAGTCGCTGGGCTCCCGCATCCGCGAACTCGAGCAACAGCGCACCGGGGCTGGCGCGACAATCCAGCAAACCGTGGACACATTGTTCCGCTCCGATGACAAACTCTTATCCAGTCTTCAAAAGCTAGGATGGGAGTTGGAAACGAAAGATGACGAGGAACAGCAGGACGTCGCTCTGCTGCGCGAAACTTGCGCAAGGTTCGTTATCCGCACCGTCTTCCCGCTTTTGGTCAAGAAACTTACGCCGCGACAGGCTGATCAAGTTCACCGTGGAAGGAATCCGAACGAAATTAGATCGCCTCTATCTAGAAGCCCTTGAGCTGTCGTCCCAGTCAGGGTCTCCCCGAGTTTCGGCCGACCAAGTATCGGCATTGCAAGAGGAGCTCGAGTCCCTCTATTCGGAAATTCTCCCGGTCGCCCAGATGTCTACCGAGCAGCAGTTTCTAGAACCAGCGCTGAAGAGCCTTGCCGCAAAGAATCGCCAGAGCATGGCCAAGTCGGCCCGGGCAACCAGCTACGTGAGTAATAGCACCGTTTATGGGTCGTTCTCAGCTGACAGCACAGGTCCACGATTGCCTCGACTATCTCATTGATCGTGCGCAAGACATGATGGCTCGACTAGATGCATTTCAGGCATACCAATTCGCTGCTGATGCTGTTCTCGACGTCGCCAAGCCCGAACTGGACGTCCAAACCCAGACCGCCGAGGCATCCCCTGCGCGGACGAAGAGCGCCAAGCAACAGAATGCCATGTCGCCGGTTCGTCCTCAGCCCAAACAGCGATCAAGATACTCAACTGGCGTGCCCAGCATCCGTCACGAGCCGCCACTAGAGGAGATCCTACGCACTCTTGCTATCAATCTTCCGCATGACGACGAAGTGCCCGATGATCTACGGGAACAAGTCAAAAGTTTAGCATCAGCGCTTGACACCCGTCGGGCAAAAATGCGGGATGTCGCGCTCAATGTTCAAAACACTTTTGAGGGTGTAGCAGCGAAACAGGTCGCCGACGGGAAGCTGGCAATCCAGCTTGTACGCGACTCCATCCTCGCCGAGAGTTCGTTTGGGGATGCCCGGCTCATGGATCCCGAGATTGAGGGGTCGATTGCCGTCCTTTCCCAGGAACTGGCCACTGTTGATGAGAAGCTGAAGGACATCAACGACGGCGTGGGTAAACTAAAGGGCAGGAACGAGAAGAGGGACGAGTTTATCAGTCGGTGGGGTTCATGAGCTCTCCATCAGTGTCGCCGTGTGACCATGCTCGACCACTCATTGCAGTCCGGGGCTTACGCCTATTCCGGTGACACAGACAGGCACACCGTGCCAGGAGAAGCGCCGCTAACTTGGAGGATCGTGTTCCCCGCCGGGCTGCGTCCCCTTTGCGTACCGCCAATGAAGCCTGCCGGGAGACAGCGAGTCATTGCCCGCTACCATGACATCATACGACGGCCATACATCCAAAACGGCCAGCAACCACAAGCTTGCCGTCCCTTCACCTCATGGCTCAACCACAAGCCCACTCTGCTTGGCATTGGATTGCAAAGGCTCAGTATGGATAAAGCCAAGGACGCGCTAAAGAAAGGACTGGAGAAGGTGACCAAGCTGGACGAAGAGCGTACGCTTTTCTTATCCCTGCTCTCTAGCCTACAAAGCTTACTCTTCATTTCCAGCCCGGCAGGAAGACAGGAAGGAAGCTCTTGAGACGACGTGGCCGGCTCGGGAGCAGCACCCGGCCATGACGGGCGGCCCCGACCCGCACCTTGGCAGGGCGGCGCATTCCGGTGACCCGACCGGCCTGACTAGCAAGGACTCGCTGGGACAGCCGACCAACAAGCCGCGGCCTTGAACGTAATTGAGTCTGCGTTAAAACAGAGGGCATCGTTGTTGGGGTTGAGGGACACGGCCTGCGCAGATCGACATGTAGATGCAATACATACTAGGTGTTGTTTTTCGAGTCGTGCCACTTGATGCAGGCACTGGAAGGTAGCCGTACCGGCCTTGCATTCCCACGCCCGCCCGCTTGCCAGCCAGAGCCCCAGTGCCACACGGTCGCTCATGTGCAAAACTCGCTATCTATCATCACCCATCGTACACGCCCTTGCCCTCCCCCGGACGCAGGCTTCTCCAGGTCTCCCAACAGGCTGGCCCAGACCAGAACCCCCCTCTCATCGTCGCGGCGTCATAGGGGTGTCCTGGCCTTTCACGGAAGACTCAATCCGGCTTCTCCGTCCTCCGGCCGCGACGCCAGCAATGCAACGGGTAGGATCACCGCGCCGGCGATCGTCAGGATAAACCCACCTGTTTCCCCAAAGATGATGGCCAGCGTCACGATACACATAAGCAACACGCCCATGTACAGCACGTGGACGACGCCGCAAGCCGCGAGGAAGAACTCGAAAAAGCGCTCGTCCTAGCCGCCGAGAAGGAAGATCCCAAAGTCAGCTTCCTCGTTCTCGCCGATCAATCGTATCGAACGTGGGTGGGGGTGAGGGGTGAAGAAAGAAAAAGCAGCTAGAGAGTCCCGCCTTGGATCCCCCACCATCTGACACCCCGCGCCCGAAAACGGAACCTCAACCAAAAAGAAGGCCGCAGAAAAAACGAACACCAAAAAAGCAGGAGAAAAGCCCGAGGAGAAGAAGAAGAAGAACAAAACCCAAAACCAAAAAACCACTCAAAAAAAAAAGAAAACCAAAAGTAAAAAAAAGAACTCACCACCCCCACCCCCAAAACCCTTCTCACCCCCCTCGCATCCACCACAAAGCTCACCGCGTACGCCACCACCAGCTGGTCGACCACATAATACAGGCACCACCACCACGGCCCGCGGCCCGCCGACAGGCCCGCCAGCACAAATTGCACGACGTTGGCCGCCCCGCGCAGCACCACCGTCGCGGCCGCGCCCTTGCCCCGCGTGTCGGACAGGTCGATAGGGCGGAAAATGCGCGCGCCCAGGTGCGTGCTTATTCGGTTGTAGTTGTTGCTGCTGCTGGTTGTTGTGGGTTCGGATGGTGGGGGTGGGGGGTTGGTAGTGGTGGGGAGGGTGATCGGCATTCTGTTTTTGGTTGTTGTTGTTGGGTTTGCTTTTCGGTGGTTTCCCACGTGGGTTGGGGAGGTGTCGGGGTTGGGTTAGAGGTCGAGCGAAGGGATTGCGATTCGTGGGGTGAAATGGGCTGTGTGACCGATCCCGTGGGTGGTTCTGTGGTGAGAAGTCGTTGGTTGGTGTTGTGATGTTGAAGATGGCTTTCTTTTTTGGCTGACGCGATGAGGATCATGTCATGATGTGAGGCAAGGATGGGAGAGACGCGGACCCCTTTTTTATGCAGGGGTTCTTCTTCAACCCAATTTCAGCGCAACCTGCAGCTGACGATGGAGGCTTGGCAGGGCCTTCGGAAGACGGCACACAGCCTTTCTCGGCCCGAAGGGGATTCCAAAGAGTTGCGTCCGTAAGACATCCTCGGCCCGTGACAGCAACTTTTACGCCCGTCAGCAACATTTTCTGAGGTACCTCACCATGGTGTACTCCAGCCACATATTGGGATGGGATCTCACGGTCCAACTTCACGCCTTTCCGATTCCAAGGCAACGCCCCGACGAAGGTATGAGACTTGGTCCATGTTCGTTAGTTGGGTTGTCCTTATCTGTAATAATGTAATTATCTTTCGAAAACGTAGGGTACAATGTGGGAATTGGTATTCTGCAGGCTTCTTTGGGTCACTACTAACAACCCGGCCGCTGGTGTTGTTTTGGCTCGGGCACTCCTGGTCTCATTTCCACGGTCACTGATTAATTTGTCTGACAAACTGCCGAGCGAGGAGTTGCTTCTCAAGTTGTGGTCAGAACGGCTTCTGTTCCCGCAACTTCGTCCAACCCGCCCTTCTCGTTCTTGCTGACCTGGCTGGGCATCGTGGTCTCGAGTTGTTCGCCCATAAACCAGCACAAAAGGGTTACCCAGTCATCCCGCTTGGCTTCCTTGCCTTGCATAAAATCCAAGATAGGGGAACGACGGACGTGGAGTGCGTTCGGACTTTCCCGGTCATGCCAGACCTGAACGATGCGAAAGTCGCGGAACGAAGCCGAGAAAATAGTGGCTGGGATATATCGGTGATGGTTGAATCCCCGGAAGCAACGTTGTGAAGATATAATGCCCGTGGCAGCAGCCATCTCCCCAGTCGTGAGCTTGTCGTTCTCGAGTTGGATTACGTGATTAACGAAAGCGTGGGTATGCGGCCTGTCAGGTACCGTGGATTCGAAGATACGCTGTAAAGACCAGGGGTCCATGTCCTTCGAGTCTGTATCCTGTATTTTAGACCAGCCGCTATAATCCGATGTCAATGGGTGAAGAGGATAACGGGTTTGTGGGTTACTTACACAATGGCCGACTTCCAGTCTGGGTTGAACCAGTCGAAGTTATGGGAATCTTGCTCGATGTACGGTGTTCGGGCGAACACCTCCAGGGCATTCAGCATGTGGAAACCCTTGTAGTATTTTATACTCTCAGTCCCCAATTTCCCCTCCAAGTTGTTAGGGTGTTCTTCGTCGTCTTCGCGGATAGGTAGAAGAATGGGTTTATCCCAAGTTCCGTTGTCTTCCACAAACTTCTTCATCTTATCAGTGGATGCCGGTCCAATAAAACGCGGCCCACTATCCGACACATGATCAGAGAGAAGGTCTAGCGGGGCGATGGTGATTCCCAGCATGGTTTCGGCCTTGTCGGTGAGGTAGGGTTGATGGTAGGCGAGGAGAGAGTGGTAGTAGAGGCGAGTTTGGGACTGTGCAGCATCCCGGGATAATTTCTTGGACTTTTTACTCGTGGCTTCGGGCTGTTGGGCGGTTGGTACTGTGAGAGGCGAGTTCGGGTTGGGTGTCGGAGCCTCGGAGTCAGCTGGAGCCATGGCGGACATTGTCAGTTGTCGAGTTGCAATGCTGCTGAGGGCTTTTTTGCTTTATTGAGACTCGTTGCGGGGAATAATAACGGTTAAATGGGGGAGCAGAAATCAATGCTAGGTGGGTTGCGTGCGTGACCGGGAGAGGTTTGCAATGGTGTGCGGGTTGTTGTGGTCTGGGAAAGGCAGAACAAGTTGTTTTGTTTACCTATACACAGTATTAGTTCGAACAAGATACCTGGGTAACGTGCCTACCCAGATACCAAGGTACCTACCTAGGTAGCCAGCTATTCACAGAGCTAACGACTTATCAATAGTTGGCCTGTACTGGAGCTGCATAGTATACGCTTACCTACATACCTAATAATGATATTACGTGAACCATCCAGGTTCTTTCTACTTCCGAGCTTACATGGCCACGTAGCTCTTTAGGTGCCTAGGTACCTAGGCGAATAGTGAGTGAACAGTTACAAGAGCAATCCGGATGATGTTTAGCACGGATGATCCGGATCAAGCACAAGAGGGAAACAATCCACATGGCCGCTTACAGCCAAAAACAGCTCGGGGCTCAGGATTCCTCTGTATCTGGCTAAACATTAACTGGTATTTGTGTTTTCCGTGACGAGCACTCCCCGCATTGTTTTACTTACTCCTTACGAAGCAGTTAGAAGCGATTTCGACATCCTCTCGTATTATTACCCATGTCTAACCGCGGCACGTCTAGCTCGTGACGGAGTATATTATTGCAACAGCAAGCACCGCTTGAAGGCACAGTGATTTTACCCCGTAGCAAATACCCGCGGTTTCAAGTTTATCCAGCGACGCGCCTTCGTACGCTACGCCCGTGCCACAATAGGTATGCCCTCTCTTGTCGATGACGGCGCCGCGACATCAGCGCCTCCATGCCCTCGGATTCTGGAGGAGAGATAAGCAGCGACGATGCCGTCCACTCAATGGCCGCCCTGCCATTTCGGAGTTCATGGAGACAGGGGAAAATGCCGGGCATCCGGGACCTTTCACGGCATCATCTTGCTTATTCCCGCTAGTTCGTCGTGGCTCGGGACTATCATATTAGATCGTATACTAGTGAGCTAGTAAGGTACCTCTGTTTCATTTTCTCGCTTTCGCTCTTCCTTTGCTTCTTCTGATTTTCCCTTCCCCCTTCCTTGTTCGTTCTGGCCCCCTCCCCTTCCTTTTTCAACCCCGCCCCCTCTCATTTTACTTCTCCCACCCCCCATCACCACTGCACAGGACGATGCATCACCACACCACACCATCACCGCTGCACCACCCCGGGCCTCCCCACCGCCCCCCCCACAACCCCCTTCACCACCTCCCGCCCCCCACTCCCCCCCAACCGCCCACAGTCCCAAAACACATACCCCCACACCCGCAGGTCCCAAGGCGTCTCCTGGCCGTACGCGTTGCCGCGCCGCCCCCGCCACCGCAGCACCCACCCGAGCGCCGGCTCCGCCGCCCCGTCCCGCCCCCGGAACTGCGGCCGCGCCCGCTCCCCGCGCTCCTGTGCTCGGTCTCCCTCGGTTCGGTGTAAAGCCCGCCGCATTGTCTGGGTCTCGCGGCAGAGCGCGTCTTGGATGCTGTTGGCGCCCGGGGGCCGGGCGGCGGCGGCGGTCGGCCCGGGGTGGATGATGTGTTTTCTGAGTTGCTTGCGGTGGTGGCGGTGGTGGCGGTGGTGGTGACGGTGGTGACGATGGTTGGTGGGGGGTGGCGGTTCGAGGGTGCGCATGGTTTGCAGCTGGAATTCGAGGCCGCGTGAGATCAGGCTGTTGAGCTGCGCGTTGCGGTGGCCTGGTTGGTGGTGGTGATCCCGCGCGGGGAGGTGGGTTAACTAAGGTAGGTATGTACCTAGTGCTTGGGCGACTGGATTCAATGGGGAGGAGTGGGGGTGGGTTCGCTTACGGAACTGGTCAATTGCGTAGGGGCTGTCGCTGAGATCGGTCGTTACCCAAGCGCGTGGCGACCAGACGTCTATGAGCCGGTTTGGGAGGTGGTGGAGTGGTAGCTTGAGGTCCACAAAGATGTGGTCGTACATGTCCATGAGCAGGGCGTGGATGCATGAGATCTCTTCGATCTCCCATGGCTCAAAGACTTGGAAGAAGTACATGAGCATCTCGATCGGTTGGACTGACTGGCTGCCCGCCGCGGCCCCGGGCTTGGTGCCGTAGAGGTTGCACCACATCTCGAAACGGTACAGGGCGCGGAGGATGCGTTCTTCCTCGACCCTGCTCAGATGGCCTAATTGTAGTGATGGGTCAAGGTTGTGGAGGAGTTTCTGGGGGATTTTCTGCATCAGAGGCCCGACGGTAGACCAGTAGAATGTTGCCATGCCCATGACGTCTGCGGCTGCGCACTCGCCAGCTATGATGGATGGCTGCGCGCGGTGTTCTTGATATGTGTCCATGAAAGCTTGCGCGGTCAGGTGGGCTGCAAGGTAAGGCGGGTACTCGAGTCGGGTTGATTTCTGGACCGCGTAGGCATCCACAAACACCTTCTCACCAAGGGTGCATCGCAATACACGGCCGAGAATTTGTTTGCGGTCGGCTCGGTACTGGTGGTAGAGCACGGGCGATGCGTGGGTGGCGGCCTTGAGGTCGTTCAGGCTGGCCAAAGACGAGAGAAGAAGCGTCCGTAACTCAGCCGGAAGGCTTTCGAGCCGGGATGGTTCGGTTGTGTGGTAGTCATGGTTCGCGACTTCGACCTTTGATGTAGTGCGTAAACGCCCGGTGAAACACAACAAGGCTCTGGTTCGGTGAGATATGGCTTTGCGTTTAGCCTTGACTTCCATGACGGGCAAGATGACAAAAGCTTAGCTGCGGAGTCGAAGCGAAAAGGGGGAAGAGTTACGAAACAGGTATGATATTTGCCAGGTTCTGCTGTCAACCTACTTCTCACATGAGTCACTCACCGTGATAGCAGTGAATCCTCCAGGACGTTGTAACTAACGGTCTGAATGGCGCATCACCTGACATTGGTTGCACCGTCGGCTGCCACAAAAGTGCATGAAACGGTACCAGACAGTGTTACATGTGCATGTTGGTTGGTGGCACAAACATGTCGGCACTTGTGGCGCTCGGTAACCAATCCGGATGAAGGGAGGACCAACGACATCTGTTCAAGATGTTTAAATAGACGACCGACATAGGTATGTGTGTTGACGTGTGAAAACTGGGTATATTGAGGCACGAATGTACATAATTCGCATTGCTGGGGATACCAAGTATCCCCTTACAATGACCCCCCTTGAACGCTGATTACCTATTAAACCCTCCCCCACCTGCTGCAAAACAACGACCCCTCCCCAACTCTCATTAGTTCGCTGTTCTCATCATCACTCTCACACCCCTCTCACACCTCTCACCCCTAGATGTTGGCATTGCTCAACCGCACGTAGCACTGCGTCGGCTCCTGCGCGAACCTCTGCACCGCGTCGTAGCTGTTCAGCGCCTCGGTCGTCTTGTGCAGCTGGAAGTGCCAGACGATGAGGGCGAACTGGATCTTGAGCCCCTGCAGCGCGAACCGCTTGCCGAAGCAGCCGCGGGGACCCAGGCCGAAGGGTAGCGTGGGACCGGCCATGGGATCGAATGTCTCCCCGCCTTCACCCTCGCCCTCGCCCGCCGCCTGCTGCTTGAGCCAGCGCTCCGGCTTGAAGGCGCCGATGTCCTTGTTGTCCCACGTGCCGGTCAGGGCCGTCTTCTTGCTGCGCTGTGCGCCGGGGCTGCGGACCTCCTCGGCCAGGGGCATGTTGGGCTCGAGGTAGCCGGCGCCGTTGGCGACCAGGAAGACGTCGGTGTCCTTGGGGATGTGGCGGCCGAGCACGGTGGTGTCCTGCATGGCGCGGCGCACCACGAAGGCGATGGTGTTGGCGTGCCGGAGCACCTCCTCGACGACGGCGTCCAGGTAGGGGATCTGCGCCCGCGCGAGCTCCTGGTAGGTCGGCGCCCGCTTCGCCCGCGTCGCCTCGGGGAGCGCCGCCCGCAGCGCCGCCCGCAGCCGGTCCTGCGCCGCCGGGTTGTCGGCCAGGTACTTGACCCCCCACGCGACCGTCGTGGCCGACGTGTCGTGGCCCGCCAGCATGAAGCCGAAGAACTCGTCGGCGATGGCCCGCTTGCGGAAGTCGGCCTTGCGGCCCTCCTTGGCCGCCACGTCGCGCTCGCGGAGGAGCACCGAGTGCAGCGCCGTGCGCGCCGGCGCGCTGCCGTCCTGCTCCATGACGCGCACCGACTCGTCCACCCGGTCGCGGATGTACTTGTCCTTGAGCGCCGTCGCCTTCTTCATGTACGGCAGCTGCCGCAGCACCCACGACGTGAGCCGCGGCGCCGGCGACAGCTGCGTGTCCGTCACCGAGTTGGCCAGCGTCAGCGCCGCCGCGAAGATGGCCGGAAGCTCCGGCTCGGGGAACTCGACCGGCTCGTCGAGGCTGGCGGGCAGCTTCTTCTCGCGCTTGGCCTCCCACCGCGAGACCACCTCCAGCCGGTTGGTGGTGATGCTCTCGGCCTCCGGGTGGCCGAACATGCCCGCAAAGATGGTGTCCAGTGCCATGTAGGTGATGTCGTGGTGGGCGTGGAACGGGCGGCCCTCGGCCGTGCCGCACTTGAGCTCCCACAGCTTGATCATGGTCGAGGCTGCCTTGTAGAGCTGCGGCCCGCTGATCTCGGTGATGAAGCTCGGGGCCATCAGGTGGTTGATCAGGTTGCGGTTGTTCTTGAACCGAGAGTCGCTCGACACGAACTGGATGTGCTGCTCGGGCAGGATGCCGCCGATGAGGTCCCCGAAGAAGCCGCTGCGGTCGAACTCCTTGGTCCGCCGCAGCAGGATGTCCTGGCTCTCAAAGGGGTCCGTCACCACCACCCACGGCAAGCCCATGGGCTTGACGAAGGCCTGGATGATGGGGCTCTGATGCCGTGTCGTCAACGACGTCAACCAGCACTATTCATGGTTGCACAAAAGACACTGGTTAGCCATGAAGACGACGATGGACGACCAGTGTGCATTGGATGGGTACACTGGGCGGCCCACTGAAAGATAGGCGTGGCGGAAGTTGGGGGCGGACGACGACTTACAAACACTCGCTTGGTGCGCATAACATAGCCCATCATCTCGCCGACATCTCCGAACAGCTTGCCGGCCGCATCTCGGTTGTACGGGATGCCGGCGAGCGGCTTGGGGAGTGCGGCACGGTACAGAGCGTACAGGCCCGCTACCAGTACGCCCACCAGCAGCGTCCCCTGGATGGACGAGAGGACGGCGCCCATTCTTTGTTCTTTTGACAGATTCTTACTGTGTGGACGGAGTGGCTACTGCCGGGCAATAAAGGCGGTTACTAGATCTGAATCACGTTGCGACTCAGAAGCTCAGAAGGGGGAGATGCAGGCAGTTGTGTTGGTGATTAATTATGAGCTGCGACAGGAAAGCAAATGGAGAGCAGCGGTCAAGACCAGGTGAAAGAGGGGGTGGCATGGGGATGGAGTTGCAGTTGGTTGGAGAGCTCAGGGGTGTGAAGGGGGCTCGCGGAGGTCTTGTTGCTTTCCGATTGGGTTACACGAGTGCGAGACGTGGGATGGCGTCCCCCCGAAGGACGGGTTCGTCAGCATCCCTGAAGGTTGCCCCCACTTGGACGCTCACGGCATGCAGCACGCGAGGCTTACAGCTTGCCCGATTGGCTCCTAGGCGACCGTTGAGCCGTATCCTTCACGGGGAGGACTGCCAGAAGCAACACACCACAGCGGGCCGAGAGGGCTGCCGTGGGACTGGGCGTGCTGGGCCCCAGTTCTGCTTCCTTGTTCCGTTGCACAGTCCCTTTCGCCAAAGGCTGGGTAACATCGAAATGTGTAAATGAACCCAATGCCATAACGGCCCTGATTATGATGATCCTTTTCCTTCTGCAACCCCTCACAATCCTTTAACACAGGCATCCGCCCGACCAAGGCGGAGCATCTCATAGCATCCCTTTCGTTTTATACACACATTCATTCGTTTTTCATTGTTTTCGGCGCCGGAGTTTTCACCCTCAAGTCAGCAGCAGCAAGCAGCAGCAAGCAGCAGCAAGCAGCAGGCAGTGTCTGCCCCATCCTCCGCCATGGCTGACGACAATGGCCCCCCGATGACCATCACCATGGTGGTCTGCACCGTGGCGTCTTTCATTTTCATGTGCCTGCGTTTCTACTGCAAGCAGTCGATGAGCACCAAGGTCGGCCTCGACGATGCCGTCCTCGCTTTGTCATGGGTACGGTACCTTTTTCCAGTTTCCCAGTTTTCCAGTGGCTTCCTTGTATTCCGCCCGGGCGCGGATCTGGGCTTGGACCCCCATGGGGGTGACCGCCAGTTTCGGGTCCGCTGCCGGTTCACGACACTAGGCTAGGGCTAACTCGTGGGGTTGTCTCGCGATTCTGCAGGCGTTGTTTCTAGTGTTCGTCATTATCTCGATCCAGACCACCAACTGGGGTCTCGGCAAGCATCTCGACGACGCCGACCTCACGCTGCTGCCCAAGCTCATGTACTACCTGCCGATCGGGCAGTTCTTCGCCGTCATCGCCATTGCCGTCTCCAAGTCGTCCTTCATCATCACCCTGCTCCGGCTCGTCACCAAGCCATGGCAGAAGGCGGCCCTCTGGTTCATGTTGGTCACCATCAACGGGTCCATGGGTGCCATCTCCATCGTGCAGTTCTTCCAGTGCGCCGTGCCGCCGACCCCCGGCTGCGTTGACGGCGACGTCGTCATCGGCCTCGGTGTCTTTGCCGCCGGCTACTCGGCCGCCATGGATTTGGTCCTCACTGCCTTCCCCAGCTTGGTCATCTGGAACCTGCAGATGAAGAAGCGTGAGAAGATGGGTGTTATTGCGTCCATGAGTCTTGGTGTGGTGTAAGTCATATACCTGCCGCTACCCGGCACCCTCCGTGTGGCTTGCTTTGCGTTTTCTCTCGTGACCATTCTAACCCTTGCCTTCCCCTCTCCAGTGCTGGCGTGGTCGGCATCTACAAGTCGTCCACCATCCCCGCCGTCTCGCGTAGCACGGACTTCACTCACGGGACCGCCATGGTGTTGATCTGGTTGGTCGCCGAGTTCGTGGCCACGGTGATCGCGTGCTCGATCCCCTTCTACAGACCGCTCGTTCGGCGCATGTCCTCGACCAATAAGCGCAGCAAGGGCTCGTCATATGGCATGGGCGGCATGGGGAAGAGCGGCCATAGCAAGCTGAGCAGCCGCACCGACATCAAAGCGGCCAGCTCCGACGAGAGCAGCGACAAGGACGAGCAGCCACTCAACACGGGCGTTGTCCACCGCACTGACGTCTTCACGGTCGAGTATGACAACTGGTCCGGCAACGAGGGTGGTAACGGGCACTCCGGACCGGGACATGCCCGTCGTGAGATGTGTTGAGCACATTTACCCGAGTCCACTTTTTGGTTTCACAGCATGCAGGAGCAGGCAACATACTTGGTACCGGGACAAAAACTGGGCGGCGGATCTCTCATTGTGGGTCTTCGCCCAGGTCCACCAGGTTCGGTTCGGTTCGGGGTTCGGTTTTTTTTTGGGGTTTTTGCGTGGTTTGTTTACATGGGACAGGGGGGGAGGAATGTGTGGGACTGGACACGACCTAATTTCCCGCTTGAGACGGACGGATTTGAGTTTTTCACAACAGTTTTCCTCAAAAGTGAGAGAAGAAAATGAAAACGTTATTTCCGTTCACGGCGGGTTTTCAAACGTCTTGACTGGCTTGACTAACTCCATCACTGATAGAACGATAACTACCAAGTTTTCTTCCCTTCCCCTCCCACTTACACTTACAACCTTGAAGAGATCACGAGACTCTTTTCCTCCTCCCCCCCAAACTGCATGCCCCCTTCCCCTCTGGCCCCCAATGGTGAAAAAAAAAAAAAAAAAGCTCTTCGGTGTCTCACTTGGCAACGCTTGGGGGAACCGTCCACGTGCCCTCGGCGTACCCGCCCCGGCCTTCCCTTCTTGACCCCCGCTCAAAATCTTCAACAGCCGATGGCACGTCCGTTGGCCGATCGCACCGCTGCCGACTACCGAGGGGAGAGGACCACTCGGCCACCAGCAATGCCAGGGTATTTCCAAGAATCCTTCTCGGAGCCAGAACCGGCCGAACCGAGTCCACCCCACGTAGCGAAGTCCTTGAGCAGGGTCGGCACTGGTTGCGTTGCAGCTGCGCCGCCTCCTGTTTCCAGAGAACCCCCCGTGAAAGGCAGGTTCTTCTGCTGATCTGCTCGAGCCCAACCCCCGGGCCTTGGGGTGTTCGAAGCGACCGTTGTGGGGTTCATCAGGTTGCTCGGGCTCGGAACCAGCAAGACAAGGATCTGACCGAAGGAAAGAAGGTTGTACCGAAGGAGTGGTAACAGGGAGACAGGGTTGCAATGGAGACAGGCCAGCAGGGGGAATCCTTATCGGCGGGACCTCACGACCCCAAGGAGCAGCCTGGGACCAGCCAACATGGGAATAGGGGGATCGTAATATCGGATTCCAGATTCCTGAATTCGCCGGGACCGTGGTGGTGGGAGTCATCCCGTGATCGATGAGGCAGGTTTTGCCCGCTTCCACGTTTCCAGCTGGCCGGGTGATCTTATTCTTGGTCTCGCCGTGTTATTATAATACCCCCGCGTTGCCCATGCCGTCCTGTTGGTTGTTGGTAACTCTTGTTGGATCCAAGATGCAACCAGTTGGTCTCCAGACGCAACCCTGTTCCCGCACCCTGCCCGCAGATACCACATCTTACCAGACCGTCGGGATGAACGCGCCAGTGAGAAAGCTCAGGCTGCCGCCTCTAGAATCCGTCTGGAGCTGGCCCCGGTATGTCAGTCCACATCTGGCCGACATCGAGGAGGAGTGTTTGGAATGGAGTGCCAGCTTCGGTGCCTTCGACCCAGAAACCCAGAGGCTCATCCACGACTATGGCAAACTCAGTAAGCCTCCTCTCGCGGTGGCACACCGCAGGTGTAGATGGTGACACACCCGGCCTCTGGTTACTGACCGAGTTGAATCATGTAGACCTTCTAGCCGGCATGTGCTACGCACGCATGCCACGAGGTGAGCTCTCCCCCTTTCTTTACTTCTTTATCCATCGTCGACTACGACTACGAGTGCCATATATACCTTACCAGGACATGTCATGCTAACTAGACGCCGTCATGATCAGAATACGTACGATCCGGATGCGACCTCATGCACCTCTTTTTCATGTTCGACGAATACTCAGACCAGTCAACACCCGAGGAGGTCTGGCACCAGGCGAGTATTCAGATGGATGCCCTCTGCTATCCACATAAGCCCCGGCCGAAGGGTGAATGGATAGGCGGCGAGATCGCGAGACAGTATGACTTCCCCTGTCCCCATCGTGCGAATTTTGCTCGATCAGGAGCTGACCCGACCTCCGCACAGATTCTGGCTGCGTCTGCCCAGAACCGCCACCAAAACATTCAAGCGCCGCTTCCTGGAGACATGGATCGACTACGTCGAGTCTGTCGCCCAGCAGGCCGAGCACCGGTCCGAGTCGCGCATCCTCGACCTCGACAGCTACTTCCCCCTGCGCCGCCACACCTCGGGAGCCCCGTCCACAATTGCCTTGTGGGAGCTGGACATGGACATCCCGGACCACATCAGGGAACACCCGATCCTCCGCATGCTGGAGACGCTCGCCGTGGATTTGATTGTTATTGGCAATGTAAGTGGTCTTCGTCTCCCCTCCCAAGTTGGAAAACCGGCTGTCATACTCACCTCTTCTTTCTCTTCTCCCAGGATCTGCTCTCGTACAACAAGGAACAGGCCGTCGGCGACGACGAGCACAACATCGTGACCATCATCATGGCGCAGTTCCAAGTGGGCGTCCAGGACGCCATCGACAAGGCAGGCGAGCTGAGCCGGGAGAAGATGGAGAAATTCAACGCCCTGTACAGCCTGCTCCCGCGCTGGGTTGGGCCTGTCGACCTGGACGTGCAGAGGCTGGTAGATGGTATGGCGCAATGTGTGAGCGGTGTCCTGCACTGGAGCTACGAGAGCCAGCGGTACTTTGGGACCCGGGGTATGGTGGTCAAGAGGACGCGGACATTGAGGTTGCTGCCGAAGACGAAGAACGTCAAGATTGCGACCATGAATTTGTAGTATAGTACCAGTTTGACATGAGAAGAGCGACATGACCTAGACAATAGACCGGCAACGACGATTAACTACCTATCTATCCTTCTCCCCATGGCTGTTGGTTCCTCTTGGCTCCGGCTCTCCTGGACGAGAAGCAGCCACAATGCTGCAGGTTCCTGCAGTCGACACAGTATGGGCAAATTCTCCTGGGCCGGACACAGACTTTTCGCCCTGGCCGTGACCCCCGTCCCCTTCTTTACATGCAACAAAACCGAAGCAGGGCCCCTGCGAGCAGGGGTGTCGTCCTGGTCGGTATCCTCCCTGATGCTACCCTTGCCGATCTTTCGGCCCCTCCGAAGCCTCCGGTTAATAAAACTCCTGGTATAAGTGGACATGCTGCTGCAGACCTCTCGTCAATACGACCTCTCTGCTGCAGGAGACAGCAAATCTGGCAACCTTCTTGTGCGTTTGACACAGTGCATGACAGACAGCACTCTCCCTCGGACTCTTCTTACACCATGTCTTGGCTCTCTTTCCTTTCCGAGTGGCCAAATGGCCTGACAACGACGACGACGCTCCTCGGTGCCGTCGCCGTTTACCTCGTTGCCACCATTATCCACTCAGCAACGCTCCACCAGCTCGCTCGCTTCCCCGGCCCCTTCTCCTGTGCCGTGAGCCGCATCCCCTTTTGGGTCGCCTGCATCACGGGGAAGCAGGTGCGGTGGATGCACGAGCTCCACGTCCAATATGGTCCCATCGTGCGCTACAGCCCCGACGACTTGAGCTTCGTCGACGACGGCGGCTCCGTCTGGAAGGCCCTGCACAATCGTCACGAGAAAGGGGGAAAGGAGTTCGCCAAGGCCAAGGAGTGGTTTGTTACCCCTGCCAACGGTGAGTTTTCCCCCAGTCTTTGCATGTCAGCACGTTACTGTGCATGTTTGCATTCGAACCAACCGCCATACTAATTAACGTGACAGGCATCTACGGCATCAACAGCGCCGCCGCCCATGAGGACCATCGGCGATACCGCGCCCTCTTCGCCCCGGCCTTCTCTGAACGGGCCCTGAAAGGCCAAGAGCCCGTGTTCCGGGACCATGTCGACCTGCTGCTCTCCAAGCTGGGCGAGGCCGGCGAGGCGGGCAAGCCCATCGACATGGCCAAGCTCTTCCAGCTCACCACGTTCGACATCATGGGCGAGCTGACCTTTGGCCAGTCGCTCGGCCAGCTCCAGGCGACCACCTACTCAAAATGGGTCCAGGCCGTCTTCGACTCCATCCGGGCCATTCCGATCGCCCAGCTGATCCAGTACTACCCCTTGTTCCAGGCCCTCTTCGACCTAGTGGAGCCCAAGGCCGTCCGCGACATGAAGTACAACCACTTCCGGTTCTCGGCCGACCGCGTCGACAAGCGCCTGGAGCGCGGCTCGGACAAGCCCGACATCTGGAACCTGGTGCTGTCGGCCCAGGGCGACAAGAAGCTGAGCCTCGACGAGATGTACTGCCACGCCGACGTCTTCATGCTGGCCGGCAGCGAGACCACGGGCACCTCCATGTCGGGCCTGACCTACTTCCTCCTGACCAACCCGGACAAGCTGGCCCTGCTGACCCAGGAGATCCGCGGCCGGTTCCGTAACGAGGACGAGATCACCATGGAAAGCACCGCCCCGCTGAAGTATCTGAATGCCTGTACGTGGCCCCCTGACCTGACCCCCTATCGCCATGTCACCCAAACAACATCACCTGAGCCCCTTTTCCAACCACGCAACACCTTCCCAATTGCCTCCTACACCAATTTCAATTGCCTCAAACCCCCCAATCCAGACCAGACCACCCCCCCTGCATTCTAATTTGAATTCCCTCACCTCCAAATCCCTCAACCCCCCAACCGCCACCACCACACGCCACTACCACACGCCACCGCCACCCCCAACCCCCCCCACACCCAAACCCAAACCCAAACCCAACCTTATCCCAACCCCATCCCAACCCCATCCCACAACCAACCAAGCAGCAGCCAAGCTAACCACCCCCCCCAACAGGCATCCACGAAGCCCTGCGCATGTACCCGCCCGTACCCGTGGGCGTGCCGCGCGTGGTCGCCGCCGCCGGCAAGACGGTGCTCGGCCGCTTCATCCCGCCCGAGACCCGCGTATCGGTGCACCACTACGCGACCTACCGCAGCGCAGACAACTTTGCCGAGCCGGACTCTTTCGCGCCCGAGCGCTGGCTCAGCAATGAAAAGGGGGAGGGGGGCAAGTACGCGGGGGATCGGCGCGAGGCGGTGCAGGCGTTTGGGTACGGGCCGAGGGACTGTTTGGGGCAGAACATGGCGTGGCATGAGATGCGGCTGGTGTTGGCGAGGTTGTTTTTTAGGTTTGATCTGGAGGTTTGTGAGGAGAGTGTGGGGTGGGTGGAGCAGCGGGCGTTTATTCTGTGGGAGAAGAAGCCGCTGTTTGTGAGGCTGAAGCCGGCGGTGGTGTAAATCAGGTTTGGGTGGGTGGTGTAATCTGTAAGGTTTCGGGGTTGGTGGGTGGATGGGTGGAGGGAGGGGGTTTGATTGTGCGGCAAAAGTACGGTAGGTATGGTCGTAGGGTTGGGTGTTGGTTTCATAGAATGGGTTGTGTCATGATGAAAGGGATGGATAGGGTAGCTCTAGATTGTAGCCCGCGCTCTGTATTCGTTTCTATCGACTTATTATATTCTACCTAGAGGCTTACAGCCATGTGCTCGTGATTTACATTTATTTCTCTGCTCTTCTGTAGATTTACCACCTCTCTCTTTGGCAATATAGCTAGGCTCAGTGGTGAGGATAACTATCAGTTAAATTCTGTGGCAGCTCGCAAACATGATACCAGCAGTTGGCATTATCCTTCCGTCCTTCGCGCTTGGCATACGTATGGTGTCAAAAACGCAAGCGAGCTGTGGTCTCTCTGGCACTCTCTTCCCTTCCCTTCCCCTCCTTTCTTTGATTTCATATCCACATGCTTGTACAACGTTTATATTCCCTCTCAATAAGAAGATACGCTCCACCCAAGGTATTGCAAATCGAGGCCTGCATTGTTGTCTGGTGACTTCACGCCACAGAATCCTTCCCTTTCGTGGCTTCGCCGAGAGAGAAATTTCAGCCAACCAGCAACCTAGTTATTGAATAATTTTCACGAGTGTCAAGAAAGGAAAGCCGGTGCGGGCACGCCGAGCGCACGTGGACGTTCCCACGGTGCCCAAGCGCTGCCAAGTGAGACACCGAAGTTTTGGCCATTGGGTGGGAGTGGACGAGGGAGGTTGGGGGAAGAGAGTCGTGTGATCACAGAATGATAGGCTGCTATATTCATCCATTGGACAGGATAACGGACAGACCGTCTCAACGCCCTTCGGAGAACTCCAGACGGCTGAATCGCGAGAGGGGGTCGACGGGGGACACGTCCGATTGCGGAGGATGGGCCGAGATAGCCGTTAGCTTTGTCTATGTGTAATACCAAGTATGAATTAACCCGAGGACCGCCTCGCGAGAGCTCAAGTGTGAGTATCGACGTTCCCAACGCCTCCTTCCGTGACATGGAATCTTCCTCTTCGACCTGAACCTCCTCGTCATCAGAAATTCCCTTCTACCTACCTATGCGCATTGTCCACAGCCACTCGCCATTGATATAACACCGTTGAAGCCATCGTTGGCTATATCTCGTCCCTGAAGCGGCCTGCCTTCCGCATTGGCTCCAATCGGTTTCGTCACTGGGAGGGGTTTAACTGCGCCGCCATCCTCTTCCTGGACGATCATGTCGTCCCCATGACCGGAATTGACGTTACTTCGGCGCAAGTGGATGAACTCCCCCTGCCCGGTTTCACCACAGAAGATGTGACAGAGAATACTCTAACATGCTCGAGGGGCTCGGCATGTCACGCATCTATTTCGTGAGTTTATCATCGGCACGGATGGGCTTATTTTTTTCTGAGCGTCTAATTTCGTGTTGACGGCGGTACGGGCCGTCGCTACGAACGGAAATAATGCGAACAAAACCGCGACGTGTTGAGTACCTAATTAGATGAATGTTAGCCGTATGTTGCCGATACCTAACGAATCAAACAACTGGTGGCCGTCCGAGATGGACGAATTGGGTTAGGTGAGGGCGGTCGAAGTATCTCGGTGTGCTGGGTAGTTTAGTTAGTGCAAATCCTAACTAATTGTTTCAGCGCTACGTAAGAGGAACGTAATGTGGCTGATTTGGTCCGGATTGGCGACGGTCCGGGCACTCGCTCATTTCCGATCGATCGGACAAGGCAATTCTTCAGCTCCGCTCGACAAAGACATGTCTTAGATATCATGTCTGAGATTCAGAGACCCCGGCCGATAGTTTGGGGCGATCCCCCCAATCCTTGTGGCTCTTACACAGTATGTCCAGAATACGACGACTTATACCGAAGTCCTGCCCTTTCCCCCTCACAAAACACTATCTATGCAACCATGCCTCCCATTTCCTCATGACGTATCCAACCCATCCAAACCCCCTCCCTGTACAAGTAGGTTCCTCACGCAGCCTTGGCCTTCATGCTGTCAAACTCTCGATCGCGGCTGTAAAAGCAGGAAAAGAGAGCAAAACTCCATCAGCATAACTATACTCGAGGGGGACAAAAAAGCCACGCAGATAGATATACAACCGCCGCCACGCATCCCGCTGCCAAGAGTAATTATGTACATCAAGACAAACAAGGCATAACTCCATTAACGAAGAATCGATGGCATGCATGGCGCGGCGCGGCGCGGGGCTGTAGTATGGTGTTGGGGTTGTTGGGGTATGGTATGGGGTTTTGTCAAGTGACTATTAGCATCCGGACATAATCATTCTTCGTACCTTCCCCCCGTCAGGATGGCCGGTCCGCTCTTCTCCAGCCTCTCCTTGAGGTATTCGTAGACGGTGAACGTGACGGCCTGGCCGGGCGCGACGCGCATGATGCGCGGCGTGATGCCCTTGTAGAAGGCGTGCACGCCTTCTTGTCTGGTGAAGGGGGGGTTAACTCTGTTAGTGCTCGCTCTCTCGTCTCAAGTATCACTTGTGGTTGGGAGAGGGGGAATGTATGGTATCTGGGGCACGACGCACTTGAACATGTCGCCCGCGATCCTCGTGATGCGCTGCAGCGCGGTGGTGCCCTCCTCGGCGCGCATCTTCTGCAGGCGGGTCTTGATGGTGTCGATGGGCGCGTTGCTGAGCGGGCCCATGGCGCCCGACACCAGGCCGATCAGGGTGGTCTGGTAGCTGGGGAGGCTGGTGCCGCGGTACTCGGGCTGCCACTGGTACAGCCACTCCTTGAAGTAGGTGTAGGCCGTGAAGTTGACCGCCTGGTTGCTGCCCTGGCGCAGCGCCGTCAGCGACACGCCGCGGTACAGCGCCCCCGCGCCCTCCTCCTTGACGATTGTGTATAGGGCGTGCGCCGCGTTGCGGTACTTGGGTATGTCGAGCGGGTCGGCCATGCTGTGATGTTGCGCCTGCAGCCGAATCTTGACCACTTCCATCGGGGTCACAACAGCCACCGCTTCTGTAACACCAGCCGCGAGGCCGGCCAGGAAGAGGCTCTGACCCGAGACGACGCCCGTTTCCTTATGCGATAGCACCTGTTTGTACCACTCGAACGAGGTGAAGCGGATGGCCATCTTGGGCACGATGCCCGTCAGCACGGCGCCTAGGCCCTTGTATAGGCCGAGTGGCGTCTCCTTGCGCACGATTTCGAGCCCGGTCGCCACGAAGCCACGCTTGGGCATGCCTGGTTCGCGGCCACGTCGTGAAAGCTGCATGCGCACCTTGATGGTGTCTGGGGCAAGGTCCGGTCAGCTTGTATCCCTAATACAATACAATCAAGTGAAACGGTGCCTGCTGACCTAGAGGGTGGCACACTAACGCCTCCATCATACCGGCACCTCCACCAGCTGCAAAGCGAACCGTCATATTAGTACCAGCACGCACGCAGACTGGGAATGCGACCGTAGCTGGGGCTCACCGATGAGGTTGGTTGCCGCTGACGCCGGCTTTTTGCCGTCTTTGCCAACTTTTGTCGCCATCGTATGTTATGTATGTTTCTGCTCCTTTTACCCCCAGTACTCCCTAAACCGCGCTCCAACAGGTGATATCTAGGGGATCTCGTTGCCGATGCCAAGCCCCTTTCTCCGGATGCCGAGGATGATGATATCCTTAACTCGTGCAACTCGCAACGATGCGGCGGCGTGGAGTTGGGGCACTAAAGCGTAAATATTATACTTGAGGCTTTGTCGCCGGTGAAATCGTCGAGGTGAGCAACAGACGAGAGGCACGAAATATCCAAAGAGCGAAGGACGAACGGATCCTGGCGGCAGGAAAGTATAGGTGGACCACCTCCACAGTCGGGTTTGGGGATGTTGGGGTATGAGCCCGGGAAAATAACAGTCTAGATGCGCGGGTATCACTAGAGAGAGACCAGAGAAGAAATAAAGGAGACGATGAGGGAGGGGGAGGGGTTGTGTTTTCAGGGAGGTATTATCGGGTCTAAGTATGACTCTGAAGCTCGCGGCAGATCGGATATCTGGAGGGGGCCAGCAGCCGAGCCGAGCGGGCACAAGGCCGAACAAACGAGACCCTGACAGCCTAACCCCGGATATGCTCCAGATGGAGGCGATAGGACCTAGAACGGTGGCCGACCCCAAACGCCGCGACACTGACGGGAAAGGAACGAGATCCACACTGGTGGGTTAAGTTAAGGGACTTGGCCCAGGAAGGTAACTAACCCCTTCGTCCGTAGCCGAGAAAACCAATGAGAGAGGGATTGGGGACTCGAGAGGCAATACGGAAACGCCAATGGCATGAAGACAAAGGGCAGATTTGCACAGGTAATGACGGGCGCTACTATCAACGGTACGTCAAGGTGTGGCCGTTCCGTTGGTGACGGGCCCGTCTGTCGGCTTAGCGGAGCAGCATCCTAACGTCACATCTCCAACTGTACCTGGCAGCAGTCTCCAGTTCCCCGGTAGATTCGTTTTTTCTTATTTTTTTTCTTGACATCTTGAGTCAGTCCTCGGCTTGCTTTTCGAATTGAATTTCCACTCCAAACCCTAGAAGGAATTGGTCACCACACGGCCGTAACGGAGCAACCTGCGCTCGTGACGAATTCCCGTTGCGGCCAAGGGAGTTGAGCTGGATACCCAAAAACTGTGACAAAAGTGTCTTGTCCTGGCTTGTGATCGGGCAGTGACGTAGCGATAACCGACTCCAAGCCGAGCTTGTGATTCTGCGGGGAAACCTGAGGGGGCACTGGGGGTCTTTGAGGCGCATACCCCACACTGCCAACCACGAGTTTCGGATGCTTCCGGGAACGGTCGTCCACGCCGCAAGCAGCCAATGCCGAGGTCATTTTGCGCCTGCCGAGTTCCTGTGTCGGGCCACTGGCACCTGGCTGGCCGCCGCCAGCACCCGACAACGAAGCCGGGCCAGATAACCGGAGCCCCACAACGCGACTGTGTCGAACTGGAGGCAGCATTAACAAAGGGTTGTGGGAATTCGAAAAGGGAAAACGTCTGGCAAATATTCCGTACATGCTGATTATTAGGTAGTTACAGGACCCTTTCGCCGCAGTTAAGTCGTCTGCATAGGATTTGATCCGGAGCGTGCTGACACTGCAATACGCGAATTACCACCAGCCACTTCGATGCCGGAGCCTACACCAAAACATCGCATTGCAAAACCGGGTATTGAGCACCTATTCATGTCCAACCAAAAGCCCATGTCCATCCCGCCGTGTCCATCTATGAGTTTTTGATACCCCATTGCGTTGCGCATACCAGACACAAAAGATGCGCCACCAAAACCCGCCTAGACCAACCACCGAGAAGAAGCCAAATGCCTGCCCTATTTTTGCGGGCGAATCCCCCGTAGGGAAAAATGATTACGCCGAAGGGGAAACCCAAGACCAAAAAGGAAACCTTCCAAACTCCCATCCCTTCCCTCCGGCAGCGGCCCAAATGTTGAACGCCGCTCCATGTCGAACGCAGCAGCACAGTGGCGCCTAGTCCTAACTCGGGGTTCCGCAATCCAGCACACACTGGCCATTAGCAGCGCTCCCGATATCCTTGAACGAGTAGATGCGGATCTCGCCGTCCTCGCTGCCGCTGGCCATGCGGCTGTCGCTGAGGCCGACGCAGGTGACGGGGCCCCGATGCCCGACAAAGGTGGCGTCGCACTTGCCGCTGCGCGGCTCCCAGCACTTGACCATGCCGTCGTTGGCGCCGCTGATGACGCGGATCGTGTCGCCGGCCAGCGACCAGACGCCCTCGAGGTGGCCGAACATGGTCTTGAGGCACCGGCCCGTCGCGCTGTCCCAGAGCCGGATCGTGCTGTCGAGGGCGCCGGACAGGAAATACCGCGGGGGTAGAGGGCGGGAAGGGTCCGAGGCGAAGGACGAGCCGTACATCTGGCGGATGTCCTCGTCGCGAGAGGGCGAGTTGCTGCGCCGTTCCGGGTGCATGAACGCTGCTGTTGAGTTCCCGTCACCTCCGCTCGCGGTCGAGAGGGCGTCGGTATTGTCGCCCGGCCCGGCGAGGCCCGTCACCAGCTCGTCGTCAGGCTCATACTCTGGCGGGAGGAGCAGGATTTGTTGAACGTGGCCGACGTGGCCTTCGAAGGTCCGGACGACCTGCCTAGTGTCCAAGTCCCAGAGCTTCAGCGTTGTGTCATCCGAGGCTGACATGACAGTCCTGCTGCTGATGTCGAGCCGCGTCGAGTTGACCCAGTCCGTGTGGCCCTTCAGGCAGAAGGCCTCCTTCGAGTTGAAGTCGAAGATCTTGACGCTCTTGTCGATCGACCCGCTAGCAAGGAGCTGCGCGTCGAAGTGTACGCTAACAACGCCATCGGTATGGCCCTGCAGCGTTGATATGCATTCACCGGTATGCCAGTTCCAGATCTTGATAGTGTCTACATGAAGTCAGAGGGTTGAGTCATCTACCTGACGGGCGGGGGGGGGGGGGGGGGGGGGGCATACTGTCCAGGCTGCCGCTGATCAACTTGGAATCATCAAACTGCAGAGCGCGGATGCCGCGTGCATGGCCGCGAAGTGTGCGAATCTCCTCGCCCGTCTCAATGTTCCCTATTCGCCGAGGTCAGTTCTGGGCCGAGGACCCGGAAATCGTGCAGTGCACATACAGATCTTAATAGTAGCATCGTACGACCCAGTCGCGAGGATGTTGTCGTCCAGTTGGAGACATGTCACGCCGTTGGTGTGACCCTTGAGCGTCTTGACCGAGCATCGCCCATATTTCCAGTTGTATCCGACCTGGGCAACAAACGAGATTAGCATTTAGTTGGTGAAGCCGACAGCCGAGAGTATGCGCACCTGCCACCGGTCCCTGTACACGGCCTTCCAGCTCCGGGTTCTCGTCTCTTCCTCCGGTAGCTTGACGATACACCGCCGCTTGCCATCGGGGCTCTCGGTCGATTCGATTTGTCGCTTCCCCGACGGAAGCTCCTGGGCGTCTGTTCGCGGCAAGTCGGTGAGTTCCTGGATCCTTCCATTGGAATTATTCTTTGCCAACTGGCGCGCCCGCGTGTAGTTTCGCAGCTTCTTCCGCTCCAAGAGGGGCAACCCCCAGCCACATTTGGTGCACTTCCGGTTCACGTGTTGCTCGCACATGCGCACCCACACGGCGTCGTCGTCTGCTAGCAGGCGCCACCGCTGGCTGACCTGGGCGGCCTTGGTGAGGCTCACGGTGTCGAGGAAACAGAGCACCTTTTGCGCGATCTCGACGGGTAGGGCAGTGATGAAGTCGATCTTGAGGGCTTCGCCCACCTCGCGGGAGACGAGCGAGAGCTGGGGGAAGCAGAGCTGGGCGAGGACACCCTGCAGCATCAGCTCGCGGTGGCGGGATGGCGCAGCGGAGAACAACGACCATACGTGGGTGATGGCTTGTTGATCCGCCGAGGTGAGTTTATCCAGCTCTTGTTGTATCATGACCATCTTGGCTTCGTCGGCGGCTCGTCGACATTTCGAGTCGGGTCGGTGGCGGTAGCAGTATTTCGTGTTTGGGTTCTTCTCTCTCGCGGACTGCTCGTTTCTCGATCGCCCGACGGGCGCGTACATGGTCGGAATGTGCTCCTTCAAGAAGGGCGTGACCGTCTTCCCGATTAGTGACGACGACATGTTGTTTAGGCTGCCGCGCGATCGATGCCGTGCCTCCTCCTCCGGCCGTAGATGTGTGCAGTTTTTGGCGGTGTCTACCGTGTGATCTTGGTCGTCGACCTCCCGGTTGAGAGCTGGAGTGCTCTTATGTCGCGTTGTGGACCCGTCTCTCAGCAACGCCCGGTCGGCGTCATCTGTCGAGGGTTCGATGCCATCGTGCCTCGGGAGTGGCGGGTGGCCATGAGGGATGGTGGAAGATTGGAAGTCTTCCATAGGGGCGGCAGGGCGGGAACGCAAGCAAATGGCTGTCTTGCGTTGGTACCAGGTTAGATGGCCCGTGCAAGCATTGGGCTCGCTTGCCGGTGACGGTCAGGCTGAGCCGATTGCGTGCTGCCGCTGGTGGTGGTTGAGACGCTGACCCTGTGTCAGGACTGGCCGGGTTTCGGAGCGGTCAAGCAGCCGGATAAGTTGCAGAGAGGCGGCAGAGTGGCACGCAATGGGCGGCTGGTACTTCGCAATCGAGAGACAGGAAGGAGACAAGGTCGGGGCAGTGAGCGGCGGTGCAATCAAGGCCTGTAACTGGGATTGCGCCAATCTGAGTCTATCACGGCCCGCTGATTCAATCGTTGCGTTCGTCTGTTGTTCGATCTGCTCCCCGCCATCGGTTGGGAAATGGTGACTATAACGGCCACAAAAAGCACGAACGCCACCGCAACAGGGTTGAACTGTGCTTGGCCGACAGCTATTTGCGTCTTGTCGATATGCTGCTGGGAGTCGAGTGCGACCTTTGGTGCAAGAGGCGGGCGAAATGGCGAAATCGGATGGTGGAGCTGCTTTGCGCCTTCGTCCCAGAAATTGCGTTATCGCCAGTGACCTGGTCCGTGCTTCCCGCTGCTGCCCGTCGCTTCGGGTGCGGGGAGGGTCGCAATTGTTAGTGCAAGCCCCAGCTGATACCTTCACTGACAGCTCGTCAAAAGTGGAATGGAGAGCCACAATGGGAGCTAGGAAATGGCCAGAAAATCGGAAAGGATATGGGATATGGTTGAGTATTTCTATTAGCCCAGTCTTGCCCCAAGGAGCTCCAAATACTCACCCAGCTGGGCACTTGCATCTCCCCTAGTTCCTATTCTGAACGACACATCAACTAACATCGGGGACCCACCTGAAGAAGGTGGGCCGTGACCGGGAATGTCTCGCGTGAGGATCACTCGGATTCCCCGAAACCTTCGAGTTACCAGAACCGACTTCGCACCATAGCATTGTCCTCCGCCTTTCCGTGGAGGCTTTTATTACTAACGTCGCAAACATCGTTTATCGAAAAGTAATAAACGATGTCATGGTGCCAAATTCGTCCCTTGGGGCCCAAGAAGGGCCGGGGCCTCATCCGACAAAGAGAAGAGTTTCTCTTCAGCTCAGCTGGTGCGTCCAAGCCCGAATGGTGGTCGGTGTGTTGCAGTGCAGCTGCCGATATGCCGGTGGCGACCAATGAATTGCTCCCCGACCTTGCTTGAACAGTGTGTTTCCCAACACTCAACCCACTTCACTGGCTGACCAGTCTTGTTCACCTCTGACCTTGAATGAACGTCAAAGGGCGGCATTCTTGTGTACTTCGTATTAACCAAATTACACCTCGAATTCTGAGCTTCTTCTGTCATGCATTCCAATCACCATCCCACATCTGGTAACTTGCAAGTTTGTATGTTTGTATGGACATAACTCGTGACATGACAAACGTGTTTTGCTTGCTTGCCCTTCAAGGTGCGAGGTCTTCCAATTGCGCCATTCCTTGGCATCTGAACGACGGAGTTGCCGAAACCGAAAGGGTGCCCACTTTTAGCTCACGCTCAGCTCAGGGGCTCGAGGGTTCCACAGTGCTTGAGAGTAAACAACAGAACACCAACAGACTCATCTTCGGCCGTCAAGTCTCGCAACATATAAAAGACGCAAACGAATAAGTGGATTGGAATCGAAACGGGGCCAGATACAGTCCATGTTTCTGAGGTACGCAGGTTAAACAAAACATCGTAGAAAAGCAGGCAAGTTGAGATCACTCGGGCAACGGTCAAGGGAAGAAATGGCAAAAAGAAATATACTTGAGTCCAAGAAACTGTAGTAAGTCATAAATAAGGCCATGATGAATAGTAATAGGTAATAATAAGTTACTAATTTGTGGTTGATAGCGAGTTACGTTATCCCCTAATATGGTGCATGAAGTATCACCATGAACTAACTCCGAATAAATCAAACCCTGGGTACATGTACCATCCAAGTAAACAACCAGACACCCAACGCCTCGTTAACCTAGTCGTGATATCATGCAAGTCATACCAGATTCCCCTCTCATCCACACGTTAACACCAACCAACCCGCCAAACCCTTTACACCCCGACCTCTGCCTCTGCCACCTCCCCACCACTCCGTCCCTCCGTTTCCTCAACCCTCAACACCCTTCTCAATCTTGACCCACACCTCATCACCATCCCCCTCAACACCGCCCCCCTCAACACCACCCCCAGGCTCACCATCCCGATACCCAAACCCATCAGCCTCCTCCACACTCTCCATCACACCCCCCCTCACACTACCCCCCACACTCCCCCTAGCACTCCCCCCCACACTCCCCCTAGCACTCCCTACCACCCTCCCCCGCCCCCGCCTCCTCCTCCTCCTCCTCCCCTTCCCCCCCACACCCTCACCACCCTCACCCTCACCACCACTCTCCTCATCGCCCCACCCCCCCTTCGCCCTCACCTCCCGCCACCGCGCCGTCGTCGCCGCCCGCCGCGGCAGGCACGCCGGGCAGCCCTTGCGCCGCAGGTCGGGATTCGGCCGCTGGCACCAGATGCACAGGCCGTCGGCGTGCAGCCGCGCGTTGCGCCGCCCGCGCTCCCCCGTGCCGTACGTCGACGGCCGGCGGCGGGTGGTCTTGGATGAGGAGGAGGCGGAGGTGGAAGAGGTGTTGGGGAGGGTGGTGGTGTAGGTTGGGTTGGGGTTCGGGTGCTGGAGTTGGTGGGGCTGGAGGCGGAGTTGGGTTTGGCGGGGGATGGAGTTGTAGTTGGGGTGGTAGGGTAGGCCGTCGTGGGGGTTGTTGGTCTTGTTGTTGTTGGGCGTGGTGGGTGTTGTTGGGTTCCAGTCGTCGGGGAAGATGAGGGCGTTGTTCGAGGTGCCCTTGTCTGGGGTGTTGAATGGTTGGTTCGGGTTCGGCAGAAAGGCGTTGACGCCATCTCCGCCCTGCTGCGGGACAAACTGGGGAAGACAGAACCCCTGCGAAGCTTCGAATAGACCCGTGACCGGATTGAAGATCACCATGGGGGTTGGGTAGTCTTGGACCGGCCAGTTAGGCATCGGCAGACTGTTGGGAGAGCCCTGCGGGAGCGAGAGCTGGCCGAGGCTTTGATTGGGGGCCGGCACTGGGCTCAGTCCGGTTTGGAGGTTGTTGTTGCTGCCCTGAGCCACTATGTTGCCCCGAAAGTCGTAGGTCAGCGGCCCAGGATAGATCCCAGAGTTCGTGTCAGACTGACGGAGGCTCGGAAGATCCATCTGTGTTCCAGGAGCTTGTGGGCCATCGTTGCGCGCCCGGGCAGCATTGGTGGCGGATTTTAACCTCAACGCGATGGCGTCACCGGAATCTTTGTTCTTAACGCGGCCATGAGCAGCTCTCTTTTTGGCGCGAGTGGTTGGGACGCTGTCGACATCGGATTCTTCGGCGGCAGCATACTTCTTCTCACACTCCAGGCAGAATGGAAAGTCCCCGCGTTCGGCGCCGCAGGTGGCGCAGTTGCTATACTTTGGCATTTCTAAGGCTGGATTGTGGATTGTTGACCGTCTTTGTGTGGCGATGAGTGAGTAGAAGGAAAAGTGCTGTGTGAAGTTGTGTGGAAATCTGTGGGAAGCAAGGCGGAGGCTTTTTGAAGGCCGGGTGCCCAACAACAGAGTTGGGATGGGATGGAGTTGGTGGGAATGGCTTGAAATACAAAACCTGCTTATTTAGGGAATATCGCGTCACTTCCCTGCCACTGTAGGCAACTAGTTATAGTCCAAAGAAGTGGGCTTGTCGGATCGCGGAGCAGGCTCTACGTTGTGTATCGGTTTCGACACATAGACTTTGAACATGTATGTTGTACGAGGTAGCTAGGCAGTTCACCAGAATAGCCCGAGTGGGGAATGTATAAACATTCTGAAGAAAACAAATCTCAGGCCATCACTGAACCCAGCCAAGCTGACTGGTAGTGCTTCTCTGAGGTCTTCACTGAAGCCGAACACAAATACTGTAGTCTGTTTACTCTTCGTAAAGTAAGAACAAAGGGAGCTCGATGAGCGAGTTCATTCCCGTAAATTTGCTAATAATGTTGTTGTTCCAGCCGTTGTGCTGTGGCTGTCCGGTTCGAGTCATAATAGGTAACAACCTAGGAAGCACAGTAGACCCTCGACATCCGTGACGCTGAGTACCTAGATCACATGTTGTGGATGAGATACTACAGTGAAATGAGACTCCGTTCCCTTCTTCACGCTTTGTCGATTGTATTATATGTTTTCCGGACACAGAACCGGAGTATGGCGAATAGTAGTAGTCATGGCTATTGACCATCGAGGATTACGTTTATGTTTAGGGACTTACTAGGTACCTAGGTACGGTAGGCTGGCGGGGACTGGGTACATTTGAAACATCATACCTAAGTGCCTCCTGACAAACTAGGGACCCTGAGTTGGAGCAACACTCCGCCAGCAAGGCAACCAGCCGCGCTGATTGCAGAACTCCAACCACTGAGATGATGTTGCAGCCGCTTGATTGAGACTTTTGTGGTGCTAGGATACAGTTTGTTGTGTTTAGGTGGTAAACTGCGAATGGACTCATGCCGGCGGGCCGACAACCTCTCCACCACGGTCGACGGCCACCCATCAACACACACACTCTCTCTCAAGAAACAGGCCAGCGTCTGGAAGCACCTTGAATTAAACAACGCCAGTGTATATACTCCAAAAACACAAACGTTATGTACACATAACGAACACCGAAGACAGCCCGCCCACCAAGACCGTCCCTGTCCCTCTCCGCTAACTGGAAGCCTCGCCCCCAACCCACCCCCCCAAGCAATACCACCGCATTACCTAAACGCACACCAAATATACAACCGCTCGGCTTTCCCCGGCCGGCTGGGGAACGCATCCCATCTCGCCATGACGCCCACCTTGCCCCGCTTCTATGCAACAGAACCGAGTTTCGGGATGTTTTCGAACCGGGGTATTCGCGCTGCGACGACATCAACGAAGTTTGGGAGAAAAGATAAATAAAAAAGAGACGATCGACGGCCCGTGTAAGTATATATATGCCAATGTCGCATGCAATGCCCCAAATGCCCCAAATCGCTGCAGCGAAGTTATCTCTAAGAGCCGCGCCCCATTACGACAAATGGAAAGGGTATTAAATCGTTGTTTTCGAGTCCGACATCAGCGGCGGGCCCGGTCGCTGCCCAGTCTGGATTTTCACCTGTCCAGCCCAAGTAGGCTTAAGGCGGCGGCTGCGACCGCTCACCGTCGTGGTGCCTGGGCAGCTGGGGGCCGCCGTTGGAGAAGGCACGGCTGTGGGCGCGGCTGTGGCCGCGGTTGTGGCCGAGCCCCTTCTCCGCCATGCCGTCCTTGCCCTCTCCGACGGCGTCCTCGTCCTCGAACACCTTCTTCTCCAGCCACTGGGTGGCCCGCGCGCAGGCGGTGTCGACCCACTTCATCCAGGCCCAGGCGGCGGTGTAGGTGAGGACGGTGAAGACCAGGATGGCGGCCATCTTGTGGGGGCGGCCCTTGGGCTTGAGCCACACCTGCTCCTGCTGGGAGCCGTCGGGGTTCTTGCCCGCGGGCGTCCAGGGCTCGCCGCTGATGCCGTAGACGATCCACATGCCGACCGTGCGCAGGATGGTGCCGTGCGTGAGGTAGACGGCGAACGAGTGGTGGCCGAGCCAGATCAGCACGCGGTGCGAGAGCGCCTTCTGGAACAGCGGGGACAGGAAGAGCGAGATCGCCGTGCACATGATGAAGAAGGCCGACGAGCGCCGGAGCGGGTCGGTGCCGCGCGGGACGAGGATGCTGCCGTTGCGGCGGCCGTCGACCGGGTTGTTGAGGAAGCGGTGTAGGCTCAGCGACCACGGCGCCCAGTCCTCGTGCTCGGCCGGGTAGGACCCGATGTAGCCGCCGATGAGGAAGATGAGCGGGGCGAGAACGTAGGTGCACAGCCGTTGGTGGTTGGAGATGAAGTTTTGGGTAGGACGGTGCTGCGACAGCTCAGCCAGAAGGGTACCGAGGGTGAGCATGGCGCCGAACGTTTCTATCATTACGTTAGTTACCTGTCTGCTGCGCGTGCTAATGGCATGCGCGCGAATGACGTACCTGTCAGGGGACTGACGTTGACCAGCCAGTAGAAGACCATCAAAACATGCACCAGCATCCGATACTTGAACCGCATCCCGATAGTGGCCGCCAGCACGATGTAGACCTGGAAAGCACCGATCAGCAGCGGGCGCATTGCCCACTGGTGTCTATCGAATAGGTTTTCCGTGTTTGTCCACGTCGTGACGGATGTATTGATCAACCTCTTGAGGTTCTCCCCAAACGGCTCGGGATCCGGCGCGTCGAAACGCACCCAATGGCTGTCACAGCGGTTCGCCGCCGTGTAAGCGCCCAAGCTCGACATGACGAAGCTGATAAAGGTCGCGATCAGGGCCGGCAGGATGAGCCTCGGCGGGCGGCGGAAGGCGCTGCGGGCGACCGACTTGAGGGCCGCGGGGGCGTTGTTTTGTTGGTACGCGAGCTTGACCGGCTTGTAGGCGCACACGAAGCCCGTCAAGAAGGCGAAGATGGGCACGCCGATACGGCCCTGCCACGGTATCCGCAGGTACGGATATTGTAGCAGCCTGGGGGGCCCATTTTTGTAGTCGGCGGGCCAAAACAAGGGGAAGTCGAGGGCTCTCGCGATGTGGGTGGCGATGACGAGGACGGAGGTAATACCTCGGAGGCCCTGCACGAGATAACTAGGTCAGTCAAAGTCGGGAACGGGCGGCGGGGAAGGGTTTAGGAGCATGTGAAGATGACCGGCGTTGTCCGTGTTTGCGCAGGGTGCAACAGGACAACACAAGGAACTCCCGTCGGGGGACGACTTACCTCAACCCATTTAATGTTTCGTTGGTTTGGTCTTGCGCTCATGGTGTCTGCTTAATGCCCACCTCGGAACCGGTCCAACAATGAAAGTAAGAAGACAAAAGGACAAGAAAAAAGCAGAACAAGAACACAATGGCTACCGATGATCCTCCCCCACTGTTCGGTGCTGGGAGAAGCGAGTGGAGAACAGAACCCAACGCGAGACCGAGACTGTTCCGAGAGTCGATCCGGGACGAGGGATCACGTCTGGGCGACCTCAAGTTTGTGCGGTCGTTTCGTAGGGAGACGATGGCGGGCGTCGTCTTTGGGAACAGATAGTGCCGGAGGGACGAGGAGAAGTCGACAGCGACGCCGGAGGCATCTGACGACTGCGCAGACTGGCGAATGAGGTGGAGATTACGAATGACACGGACCTCTATCCGCCTTTTCTCGACCTGGATGCCGCGTTACTCGGTAGTTTTTGGATTTCGCAACGTCGAGGGCGGCGTCGAGATGGCGGGTGGACGAAATGCGTGGCTTTTGGAGCGTGGTTGAACCTGGTTGAAGGGGTTGAAGGGTGCTCAGGGCACCCAAGCGGATTTGCTGGCGATTTTGGCGGCGGGCAAGAAAACGGATTTTTCATCTTTTGGGTGACGGGCTTGCCCGTCTCGCGCCAAGCGTGCCGCCAACCCACAGCGATCCTTGACTGGTGTGCCATTCAACAATTGCCAAGCCGGCCAAGATGAGCTGGGACGAGCGAGAGTTCAGGGGCTGTGGAGATGCATAACCAAGTGGTTCTTTTCTTCAACCACTCGAGAATCACCCACGCTCCGCCCGATTGTCTGGGCCTTGGCCAACCAGACAGCGCAGCAGGCAGCGGCGAGAGCGGCCGAGGGCCCCCAACCGGCAGTGGATTCAGAAGCCGGATTTACCACTGGCTGTTAGTCACTTCACTGGAGAAGCAGCGCCACCTTCGACCTTGCCGCAGCGTTGCGCTCTGCTGAAACAAGGACACAAGAACTTGAATCGATGTTCTTTTGGTCGGTCAACTTTGGCCGACTTTCCGATGTCCATCTGTGCCATCCCGGGTTGCGGAGCGCGACAACTGAGATTCGGTAATCTGATGGGGATGATTGACTGCTGCAGTTATTTTACCCCCGGTTAGTGCATCTGGTCCCTTGATGCAGGTGCGCTTTTCATTTCGGCTCTGACAATTTAGTCTGGCAGTGGACCAATGTCGTCACTTGCTTCCACAGCCCATGCCATTTTCGCTCTTGCCCATTCGGGTTCTTCACAGCCCTCGAGTATCAAGAGAGATGTGTCCCTTGCTCTCGAGTTGCTCTTTCCGAACCGAGCTGCTCGGACGGCGGCGCCGCTGCCTTCAACCTTTCCTGCCAATCTTGGAAGAGGGAACTCCTCAACCTGGAAGGAGAACTCATTGCATGATTTCTTGACTATCCGGGCTTGGCAGCTGCTCCAACCCACATGTCATCCCGTGTTTGTCCAACCGCCACGCAAGCCCTCGGAAAACGATGGCAATTCTACAATGCCACTCGTATCCGTGTACATAGAGAGTCACGCATACCCGCAAAATTCCCGGCTCGGCGCCGGTTGGTATTGAACCGGAAGAGATCCGGCGACCTGGACATCCCAAAGCTCCGGTGCTCTTTCGGAAGCACCGAACGACTTACTTCTCGGATGTCTGGACTCGATTTTGGCAACGATGTCAGCGTGGTTGCTGATGCGGCCTCCCGCCCCGTGCCACAGAGGTGAGAGTTTCGTCCTGGTGTCCAGTATTCGTACTTCGTACACTTCCAAGTAACTCTCGGATCACGCCAACTGGCAACAGCGCACACTCAACACCGCCAATTTCCCCCGGCATCGCGCATATAGAGTTCTGACCGCCAAGTCCCGCCCCTCCCGTCTCCCACAACCCGTCGTAGCCGGACAAACGAGCCGGCCCCGCCGTCCGAGAGGCACGGTGGTACGAAGAATCCTTTGCATTTTCTCTGTTCTTGGTAACTATGGTAAAACGAAGTCCTTGGTATGTGTGGGATGGCATTCCTGCAGTCAGCTGACACACCGGGATGGCGTGCTCGCCAGGAGATAAGCAACCCTCCCGCCGAGCCTCGCCGAGATGACAGATTCCGAGATTCGTGAGTGCACTTCCCTGCTGGCCCCAATGGGCATGTTCCACGGGCTCGCACGCTCAGTTCGATTTGCGGAGCTGTTTCGCCCCCGGCGCGTTTCAGATCCCGGTTTACCCACCATTTAGGGCAGGATCAACTGGGGATCTTCAGGGACACTTACCGCCAGAGTTTGCGGACGATCTTTTTTCGCGACACTGCCACGCATGTGATGCAGATATTTTCCACGAGACGCGCCCTCGAGGCATGTCATGGTAACGTTAGTTATTCCCGTGTTGAAGCCATTGAACATGCAAAGCTCCCTTCTCGTCGATACGCAGTCGGTCCACCATCCCTCATCCGTCACGGAGAATGGAACCACCCCCAAGCCCCACGCTAATTCGGGCCCGGGCGGCCCTCGGGCCCCACGTAATGCGGAAGAAAGATTGGACGACTCTCCTTCCAGAAACCCAAGAGAGGCTCAGCAGTGTTCGGGAACAGGAAACGCGACCTCTTACTCTTTCGGGGAGGATACCATCCACCACATCCACCAGGCGATGGATTCCAGAATCTAGACCGATCTCCATTGCAACTTCTTAGGTAATTAGCGAGCACACTTGTTGTTGCACCAAGTCGGCATCATCCGCCGCTGGTGAGTTCTGTCCGAAAGCGGTCGGCCCCCAGGTCACGGCAGCACGGCAGTTACCCTGATACCCCGTGGGGAAGAGTTGTGCATTCTCGAAACCTTCGACGGTCACAAACTCAGGGGCCAAAACCGTTCATCTTGATGTCGAGTTTTACAACCGCCCGGGGAAATCGACCTGCATCTGCAAGGTTGTTTTCCGTTAGAATGATCTTCCCATGCTGGGTTTCAGCAGTTCGCGTCGAATGCCGGTCAGGACCCCGGACCTCGGCCCCGGAACCGGGCTCGGTTCGCAGCGAAACCCGGTTTGCGGCCGGGAAGTGGGCGCCCGATCCGGGCGGTGCTTCAGCCTTACCATGTATTCATGCGATCGCCAGGCAGCCTGTTGGGAACCCGTTTATACACCCGTTCAGTTTGCACATTTGAGTCTATGTAAAAATACGCTATAACTATACCAATCATGGCAGGCCATCCTCATCTTGGTAACGATGACATTCGTAAACTCGTAAACAACACCATGACGCGTCGTCCCACAACAACCCACCCCTTTCCTCACCCCTTCAAACAAACGCCCCCCTAAACCTCGTCAGACTTGACCGAGAACTCGACCCCCTGCTCCAGAAAGACCTTCTTCACCACCTCAAAGTGGAACTCCAGCGGCACGGCGCCCTCGAGGACCCACGTCCAGGGGATCTTGACCAGCAAGACGACGCGCTGCAGGCGGTGCAGGCGGGTTCGGACGTCGCGGGCGAAGTGGGTGAGGGTGCGGAGCGCGGCGGCGCGGTAGTGGTTCTGGGCCTGGTAGTGGCGGACGCGGTCGCGGGCGGCCCAGGTCGGCAGCACGTCGAGCAGCTCCACGTTGGACCACCACCAGTCCTCGAGCGCCAGCTCGACGAGGTTGGGCGGCAGTAGCTCGACCAGCGGCGTCTCGAGCACCGCCGACGGCTTGCCGTACAGCAGGCCCATCTGCACGCACAGCGTGTGCAGCGACTCCATCTGTGCGAGGGATGTCAGCCGCCCGTCGGGGCCCACCAGGCTCTCGAACCCGGAGATGTCCTCCCAGCTGACGTCGAGGTTGCGCAGGTGCTTGGCGTGGCTGGCCAGCCCGATGTCGAGGGACTCCGGGTGCTCGGCGGCGTGGCCGTCGTCGACCATCTCCTTGAGGGAGTCGTCGCCGCGCGGGGCCATGTACAGGGTCTCGAGGCGGGGCGCGTTGAGGAGCAGGTGGTGCAGGTCGCCCGGGTAGGCGACGCTGTTGTGGAGGTAGATGTGGCGGATGTTGGGCATGAAGGGCGGCGGCGCGGCCTCGTCGAAGGGGAGGAAGTCGTCGAACTCGTCGAGCGCCGTCGTCCAGACCCCGTCGTCGCTGCTGACTTCGAGCGTGGTGAGGTTGGGGAGGCTGGAGAAGAGCGGGGCGTACTTTCGGGGCTGCGCGCCCCAGACGTCTGGGCCGTCGCACTCGCACTCGTCTTCTTCGATCTCGGACAGGAGCTCCGGATCGCCCTGGAGGAGGAGGGTGCGGATCATTTGTAGGGGCGCCGCATCGGGCTCGGTTCGAAAGAGATCCTTGATCCCCTCGATCTGACCGCAGAGCACGGCGTATTCCGGCTGATCGTCGCTGATGGGTATTTGCAGGAGGGCCGTCTCTACCTTGGAGAGGAACATCAGGATGAAGCAGAACAGCGCCTGGGGCACGTGGTCGAAGTCGCCTACGCTGGCCACCATTTGCGGGAGGAAGCTGCGCAGCATGTGGAGGAACTGCCGAGTGGCCGTGACGAGGATCCCGGACCCCGGAGCTGGCGCGAAGGTAGGGAGGTACTTGGGAAGGAGCTCGCGGACTTCGCGGATGACATTGTTGCATGTCAAGGTGATGTGGCAAGACACATAGCGTGGGAAGAGGCCGTAGTGGGGCTTGCTGCAGAGGGTGCGGAAGAAGAGAAGCATTGCGGTTTCGTCCCAGATTGCAACGACCCTATATAGTAGCGGGCGAGCCATCTCCGAGAGGCGACGGGAGACGCGACAGACGCTATGGAGGCCGCGGCGGCATCGCGTGAAGTCGAACCAGGGCTCGTCTACCATCAGTTGGTGGTAGGCGACAGGGCGTGTCTCGCCGATTTCTGGTGGCTGTGGGATTAAAAAGTCCAGGATTAGAGCAATGATCTCGGGAGGCATGGTGCCGAGAACAGGAACTGGTGAGTTGGATTCGGCCATGGCGGTGTCGCTGACCGGGTGGTGTCCGGTCGCAGGGTTCACGGAGGTCGTCGTCGTCGGTGGCAACTGGGAGAGCTGCACCCAGACCGCCGCTGGCAGCCTGCCGATCCTGCTAAGTCAGGATGGAATTGGCGGTATTCGGCTTGGCAGGGGACCAGACGCTGACGGTCGGCCACGGAGTATTCCATGGGATATAATCCTGGATCGGAGCGAACTTTGGGTTGAGTTCGAGAAGAAAAGCAGCATGGACCCCACCATGTAAATTGCGGGGCCCTTTTGGCGGTGCACGGATACCCTAACCCTAATTAGTTTAAGAGCACGGTTCCTGTCGACCATCGTTGCTGCCGTTTCTCCTGCCACAAGCCCGTTGATTGAGGTTCTTCTCAGGTCGCTTTCAAACAAGTATTGCGCTGGTGAAGTCATTGGGAAGCGTTGGTGGTTTCAGACACCAGCACGATATCACGAACAAGCAATAACCAGAGACCGCCTGCAAAGATAACAGTGATCAGAACACTGTTAATACCGCTTACCAACGTACAACAATGGGAGGTTGATATTCAATTCCTGTATTCTCAGCGGTTGCAAGGCCTTTGAGCGACTCGGCAATAACTCGACGTACTTTGGCGGGGCAATGCACGTATCTGCGTGACAGTGCTGCCGTTGGTGGACTCGCCACCCATAACTAACATTGTGTCTCGCTGAAGTTTCTCATTATTCCAGATTTCCAAGTCTCCAAAACCAAGGCAAACAACATCCCTTACTTACTTCTTAGATCTGACAGCCCACATGCCCCCAGCTCCACCACCATAACCCTCCCTAGTCCACCTGAACATCGATCAACCCCCCACCACCGCCGTCGCCGTGGCACAGGCCTCGGTATACAGGAACGTACCCCACCCCGTGTAGCACTGCTGGCACGGCGTATGTGTCGGGCACACCGTCACCGTTTGCGTCTCGATGAACACGCGCGGGCAGCCGCACGAGATTGTGGCGGGGGCTGGGCGGGGTGTGCGTTAGCTTCTCGTCTCTCGTCCTTACTTCTCTGGCCCTTTTTGGGGTTGGGTGCCTGGGGTTGGGGGATATGGCGAGATGGAAGGGGGGTTAGGGAAGGTGGGTAGGTACATACCATCAATAATGCAGAAGCCCGTTGCGCAAGTGTGGGAGCATCCGCTGGAGGAGTAAAAGGTTTGTGTTGGGCGGTAGGTGCATGAGTCGGGATAGCTGGTGACGGTGTCTGCAGTTGTGGTGGAAACCGGGACGGTTGAGGTGGGGGACGCGGTGGTGATGATGGTTGTGAAGGAGGCGGGGTGGCAATCTGTGGCCGAGACCGACACGGCGGCGCTAAGGTTCAAGAATTCGTTAAGTGATAACCAAGTACAAGGTTCATTGAAGTGGAGGGGGGATGGTTTACCTTGAAAGCACGAGAGCGATGACTGGGTGAACACGCATCGTGTGAATCGATACAGGCAATTGTCCTGGTGTTTTCTTGCCTCTGTGGTCTGCGGTTGTGTGAGAGCAACCCGGCTGAAGTGGCCAGCTTGTGGGCGCGAGTTCACCCGGTTCATTGCCAAGTTCTAATTACTGTGGTATTTGTAGCGTGACCGGGAGGGCGGCCCGATGCATACGAAACATCGTGAGCCATATGACCTCGGTGTTTCCCAACAATATGATATTTTTAACTTCCGGACACCTAGGACCTCGCAGTGGGTAAGGTGAAATTGTATGATGGGCGCCTGTATTTCTCTAGAATATTCATCAAAACAGACAATCTGCCTCCTCAGCAAGCCCAAAATCCCAAAGTTCATCTTCACCCGTTACATCAAAGGGACTGCCGCTATCCAAAGTCGACCCAACCGACCCAGTCGACCCATACCCCGAGTCCCCATCATGATAAAGACTCGACCTCTTCAAATCCCGCAGTTTCCAGCCATCACACAGCAAAAAAACCTCCGACGCCCTCCGCTCCCGCGGACACTCCCCCGTCATCACGCCGCCCCCCCTCACCCCGGCGCCACCACATGCAGATGCAGTCGACGCCCGCAGCGCGACATCCAACAAGTCCGCCGTCCGCGGCAGATCCACCGCCTCCACCCCCGGCAGCACCGCCCTCATCTCCTCAAAGCTCCGGTGCAGCGGCAGCACGTAGGCGTCCCCCGTGGCGTCGGTCGCGACCACGTGCCCGTACACCTCCATCGACACCGGGTTGACCACCCACGCGCCCGAGTCGCCGTCCCGCAGCGGCGCCTGCCCCTCGTCTAGTTCGAGCAGGTAGGCGTCGACAAACCCGTGCGAAGCGTCCAGCATGATGCCGCCGGGGACGTGCGAGAGCACGCCTAGCATCGTGCCGCCGCTGCCGCCGCTGCCGCATTGAGAATGGGGCGTGGAGCCGCCGAGGAGGGCGACCTCGATGGGCTCGGCTGACGGGAAGCTGGCTGCCGGTGCGGTGGTCATGGTGCGGCCGTTGACCATGCCGGAGTTGGGGCCGGCGGCCCATCTGCCGGGGTGGTGGTGGTGGACCGCGGTGCTGCCTGAGCGGCGGAGGAGGTTGGGGCGGATGCGGAGGGTGGGGTCGATGTCGAAGAGGGCCCAGTCGCAGGACGGGGTGCGGATGTCGGTGGTTTCGGATGGCATGTCGTCGTCGGCGGCGTCTGTGGGTGGGTATGGGGATAGCATTTTGCCGACGGTTTGGTGGTGGTTGAAGTTGAATGGGTCGAGTCTGGCTTGTGTATCCTCGGTGACAGGGCCGTCGGGACACTCTGCTTCTTCGAGATAGAATAGCTCTTCTAGGACGTGCCCTGCGGTCATCCCGACGAGTTTGAAGTCTCGGGGTCCGTAGGTGAGCTTCACGACGCCTCCGAGCGTGGCCATGGCCGAGGTTCCCAGGGGCGTTTTCAGGCAGATCCGAGCGCCACAGTAAGTCGGCAGGTCCCTTTGCTTGGAGAGACTGGTGTCCCAGGTGACGCGAATGTCTCGGCGAAGCCGCTTCCTGGGCGGCTGGCCGACAACAACAACGTCAAAGGAGGGTGTAATGCCGTCATCAGGCCTGTATAATGACCGCAGGAATGGTTGTTCTAACAGCGTCTCAACACGACTGGCTCCCTCGCCGGGAAGGAAGACGACGATGGATGGCCTAGCTGTCTCGACCGTTCTGCCAACGGTCATGAGTCTCAACGACATGGTCATTTGCCTCCTGGATCTGGCCCTTGATGATGACTGGAACAGAGGCAGCCCTTGCTGGGTGCTCTTCACTAATTGGCGCTGAATCTCGGGCGCGATTTCCCGAAAGCGGGCATTGTAGACGCCATCCACCTCAGTCCTGAATATCTGCAACTCTTCTTTGCCGGGCAGCGGCACGCTTCTCACGGGAATATTTTGAGATTCCTCGCCATTTCGTTGTGATAGTTCCGACCTGTTTTTGACGCTGGGGGAGACAAACGCGGAGCTGTCTTCCGTTCCGTAGCCCGAATCGGTGTGCGTTAAGGTTCTGCCCTGGCAGGGAATCGGCTGCGCCCTGGCCGAAGTTTGGTCCCATGGTGTTGCGGACGAGAGTGTTGAGGTATCTGGGTCGGAATCGGAGGCCACAGTTGGGATACGCCGGGTTGGAATTGCAAATGACGACCACGACATGATGGCATTGACACGCGGCGATTTAGTCCAATGGATATCTGGGTAGGTACCTTAGGTATTATGATATAATGATATTCTGGCGGCACAATTTTAGACGTCAGGCTGTCAACGACGTTGCTCTGTATTATTATTTAAACAAAACCGGGATGATCATTGATGTGGGTTTGTTAGAGGCAACCGACGTGCGCGTGAGCCTGCAGTACCACGTCGAGGCCGTTGGTCGAGGCAGTGCTAGTTGTGAAGTACGCCAATAGCTGGCATTCAAATAAGATGCCTTTGCAGGGTAATTGGGGCGCAGCTGCTCCCATCACGCAGCGCGCGCACCACTCTTATTGGTACGTTTCACAGCCACTCGGAGCACACGTGCGTCTTGTTCTCAGCCTGAACGACGCGGGTATCGACATGTCTTGGGGGGCAAGATTGTTTTCGATGGGCATCCCATGATTTCGGACGGTCAACTTGAAAAAAGCGAATCACCGGAACTCGGACTCCAAGATGGCGTTTCCTCTCCAAGACGTAACCGTTCCCGAACTCAAAGAGCTGTGTCAGGCAATGTGGGACTGGAAGCTGTGTGGGAATTGCCAACAAGACATCAAAGAAAGAAGCTGTCCGCCACGGCGCTGCTCGGGGGTCGACAATTGTCCCTGGGGCCAGAGAAGTGAACGACTAGGCCCCTTCTTCGACTTCTACCGAGGGGTGACTGGCTCATACGTCCCGGATTTCTTTGGTGAGGAGGACCAAGCTCTCCGAGGCCATCGGGATCTCTTCGACATTATCCGGCTTACCAGGCGATGCGGTTTCACGGTTCTTCGGACTCTCTGTATGCACCAGTATTTCGCTACTCGTCTCGGGGATGTCGATAGCCAGACGATGGTGCCCGAGAGCGACCAAGGCCGCGCATTCGATCTGGCGGCACGAGTCTTAACCATGACGAACCTCGACAGTGCCGACAGTCAAGGCTTTCTCAACCAAACAGGTGGCGGGGACGAGGAAGGCATCGGTTTCTCGCCACCAGCAGTCCGAGGCTCCATTGCATGCTTGCAAATTGCTTTGGCGGAGATCTTCCCCTCTCGAATCCATCCCAGTTTGCAAGCTGGCGATCCCCAGGCAACGGTAATCAAGAACGGCCTAACGGCAGAGATGTTGAGGAGGGTTGCTGGGATCAGGATAGAGCGTACCGATAACTTGCGGGACCACCTGAGGCTGGATTCAACGGCTGGGGTAGTGCAGGTATTTCATCTAACTAGTGTTCTAAGGGAACATCTCTTAGCGACAAAGCCCACCGGAAGCGATGAAGAGTAAGTCCCCAATCAGGAGAGGTTGGGCTCAAGATACAGTGGACTGGACTGGGCTAACAATTCCCACTCAGCAGTAGTTATGAAACTCTTCCTTGTCTTCCACGCGAACTCGCACTGGAGACCCTCTACACGATTCAGCTTATCTTCCCGCCGGGCGGCAACTCCCAAGCAATGCTACGCACTCTAGTGAGCAAACAGGGCTTCGACCCGGACTCGCTCCGGTTTGGAACTGCCTTATTCGAGTTGAGCCGGCACGAAAGGGAGAGGGCCTTGTGCTTCCCCGTCTGGGGGACGCGTCTGATGGACCTGTACGATGAGATCGAGAACCCAAAACCGCGCGGTAGGCTGGATGTCTGGCTTGAGCGGAGGAGCAAGTCACGACATATCATGCTCGCGACCGCGGTGGGCATATTTACTGCCGTGATTCTTGGGTTGCTGAGTCTGTGTGTAAGCATCTTCCAGACTTGGATTGCGTGGCAGGAGTGGAAAGAATCGGCCGCTGGTCGGTGATTGAACTTCTTCAACAATCTTGTGTACATAAACAAACGATTATCTACAAGCAATTACGGCGGCGCTGCAGGGCGACCTCAACTTCGGCTGAATTGGTCATGGCCAAGTCTCGCGTGTGGGCCATGTCGGTGTTGTAGAAGAGTTCAGCAAGTTATCATCAGGTACCATTGTCCGACCTGTGTAAAGCCAGGTATACCTTCCGTGTCGAGAAACCCTTCTCTTAACGAAATACCCCTTCTCGTAATACCGCAGGCGTTTCTAGAATGAAGAGGCCAAAGTTGAACTATAGCAAATAGGTTCTTTATCACACCTTGTCCGTTGCTACCTAACACCCATATCCCGCGGTGTCAGGCCGGCTTGGATTGAGCAACAATGGCTTTGCCAAACAAGGAATTCGCTCGCATGGAACATTGTCCAGCATTAAAAGCTCGGTTGAACAAAGCCCTTGTAATGCAAGAACAAGCTAATCATTCGGATATCACATGAACCGTACGGGCGTCAATTGCCTGAATCAACTTTCTGTTATTTATAACCGCTGACACAACGATAGACTTACGAAGCGTTCAGCGGATTCGGATTTTCCTTGCTCACCAGTTAGAAGAGGGCTCTCAGATTCAAGTGGATGGAAAGAAAGGATGGACGCTCCAACGGGTGACAATCAAATTAGCCCTGAGGAGGGACCCCCGTCCCCTACGCATTCGGATTTGGGAACAGAACGGGATTTGAGTCCGATTTTTACTCCCAAACCTGAGCCTGACGAGCTTGAAGCTGTTGAAGAGGAAATCGTTGTTGAAGAGGAAGTCGCTGTTGAAGAGGAAATCGCGTATCCGAAAGCCGAATGCACGATTTGCAAGAAGACGGTTACCAAGTGGCTGGACCTCATCATTCTCCCCGATGGAGAACGTCTGACCAAGATTGGCCTCATGCTTGAAAGGGAAAAAGCGCTAGCGAGGAAACCGTACTGCTTGGAGTGTGCCGACGCCCAGGTCTGGTACTGGTTGTTGGTCAATGTCGACCGGAGCAGAAACATTCGTCTAACACCAGCTCAGTGGAGACAGAGGGTCATCTACAACCTCGAAACGAACTTTGGTCTTGTAAAGAGAAGGGTCAATAATCGGTTAATGATGGCCGATTATTTCAAATTCTGTCGCGGGTGCGACAATATCAACGCCCATGTCGACATTCCTGGCCAACCCTGCAAAGCCTGTAGGAACCGTCCACGGTGCAATTACTGTGGCCGAAACCGACTTGGACTTCGTGGAACCAGGGCCAGAGCTATTAGATGTTCACGGTGCCGTACCAAGTCAAGCTTAGCCTTTGCGCTCCCACCGGTTGACCCGGTCATACTGCCCGACCCGACACCCGAGGGCTCCGAGGCGGATCATGAGGAGGCAGCGTGAGTCGCCGCTCTCTGGTTTCTCATCTTGTGCCAACGATTGATGACTCGAACTCGGCGTAGATGGTCTTTTAGATATCTAATTCTTTTGTCAACACAGCCCGAAAAGATTGTACAACGTCCGTTTAATTATATATATTCGTCTCGTGTGTCTTTTTCGAATTCCTTTGCCCCCTACGTGAATGAATACCTACCTACCCTGTGAGCAACCGCCCATCTGAAACAACCTCAACTACCTACCTAGGTACCTACCCTTACCTCCCTCACACGCCCGAACAAGCAGCCAGCATGACCTTCACCACCTGCTTATTGATAGCATCATCCGCGGGCATCATATGCCCGCCCCGAAACCGAATCACCCTCCTCCCATCCTCCTCAAAGAACCCCACCAACTTCTCGCTCTGCCCCCGCCACGGATCCGTCTCCCCAATAATCTGCACGCTCTCCGCCCTCACCCGGCCCCTCTCCACCATCCGCCGAAACCCCTCCTCCCTCGCCGCGTCCCCACCGCCCCGGTACGGCACCGTTCCGCACACGCTCACCACCACCCTCACCGCCTCCCCCATCCGCCGCGAAACCTCCATCCCCACCTGCGCGCCCATCGAGAACCCCACCACGCCGACCACGGGTCCCGCGCCCTCGTCGCGCACGAGCCGCTCGATCGAGGCTAGCAGCGCCGACACGCCGCTGCTGTCGTCGCTGTGGTCGGCGCCCCAGTAAGGGTCCTCGGTCGCGGCTGAGGTGTCGTCCATCCAGGTCGCGAAGGGCCCGCACTCTTCGAAGAAGGGGAGGACGCCGGGGCCGGGTTTGCTGGGCAGGGGCGCGGTCGGGTAGAGCAGGGTGAAGTGGGGTTGGAGGAGGTGGGCGAGTTTGCGGGTTTCTGGTGTGTTGGGGGGGGAGGGGGTTAGTATGTTTCTGAAGGGGCCTGGGGGGGGGAGTGGTGATGGATGGGTGAAGAGAGGGAGTGGGTTGAGTTCTGAGGGGGAAGCGGGAGGGGATGGAGGGGAGGATGGAAAGGAAAGGGGGAGGAAAGGAGGGACCACTTACGGAGGCGGAAGATCTCGGCGTTGGTGCCGGAGCCGTGGAGGAAGAGGATGCTGGGTTTGGCCATGATTGTGGTGAGGGCTTTAGGCAGGGTAAGTTGGTTGCGCGTGATTACCGGCCGGGTAGGTAAGGTACCTATGATAGGCGGGTGATCTGCTTGGTCAAGCCGAAATTGAGACGGTGGCAAAGCCCGGTTGGCGCTGGTGTATGAAGACGGCTTCCGATGGCAGTTAGTTGAAAATGGAAGGTGAAATGTGTAAACTTTGCAGTGCGCCGCTCTCCGGTGTAGCCTCGACGTCGAAATGCTGACGCGAGATCGGAGAAGCTCGGGAGAAGTTGAATTCCGACTCGCTTCGCTCACCTTCTGCTGCAGCGCCACGGACCTGCAGCACTCAGCTTGGCAACCGTAAGAACGGCTGATTCAGCCCCCAAGCGAACCTGTGTTCTTTGCACGTGTGCTCACCGGCCTGGGATGGTGTAGTGGAAAGCAATGGGAAAACTAAAAGGTGGGTGATGCTGGGATCAAACGACGGAATATGCGCTATTGTTTCCGCCCGGACTTCTCTACAAGACTAATAATTGACTGGTAGCAATATCGCTCGGGAGGTTGACCTGCCGTGGAACTGGAACTTGGCTGGGGCCACAATGGTTACACCTGCCAGAGACTAGAATCGGGAGGCTAGCTCAATGTCGAAAGGGGTTGACATCTGTGTCTTTCCCACTGCATCCACTCTCTTATTACCCCTACCATGGTAATATGGGGCCAGTACTCGCACGTCTCTGTCAAACACATCCTTACCTGTTTACTTGGGGTCTCTTCCTGGTGCTGTTTGGATTCTGGTGCGTCCAGGATCTCCTACACGATGAAGGGACCCTCGCATCCCTTCTTGTGATCTGATCTCGCCACGACGGTTTCGACATAACGTTGACAAACTACAGCGTCCCCAGAACAGCGCTTCCCCGTTCCCCGACCGCATACCTTCCGTGTTTCACCAGATGCCGCTGGGTTCCGGAACTGCCACAACCACCCAGATGTTTTCTTACACCCTAAACAGCGGGACCAAGAATGCGGCGGGTTCCTTTGCAACTGCTAACAAACAGCACGCCGTTCAATTACCCTCAGCTTTCTATGCTGCTGCAATAACGCCTGTCCTCGTCTTCCCGTTCAAGCGCAGCGCCCAGATGCGCAGCGCCGTAATAACAACCATGAGACTCCATCGCTCTCCCAGTTCGCCCGACTGACCCTGCCCAAGTAATTCAAGCGTAAAGGCGTGCTTGAACTTCGGGAACAACCTGCGCCACGTCAAAAACGCCAGAACCTCCCCGCTATCAGCGTCCCCCGGCATATCCGAAGCCGTGCTCCCCTGACCAGACAAACCCCCCTCGTGGGACGCCGGCAACGCAACCAACTTGAACCCGCCGTCCTTGGCAGTATCATCCGTCCCCTTCCCAACCTTCCACCACCCAAACCTCTCCCTCCTCACCATCTTCCCAGCCCCAACCTCCACCTCAAACACAAACACCACCCTCCCCCCACAAACCATCGCCGGCATCTGCTCCACCACCAACCCCCCATCCTCAACCCCACCCCCACCCCCACCCCCACCCCCAGCCACCGCCAACGCCGGCATCATAACAACACTCCTGCCATCAAACCCATAGCTGCTCGCCGCACGGTACGACTCATACCCCGCGGCCGCCAGCACCGGCGCCTTGCCGTCCCTCCCATCGTACAGCACCACGCCGGGCCGCGTGCCCAGGGGCGGCTTGCCGCTGTAGCCGGTGTGCACCTCGACGTGGCACAGCCGGTCCTTCTCGGCCGCGCCGCACAGGTTGAAGCTGCGGATCTTGCCCCACTGGCCGTAGGCGTTCATGGTGGCGGGGAAGTGGGGGAGGCCGTGTCGGGTGGCCGCGGCGGGGGGTTTGGTTTTGGTTGTGGGGAGGTCGTCTTGGGAGGAGTCGGGGGATGGGTCGGGCGGGGGACCGACTGTGGTTTCTGGTTTGCTCGGGAGGGCTTGGTTGTTCATGTTGTCGGTTGGGTTGGGCTTTTTCTAGAGAGAGCTGGCTGTCGTTGACATCTGTCTCTGTCGTGTACGTGTGTGGGAAGGGAAAGAAGATGGCTAGGTCAAAGATTTGACGTGTTGGCAAAGTTGATGATGGGGGTAAGCGGCATTGGACGTTGTTTTGTTAGGTAAACGCTGACTTCCGGATAGGATCTTAGTCCATATTCACTAACGGCCACGATACCGCTCCGGTGCTTTAAGACTACTGCTCTATCCCCTGTTTAACTCCAGTGTTGTTCGTCCTGCTACACAACAGGGAGCTTGGCAGTGGGATTTTGGAAGCAAAGAGTGCATTGGTTCCCCAAAGTAAAGATGGGAACGGGAGAAGGTTTAAATACACAAAATAGATTTCCTAGGCTCATGTAAGCCCATCGAATGCCGTTTGATGCGGCAAGAGTCTACCGAGACCCTTCTAGCTTGTGATATGTATGTGCTAAGTATGCATGTCTAAGCCACCTGTCACGACTCGGGGCGCGTGTCTGAACCCACCAACCCCTGATAGAATGGATACATCGCGGAGTCCGTGTTGATCTTCGGCTCCATTCGGCAGCATTACCCGAGAGGCGCCATTTTTCACCATCCTACAGAAACGTGTAGCCAATAATCAACGTGCAGCACTTGCTCGGTAGGATTTCAATGTCCACCAGGAACAGTGGGTTTGCTACCTGGTTCATGGAGCCGATGGAGTCGGGCGAACGGCTCCGTGCGAGGGGTCCGTTAGTTCGTGAGGTAGCTTGCGGAGCCCCCGTGTTCGGGCCTTGCCCACTTGCCCGTGTTCCCCGTGGAGAGTTACGCGACCTTCGTGGCGGCCGACATCTATTGTGTTACATGCTGGAATAGACTAATCGAACGGTATGTGGTCAACTGCGGTAAGTAAACTGCCATGGAGAGGTTTAGCTTCATAGAGGTGAACTAATAATGGTTCATCAATAGTTAGGTACCGTGGCGCTACTTACAACTCATGCTACGTGATTGACATATGGAAGATTCTTTCCTCGTTTCTCTGAAGCAAGCCTTTGTTGAGTTTTCCTTGCTGTGTATACCTACAAGTACCTACTCAAAGAGAGCGGGGTAGGAAAGTCTGAGCGGGATGGTTATGACCTGGGACTTGCGTCATACCCAGCGTAAGGGGCGATATCAACCAGTCAGACGGTCATACAACCCACCTCCTATCCAAACCACATCCCCGCACAATCAACACCACAAGAAAAAGCTTCCAACACAGTAACCTCCAGTCAGTCTCAAAAATGCTACGAGTAACCCGCCTCGCACCAGGCCGACGCGCCCTCCTCCCACACCCACACCTCCCCGTGCACAACACCGCCGCTCCCGCCACCTCGCGCCCGGTAACATTCGTCACGGGCAAGAGCAACACCACCCGCCCCGTCATCTTCACCAGCATGAACGGCGGCACGCCCAAACCCAAGCCCTCCGTCGCACGCCCGCTCTCGGCATGGGGCCCAAGCACGTGCGCCACCCCTTTCCTCACCCCCCCTTTACCCCTTTCCTAGTATAAATTACCCCCAATATCTCCCAAACCCACCAACCCAACAAAACAAAGGCCCTCAACCCTCACCACGTAGGACACTACCCAAAACACACTAACATGACCCTCCTAACCAGCATGTCCACCCTCGCCCTCGGCAGCATACTCGGCGGGTCGTGGTATATATGGGAGGCCGGGCGCGACTACATGGTGGGGCCCGAGGCCGACCGGCACGAGCCGCGGGTGCTGGGCACGCACCGGGAGGGGAAGGTGAACCGGGATTATGTGAACTACGATCAGTGGGTGGAGAGGCACAGGCATGGGCGGCGTGGGAGGGAGAGGGGGGGTGAGTGAGTGAGTGAGTGAGTGAGTTCGGGAGTGGGGGCTGTGAGGCTGTGAGTGTGGGCTTGGGGCAAGTGGGGATGGGAAGGGGATGGGGTGAAGATGGTAGACGAGTGAGTGATGGGAGATGGTGTTCTGGAGGGATATGCACTGGGCTTTGGTCGGTGGTTCCGGGTTCAGTGGCAGAAAGTGGCAGAATGTGGCTTGCGGGGGATGAAGGTGAGTGTGACGGTGGTCTTGGGAATGGCGGTGGCCGGACGACGGTCGGGCTGGCTGGGGGGCTCCAAAATTGGCGTTTATCTTTTATTTATCTCGATAGTAAAGACACGGACACCGGCTCTCCAACTATTGCTAGTTGCGGAGTTATAGCTACCTACGACATAGGTACACGACGGCTGGAAACGGCTGGAACATTGGGCTTCTATGCGAGGAACAACATGATGCCTTGGAAAGTTGGGTGGGGATAGGGGGTTGTGATCAACGTGGGACTGTATCCTCTGTCAAAGAGTCCATCTTAAATTGAAACCTGTCTGCCTCTGGAAATTAAACCGGCACATTGCAACTGCAAGCTTTTGGTATCATTTTCGGAACACCGGATGCCTGGGCTCCCGCTCGCCCCCGCGCCTAACTGGATAGATCACGCCGTCTTCGCCCCCGGTCAGCCCCTTTATCCCCCGCAAAGTTCCACAGGGGGTGCATCATGCCGGGTTTTGCGCGGTCAGAATGGCCCAAGAAGCTACAGGTTGTCGGAACCAAATGGCATGCTTGACAAAACCTGCTCTAGGAGGCCCTGGCAGTTTGTTGGAGGTAGGCGTGGCGAGCAATGCTCATAGAGCGTGAGAGTAAGTACAGCCGTTCCAGAGGAAAAACCTGGTTTTCCGCCGAGAGCTACGCGATACGACTGTTCAAGGCGCATCTAGAAGCCTGATGGACGCCTTTTCGGTTCCAGGGTGTCCCCATGCCCTGGCTGCGACTGCTTCTTTCGCATGACGGTAGCTTTCCTATACCGCTATCAGGCGCCATTTTGCCGTAGAGGAACAAAGGTCTCGTTTACCCTGAGCTCCCTGCCCAGAGGCCGAGGCGGTGCTGCTTCGACTGCCTGTTGTGGTTGGGTCATCAAGTCTCACAGAGGCAAGCTGTGGGGTGGGCGGACGGCATCCAGTCGCGAGTGCTAAACTGCCGGGTATTGGGCGAAGAAGAAATGTCCGAAGGGTAAGGCGTCAATCCATGGGTAGGGGTGCACGAGCTTCTAAAATAGGATAGTGCGTCATATAGGTCCATGGAGGGTGTGGCCAATATTGATATGCCGTTAACGACGTTTAGTCTTCCTCCGACAGAAAAGGACCGAGCCAGAGTATCGTTGGGCTGTCCAAATCCCGACTGATCTCCATTGGGTCCAGGTTTATCCAAAGGAGGAAGCATCCATCTCCGGGGAGGGATGCGCACCAATCGGTTGAGTTGACGGATATCAGGTCTTCGCCCCATCAAATAGTAGCTCCCCAGACTTGGCAGGAATATAAGGTTATATTAACAGCAGTCTCGGCAGTTTTCCCACGGGGTATGACTGGGCACAGCAGCGGTCGCCTGCCATCTGTACGCGCCCGGTTCCTCCGCTCGGCACTCCTCCCCCGGGTATGCACGTGGTACCGGCAGCGCCGTAGAAGCCTGGGGGATGAATGCTTGCGAACAAGAACCCCGACAGGCATATATGAGCTGAGGACAGGGCCATCCCCAGCCCTGCTTAGTGTCTCCCAGTTCCCTGTTGTTGGTTCAGAGGTACTGGCATCCATCTTTCTCGTTGCTACGCCACCGCTTTTACAAATTCCTCGGACTCACGAAACAAACCGAAACATCAACATCGCCTCTTAGAATGCATCTCAAGGCCTCGATTGCCGCGCTGGCGGCAGCCCAGCTTGCTGCGGCACAGGAACTGATGCGTTTCGGCTGCTCGCAGCTGACCATCGACCGCATCGACCCCTTGGTCAACCCAGGCAGTCTCCCGTCGCCGCACGTGCATCAAGTCATCGGCGGCAACTCCTTCAACGTGTCCATGACCCCCGAGTCGCTCGACCCCCCGAAGGCGTCGACCTGCACCAGCTGCACGTATTCCGAAGACTTCTCCAACTACTGGACCGCCAACGTGTACTTCAAGGCCCGCAACGGGACGTACAAGCTCGTCCCGCAATTTGCCAACTTGGGCCTCAACGTCAAGGGCGGTATGACGGTGTACTAGTACGTCAGATTGCTTCGGTGGGCCTCGAGAGTTTGGTGGCTGACCATCATCAGCATCCGCGGATACCAACCCAGCGCCCGGGTGACTGCATTCCCGCCGGTACGCCCCGATAGCTCCGTTCAGAAAGTGAAAGGGACTTTGGACTAACAGAACCAGGGTTTCCGCATGCTGGTCGGCGACCCCAACAACCGCGAGGCTAGCCGGGTCCCGTCGGGCCTCTGCTTCCGCTGCGAAGAGAACATGCAGCAGACGCCCTTCGGCGGCGCGCCCTGCACGGGTGCCGACACCAAGGCGTTCCCCAAGTCGACGTGCGGCGGCGGCTGGCGCGTGACGGTGACCTTCCCGTCGTGCTGGGACGGCAAGAACACGGACAGCCCGGACCACAAGAGCCACGTGGCGTACCCGCAGAGCGGCAGCTTCGAGAGCGGCGGGCCCTGCCCGGCCAGCCACCCGATCAAGATCCCGCAGGTCATGTACGAGGTCATGTACGACACGCGCCAGTTCAACAACAAGGCCGAGTGGCCCGCCGACGGCTCGCAGCCCTTCTACTGGAGCCACGGCGACAACACGGGCTACGGCATCCACGGCGACTACGTCTTTGGCTGGGAGGGCGACGCCCTCCAGAGGGCCATGGACGGAAAGTGCGGAGGCGACCGGTGCTCCCCGCTCAAGAGGCAGAGTGACGCGGACGCCATCGCTTGCACCAAGGGCCAGAGCGCACGCGAGGACCTCGGCACCGATAAGTGTGAGTACAGCTGCGTGTTTGTTGCGTGGTGGGAGACAATGCTGACACCCTTGTAGGGCTCACCATCATGCCCGGCCAGTCGAATGTGCCCATGTAGATGCGACGTTGATGAGGGTTGGTGGAGGTTGAGTGTAGGTTGGGTGTGCTTTGGTGGCGAAGGTGGGATGTTGGGCGTGCTTTGGGAAGCGTTCTCTCTTCTTGTTGCCGCGGAGCCTGTCCGTGGTCAGACTCTTAGTTAGGAGAGGGCATATCTTTACGTTGGCTTGTACCTACCAATTTGTCTGATAGCCGAATCCTTGCACTTCCCACCCTCGAGGCAATCCTTTGTAGGCTCTTGCGTATCCACTACGAGAAGGTCCAGAGCGCGTTCACACAACCAGACTGTTGAACTCAAGTTCGGAACCAGTCATCTCCTTAGGAGTCACCCGCCTTACCCAATACCCGGCGTCCAGCCGCCCACGCCTTCGAGATGGTCCCACTGGCCTCCAAAACTGCAACCACATGCCCTGGTTCACCTCGACCTTCTCAGCCCTCGCGCTCTCCTCCCCCATCACACGATCAAACGCGGCATGCCCCATCGCAAGCACACACTCCCCCAGCTGCGCCCCAAAGTCCCTCACAACCCCATCCATCGCCTCCAACAGACACTCCCTCACCGCCCCCGGATCCAGCGGCGCCCGTTCCCCCCTCCCCCAATGCACATGCCCACGCTCCAGCGCGCCCTCCACGAGCACCATCAACCCCACCAGCGCCGGAAACGCGCGCGGCAGCCTCCCCAACAGCACCCGATACGCCGGCAGCCCGGGCTCGATGCCCAAATGGTCCTCCGCATAATCCCACACGCTCTCCTCCGTCACGCGGTACACCAGCCTCCTCACCGCGCCCGTCCTCTCCGCCGGCAGCAAGCGCGGAGTATACAGCACGACCGACCCGGTCCCGACATGGAACCTATTCCCGGCATACAGCACATCCACAACCTCGCGATACGCCAACCTGCACGCACACAACAACCCCAACACCTCGGCCCCAACACCGCACGACGTGTCCGGGAAGAGGTGGCAGGCCGTCGGCGGCGGCCCGCCCCAGCCGCAGCGGTCGGCGAGGGGCTGGGCGGCCGGGTGGCGGTGGCAGGTGGAGGCGCGCCAGTGCCAGCGGCGGGCCGAGTGCAGGGAGGCGCCCGCGGTGGAGTGCGGGGTGGACGTCTCGGCCGCCGTGTACCGCATGTCGAGGTGCATCTCGCGGCCGGCGAGCACGAGCTGGTAGATCTGGTGGCGGATCTCGGGGGGCAGGCGGAAGAAGGGGGAGGTCGGCTGTTGCGGGTGGGCTGGGGTTGGGGTGAGCGGGCGGCGGGGGTAGGGGAGGGTGGGGAGGTCGGCGAGGGCGTGGTTGGGGGGGAAGGGGATTAGTGTGGTCGGTGGTGGTTCGTCGGGGTTGCCATGTTGTTGTTGTGGTTGTTGCTGTCGGCGGTTGATGAGTTTTTTATTTAGGACTTGGCGAATGAAGCCCATGATGGTGGTTTGGGTTGTGATGTGCTGCGATGAGGCGCGAGTTGTGAGGTGAAACCGAGATTGAACGAGCGAAGTTTTTGGGCGATCTCCGAAACTGACACTGTGCAGATTCCCCTGTAGGTCACGTGGAAGGGAAGCACCAGCCAATTGCTGCGCCTCGAAGAACCATTCTGAGTGTCAGTGCGCCGTACGTATACTGTGGCACAAACATGGAAGTCACTCTCCCACGCCAATTCTTGATCGTCGCTGCAGTTTCCATGCCACCCGCGCAGTCGACTTTCCCACTCGCTGAGCCGGGAAAGCAAGGGTTTCCGTACCAAAACCAGCCTTGACACATAATTTCAGAGCGCAAGGCTCTTCGAGCGGCCATCTAATACTTGGTGGTAATCCAAACCGGTTCACAGCCTGAGCCGGATCGTTGTTGGCCGAGTCCTCGCTGCTTGGCCTCCAGGAACAGGCGAGAAACAATAGGTACCGAGGTAGTCATGGATACAATACCCTAAGATAAGTACGGCGCACTTACCCCCGACTTTCATCCACCTCGTACATCCACGGGTAACTTCCCGTCATCCTTGTCCGTATCCCAAAATCCACAACCCTCGACTTCCCCATCTACCGCGTTCGGGAATCTGGTTTCGCCCATTGGACGGTTGGCCATCCACCGGAGCATCTGATAGGCGTCAGTCGTGGGTTCATCGCTTCGAAAGTCGAGCAGGCGGGATTGTCGTAGCACGAGGGACTTCCCGTGGCAATGAAACTGTGAGACCCGGCCAAGGTTGTCGTGCTGGAAGGAGAACACAATCGCCTGTATTGCGATTAGCTTAACTCCCCAGGCAAGTGGTTGTCAAAGGCATGGAGTTTACGGGTAAGGTGTGGTGCCGGCAGAAGTGGTCGAGGCGAAATTGGAGCTTCAGGAGCGCGACCGCAGCGACAACCTCGCTGCGTAAGACCTCACCTTCGCCGGATTCCGCCGCGTCTACCACCGTGCCCCCAATGTGTGGCATGTCGGCAAAACGGTCTTCAATCAGGAATGCCCTGTTCACGTCGAACGTATAGAACCGAGCCGGCCTCCCAACCCGCACAGACCCATGGTGACCTGGGAGACTCGAGTTGCCCCATTCATCAGGAATGAGGTGCCAAGAACTAGGAGCCCAGGAATCAGCATCTACTTAGGTAGGGAGGTAGTCAGGTAAACCCCAGTGCCTTCTAGGGTCCGGCGTTGCGACTCACGCCAGGTAACGCCAGCATGAACCGTCCCAAACACCCCGATTGGGCGATTCATCAGGACCGCTCCCACCCATCACCTCCTCACACCACTCTAGCCTGCGCTCCGCATCCGTCATAGGAGTACAGAGTGGGTGAAAGTCCTCGGGATCGTGGGGCCCCGGTTCTTCTCCCCACACAAATTCACTGTAGGAACCTCGTCGACATCTCTTTCGCCACTCCGGGTACTCGGTGCGATCCGGGTAAGCGTCGGCAAGGAAGTCAGAAGTCTTTTGCCGCGTCTCTTCTAGTGTAAAGCGAGGGCAGAAAAAGCGGGGGCCAAAGTCAACACGTTTTTCTTCAATGTCGAGAGGCTCTGCCTTTCGAATATTCAGCGAGGCAAGGCGCTCGTTGTCGATGACATAGACATCATCGCCAAACCTATTGATTTCCTCAAGCATACCGTCAAGAAACTCAATACAGAGACGTCCGAGCTTTGCTGTCTGGTCTTTGTCCTCCATCACGGTATCTTAGGAGGAGGGGCAGATGGAAAGTAAAATGACTTGGGGAAGTTGAAGCTGTTCCATTGACGTGGCAATCAACGCGTCGGGGCGCCGACGTCTCAGCGCCAAGCAAGCGAGTCAAACCACCGAAACAACCAATAAGAATAATGGTTCTCACTTTGAAGTGTGATCAAGTGTAGGCAGCGGACTTGCTTCATGTGGCCTGCGCGACCTTTTGCCCTGCTTCAGTGGCGTTGCAGTGTGTGCAACTGAATATGTACCATTGGTCCTACGCGGGTTCAAGCCAGGTCAGTGAGACGGGATTCAGGCCAGTGGCCCCTGAAGAAAATGGAAGGCCACCACTGGAAAACCCATGCTTCCCCACTTCTAGTACAGGACCGATGGAGGGTTCATGGAGGTCCCACTCAGCTTGAACATTTGGCATGAAGGTTGCCAGACTGGCACCTGCCAACCTTCGGGGCCCGGAAACTAAGAAGCTGAACTCCCGTCTCAGTGAGATGTCGACCAAACCTCGACTGTATGTACACCGGAGGAACACATGAAACGAAAGTCAGCCGGAAACCCAAAACACCTGTATTCACGTACGCAATTTCTTTTGTTTCACGCGATTTATTTTAATTTATTTGCCTTCCTCGATATCGTCCATTTCATTTGGTTGGTTTCTTTTCCTTCCATAGGAGGGGGGCTTTTTTGAGCCAGAAAGTGTCTCGCAAAACAACTTCCAGCATGGAATCCCCAACGACAGGAGGCAAACACCTCCCCGACCATTCCAAGAGCAGCGCAGCTAAACCACAGCAATCCCCCCTTGGAGGAATGAAAACGGTACCTTCCGCCCTTGTACTCCAGTTCTAAGTTGCATCATACAGCCGACCCAGTACGTGTGTATCTTCTTTTGAGGGTGTGGGCCGAAACGAAGCGACCGATTCTGAGACCAGCCAGCTTTTGATTTCGGTGCCTTATTTTGCCTCGCCACATCAGAAGCGCAGCCATCGGCCATCTCGTGCTGTCTGGCTGTGCGTGATTCCGCCCGCAACAACGACAGGGGGGCTCGATGCTGTCCTCAAAACGAAGATGAAGTGTCGTGACCAATGGCCCCGAGGCCCACAGTTCGGTGCGTCCGATCATCGGGTGCATCACCCACCAGGCGGGCCCACGGAAAAGTACATCAAACATGCCCGAAAGGGGTCGCCGCCAGCGTAGGCGTTTACCCTTGCCTGCCAGGTCAATCATTCAGGGCCGCCTAGATCGGGCAGCTAACGAACGGGTCCCATCCCGTAGCGGCATGCGAGAGATTCCCAGAACGGAAGCGTGGGGAGGCCCGGTAATCGCAGAGTTTTTATGGCTCTCGGTTAGAATGTGACACCTCCCTTGTTTGCTACAGAGCCAGTGCAGGACTGACGTCCGAAATGCCGCTGTAGTTCGTGGCGTTCATGGCTTTATGCCGCCGATGCCCTAGTACAACCGACTACCGACGTATCTTACACAAGATTCATGCATGGCGCTGTTGCAGGGCCCGATGCCTCTGCAGAAAAGCATCGCCCACCCCCCCGGGCCCCAATCGGCGTTGCTGGTCTCCTGGTCAGTCGCCCAGAACCGGGGGAGACGGTCCTGTCAGCGCCTCGGCGATTGCTTTTGCGCTGCGGCATCATCTGAGGCTTGCATGAGATCGACAGCCCCGACCAGATACCCGAATCGCAGATATGCAACTCCCCCAGATTGGATGTGTGGGGGGAGGGGAGAAACTCACAAGCGGCAGGCCCCCTAGACCCAAGGTCTGAACCAATGACGTTGGCACTGGTGCAGTCAAACGCCCTCTCTGCCAACGCCCCGATCCTTGGATCCCAATCATTGGCTATCCACGTGGGTGGAATTCCTGGTCGTTGCCGAAACAGTTCCAGATATACGTGGCTAGCCGCGACAGCCTCTGCTGCGCGATATCTGAACCCATGCTCGGGCTCGCCACCCGCCTCACTGTGCGTCTGACATGCAAGCAGGGGCGGGGTGCGTTTACACTCAGATCAAACCAGTTCGGCCCCTGGCGCCGTTGCTTTCGCAGGCCAGAGAAATATGATATCGCGGTCTCGTCCGTCCCCAGCTAGACTTTCAGAGTCCAAGAGGCCCGGGGAAGGACAGCCGGGCCGACGTTTGCACCCCATACCCAAAAGAGACTCCGGCCAGCGGATATATCCCGCGCGGGAGACAAGCCCAAACTCGTCCTGTTTTGGCAATCTGTTGTCCACTTTCAGCAAGGTGTCCGTCTCAAGCCTCCTCTCAATTTCCCAAGAGAAGTGACAGAAACATGAGATTGCGTCGGGGTCGAGAATGAGGAGCGTACAATGCCTCGACCCTGGCTCTGTCGAGTCCGGACAAGGGCGGTTCATCGCCACTCTGTGTCTTGATCCTCGCTCTTGTACCCTTGGTCTCCCTAGTAAAAGACTCGCATCTGCCCTCCCGAGCAGAGAAGCGGTTGTCATATTTCCCACCTTATTCGACTCTTTGTCTTCACCCGTTCCCTGCTTCAGCCTCTGCCCTGAATCGGAACCCATTCCGGAGCGTATGTGAAACACTGTTTCTTCTCATCATCGCCCTGACTTTGATAACATCGGAGGGTGTGCGGATGGGCTGAAGAGAATGTCTTGAAAGCTCGAATTGCGGGTGCTGATTCCATTTCGTGCTCCAGAGTCATCGGACCACTCATACCCAACCTCTCTGTGCCAGTCCGATTCCCCCAGGCGTTCCATCGGGAACCTACACATACGTGCATGCGAACCAAAGGCCATCCGTCTTGACCGCTCAACGGTGCAGCCCGACGAACCCCTCACTGGTTCAGACGCCTGGGTAATTCGAATAGCTTCCTGCCGAGCGGGGCCCAACGCATCATCACCCGCGCTCACTTACAGTGAGCGAAAGCAGCGGTGAGCAGACGAGAAGCGTGAGCGGTGGAAAGCGGTGCGAGCAAGCAGAGGAAAAGGGAAGTTGCCCAGTATCTAAGGCTTCGGAGGGCATTGGGCTGCCACTGGAACCCACGAGGGGTTGAGAATGTTTATCAGTCCAGACAAGCCCCGGCTGGACGTGGTCTCGCTTCGGGACAATGTCTTCACTTTTGCAGCGGCAGACTTTGCACCGTGGCTCCTCCAACTGAATCAGATCAACACGGCACTGTTCCTCCACCAACAGAGGCTCCACGACATGTCTCTCAACCAGCTGTCCCCGAAGACCGGGTGGGCCCAGACCGGGCCCAAGCCAGGCGTCCCGCAACATGACCTCCCGGCGTATGGGAGCGCGTATTTTGCCGAGACCCTGAACACAGGGGAGAGCATGTCTCTCACGGTACGTTGACTCCATCTCCACACCCTTCTTTGTCTCAGACGGGAGACTGACGTTTGGTTTACGGGAAAGACCGGAGCAGGACATTCGCTGACAGGCAATCGCACCTCGCGGTCCACCATCCTGTCCGTTTCGCGCTATCCCACTTGCACGGAACCGAGAAATGTCTCTCATCTTTCCCATGCAAGCGTCACGTCAGCGTCTGAGCTCCTGGATTCGTCTTACTGGCAGATGGTTCCCCATGGGGCTTCCACTCTTCCTCCGTTTGCACATGGCGGAGACCCCATGTGGGACCACCCACACTCGTGCATGAACTCTTCGAGCTTTGGGTATGGCCATTACAACCTGGATGTCGCCAGCGCGTTCTCGCAAACGGCATTCCGGCCCGCCGAGGCACTTCACACCTTGTCGCTGCCACCAATGCTCGACTCCCTCTCGAGCACCAACTCCAAGTTGTATGCCCCGTCCGGCATGCTGGAGGCCATGATGCTCGATGACGACCCCGACCACTCTCTCTGGCACGGCTTGCCGGGACCTCATTATGGGTACCAGAGCCCACAGTGCACAAAGACGGAGCCAGAGTCCATCAACGAGAAGACGGTGTCTCCGAAACTGCTCAAGATCCGCCAGACACCCACCCCGGCCTCGTCCTGCGAGTCCCTGCACACCAACTTTCTGTCCGACGCTCACCTTCACGAGCCGCCCGATGTCATTGACCCTATGCCCTCTGTGGAGCCACCGCTGCCGCCCATCACCCCAAAGCCCCGCAAGCAGCTCCCAGACGGGAGCCAGCGACGGCTCCGGTTTGCCGACGACGTGCACAGGCGCCACTCTCCAGTGCATTCCGACTCCGCGTCCCCTGTCCCTCAAAGGGTAACTCGTCGGCTGCGGCCCAAGACCAAGCAGATGGGGACGGAGGGCTTCTCGCCACCGCCCACGCTAGGGGAGCTTCAGCTGGCCAGGTTCCCGGACCGCACGTCCCAGGACGACTTCCTCGTCAAGCACAAGCAGCGGGGCCTGACATACAAGGAGATCCGGCGGTTGGGCGGCTTCGTCGAGGCCGAGTCGACGCTGCGCGGGCGGTACCGCACGCTGACCAAGAGCCGCGAGGCGCGGGTGCGCAAGCCCGAGTGGTCCGAGAAGGATGTTAGTGAACTTTTCTTGTCCTGCTCTGCAAAGCCGTTGCCTCTACCCATTTGAGCCCCGTCGCTTTCTGAACCCCATCCCTGTTTGAAGCATCACCCAACACACCCCTTTATTTCCCTTTTCCACGACACTGTCTACACTTCCTCGATAAACTCCCCTTCTCTTCATGACACCATCTCTCCACACCACGCCCTCTTTCCCACGACACCCTGTTCCCATACCCCCCCCCCTTCCCTTGTTCCCATAACCAATCCCCCTTCCAATCCACCCCAACAAAACCATCACCATCACCGCCCCCCACCAACCCACCAACCCCCCAACCTTCCAACCCCCCCAAGCTAACACCCCATCCAAAAACCACAGCTCCGCCTCCTCGAAGCCGCAGTCCGCGCCCTCTCGCACACCGCCGACCCCATCTCGGCCAAGGTGCCCTGGAAGAAGGTGGCCGACCACATCCTGCTGCACGGCGGGTCGTACCACTTTGGCAACTCGACGTGCCGCAAGCGGTGGGACGAGCTGGTGCGCGAGCAGGCGATGCAGGGCCGGGGGGTGCGCGGGCCGTTCTTCTTTGGGGATGAGGAGGGGTATTGAGGTATGGGTGTATGGGGGGTGATGGGGGGGTTGAGGGGGGTTGTGTGGTGAGGGCAGGTTTGTGTGTTTGGTGTTGTCGGCTTGGTGTGTTTGGTGTTGTGGTGTTTGGCTTGGGCTCGGGGGATCAGGGGTCGGGAGAGGGTAATTCGATAATCGGGTGAGTTTGCATTTGAACAAGGCGGAAAGGCTCTGGCTTGAACTGTGTGTTTTTAGAGGCTATTAAAAAAAGACAGGTAATGGCGCAAGATAAAAAGCATTTTCTATCTACCTTCTCTCTCTCTCTCTCTCGGTCTCGACCGCCGTCTATCGACACAGACCACCGTCCCCCAAACCCCCTACCCCCTACCCCCTACCCCCTAAGCCGGCGCGGGCGCCTTAACCTTCGGCACCCCTATCCTCCCCAGAATCTCCACCAACTGCTCCGGCTCTCCCCTCAGCGCATCCCACTCCGCCTGCGTCTTCACCAGCGCCGTCCCCGCCAGCACAGTCCCATTCAGCGCCAGCTTCCCCACCTCCCTCCTCGCGCCCCCTTCCCCAGGCACACTCACCCCCGCCCCTTCCACCACCCGCGGCGCAATAACCATAACCTCTTTCGTCATCGCCAAATTATAATCCACCCTCGCCTGCACCCCCTCCACCCCCCCATCCGTCCCCAAAGCCTCCCCACCCCCTTCACCAACTCCCAACACCGCCTCGCACGCCCGCCGATACAACCGCAAATAAACCGCCATCAAATCCACCCCCTCCCCAATCCGCTCCACAAACGTCGTAAACGGCACCCGACGGCGCACCTCCTCGTGCACCAGCGACCCCGCCAGCACCTCCCACGCCGTATCCCCGTCCCCACCTAAACCCTCACGCATGCGCGCCACGGGCAGCAGCTGGATGTGGCGATGGGGCTGGCTGGAGCCGGAGGCCGGGCCGGAGTTGAAGAAGACGTAGAGGTCGCGTTCTTCTTTTGTATGCTTCTTCTGCGCTCCCTGGGTGTTGGGGTCGGTGTTGGGGTTGGTATTAGGGTTGGTGTCGGTGGGGGTTGTGGTTGTGGGGGGGTGGGCGTGATAGGCCTGGATGCAGGCGTAGGCGGCTTGGAGGTCGGCGCGCTCGAGGAGGTGGGTTTGTTCTTTGAAGGAGCGGGTGGCGAGGATGAAGTGCTCGGGGACGATGGCGAATTTGTTGAGGACGAGGTTGTGGGAGGGGCCGAGGGGGGTTATGAGCATGGTGGCGGGGGGGTTGTCGAAGGGGTCGAAGAAGGGTTTGGAGGTTGGTTTCTTGGTCTCGGTTTCTTTTGGGGGTGGGGAGGAGAGCGTCGGGACGGCATCGGTTGAGGGAGCGGGCGGTTGCGGGGCGCTGGGTTTGTTGGCGAGGGCGGGCGAGAAGCGGAGTTGGAACTGGGAAGAAGAGAGTTAGTTTTGGTATTTTACCATCGTGTTTGATGGGCAAAGACGCACTGGAACCGAGTTGACATTGACCAGGGTGACCTGCGTCGGGAAGAAGTGCACGTCGCCGCTGGCGCGGGCGCGGTTAAAGGCCGTCCGTACCAACTCTGGGAGGTTGGCAGGGATCTTGATCGACCCCATGTCGTCGGGCGGTCCTGTCATGGCGTCGATGGATGTGATTTTGTGGGTTGAAAGAGAGAAGAGGGACGCGAATAGGTCATGCAATGCGTCTGTGCGCTGCCCCTCCATCCCCTGCCAAGAAGTGCCACGACAGGGGTACTCGTCGGGCCTTCAAAAACGGCACCTCCCAACCCCCGCCAGGGGGTTGGGAGGGGCGGTTAATCTGGGTCACACGGTATATCTGGGTCATTTTGGGACATGGCCCACCATACAAATTTACTAGCAAATCCATGTCTCCCAGCCTAGTTGCATCGCCACGGGGATCCGCATAATAAAATCAACTTACCCAGTCTACCAGCCCACATATCCGATTTTTATGCAGAGGCAGTCGCGATATATGCATCAATCGTACGTTTTGCATCCGTGCACTGCCCAAACCCGACCGTATCCTCGAGCTACAAAGCGTTCAATCCGGGAGCATTTCAATGTAAAATCTCCTCTCCTAACTGCAACTTTATTAGATATATCTAAAACATAGTAGCAAGCTTCTAGAAAGAAGAAATTTCTAAGGAAGTATTAATTAATAACGATGGCGGTCTGAAAACTTTGACTTGTATCTGACGGGGTAATTGGTAAAATGCGGGAGACTTCCATTTTGGTGGGGATTGCTAGTAAATTCAAGTCCCTGTAAAAATGACCCAGATATACCGTGTGACCCAGATTAACCGCCCCGACTAACCCCCTGGCGGGGGTTGGGAGGTGCCGTTTTTGAAGGCCCGACGAGTACCTTCGCAATGAAAGCTGCTCATCAGGGCAGTTTTGACTTGACATGTCCCAAATCTATTATGTCGCCGGTCTATCATGTAAGTAATCTGCACTCCAATCGCTAATCCAAGCCTAAATCCCCGGAAGCCCAACGATGCCGCGCACCGCAGGAACCCATCGCGGGACGACGTAGGTGATGTACAGGCCAGCGAGGGCAACGAGAAGTCCAGTGAGCTGTCGAAGCCAGTTAGCAAAACACTAGCAAATAAAAACAAGATCAATCCGCTGCTCACCTTCTCAAACCACGTGTGAAAGTATATCGCCGTCATCAGCAACATCCACCCACACAGCCCAATCACCACAGCCGCGAGCTTCCCCCCATGCCCCAACGCCTCCAGCACCGTCGACACCACGCCCTCCTGCTGCCTCTCCGTCCTCTCCGCCTCGACACCGGCGCCCTTCACAGCCCCATCACGCATCACCACCGACCTCTCCTCGCCCACATACCTCGCCCACCTCACCGCAACCCACCCAACCTCCTGCAGCAAAAAGAAGCTCCCCAACACCAACAGAAACACATGCCCACTAATATCATGCCCGCCCCTCCAACTCCCCCCGGACGCCTTACACGCCGCCGCAGTCAACACCTCCCTCACCCCCACCGCCCCCCCTTCCCTCACCGCCTCCTCCACGACCTCACACCTCCCCCCACTCCACCGAAACCCCCGATCAATAATCGGCGGCCCAAAGCACCACTGCGTCACGCCCACCCACCAAGCCGTAACCACCGCCCACCTGACCCCGGCCCTAACCCTCGCCCCCAACCCGCCCACCCCCGGATGGCTGACCACGAACACCGCAAACGCCACCGTCACCCACGCCCAGCCGCGCTTGACGAACGCGACGTTCAACACGTTGTCCTTGCGCGCGAAATAGGAGGGCGCCAGCGCGGCGTCTTGCACGTGGGCCTGGCGGACGGCGTCGTAGGGCGCGGCGCGGGTTTCTGGGGAGAGGAGGGAGAAGAGGGCGCCGAAGAGCAGGATGGAGGGGTACAGGGCGAGGAGGGCGAGCTCGGAGGGGGTGGGGAGGTAGGGGGTGTTTCGGGGGTTGTTGGAGCTCCCCATGGAGCGGGAGGTGGTGGTGGAGGTTGTGCGCGTGCTGGTGTGGGTTTCGACATGCCGCGTGGCGGGAAGGGACGGTTGGGGAGGTGGTTGTTGTTGCTGGCGGGAGAGCTGGGAGGGGGATTTGTAGCGCCGGGTTGGGCGGTCGGTGTCGGCCATGTTTGTGTTGTTGTTTTGGGAGTGTCTGGCCGTATATTGAAGTTGTGGTGTTCGTGGCTTTTGGTGTCGGGTTTGATGGGAGAGGGATTGGCGATCAGAATCGCGGGTTCGGACGGTGGTAGATCCTTTGAGCGGAGTGCTTTGAACAAGAATTGGCAGTGCTAGCGGCGGCGATACAATGAAACTGCCGCGCTGTCCGAAAGCGGCCGGAGGAGCGCAATGCTTCGTCTCGCATTGAGGATGGCGGAGGGAAAAAGGGCAAAGGAACAGCAACCGTGATGAGGTCTTGGCAAGCAAGCCTGGAGCTATGACGTTGCCGAATTGATTGTCTTGGCCTGCGAGTGGCGGCCTCGCGGCCTGGCGCGGCAGGCAATCACTGGACTGGGCTCCAGCCAGCCCCACCCTGTTCTTCATCACAAGGAACAAAAAGACGGGAGACGAGAGAAAGCATCGATGGTTCTCATTTCATGATGAGTCTTCATTTATTTACACTACTTAACGCACACTCCAATACCTTAAATATAAACCTCATATCCAGCCCACCAGAAACCATGACCGAACCAAAACTCGCGAACAAAATGCCTCTCGGCCAGTGTTTAGAAGGGTATAAAGCGAACTAATGTATAACCAAGACCACAAAGAACTGATCTCTGACTGACGCATACCTTCTCCCCGGGGTATCTCTACTCTCACTTCGGGGGGCCCAACCCGGGACCACCCCTCCCACCCCCCTGACCATAACCACCACCGCATCCCGAACCGCCCCCACCAACTCTCTAAGCCGGGGGGTGGAAGAAGGCGAGGGTAGCGCAGAAGTTATTCCTGTTGTCGCTATCCAACGCGGCGCTCTGGCCGTCAACCGTCAACATGTTGACGCTGGCCTTGGTACTGAGGCCGAAGAAGTGGACCTGGCTGCCGCCCTCGAGCGAGACGACGTTGGACTGGCACGACTGTGTCTCGAGGCAGTCCTGCGAGTAGTTGTCGAAGAAGGAGTACAGGCCGGCGCCGTAGATGAAGATGTCCTTGGAGTCGACCGCCCGCACGCCCCACGACCGCTTGCAGGTCCCCGTCGTGTCGTCCGCGCACGAGGCGGCGAAGTCCGGGTCCGCGTAGTCGGCGTTGACGGCGAAGGGCTCGGTGGCGTCTGGGTTGCCTTGGTAGTAAGGGGTCTCGGTCTGGATGTGGCCGAGGAAGACGTTAGAGGCCTTGTTGAACTGGTAGTTGTACAGGACCGAGTGCTCCGAGGCGGTGCCCCAGCCCCAGACGGGGCCCTCGCCCTCAATGAGGATGCCGCGCCCGTTGAAGACGTCGATCTGGCCGTCCTGCGCCTCGGGCTCGAGCGAGTGGTCGGCGACCCAGTACCACGTGTTCTCGAGGTAGACGCTGCCGCCCTCCTTGACGTGCAGCATCATGAAGGCGCCGAAGCAGTCCGGGTTGATGGGGTTGGTGACGTTGGGGTTCTTGGCGCACTGCTCGAGCTCGAGCTCCGTGCCGCGGTAGCCGCCGATGCGAGTGTGCACGTCCCAGAGACCGGCCGCGCCGGGGGTTTCGCCTCGGAGGTTCCACTCCATCATGATGGCGCCGGGCTGCGGGCCGGCGGTGCCGAAGATGAGGTCCGACATCTCGACCCTGCCGACGTCGCCGGGCTCGCCAACTTGGAAGACGGGCTGCGGGTTGTTTTGGTCCTTGAACGTGCTGTCACCGCCGGCCAGGATCATAGGTAGGACCTCGCCGACGATCCGGATGTTCTTGGGCACCTTGATGGTCTTGGTCACGAGGTAGGCGCCGTGGTCGAAGAAGACAATATGCTCGGGGAGGGTCGTGTCCATAACTTTCTGGATCGCTTCCGTGTCGTCCGTCACGCCGTCACCCGCAGCGCCAGCCCACTTGACGCTAACGAGCACGCCGGCGTGTACTTCCTCGTACTGTGGCTTGCTGCGCGTAACAATCTTGCCGGTAGCGGGGTCAAGGAGAGCATCCGGCTTCTTGATGGCATCCTGCGGGGCCTGCACCGCCTTGCCAGCGGTACCTCCGGCACCACCATAAGCCCGGCCCTGGGCAAAGAAGCTGACCTGTTGGTTCCCCTCGAGGATCGTGGTGCCCGTAGCATTATTCAAGACAGCCTGGGCCGAGCCCGTCATGTCGACGTTCTCGAGGATGAGCGTGCCGTTGGTCTGGGGAGAAGTGGGGTCGTAAGCCGTCTTGATACCGACCGGGGTGTTGGTGAACTGGCTGTCGAGGACGAGAACGGATCCGACCGTCTGGCCTTCGGGGCCGCCGTTGGACATGTCGATACCGACGCCGCAGTTGTTGATCTTGATGTCGTGGAACACCCAAGCCCAGTTCCAGTTCATGAAGATGGCAGTCTTGCAGTTGTTGAACGTCAGGTTGCGGGTGGTGAACTGCTGGTTGCCGAAGAAAGCACCATAGTTGCCGCCGTTGAAGGTCAAGTCGGACATGAAACCGCCCGACCCGTTGTCCATGAAGATACCCTGCTGCCGGTTGGCGTCCCCGCCATCCTCGCGCATGTTGAAGACGATGTTCTGCAGACTAGTCGCCTGCGCAACCTGCCAGTGAATGCCGGCGCCGACTTCGGCAGGCATGCCAGTCAAGTCGATGACAAAGTTGCGGACTTGGCGGAAGAAGTTGTTCTGGTTGGTCCACCAGTTCTTGCCGGTCGAGTCGTACGGGTTCGCGTCGATAACGGCCATGCCCTCAAAGTCGGCAGATGCCTTCAGCGTCGGGAGGGTGATGAAATCGCCCACCAGCTGCGTGTAGTAGAAGGGGATGATCGGCTTGCTGACAAGGTAGGTGCCGGGCGGGAAGTAAACGAGGGCGGGCTTCGTCGTCTGCGAGGTGCAGTTCTCGCCGCACCTGTTGCCATCGCTGATGGCCTGGTTGATGGCATCCGTGTCGTCGGTCGTGCCGTCGCCCTTGGCACCGTATTCGCTCACGTCGCGGTACACCTTGTAGGCGGGATCATCGTCGAAAGGAGCCCCGTCGATTCGTCCGACGCCTGCTACCCACCACTTCGACTCCGCCCTTGCTTGCACCGCCGGTGCCGGTGCCGGTGCTGCGAGAGCCGGGGACCCGAGGCCCAATGCCAACAGGCAGATTGTGGATATCGTTGAGAGCATCATGGTTTAGGTCCAGCTATCTCCAGATGTCGGTGTGTGAGGTGTAGTCTTGGATTTGATTTGTGTTAGCTCAGCTTTCCAGAAGCAAGTTGCAAAAAAGATTTTGGGTTTGGGGAGCGGAGAGTGCGGTGGTGAAGGGGACGATGACGATAAAGAGCATGTGTTGGTTTAAGTATGACCGATAGGGCCACGGATTGTAAGGTGCAGGCATTTTCTGCGTTTACTTGATCCAACAATAGCGATGACTGGTCATGCCCAGTGCTATTGTTGCTGAGGGCCATTTTGGACAATGGGTGTGTACTCAGAACAATAAAGAATAGCGGGACCTGCCGCCATCAAGACCAGATGGGATGAAGGGGTGGGTTCGTGTTTGCGGCCGCCTCACTCGAGGTCATTGTGCCGTCTGGGCATATGCCCTCCTCAAAAGAGGCAAGTGGACGAGAATGGGGAAGGAAACATCAGATGACACTTACAACTAACTACTCTGTACCAGCCAGAAACGCGCCCTGGCCAGCAAAGGCAGCGAAGGAATGACAACGAAGGAGAGAAGAGAGAGCTGGTAGAGGAAAGAACGGAGGCCGGTTGACGTGAAGACAGACACCACAAGCTGCAGGAGTAACGATGGGCGTGGTCGGACGATCTTATATTGCATCTGCCGCCGGGGTGTTGGCCGGGCTCCGACCCACGTACCCCTTGTTTCTTCATGCAGGGCCGGGCACCCAAGCGGCCAGCGGTAGCCGCCTCGGAGATCGGCATTGTATCCCTCGCTCGGCGGCTGGTTCTCAAGATGGTGGTGCCGGAGTGACATGGCAGGCATGCCCATGGAAAATGCTGCCGTGCGCTTGTTCCTGACGCTAGGTGGCTCGCCTCTCACATGCCAGCGGGTACGGCGTGCGATGTCTCCATGCACAGCTTGGCAGACCATGCGAGGAATCTGGTATCCCTAGCTCTGACCCGCTGGCAGGTCACCATCTGCCCTTGTGGGCGCAGAACCGCGAAGAGCAAGAGAAAGATGGAGTTCTGCCGCCCCTGTCATTGGCTGCGGGGGCCGGAAAGGTCAAACAAGCTCTCTGGAAAATGGAGTGCTCGACCGACCAACTGGGCCGGTGGAGTGTGGGACCATCGCATCGGACGACAGAAAGGAAAGGTCGGGCGGACCTGGCCACCAGATCAAGGGGGCATCCAGGGGTGTGTGTTCATGCAACCGCCGGACAAAGCAACGGTGTAGCGCCGCTGGAAGCCCGAGGGGCGCAATTGTGAAGTGCCCGTTGCTCTGTGGCCTGGACTAAAAATCACGGGGAGGAGTTGGCGTTTGCATCGTCATCCAAATATCTCACGAGCTGGGCATTCGGATGTTTCGAATGATCGCCCAGAGATCATCTTCGCAGGCATGACATGCTTGATGCGCAAGGGAGTGGCCGTGGTGGCTCAAGTCGGTGGATTGCAAGTTTCCTGGGTGAAGGAACGTTGGTTGGGGATCGCCCAAACAAAATCTTGGCAACAAGAAGCACGCGGGCGCTTGGGCCAATTCATGTCGCGCAGGGGGAAGGACTCGCTGCAGAAAGAGGCGTTTCGAAACATGAGGTGGAGTCCCCCACACCAACTCCTTTTTTCTCCTGGCCAGTCATTTCAGCTCCATCTCTGCCCCTTCCATCTCAAAAACCCCACCACCGGGGGCTTCTGCGAGCGTTTGAGATGTCACCGCGATTTCTCCCACACCAATCGATGGAACCCCGCGTCACATTTCCCAGCCGCGGTGCACTTTGCTGCTCGCTGGCGCGTCGCCCGACGACGCCAGGACCGCCTCAACTGTCACATCTCGCTTGGCGAATGCTTCGTTGGGCGGGCTGTCACCAACAAGCCTCCCGACCCTCCTTGGTATTTCCCCTGCCGGCATTTGGAAGAGACTGCCAAGGGGGCTGCCAAATCCAGTCGTCATTGCCCGACGTCGTGTAACATGCCACGGGCCCATTGACTGGCGCTTCTCGACGGAGACCATCCCAAGATCACACCGTTACCACGCTGCCCTGTGGGGAGCGACACCTTGACGCGGCGAGCGACGAGATGCTGCCAGGCACCACGCCTCACATATATTACCAGGGACTTTGACCCGGCACCCAAGATCCGAGGAACCTCGCTCTCCCCCTCTTCGCCCGCCGAACTCCCGGCACCTGAACTCATAAAGTCCCAGCCCCTTTCCCCAGGTCCGATCTTCGATAACATTGTTGGTCTGCCGCATAAAGTCGATACCGTTGCAGTCGGTGCCTGCGAAAATCATCGGCCCGATGATGATCTGAATATCACAGAATATCGATGAATGCGACTCCGTACGGAGATTGAGCGATGCATCACAGGAAAGTGCCTACAACTACATTGCGTCAGCGTTGATCGCACCAGAGCATCTGTGACCTCGCATCCCCCATCTCACACATCACTCACACATCACAACTCAACCTAAAATGGTGCAATAACACAATTCGTAAATTCAGCAAGTCCCTGGCAGCAGTGATCTCGTCTACAACGTGTCCATGCTCTCTAGATGCCCCCCCAAATATGCAGGATGCAAACGCAATGCCCGTTCGTGATGCAATGCAAACCCTTCAAAATCCAACAAACAAACAGTACGCCCAACACGCCCCAACCCAAATGTGATGGGGGGCAAACCCTGGAAACCCATTGATCCTCCAAGTTACTTGCCATGTTTCTTTCCTCCGTAGATGCCCACACTTCCAAACGCCGTCTGCCATCTGCCCATCCATCAGGAAAAAGTCTATACAGGTCCGAACCCCACGGACCGCCATGACATACTGACCGCCCGCCAGCGAGCGTCAGTCATGTCTTCCCCCTCTTGATTACAATTACCACGACATGCCCATACATACCACCCCCCGGCCGTCTATCCTCTCGTCGGTTTATAGTATATAGTCAGTCAGTCAGATATACCCGGCACCCCCCACCACCCCCACCTCCTCCTCCTCCTCAACGACCACCAGCCCCGGCGTCGGCGCGCTCTCCAGCATCTCGATGCCGTCCACGCCAGCGCCAAAATCGAGGATCAAGATCTTGGGATCCTGGCCGGAGCTGACAATGCGGCGGTAGTCGCTCTTGGCGCTCAGGACCCAGCTGGAGTGCCACTTGGGGAAGTCGAGCAGGGCCTGGCCGGACTCCATGTCCCAGACCTTGATGTCGGAGTCGTAGCTGGCGCTGACGAGGCGGCCGCTGACGCTGTCGACGTGCAGGCTGCGGACGAGGTTGTCGTGGGCGTCCATGGAGCGGACGCACTCGCCCGTGTTGGCGTCCCAGAGCCGTATCACCTTGTCGTTGCCCGCGCTGGCGATGTAGCGCCCGTCCTCCGAGAACTGCGTGCACGCGAGGCCCTTGCTGTGCCCGAGGAACTCGCGGATGTTCTTGCCCGTCTCGATGTTCCACAGCTTGACCTTGAAGTCGCCGCTGCACGACACGATCGTGTTGCCGCGCATCTGCACCGCGTTGACGGGGCCCGAGTGCCCGCGCAGCTGCCGCAGCAGTGTCCCCGTCTCCCGATCCCACACGCAAATTGACACGTCCTTGGAGCACGTCACGATGTGCTTGTCGTCGAAAACCAAGTCAAGGACCGCCGCCGAGTGGTGCCGCAGCCGCCGTACGGGCCGGTACCCGTCCTCGAGCGAGTACACGATGCACGTGGAGTCGGAGGAGCCGGTGACCAGGATGCGGTCGTCGTACTGCAGGCAGAGGATAGAGGCTTGGTGGTGCATCGGCGGCGCGTAGAGGGCCGGCACGGAGGCGCAGGCGCGGATCGGAGCGCGCGGGAGCCCGTCGGCAGTCGGGGACGCGTCAATGTCTGGCATGGTGGCGTGGTGGAGCGGTTCGTTGTCCTCATCGTAGAGGAGTCCGCAGGCGCCGTCGTTGACCACCTCGGGCGGCCCGATGACCAGCTTGCAAGCAAAAGTGTGCATGTCCCAAACTCGGATGGTGCGGTCGCGGGAACCGGTGATGATCTTGGATCTGGAGTCGGTTAGTAAGAGGAGGGGGGTGAGGCGAAAAGAGGAGAACGTACTCGTCGAACTGCAGGCAGTAGATACTATCTGTGTGCCCGTTGAGATACACCGGCCGAGCCTTGCCCTCCTTCCAGCGCTTGTCCAGCTCGGTCTTCACTCTGTAAATTTCCTTCCAGTCGTTGGTTGGCTGCACGTTCGGCACGCCCAAGCCGGCGCCCGGCCTGACGGGTCCGCTGGTGGCATAGGCGGTGGTCTTCTCGCGCAGGAACGACTCGCGCCAGATATGTTGGTTCCTGATCACCTCGGACCAACTGGAGCACACCCGACTGGCTGTGTTAAGTGTCGGCGCATCGAGCAGCGCAAGAACCTGAATTGTGAGCTCGGCCGGCAGCTGCGAGATGAAGTCGACTTTAATGATGGCTGTATCGTCGCGGCTGAGACTGGTTCCAACATCGACGTCCGAATCGACCTCGTCGCCGGGGACATAGGCGTCCATTTCACAGCTCGTGAGGGCAATGCCAATCCCGCTCTCATGATCATCCAGCGAATCTTTTGCGAGCCATCCCGGACGTGGGAATGGCGTATCCATGACATCATAGCCGTGAAGTCCGTTGCAGGCAATCGCCGCCGCCTGTCTCGCCGCCGCCCCGGTATTACGCGGGATGATGGGTGGCTGCTCGCCGGAGCCGGGGACGGGGAATGTTGGGGATTCAATCGGGCCAAGATCGTGCTCAAATAGTCTCTCGCTGTACCCCGGGTAGATCGCCTGCGACTGTCGGTGGAAACTGCCGCGCTGCCTAAGGCGGTGCCAGGCCGCGTGCGAAGTGGTCGGGCGGGGCGCATGATGGGACGAACCGGCGAACTGGGGCCTCGCAGGCCGGCCATCGGGGTCGAAATTCGTGGTAGCTGGGACCGAGGTCCGTCTGTGAATGAATCCCTTGACCCCTGTCTTGAGCGAGACCGAGGCCCGACGCAGCATCCGCTTGAAGTTGCCCTCCCTCGGGGCCGTAGGAGCGAGGGGAATGTCCTCCTGCCCGCCGAAGCCGTGGCTCTTGCTCTTTTCCAAGGACAAGTCATGATACCCGGATTCCATGCCGGGATCGACCAGCGCCGACTTAGGACGCTGTCGCCAAGGGAGGGAAACGCTCATGCTCCGTAGTCGGGAATGTGGTGGGTGCAAGTTGTGTGATTCGTCTTGGGGCGGCTGTCGGATTGGGAGCGAGACACCAGTGTCGGAAAACATGGCTTCCTGTGCCGAAACCCACTCTTGCATTTGGACGATTCTGCGGGTGCTCGACTCAGAGGGAGTAGACGGAGCTGCAGAGGTCGAGCCAAAGGGGGCCATGGTCGGATTTGTACAAGTAGATGTGTTGTTGCAGAGGGTTGGCAAGATGTCGCCCCCGCTCGCTCGCTCGCTCGCGCCGACTTTTCAATGTTGAGACAGAGAACCTCCTGCCCCTTTTTCGTCGTTTGTGACACGGCACTCCCTGCTAACGTCGAAGAGGCACTGGCCGGAACGGGGGAGCCAAGATCGAGAGGCAAGACCTTCAGGAACCGCACTGCATCGAATTGATCCACGCAGGGAAGGCGGTGGAGACCGGGGACGGCGAGCGAAGAGTCGGGACTGGCGCAGCTGACGGGACGACGAGAAGTTGTTGCGGAGCCGAGGGGCGAATGAGAAGTGAAAAATACACGCACGAAGGCGGAGTGGAATGGCGGTCCGGGCTGTGTAGCAGCGAGTCAGAAGCCAAAATGCAGAAAAAAAGAATGTATTTGCCCGCCGGATTGGAGGGGTTCCTGGCGGTTCTCTCAATCCACACGTGCGCACCGAAAGAGCGAGTTCTCAAGATATCGATAACAACTTGAAGCTGAAAGTCGTGAAAGAACGGAGGCGCGGAAACAACAACCTGAGTTTGGAACGATCCAGGAGGCTCGTGCGGCGGCGCCCAAAGTTTGTTGCTGTTTTTGGCGCGGCACAGCGGTCAGGTTGCGGTTGCTGTGTGCCGCAAAAAATGCGGTGTTCAGGAGTGGAAGGCGGCGACTTGGCGCAGGATCCACACGGGCTCCACCTACCGAATTCAAATTCGGGGTCTGGGGTCGCAAGGCTCGGGCTCGGGAAGCCAACAGGGAACCTACACGATGGACAAAGTCAACGTCGCTTTTGTTGTTCTTTATCTCACCTGGCTTTGTCTTCCCAAAAAATTTTTGTATTCTTTCAAAGGCAATTATTTATTCTGGTGGCTCAAAACGGACTTCCCCTTTTTATTTGTTGTTTCATTATCTCAGCTATTCCAGTTTGAGTCAAGATGGGACGGCGATGCCGACGCCCCTGCGTTCTTTCCCCGTGGCGCATCCAATTCTTTGGCCAGTGCGGTGTCCAGACTGGCAAAGCGTTTTGCCGATCTTTCCCCAGAGAATAAGTGGGCCGGCTGATTTGGGCCAAAGTCGGCCCTTGCCCAACTTCGGGTTCTCAGCCGCAGCCCCTGAGAATGAAAACCAGCCGACTGCAGGGGTTGCGGCGCTTGCCGTCGGTTACCAAGACCTCACTTCAACAGTTCACCAAAGAATGCCGACTTTTAACTAGTTAACTCAACAACGCTCAAGAATCACGCGGAGTTTCTGACAAGTGCACTTCTATATACTTCACCATTCCCACAACAACAGAAATATAAATACTGATCCCTTCACTCAGCCACATCTGGCTGTTCACATTGAACTACATAAGTATGCAGGTGCACTCTGCAAGTCATCCTTACGCTAAGAGCCTCGCTGAAATGCGGGGCGCTTAGAGAGTAAGATAGGATTCAACCCCTGTAAACGACCACAAACTTCCATTCAGCCCTCAACGACGAGCTGACGAGCAGTTCTTTCCGCATGTCCACAGTAGGTTACGGACTTGTTACTTCGTAGAGCTCACCAATCCAAGTCCTCCGTCGGGAACGATTTAATTTCATCACTACATGCGCGGTGGGATTTGATGTACCTAACATGTAGCAGTCGAGAAGTTCCAGATGCAGGCCACTTACACCTACAAATGATCCTCCTTGTCAAATAAGCCGCCCACCGCTCTACTAGCGTTCGTTGTTCTGCTAGGCAGAAACCAGGCCGGCCTGTAGCAACTCTTGTAAAGTAGGCGCAGGCCCAATTCTTTTCGTAGGATCAGAGTCCTCGTAGCGGTCCGACGTGTAGCGCGCTTGTTGGCCAGGAGGAAGATGCAAAGACTCCACTCGAAAAGGTCTTGGAATCCCCGACATCCCCGACGAGATCGACGTTGACGACGTCTTCGAAGTATAAAAGGAAGGCATCTTCCCGGCAAAGAGTTGTCAGAAGTAACTACCTACCTACTTACCCACACACAGCTCCAGCCAACCCCCCCAAACGAGGAACCATGGTCCGCGCTACTCTCACCACCGTCGCCTTGTTGGCCGTGTGCCGGGCTGTCGGCGCTGCCCCCGCCGCCGCCGAGCCCGCGGTAGTCACCTCCGACTTCTCCTTCGCCAAGTGGGTCGACGAGCTCATTGCCAACCCCGACACCGCCATGACCCCGGACCAAGCCGTGGAAGCCTTCAACGCCGCCCGCAACAATACCGGTTCTACCGGTATGTGGCACTCCACGTCCATCCATAACTACCCCCAAGACCTGGACGCGAACAAGAAAACAAACAAAACAGACCGCTAACAGCCTCGCGCCCTCACAGAGCACAGCAAGCGCGGCGACCTCACGAAGCGGGTCTCATGTAACGAGAAGCCCGGCACCGAAGCCCCCGTCTCGGACGCCGTGGCATGCATCAACTACCTGGCGAGCCTCGGGCAGCAGAAGTGCGAGTGCCAGTACTACAAGCAGTTCTGCAAGCTCGGCGGGGCGCAGCTCACCGGCCAGTCCGGGACGAAGACCGTTACCGTGGCCTGGTAAGTACCTATTCTCGTACTTAGTTGCGACTCCCATCCCTTAGGGTCGTTCTGGATTGCTGATTCGGTGGTTTTACGTAGCAACGATATTGCCCGCGCTGGTGGCCTCATCATGGACTCCTGCACTCGGTCGGACAACACCGTGCAAGGATCGGAGTGGGCATGGGGCAGCAGTGAACTGCTGGTTCGGATCCATAATGCCTAACTTCCTGTAGCCCGTGAGTCGGCTTAATGGGGGATATGGAGGTGGGCATGGAGCGAACAAACGGACTCGGCCGGGTTTGAGCAAGTCAAACCATTAATCAAATAATATCCTGCTGCTGTCAAATGCATCTCCATCCCGATTTGAAGTGTGGAATACGCTGCGCCCACCGTTAGGTAGTTACGCTTGGGCAACAACATGCCGATTGGGCGCAACCCTTGGCAATAGTTGGGGCAGGCTGCAATGGAGCCGTGGATCTCGAAGAGGTCTTTTGCCAACCAACAGTCCGACGACACGACAACCCCCATGTACACACATGGACTGCTTCTTAACTTGTCATACCAAAACACGTAGCTGAAGCTCCCACATCCTAAAACGAGGAGGAAATCTAGAGTTCGATTTTCACGGGCAAGCATATCTGATTACGAGACCGTTTGACGGAGAAATTAATAGCAAAACAAGAGTCGGAATTGCGACACCGAAGTACAAAGCCCATGCCTCAAACCAACCTAGGGCGCGGAACACAAGCAAGCAAATGCCAACCCGCACCATGTATCGCTCTACAACAGAGAGTGTATGGAAAACTCAACCCCACGTGCCGCCGCCGCCGCCCCTGCGGCCCTTGCGTTGGGCCGACAGCCGCCACCCGTCCTTGTCAGCGAACTTGTTGTGCAGAGGCTCTATGCGCTCCTGCATACGTCGCTTCGACATCTTGGCATCGGTCCCCGCCAACTTGAAGAAGGTCGGGGCGGCGTCAACGAGCCACTGCGGCTCAATAGCCGTGGTCCAGTGCATATACTCGCGTGTCGTCAGGACAAGCTCGTGGTAGATGACCCACTCGGCCTGCTTTCCAAACAGCGCTGAGGAAGGATGCATGTAGACCTGAGTACCCTGGACGAGGGTCTTATAGGCGCCCGCTCCGGCCTCCGTTTCCCGTCGTGCTGCGCTGCGAAAGTAACCGGCACACAAGGCTCGGCGCACCCGTTCCGTCTCACGGCCACACGAGACAATGGGCTGGCGGTAACGCTCCATGATCTTGACAAGCTGATCCCGAACGTCTTTGGCTTGTCTCATAGACCGTGCTATGATGAAGTTCTCAAAGCACCAAGAGCTGGAGTAGCCATTTTGTTTCCACGCGTTATACACGTTGAAAAGTGTCAGGTGGTCGCCGCATTGGTCGTGGAACTTGGCCTTCTTCTGATCTGCCTGTGCCTGCTTCTCCTTCGGTCGATAGAAAACGTTGGGTAAGTTGAGCATAGCCACGATCGAGAGAATCTCGTCTGAGCATCCCAGGTCACTTGCCACAATCAAGACCTTAGCGAGAGACGAGTCCAGAGGGAAGTCCGCGATACGGCGTCCAAGTCGTGTCAAGATACCCTCGTCGTCAAGGGCACCCAACGCGTAAAGCTCTTCAAGTGCGGCCAGCATAGTATTGACCGGGGGCGGATCCATGAAGTCAAAGCGCAGCAGATCGTTGATGCCCATCGCTTTGAGCATGAGGATGGTTGTTGACACGTTCTGGCGTTGGATGGCCGGTATGGGTGAGGGTAGCATCTCGGACTGGTACGCTGTTTCCGTGTAGAGCCTAAAGCACTTACCTGGCCCGGTGCGGCCGGCACGTCCGGCTCGCTGGTTGGCTTGTGCTTGTGAGATGGGCGTGACGATGAGCGAGTCCATGCCCAACTTCGCGTCATAGGCGTCTTGTTTGACAAAACCTGGATCCACGACGTAGTAGATATTGTCGATCGTGATGGATGTTTCGGCAATGTTGGTGGCGAGGATGACCTTTCGAGCACCCGGTGGAGGCGGCTCAAAGATGCGGCGCTGCATTTCAGGGGGAAGTGCGGAATACATGGGAAGGATGACTAGCTCCGGCACGTCTGGCCCGATGGCCTTGAGCCGTTCAGATAGAACCTCGCAGGATGTATCGATTTCCTCCTGTCCTGTTAGAAACAGGAGAATATCACCAGCGGGCTCGGTCAGGTGAATTTCCATGACAGTGGCCAGAGCTGCATCAAGATAATCGGATTCAGGCTCCCGCGAATACATGATTTCGACGGGAAATGTGCGGCCAGGGATGTTGAAGATCGGAGCGTTGTTGAAGTAGCTTGAGAACTTGTCGGCGTCAAGGGTCGCAGACGTAGATATCACCTTGAGATCCGGCCGCTTCTGTAGCGTTCGCTTCAACAATGCGAAAAGAACGTCGGTTGCGATGGTCCGTTCATGTGCCTCGTCGAGAATAATAACCGAGTACTTGGTGAGGCTCGGGTCGAGTAGGATTTCTCTTTGAAGCGTGCCGTCCGTCATAAACTTGATCTTGGTTGCTGGGCCGGTGCAGTCCTCGAACCGAATCGAATAGCCAACTTCTTCGCCGAGGGTGCAACCGACCTCTTCGGCAACACGTTTGGCCACGGACATGGCAGCCACGCGGCGGGGCTGTGTGCATCCGATGATACCGCCATTGGCAAAACCCGCCTCGGCTAGATACTGTGTTAACTGTGTGGTCTTGCCCGACCCAGTCTCGCCGACCACAATGAGGATTTGGTGTTCCTGTATTGCGTCAAGCAACTGAGCGCGGAATGAGAAAATTGGAAGGGATTCCCGCTGTTGTTTGATGGTCATATCTGTCCACTTTCCGGATCCTTGATCCTTGGATCGGACCGCAAGGTTCTGGTTCGAGAGGTTACCGGGGTTTGTCGCCATGAGATGGACGCTGCTAGCCTCGCCGGGGAGCTTGGACTGCTCGGGGTCTGCCATGGGATCATCCCACTGAGTTGAAAGACCAACCTTGTCCCCCTTGCCGCCAACCGTTCCGGTAGCCGCCTCGGAAACCGCTTCGGCCGCCCGCTGTTGCCGCAGCTCCGCCCTCTCTTTGGCTAAGGCGGTCCCAGTCAGAGCAGCCCGATTCATCGACCCGTCGGGAGCCTTCACAACACGAATGGGCGAAAGTTCGAGAGACTGCTTGGTTTGGCCAACAAGGAATGGCGGCTCCTCATCTCTGACTTCGATGTCCAGGTCTAGTTCCAACTCCGTCCCGCCGTCAACCCTGGATGCTGCGTTGTGATCTTCAAGGCCGGGGAAGTCTGAGGCTTTCGCGACTCCGGCTGCAATGAGTTGTTGTATTTCCCATCGCTCGGGAGAGGTCATCCTTTTCTGCTGTTGTGTCGAGGAACTGGGCGTTCGGAGGTCGGCATTAGTATGTCTGTCCCCCCCTCTGCCCAGGGGCTCCGCATTGGCGCTGGATCCAAAGTTGACGGTGGGAGCGAGGTCTCGGCCAGTGTCTTGGTCAACGTCCTTCATCGACAAGCCAATTCGTGTCCCCTCCATACTAATGATCTTGACCTTGACTGGTTGACCGCCTTCGACGAAATCTGATGGGTGGCTGACCCCGTCCGCCAGCCGTGAAACATGAACGAGCCCGGACAAGTTCCCACTCACGCCGTGGAGGTTCACAAATGCGCCAAAGTCCTTGACGCCCGTCACATGGCCATCATAGATGTGGTTCATGATGGGGGCTTCGTCCTGTTTGTGGTGGTGGTCGTCCCCAGCCCGACCTCGTCGGCCGCGCTGCTGCCTATGTTCCATCGGCCCGTCGTGTCCCGAGGCATCGCTTCTGAAGCGCCGTTCATGCTGCGTGGTCGGGCTGTTGCTTCGACTGCGACCGCGCCCTCGTTTCCGTCCTCCGCGCGTTTTATCATCCGGGATTGGCTCCAAGGCTTCTAGTTCGGCCAAGGCGTTATCGATAGAGTCGTGGGCTAAGGCCTGACCGGGCGGGGATGGACGGGTTTGGGCTTGGGCTTCAAGTTCCTCGACGCCGCGCTGGTTGTCGGGTCCGTGGCGCGGGCCGGTCGTCTTTCCCTTCATTGACGGATGCATCATTCGAACGAGGCGATCGATGCTCTCGAGCAAGCTCCTAGGGAGGGAATCACCGGCCATACTGCCCATTTTTCGTTCAAATGCTTCGAATGTATCAGAAGCAAGGCGTTGGGCAATAATGAAGTCAGCGAGATTCTTGTCGACGATCCCAAGATGATTTTGTACCTCGGACACCACCTTGCTCACCAAACCCACCAGCTCGAGATCAGAAAGGTCATCCATATTGAATGGCAATTGCAGAGAAACTAGTGTGGTGAGGTCGAGTAGTCGGTCAGCCGGTCAGTCGATTCTTTTACCAGAGAGAGAATTGCATTGGTGGCGAGGACAAATGGCGAGGACAAATGGTGAGGGCAAACGATGAGGACGGATGAGGACGGATGAGGACGAATGTTCTTTCGATGCCGTGACAAAGCATGCCTGAGCGGTTGGTTGCCCCGCCTGCGCGGTTGGGCCTGCGCGTGCAATTAATTGTGCCCCTGCTAGCTCCAGCCCCACCTTCCTCGCAATCCCCCGCGTCTTTCCTTCAGCGCGACTGAAAGCACCAGTTGCGAAAACACTGCAATCCTCTTCGTGCAAACGGGACCCGTTAGCCGCCGCCATGGATGCAGAACCGAGTGTTGAAGATGAGCGCCCCCAAATCCTCCAAGATACCCTCCAGCAAATATCATCGACATCAGCCGAGACGCCCATGAAATGCTGCGTCATCTGTCTTGGCGACCTGGAGGAGCAATGTGAAGCACTGCCTTGTCGACACAACGATTTCGATTACTTATGCCTCATCACCTGGCTGGAAAACCGAGCGACTTGCCCGCTCTGCAAGCGTGACGTTTCCGAAGTCCGATACAATCTTAGTGAAGATGGGAAGGATGGAAAGATCTACACAGTGCCCAAGCCCGTCGACGGCCGGAATGAGGGTGGCCTGCGCGGCGCGGCTTCACTTTCCGGGCGTCGACGTAGCAGTCATGCTAACCGTGCAGCGCGCCCTGAACCACCCGAGGACGAGGCTATCCGAAGACGACGTATGATCTATCGGCACAAACTCTATTCTCTCTACGTGGGATCAAATAATCGACAGCCCGCAGCACTGAGGCATAGGGAGCTCTCACCACAGCTCTTTGCCACGAATGCCGAGCTCGTAGCCCGTGCCAGAATGTGGTTACGCCGGGAACTGCGCGTTTTCCGCTTCCTCTACGTAGAGGAGACAGGTGCCCCACCGGAGAGTCACGACCCCGTCCGGCGATGCAGACCGTGTAAGGCAGAGTATTTGCTTGAATACATCATTGCCATTCTGAAGTCCATGGACATGCAAGGCAGTGCTGGCCAGGCCGAGGAAATGATCCAAGAGTTCCTCGGCCGCGATAACACTAGGCTCTTTCTGCACGAGCTGAGGGCCTGGCTCAGGAGTCCTTGCAAATCATGGGGTGAATGGGACCGCGTTGTTCAGTATCGTGATGGGAACATCATGCGCCAGCAACCATGAGGGCGGGTCGACCAAGGGACAGAACGATATTGTGTTTGGGCGAGCCAATAATTTCCTAACGAGGTAAAGAGGTAAACAACTGGGTTACCACAAAGAATAGCTGAGGTAGTAGTTGTAGGAGACAAATGTGGGCACCGAAGCGCCGATGTCCGAAGACTTAATGCTCCTTGTAGTGTAGCACGCAGGAACTCAGTCTCAAGCAATGATCGATCATCCCTTCGGCTAGTATTATTCGACAAAACCATTAAAGTTTTCCGCTTTAGCGCGGCCCATGACCTGCACGACGACATGCGGACAGTCACATGTGACCGCTTCCACTGCTGCAGTTGAGGTCACTGTACTTGACATGCCTTTCGCGGTTTCGGAATATGTCGAGCATTACGGAAGCAGCGTCGCTGTTATCTGCATCCAGTAGTGTGTCTTCTGGGTCGATGTCCACCTCCGAAAAATATCTCTTGTTCTTGGATAGTTTCTCCGAGACGTAGTCGAACAAGCGTGACTCAAGAAGCGTGGTCCTGAAGTGGTGCAGGTTGAATTCGGGGTAGGGACAACTGGCTATGTGATCCTCGATCCGATCCAGGAATTGGTAAGTCAAGCGAGTATTGTGACCCTCAAAGACCTTGGGGATATAGTCGTTCATGATGAAAGACATCCGTGTTGGTGACCATAGCCGATCGTCGTAGTTCGGGCTCGAGGTAGAGATGATCAAAATAGCGTTAAGCTTGGTGAGGGCGAGGTGTACGTCAAAACATGGCCTCGTCCGGGAGCGGATGTCCCTGTTCATATCTTCGGTTCTAAGAAAGTCGGCAACTGTCCGATGGAGAAACTCTACCGTCGGAGCATCGATCCAACGCTGAGAGCTGGCTTCTAAGAGACCACCGGTGAGGGCCGTGATTCTGCGAATCGCTAGCTCTCTTGTGGACGAGAGTTCCCCGGCGCCGAGCTTGACGACTGGCCACATGGCCGCGGGGTCTTCCTGTTCAAAATCCCGCTCATGGTAATAATATGCTTCTGGGGGAAGCTTGACGATAGCGTCGTCATGCAACGCAAGCTGGAGGAGCTCCGCGGACTTTTGCATGTATACTGGATCGATACGATGTAGGATATGTTTGAAGAGATCGCCCAAGTCTGTCGGGAGCATCCGTAATCGTCGTCTCAGGTCGTGAATATTGTCGTGGTTGGTAAGGCCACTACAGAGCGATTGCGTAACCAGTACGACCCAGAGAAACACGCCATTTGCTCTAGCACGGACTTCACACACCAAGGAAGCCCTCTCTGCCGCGTTTGTCATGTTGGTATTCCAATTGCGGTGTGCGTTCAGCTCCCCTTGGACGAACGTTTCCATGTCGGTGGCGGTCAGCTCGTGGACGGCGAGGTGTTTGGTATGGTCTTGACCAAATTCGTCCTTGAACACATTCCAAGGCCTGCTAGACACGCATAGTTTAATGTGCCGCGATGTCGCCAAAGATCCTAGGACTTTGCACACTTCTTGGTGATTGCCCTCAAACTCGTCGAGACCGTCGACAAAAAGACACAACTTGACATCACCGGTATCGCTCTGAGCCAGGCCTTGGAGGATCCTAGACAATCCGTCCATGGTCCATGCCTTGGATGTTCCATGGCTGACTTTGATCCCGATCTTGGAGGGCTCGGTATCATTTGACGATGGTGTGAGTGGTGCTTGAAGACTGCGTGCGAGTGGGACAAGGTGCGGTGCTTTGTGGAGGATTTCCGAGACCAGGGTTTGCAGCAGCCCGCGCATGGACTTTTGCATAGGACTTCCCAGGTTCCAGAAGTAATGTGCGGCGATGATTACTCTGCACGGGGCTGCCCACGCGTCTAGATACGCCCTGGTTTGCGGGTTGTCGGCCAAGAACTTCATCAGTGTGGACTTGCCAGCACCCGGCTTTGCGTGAATCCAAAAGATGCCTGAGCCACACTCTATCCAGTCCCGGAAACGAGGAATATCGTATATCCACTTGAACGTGTTTGCATAATTCTCTGGTATTGTTTCGTGCCGGTGGCTGAGACAGGGGAAGTACAGACTGGAGAGGAAGCTGTTGTTGATCCGGATTGAGTTGAGCTCTTCCATCTGTTCTTTAAGTTGCTTGGTCACCTGGCATAGTGTTTCAACTTTCACTGATCGTCCGGCGTCTCTTGATTCGATGTAAAAGTCTTCAAGCCGTTTCGACAGGTTGTCCAAATCGCGGTCGGTCGCCATCCTACCGGCGTTCGTCTGGGCTAGTGTGTTGGCCTCCTTCCTCAGCTTTTGGATTTCATCACTTCGGTAACGCTCAAGTTAGAAACTTTCGACCTCGAAAATAAATTGAGTGAACTATATTTGAGAAAGTGACAGTAAAATCCACTTACCAAGTAATTCTGCTCATCTCGGCAGATATGAGATTCAGCTCCATCCTTAGCCGCGCTTCGACATCGCCGATTTTCCTCCGCTTTATGATTGACTTGAAGGCCACAACCATACTTCCCCACCGCTTCCTCCCACCGTTCTTGACCTTGAGTTCCCGCAAAAATCCGAGTATTTCACTGCAGTCTTTCTGCGCGCATTTGGCCGATGAAATGATCTCGTGCGTGAATGTGGTGGAAAGTGGTGGCGAGGGAACGGTCCCAGCCAGAGCCTCGACGGGCTGTAAAAATGCCTGCATTCGCTCATAAACGCTCTCCAGTGCTTCATTCTCCAATGTAGATCCGCTCTCTCGAACTTCTTTGCCGGTCTTGATGAGCTTGACGGTGAAGTCCAGGAGCTGGAGAATTGAGCTCGCGGCTCCAACTGCTGCCAATGCCTCCATCGTACTCGGGGGGGCAACGGGGAAGGCGCGGGAGGATGCCTTAGGTAGGTAGGTGTCAATTTGGGCCTCGTCGGTGCCGCCCTATTGCGTTCCTGATGAAAGCGAAGAAGGGAAGGTTGACCGCGGTGCGGGACCTCACAGATTGAGGGGAATGGTGAGTTCTTGTTTTGTCGACGTGGCCATGATGCCACAGCCACAACCGGGTCAGCTGGCGCAGACTTCGGAAAGCGCCTGCATGTGTATGCCGCACTCCATGCGGGTTGGCTGGAGTGTCCCCGCACGTGCAGTGCAGGTTTGGGACCTCCTTTCGGTCGGACCATTTGACCCGGGCTGATTCCTCTCAGACAACAATACTACGCCATTAAAGTAATTAATCCCTATGCAAGAAGATATCAAAAATCACCATCACTCCCCATCATGCCCTGGGTAGGTGCATCACGGTATCAAGCACCCCCCTCCAAAACCCCCCGCCGCGACTCCCCTCTCTCCGAGTACCTATCCAGCTCAAGAAACCCCTCCGGCAGCTCCTTCCTCCGAAACAGCGCCCCCAGCGTGACCACATTCCCCACCTTGGCCGCGAGCGTCCTCCCATCCGGCGTCTCCTCCCTCCGCACCTCCCCGCTCCCATCCCGCGCCAAGTAAGTAAGGTTATCATGCGGCAGGAACCGGCCCGGGTGCCAGACGTTCCACAGCGCCGAGTTGAGCAGCATCAGCGAGGCCTCGAAGACGTAGAAGAAGGCCTCGTGCCGCAGCAGCGGGCTCAGGCTGCGCAGCGCCGCCAGGCTGGTCAGCTCCACCTTGGTGTTGCCCGCGTGCTCGACCAGCCGGTAGACGCAGCGCGCGAAGATGAGGGCCATGCTCGTGTAGAGCGTGGTTAGCATCGCCTTGACGGGTTGGGCGTGGATGCTGGCTTTGCTGAGACGGCGGTGGAACAGCCCTGCGAGGATGAAGAAGATGAGGATGATGGCGAGCTGGAGGGCGACGGCGGCGATGGTGAGGTGGCTGCCGAGCGTTTGTTGTTCGGGTGATGAGGCGGGGTTCGCGGCGAAGGAGACGCCGAGTGAGTTGAGGAGTTCGACCGCCACCATCGACCCGCCAAAGATTGCTAGGACGCGACCCGGGGGTAGGGGGGAGCAGTAGGGGACGTAGTAGAATACTCGGGCGAGGACGTGGTAGTTGGCGAGTTCGAGAAGCGGGCTGTGTTGGGACCGAAAGGGTCGAGTTGTCAGCTAAGCTCCACTCACGAGTCACGGGTCTCTTATGGTTTGTTTGTTTCTACTCACGGGCAAATGTATATGAAGATCTGGCTGACGATGAAGATGATCAAAGGCGTTTTGGTCGTGGTGCTGTACAAGTAGTTGTCCAATGCGCCGTATTCACGGAGTGCGTAGCCGACGGTGAACAAGACTGCGCAGACCGGGTGGAGCCCGATCAACTTGAAGGCTTTGTAGCGGCTACATGTGGGAGAGGCTGTGAGAACGATTGATCGAGTTTGTCGAGGTAGAAATACATACTAGCATTGCCATATGTGGAAGATGGCAGAGATGGCAAAGGCGATGGTGAAGAAGATAGGCGCCCCTTTGTTCGGGGCATAAACGTAGAGACTATACAAAACTGTTGAAGCGATGTTAGTTATGAGCGTTTAACAACGATTGGAGGTTGAAATAATTACTGGGTTCTCCTGCTGCCATGTTGCCGTTACTTGTTGACTAAAATCGTGTAAGAGGAACAGCTTGATGAGTTCAATCGTTCAGTGCAACTCGGACGGCCAGGCGTGTTTGTACGTGGTCCTTAATGCTTTGAGAGCAACAGGTCGTGCCATGATGTCGTGGGCATGGAAGGAAAGTAAATAAACAAATTCCAACTATCTCAACACCAAAACCCAATTGCATCAAAATGTTGATATTGAACAAGACGCTGCAACGCGCGTCGTCGTCCTTTCTCAATGCTTCCAAAGTTCCAACAGGGGTCACTTACACTGGATTACGCGTGCACTTGACCAAAATAGGCGAAATGGTGGGTCGTCTACTGCGTCCTCAGGCCCTCGGACTTTTCTGTGCCGCGGCTCCTTTCTCCTTTGGCTCCCCAACGGAACCTCCAACACTCCGCTGGGGTCACAGTAATGACGACGACACTAACCATGAGCATCAAACGCGTTGCCATTTGAACCTCATACTCTTATCGCCGGTGAAATCTTCAAGGATGCTGAACCGGCGCTGCTCGGCGATTACCAATTACCACCTTTGGGTATTAGTTTCGACCCTAGGTACCTACCTACCATACCTATTTTTATTATCTTACACGTAATCTTTCTTGGTTTTTTTAGCCTCTGGCCGGTGGGATAGCCCATTTGCCTTTGTCATGGCTCTGGGTTCTCGCGGAGTATGAATGTTACCAGCATGTTACATTTCGGACATAAATTCCCATGACCTCAATTTAGATGCTCAGGGGCAGATACCAGGTACCAAGTGTGACGACTCAGTTCGTCTCCTCGAGGTTCTTGGCCTCTGACGGAAGCACCTTGTGTTGGCAAGTGTGTGTTAAGCTGTCGTCAGAGACCGAGGGCCCTTTTCTTATTTTCCCTTTTTCTTTTCCTCGTTTTTGGGACATGTCCATCGGGGATCATTTGCGGCGAGCCATGACCTGTTAGCATCCCCCTTTCTCTCCCTCTTTTTTTACTGGTGTTTGCGTCATGTCATGTTACCTACCTTTGTTTACCAGCGTGTGTAGTGTGTCTGGTTGGGCACATGGCTCTGTCAGGGTGATCATCGAGCACCGAGAGGGTTCACTTGGAACGGCGGGTACTTGCCCATGTTCAAGTGTTGACTACACGGTACGGAGGTCAGAGCCGGCACAAGTCAATTCGACATCATCAGTCCATAAACAAGGCCCCGAGAACTCCCACGTTGTCTGAGACGGGGAACGAGGGTGGGTGGCGAGAGGGCTCAGGCATGGAGCTGGCCGAAGCCCAGGAGACAACCCCCGCCGACCAACTGACAAAGGATTCCACCCACCACGGCCGGAGATGTCTCAGAGGCGGTGAGGCCCTAACCAAGGTTGCATCGCTACTTCGGCGGGGTAAACATTCCTTTTTCCCACACGCTGCTCCCCGATGGTGGGCATCGCCCGCCGTCTCCGCTCGTCCGTTGTTAGCCATGGCAACTGCGTTAATTCGGGGCCACAGCCCAGTCCCATTGGGTCTAGGCATTGTAACCTTGGTGGGAGGGCGAAGTAGACTGTCTTCCGGTAGCATGTGTTCCGCCCTGGGACCCCGAGGGTGTTTGAGGAAACGGAATCTGGTGTGTCTTATCACCCCCGATTTTGAGAATATCCAACATCTCGGGACAGCGTTTGATGAGCTGAACAACAAAGAGCAGAGAAGCACCACCGATAGCTAGAACTTCGATATAGCAGGCGGAAACTAGCCTGCTGCTTGATGCTATTAGCGCCGTGCTTGCTGTAACCCCCACTCCCACCCAACATTCTGCTGTCCCGACTCCCTGCGTTGTGGGTAGCCGGACCAGGTGGTATCGGTCAATGTTAGAACTGTTCTAGAAAATGCATGGAATAACGCAGAATGTTCGTTGGACGTTACCAGACCTCCCGCAGAAATATATTAACCATTTAGGCGGCGGCTGAGTCCAGAGCGAGGGTGGGTTTCGTCGCTACCTGGCGAGGGGATACCACGGCTGAGACAAGCGATCGATATTCAGGGGAGAATACTGGGATATCGTATGGACGGACTATTGGTTGCCCAGCATCGGGGCAGACAATCTATCCAAATGAAAAGTCGATATTACTTTTGCGCCTCCATCACCGAATCCGGGTTATGAGTTTGCCAAGAGGGGTGATGCAAGCTTCTCGAAGCCCCGATGTTGCCTCAGCGTCTCCTGTCCCAGGAGAACAGGTGCCCGACATGTGGTTAATATCGCCCATCGCTCTCCGCCGGCTCAGCTGACACCTTTGTTTATCTGCACCAAGATTCCCACCCTGCGCGCCACAAGGTAACCTTCCGTGTCTTCCGACTTGTGATTCGTGTCGAACGGGGGAGCCCGCTGGCGATGGGGTTGCGTGTTGGGCAGACTGCATCCTCGGGTGACAGAATTAACAAGCCTGAATAGAACAACCAGCGAGAATGTCGGGGCGATGATACAAAGATCCCTACAAAAACCACCAAAGTCTATCTTTTTGCAGAGCTTGGCTCGGAAAACTCGAGCTCCTCGGCGCCATGACAGGTGGGATGTTCCCACGGGGAAGATTCCCCCGAGCTCAAATGGGCAGGCAACGGCCGAAAAGGGGCGGACCGGGTTAGTGGTGTCTGGTACAGTACGACTCTACCGAGAATCGCTGCCTTTTAAAGGTGGCACTCGGCATGCAGAATGCACCCCGAGGCACCGAAGGCGCATGGAAACTTGGTCGAAGCTCCAACCCCCTGGTATCTGTCAAAACCCCTGTCCATATTCCCCGCATTGTCCACGAATGCCCTCCCCCGGAGGCGCGACAAACACCAGAGCCTCCCCCAGCGAGGGTGACGGATAATGTGCCCATTGCAACTCTGCATTCAACCGGACTTCGACCCCCCACGATGTCAATATTGGCACGTGGATACCTTCAACGTTGGGCATCTCGTGAGGCGAGCACGGAGCATGACACGGCGTGTTCGGATTGCAACTCTTCGGAGTGCAACTGTGTTTGGCGCGAACCAGAACAGCAGGGAGGTTGGGACTCGGAGATCAACGCCATGGGTTGAGGGACTTTGAGGGGACCATGCCATCGGCGGACGAGGATAAAAAAGGGGGATCTGCCCGCTCCGTCACGGGTGATCGACGACCATTGACTTTGACAACCTCGACAACAAGCCCTCACAGCCCGGTCAACTTCCCCGCGGTGTCAAGCCAACCGTCCCCCAGGCCACAATGAAGCTTCAGCAGCGCAGCGTCCTCGCCGCTGCCCTGGCACTCGCCGGGGCACCGAGCGTCGATGCCGTCCTCCGGTTCTCGTGCTCCGAGCTCGTCACCGAGCGCCTGGATCCGTTGGTGACCCTCATCATATCCAGACCTACTGTCATCGCGTCGCTAACACCCCCTCTCTCTTCAGCCTAGTCTTCCCCGGCGCCGCCCAGTCCCCCCATCTCCACCAAATCGTCGGCGGCAACATGTTCAACGTCACGATGGACCCCGAGCGCTACAACATCGGCGAGGAAGCCTCATGCACGACGTGCACCTTCTCGGAGGACTTCTCCAACTACTGGACCGCCACGCTCTTCTTCCGCGCGCGCAACGGCAGCTACATCCGCGTGCCGCAGCGGCCCAACATCGACTTCGACAACGCGCGCGGCGGCGGCATGACAGTCTACTACACAGCCTCCTACCAAGGCGCCAAGGTGACCGCCTTCCAGCCCGGCTTCCGCATGATTGTCGGCAGCCCGATGTACCGCACCTCGGCGGAGGCGGCCAAGTTCCGCCAGCTGACCTTCACCTGCCTCGAGACCATGTACACGCGGACGGGGGAGACGACCTCGATGCCGACGCAGCCGTGCAAGGAGGGCATCATGGCCAACGTGCGCTTCCCGACCTGCTGGGACGGCGCCAACCTCGACACGCCCAACCACTCGGACCACGTCGCCTACCCGTCCAGCGGCACCTTCGAGAGCGGCGGGCCCTGCCCGGCGTCCCACCCCGTGCCGATCCCGCAGCTGTTCTACGAGGTGATTTGGGATACGCGGCAGTTTAATGATCGGTCGCTGTGGCCCGAGGACGGCAGCCAGCCGTTTGTGTGGTCGTATGGTGATTATACCGGCTACGGGACGCATGGGGATTACGTGTTTGGGTGGAAGGGCGATTCGCTGCAGCGCGCGATGGATGATAACTGTGATGTGGTCTGCCCGACGCTCAAGACGCAGAGTATTGGGACTGGTAACCAGTGCACGCAGGACAAGAAGGTTGCGGAGCAGATCGATGGGTGGCTGGAGAGTTTGCCGGGCGATGTTGAGGTTACTGGGCCGCAGCCGGGTGCTGGGAGTGGTTAGTACACCTGTTTACCTTTTATCGTTTGGGTTGACCGCCCGCGGATGTGAAACGTTGCTGACCGTGTCCAAGGCGGAAACCCTGGCAACGGCGGTGGTAGTAACCCTGGCGACGGCGGCGGCAACAACGGCGGCGGCTCATGCCAGGTCTCTAAGTGGTACGTGAAACCAGATTAGCTCCCCTAAACTGATGAAAATGACTAACCTTTTTGAATAGGGGTCAGTGTGGCGGCCAAGGCTGGAGCGGGTGCACTTCCTGTGCGTCAGGCTCGACTTGCCGGGCTCAGAATAACTACTACTCTCAGTGCCTGTAGGTAGTCAACGGAGCCAAGGGCGATGTTTGTAGCGCCGAAACGCCTCGGACTGGGGACCTTGTTGGCGAGGGTTTCTTTCTGGTGTAAATAGCATTGGTATCCAACCGGCGGGGTTGATGGTCAAGTAAATATATTTTCGAGCCCAGCCATGCTGCGATCCAGTGGTATTATCCCTCGAGGAACAGAACAGGTCTGAACCTTCTATAGCCGTCGACGTAGTCGTGTGAATGTTACATTATACATCAAAACTTTGTACATAATCGTTGTCTCGATGGATCCAGCTTCTCTGTGTCATCACCGGTTCCCCAGCTCGGCGCGACGGTAGTCCCTTGGGGTTGGCATCTCGGCAATGTCCCCGCCTGTCCCTATCTCAACGGGGGAGGGGCCGGGCCGCAGTTCGGCAGGAGGGTAGAGAGAATGGCCTTGAGAATATCCGGGGACCTTCCAGGCGTCGCTCATGCCGGGGGAGTAGTTCGTCATGCCGTTTTGTTGCGAGTCGGCCAGGATCTGTCGCTTCTTCTTGAGGTGTCGGTACCACAACAGGGCGCATACAATGCAGGTTAGTCCGATGACGGACACACCAACACCAATCCCTGCCTGAGCCCCCACGGGCAAGCCACTCGTCCCTTGCGTAGATGTTTCAGGGTCATTCGCCGGGGAAGGCGCGGTGGACGACGGGTTGGCCGAAGTGGACGTGGATGATGCTGCTGTGGGGATAGCTGATGGAGATTCCGTCGAGCCGCTCGTAGATGGTGACGGGTCTGTAGTCGTCGAGGGTTTCGATGTGGTACTCGGAACCGCTTTCTTGGTAATTTTGAAGTACGGGGACGACATGCGTTGCGCGTTCATGTTATCTTGATTCTCGGGCCCCCCTCGCTTGAGCCATAAGAAAAACCTATCCGACTCTTCAAGATTGAACCCGTAGAGCTGAACCTTCCACTTGAAGCCGGTGTCCGGGCCTTCCAGGGTTCCTGCGTTTGTTGGATCAGAGAGGCATGGCCCGGGAGCTTTCTACCCTTCACAGAAACACATACGGTAAAGTATCGGGCCTTTCAGCGCCGTCTTGCTTGCCGGTGGGCCCTCTTGCCAGAGCGCGACGGTGTAGTTTGTCATCGTGGTCTGGTATTCGATGGTCATCACCTCCCCGACCTGCCAGACCTCCCCGACTCCAGGTTGGAAGAACTGGGCCGAAGCATAGCCCGGGAATAAGAAAGGGAAGATGAAAAGGAGTGTTGTGATTCGGAGCAGTATTGACGGTAACCCATACCGCGTCAGCTTCTGAACCATCCTGGGAGCAAGAGGACCGATATTGCGGTCATGAATGCGATTTCATAATTTGCGATGTTCGGAAAGAAAATACGATGGTCTGGTCCGCGGGGGGTTGTGGTGGGTGAGACGGGCAGGCGGGTTACGGCCGAAGATAAAGCCACCACTGCGCGGTTCTTCGTAATCTGGAGTTACCCGACCAAGCATCTTGCCGAGACTCCGTTGAGATCCCAGCGGGAGGAGCCATCAACCACTAAAATTATCGTTTTGTGGGGGGACCTATACTAGGATAGGTAACTGGGAACGGAACATGCAACACTGGGCCACAAATCCTCAATGTGGGATGAGGTGCGGTTGATCAGCTCTTCAGTCGTGACTCGGTTGCGCCGTTGCCTTGTCAGCTTGCTGGTGCGTTGCAGCAAGAAGGATTTGTGTGTGGTTGAGGGCTCCACTCCCCCCTGCTGCACTTTGTATTTTGATTGGGGGATTTACTGAGTTGACTCCGATTCAAATATTCATTTTGATGCGGCGGTGCACGGCCCCTGCAGCAGCACACCAGCACAAACCCCTGGGCTCGCATGTGCCGCAACGTTTCTCGGGTTCGATGAATCTGACGGAAACTCCTTTTTCGAGGCTTGTCCCGACTCCGCCTTCCGCCACTGCACGCGCCAGCTGCCCAACCACCAATTCACAACGGCCACATGGAACAAATGCCTCTGCGACAACCGCCAAGACGCATCTTGTACGTGGTGGGTACGCTCATAACCGTTACAATTTTGTTGTTTCAATTCAACGGTCACGGTTCTGCAAGCCCGACGCACAGTCAGCAATGGGCCTCTTCCGGGGGACGCCTCATGGGCGACATCCAAAATACCACGCTGGGAGTGAGTGCAACCCGTTTCAGTGTTTTATGATTCTGTTCTTTGATGGTTTTTATGCATCTTGTCATCCCGTTTCACTTTTCGGTTCCTTCCGCGTACCGCTACGCCGTGTTCAACCCACCACGCACCAGTAGCGCGGACCCACGGCACTCTTGTGTGTAACTACGAATACCTGAGATTAACCTCGACCTACAGTTTGAGAAGATCTTCGTAGTCGGCCTACCGTCACGGACAGACCGCCGCGATGGCATGGTTCTGCAGGCCAGCCTCAGCAACATGGATATCGAGTTCATTGATGGCGTAGCCGGTGCGGACGTGCCCGACAAGGCCATCCCCATGGCCAAAGACAAAGGACGTCTCAAGGATGCCCCGATCGGTTCCTGGCGCGCTCACATGAACGCCATCCGAGAGTAAGACAAGACCCTCGTCTGATCCTCCCTAGCCGCCCCCGCCACACCCCACCGTACCATGACTATCTGTATCTCCCTACCATGAATGAACCTTCACTAACCACCCCCTCAAGAGTCGTCCACCGCAACCTCTCTTCGGCCCTCATCCTCGAAGACGACGTCGACTGGGACGTGCGCATCCGCGAGCAGCTGTCAGACTTCGCCCTCTCCGCGCACGCGCTCACCCAACCCGTGCGCGGCAGCTCGCCTTCCTCCCCCATCTACGCGGACGAGACCTACCCCCAGCCCGCCCCAGACTCCCCAGGCAAGCTCCCCGACCTCTCCTTCGCCGCGCTCCCCGCCACCGTACCCCCCTCCCGATCCCCCTACGGCGACAACTGGGACGTTCTCTGGATCGGGCACTGCGGCATGCACTTCCCCTTCGAGCGCAGCGCCCACGTGCCCAAGGCGCGCGTGATCCACGAGGGCGACGAGACGGTGGCGCCCAAGAAGAACCTCTGGACCTTCAACATCCCCTTCACGCTGAAGGAGAAGTACCCGCCGCACACGCGCGCGTACCACCACGTGCAGGAGGGCGTGTGCACGCTCGGGTACGCGGTCAGCCAGCAGGGGGCGCGGAAGTTGTTGTATGAGGTTGGGTTGAAGCCGGTGACGGCGGCGTTTGATCTGTTGTTGCGGTGGTATTGCGAGGGGGAGAAAGGAAGGGCGGCGGGGCGCCAGTGCTTGACCACGCAGCCGGGCCTGTTCCAGCACCATCGTCCTGCCGGGCCGAATAATGCGATGAGTGATATTGGGAATCATGGGGATGGGTGGCGCGAGAAGAGCATGACGGATATGGTCCGCTGGAGTGTGAGGATGAATGCGGATGTGCTTTTGGATGGGGGGGAGGAGTTTAGGAATCAGTTTCCGGGTGAGGAGGCGGGCGGGGAGTGAATGGGAGGGGTGTTGGTTAGTGTTTTGTATTTTAGCTTTGGATATGGTCCTTGGTAGTGGTAGGGTGGCATTTAGGTGTGTAAGGTAGGCGAGACGGGTCTGGATACGGAGGCATGTATAATCACATGGTTCTATTTACTGGGTTACGCTTTAACCGTGCTACTCCGAATCATCGGAAGAGCTGTCTAACCACACCCCCTTCTTCTCAACGCGTCGCTGACGGATAATGCCTCTTTTCTCCCCGCCGTTTCGGGATTACGACAGGCCTCGGTCTCAACCATGTCTGCGGGCCCTATTCCAAGCGCAGATTTTCGAAGTTGAGAGTAGTCTGACTCCCCTGGGCTTCCTCCATCTCCTCCGGCTCCTCCTGACCTTGATGATCCGCCACGCCGGAGACAGGCATCGCAGTAGCAGCCACCTGCGCCAACCTAGCACGCGTCGCCGCCAGCTCTTCCGGGCTCAGCGGGAACGCATCTTCCCTGCAGTATGGGCATAGCTCGTGGGCACGGTTGTGGTACCGGATGTTGCCAGGATTCAGGAGGTTGGGACAGAGCTTGCATGGCCCGGGATGCGTCAGGCAGCAAACCCACAGGTCCCCGCGCCATGCAGTGCGCCAGAATCGGTGCACCTGTTTGTCCTCGTCGTAGTAGGGACAGGTTGAATGTCCCAGGGCCGAGAGCATACAGTAGTAGCGGGTCAGCACCCCTTTGCACATCGTGACCGTGTGATTCGTTGCTTGGTGTGAGGGCGTTTTTAGGATTTCTGGGAGCGGCAGTTGTGTTAGCCTGGTGCACTGGGCTGGGAACTACGGAGTGACTTACTTCAGGGCGGAAGTGGTCGCGTGGCAGTTGGTGGATGTATTTGACGGTGGGTGTACCTTTGTTACAAAAGATTGTTTGCCAATATCGTAGCGATGGTAGGTACCTACTAAACGCCGCGGTTCTTCACATTCATTAGGGCAAGAAACGGTGGTGGAAAGAAAGTGACCTTGAGTGCACCTACTATTAACAATTTATGTAGGCAGGTACCTACCTACGTACCTTTAGGTACCTTAGGTAGCAGCGATGCTGTGGAAGGGATGCTCCATGTTTTACGGAAAGGGCAAGGACGTGTCACGCACAGAACAGTGGCAGTGGAAAACAGGAATGTTGTTCAGGGCACAAGTTGAACTCCGGGCAACTCACCGGTACTGCAGTTCTATTTACGTAGTTGCCATTTGTTAGGGATATTTGGCCAATGAAAACTGATCCCATTTGAGAATTATCCTATCCAGAACCTGAAGTGTCTTTTATCGTTTTATTCTTCTCATCCCTGGCCCTCGCCCTAGCGATCTCAAGAAGGGCAACCCAGAGTACCTATTTTCCATGTCCGTCTTGACCTCGCCACGGAGCCTCAGTTGAAGGGACTGATAGTGCGGAGTTGGCAGGCGAGGCACTTGATAGTATCGACAACCTGATATATCTGGTTCTGACCCGTTGCCAAAGGACATTTGCTGCAGTCCCCATGAAAGCTAAGGTGCCAGCCGCAGCACTGCACGGCCGAGGACTGCATTGGTTCGCTGAATATCCACGGTTCGCCGGTTATGCGGTTCCACCACGGGCAATTGGGGTTGAAGACCAGGGCACAAGGACAGTACAGCAAGAACATGGTGACTTGGCACATGGTGCACCTCGTTGTCGCTGGGGCTAGTTGGGGATTTTCTGGTGGCCGATTCGGTTTTTCTGGCTTAAATTGAGGTGATGTTTTGAGAAGCAGTATGCGGTTTGCTGCAGTGATCTAGAAAGACCCGGAGTGAGCGGTTGTGTCTTGTTTCGGAGTTGTTTACTGACATTGGCTTGGCTCTGTAATACCGCTGTTTAACCTGGACTGTGGATATGTGATGGCCTTGAAATCATGATAACCATGTCAAAAAGATGCCTGGGTAAGGTACCTTATTCTGTTCGAAGGCGTTTGCAGCAGTGCTTCAGTCCGGCTTTCCCCCCACCCCCAGACCCATACGCTCTTTCCAACCCCACGATCAACAATGTCATTATCAGCACTCTCCTTTTGCCCTTCCCAATTGCCGGCGATGATAGCAGTCGAAGCAGGAGGACCCATGATATTACCGGAAAGTCTAACCATTCCCACTCTCCGTTTTATTATTGTCAGCGCGTCGCATAGCAGTTGACAGCGTGTACCCAGTAGTACCTATTCACCGTCTCGGCCTGCGAAGGAATCCTGCCGCGTGCACATTGAGCAATGTAACTCCATTTGCGGGGTACAAATGTGGCCGAGCGAGTGAAGGTGCCGGGCCTGCAGGGCGCCGTCCGTCAACGTCCAGTCGTTCAAGCAGCCAGAAAGATCCGTCGTCAATCCTCAACCACGCATCTATCTCCAGACCGTACTACTCATCCACACCAACGACCAACAAACCCCAAAATGCCGTCCCTCCCCACCCACGACTTCCAGTTCCTCCCCATCCCCAACTTCCCCGACGACCCACCCCCCCTCACCCTCTCCAACTCGTCCACCTGGACCTACTGCGGCCCCCTCCTCACCACCGCCCTCCCCTCAACCTTCCACACCTGGTCCGCCCAAACCCTCACCGGCACCGACACCCTCCTCCCACAACTCCTCCCTTTCCTCTCCGCAGCGCACGCCTTCCTCCGCGAGCACGGCTTCCAGCACTACTGGCTCACGGTGCGCGCCTCCCAAGCGCGCAGCAGCAGCAGCAGCAGCAGCACATCCGGCGGCATCGAAACGCAGCGGTGGCACACGGACGGCCACTTCTCCGATCTACCTGACCTGGACCTCGACCGCGACCGCGCCCGGGCAGGTCGCTGGAAGCTGCGCGCCACGCTGCAGGGCGTGAGCCCGCTGTTCGCCGTCGACGGCGCGCGCGCGCGGGAGGTGCTGCGCCGGGAGGGGGCGGTGCTGGGGTGCTATGGCATGGAGGAGTATCCGAGGAGTTGGAGTTTTGGGGTGCCCGGGTGGTTGGATGGTGAGGGTGAGGGTGAGGGTGGGAGTGATGAGGGTGAGGATGGGATGGGCAAGTTTTAGTTTTGTGTGGCTGGTTGGGTATTGCGTGGAGAGTTGTTGGGATCATATATGGGTCGTGGGCAGCAATGAGCGTGATAGAAAACGTGGTTTCAGAAGCTGAGGGAGGGTATCGAAGTACCTAACCTTCCGATCGGGGTAGGTTATCGGTCGCCGGTTTGGTTTGTAGTCTCCTGATAATGCTGGGTGTCTAGTAGTCCATTCCTCGTGCAGTGGTCATTCGTGAAGCGTATCGTCACTCATACCGGCAAACCACGATGACCCAGGTAGGTAGGACAAAACATGGGTGTGAGTTGGGTAGAATATTAGGTTTGAGTAGGTACTAACAGGTGGATAATGAAGGAGGATTTAAAAGATGGAAGCAAGTAAACAAATAGTATGTCGCATTTTGGCCGTGAGCATAAATATATTCAGGTAGGTTAGCACCCCGGAACGGTGACAGTCGGTTTAGGACTGAGGCTGATCCTTCAAACCGCATGGGCTCTAATCATGGGTATTATTCGAAAGGTAATTCCTGAAGCTAAACTGTGACTCCACACTCGTGGCGTGTTGGTCACATTTTACTGTCAATGTGATCGAGAATTCCGGTCGACTCTGTTCGGCGGTGACCATCGCCGTCGTATTCTTGCACTTGTTTGTGCATTTGGGGCAGTCGCAGATGTCCATTTCGGTCCCAGCCCCCTGGTCAGCTTCCTCAACGGCTTTCTCATCGACTTCAGGGTCGGCTTCCTGATTGTAAAGCTGATCAGCTTCCTCAATCGCCGCTTCCGTTTCCCTCTCGGCCTCCTCATCAATGATAGAGCTATCATCACTCTCCACGTCCGTAGTCTCGTCATCACTCTCGTCGTCCATAGTGTCCTCGCTGCCGGAAACCGAAGCTCTGACCTCCATCTCGGCGTCGATATCCCGCTTCATGCGGGCGCCGCAGGTATCGCATACGACGCTGCAAGTGTCAGAGTACCTGAAGTTGCCGGGCTGTCTCAGGGCCGGACACGTGATACATGCGCGGCTGTCGTGGTTGCGACAGCACACAAACTCGGACGGCGACCAAAGTGCGCGGTAAACGCTCGTGGGGCCATTTGGATTGTAGAACGGGCACAGCTTGTTCTGCATAATGGCCTCCGGGCAGAAGAAGCGGATCAGCGTGCCGGTACACATTTTGATTGTCCGGTGTTTGCGGTCTTTCTATGAGTGTACGTAGACTGAGGTTTGGGAGGCTTGATACAGCCCTGATTGCGATGTAGTATTATGTGTACTTGTCTTTTTAAATAGTTCACTAAGTCATGATGGTTTGAACACGGCCCTTCTCTTAACTGGGGCATGATCAGGGGCAGAGCGGCTGTTCGGGGGATAGCGGAAATAGACTCTGGATACCAGGATACTAAGACAGCGTTGGGAGTTCTTTGATTCATACCCGTGACATACGTAGCTGAGCTCAACGGTTCCCCTATACCCTAGATAAGTACCAAGCCGTATGCTGGGCCTAGGAGCTGGGGCCGTGCGGCTTCTGAACAACTCGGTACTCCAATAGTGAACAAACCTCTTTATGCGTAGGTAGGTGACTGAGGGACCTAGTCTTGGCTTTCAAGGTAGACTGCGCCCCTGTCTCGTCGCCTGTCCCACCTCTGATGAAGTAGTATCATCGGCGTACCGTTTATACGCCTCGATATACTTGTCACCCTCGCTCCACGTCGCCTTGACACTCTCCCTCTCCACCACAGCAGTGAACCACCTGTCCCACCTCGCCCACACCTCCTCATCCTCCCCCCTCTCCCCCTTCTTTGGAATCCCGACTCCGCCAGGCTTATAATGATCAATCAAAAACAACCTCTTCGCCCACGGCGCTAGCATGACATCCACCAAACTAAACCTACCCCCCAAAAACCACGGCCCATCCCCCCCACTCCCCGAATCCACCATCTCCTTCGCGAACGTCTTCAGCCCAGCCAACATCTCCCCCCTCGCCTCTTCAATCGAATACCCCTTTCCCTCGGTATGCTGCAGGAGCCGATAAAACGCCGGCACAACCCGCGCCGCAACATGGTTGATCCACAACCGACACCTCGCCCGCTCAAACACACCCTCCGGCATCAACCTCCCCCCATGCAACGCCTCATCCACGTACGCCTCGTCCAGATACTCGCAGACGACCGTGCTCTCGTACAGCACCCCCTTCCTCTCAGCGGCCCCACCACCAAGCCCACCCTGAGCAGCACCAGCACCAACACCAGCACCACCAGCCGCCTCCTCCCCAACAGCCAGCGTAGGCACCAGCCCCCGTGGATTCAGCTCCAAGAAGCCCTTTTCCTTGCGGTAGGGGTTGATCTCGACGTACTGGTGCGGGATGCGCTTCTCGACGAGGACGATCCAGGCGCGCTGGACGAAGGGGCAGAACCAGGCTGTTTCGTTGCGTTAGTATTAATCACTGTAGTGATATGCAGGGGATATGGGATTCTATTATTGACTGACCGCCGTAGAATTGCAGGGGATGTGGGGTGCTGTGGGCGGCTGCGAGGGTGGCGGCGCGGCCGGTGGTGTGGGGGAGCAGGGAGGTGTCGATTTTGGACATTTTGATGGAATACTTTTTCCTGGGTGGACTGGATTGGGGTTCTACTAATACTTAGATTGTGGTTGATGGGAGGTGATGTGTGAGGGTCGATTGGAGGTTGGTGGCATTGATGAGGCGGGAAACTGGGAAACTGCCAGTGCCAGTGGTGCCATGGACCGATGATGATGGGGAATGTGGGATGACCAGGAAGTCACGTGTAGAGTCAGGAGGGAGGGGCAGTGTATACCGAGTAAGGTCGGTGCCTATTGTCCGAAAAGTACACGGTATGTCAAAAAATCAATCATTTCAACTGTCCTCGTCGTGAATTGAAGCCATCCATTCTTTTGCATACACGGGTATTCATCGTCAACCAGCCATGTCTTCACCTCCTCCTCTCGATGTTCCCCGCGATGGTCCGAGTCCCGACGTCCGTCCGGACAAAGACCCTGCACAGTTAACGATTGAGGAATTCCGACGTTGTTTCCTCCATGGCTCAATCACCCCCTGGGACCACAATCAATACCTCCGCGCTGCTTACATCACGCTTCTCGAACCGGACAACCAGGAACGTGGCCTCCTTGACGTAGCAACCAAATTTGCAGGGAGGGTGAACAGTTTCAACCAGCGGAACTCTGAAGTTCAACGTGAGCCAGAATCGAGGTGTGTAGCTCAAGCTTAGCTTGGTGTAGCTGTAATACTAGAGTATTCGAGAGCACTAACATTATGTACCTACCTAATGTAGGACACTGACCGTTTTCTGGCTCTACCACATCAGGTTGGCCATGAAAGTAACACGCGCCTACCAGATGAATTATGACGAGTATTACAACTTCAAACGTCTCTTGCACTACATTCCGGAGATGGTGGATGAGGACTTGGCTACCGCCTATTACAGTCCGGACATCTTGGAGTCGGAGTACAGCAAGAAGTTCTGGATACTGCCGAATCTGCGTCAACTCATCGAGCCAATCGAGTACCCGGATCTCTCGTTCCGCGAGCGCTTCATAAAGAAGGACCCGGAGGACCCCGAGCGTCTGCTCCGATTTGCTTTTGACGTGGTACGGAGGTATCTCCGCCCAGGCGAAACCCGTCGCCGCAGTTGGTTTATCAACCTGGCCTTTGCTGCGTTACAGCAACAGACAATTCGACTCCGGTCCATGCGGCCGCAGGTCTCGCCCTACTCGGAGACGCAGTCATATTTTTATCTTCAACTGGTGCACGCTGCGCTATCGCAGCTCCTGGTGACCGGCGACGCTCAGCTCATTCAGGACCTCAGCTATCCCCAGTTTCAGGACACCTTTCACATCCTACCGTCAGCGTGGGACACCTACTACAGCGCGCCCCTGTGGGACAGCCTGAAATCCCGCGCGAGCTTCGTCCCCCCCGACCTGAGGCCACTCCCAGACACCATCCAACCCCCAGAAGTCTGGACCGGATCCCCCGACCGCAACGCTAGAGCGCGCTTCCACCACCTCGGCCTCATCCCCGAACTGCCCTCCCTCGAAACCCTCCACTTCCACCAAGCCATCCTCCTCGAAACCGCCAAAGCCCTCCCCACCACCACCACCACCACCACCACCACCACCATCCCCCCATCCGCCGTCACCACCCACGCCCACCTCCTCAAATACATCCACACCCACCTCATCCTCCCGCCCCTCCCCGCAGACAACAACCCACCCCCCACCCTCCTCACCCACCACCGCCACCTGCTCACAACCCACTCCCTCCTCCCCAAGAAACACATCACCTACTACCTCTCCATCCTGCGCACCCTCCAGCCGCCGTACACCCCGCCGCCGCCGGTCCGCTACCATAACTGCCCCTGTCACGCGAATGTGCCTATACCCTGGGGGTTTAGCCCCGACGCCGTCGACGCGTCGCGCGTGCATGAGCAGCGGCAGCGGCAGCAGCGGGTGTTTCATGGGTGTGCATGCCATGGGGGGCCGGTGGTGGGTGATGTGGGTGCGGACGTGGATGGGGGTGGGCAGGGGAAGGTGGAGGAGGAGGCGGGGGTTGGGGCTGATGAGGGTGAGAACGGGGATGTGGGGTGGCAGAGGGGGGTGGGTTGGGAGGAGTGGGTGAGGGGGGAGGGCGGGTTGGTGTTTTGTTGGGATGAGGCGTGGAAGGGGGTCGGGGGCCGGGTGGGTGGTGAGGATGAGGGAAAGGAAGGTAGGGGTGGAGGGGAAGAGGAGGGGGAAGTGGACGCGGATGAGAAAACGCTTCGTGGGGAGGAAGGTGAGAAGGAGGGGAAAGAGGGCAAGAGTGAAGGCGGAGAAGATGGTGATGAGGATGTGGATGCGGATGAGAAGACACTGCGTGGGGACGGCGGAGAGGAGGAGGATTGGGAAGTTTTGTCACAGGACACACTTCGTTAAGTAGAGGAGGTAGGTTGGTGGAACGGTTGCTAAAATGTTCTTGCGGTTGTATTCAATACGGGATTGATGCTCGACGTGCGAAACTAGGTAATTTCATATATCGCGAGCATTCCAAATATTACCACTCGTCCGTCCGTCCGGGGCAGTATCTCGAACGTGGTAATCATTACCTCGCATAACACCTTGGATGGGCTATATTTAGTGACAACACTGTCCACTTTAGGATTAGATAAGTTTCACGTCGGAAGGTAGAAGAGCGGCCTGCCGGCCCAGTTTGAAACGCGCGTTGTTATTGTCGGAGATATATCTAAACTGCAAGCCGCGAGGCTGTAGTCTGACAATCCCCCAAAGAAGACGAATCGCTGGCCAGCGAGTAAAAGAAAACAATCGAAAAGAAGCTGTCAGACGACACTATCGTTGCTTGTCCCCCATCCACCTTCTTTCTCAGGGCTGCCTCAGGCGTTGCAAGTGGTCGACGGGCGGTCACCGATGTTGGAGCATCCGCTCTGGCACTCCTCGACCCAAGCAACGGGCGCGCCGGCCTCGACGCGCCAGATGGAGTCGAAAACATCGACCGTGCCGTTGAGGCCCTCCAACGTCGCACGGGTGGTGCCTAGGTGGAACGGAACAAGGTCAGCATTCATCTTTCTTGACTTGTTTATTGTCTTGGGGTCACATACACGGGGTATCCGCTCCATTTCCTGAACCGAGGAGGTACCAGCCGCAGGAGAGGCCGCTGTCTGGGCAAGGGCGGTCCTGACGAGCGCTGAGGCCAGTGCGGGCGTCGACGGCCGCTGCTTGGGCAAGGGCCGCAGCGAGGGCAATGACGGTGGTGGCCTTGAACATCATTTTGGTGGATTTGAGGGGATTGTGCTTGGTTGAAGGGAAAGGTTTGAGATTGGGTTTTAGTTGAGTGTTGACTGTTGGGTTGTGGTGTTGGTGATGGGAGAGAAGCTGGGTTTGGGGTGTGGGAGAGGTCGTTCTTATAGACAAATGACTTGAGTTTCCTCCCCCTCGTGACTCGCCGGTCTCATGAGTCTTTCTCTTTCCGTAGGATCACTCCCTAGCTGTGGCCGCCAGGTAGGAGGCAACGTGACAACGCAGAGATGCCCTGCACACGTTGGTGAGAACCATAACTTTTGGTTTCTGGCACTCGAAGCGGTCACACTCCGGCGTATTACTTTGTGCTCGAGGGATTCTGACAGTCCTGGCTCGTCCCTGTCAAACTCTTATGGAATGCTTGCAAGTTTGGGAATCACATCAAAAAGGGAACAGCCGGCAGTTTCAACCGGTGATATGACACCCAATCCGGTCCTGTGCTGTATGCGTATTGTGAAGTCGCTGTGACGACAAACAGGATACACAACCTGTGGGAACTGACCGATGATTACTAGGCCGTCTCGACTTTGAATAGCCTATACTCTGGGCCCCTCGGAAACACTCCCGCGTGTCTATGGTTGGGGGGCGGAGGTTGGACATGAAGGTCAGCATGACCTCAAACTCCGTTCGTGTCACGCCGACAACTCAGCCTTGTCTGAGGGAGGGAGGTCTGACAGGGTGTTTTGAGCAAGAGGAAGAAGAACGAAGGAATGTGACGGGAGGCGGGTATCAATGCATTACGCGAAGGCTTGCTCGAACCAAAACCCAGACAATGCTCTACCAGACACCACCACCTCGTCTATGTAAGTAATTTGTTCGCTCAAGAAGCGGCACTTTGACAACATACCAACGAGGAATTACAACACCACTCCTAACCCTCTGTTTGGAAGGTCCAAGACCTCGCTAATGGTACTTGATAGGGGGGCGGGCTGGTAGCGTAAGGGCTTGCAGTCGCCACGGAATAACCTTCACTCCCATCTCCCGTCATCCCGCGCTGTCCTACGCATACTCAGCACCCTGCGTCGCCAGACTTCGGTCAACAACTGGTTACCAAACATCAACAGTCTTGGCATAAGCCTCGTGTGATCCGTTCCCGGTTTGTCCGGCTTCTGGTCAGCTTGGCCGGCTTGTTTTGTGTAACCCGGGGAACCAAGACCTGTCCCGGGAACCGGGTTCCAGAATACCCAACAGTTTGGCTCAGAAGTCAGTGGTGGATCAATGGGAGTTCGGAATGTATACTACGTAACAATTAAGTGTCGGTGTGACGACTTGATGCCACCCTGCAGGGACATGGGATGACTGTCATCCTATTTTGTCGCCTGGTTTCGAGGGAAAGGGGGAGGCGGATATGCATCCCTCCCTAAATCTCCGTTTCTCTGTACGCCCCGAACAAGTTTAAGCCTTACCAACCAATCGCCCGGGTATCCTCACAACACATAACGATATGTGAGAGCTTTATCACCCCTTTCGGACAGCTCCTGCGGGGTATACGAGTCCAGGGCACCCTCCTCGATCCTTCTCGCCCGCTTCTTGTTCTCTGCTGTGTAACCCAGAACCAAAATTAACGAAGCAAGGAGCCCCGCGCCGATAAAGCCGAGTTCCAGCCCATGGCCTAACATGTACCGGGGAGCGTCCCGGGCGCGGTAGAAGTTGGATGCCATGGCCTGCGAGCCAGTAGTCAGTCAGCACGGTTCTTATGCATGTGCGGAAAGACATGCGGTACTCACACCACCCAAGTTGCCCACACCAATCTGCACCGCCATTCCGACCGACCTCTTGAGCGAACCAGACAGATTGTTTGACAGCCAGGCGATGACGCCCGGGAAAGCCGGGTAGATTGCGCATGCGGCCACAAACACACCGGCATACACGACACGTGGGTGCTCCTTGGGATCCGTGGCGATGCACATGGAGAAGCCGGCCGCCATGACAAGCAGGAAGCCGACGATAAACGGACTGCGCTTGCCGACCCTGTCTGAGAAATAGGCAGCCACAACGGCGAGAACGGCAGCAGTAATGTAGATCGGGACTGTCATGAGCTGCGCCTGGCTGCTTTCGTATCCCAGATGCCGAATAATGGTTGGGAGGAACAGCGAGATGCCATACAGGGGGCAGACGACCTGCCGAGTGTCAGAAATTCCGCCGGAGTGAAAGGGGCAAGTTGGGGGCCGCTTACGCCCCAGTAGACAAAAATGTTGACCCAAATCTGCCAGTCGAGGAACGCATCCTTGACATACTTCCATCGAAACTCGTCGGCCTGAGCAATCTGGGTGCCATTTTGGTTGTGATTCTGGCCCTGGTACTTGAGTCGATAGATGACAAAAGCCCGCTCCTCTTCGGTGAGAAAACCCGCCGTCTCAGGGAAGTCGAACAGGGCGAAGAAGGCGATGGCGGCAACGATGACAGTGGCAATTCCTTCCCACGAACGCCACCATTAATAACATTTCGGGGATAATAGTAGAAGGAGTTTTGGGGGCTAACTAACCTTCAAGGATGAAAATCCACTGCCAGCCATGCAAACCCCCAACCTGGTCCATCTTCCCAATGGCAAACGCTAGCAGCCCGCTGAACGCGCCCGCGACACTGGCTGCGCTGAAGAACATGGCCTGCCTGAGCTGGATTTCTTCCCGCTTATACCAGTTCGTCAAGTAATACGCCACACCGGGGAACAAGCCCGCCTCGGTCACTCCTAGAAAGATGCGCGCCGAGAGGAGACCGGCATAATTATGGACGATGCCCATCAGGGTCATGACGATGCCCCAGGCGACCATGATGGCGGGTAGCCAAACGGAAGGCCGGACCTTCTTCAACATGAGGTTGCTTGGCACTTCAAAGGCGGCGTAAGTGAAGAAGAATGCCGTTAGGCACCAGTTATACTGGTCGTCTGTTATGTCAAGGTCTTCTTGTAGGCCTTCGATCTTGGCGTTGCCAATGTTCCCACCTGTTTAACCATTGTCAGTGCAAGGACTGGCCTGCCGCAAGGAGGCGATCGTACGGTCGAGGAAGGAGAGGAGGTAAAGGAGGGCGAGCATCGGAATCAGTCGCATATCCATCTATGTCGGGCACGTTAATATCATGCGGAAAGACATGGTACATCAGCTGCCAGCTTACCTTTCGCAGGATCTTCTTTTCATCAAGATGACCAAACGACTGGAGCGTTGTCGGCGGCACAGCTGTCCTGTCGAGCTGCTCAACATCGACCTTGTCGTCCGACTGCGATCCCGGGAGATCGGCCTTCTCAGTCTTGCTCCCCATCTTGCCGTCAACTAAAGGGGGTGGGTGTATGCGTGTTACAGGCAGTAGCAAGGGAGGGAGACAGAACGCGCATCCAGAACCGAATCGTGGATGGCCCGTCTTCGCCCTCTTAAAGCAAGCTGCAAACCCCAAACTAACAATCCACTACCGGTGATACCCAGTGATTAATAGCGAGTCAAAACCCTTGCCAACTCTCAACGTCACTTACACAGTTCTCCAAATCGAACCCACCTCCCCACACGACACCAGTCCCCCGCGCGCATCCACGCCCCTCCCCCCCGCAGAAAGTGCACCATAGCACCACAGAAGACATCCCGAGTCCACTTCCCCGCAAACTCGCCCCCCGCAACCCCGAGGTGCAAGCATCAAGGCCCCGCGAATCTAGGCCCAGAGGAGCCAAGATCGTCGCATGTTTGGTGCAAACTGTACCCGGTTGGCAGGCTCTGCCCTGTTTCAACCTCGGCCGAACCCTATTGCCGGTGTTGCTTCGGGTATGCCGTCATGGGTTCGGTGCGGAGAAGAAGCATTTGCCAAGGGTTTTGGACCTGCTGTCGTTGTTCAAGAGGGAGGCACGGGAGGGTAAACCGGGGAGAAGGGAAAGACAATTGGTGGTTTTCGAGTCGAGATCTGGAGATTCGTCCCCCCGATCTTGGATAACCACTCGTCGTTTCCCGCGGCCGATGGCAAGGTTTGGAAACGGCCATGAAATGTGCGTGTCGGGTACTGGCCCGGATTTGTTCTAGGCCATAGACCGTGGTCTGAAGCCGAGCTTAAGCGGTGCGGAATCGTAGAAGGCCATTCTGCTACCACCTTCCTTCCCAAGATGCGATATCTGGTGTCGAGCTATTCACAACACTCCGTTACCGGGAGGACATTCCAGCTCCACCCTCGCGGTATCGTTCAGCCCTTTACTGCCACAAGTTCGACGTCTCCGCCAACGGCTCGGAAAGGATGGCAAGGAGTACGAATAATGCACTGCACAAACCTCGCCGTGGTGCAATCTTAAACAACCTTGAGCGCGGTAAGTCCCGAAATGCCACGGGTTGGAGCCAGACTTCATGGCTGACCTGTGGAGTTGTAGCGGTGTTGGATTTCGCTTCAAAGACCCATTCGCATCTGATGTGCTAGCAGGAATGCGATTCCCTAGGACAACAAAACCCAGTCCCTTCTCTCGGAACTTGATATCTTCTTGCTTTGTAAGCCGGAGAGCAGCCCGAAGTAGCAAAATTCCCCGTTATATATCAGAACCGGTAGTTAGGGCTGCTTAAAAACGAAGTCCTCGAGTTCCCGGAAAGCTTTATCCAGATCATCGTTGATAATGACTTTGTCGTGCACTCCCGTTTCCGCGTACGCCAGCTCAGCCTTCGCCTGCGTCAATCTCTTCTGAATGCTCCCCTCATCCTCGGTACCCCGTCCCCTCAGCCTTGCCTCGAGCGCTTCAAAGCTCGGCGGTTTGATGAAGATATATCGTGGGTTGATTTGGGAATCCGCCTTGGACTGCGCTTGCTTCAATTGTTTGGCCCCTTTCATCTCGATATCAAGCAGGACAACCGATCCTCCCGCGGTCTGGTCAATGATCGTCTGCTTGCTAGTCCCATACAGATTGCCGTTGAACTCGGCAAACTCGATGAAGGCACCCCCGGCAATCAGGGATTCGAATTGGTCCCGTGAGACGAAGTAATAGGCTGAACCCTCCACCTCGCCGGGTCTGGGTTGGCGAGTGGTGTGGGAGACGGTACTTGCGAATGTATCGGGATATTTGTCCAGGAGCCTCTGAAAGAGTGTGCCTTTTCCGACGCCCGAGGGCCCGGAGATGACGATCGGCCGGCGTTCTGTGGGGACTGCAACAAACAGACAAGTCAGCAAAAAGGTCCATTCGAGCCTTGAGTAGCAAGAGGCGGCTGGAGGGAAGCATACCACGAGCCATGAGGATTCAATTTGTGTGTGTGGGCCCGAGGATGCGTGTAGCAGAAGTTCGTTGGGACTTTGTGTTAAAGAGGGGAAGTGGTTTGGGTTCATGTTGGGACAGGGGTTAATAGTGAGTCCCCTGCCCCTCGTTCACCCAAAACGAGAATGAGTGAACGGAAAAAGAAAAAGAAAAAAAAGAAAGGAAAACAAGGACAACGGAAGAGAAAAGGGGAAAATAACTGCCCAAGAACAAGGAATAGCATAGGGGAATAAGAAGCGGTAATGCAATAACAGTTATCATTAGAGAATTAGATCACCATCACCACTCCCGCGGCAGACATCAAGCCATCAAATCGTCCAAAACCTCGAGTACCATTCGCACTCGTGCAAAAGCCACCACCTCACCCCTTCCACGGCACCCCCCTCTTCTTACTCCACTGATGCCTATCCCCAGCCACCCGCCTCTTCTCCTCCCACAACCTCCCACTCAGCTGCTTATACACAAACGCGTTCTGCCCGTTATACCGAATGCTGTGGTCCGAGTCCGTAAAGTACGTCACGTCCAACTTCTCCGGGCCAACCCCAGCACCCATCAACAAATCCCCCAGCGCCACACTGTTCTGCAAATGCACATTATCATCCCCGGTCCCGTGCTGCACCAAAAACGTCCCCCTCAACCCCTTAAACCCCTCCACCCGACTGACCGCCGACGCATTATACCCCCTATCATTCAACTCCGGCGTCTTCATATACCGCTCCGTATACATAGTATCATAGAACCGCCAATCCGCCACCGGCGCAGTCGCCAACCCAAACGCAATCGCCTCATCCCCCACCTCCACCACCTTGGCCGTCAAATACCCGCCATAACTCCACCCCCAAATCCCCATCCTCTCCCCATCCACCCACCCATTCTCCCCGGCCAACAGCTTCGCCGCCCAGATCTGGTCCTGCGCCTCCAACTCCCCAAGGCGGCCCGCCACCGCGGCCCGGAACGCCCGCCCGCGGAACCCCGTCCCGCGGTTGTCCACCGTCAGCGTGACGTACTCGAGCTCCGGGTCCGACGCGACGTAGGCGTTCCAGTCGAAGGACTGCATCGCCTTGGTCACCTCCTGCGCCCCCGGGCCGCCGTAGGGGGTGAGCAGGAGGGGGTATTGTTTGGTGGCGTCGAAGGTGGCGGGCAGGCGGAGCATGGCGCTGAGGGAGAAGCCGGAGGGGTGGGGGAGGTCGAGGTAGGTGATGTTGGGGAGGCGGTAGGATTGGAGGGTGGTGTGGAGTTTGGTGTTGGCGTTGATGGTGCGGATCGGGGTGGTCGGGTCGGTGGTGCTGTAGAGTTCTTGGTAGGGCACGTCTGGGCCGGCGTAGCGCAGGATGTAGTACCCGCCCGCGGAGGAGAAGGAGGCCGTCCAGACGGCCGGGGTGGCGGGGTCGACGAGGGGGGTCTTCTCGCCGGTGAGGTAGGAGACGGAGTAGAGGTGCCGCTCGGTCGGGTGGTGTTCGGTGGAGGTGTAGTAGACTAGGCCGCGGGCGGTGTCGACTTTGAGGATGGACGCGACTTCCCACTCGCCCGAGGTCAGGGTGATGTTGGAGCTGCCGTCGAGGGTGAAGAGGTAGAGGTGGTTCCAGCCGGAGGCGTCCGACAGGTCCAGGTAGTACCGGGCTTTGGGGTCGTCTGTCTCGGGCTCGTCGTTGCCCTTGCCCTTGCCCTTGCCCTTACCCTTCCCGTCACCGCGCTTGCCGTGGCCGGACTCGCGCTCGACCTCACCAATGTAGGCGATGGCCTGGTTGTTGTCGAGCCAGCCATCCGAGCCATCCCGTTCCCGGGTGATGGTCGACTCCTTGGTCTCGGCATCCACAGTTACCAGCTTCTCGTGGTCTTGCACACGGTTGAACGCGCGGTAGATGAGCGTGTCATGCGCCTCGGTTACCCAGGAAACCTCGCCAATGATCAAATCATCCGCCGGCCAGGCATCGATAGAGACGGGGGAGACCGACTTGGTCTTGACCTCCAACAAGCTGAGAGCCACGGTGGGGTTCTTGGTTCCGACCTTGGGGTAGCGCAGCTCCAACTCGCGTGGGTAAGACGGGGCCACCTTCTGGTTGTCCATGTAGTACGGGATGGTGAAGGTTTTAACACCCGTCTCGTTGAAGCTCAGGAAGGCAATGTACTCTCCGTCGGGCGAGTACCACAGCGCGTTGTTGGTGCCGAAGATCTCCTCCTCATACACCCAGTCCGGGATAGCGTTGAACATATCGGGGCCGCCATTGTCCGTGATTTGGCTGACCGTGCCTTGGTCCCAAATGAACAGGTTGTTCCCTCGGACGAATGCGATCTCGGACGAGGACGTGGGGTTCCAAGTCGCGTACTGGATGTCAGCCTCGGAACCCTCGATCAGCGACTCGGTCTGGCCCGTGGCCACATCCTGCACCAGGTAGCTGGCAAAGTACGAGTGCCGGTACTGCTTGGTGTAATTGACGGCCCAGAGGATCTTGGAATAGTCGGACGAGATCTGATAGTCCCAGAAATCGGCGGGGATTTTATCGGCAGACAAGAACGTGGTCTTGTTTCCACTCACGACGTTCTCGAAAACAAAGGACCCATCCTCGCCTCGAGTGATGAAGTCGCCGTCCTCACCCGAGTTGATCCATGTCACGGACGTGGTGGACACGGAGAGCTCCCCGGGGCTGCCGGTCGTGATGTTGTAGGTCAGCAGTTTTGTGCCATTGCCGGAGGGCTGATGAGGGAACCGAGGAGGTTCAATGGCAGTTGCCAACACGGCGGCGACGCAGAGTGAGAGAAATCGTCGCATCGTGACAGTCCCCGTTGGAGCTTGAAGGGAGGTGATGAGGGGAAGTTACCGAGTTGGGGGTAACACGGCTGATCTGTGGTCAACTTTATTTACCGATCTTCGTCTCCTGCCCAGATTGGAAGCCCGGTTATTCACCCGCTGTCGGCAGGTCAAGAGGTGGCTGGCCATGGCACTGATAGAATGAAGCCTAAAGGGGAAGGTGGTGATTCGGGGAGTGGATTGCCAAGATGGAGAACCCCGGTGTTGTTCGCACGCAATCAACTGCTGAATGGTATCGGGTTCTGGTTTGCTGGAAGAAAGCGGTCTTAGCTCAACTTAATGTAAGGGGTATGGTTCCCGTGATGGGCTCGTAGCTCGGGGGAAATGCGTGAACTTTGTGGCTCTAACTTGACTTGACCACTGTGTAAGTTAAATAGGTACTATTAGTACCCAAAATAACTTACCAAATTATCCGTAACACTCGACGAAAAACAACAAACCCTAACCGTGTTCCATAGTAATAATACATGCAAACACCACACCAACCCACCCCCAACTAACGCTCCCCCATCTTCACCCACGGCGCAAACACATTCTTGCCACCCCCCTTCTCCAACGTCGCCCTCAACTCAGGAAAATGCCTCCCCAACACATCCCGCATCCCACTATCCTGCACCCACCTGAACCCAACCTTAGTATAAGTCCCCTCCCCCCACTCCCCAGCCCCCGCAATAAACCGATCACTCTTCAACCTCCTCGACGCCATGACAATAAACACCCTAAACGCCGTCTCGGAGAACCCAAACCCCTCAATCACCGGCTCGGCATGCGACCCCACCAGCGCATCCACCATCTCAATATCACCTCCATACGCCTCCCTCAACTCATCCGCACGCTCCTTATCCCCACCCGTCAGCTCCTCAAAGGTGGTGGGCACCGACATGCGCAGCAGCCGGCGGAAGGCGCAGTAGCGCGGCACGCCGCGCTCGCGGTCGCGCAGGATGTCGATCGTGCCGAGGTCGCGGGTTTGCCCGTCGGGCGTGGGCAGGTTGCGCAGGAAGGAGGGGTAGTTGTTGGCGGTGATGGCGCCCGGGTGGGACGTGCCGAAGGAGTAGAAGGCGTCGGGGAAGGTGAGCGTGTGCGAGCGGAGGGGCTTTTGTGCTTCTGTCGGTGGGGGTTAGAAAAAGGGTTTGGGGGGTTAGAATGGAAGGTTGGGGTGGTTGGGGGGTGGGGGCTTACGGGAAAAGGTCATGGAGGCGACGGGGATGGTGCGGATGTGTGCGCCGGTGGTGGCTGAGTGGAAGGCGATGTCATCTGCATGAGGAGGTTAGCCAGAGAGGGCTTGGGTGAGGAAACAACAACAAAAACCCGTACCTGGGATCAGCGAGTGCATCCGGTACACGGAAACAAACTCCTCCGTCAGCGAATACGGGATGCCGTCCTGCTCGGCGCCGCTGCCGGGGATGCCGCTGATGATGTCGCTGGTCTTGGAGATGCGGCCGAGCATCTTGGTCAGCCTCTCGCCCACGATACCCCACCAGTTGGCGTTCATTCCGATTTGGAGGGCCGGGTGCGCGAGGATGGCCGGCGTCCACTCGACGGTGTGGATCTTGGCCATCAGAGCGCAGTTGACGAGGCGGGCTTTGTCAAAGATTTGGTCCCTGGGGCATATGTCAGCAAGAAGCACATTTGCACAAGACACGAGAAGGGACCTACCCGGTCATGTCCGGGTACGCCGCTTTTAGGGCATCGCTAATGGCGTTGTGCTCCAGCGCGAAAAGGGTGTGTAACATCTCCATGCCGATCCACCAGTTGTCGTGGAAGCCGGTAAGGGGATTGCCATCCTTATCACGCGGGAGAAACGAAACAGCACCGATCTCATCGAGCGCAAGCTTGCCATCCGGCAGCTGATTGCGCAAAGCTTGAGTGGCTTCCTCGCTGGACCCGTAGATCTGCGACCCGTCCCACCAAGCTGTGTTCTCGTTTCTGTACCCGGGGCACTTGATGTCGGATGGGTCTCGGATTTCGTCCGGCTTGGTTCGGAATAGCTCCATGTGGGGATGCGGCCACGAGTCGCCACCCTCTGGAGCAGGTACGTTGAATTTCTCTTCACTCTGGCCCGTGTCAGCGCCATCACTGGTTTAGATCCCGGAGTAACCACACTCACCTGCACATGGTTGAACCAGTCATGGATCTGGAACTGAATCCAAGCCGCGGCCAGCATGTTGAGCGTCGTAGCGGGGATGAACCGTCCGTCACGTCGCGCCATAAACTTCTCGCTGATCATGCGCGGATTGGGCGTCCAGAGCTCCTCCTCGGTCGGCTTTTGGGTCAGGTGCCGTGGAAAGTTGCGGCCGAAACGCATGCCTCTGCATCCCATCAGGGGCATCTCAAGGGAGTTGAACTTGCCATCCGAGTGGCGGGCTCCGCGGTACCGTTCATCCGGTAGCGGGTTATCATTCGCGTTGCCCTGGGCTTCTGCGGAGGCATACCCATCATGCAGGTTGTATTGCCGGAGCTCGATGCGGAGGAAGGCCAGGTTAAATGCGCCGATGAAGCCAGGGAGCTTATACCAAGGTACAGCCTTGTTGAGGAGTTTGAAGGCGCCAATGCCGATGCGCTCCAGAAAGCTGGGCGTGAAGGAAGGGAGTATCTCCTCCTCTTGGTTAGGCTTTTGTTTGGCGTCACCAGAGGTTCGAATACCGTTGGAGTGCCCATTGGTTGAAGTCATGATGAAAGCTTCCGTGTACCAAAAGGAATGAGAACATGCGGAAGGCGACCATCCCAAGGCCCAAGGCAACGAAGGCTCAGTGTATGTACATATATGCCCGGCCTAGGGTCACCCGAGACGTCGCAGCCGGTTCCCGGTTGCCGACCGAGCAGTCATCTCGCGCCAATTTTTCCGTAAGCCACACCTCATTCGCCGAATACCCGGTTCTCAGCGTGTTTGTCTCTCTGTGCTACCCTCCTGTTGGGACTCATCCGAGTGTGGTTGGTGCTTGGGCACTTTGGGTTCCCGAGAGGCGGAGTCCAGGCCACTCGGACGCAGATCTTATCCCATGCAAGACCAACATCCGACACACAGAACACGGGAGCTCATTACGCAGTAGTCTCATCATCAGCTTATCACCAACACGCCCACGTTGGATCCACCATGCATGGCTGCGGCAGTGCCTGACAGCGCCCGTCATCCCTGTCGTTAGTTGGCCGTTAATGGCATGCACATCATGTCACGTTCTCACAGGGCTGACCTTGGTCAACCAATTGTTCTCGCTCTGGATGATGCTCTTTGTGGAATTTGCTTGGCAGGTGGGAGGACACTGGTTCTGCAACGAGGCTGACGTGAGAAGAGCAGAATCATTACGGGCATGTGCCACTTCCTTGTAACGGGGAACGAGTTTCTGACGTACTCGGTCTAGCCAGCTGAGAGACGACCAATGTCATGCTCATGGAATATCATGTGCGAGGTTGAAAGTCTTGTTAGGTTGTCCAAAGCCACAGCGAGGTAGCTGCTAGGCCACCCAACCCGTGAGATGGTTGGTCCCACTGAGCAAGCCGTTAGTAACCAGAGTAATAAAGGCTGAGTGAGACCAACCCTGGGTGTGTTGTTGTCATCGCCCGGATGTAAAGGCATGTGTACCTCTCGGCCTCAATGTCTGTTTTTAACTTGACAAGGAGCCGGGTAAGTTCTGATGGAGGTCAAAAGCTATAACACTGCTGTGCTCGTTTGGGATTGTGCTGTTTGGGCAAACAAGAAACTAAAACCGGTGAGGGAAGCGAGGATCGATAGTATAAGGCCCAGTATAAAGAATGTGGATGAACGAACGATACCGCCCCTTGTGTTCCGGGACAATGTAACATCAACAACTACGACATGGCGCACGTGCTGGTTTAGAGAATAATACACTGGTTTTCCTCTTCAAGCATACCAGTAATCTAGATCCTACGGATACAATACCGGAGGGCCAGGGTAATGGATGAGCTCACTACTATATCATTTACATATTCGCACTTGGGTTTAAACCTGTCTTCGTTTCTGGGCTCACTGGGTGTCGTGTATTAGTGGAGTTCTGGGAACCCTACACTGATTTTGTCTTCCTCTTTCTTTTTTTTTTTTTCCTGCTCTTTTTCTTACTCTTTTTCTTACTCTTTTTCTTTCTCTTTCTCTTTTCTATTTCTCTTTTCTATTTCTCTTTTTTATTTCTCTTTTTTATTTCTCTTTTTTATTTCTCTTTTTTACTTCTCTTTTCTATTTCTCTTTTCTATTTCTCATTCTAAGAAACTAGAAGATACCTATATATAGAAGTCGAACCCCGCTAAGAGTCAGACTACACCATTGAGGACTTATACTAATTATACCGAGTATTATATGAAGGGGTCGCTCTCTAAGACTCGCCCAGAAAACGAATATCCTCAATCTTCCCCCCCGAAGTAGCCTTGATGCTTGCAAAGACGTCTTCGATGGCCGTTACATACGCGAACCATCCACGGGACTGGCCAGGAGACTGTCCTCTAAACAATAACCCCACCGCGCGTCCATCTTCGTCCCAGACAACAGATCCAGAGTCGCCCCAGCGTGCAAATTGCGAGCCGTCCGCGCCGATGAACATGAACTCGGTGGACCGGATATCCACGTTGCGCCCTTGCATGTATTTTTCCTCCTTGATGACACAGTCAGCTTTGAGGGCGTCAAACTCGCCAATCGTGCATCTTGTCGAGGCGCCAACCTTGTAAACCAGATCGTCTTTCTTCATCTCGTGGAGAGACCTGGTACCTTGTCGCGGTGATGTGATACTGCCGCCGATACATCTAGGGTATCCCCTCATATACTCTGCATTCCGCCAATCCTCCATGGTTGGGAGCAAGTTTTGCCCGACGCGGCCGTCTTCCGCTGGGGAAATCAGCGCCCAATCCAATCTCCCATTTTGGGAGGTCCGTTGCAGGTACCCCGAAGCAAAGCAGACGCTTCCGAGAATGTGCTTCTGGTTGTTGAAGAAGGCTAGCCACCCTTTCTCTCGGGCCTCCATGTCGGCTATGCGGGCTGTAACATGATTTAGTCCCTGTCCAAGTTTTTTTTCTTGGGCGCGGATCTCCTCCTTCACCGCATCTCGATTCAGCTTAACACTGAAGTTCAGCTTCGCCCGAGTCGGACTCTCCACCTGTACGCGCTGTCCGGTTCCATCAGTCTTCAACCCCTGTCTGTCTGCCTTCCAAAGCGCTGTGTCTTTCTCTGCAGTGCCTGAAATCGGCAGCTCTTTGCTAGTAAGGATGATATGATACCCAGGCAGGCAAGGTCTGACAACGTGGTAATTGGTCAGACCTACTATTTCCCAGCCACGGTCCTGGACCTTGATCTCTAGCCAGCAGCCTAGCGTGCCGACCACAGGATCCGCGAGTTTGTGGTCCCTAAGGTGAGGGCTCTCTTCGCTAAGGATGCTGGCCGGAGGATTCGCATGTTCGTCCCCCTTGGGGGGGCTCTTGCCTTTGGGGACGTACGTGCATGCGCCAATATCGGCCCCAGCATTGACTTTGGTCTCCAGTTGTGCCGGTAAGACCATGCGGAAATGGGACTTCTTGTCAATCACTTCGGCCTTTGCAGTTGGCTCTGTGCTGAGAAGAAGGGGGAAGTCGGCCAAAGGGCTTGGAAAATTGTGTTCCATATGGGCGTGGAGGTCGAAACCGTAGCCATCGAGAAGGGATTGTATCTCTGCCAAGACGGGAGGCCATCCGGTCTCTGCCGAATCGTAAGATAGAGAGATGTAGACCGTTTTGGGGTTGTCAAACAACCAGTCAAATCCTAGCTTGAACAGGGCAATGCATGTCATGCAATCGACCGTCGCGGGGGAGCTCTCCAGAACATGGCGGATCCCTGCCTTGATCTCGGGCCAGACTGCTAGGATCCGAGGGTACATATCGTCATCGTCAAGGGATGACAGGTACTTTTCTCGAACTAGGTCCTTCCAGATCACCTCAACACTCACCTCAAGTGAGCTGGCGCCTGGCGTGTTGGCAATCCGTTTATCTACATAGTCGTGACCGAACCTGTTAGTGAAAGTCGAAGAAATAGCAGACGCTTACATACCGATGTATCTTTTCATCTCCTCGACAAGAGTTTGCCAGGGACCAGCTGAAATTTCCGCCCAGTTATCCATGGCGATGAGGAGCGTGGGCAAAGAGTCCAGCGGGTCATAACGAGAGACTCGTGATGTGATCTCGACCCAAGCGATCAAGTTTCGCAAGTCAAGACGCGACGCTACCTCGAAGACCTTTTGCTCAAACTCGTTGCCAAAAATCTCATCAATGAGCAGTTCAGCTGCTTCGTGCCGGACATTGTCAAGTGGTAGCGAGCGAGGCGGAGTCATAACGCGGGACTGCACGTTCAAGATGCCAAAGGTACCAAGGGGGCCGTCGGACGTGCTTGTAGGCTGGGGACGGCACCCTTGGGTGGTGGAGCTTTGGGTGGTGGAGCTTTGGGTGGTGGAGCTTTGGGTGGTGGAGCTTTGGGCGGTCGACATGATGGGTGTTGTTTGTTCGCTGGGTTTGGGGCACTTCGGGACTCTTGTTATTGTGAGAGCAGCAGCCTTGTGTCAAATGATCCATGGTGGTTGGTATTTATCAAAACTCATGTCGAGCGCGTCATTGTCTCGCCACATCCTGCGGTCCAGATGAAATGATGAACATATAAATTATTCCATGGCAGAACTGATCGCCCGCCATTATCTCTATGTTATGAACATATGGGTCTCGGTCAAACAAAGCTAATTAAGGCTCGCTTACCTTGGGTTACGGGCAAACCTTCCATTCCTTCGTTCACCCTAAACAAAGCGAACGGTCTCTGCGGCGTTATACAGCCCGCGTCCGACTCCGACAACCCCACTATGAAGAATATAGACACCCCGTGTTAATGGCCTAGAGGAGTAAGAAGATGGTGGATCTGGAATGTGCCATTGGCCGCTTTTTTATTCGGTTCTCTCAACTATACAGATAACCCTACCAAAAGAATTGGCTCACCGCCTTCCTGATTCCAGTGGTTCTGCTTAGCAGAAAAAGGCCCATAGCCACTAACAGTTTAACGGGCGGTGAGCCAGTTCTTTTGGTAGCGTCATCTGTACCAGCACCTCTTAGACATAATAGTATGTTAGTCCTATCCTCGGTACCGAGTGGAGTCTACCTCTGGGCGAAATTCGACTTGAACATTGGCTTTATCTCAAGAAAGAGGGGATTAAACTCGAGGAATCGCAATGCGAGGTTCATCGTGTCGGGAACTAAACTTTTCTAAGGTTCTCTAGTCTGGGACCCTCCCTACAGAGTACAGTACCTATCTTCCCCTTTAAGAGCAGGAGAAGAGGAGATAAATAACCTTTGATTTAATACGCGAAGAGCCCCCTGAGCTGAGGAACCTCTCAGGACTCCAAATACAACTCCCAAGTTAATAACAATAACAAAAGTGAAACTCCCGTCCGCTCACAGCTAGATGCCGGAAACCGCATAATACACCCCTTCGTCTGGCTCACCCACCCCGTTTCTACACCCCCTTTCACACCCACTTCCACACCCCCTTACACACCCCACCCCTCCTCAATGGTATAGTCTGCCTCTTAGCGGGGTTCGACTTCTATATATATATCTTCTAGCTTCCTAGAATGAGAAATAGAAAAGAGAAATAAAAAAGAGAAATAGAAAAGAGAAAGAGAAAGAGGAATTGCAAGAGAAATAGCAAGAGGAATTGTAAGAGAAATAGCAAGAGAAATAGCAAGAGAAAGAAAAAGAAAAGAAAAAGAAAAGAAAAAGAAAAAGAAAAAGAAAAAGAAAAAGAAAAAGAAAAAGAAAAAGAAAAAGAAAAAGAAAAAGAAAAAGAAAAAGAAAAGAAAAGAAAAAGAAAAAGAAAAGAAATGCTAGTATAGCGGGAAGGAAAGAGATATAACATTTAATATTCAATATTATTAAGTAACTAACTACCGTAGCGGGAAAATCAGCTAGGCGGCATACCTTACCGGGGCCAACATACCTTGCTACAGCAACATGCCTTGCCAGTTCAACATGCCTTGCTACGCCTCCCCACCAAATGGAACATCGTTGCTTCCAACTCAGCACAACTATATATCCTCTCGCAAAGAAGGAGCATCAGTCATCATTCAAATCCAGCTTAGTCAAGTCAGTAGTTCAATTGATCATTTTTCCTCTCTTCGCGTGTGCCCTCTGTTCGATTCGTGATTGTGCCCATTTCTCTTCGTGCCGTAATTCAATGTTCAAGTCCTTGGTGGTTGAGTGCAATTGATTCAGGGGCTTCAGAGCCTCAATATGAATAGGGGTTGCCAAATCTTTTGGAAAAGATGGGGCCGGTTGGCAAGGCATGTTGAATTGGCAAGGCATGTTGCTGTGGCATGCAAATCAATTGGGGCATGCCTTTCTAGCGCTAACAAGGCATGCCACCCCCTATAGAACCCCGCTGCGGTATCTTACTCTTAAAATCGAAACTATAATGCTAATATTACTATCTCCTCTCTTTCTTATCCTATCCTATATTCTTTTCTAATATCTATACCTTCTATCTACCTAGATACTCTATCGTCTCAAGATATTTTCTACTACTCCTTAGCCTCAGAAGGCCCTAAATCCCTCCACCCCTTCGAATTAGCTAAGCTAAAGAATAAGTCTACTAGGCTCGACAATACCCTCCCCTACTAAGAGCAGCACACCATCTACAACACTGCCTATAAAACATCTAGCGGGGCTAAACTACAACGTTGGGCAGCGTTATTTGCTATAGAGGTGGGACTTAGGTTCCTGAGCGGCTCATCAGCTGGGCCTTTTCACATAGTCGAAAGCTAAGATACCTACTCACCTCCTGTTCTCCTACTCCTAAGGTGGGGGATGAAGTTCCCTCGTCGATAGATTCAACCACAACTCTCAACAGTTAAAACCCCAATTAGCCGCCGAGGTGTTTCCGCTTGGATAGGTAGGTGAAGCGTCGGTCACACGACTGAACGGTCTTTGTTGGAATTTCACCATCGGCTCAATTGTCTTAGAGGCGGGCTATTTTCGTCCCCTTTGTTACCTCTTTGTACTCGAAAGTCCGAGGGGGCATTGACCACGATGGTAACCTTTGAACTCGTCAGAACGCAGGGAACCTTTGTCTCGCACAGTAAGTTAGGCAGTTAGTTACTTTGTCAATGGACCCGACCGGGCTTTGGACATCCCCACGACCTTGCCGACAATTCCAACCGAGCAATAAACCAATTTCATCGTGGGCAAAATGGCTACTCTCTGGGCTGCTCAGCGGCATAGCTACCGCCAGCGACCCTCGCCCGCCAACCTCACCGGGCCCAGTCCCATACCCGGACACTGTTTCCTCTTAACCCTCCCCGATGATATAATCCACGATATCTGCGATATGGTACTTGGGCCCCGATCCGATAAAATCTGGAGTCCGCGGGAGGGGGATACCAAAAGCATTTGTGCATTAGTGCGGACCTGTCGCACTCTGTACCCAGTCGTACTTTCAAAGCTGTACCAGACAGTCAAGTGCACCGACAATGAACGCGAGCACGATCTGTTGCGCACCACTCGGAATCTGCTCCATGCTCTCTCGGCTTTACAAAGAAACCAGGCAGCCTCCGGTATGGTCCGGTCGATGATTTTTGGGAGAAACTTTCGCAATTTACGAGGACTTCGTCTCCCAACCGAGGTGCTCGAAAACTGTTACGCTCAGGTCGACCGCATGTTCGGCGGGCCCCTGGACCTAGACAATAGAAACCAGGCCATATTTGGAGAGGAGTTTGCCATCATGGCCCTCGCATGTTCGGCGCCCAACCTCGCCAAACTACATATTACGACCACCAGCACATGGAGAGACACCGAATTCCTCCTCAACAAGCAGAACAAGCGAATCACCGGCCCAAAGGTCACACTCCCCTCCCTCACCACCCTCGTCGTCGTCACACTGTCCATAACCCCGGGCCCCGACCTCGAGAAACTCAACGGGCTGCTGCACAGCGCCCCCAACCTCACCACGCTCCGCATAGACTCGGCGTGGGGGGGCGAGTCGCTGACGGCGCGGCTGCCGCAGCTGACGAGGCTGGAGCTGCGGCGCATGGACATGGGCTGGGAGGGCCTGCGGAAGCTGGTGCGGCGGAGCCCGCGGCTGGCCGAGGTGCTGCTGACGCACGACCCGCTGCCGGGCTGGTCCAACTACCTCGCGGGCCCGCCCGTGTCGCCGGAGCGCGCCCTCCGCGCCCTGGCGCCCGCCCGCCTCGCCCTGCGCCGCCTCGCCCTGCACACCTGGATGCCCGGGGACGGCGACGGCCGCCGCCGCCACCCCGCCCGCCTCCCCCTGCTCGAGGGCGTGCGCCTGGCCGAGCGCTTCCCCGCGCTGGTGCAGCTGTCCCTCGACGCACGCGTGGTCAGGGGGCTGCCGGACTTGCTGGCGGGGATGGAGTCGTTGGAGGGCCTGGTGCTGATGAACGTGACGGCGTCGGCGGCGTTCGGGGGGGAGGTGGACACGCTGCTGGAGAAGGCGCGTGTGCTCGAGTGGCCGCGCCTCCGGAGGGTTACGATGCGGTCCTACCGCCCGGACAATGCCCCGTGGCAGGTGCCGGCGTGGGAGGGCTTGAAGCAGATGCTGGAAGGGTTGGGATGGAGGAAGCTGAGTGAGGAGGAGTCGAAACCGGACCTTGGAGTCGTGGTGGCTGGAGTGAGCTTCTTGGCCGTGCCAGACTCGCAAAAAATAGGGCTTTTTGCAGACGGTCAAGGGGGCGGCGAATGGGGCGTCTGATAGAATTATTTACTTTAATTTCCTCTTTTTCTTTTTCCTTTCTTTTTTCTTCTTCTTTTGCCATGCCAGGCAGTTATGGCCTTGATTCATGCATGGGTTCCGATATTCACAGGAAAGCTACCTACCTACCTACCTATGTAAGTAAGGTACTGTCAACATTGACCTGAATGCCTCCGTTTCGTGAACGGATCCCGTTCTCTGACCATGCACTCCATCACCTAATATGATAGAGTGCATTATGATGACACGCTTCATTGACCATTTATATCATCACATTCTGAAAATTATTCGTGCCAATCGTCAGCGGGCTTGTTTCTTTTCTCAACATCAACCCCGTTCTTCGGAATCCTGTGAGGGATTGCGGTTGCTATGCCAACTCCTCGATAACATGAAGGATTCGAGAACCGACGGGGCAAACTCCGGAACAAATAATGCTGCCACTCAGCCCGTGAATCATCATACTTACCTTACCTACCTAAGTAGGTCGGGAGGTAGTTTATATTTACCCCGCCACCCAGTACTTTCCTTTCCGCCTTCGTGGTTTCCCATCCTCTCCCGCAACTCAACTGCACCCAATCCCAACCAACACCACCCCTATTCATTTCAAAATCATATTACCATGTCGCTTGAACACGGTTTAAAGAAATCCATCAGATTCAATGACATGGCTCCTCTCCAACTCCTCGATTTGCCCCTAGAACTGCTCATCGAAATCTGCCATTGGGCCCTCGAAGACGTCGAGCAGCAAAAGACATCTCCTTATCACCCCCACGACTTGATGCGGCTGGGACGGGTTTGCAAATCCTTCCACGCCGTCGTCCACCCCTTACTTTACCGCCATATCATCGCCGGGGCGAGCCATAGCCCTTACGAGGTCCCACGCCGTGTTAACCTCGACAAGCTTGTATGACCCCTTCGTCTAACTTTGCCCTAAAGTTCCATCAAGGTTGACAATACCCTGCTGTTAGTTACGTCTGCTCTGGACCAACCCCGATCTCGGCCACCTCATCCACCACGTGACTCTAGATGGCGGCCCCCATAGTGTACCGAAACCCCAGCCACCGTTCGATTTGGTCGGGGGGTGCGTTGATAGCTCCCGTATGTACTTGTCCGCGGCTCTCAAACAGCACCTCGACTTGGACATAGCTCAGGGATCATTGCCCATCCCACCTACAATGGCCCAGTGGTGCTGGGAAAGCGCCGTGCCGTTGTTCCTTCTACTGTCTATGGCGTCGAATGTGACATCGGTCGAGATGTACATACGCTGCGGGTCGAAAGTGGAACGCGGCCTTGCTCAGAGGATGCACGATGGCACCTTCGTCCCCAAGATGACATTCCCGAACTTGACCAGGCTTCGGTTATCCGGCTATAGCGGGGATACAAGTATCCGAAACGCCTGCAAGTGTCGCGATGCCATCTCGCTTTTCCTTGCCGCCGCTCCGAATCTGACGTCCCTCGAGCTCAATGGCTTCGGTGCCCTCGACGGCAAGCTTCCTCTCCCTCCCCGGCTGGCCTCCTTTGCTTTGATTGGCACGCATTATGCCTCATGGAGGGACCTCGAGGACATGGCTCGCCGGGCTCCGGAGCTCAAGCGGTTCCACGTGATGAACGATAAGTGGCGTCACACCGGCCCCCCGATACCGTTCTTGTGTGCGGACCTCTTGGGGCCTCTCTCCCGCTCCCAAGTTGCCGGAACGTTGATAGCTTTGGGACTTGGTTGTTCACGACTTGACGCAACCGGATCCGTCAACATGGGGCAATTTCAGGCTCTTAAAGTTTTGACTATTAGTGCGAGGAATTTATTGTCGGGCCACGATTTACTTATCAAACTAATCAGGGGCTTCAGCCGTCTCGAAACCTTGGTGGTGGATGGCGCCGATTTGATTTCTCCTGAGGCGATGGAACGGTTCGCGGATGCCATCTCGAGATCGGAGTGCCCAACTCTACGAAAGGTCTTGCTGAACCCCCGGGACGTGAGGTCTCCGCTGATATCACGCGCCAGGACGTCAGCTCGCCTCAAGATGATCACGGAACACACCGTCCAGGACCTATTCGCATCCGGAAATGTCAAATTGTTTGTCAACGACGGCAGAAGGAAGGTAATGGCCCAATGGTTGACGCGATGGGAAAATGAAGCATTGGGACTCGTCTAGGGGGTCCCCCAGCTCATGCCGTCTTGCTACAAGGGGCTTGGCACGAGGGTCTCAAGAACACGGCCGCGAGCACCCGGGCAGGTCCGCAAATACGTATTACTTACACAGTAGGTATTCACGACATTCCCAGGCTCTCGGGATGGGTTGCCTGTTCGTTCGATTAGCGGTTGTACGGGGAAGTGGTGGGGATAACCGAAGAGGCTAGAGTGAATACGAGAGGAGGCCAAGACAAACCGAAGGAGTAAATCAGGGGTGTCCTAAGCGAAAGCCTGTCGCCCGCTGCTGAGCTCCACCTTCACGAGGGTTTTCAGTTCATATCCCTCGATTACGAAGTAACGATACAAGCTAGGCTCGTGAAGGAGCGCCATCCGTGATGTCGGACGGTTCTTGGGAATTCACCGACCTCCACCAGTCCCCCCTATTTAAGGTAAGCTATGGGTCCATAGACGTTATATTCATCGACCATCTCCCTGTCCTGACAAACAATCTCACCACCTCAAATCTTTCATTCAGTTTCAGTGTTATCGTCCCCCTTACCAAAAACATGCGTTGGGCTCCGCTCATCGTCACTGCTGAGCTCTGCGCTGCAGCGGTCATCCCCCCACGGACGAGCAGCTGCGTCAACCCTGTCAAGCGCGTAGAATGGCGAGAATTGGACGCAGCACTCCAGACGCAGTACATCGACGCTGTCTTATGCCTCAAAACCAGACCGTCCGGATTAGGACTTAACACCACACGCTACGATGATTTCCCCTACGTGCATACCCACCTCGACAAAAGCAGTGCGTCACATCCATTACAACACCTCTTACCTCGATCGAGACTAACCATCCACAGTTCACACGGTAGCCATGTTCCTCCCCTGGCATAGAATGTTCGTTCAAGTTTACGAACAAGCCCTCGTAGACTGCGGTTATACGGGCCCCATGGCGTGGGTCTCCTCACCACTTGTTACACCCAAGATCCGATGTACTAATGCGGGGATGATAGCTACTGGGATTGGACGCTCGACACCGCTGATGTAACCAAGTCACCTATTTGGGACCCGGTTCAGGGCTTTGGCGGCAACGGCGACCCTAGCATCGATCCCTGGACGGGAAGCAGCAAGAAGAAGTGTCTTGTGGACGGACCTCTGCAAGGGTTGGAGCCTGCGTACACCATGGGAGGATATGAGCCACACTGCCTCGCCCGGAACTGGAACAGCGGGGTTGCCTTTCCTGGCGACATGTTCGCTCAGCACTACACCAAAGAGGCCGTGGATACTATCCACGCTCTTGAGGATTATGCATCTTTCCGGTACCGGCTAGAAGGTGGCCCGCACGGCGCTGTCCACTCTGCCATTGGCGGCGATATGTCGCCTGCTACATCCCCCAACGGTATGTGTTGGCATTGCGCTTCCTTGCGGTATAAAAACTGACGACTGTTACCTTTCAGATCCCCTCTTTTTCCTCCACCACACCCAGGTTGACCGCCTGTGGGCCCTCTGGCAACGAGAGAACCCCGGGGTACGAAACATGGAATATGCCGGCCCAAAGACCCAGGACGAAAACACGGCAGAAGCCACACTCGACGATATTATGCCATTCATGGGTCTCACAGAAGATATCAAGGTGTCGGAGGTCATGGAGATCCAGACCCCGGGACTCTGCTACACGTACTAGAACCTGCCTTCGCAGGGCTCAACTTCTTTGCCATAGAATAGACGAGTTTGGCAATTTCAAGCCTCGGGCTTCCAACCGGAAGTCAGAATCGGGGTCATGTCCCAATTTGCCGCCTGTACGGGCTGTGTATGCCGGTACCCTCGGACAGAGCCATGGGCGAACATCAAGAAGACCAAGATTGCGAGAGCGTCATGCATCCCATTCCGGAGCAGTTCTGACAGGCTTATCAACATCCAAACGAAAATATGTACACAGAATCTCGGGGGTTACCCTCCTAATACGGCCCCCTCGGTCCTCGGTCTAGTTCCGATCATACCTCCCCCTTGCCCTCGGTTCCGCCGTCGGTGCAGCCCCGCCACTAAACGGCACCGTCTCCGTGCCCCTCAGAACCACCACCGGCGTCCCCTCCGCCTCAAACAAACTGATAGTCTGTTCCGCATACGGCACCGGCGTCGCCCCCACGGCAACCGTCGGCCCCGGCACGACATACGAGCTCAACCCAGCCGTGACATTCAACCACACGCCGGGGTCATCCTCCCTATAAAACTCAGTCGCCTCAAACCCATCCAACTCCATCCCCCCATCCCCGCCCTCCACCCACAAGTTCACACACAGCGGATAATTCTGCGCCCCATCCTCCTCGGCCGCATAATGCAGCGCAATCACCTCATTCCGCAACACATACGGCCCCGGCGCCAACCCATCCGGAATGGCCACCTGCCAGCTATTGTTCGCCGCAATCAACACATCCGACGCCCACCGCTGCCCCGGCACCCCGCCATTGATCCCCGCCCCCTCCACAAACTCCAACACCGGTTGCGAATCATCCACCTTGGTCCACCGCAGCGCCGCCTTATCCACCCCCGTACAACCCGCCTCATCCCCCTCCAGCCCGGCACACCCCGCCAGATAACTCAACACGGGACCAACATGCCCCATCGGCCAGCCATTCCACTGCACATGCACCCGGTCACCGGCGCGCACGGGGGCGTGCGCCGCCGGGCTGGCGCCGGATTTGTGGCAGATGATGTCTGGGTGGGTGTAGTTGGCGGGGGTGACGAAACCGTCGTCGGTGGCGGCCGTCCACCAGCCGACGCGGGAGGGGTCGTTGGGTTGGTTGGGCCGCGGGTCGAAGCCGTGGTAGAGCTGGCCGTTGATTAGGATGTGGGCGAGGTGGGAGTGGGCGAGGGTGGCGGTGGGCGTGAGGGTGAGGAAGGCCAGGAGGGTGGTGAGGAGGGGTGGGGGCATGGTGGTGGTGGTTGTTGTGGTTGTGAGGTTGTGTGGGTGGTGGTTTAAGTTGCGGACGGTAGAGGACGGGTCGTTGTGTGATGGTGGGTATGACGACAAGCTGCACCGTGTAGCCGATAGAAGTTGAGATGGGTGACTGTCTACTGAAATCAGAATGCTCGGGTCAGAATGGAAAACGTCTGGGGTGCAGACGGGTGGCATGGCCTCCTATTTACCCTAATTGCAAGACCATGTTGATCCTGACCCCCATCCCCGGTCAGCATCGACCTAGCCCGGGAGCACGCCGTCCGCATCGACGGCCGTCTGTCAGATCCATATTGCACCGGGAATCCGCCCGTCTCGTCGCTGCACGATGCGCTCGGCATCGCATGGCGGTCTTGTTTCCCGCGGCGTCAACCCTGGTCCCCGGGATACCGAGACGCGGTTGTATAGTGTCTCATTGGTGGTTTTCTCTTCCTTGTTGTAAATCGAAACATGAATTCTGCATCTTCATCCAGGCCGTTTGCGAATCCGCTGATTCAGGAACCAAACCCGAAGGAACGTGCAGATCTCTTCCTCAGTGCTCTCGCCATTCCATCTTCCGTGGTCGGACAATGGGGAAATTCCCAAAGCCGATCATGTGGAGGAGGAGGGTCTGGAAATTTCGGGACTAACCGTTGCGGTACTTCTGCCGTTTCTGGTTTGCTGCCGTGCTGCCATGGCCGCCGAGTCTGATCCCATACGTAAAGCACTGCCTTTCCGGATAAAACAAGGCACTCGTCCCCGAGAAAGCTCTCCCAAAGTGTGGATCGAATGGCTTGGGACGTTTGCCGAGAGTGTGGGGTGCGTTTCATCTATCTGATGTTGAAGACCGCTCCCCATTCGCCCCGGGAAACCCAGTCAGGGTTTCTTGCGCACCTAAATGATCGGCATGATCAATCATCAAGCGGACCGGAACAAGGCCCGGTGATTAACACGAGGGGTCAATTTGGGGCCGCTCCTTAACGTGCGCTGGCATGGTCTTGTGCCGCTGGATACATACCTACACAGTAGCAGAATACGTTGTGCCTTTCCCCCTGAATGCCTTTGCTGCCGATGACGTGCATCCTCTTCGACACTCCAGAGACGTTGTTTCTAGAACCTTGGCGTCTCCTGCGGCTCATGGGAATTAACTCACGCAAAGTCCCGCAGTCGAGGGGTCGGCCAAATCCGCAAATGGACCGGTTCCTGGTTCCGGCATGTAATTGGTATTCTCCTCGTCAAAATGGCAGTATGGGTGGGAGTGGTTTCGCCGGCATAGTTCCAATGTTGTTGCGAGGAACAATAGGTATGCTTGGTGGCTTTGAGCCATGCGATGAAAAAGGGGTTCAGGGGTCGATTTGCTTTCGGTTCGGGTTTTGCTGCAACCCGGCGTCCTGAATGGTCCGCTGGCGTGCGAGATGGAGCGTTTGAACTCCACTCTCGTCCCCATTCTCTCGATAATAACCGGAAACTTAACCGGCACCATCCAACAAGGTCCGCTGGCTCAATGGCAGAGCGTCTGACTACGACTCCTTATTCTGGGACATCCCAGGAAGAGATCGAGTAATCAGGAGGTTCCAGGTTCGACCCCTGGGTGGATCGAGATAACTGGTCACAAAGATCGCACCTTACTTTTTGAAGATGTTTTGTTTGCCGGTTTTGACACTGCAAGATTCCGTAACACATACCTGAACACACGTTTCCACGCACGCTCCGAAGACAAGAAGTTTAATATTTTACTGTCCCATGGATAAAGAGAGTACCAGTCGTCTCAACTCTATCTAGAAGGCGAGATTAATGGTTGAGACCCTCTCCACCAACAACCCCTTTACAAATCCTTTTTTGCATCTCCCTAACCAAACACCTTTGCAGCCCCGCTCGAGGCGTTTTACCGAATCCCAAGGCGCTGTATTTTCTCGAACTCGAGTGATCTTCCCGCCCGCGAAACTTGTTGTGATTGGATGTTATCTCAACGACACAGCCATGCGCGGGAGGGACTTTTCCCCGTCCGTGAAATGCAGCCAGTCAACGTTCGCCCTCGTAGCATTCCGCCTCGTCCAAAAGCCAAGTGATTCGACGTTGCTTACCCCTCCTCACCGTACTTCAAGTTTCATTCCCGTGAGACCTTCCAGCGAACTCGTAAACTTCAAGTTACTTAGGTACCGAACAACATGTTGCCACACGGGCAGAGTGATTCGGAGGCCCCGCCACGCCTGTCTCTAAAAGAGGATGAAGATCTCAAGAAGAAGCTTGACGAGGTCCGAAACACAGTTAAGCGTAGGTAGGTATGGAGTCGCGCCTGGAGGTCGATGAAAAGTCAACCCCCAACCGCATGAAAAAGAAATGGGAACAACTGAAGTTGCGACCCCATTTGCACCACGGTAGCGACGCCTCCGTCAAGTTGCAACCGCCAAACCAGCCAGCGGATGTGGCCGGCGATGCCTACGACACAATGTCCATTGAAAAAGTACTTGAACGATGTGTCGATGAGGCCGAGAGGCCGAGTGTGGCTTGCCGGGTCTCATAGGTCGTTCTTGGGTGTCATCAATTCCAATCGGGGGACTTATCGGGGTTTTTGCTGCCGGGGTAAGCCGAGGATTCCTCGACACCCACCGTTGGATTACGGGTGATGTCTGGTATACTACTTGGTATTAACCATCTCTATGACTACCTAGGCATTTCCACTAGCACCCGCGTGCTTGAATGCGATTACGATATTTACTGTGGGTTTCCAAAGGCACCACTGCAAGGTGTTATCGACGCCCTCAACACTCTACTCGACAAGTTCGTAGACTTCTTCCGGCGGCTGAAAACGCGCCTGGAGCGCCGGCAGAGTCACGGTACGCGCATGATCGTCTTCACTCAGATATCCCTTTTCGTTGAAGTCTGCGACTACATCATGGAGTGTCGAGGCGGAATCTGGCCGGCTACCGTTCATATTTTCAAGCGGACCTTCGTCGAGGATGAGAGAGTCAAGGAGATGCTGCAAAAAATGGAATCGGAGCTGCAGAAAGAGGGGTTGGAGACGGCCGTCCAGACATATGACCTAGTCGCCAAGGCCGAGGAGCAGAATAACGAGACTAGCTGGCGCAAGACCATCGCCGGCGTGCTGGGTTTCGGGCTAGGTGACCTCGCCGACAGCGTGACGCCTTACAACAAGAGTCTCGGGAAGCTGTACAAGGAGCCGGCGAAGGGAACTTGCCTGTGGATTCAGGAAAATGAGGACTTCCAGGCCTGGAGAGGAGCCCCGGTGGCGGCGGCGACGGCGACGGCGAACACGAGCGCGACGGATTGGCTGCTCCTCCTGGAGGGGGGCGCCCGCTCCGGTAAGTCGCGCATGATGGCAAGTCTGTTCACCACCCTGAACGCCCAAGAGGCCGAGCGCGGCGTAGTGGCATGTTGCTTCGGGCGGGACTTGCTGGCATCGGCGGGCACGGATCTCGACGCTGAGGGCGTGTGTGGCCTTGTAGTGCGGAGCATCCTGTGGCAGTTCGCCTCCAAGGCTCCTAATAAGCTGGCAAGATCTATGGCGGCCACCATCGCATCACCCATCAGCAAGGTCTGCACGGCAGCGAGCTGTTCCACAACAACAGCTTAGAGTTGTGGACGAAGCTCCTCATTGATAACGAGGTGAGGAAGGATGTGGGAAAGGTTTTCTCCATCCTCATAGATGGGCTCGAGGCCAGGATGGGCGACCTCCTGCCTCTGCTAAAGCCGTAACCAACCAAGGAGACGACAAACTGCGCGTTGTGCTCAGCTCGCCGCCGAAACCCACCCATGAAGATGGTAAGGGCCGTGGGGGGGACGAGTCGGACGACCTTGACCAACGGCCACGAACCATCAAGCTAAAAGACCACACCGAAGGAGACATCCGGACCGTCATTAATCTGAGCTTAGATTCCATGCCATGGTCGAGTGGGTCCGGGGAGGGGGTGGAGAGGGCGCGGGATCTCATCTTGCGGGAGTTGCCAGGACGGGTGGACGGCGACTACGCTAGGCTCGACGACTTTGTACAGAGAGTATCGAGAGCCAGCGGTTTTGGCGCTGTCGAGCAGGCCATCGGCGAGGTCGATATGCCGGACGAGGCCCGGATCAAGTCACAGGTGATACCTCGCGGATACACTGACCGGGAACCAGATCTTGGAGCTGAACCAGCTTATCCTGTGGGTCGGGTCGGGATTCAGGGAACCCGAGCTCTGGGAGATGGAAGCGGTCCTGCAGCAGAGACGCCCGTCCAAAGACCAGTTCTTGACCCTGAGGGAGAAGGTGATGGGGGTCTACGGAACGCTTTTCGATCTTAGTCCGGCCGGGACAGTCACTTGGCGCCCTTCGACCGTCCAAGGCTGTATCCCGGAACGCAGCAACACTACCACTCCCATATACTTCAATGGCGACGCAGCGGTAGCTCTCGACCTCAGGCGTGCCATCCTGCTCGCCGAGAGGAACCTGATAAGTAGGATCCTCGGCGTCGTTGGGCTCAGCATGCCCGACCTGGCCGGGCCTCAGACGCGTCTCCCGACTACGGATGAGCTCAGTTTGCCAATCGGGAAAACGAGCCCTGACAACGCACATCTCGAAGTTGCCTTAACATGCTTGAGAAGCTGCAATAACAACGAAGACGGACTCATAAGTTACTCGAGGGCCTTTCTGTTCCGCCATCTGGAAGCAGTTGCCGGCAGCCTATCGTCAATCGACAAGAGCCACAAGGAACAACTTGGACCCCTGCTTCACAATCTCTTTAGGCACGACGAGGCCATCGACTGCATGTTTTGGTTCAGTGGCCGCATGAGCCTCGATCGATGGAATCTAAGAACCGGCAGGGAGCTGGATGAGGTTCGACGGCGCTGGCTATACACTCCCGACGGGGTCATGCTGCTGGAAAAGCTTTTTCAAGACCGAGATCTGGCGAGCCAGATTGAAGACGACGTTTTTCAACTATTCCTAAAAGACGAGGCCGTCGACCGAGGCCGTCAGCGTGTGAAACTCCTCGCGCGTGTCACGGAACGGATCGCCCGAAACGTTTTTCTCGAGAGGAGTTTATCGTCGAGGGCACACAACACGGCCGTTCGTTTCCTCACGGGGGTACCTATCTCACCTTCCCCTCGAAAAAACTTTTCTTGGCGCCCACTGTTAAGCCGACTAACAGTGGGGCCACTAAAGTAGTCGTTCAATCGGCCAAACCCTGATAAGAGTGCTAAAACCACACTTTTCGAAAAAATTTCGCAGTCATCAACGACTGCACAATCAATCGCACGCCTGGCTCTTGATAGGTGGTATCACTCTGCAATACAATATACCGCCCTGGGAAGGATCAAGAATGCCGCCTGCATGCTCGGCGCCTTGCAAGCGCGAAAAACAACGCCCGGCAGCCTCCTGTAGAGCCTAGGAGACTGCCATCCGACCGCTGGCAGCCACGGGCCTCGCCCGGCCAACCACCAGCACAACGGCGGCGATATCCTCCTCGGCTGGTTTTTAGCCTAGCCACCTGGCGAGGTAGTTTTCCAGCCGACCCCCGAACCCGGGAGCGCTCCGAAGCGTTGCGATGTGGGAAACGATGGGCAAGGACGGCAGGAATCTGGGAGGATGTGGAGATATAGGTATAGGGTTGGATATACAGGTCCAGGCCCCATAAAGGGAGTTGGGGAAGGGCTTTCGAAAGGCAGTTATTACGCTGTCGTCCGCGCTTGCGCTCGAGTTGCTATATAGGCAGTACTTTTGTATATAGGCCCTAGCTTAGCACGTCCTCACATGCTTATAGGCATCTGGCGGGGTGCCACATTGTGGCCCCAAGCCCCGGACGTTAAACGCAAACAACAACAACAACAACGGGGGTACCTATCTCTGGTAAGTCCCAGGAAGTTATACAGTCCTTGTAGATCATGCTGACTGATATATACTCAGCTTCCCACCTCAAACGAATGGGGCCCCAATGACTGCTGGAAAGACGCAAGTCTCGAGTGGCTGAGCAACCTAGAGGACCACTCGCTCTCGGTGCAACACCTCGAGACTATTGAGAAGTGGGCTGCGTGGACGCTATTCCCCCCCGCCTCGATTGGTTCCCCAGAAGATCAGTCCATGTTCAAATGCCAGGTGGGATGCATGATGGAGATGTTCATGGAGGAGGGATCCGAAGCGACATCCAAGGCCAAGGATCTATTCCAACAGGCTCGGGATCTGGATGATAAGAATACGCTGGCTTATTCTCAACTGGCCCGCTCCGAGTCAGGCCTATCTGCAGGTCAAGTTCCTCGAAGAAGGCAGGGCCAAGGACGACAAAAATAGGAAGTATGATGGCAGGATTATGGCATACCTGCTCGGTGGTCTCGGAGACTGATACTGGACACAGGGGAAGGAGGGCAAGGCATCTAAAGAATACGTCAAGAGTCTGAAGTACGATCGTACTTGCTTCAACGCCTACGGGGACATCCTTAGCCGATACAGCGACCCGCGTAACGAGCACCCGGCCTGGAAGAAGTTCATTGAGCTTCTCACGGAAATTGGCCGCGAGGTGGATGCGTGGAAACAATTCCTCGACGATATGATCTGGTACGCCCTCGCGCCGTCTTCGGGTAGGAAAATGGCCCCGGCCATTGAATCAACAACGGCCCCCAGCTCGAAATTCAACCCCAAGACGTGGGCGTCTATCGAAAGTTTGTACAAAACCGCTATTGATCTAGCGAATGAGCAGCACGACTTGGAAGCCGGGTTCCTCGTGCGTCAATCGTACGCTTCCACGTTAAGCTTTGCCGTTTCCTGCGACGAGGAAAACAAGAACGCGATCCAGATGCTTGAAAAGGCCGTTGGTTTCGCGGGTCGGATAATGGATAAACGTGGCGGCGAGGAGTACAGGAAGGGCGAGACATCCATCCCCATCAGCAAGCATCGGGTCAGCCAGGCTGTTGAGCAGCTCGCTCGGCTCTATATCCACCGTTTGCTGGTCCTGTCTGGGGGGGCTCGGGTCGACAATAATGAGGCGATGAAGTCCGATGTGCGGAAAAGGCTCGAGGACCTCCTGGCCAAGCACAATGTGAACCGAGAGAATGCGACTCTATCTTGCTACTTTGCCCGATCGCGTAGGGTTGCCGGGAAAGAGGAGAGGGGGCAAAAGGGGGGCGGCAGTGCCAATTCGCATGTGAGTCGCTCTTCAAGGTGACAATAGCCATGGGAAACGAAGAGCTTTCGACGTGGATATGGAGACTCCTTTACGCATTCACGGCGATCCAAAGGCGGAACCACACACGGCAATCCAGTTCAACTACTCATCACCTCGATCAAAGCCAGAACCACCGGAGAACGATTTACGTGTGTGATGGATGCGGGGAGTCGCTTGGGGTTGACGAGGAGATTTACGTGTGCCAGGTGTGTGCGGGCGAGGCAAAGTTCCATGAGACGTGCTACAAAAGATTGAAAAGAGTGGTGGGCATAGAGGGAACTGGGTCTAACACCCTCGAGAGGCTCTGCAGCAGCCACAATGAGTTTGTCTGCATCTCACTCTCTGGGAAGGGATCTTCCAGGGAGGAGAGCACTGTTGCCGCCGAATTTCCCGCAGCTTCAGAGCCGAGCGTTACCATGGGCGGGAGGGAGCGGGACGACTCGCACTCACCGCATAATGGGAGTGCTAGGGAGGGGGGTGGCCCGCCCTCAGCCCTTATCATGAGTAGGATCAAGATGGAGACTGGCGACGAAGGGGTGATCAAGGGAAAGGGCACGAGAACAACAGATGACCAAGATAGGGCGCTGAGTGAGCCTACCTCTTGGCTCCTCGAAGAGATCGGTAAGCTCAATGAAGCGATAAAAGAGTGGTTCTTTAGAGCTCAATTCAAATCCACTCAATGAATACTCTTTCGGGTAAGTATATTCTAGGGAGCATTGGAGCATTCTTAGTTTTTGCAAGAAAGCTACCGGTAGGTAGGTAATTACCTTGAAACTTGCCTTGCACTCATCTTCGGGAATCCAATTTGCGAAGGCAATGGGCAAGCTCAGGGTTGACTTCCAATGGCAGCTCCGGGTCTCGCCATTTCCGAATTCTTTCTCTAATAGGCCATGAAGAACTAAAAAGTTTATCTTCAATGAAAAAGAGAACTTGGAATTCTCCCTACCTAGAAGGGAATGTTTCTAAGTCTTTAGTTACCGAAAGGAGTACCCAAGCGTTGGTGTCAACGTATTCGCCTTGAATTCGGGGGCGAACCAACAAAGGGGTGTTAGGGTACCTACCTAGGTAGTCGACGTGAGACTCGAACCCACAACCTCAGCCATCCCTTGAAGAACACGCACGCTCCACAAATACCTGACCAGGACGCACGCCACGAATCGGGCTGTTCTATTCGTAGGCCCAACCATTGCGTCCAACTTGTTCAGCTCTTGGCACGTGCCTGGTTACCTCACACAACAGGTCCCCCGCACGATGAACTTCCTTTTTCTGGGCAATTCCATCTAAATCTTGTCTGAGGCCTACCATACTCCGAGCCCAAGCAATGCTCGCCGCTAAGAATTTCTTCAACTTCCCGAATCATAGCTCGCGAGATAGTACTCCACGCGACAGTCCACTGGCAACTAGTGCCATGATTTCCAAGCCGACCATCGAGGACGAGAAGCCGATGATGGAGGACGACCGGGACCAAGACTCCGACACGGAAACTATTCTCACCGAAAACACCACGACGGCAGCCACTAGCTTCTGGGACCATACCGCCATCCGCGATGCGGTACCTTGGGCTGGCAAGACGTTCATCATCGTTGACAAAGCATCCGGCCGGGTGATCAGCCATACGAACGGCGAACTACGACTCGAGGACAACACTGGTCGGAGGGGTTGTTGGCACTGGCTCTGTGTCGAGAAAGATGGATGGTTTGGGTTTTGCAATACGGCGTCGGGGAGGTATCTCGGGATTAACGTCTGGGGGACTCTCCAGGCAGAGGTCAAACATCACAAGGGGTGGGAGTTCTTTTGTCCAAGAAGACATCCAGACGGGGGTTACATATTGCTCGCAACCCAAAACCATTGGAAGTTGCTGAAGGTAGGCCTCAACAAAGATGGCGATGGTTTGGTTGCAAACGGGGATCATGACGGTATCGTATGGGAATTCGTTCAGGTTTGAGCGGGGTTTGGGGGAGGTTGTTATGCAGACAGTCCATACCGGTATTAGACAGGGGTGTTTTTGGCGGCAATGATGACATGGAAGCTTAAACCCGAACCCTCAAGTCAGTCTCTGAGTTATCGGTCATCAGCCGGCTGCCCCCCCGGCTCCCCGTCCCCAGCCAGATCAACCTCAGCTGAGCTGAGAAACCAGCCATCAGCGAAACTCGCGGTGAGCAACCGGAAACATGTCGCCGCGCACCAGACTCGCGGCAAAGGCCCTCCAAGCAGCAAAGTCGACGTCAGCAGCAGCAGCAGTAGCAGCACCACCACCACCTGTCCCCGTTGCTCGAGCTGCCCAAGCGGCTCCAAGTCCAGCAACACCACCAATCCAACTTTTCGACCATGTGGCTGCCTGGGAAACGTGGCTCGAGGCCAACCACACCGACCCGACCGGCCTGTGGTTGAAGATCAGCAAAAAGGGCAGCGGCATCGCGTCCGTGAGCTACGACGAGGCCCTCGACGCCGCACTGTGTTTCGGGTGGATCGACGGGCAGAAAAAGAGCCACGACGGGGACCACTTTCTCCAGCGGTTCACGCCGCGCCGCAAGCGAAGCATGTGGTCGAAGCGGAATTGCGCAAAAGTCGCCGTGCTGGTTGAGACAGGGCGCATGCGGCAGGCGGGGCAGGCAGAGATCGACGCCGCGAAGGCGGATGGGCGGTGGGAGAAGGCGTACTCGTCAGCCAGTCTGATGGAGGTTCCCGAGGATTTTCAGGCGGCATTGGGCCGGAACAAGAAGGCCAAGGCGTTTTTCGAGGGCCTCGGGAAGACCAAGCGGTACGCGTTTTTATGGCGCATCGCGACCGTGAAACGGGAAGAGACGCGTCAAAAGAAGATTGAGCAGTTTGTGGGATTGCTGTCGGAGGGGAAGACGCTGTAACTAATTTTTTTTTTTTTTTAAACACTCTGGAAACCTTGAATTGAGGGATGCTAATTTATCTCTCAAATCTCCGATTGTGTTCGCTGGCTGCCCGCGCTCGCTAAAATGCGCGCTGTCGGCGTGGGCCGGGCGTGCCTTCAGGGTTCCTCGCAGTGGAGATCCCCGCTGTGGGGAAATTTAGTCCGCGGGACGAACCCTTGTTCCCGCGTTGTTGTTTCCCCACCACCATGAGACCCTGAAATCGTGCTTTTCTTCAAAACCACGCGACTTCGCAGTCTACAGATTACGCTGCAACCATCAAGCGCAAAAATGAGAACACCAAATCGGGCATCTCGGTTCAACAACCATGTCGAATATTCGCATACTTGAACCCTCGATCCCGAATTATCCCCGCGACCGCCCATGCACACCAAGCCCCACCGGCCGTCGGGCTCCTTACCTTTCCGTCGGCGGATTGAGTCGGGTATTCTGGAAGACGAATGTGTGCTGCTAACCCAATTCTGGAGAGCAAGGTTGCCTCTCAATTCTGTCCCTTGCATTGTTAGTTGCGGAAACACCTGGCCCAACCTGGTGGGTTCTCATATTCACTCAATCTAGTGTATTTTTCCCCGCAGTCATCAACGAGGGGTGGTTCAGTCCTAGATGCTAATATCGCTCAAGAAAAATTGGGCGACCGCCATGTTGCTTTTTCCAGACGCCGAAAGCAGGCGGGTTAACAAGACAATACCATGGGGGCGGTCTACTCTAAACTCGACAGAGATAACCCGAAGGAACGTCAGCTGGGTTACACTCTGATGGCGTTCGCGAACCAGCCCGGTCCGGAATGATCATCTGGACCTTATCGAGGGCGGTGAATCCTCTCGACTGGAAAGAGCACTGCTGGGGTGTCCGTGATGCCTCGTTTGGACTGCCGGCCGAGGCTGGGGCTGGGTACCATTCCCGCGGACCTTCCTCTCCGACTTTGGCAGCAGCCCTCCGCCTGGTTCTTCTCGTTCTGACTGCTGGTTGGCCTGCGGGATCGGCGCTGGGCCAAGACTGACCCGAACAACGCTTGTCTTCGCTCCCTGTCCGCTCCTTGTCCGCTCCCTGTCAATATTCGACCGCGGTCCAATCGACAAGCTCGCCAGTGGAAGGCTGGGCACATTACATAATGCGGCACTGCTCTTCCTCGCGAACCCGCCTGCGCCCCGGCGGTCCTGTGGAAGGCCTCATCACCTCGCCAGATATCGTGGCCTTTTTCTCGCCGGCAATCTCCTACAATGGGGACACCACAGCACACCTTTGTCGCCGAGACCGGGCAGCCGCTCCAAAGGCGCCGCAAGGCGCGGTTGGCCTGCAACCCCTGTCGGGCACGCAAGACCGGGTGCGACGGAAGAAAGCCAGTGTGCAGCGCCTGCTCGCTCCGGGGCTGGGACGACAAATGTGGTTATCCGGACAGTGTCATGCAGCCATCGGCAGCACTGTAAGCCAAGCAGGTCCCAGACGACAACACGCGCTGACTTTTGCAGGACCTTGGTCGAGCTTGATCGAAGACTTCAGAGACTCGAGAGTGATGCTCGAACCGACCCCAACCCCAACGTGCCCCGCAGAGCTTCCCCAAATGCAGCACCATCAGTTGGTATGTAGATGCGCCTCCCTTGATGGCAGCCCCCACCAAAGACGCATGCCTAACACGCTCCTTTATAGGGTCAAGCTCCGGGCCAGCCGCCTCGGTAGGTGATGATAACAAGGAACACCAAGCGCCGGCCGACCCCTATGGTTCTGACCAACCGGCCGGGACAACGAACATGACATTTATGCGCCAAGGCCTGGATGTGGCAGGTCCGCGCCATTCTCACGATTCAACTGCCAGATCCGAGTCCCCTGCGTCGGGGGCCGAGTCGCCTACATTTCCAGACCTAGCCGGGTTCGCGATGCAGACGCTGGAGCAGCCCCTGGATGAGATCGACCCCCACGCCCTCGTGCTTCCTCCACGTCACTTTGCCGATGAGCTGCTTCGGTGGTACTGGCTGAATTTCCATTCCATCTTCCCCTTCCTCCATTGGCCCATGTTCAAAGCCAGGTACCAGGCCGTTTGGAAAGAAAAGGCCGCGTCAAGTCCGACGTTTGATGATCTCTTATTTTATGCCACCTTGAACATGGTCCTCGCCACAGCCTGCCTCCGCAATGAGATCATCCCGCTCGACCAGAGGCATTATTACGGGGACGAGTTCTACAAGCGGTCTCTGCGACTCATGTCAGCTGAAACCCTGGACGCCGCCTCGATCCCTATCGTACAGCTGCTTCTGCTCCGGGGCGTATATCTTTACTTTGCAGGCAGGGCGGATCGCTGCTGGCTCATGTCGGGTGCTGCGATACGCGTGGCAATTGGACTGGGTTTACATACCACTCCCAAGAGGCAACTCTCCCAGGTGGAACGGGAGATGCGTCGGAGAGTGTGGTTCGGCGGCTGTGTTTCCCTGGATCAGTACGGAGCCCGGCCCGAGTCCTCCCCGCGTGCAGTCTAGTAACCAGCGTGACAGGATTCTCTCCACCATATTTGGTCGGCCCGGTGCCATTTATCCAGGCCTCACCCAGACGCCTCTTCCTCTCGCCATCGACGAAGAATACTTATCAACCACAGAGGAAGGGCGCCAGCCCGACGGTCTACCCTCACGCATGGACATGATCAACTACACGGTAAAGCTCCTGCAAGTCGTCGAAGAGATGCGAGCGGCGGCCCGCACGCCGGGCGTCAAACTCAAACCGGGGAACCAAGACCCCTTCTCGCTGCCGGATCCCAGCGCTCTCCTCAGCATCAACTCCAAAGTGGACGACCTCTTCACCGACATGCCCGCGCACCTACGCGTAGATGCCGATTACTCTAAGCTGCCTCTTAACGAGGACCAAGTGAAATTCTTTCAATCCCAAAGTCACGCACTTCGCTTCCGGCTGTTGCTCTTCAGGGTCTTCCTCCTCCGACCATCCCTTCTCGCCGAGGCGCAACGGTGGGCCACGCGAAAGTCCGGCCCGGTGCAAACGGCAGCGTTGAAGTTTCAAGAGCGACTCCATTATGAAATATGCAATCTCTGCTTGGAGACGGTACACAAAATGCTGGAGGAGATACACGCGACTCTGGCGACAAGCGGAGGCGTCTCCGCGTGGTACGCGTTGCATTGTACGCACTCGTTCCCTCCGAACCGCCAACCGCGAAGCTAACACGCTGGAACAGTTACTTTTGCGTCAGCTACCACTCTTCTCGTGGCTACGCTTTCCCCGCGTCTTGGTGTGTCTCTGGAAACGGAACCGACCAAGTCCTCCTGGGATCGCGCCATGGGCATTCTCGATTTCCACAAATCCTATGTCGTATCCGCATCGCGAGGCATTGACGTGCTCCTGCGCTATCGGCAGTCTATCACCATGCGCAGTAGCGGATCGTTGGGTACGTTTCTCACCGCGCGGTGCCCGGTCCTGCACTCCCGACTTGTCCACTGACAATGAGATAGGCCTTCCGCCCACGATGACGCAAGAAATGGCCGACATGGAAGTTCCCCCCTCATCGTCATACCTGTTGCAGGCCCAGCAAAACCAGCAACCCCAGCAACCCCAGCAACCATATCCGCACACCCAGTCGTGGGACCAACAACATGCGATGCCTACCCCGCCGATGATGGGGACGTGGATGATGGATGGAATCGAGTTCGGGATGGAGGAATTAGGCGACGCCTGGCTGACGACAACACAGGACTGGGGCCATCAGGACTGGGTCTTGGCACATCTCCAGGGTACTACTGGGACATAGGTTAAGCATTCGGTGCTCTGTACATATGTGGGGGTGGTGTTCCTTCAAGGTCTGGTACCACGTTGCTTCGCGGGTGGACGTGAGTGTGGGAGCAACGCCAAGCGCACACGTTGAGGCCTGGAGGGAACTGCCCGAGGAAACATCACCCGGAGGGAAGGTTTGCCTCGAGTGTGCAACCGTTTCGTTCTGCAGTTATTCATATACGGCGCTTGTGTGGGAAAAGGAATTACTTGGTTGCGAAATATATCCGGGAGTCCAGGGGCACCACTCTTCTCGTTCACCAGTCGAACAATCTTTTACTATGAAAGACAAGAAAGTGAAAATTGTTTCCGTCACATCATACAACGACAAAGTAGACGCAATAAGAGCCCGAAGCTAATATCAAGCCCAAGGGTACAAAATGAAAAGGAATTCTCAACTCATTTTCGCCCGTCCCCAACCAACAACTATCGGACCCTTCCCAATTAGAACGCCTCCACTCCAACCACCCAAACCAAACCTACCGAGCCCAACCCAACGCAGAAATATAAAAAGAAAACCCAAGAAACACTCACCGAACCAACCCCAAACAACCCCCCAAGCCCAAACCCCCTACGCAGGCCCCAACCGTTTAACCCACCCCCGCACCCGCTTGACCCACGACCCGGACCCCGCCCTCCCCCCTAGATAGGGCGGCTGCGGAATCGACATGGACCGCGCCTCGGCCAGCTTGAGGGCATACAGCAGCCGTGCATTATCCGCGCGCGCGTGCTGGAGTTCTGTGGTTTGTTGGTGGAGGGTGGCGGTTTGCTCTTGTAAGGTGGTGGTTTGTTCTTGCAAGGTGATGGTTTGTTGTTGCAGGGCGGTGTCGCGGGCTTGGAGCGCGAGATCTCGCTGGTGCAAGGATACTGAGAGCTCGCGGTGGGTTTGTTCCAAGGCGTGGTGGGTTTTGTGGAGGGTTTGGAGGGAGGTGGTGGTTTCGTGGAAGCGGGTAGTGGCTTCGTGCAGGGAGGTAGTGGTGGTCGCGTGGGTCGCTTGGAGGGCGGTGTGTTCTTCGCGGAGGGTTTGCAGGGAGGCGGTGGCGTCGTGGAGGGCGATTGTGAGGGCGGCGTCCTTTTGGGCGAGGGCCGCTTCGTGCTCTTGTTGGAGGGCGGTGAGCTCTTGGGTGAGGGATGCTTTGAGGTGCTGTTTGTCGGCGTCGGCTTGGGAGAGTTCCTCTTTGACAGCTTCGAGCTCGTTTTCGAGCTGGGATAGGAACTCGGAGTGCTCCGATTTGAGATGCTCGAGCTGCTCTTGCTGGCTCTCGGCGAGCTCCGAGCTCTGGGATTGGAGACCGAGGACCTTTTCCTGCGTGGCGGCCAGCTCTGCTTCGGTGCTCTCTCGGAATGCGGAGTACTCAGCGTCGAGCTTCTCGAGCCGCTGCTGTTCTTGACGGAGGCGGTTGTTCTCCCCCTGCAGCGTGGACAGTTCCGTCTGCGTGGAAGCCCGCTCCTCCTCCCTACGCTGTCTGGCCGTCGAATACTCCGCAGTGAGAGTCTCCAGGCGCCGTTCCTTCTCGCGGAGCTCGGTGTTCTCGAGGCGGAGGGCGGCAAGCTGTTCCTGCACAGCAGCCAGCTCTTGCTCGGGGGTTCTGGCGGCTGCCGAGTTCCTTGTCGTGAAACCGGATGGGGCGTCTGCGTGCTGGTGCTGGGCACCGTTTGTTGTCGACTGGGAGCTTTGGGTACTGATGTTTGCAACCCCGAAGCCGGCGGCCGGCCCTGCCAGTGTCGTTTGCCAGTTCATGGTCTGCCATTGTGTCGTGTCAAACTGAGCGGACGCGAACGGCGTCAGGGTCGGAGTCGGGGCTTTAATAGGAGCAGGCGTTGCTGGAACCGGTGCTGCTCGGGGCGGGGTGTAGGCTGCCACGGCCAGTTGAACGATGACATCCCATCCACGTACGACTCTTTCTACTTGCATCTGGGTCATGTGGTGGTCTCTGCACAGGCAAAGCTTCGCGAGAGATCGGAGTTGCTCTGAGGTGACGCTTGATGGCGGGTTCGTGGCCATCTTCCGGAGAATAATCTCGGCGTTTGTAACATCGCTCTTCTCCTCTGGTCTGCCGCCTTTTGTCCACCGGCATCGTGGGCCGGTCCCATGATTTGCGCCATGGCATTGGATTCCACCATCACAATACATGGGCCTCCCTCTTATGCTCAGCAGCTTCTCGGGATTCCATTGAGCTGTCATGTTGAATTGTCGTGGTTAAGTCTTGCTTGGCCAGAAGCAGGGCCCCTGTAGGGGCGAGAACAATAGCAGAGGCTCGGTAAGAGACACGAGAGACTGGGTGAGGCCCACCGTTTCACTTTGCGCTCACGCGTGGTTTATACCTTATCTTGGGGATCTGAGGACTACCCATGCCCAAAACCATGCAATGCCACGCCGTCCTCGCATGGCCTCTCTTCAGCTTCCCCTTTTTGAGAGCCGGATATTGGGTGCGTCCGTCTCCGCACCCAGTCGAGCTCGCCAAAAAACGCCACATCTGTACCTGGATGAGTGAATGAGGGAAAGGCGCTCGCTTTCTGCTGCAATGGTGCGGCACATTCCAAGGCTTTCCCGCCGGGTCTATTGGGAGCCAAGGCATTTTTCCGTCTTTCGCCTCAGCCACAGCGGTGATGAACGAGCACGTTATCTAGCCGCCCTCGTCAGCTCCGGCAACTTGCAGGCCAGGGATGTTTCGAAAAGCGCTTAAACCCAGTTCGCTATGGTTTGAAGTGATGCAACCCCAAGACACCAAACACACCGACGTGCGTGGATGCAGCCAGTACTGAAACAGGGGTAATCAAGGAGTTCCACGGCGAACTCGACAGTTCAACAAGTAGCATCGGCACATACCGCTCCCCACTGCTCTCGACTTCAGGTAGTCAAACATAGGTTCAGACTATCTACCTTAGGTACCTAGACTTTGTTCGTTTCCGACGCGAGGGTAATGCACGGCGCCATTGGGCAAAGTGTCATGTTGCAGTCCGCCCGAATCAAAGCCAAGTGCAACGGACTCCTAACACCACTTGTCGTATATACCTCTAGAGGAAAGCTATTTACAATGTATCGTTGTAGATAGACACCGCATAAACCCCCATTCTTCTGATTCTGCCCTTCGCTTGCCCGCACTACCCCTCGGAAATCTCCAACCCATGGGTGGCTGCCCTACCCTGATTGACACTTAAGCTTCGACGGTAGAGTCGATGTCGCCCCAGCGGATGTTAGACAGAACAACCTGGGCATTCGGGTGTTCAGCCACGATGTTCGCCGGGTCGCCCTCCGTCTCGGTGCACGGCCCGTTGTCGCCACTGTCGAGCCAGTTCATGAAGCTCTCGCTGTCGTTCCAGATGCTGAGGGCCATGACCATGCCGCGGCCGAGCGCCTCGCCCATGCCGGCCAGGCCGCCGTACGCGTCCGACACGGAGCAGGCGTCGGCCGAGATGCCGTCGCCCTCGGGCACGGCGCTGGGGATCTTCTGCCCGTTCTGCACGTAGTAGCGCGTCACCTGGCTGAGGCTGCCCGTGGTGGTGCCGTCGTCGGTGATGAACTGCGTGACCATGGTGAAGGGCTTGGACGTGTCGAGCGTGAGGCCGGGGCCGTAGTACTCCTTGTTGCCGCGCGCGTAGGGGTTGAAGCCGCAGCCGGCCTTGTCGCAGTTGTCGCCGATGCAGGGGTGCGGCGTGAAGGCGTTGGCGCGCGAGTTGGCTTCCAGGATGTCCATCTCGTTGCAGCAGGATCCCTCCTGCGCTGTGTTGAGCGTGCCGTTGTTCCAGGTCTGGATGGGGCACTGGGCGTCGCAGTATCCGGAGCCGTAGTTGGCGCCGCCGGTGTTGTACTCGTTCCGGCCGCCTGTTGCGCTCATCTCGGAGAAGTAGAGGGCCGCGTTCTCGCCGCAGGGGAGGGTGGAGACGTCGACGTCGAAGCTCAACTCTTGGCCGAGGAGCTTGAACATGACGTAGTCGCCATCCGCGCCGAGAAGGTAGGCGCGAGGGGAGACGCTGTTGATCTTGCCTTCGCTGTCCTTCACGAATTGCTTGAGCGTGAGAGAGCTTCCGGATGTCTCGATGCCGCTGCTCGCGTAGTCGGTGCCTTCCACAACGCAGTTCTCGGCGCAGGTGGCTTGATCCGGGCATAGGGTAGAGTCGATGCCCTCGGACGTGGTGCACGAGGTGGTATTGTCTGATGTGTGGAACCAACGGTAGTTCCAGTCAAGCACCACAGAGGTGTCTTGCTCGACGCAGCCACCGCTTGTCGTGCACTGCCAGGTTGCCAGCTTGGGGTGGACTTCAGGGGTCACCGCTCCGGGCAGCTGAGCATTTACCAGCGGCAATGTTGCCAGCGCCGTAGCTACCAGCCCTTGGAGGGTTTTCTGGCCCATGGTTGATAGTGACGGCTCTGTGTTGTTTGGAAAAGGGGTAGTGGTGAGTGAGAGGAACTGAAGAAGCTCTGTGGGCTGCAGCAAAGAGAAGACATACCTCATCTCCCTCTTACTTGTATTACTATTTATGCCTCTCCCCCTAGAGTGCGCTTGGCACCGATGAACAGAGTTACAGAGGCTATCCCGGTTCACACTCGCTGATCAGCTTGAATCTCGGGCCGTTCGTCCTGCAATGACACCTCCCGCTGCCCAGCCTAAACCGACTTGGCATCTCGGAAGAAGTGCTTGGCAACCGTTCCCGGTATCTCCGGGCAAGGAGCGGGAGGTGGGCCCCGGAGAGCCAAGATTATAGGTCCGGCTTCTCCCTATTTCGCCGACGGCAGACTGAAACTGGGACTGGGAACCGGGATGGAAGTTGGCCGTGGGGCAGTGGGTGCAGGTTAACTGCTAATCCTACTGCATGAGGTATGCCCGGCGTGGAACCCACACCTGGTCCCTGAGATCCTTACCCCGTTTCGAAACACCTCGCCATGTTCTCGACTCTCGTTGGAGCGGCTGCGCGTGTACTTCATATTAATGGAGCATGACACCGCTGCGGCGGTCCATTGACATATGTCTGGTGGAAATATTCAGGGGCCTTTCCCCTTTCCCAACTTTAGTCCCGACCTCACTGGCTCTGTCTTGCAGACCCCAGCTAACCATGCCGTCGGCCGCGCAAAAGTCGGCATTGGACTTGCAATTGCTCGCTTGGAAGACTTCACGGATGTGCAGCTTTTTCACGCTGTTGTCCTAGCCCACAAGAGCCTGCCCCAAGCCTTAAGATAACGGCGGCTAGGCCCGGGAATTACCCATAGGTACCAGACCCGAACCCAAAGTACCCAGCACCATGACTAACAAGGTGGCTTATGCTCGCGGTATTTTCCACCAGCATTAAGGTATGTCTGCTTTGCGATCTCGGTAATGAGACCACCGTTTGCTTGATGATCGGTAATATAGTATTGACGGCCTTTGTGCAGGATAACATTGTTGCTGCCATAGGCGGTATAACGGAGCCGAGATGGCTCAGCTGTATGCGGTTCTAGCCGCCTCAGAGCGAAGCGTATAAAGCACAAAACCACCCTCCCACACGCTGGTGCAGGACTTGCAGTTGGACCAACCCACGCTTAACCAAGCCGACTATGGCCCCCTCAAGTATTTTCCCGCCCTAGTGCCGATCGAAACGAAGACGACTAGAGGTGTTCTCGAGGATACCAAGGTACAGCTTGGCGTCTTGGTGGCTGCCTGGTTTCGGCAGATACGGCTCTACTGTCCCGGCGCACCGACAAGGCAGCTATCTCGATGCCGGTAATCACGGTGGATAGAGCGAGGTGTGCTGTCCATTATGTGTGTGAGTGTGAGGGCGAGATCATCATCTACGGCCCACATGACCTTGGGACACTCACGATGGACGGTATCTACAAGCTGTTGGGAGGGCGGCGTACAGGAACAGTTGGTGTGGTGAAGGGCGAGAGCCTTGCGTTGTCGTCACTTATCGAGGACTTTGGTGGGACAACGTACCTCGGACAGGGTGGTCCGCGCAAGTCTTAGATATAAATCATGTGATAGGGGCCTTCCACCCCACCTTTCGCGGGATTAGGGTGATACCATCACAAGAAATCCTCTTTGGCTTTCGTCGCTCCCTCTCAGCCCCCCCACATTGGCTTAACTTTTAGCTTCTCGCTTCGCGACTAGCCGCCCCCACAAGATGACGTCCTCCAACCTTGCAATTATTAGCACGGCCCTCTCCGACAGCACGCTTCAGGGCCTGAGGGACGAGTTTGAAGACCGCGTCTTCAGAGGCGTCGACGGCTTCTTTGCCAAATATTTTGACAAAAAGCCCTGGGCCCCGCTTGTCGCCGCCGCCGCTGCCGGGTCTGGTTTTCCACACCTGGATGCGGTGATGAAACAGGTTCAATCCCTTGTTCCCACCTTGCGCAGCGACACAGCTGGAATCCATTTCCGCAGCGAGCCGCTCAACAAGCCGGGCGATCCCCTCAGCGCCGCCATCTACCTGTTGACGGGACAACAGGCCCACCATATCGCGCCAAGCAACATCCGCGTATGCGGCCAATCCTATCACGCAACCACCAATGACCACAACGACACCCACATCCTCCGCCTCTACCACCAGGCAACCCAAGTGTTCAAGGCCCAGCCTACAAGATACTTCCTGCATGGCTTCTTGGTCAACGGAAGCACGCTGGAGCTCTGGGTTTTCGACCGGTCGGGCGCCTACAGCAGCGAGACATTCGACCTGCGGCAGAGACCAAACCTACTCCTTCAGATTTTGTGTGGATACGCCTGCATGAGCGACGAGGAAGCCGGGCTCAACTCGTTTGTCAAGCGTTGCGAAGCGAACAAGACGACCTACGTCGAGTTCGATGACCAGGAAGACAACAGGTTCTATCTTGGGCCTGACTGGATAGCAGCGCCGAGCTATCTCGTAGGGCTCGGAACAGCCTGCCTTGGAGCGTCGAGGTCTGCGTCCACTGCTGTGGTGGACCCTGACGCTGTCGTCAAGTTCTCGTGGCGGGAGGATGATGCGACGCATCCCGAGTTGCAGCTGCTGGAGCTTGCGCGGAAGCGCAACGTCAAAGGCATTATTCAAGTTCTCGGCAACCAGGACCTGGTCAGCATCGCGCACCTCCGCAGCGGACTGCAGTTTCCGCAGCCCTTGGTCAACCGGACACTGTCGTGCGTGGTGACCTCTCCTCGGGGGTGGCCGATCCAAAAGTTCGCCTCGATCCCGGAACTCTTGCACGCACTAGGAGACCTTGTCGAAGCCCTTGGCTCTCTCTATTTGGATGGCGGAATCATCCACCGCGACGTGGCCATCAAGAACCTTATCATCGCCCCGCAGCCAGGCGCGGGGCGTCGCAAGGGTGTCCTCATTGACTTCGACCTTGCCTTGGATGTCGAGAACGCACGGGCGCTCGAGCCCATGATGGGATCCGAGGGGTTCATGGCTATCGGCATACTTTCCGGGCAGAAGCACACGTACCGTCATGACCTGGAGTCTCTCTTCTACGTACTCCTATGGCTGGCTATCGGGAACAACCACGAGGCTGACGACGCCTCGGGTATCATGCAGGGCCTGCCAGAGGGTTCACGGCTGCGCAAGTGGTGCGGGATGGACTTTGGCGCTATCCGGCGGGACAAGGCTGCCGACATGAGCCCAGAGGGTTTTGTGGCTATGCTGGACGAGTTCTCACCCGACTTTGCCCCTGTTCAAGACCTGACTAGGGAGCTGCACGCGTTACTTTTCCCTTTGCATGACGGCAGGATTTTCACTGGGACTGAGATGGACCGGGCCGCTGCCAAGCGGCTCTATGACGGCATGGCAGCCGCCTTTCACAAAAGTGCCTCCTCGTTTCCAATGTAATTGGAGGGGTGGGGGGGGGGGGGGGGGGCAGGGAAAAGGAGGAGGAAGCAAGGAAATGAGGGTCAAAAAGGGAAAAGACAGTGAAAAGCAGCCCACCACGGCGACTGGGAAACAGAGGGTGGACATAGAATCTAGTATGGCTAGAAGATACCGTGGGCGAGGGATGCCAGTTGAACGCTCACTGCCTTACCCAATCTGCCAACTAGGTTAATGCGGAATAAACAACTCATCTCAGTCTCACTCCCGTTCTATTCCCTCCCCTTAAGGACCATCTGCGGAATATCGGTTAGGTTAGCAGTCAGATCCCCCTCGTTTCGGCAACTTCAACTCTCGGTATGCGAGAATCGGCGCGACACCGGCATTAACAAACTAAACTCGACACCCTCGTAGTGTACTTTGACAAAGGGGACGGCGAGGTGGGTGCTAATGAGGGAGATGAGCGCAGACTCGATGGCTGAGTTAGTTCACACTCACGCAGCTAATTAGCTCCTGGCAGGGCTCCAACCGTGGGCAGCAAGGCACTCCATCCAACCAACTCGAGTCGCCCCTTCCACACTTTTCAACTGGAGTTTCATGAAATATCAAACTAGAGAGCTCCGGTGGGGGTAGGAGAATACGACCGGAAATTTCTTCACTAAAAAAAGAAAAGAGAAAAGGGGGCGGAAAAGGCGGCATGGTGCTGGGGATATAAGAATGTCCGCTCCCAGTTGGTGGCCGAACCTCCCCTCTCAATCACTGCTTTCCCTGGCGCAAAGCGAAACGATTCAGGCGCGGTAGGATGCATTTGGCAGCGGTGACTAAGACGGAGATACTGCAGTGCGGGATTTCTCTTACGAGAAAAGGCGGTCAACAGAGCCCGTGTATGTATGTGGGCAAATGTGCCGGTGAAAGCTTGAGGACCACGCAAGGGGTAGGCTGTACATAATGCACGTAGGAGGGAGGGGGTGGCGTGTAATAGTGATCGACGAAAAGCGACACGATCGAGGCAGCGTGGCGGGTGCAGCCAGTTAGCACCCACGACGACGATGCGTGCCGTCGGGGCATCGGGGGGATCGGGCAAGCCAGAAAGGAGAAACAGGGGCCGGTCTAGAGTTTCTGACACAGAGCGGTGAGCTACAAGTTATACAACCCTTCCGTCTTTTTGTTCCCAGATATTAACAAGAATGACCGGGGACACCGACCAAGATGCCCGGAACAATTCCACTCAACAGGGTGCTAGAAAACCTGAGACAATGAACAAGCCTCTTAACCATATTTAACTGTTGAATCTTAGAATAGGCAAGAAGGAATCAATAGACAGTGCTGGTATTCCCCAAAACGTTCGTTTACGGTTTCTCAGTAAGCAGGCATCATACAACTCAACAAGACAAAACACACAAGACATACCCATGCCAGACCATTGGAGATCGGTTTGCGGTTCAAGCGCACTCTTACCCACCCATATTCCTGTCTTCAACCAAACTGCGCTCTCGGTCCCGTTGTGTAAGGCTCTGTTTTCTGTCATGAGCATGGTTCTGCATGCGACTCTTAATATTAGCTTGTGACTTGTCTCCTCACGCCGCAGACCGCCCAAGAAATCATTGCTGCCCAACGAACACAAGTTTACCATCTTGAGCCACACTCCGTCAGCCCGGCATTCGAACCCGCCGTCTTATACCTCGTCAAGTTGTTTCGTTCGAATGGGATCGTTTGCTGCGATGAGAGTTCAGCTCGCCAAGAGGAGATCGACACTGGTGCACAAGAAGGGGGCTATGTATACAGACGGGGCGTCCAATAGAACTATCATATGTTTCTTCACCGACCGTCACACGGACGTCGAGCCGGTGCGTCGGGCACTCCACATCAGGAAGGTGTACGACATTGTTTGTGGGTACCGAAGCCTCTCGGTCAGATGCCCATAATCGCTGTGCGACTTAATTAGAGTTCTAGTCTTAAAGTCTAACGGTTAACCTCATTATATCAGCCTTACGTGTCTATACTTTGGCCTGTTCGGAGTTGGCAAAGAACTATTCTAGGCGGTAACTACCTACCTATCTAGGTGCCTTTGTGATGGGTTCTGAAGAGTGGCTTCTTGGACATGGAGAGTTTGTGAACCCGGCAACGCTTAGACCACCAAGGAGGCCAGAAACTGTGAGCCCATGGTACGGCAGGCAAGGGACAACCGAACTCCTGGATCTGGGTGTGCTGCACTTTGCATACAGTGTAACAAGCCGCAGTAACTGGGCCTTTCTTCTGCTTTGCCGATCAATACCATTTAATACGCCGGTCCGACCCCTTGAGTGGTCCACGTCTCTCAGCCCGAGCGGGGAATTGCAGTAAGGGAGAGCCTTGCCGTTGACAAGGCTCGGGCTCAGTGAAAGTCGCGCATGCATGTTGCAGGGGTTTCCCCAGAATGTTTGCCAGGCTGATCGGCAAGCTCATCGACTGAGCTGAACCAGGCCCAGTAACCGATATCCAACCTTCCGAAGGCTGAAAGCTCGCCCTGGATGCCTTTCTTGGAGGAGTGATTCGGTATAAGAAGACTTTTCTTGGAGGCGTTATTCGGTATAAGAAGACCATCAGACTCCATCAACTTGCCACATCGACATCCCCTAAGCCTGGCATCACAACTCAAGTACCAAGCAACCCAACACCCCCTAAAACAGCCCTTCAAAAAAACCACATCCATCCACCCAAAATGAAGTTCTCCCTCGCCGTCCTCCTCCTCACCCCCTTCGCCCTCGCCGGCAGCCTGCCCGAGAAGGGGGAGGTCGGCGCCGACGCGGTGGCCGCGGGCGTCGCCGGCTCCGACGTCCCCAAGGGAGACGGCGGCCTCAAAGCGGCGGCGCTGTACTGCCCCATCAACTACCCCTACTACTGCCCCGCCGGCTTCTGCTGCCAGGGCAGCAAATGCTGCGACCTCGAGTGCTGCACCGACGCGGCCACCTTCTGCTCGTACGGCCGGTGCTACCGCTAGAGTCTGGTCCGTGTGAGCATGGGTTTGGGGGGTGTGATGGATCTGGTGCGGGAGGTGAGATGCTGTGCTTCACTTCTTCTTCCGTGTTTTGTTCGTGGCTGATAATGTTTTGATGAAGCTAGGTCATGGTTTCATATTCATATTGGGGGGGTGGGGGTGTTGGATGCCACTTCCTTGAGGGGCTCCCGATCCGGTCGCTGTTGGGTATGTCTGGTTCCCTGGAGGCAACGCTGCTGTCGGGGCAAATTGGGAAACAGGCAGGATACACGAGGATTGTTTTACCGCATTACCATTCTTTGGCTTGGATTGTGCTCGCGTCAGCGTCCGGTAGATTTGTGGGCGCTTGGAACAAGGCTCAATTTGTGTTCTTGGGGGGCTGCCCTGTAATACATATCTGCTAGTTGTTGCACGCGGCCAATATTATATCCTTTTGAGGTCATGGTTGACTGGTAATGCCACAGGCTGTCTAACGCTCGACGCTCTTATCCGTCTTCTCCGCTGTCGTCTGTTTCTCCCACATCGAATGATAGCGGCCCCCGAGAGCGAGCAGCTCCAGGTGGGTTCCACGCTCGACGACGCTTCCCTTGTGGAGCACAACAATCTGATCCGAGCCCGTAATGGTCGACAGGCGGTGGGCGATCGTGACGGTGGTGCGGCCATACGTGACTCTCTCCAGGGCGTCTTGGATCAGCCTCTCGGTATGCGAGTCCAGCGACGCCGTGGCCTCGTCCAGCAGCAAGATAGGGGCGTCCTTGAGGATGGCGCGAGCGATAGCGACGCGCTGCCGCTCGCCACCGGACAGCTTCAAGCCTCGCTCTCCAACCAAGGTTGCGTATTGGTCCGGGAAGTCCATGATGCGGTCGTGGATGTTGGCCGCCTTGCAGGCCTCGTAAACATCGGCTTCGGTGGCGGTTGGACTGGCGTAAAGCAGGTTGTACATGATGGTCGCGTTGAATAGCACCGTGTCCTGGGGCACCACGCCGATACTCGTCCGGAGACTGTCGAGCTTCAGGTCCCGGAGGTCATGCCCATCGACGGTGACAGCACCGTCGTCCACGTCGTAAAACCTGAAGAGGAGCTTGAGGCAAGTCGACTTTCCACTGCCCGACTCGCCAACGATGGCTGTCTTGGTGCCCGGGGCCACCTTGAAGCTGATGCCGTCGATGGCGGGCTTGTTCTTGCCAGCCTTGCCTTGGTAGGCAAATTTCACGTCTCGGAATTCCACTTCTCCCCGAGGGTCGGCTAGCTTGGTAGCGTCGGGCTTTTCAATGACTCCGGAAGTCTCTTTGAACAGATCCAGCATACGCTCCGCTTCGATCAGGTTGTTCTGGAGCATAGTGTAATACGTTCCAAAAAAGTTCAGGGGAGCCTGCAGCTGTGAGAAATAGACAATCAGGCTCACGAATTCCGACACGGTCTGTTGGCCCTTGGAGATCTTGTAGGCGGATACGGCAACGAGTAAGGCTGTCCCCACAGAGAAGATGGAACTCTGTGTGAGGTTCAGACCGTTCAGCGACCACAGGACCAGACGCTCGGCCTTTTGGTAGGTGACGACCTGGCCGCGGAAGCGCTCCGTCTCGGGACCAACAGCGCAGTTGTGCTGCACCGTCTCGTAGGCCATTATCGCGTCCGTCTTGACGGCGTCCATCTCGCGCGATTTCACGGCCATGTCCCGGCGCTGGCGCCCGCGGTACTTGGCCATGTAGATGGTCAAGAAGATGTACGACCACATGATGAAAAAGACGATGATGGTGTAAAAGGCGTCGTACTTGACGAAGAATAGAATGCCGGCGACAAAGATGTCGAAGACCATGGGGAACACCTGGAAGACAAAGTTCTCAAGGAAGCTGTTCATGGCGGCGCCGCGGCTGAGGGCAGTGGTGACCTCGCCAATCTTTTTGCTGAGGTGGAAGTCGAGAGAGAGGCCGAGCACGTGTTCGAAGGCGGCACATGAGAGGCGGCGGAAGAGCGATTGCGAGACGGGAATCCACAGGACCGAGCGGGCGGCACCAATGGCCCCCTGGTTACCCTGCAACGCGCGGTAGACAACGTATAGCACGATGTCTCGATACGGAATGCGGCCGTATCCCAGGGACTCAACCAACACGCCAAGCTGCAACGGAACCATCAGGTTCACAATGCGCTGGCAGATTAGCAGGATCAAGCAGACCACGACAGTGGCCTGGTACAGGACCGAGTCCTTGGGCCACAGGTAGGGGAAAAGGACGCGAAAACCGGCGAAGTAGTCGAACCATCCCGAGCTCTGAGGGTCACGCGGCTTCTTTCCTCCGGGGGCTGCGTGACCGTTGCCGTTTTCCAATAGGCCCTGACGCTCCCCGGTAGTCGAGCTCAACAGAGATGATCGCAGGGCATAGTGACGGCGTACCGTGAGGCCTATCATGACAACCAAGGTGGCAATTCTGGCTATGCCCAAACCGATCAGGGCATCTCGTAGTTTCGGCTGCAAGTTGATATATCGCTGTTGGGTACCGAACAGGGCTATGATGACGCCCTCGAGCATTGCGCCAGCAATCCAAGAGTGGCAGTTGGAAGCGGTGGGCGACCATGGCCCATCAGGGTTCGGCAGCAGGCCAGCGAGGAAGAAGAGAAGAAGGCCGACATGGGCAGCGAGGTAGGCGCTGTAGGGGAAATTCCGATGGGTTTGGGTCCCTGCGACGGCATCTCGAACGACGAGAATGATGGCAGCGAGTAGCAAGAGGTTGAGAACGAATTGGCTGGCCCAGATCAGACGCGCATAGAAGCGTCGGATGCCGGGGGCTTCCTTGTCATCAAGAGCCGAGTCATTGTCGTCATCGGCGCCATTGATCCGTCGCTGTCGGCTGCGGTAATAGTAGATGGATTGTGATGCAAACAGAACCACAAATAGCCCGCAGGGGTAAAGGTAGAAGGCTACCTCGAGCCCCAGCTGAACTCCAGCCATGGCGCTGCGGACTGGTGAGCCTGTGGGATGGCTTCGAAACTCGCGAATTTATTGGTTGGCAGAAAGATGGGAATCGTCGGAGAAGCGCGGATCTCGTCGCCAAACGCGAAGTGTAACCGGCCTAGCCGGCTTTGGCAGGCATCCATGTTGCGTCGTCACGTGCGGCATCGGGCAAGAAAATCCGGGGCTTTCTGGAGAAGTGCCCGAGCATTGAGTGTCCCAAAGTGCGAAGTCCTGCCAACGTCTCTCAAGAATGAGACAACATCAACTTCCTCCTGGTGGTGTGGGAATGCATTGGACCCCTTTATAACACGCGTTAATGTTCGGACGAAAAACATCAATTTTTATTTTCTTCAAACTTTCTGTGCCACAGTGATTGAAGAACGCGGGACGTGAAGACCTCGTTATTAACTTATTGATCTCTTACTTTCTCTTGGCACAATGCCCGCGAGATCATTCGTAACAGATCCATTTTATTGTACTTCCACACCGTTTTAACGCTTCGAAAGTACTCCAAAGGTCAAAGAGTTTGCGCCATACAGCAACCCGGCCCCTTTCTCCCACCCTTCAACGCCAACCCCTTGCAAAATCGGTCATCATCCGCAGTGCCGCGCCATCCTTTCCAATCCAAGGCGACTTAGCCAGGTGGACATCCTCGAACCAACCATTCATTAGCATCCATAATCGTTTCGACCCTCTCGGGGGCTGTTCATGAATCGCGACGCCAAGAGCGGAAAGCATTTTCCGGGCATCAAGGGGAAACCAACCTAGGAAAGTTTGGGAGGTTGAAAACGTAATGGTGGTGGGTAGCACAGGCTCGCCCGAAGCCTCCGGCAGACTGCTACATAGTTCTCTTCGGAAATGGAGCTGTTGAATGAAATTTTCAGTCTTGACCTAGAAATTGGTCATTGGTATCCATCCTGTCCCATAGCTTGGCGTAATTGTGTCACGGTGAGTCTCTGCCTCTTTCAACTACACGCATTCTACTCGCCAAATTAGCGCCTTAAACTAGTTGATTGGAAGGGCTGTTTAAACCAAAATACCAATCACCGGTGTGCCCACATCCGACAACCTCTTTGGGCTGCTAGGGTATGCCGTGTAATGTGTGCAGGTAGATAGTTGATGTGAAAGCATGCCGAACGCAATTGGGAAGGCAACCCCCACTCGCAACTCGAGAATTTGAACTTCTCGGAAATAACCCCCAACCCCCAAACCGCCCCAACTGAAGTTCCGTCTTGAACCTCTCAAAACAAGGCTTGAATCTCCACTTCTTTGAGCCTTGACTAATCCTCATCACAAAATGCCCACCAGAGCGAAAGTCAACAAGGTAATGAGCAATCAGATAAGCCTCTTATCTCGGCGTAACCTAACATGCACGCCGAGAGAAGCCAATAAACGTGTGGGTCGTCCGTATCAAATACAAGGCCTCACCCCTCGGCGCTCACTGCAACACCAGCCCGCCGTGCACCCATGGCCGATCGGGAGAGGGGCACATGCTGCGTGGTGGGCAACCAACGCTGCCGCTCGATGCTTCCGAGAATGAAGTCACCCGACGTTGAGCCTTCCCCGCCGACCTGTCCACTCTGAAATTTTCACCACTTTTGAACCACTGCATTTCGAGTGCTGCTGCATTTATTAACCCCCTCGTTCCCGGGCATATAGAATGCCGGACGTTTGAACTTTTATCATTATTGTAAACCTGAACAACTTCACACGGCTGGTAGTAAATATCGGCGTGAATACCAGCTTCATTCGTTATATACGCTCACTGTCACTACTCACTATCCATCATGCCCTTCCGCATCCGACTTCCTCACCCGAAATGGCCATCACAATGGCCCGTCCCTCGATATCTGAGTGTCATCCCCCTCCCCGCCGCCCAACTTATCAGCCTGCTCATTCTCGTTAACGGGCTCGTCTGGGTTGCTGCCGGCATCCTGTTGCGTACGAGCTTAAACTCCCGGACCCCTTCATCAACACCTCTTCCACCTCCCGAACATACCCAACTAACACCGCCGCAGATTACAACCCCAAGCTCATCTCCCCCGCTGTCCTCTCCTAGTACGTGATACCACCCACCTCCCATCCCCAACCCCACCCAACTCAGAACATCACCACCCCCAAAACACCACCCACTAACCCCCCCCCCCCCTTGTACACAGCACCCTCGGCCTCCGCCACGCCCTCGACGCCGACCACATCTCGGCCATCGACCTGACCACCCGCCGCCTCATCGCCGCCGGCCAGCGGCCCGTCGCCGTCGGCACCTTCTTCAGCCTCGGCCACTCCACCGTCGTCGTCGTGACTTGTGTCGTCGTCGCCGCCACGGCGGGCGCCCTGCGCGAGCGGTTTGAGGATTTTCAGCGCGTTGGGGGGATTATTGGGACGAGTGTGTCCGCGGCGTTTTTGTTGTTGCTTTGTGTGGGGAATGGGTGGGTTTTGTGGCGGTTGGTGAGGCGGGTGAGGGTGGTGGTGGAGGAGCAGAGGGTTGCGAGGGAGAGGGGGGGAGGGGAGGGGTTTGTGGATGGTGCTGGGGAGGGACCCGGTGGGGAGGAGGGTGGTGTGGATGTTGCGACGGGGCAGCAGGGCTTGCAGTTGGAGGGGCCGGGGTTTTTGGCGACGGTGTTTAGGCGAGTGTTTAAGATGGTCGATCGGCCGTGGAAGATGCTGCCGTTGGGGATTTTGTTTGGGTTGGGGTTTGATACCAGCTCCGAGATTGCCATCTTGGGGATTGCGAGTATCCAGGCCGCTCAGGGGACGAGTATGTGGGTGATTCTGATCTTCCCGGCACTGTTCACTGGTGAGTGCTACCCCTTTTCGTCTTGTGGTTGAGGTGGTGATGCTGAATGACGGACAACAGCTGGCATGTGTCTGCTGGACACCACCGACGGTGCGCTCATGATGGCACTATACACATCCAAGGCATTCTCCCGGGACGTCGTGGCCATCCTCTACTACTCCATCGTCCTGACCGGCATTACCGTCTTCGTCTCGGCTTTCATCGGCATCATCCAAGTCCTGTCCCTGATTGATCACGTCGCCGAACCAGATGGGAGCTTTTGGGAGGGTGTCGGGGCGATTGGCGACTACTACGACATCATCGGTGGCTGTATCTGCGGGCTCTTCCTGCTCGTCGGTGTCGGTTCGGTCCTCGTTTACCGACCTTGGAGGCGTCGGATGGATAAGAAGGCCGATCGACGGGCAGCTGCGAGCTCCGAACCCCAGAGTCCCGACCCTTTGCTCCCCCAAAATGAAGCCCGGCCCCCTAGTTATGGTGCCGCAGACACTGAACCGCGGGACAAGAAGCCGGATGCCGTCACTACAACGCCGGTCTGAGCTCTGCAAGATGGATGTGACCCAAGATAGCTCTTACGCGTTGAGGGTCACGCTGATGTACTAACTCTCATCCTATCGAGATACCCGGGAAGGCTTTCGGTTCCAATGGGCTTACTTGGGCCGATACCCCTCGCACTTTATCGAATCGATGTTTTACGAGCTTACGTGTCTTGATAGACCGTAGCGTAGAAATTTTGAACTGCAACAACAGATGTTGCAAAACAGTCCGTGTCCCCGAACCAGAGTCCCCGTGACTCGCCAGTTACCGTTCCAATTCGTTTTAGTGTCCTCCCCATCCGCTCCAATAGTTGATGTAATCCAGTCGCTCGTTCATTGATGTCAAAGGTTGTATCAGGGCCTATGGGAGCCAGTACACTCCTCCCGACGTCCAACGAAAGCAGTGTTGCCCGATAGGCAAGGACGAGATTGAGGGAAGGCGCCGAAATGAGGATTGCCTTTTCGTCTGAAAGGCAACCTCGTGAACATGATGCTTCCTTTACCTGTGTATCTTCGGCAGCGTGGGGGAAGTGGACTGCTGCTAAGAGATTTGATTGCCAAAGATAATTGCCGGTTATGGCAAGAAGGTGAACACCGGATTCCAATAACACCTAGTGATAAACCACCGGCTGAAACTTGAATATGGGGTTTGCTCCTCCGCTGAGACCCCGAGCGCCGGATTTCTATACCGTGATGACCTCGGTCTCACTGATCCCGCAACACCAGACAACCGACGGGATAGGCCGGAGATGGGAAACTAAGGCTGAATCATCACACACGCCTTCGTCGTACAATGCTATATGCGCCCTTCGCAATTTCCCGCTGTCTTGTGTTACCGGAGCTTTGACGTCGTGTACACCTGTCATGTCAAGCGCTTGTTGTCAGACACTTCTTAGACAGTGCTCAGACATGCCCCCCCGCCCCCCTAGACACTCCGAGATCAGACACATACAGCGTTCAAGAAAAGGCGGATTAAATATTTCGATTAGATGCCCTGACTACGTATCTATGTTCATCCTTAGGTCAATATGTCATTAGAAATTAATATGATGTTGTTTGTTTCTCCCCGGTCCGGCCGTCGTCAAATACCTCAGCAATCTGAACCCCTGATCTTCTAAGCCGCATGCATAGCCGATCGAACCGCGCCACGGGGTGGGCGGTCGGGCCTCTCTATCCCCGCACCTACCAGCGCCACGAACAGAATAAGAAATAGTGGGTGATGTAGAGGTTGTACGCGTTGAGAACCAACAGCGGGATCGTGTGGTACCACGGGAATCCCGTCACCAAACGGTAGGTCACGGCGGCGATCACGCCCCCGACCGAGACGATCGTCCACAGCCAGCAGAGGATGCGCATGTTGCGGTACTTGTGGCTCTTGTGGGCCTTCTTGTCGCCCGACGCCGCCCAGAGCAGCTCGATGCCGAACAGCCGGTCCTTGATGGCCGTCAGGTAGGCGTACGACTGCACCACCATGATGTGCTGCACGTTGAACCCGTATTTGGCTTTGGCCCAGAACCGGAACAGCAGCGAGCCGTAGATGATGGACGGGATGGCAAAGGCCAGGTTGTAGTACTTGAACCACTCTGGGCGTAAGAACAAAAGGAGGGTGCCCGGGATGGGCGAGATGAAGATGCCGAGCGAGACGGCCGAGTAGTAAAGGAGACCTGGGATGTCAGCGGAGTGGTTATTCCGTGGGATCAACTCTCAACTTACCACAGAGATAGCAAATCTTTTGCATAAACGTCAAGTTCGACACCCAAAAGTGCTTGGTGGTAAGCAGCGTAGTGCTGCCGCGCGCCCAGCGCATCTGCTGCGAGAAGAAGGAGCGCGGTGTGTTCGGACAGATGCCCGTCGCCAGACACAGCGGGACATACTTGACCTTCCAGCCGCGGTCCACAGCTCCAAACCTGTGCTTGTCAGTCCTCTACCCCCAAACCCTCACGAAGACTCGGACAAACTCACCCAGTATGAACATCCTCCGAGAACCCAATCTCTGCCGTCCCACCCACCTCCTCCAGCGCAGCCCTCCTATAGACCGCATTACTACCCACGCAGATCGACGCCCCCCACCGGTTCCGGTTCACCTGCACGACGCGGTAAAACAGCTCCTGCGTCGCCCCCGCGCCCTGCTCAACCCAGGTCTGGTCATCCGTAACGCGGAAGTACTGCGGGCTCTGCACAATCGCCGTCTTATCATCCGCCAGGTGCTCGACAACGAGCTCCCGGAGAAAGTCCGGGCGCGGACAGAAATCCGCATCAAAAATCGCAAAGAAATCGCCCTCGGTGCGACTGAACGCCCAGCGCAGGTTACCCGCCTTGCGCAGGCGCGGACGGTCGTCGCGCACCATGTACTCGAAGCCATAGCGGGCCGCGAGGGCGCGCACGGCGGGCTGGTCGCCGTCGTCGAGGACGTGGACCCTGAGCTTGGGCGCGGGCCAGTCGAGGCGCAGGATGTGGCGGTAGGTGTTCTCGAGGATCTCGAGCGGTTCGGCGCAGCAGGGCAGGTAGACATCGACGGTGGGCGCGGAGTCGGGCGTGATGGGGTGCTGGGCGACCAGGGCCTGGTGCGCCGCGTAGTCCCAGTCGCGGCCGATGATGCCGACGAAGTAGGAGATGAGCAGGTAGATGTTGAGGAAGCCGACGAAGACGCCGTACCAGGCGAAGATGGGCGAGCTGACGGCGAAGAGCCACATGCCGGCGGAGAGGGTCAGGAAGGAGATGACGCCGAAGATGTAGAGGGGGATGCGGTTCGTGCTGATGTACTCGAGCTTTTCCTTGTCGGTTGGGCCCGTCGGGAAGACGAGGCCCGGTTCCTCGAGCGGGCAGTACGTTCGCCGGAACGCGCCGTAGCTGCGTTTGAAAGGGTTGCGGCTTTTCTTGGGCGTGTCTGTCGTTTCTGCTGCCGTCACGCCCCCCTTTTCCGGGTCGGAAGCGGTGGCGGCAGCAGGGATTGCTCCCTGCGCGACGTCCGCGTCTGAGCCGGAGGGATGACCCGTCTTCGCGTTGAGGGTCTCTCCAGGCCTTGGAGCAGGAGTCTGCTTCTGTGTTAGTGGTTAAGGGGATCGGTCATGCTGGATTACTTACAATATCATCCTCATCTCGCCTTCGCCGCTGTACAACCGGCAGTGGTCGTGTTGGGGCAGGGCCGGGTGCGTCCTTGGTTGTACATTAGCTTTACGAAAGGATGAAAAAGAGGTTAAACATGAGGTTACATACAAGCGATGTCCTTGAACCAGCCGTAGGAGACGACGTCTGGGACGGGTCCCTGAAGGGATCGCGGGTCCCACCGCTTGACGGGTTGCTCTGCTGTGAACCCGGCGTCCCAGGCCGGGAGGGATGGAGGTTAGCCATCGGGAACAGGTATCCGATCGTGTGTTTAGGCAAGAACGAATTGTTTACTGTCCCAAGTGAGCGTCACTGGGGTCCACTGCCACTGGCGGGACACTTGAACGAACGTACGGCGGCTTTGACACGCCCGCCATATAAGGAGCCGATGGGTGAATACCTAAACAGTGGGTAAATCAACTGTCGGGAACGGGAAGTTGCGGTGACGTCGTGTCGGTGGCACATCGGCGCAAGCTGCACAACGATCTGCCCGAGGGAAAAGTAACCATCGAATTTGCGGGCGGGGGTGGTTCAGTCTGCTATCTCTGAAAAGGAAAGATGATCGTCAAGCCGAGATATCCCAAGATCTTGTCCGCCGGGGCGGAAGCTCGGGCTCAGTCAGACCGAGGAGTATGCCCGAGTCACCGGTTTACTGCGCCCCCGCATGAATAGGGTGAAAGAGAAAAAGAAAATGTCCAATGCAGTCTAGTTGTGTGTGTACACCCTTCCCAATGCAGGTACCCTTTCTCCAGATTAGGATAGGCTGCCACCCGTAACTGGACATTTGATCAGAGAAAAACCACCATCAAGCCAACAATTCCGCTGATCGACATGCCCGATAGCCACGGTCGATAGAGGCGTCCGGCGGACGGGGACGGAACGGCTGACGGAGTAGATTCCAGGGTGGGAATAGGCGCCATGTTGAGTGTTGGGGCAGGTCCGATCAGCACGTTCGCATCGTACCTCGTCGCTGAGAAGGTGACGTTCCCGTCAGCATGGTAGCCCTCGGTTCCAAACCCGATGAGTCCCATGTTCGATCCGGCGGACACCAAGCCATTCCGCCACAGATACTGAAGCAGCGGCGATATATCAGCCGAGAAGCTTGTCTCGTTAGACTGCGCGGCCCATGTGAATACGGAGGTGCCTCTCTGGTTCGTTCCCAGATACAAGGCGCTGCGGTGGTTTCGTGGTGGTTAGCAAACATAGAACAGCTTGGGGCTTTGTCACTCTGGCAAGTCACTGTCGACAGTCCATCCCGAGTCCCAACTCAGACAAGACCTACAAGTCGACGTGGCCCACGGCCAACTTTGCCCGATAAGATTCGGTCCCCTCATACCCCAATGGTTGGGCGTAGCCAACCCTGCCGAGCCAGACCATGATCTCGGTCTCCGCCTCCGTCTCCTGCTGCGACTTGCCAGGGTTGCGGTCAGCGAAGATATCGAAAGCGGCATTCGCCGAGGCGTCGAGCTTCGCCAAGCCGGGCGAGTCGATACCGGGCACAGACCGCGATGTCGATCCAGGGCCCATGGCCCACTGGGCCGAGAGCGTCAGGGCCGAGATGTTGGACAGGGGTACCGGGAGGGCAGGGTCTGAGAACTTGACGTGGGGGTACGAGTGGACGGACCCCGGGTCCGACGACCACTTCCAGGTCACGTCGAAGGCCGGCGGTGAATCCCGGATCTGGCCTCTCCTTCGTTAGCCCGAGCGGTAAGCGCGGGAGGGAAGGTGTGTTGGCCGATCACTAACCGCGACGCAGGAGAACCCTTTGCTGTCTGCGTTCCATGCGTTCGGGACATCTGGTGCCAGGTTAGTCCTTCTAGCGGCCGCGCGAGCAACGACGAAACGGGTGTCTTACATGTCAACCCGGTCCCAGGGGTGTCGTAACTGCCGTTGTTACAGAGCTTCGCATCGTACGCGCTATCGGCAACTTGAACCCACAGGGCGATGACGGGGAGTACAGGAATCGGTGACCGCATGCTGGGCAACGTGTTGCGTGGTGCTAGAGAGGGCATGAAGGGAAGCCGGGAATTGCAATGCATTACTCCGCCGGTCTTCCATTGATAAAGCCGCAAGTTGCCCTGCTGTGCTGCTTCTTGCGCCTCGATTTCCAGACTCCAGAGATCGCCTCGGAAGCTCGCACAGCGCCGAGTGCTTTTGCGTGGCGGGTGGCTGGGGTAATCCGGGTCGGACAAGTATCCCAGCAAACCTTCCGGGCTGAAGAGCTTACCGGCTTCTTTTTTGCGAGGTACCAGAGTGACACACCGCGGTGAGGGCGCGCCACCTACGTAGGTGCTGATACGGGGTCGAAGTTTGAGACGAGGTCTAGCAGCGGCTACGTTGAGCGGGAGCTTCCGCTCACACCGCGTTGGGCCGCATGGGGCGAAGGCCCGTTATGCTAGGGCTGGTCCGTCACCAGGGTTCACAAATAAACCCCGAGCAGATCCTTGATGCAGCGTTGATCCACGCCTTGTTGTCGGACAGATAGACCAGCGGCAAGATATGCCAAGTCCGAACTAGGGTTCCTTGCCGGCGATCGACCCGGCACGGCCGGCTGAGGCTCAACATGTTCGCGCCGCGTCTTGATCGACAAACCCAAGATATTCAACCTTCCATCTCGAGATGGGGTGTCTCTTGGGCGAGGAGCCGTGGCGCCGCAGTCGGGCCTTTGCGCTGCTACAGCCCCACTATCTCGTCGTGTGTCGGATGCTTGCGTCTCATGGCGGCGACTCACATGTCAACACCAGCACCGCAACATGGGGAATGCGTCGTCGGCTTGAGGAGGGTTTCAGCAATTTCGGTTGAACCGTGAATCCAGAAAAGATGGTCATTGTTTAGATTCTGCGCCAGAGGCGCTACCTCGCATACGAAGGCGCCAGGTTGGGCGAGGTGGCGGTGATGACCGGTCTTGTCCTCGACTGCCAAGGAACCTTCCGTCGGCGGTCGGGCCTGGGCGAAGATCATGATAGATCGGAATGCGGCTTCGGCTTGCGACCTGAAGCGCGTACGACGGATAGTCTGGGAAACATGGCCGGCACAGAAGTTGACAAAAGGTTGGCAGACTGGGCATCGCATGACCACGTAGTCTCGGGCATGTTCAACACCGTCCCGAGGGGGTATTATATACCCTCACCCTTTCAACCGAAGCGAGCCTCCGCCGGAGGACCCATTCCCCTCCAAAACAGTGCTGTTTCACCGATCACGAGAAGGGAGAGACCCGAAAACCGTAGACCAGACATCCGACACTGAGGCTCCGAGACTGACCATGGACAACTCCCCTAATTTGCAGCAGGCGGTGCCGGCGACCTCTTCTATGGGCGGCCGTTTGAGCAGATCATACCCGAGCTCCCATTCCATTTCATCCACAGTCAGCCCTGGAACGTCGACACCGAACCCATGGTCAGCAAATGACTGGATCCGTGGCACACCCGACACGTCGCCGCCCAGCTCAGGGGTCGGTTCTCCCGAGCTCCAGGCTAAGCGGCTGTCAGAAGACAGTAGTGTCTCTTCGGTGGAAGAGTCCATTGACAGCCGTTCTGGTCCCGCCGCGAAGAATGTGTGCTTCGTCGGCGCGGGGTTTGTCGGTATGGCCAAAGCCCAATCCCCTCTCGATGCGGCGTATGAGTCAATAACTGTTAAACAGGCGGCCCGACGGCTGCTGTAATTGCATACCACAACCCCCAGTTGTTGGTGAACGTCGTGGACTTGAACGAGCAACGTGTAGGCGCGTGGAATTCGGCGCACCTCCCCATCCACGAGGAGGGTCTGTTGAAGGTCGTGCGCGTCGGCAGAGACGGTACCCGGGATGCCATGGTATCTCTACCAGGGGTTTCTCGTCCAATCGAGTTGAAGGCACGGCAGCCGAACCTCATGTTTTCGACCAAGGTCGTCGACGCCATCGCAGAAGCGGACATCATCTTCATCTGCGTCAACACGCCCACCAAGATGCAAGGGCTAGGCGCAGGATCCATGGCCGATGTTAGCGCTGTCGAGAGCGCCACCCGCACCGTGGCTAAGCACGCCAAAGAAGGTGCCATTGTTGTGGAGAAGAGCACAGTACCATGCGGTACAGCTCGTATGATCCAGGATATCGTGAGCTTGACTCTCGGAAAGATCGAAATGGCACGTCCATGCTGACCTCGACCAGTTGCGTCACCATCGCCCCGACACCAGCTTCGAAGTCCTCTCAAACCCCGAGTTCCTCGCCGAAGGCACTGCAGTTGAGAATCTAATGCACCCTGATCGGATCCTCATTGGGAGTGCACGAACTCTTGCCGGCTTCCAGGCGGCCGCCATATTGAAGGACGTCTACGCGGCATGGGTGCCCACCGCTCGCATTGTTACCGTCAACACGTTCAGCAGCGAGCTTGCCAAGCTTGTGGCAAACACCATGCTCGCCCAACGCATCAGCAGCATCAACGCGGTGAGCGCCATGTGTGAGGAGATCGGCCTGGGTGCCGATGTGGATGACGTGAGCCTCGCCATTGGGAAAGACCTGAGGCTGGGGCCCAAGTTTTTGCAAGCAGGCGTCGGATTCGGCGGCTCATGCTTTGAGAAGGATATTCTGAACCTCGCATACCTTGCCAGGGAGCTGCATCTCGATGTCGTGGCCGAGTATTGGCTGGCGGTACTCAAGATCAACGAAGACCAGCGTCAGCGCTTCGCCCGCAACGTTGTCCGAGAGCTAAACGGGTCCCTTCGGGGGAAGAAGATCGCGGTGCTGGGGTTTGCCTTCAAGGACGGGACCAACGACACACGCAATAGCATTGCGGTCCACATCATCAAAGACCTAGCGTCGGAGATGCCGCGAGAGATCGCCGTGTTTGACCCCGGCTGCGCTGCGGCTGATATTCTCGACGAGATCCAGCGGCTGGGACTGAACGCTGGACAAATGGAGAGGATCAAAATCTGCTCGAGCTGGCGGGAATGTGTCCAGGAAGCTAGCGCCGCTTGCATCCTAACGCAGTGGAAACAGTTCCGTGGCCGGCAGTTGGGGAACCCCGGGGCCACAGCCGGCAATACGGCAAAGCCGGATCGTGCCGGATTAGCGACCCACGCTTTGGACACTTGTTTGAGCGAGAGGGGTATCATGGACCTGGAGAAGCTGTCGCGACAAGCGGTATCGACACCTTCAGACGACCCTCTCGGAAGGCTCAACCCGCTGGTTCCATGCTTGGAAGAATGCAGTAGCTGCAGTCTTAGCCAGAGCCAGATGCAGGACCAGGAGACGGTAGACTGGGTTGAAGTCGCGGGGATGATGCAAGAGCCGAGATGGGTGTTTGACGGGCGTAATGTTGTGAATCACGTTGAGCTTCAGGGTCTGGGCTTCAGGGTGAGAGGGATTGGAAAGGGTTTCCATTCCTGAGTAGCGCTATGATGCGGGAGCCTGCTGGCAGAGTTTCTTTTTCCTTCTCTTCCGTTTTGATTTCGGTACCTAGAGTTGGGACGGCGTTGGGCGTTCCGTTCACATGAGGACATGGGCCCTGTGGAGGACCGTCGAGGAGTCGTACACAACCTCGACTTGATACCGCGTAATTAGTACTGCATGGACACATACCTGACAAAAGAAATGACCCCTCCGTCATGATCATGATACCAGTCGTGGCGGCCATAACCACTGGTTGCAATGATCAAAGAACAAGAGGACTTTTTGCAAAGGGGGATTAGTGGCAACCGCCGTCGTAGGGTGCACATATCGCCGTGGGCGTGCACAACCAAAGCACAAACACGGGCAAACTCGCTTCGGCTGCCCCAAAACTTGGCAATCAAGCCGAACTGCTCGTGTTCTCTTCTGCGTCATCAGATTTTCGATGTTGGTCCTCCCGCGAACGTCTGTGAGAGACAGCAGTTCGAAGCCTACTCCGTGGCGCGAGAGGAAGAAAATCGGTGGTTTGTTTGTCTCACAAACTCACAGGTCGGGCGGTTGCGGTCGGGAAGCGGCTTGGTTGGTGGGTAGGCCCACGTCCGATAACTTATCAGTGAGCAATGGCCCGAAAGACCCCAACTTTTGTTGAGTGCTCACCCACTCCGAGCCATGAGTGCTGCCGCCGTGGCCTGCTTGGCGCTCTTTCCACCAACATTTGTCGTGATGCGCATTGCAGGTTGCACCAGCGCCTCTCAACCCTCGCTTTTGAGCGACTTGTCGGATTCTACAACAGCCAACAGCCCCATTTCCGGCGACGCATCATGAAGCACCAGAGTAGCGGCCTTGCTCATCGCTTTGCTCATCGCCTTTCGCATTTCGCCCTTCGCCTTCTTCAAACGCCTTTCGGCCTCTAACCCCCGACGGTTACACCCTGTGTCCCTGTGGAATAGACTTGTCTTCAGGCCGCAATCGCACTCCGGAGCCTGATTTCGTTGTGTGACGGATGGGGCAACCATTTCCGGGGTGAGCACGCGACTCTTCTGACAAAATACATGACAAGCACACAAGCTCGGCATGGTGACGAGAAATGGGCTCATAGCCTCACCTTCCCGCAAAAACGGGTGGCGAGCTTGCGTATGTACCTAACTTGGGGTGCTTGGAAGCTTGGGTGACTCTCCGCGAGCTCACCTCGGTCAGCGACTGTCGTCCTGGTTTGCCCTCTGCCAAGGTCCCGATGACGCTCCCACGGTGGCCCCGGGTGGATCAACTTGGATGACGAGTTCGTGTCGAGCCTTGCCTGGCTGAGCAACCATCTGGTGGCAAGGACAAGGCTAGGCCACAATTGAACTGACTACTGACCATCTAAACGGTCAGCAGTTTTCGTCTCGGTGACTCGGAACAACATCAAGGCGTCTATGCGGCTCTTCTTAGCTGCAGGAAGAAGCGAAGAAGCGGTTACATCCCGACACCAGCTGTGACCCCTGCCGGCAGCCAGACCGAGCTGTGTTCTCACGACCCCGATTCTCCGTCCTCAAGTTCCACGGGATTCCCGGGTGATTCGATGCGTGGTGCCTGGGCAAGGCGAAACGGCGGAATGCGGAGGCGACAAACACCGGTAAACCACATGCGGTGCGCCGGTGGCTGTGCCCTTCGATTCGTCCTCCCATGGCTGTCAAAAACCGCGGCCAGTCAACGAGCCAGATGACGTTGTCGCCATCCATTCTGAGACTCAGCCTCGACATTCGCCAGAGCTCAGCTCTCCCACGCGGGTTTGCTGCCCGGATGACTTGCATTACCGCTGCTGCATGCAGCACGGCAAGGGGAGTCTTGGGCTGGCGGGCTGCATGCATGCCCGCTCCGAGCTGGTCGCCCCTCGTTTTGATACTGGCCTGTAACAATTGGGCGGCCAAGGCCGGAGTTAGCGGCTGCGTTTCGTGCTCCATCGTTGTCGGCTTGGCGAGCGCCCCCACAAGACGACAAGTGACAAGTTGAAGCAACACGCAACCAACAGGCAACCCCCGTGGCACAGCAGCACGAGGCGTGAGGTATGGCAGTGGCTCGGTGAGAGGGGCATACGGGATGTATGGTCCGATCAGGGGATGCACCCCGTCTTGCGCACACGTTGCCCGGTCGGAGAGGCCACAGATGTTTTGTTTGTCACTCCGATTATGGACGGTGACGGGGTGCATCGGGCTTGACCACGTCTGGCTCGGTTGGTTGCTTGCTATTTTTGCGAGCATGGTTTGTTTCGTGCTCTCGGCTCCAACCCGCTGGGTGTGCCGCAAGACGCCGCATCGCCTATGGGTTACCTCACCCTGAGTTCCGTTTCACGTCACCCACCAACGACAACCGACAGACATGACGCTGCCAGCGGGAGGCTCAATCGTTGGGTGAATGACGAAGAGGGAGACAGGGAAGTGCGGGAGCATCACAGGACCCTTGCCTTTCCGGCCCTCCACACCCACCATCCACCTATCAGGGTCACCCGCCTAGCTCAGCCTTTGGCCGTGCTGTCTTATTGGCTTCCAGCACCCACACCCACACCTTTGTGGTGCAGATGGCTTCTGGGCCCACCCCCGGGTTTGAAGAACACGGCCACTTTGGAAACCGGAAAATGGTCAGGTTTGACTGCATCTTCAGCTTTAGCGCAGACACCGAGGGCGAGGAGGGGTGTCGACGGAGAGCACGAGATGCTGCCAAGCATGCAAGGGTGCGCGAGAGCCGACCCGGGGGGGGGCAGCCCTCAGTGCCCTCCCTTTCCAACACAAGTCTACGTCCCATTCCCATATAATAAGAAACGGCCGCGCGCCCTTGGGTCGTCGGCCGCGGTTGCTAGCCGTTTTATCCAACCCACACGCAACCGACTCTGACTAGCAACAACTGCCACCGTCCAGCCCGCCCTCAAACACGGTCTCTTACAAGCACTGCCATACGCGAGTCGAGAGATTGCAATATATCTGGCCGCGGACCCCGTCCCTGCCACCCACCACCCACCCGACTCTCTTCGATGTCCTCATGTCGTTGAACAATATCAGACGACACACTGACTGTCTTGTCTCGGATACGGCCGACTGACAGCGCACTTGAGTCTGCCCGCCGTCCCCGTGGACACCACGGTTCCTACAGGAACGCTGCTTGAGGGCCATTTTATCCTCCCTTTCACTTCATCGTCCACCACAGACCTTCGATCACCTTGTTCCCTTCCACAGCGCACACAACACCGGCAAGATGTGTCTCACCAAGGTCTACTACAACACCTACTCGGACGGGGCCCAGGACGTCACCGAGAAGGTCCACCCTTGTAGGGACGGCAGAAGCTGCTCCCGCCCGGACGTCCGCAAGTATGACCGCAAGTTTCCCTTCAGCAAGCTAGGCGATGCTGAGCCCGAGTCACAACGGAGTCTCTCAGAGCGCCAGCCGACCCCTTACTTCTCGGGGCACACACCCCGCGGCTCCAAGTCCCCGTCCCCTTCCGGCAGACGGGACTCGGGAGTCTACATGAGCGGCGCCAACACCAGCAGCAAGCACTACGACTACAACGACCCGTACGGCGGCAGCTACGACGCCTACGGCTACCCCATTCGACACGACCCGCGCGACCGTCACGACCGTACCCGCGAACGCGACCGCGAGCCCCGCCTCAAGCGCGCCTCCACCACCCCGCACATCGTCTACATGGACCGCGAGCGCGAGCGTGACCGTGACCGCGACCGCGACGGGAAGTCCTCGCGCTCCCGCTCCCACTCCAGCAGCCGCGACATCCCGATGGGTCTGGTGCCACTAGCGGACGAATACGGGCGGCGCCGCCGTCACTCCCACTCCTCGTCTCGCTCGCGATCACGCGACGACGGTAGCGACCCAAGCCAGTCGGGACTCTATTACACCGGCGCCGGCGGCACCACCAGCAGCTCCCGCCGCCGCACCGACGACCCGCACGGCTACGTGCTGCACAACGACGACGACGAGCGGCGGCGGCAGCGGCGCGAGCAGAAGCGCCGCCTGTCCACGTCCAGCTACATCGAGCCCACCACCTCGGGCCTTGCCACCGGCGCCATGGACCCCTACGCCGCCGGCACCCCTTACCTCCCGCGTCGCGCCTCCACCGTCGTCCACCACAGCGACGGCTCCATCTCCACCGGCTCCGGCGGCGGCGGCTCCTCCGGCCGCAAGCAGCTGCGCTGGGACGACCAGGTGCGTGCGCAGCGCGAGCGCCACAACGCCGAGATCGCGAACCGCCCGTTCCCGGGCGAGGTCAAGGGCATCCTCAAGCACACCGATTCCATGGGCAAGGGCAAGGGTAAAGGTAGAGAGGTGGAGGATATTGCCGGCCTGCGCAGGGCCATCGAGCGCATGGAGATCCCGCGCGGGCGGGATCGCGAGCCCCGCGGCAGGGGGGAGTGGGATTGGGGCGGTGGTGCTGGGAGGTACGGGGCTGAGGAGCTCGAGGGCGGGCGGCGCAAGCGCAGCCGGGGGTATGGGGATGACCGGTACCGGTATTGAGCATGGTTGATGATATGATGGTGCATGGGTGGAGTTGATGGTTACACACATGGGGAGACTTGGCTTTTGGTATTTTGGTTGCATCGTTTTTTCAGTTTGGGGGTTGAGCGCTCAGGGGTTCTTCGTCGTGTGACGGCAGATTACCGCCAGAACACATATGCAACGTCCGCTTTCCGGGCTACGCATCTTTTTTCCTTTGTCACATTACGCTACGAGTCAATGAGAATGGATTACTTTACTGTATGCTTGTCACAACCAGACTCAAGCGTGCGCGCGCTGCCAACTCCTCCCCTTCCCCTAGCCCGCCCCACTCTCTCACTCACTCGGTCACACATCATCTCACCCTGACCAGACCCAACACCACAACCCACCCAAACAACAACCCACCACCTAAACAAGCCCCAAAACGAAACAGGCCCTCCCCTGCCCGAGACCAGCCCGCCCACCCCAACCTTAACCACCCCAGCCATAACACCCAACCCGTGCAAACCCCGTCCGCCTCAGCAACCCAGATGCAACCGTGCGGCGCATGTGCCGGACCTGTGTCTCGGGAGCGGCCCAACAGCCTGACCCAGCCCGGCCGGGCGGCGGCCCGAACAAGAGACCCCACACAGACCCCCGTCGGTAGTTCGCCGACTTACTGTGCGGGTTGTTTGAGTGCCCCTAGCTGGCTGGGCCACGCGGGTGCCACGGGGCGCTGGGGAGGATGAGGGTGAGGAGGGGAGAGGGATGGTTAGGTGCCTGCCTGTTGGGATGTGATGTCGTGGCGTGTTCTGCTAATTGCAGTTTTGGTGTGCTGAGGGCAACGGGTATGGGAGGTCGGATATGTGTTCATACGCAGAAAACCTGTGTGTGCATGTCTGCATCGCTCCCAAACCAGGTACATCCAGGCACGAGACAGGGGAACAACTACACAAAACCGCAGCAGCAGCAGGGATGCAAGCACAAAACTCGGAGTTGGGCTTCAGATTGCGCGGCCGCGGCGGCGTGTGGGCGGCCCGGGGCGGCGGGTTTGGGGGCGGGTTGGTGGTGCTGAGATCTGGGTGGGTAGATCTGGGTGGGTAGATCTGGGTGGGTAGATCTGGGTGGGTTGCGTTGCGCGGAGGCGGCACAACATCGTCAATGCAACCCTGCCTGCCTGTCCGGGAGCGCAGCCGATCGTTGGATCGATAAGATGTCGAGGCTGAGGAAGGTGGGCGCGGATAAATGCGGGTGGAATGCGCGCATGTGTTCACGCGGCGGGTTGGGTTTGGGATTCATGGATTTGGGGACTCTGGGTGGCAGGGGGTGGGTGAATGAGGACGATAGGAGAGAAACGTCCATAGTAGTGAGGTATAGACACCAAGTCTATCCAATCTCTAACAACGGAAACTATTAAATCAGATAAAAGCCGGAATCCAACTCTAAACCCCAGCGGTAGATAATCCCAACACCCTGCCTGTAGCCGCGTACGCCTGAGCCAGTCATCGCAAGTCATGTACGCAACAGATCCGGGACCATCATCATACACACCATTAGAAACAAGTATAGACAAGAAAGAAGTCGTGAAATACACAGGGAGGTTGGGGAATGCAGCGGTGGGGGGCGAGTAGAGGCCACAGAGAGGCCCGCTCGAATAAGGTTCGGAGGAAGCTAGCAATGACACGGTCATCGGCGGAGACAGCGCCAATCTGTGGTGGCTGGCAGAAAGTTGTCGCGTGGCTGTTTTGAGGAGGGAAAGCCGGCGAAGGTTCGTGGCGAGGGGAGTCCGATGTCCGGGGAAGACATAATGAAGAGGGCTGTATTTTCATGACATGATCGTCGTTAAACGCGGCGGGGGTGGAGATGTCTCAGGGGCCGAGATCATGGTAAGACCGGACGTGGTGCGAATGGCGCGGGGCCGAGGAGCTGCCGCATGCGTTGGTGAAAGATGTCTCGGGCAATCTTCGGACGGCTCTCCGGTCGCGGTCTCGGGTGGGCTGAGACGGGAGCAGCCCGAGACGGGAACAGCCCTTCGATCCCCAAGCGTAGCCCGTCGGCGGCGATCATGGCTCTTCACAGAGACCGAGGCCGACGAGCAGGTCACCCGCGCGGACATCAATTCCTGCCGAGTTCCTGTCCTCAAAACCAAAGCCGAGGAAGACCACATCATCGAGGTAGCCGTGGTAGTTGACGCCGCGGTCCTTCCAGTTGGCCGAGGTGACGTACATCATGTCGGTGCGCCGGCCTTTGTGATGTTTGCGCCCGCTGATCCAGAGGGGCTTCTTGGAGATGCCGTACAGTTCGTACGGGGCGCGCTGCTGAAAAAGCACCACGTAAGGGTCGTACTCGCTGTGGTACTCGTAATACGTCTTGTGTTGGATGATGGTGAGGATATAGGTGTTGCCGTCGTGCGGCTCGCACGTCTTGTCGGCGCGGTTGCACAGCGTGATCTTCAGGGAGTTGGTCGCCTGGTGAATCGACTCATCCTTGGGCGGTAGCTTGGGGAGGTAACGCTGCAAGCACTTCCCGTCGTGTTCGGCGGTCTTGGTCGCGAGCTCCGGTCCAGTGCTGCCGTCACGCTCAAGCTTCGCATAACCCCGCTCCGGGTATGAATCGTAGTGGACGTGCATCTCGTTGTCCTTGTCCCAAAATACGAAGTAGTTCTTTTCCAAGACGGCAAACGGCGGGGGCCGCACGATCTCGATTCCCTTCTCGAAGTCGGTGTTGGTCATCAGCTCGTACTCCCAATCGACCATCTTACGGAAGTCCCGGATGAATTGGCCGAAGCAGGTGTGGCCACCGTTAGAACCGTAGATGGTCAACGGGTTCTGCGGCCCAAAAAAGACGCGGGCGTCATGGGGCCCAACATTCAGGTTGTAAAAGGAGATTTCCCCCTCGCACTTGCCACCCGGCGACGGCTCGTAGGGCAGAGGGTGCACGTAGTCGATGCACATGAGAACACCGTTGATGAACTGTGCGACACAGCCAACCTCGTATACTTCGTTTCCGGGCTTGTTGCTATTGGGGTCAGTCCAGAGCTGGCCCACGACGATCCACGTGTTGTTGATCTTCTGGTGCGGGATGATGTTGGGGTTGAAGACGTTCCTGCCGAACTGGATATCGAAGAACCTCCCGTCAGCCGAAGATGCCGAGTAGATCTCGTAGTGTGTCTCGTTGGCGGTCAGCTTCGGCTTGCGGTGAGAGTCGGTCGAAGGCGGGGCATTCGCATCATTGCCGAGCAGGGCGCCGACGCGGGAGCGCACATAATCTGTGTGCGAGTGCCACAGGCTGATACTGAGGAGCAGGAGAACCACCAGCGGCCCGACCACGAGGGCCAAGCGCTTCAGATCCCTCACTATCATGGTAGACGGCGGAGTGGGGGTTGTGGTCGGTATTCGGGAGTTGGCTTCCGGGGTAAGCGCAAGCGAGAGACGGAAGTAGCACTGCACAACTCGACTTCGGTCGTGGTCACTGCGACCCTCGCATCGTTGGTGTTTTTTCTTCGTGCGGTCGGCGGTCGGCGGTCGGGAAGGAAAAGGAGATGGCGCGAGTCGAGGCTGAGGGAGAATGTCAACGCTAACCCGATTACCTCGGCGCTAGTGCCAAGCCAATGTCAGCGGAAGCTTGAACAAACTTAAAATGGGTGGGGATTGGATCCCCGTCAGCAATCGGCGCAAATCCGCGGAGATCGAACAGGGCAGGGCGATGGGGTTTATGACTTCGACGGGTGTATGGAATCTGTATCTACCCGGGGATCTGGTGTGAGGAGTTCGAGCTTGTGAATTGTGATTCCTGAAGATCATTGCCACAATTCGGCATCAAACTCCTCTCCATTCCCCATCAGCCCTAGTATGCAAAAAGACCCTGACGATTCCGGCAGAAACCTGAAAGTCGCAGGGTGACCGTTCCCGGGCGGCCCTGAGAAAGCGGCGAGATTCTGAATCCGTGGAGCCGGATGCGAAAATTGGCAAAAATTGGCACCGCTTGCACCGGCAGCTTGGCTTGAGACAGGCTGGGCCCTGCCGCATTCCAGACCACCCTGCGTGGCGCCGCAGCCCCAACTCTCCAGCCCACTAAGCCGAATTCAGCCCCGCATTCAGGGGGAGACAGCGCTCTCTGGGGTTGATGTCAGTGATTGGTCAACGTCGCCCAATGGAGAACACGAAGGAGCAACGCGAACGAGGCATGTCATGCGAGATATCGCAACCGAGGACCAGTCGGTACGATGTTGCAGTGCGTGTATCTCGATTAACTAGATGGCTTGTGTTCATCGTTCATCTTGGACAAATGTAATGTATGTCCAGTATAGGCAACCTAAGGAGCCTCCATACCCGGGCAAATGCAGCCGTCGCCATGAAGAAGCCAGTCTTTTTTCGCAAAGAACGAAACGTGAATCTCGCGCCGAGTCAAACCCCGTGCCTTATCTAACCCCTTTGTTCGTTTGCCGCCCTCGCCATTAAACAAGTAGATACAACGTACATAGTACATAGATACTCCTGGGCAACCGCCCGAACCACATACAGAACCAACCCAAAAGATCCAAGGAAACGAGTGCCGTAGCAAATGGCGAAATATCATGCCGGCAGCCTTGCCGGTCGTGCTGCTGAAGTCGTCTTGTAAAACCACTGCGGGAACCGCACGCTGGGTTCGTCGAACGCCCTCGTGACCACCTCCGCCAGGTAAAATGTGACGGGGAGTAGGATCAGGTGCGGCAGTAGAAACGCTGGCTCGAGCCCCAACGGCCCCGACATGGACAGCGGGAAGATGTTTATCCACTGGGGAATGTTGAGGAAGCGTGAGTCCTTGGGCCATCCCACTGCGGCGTACAGTCGATCGCCGAGCGTCCAAATCACCGGGCCGTGGACCAGATACAGCGAGAAGGAAATCCGGCCGAGGTACTGGCAGAACCGCGTTTCGAAGAAGTGCTTCAGCCAGGAGATGTGGGGTGTCGACGCGACGAGGAACACGGCGGCCCAGAAGAGGAAGAACCACTTGACGTCGAAAACGGCCTGGGGTTTGAGAAACGAGAGCAGATACCATCCCGGGTTCCGCCCCAAATCTTCGGCCCCGCTGCCGTGGGCTGGGCACCCCCCTAGGTGAAGAGCCACGGCGAACATGGCGTAAAAGATGGTGGTTTTGTGAGGGCGGAACCGGTCGAAAAAAGCAGGCAGATTATCCTTCACAGCCAGTTGGTCCAGGTCATTGAGCATCATGCCGGCGGTGAAGAGCGCGCAGTACCAGCCGTCGACGATGTACATGAAGTAGAAGATCAGACCGGCCTCACACCACAGCCGGGCGTTCCTACTACACCTCGAGAAGGCGAGCAGGGAGGTGTAGATGACGATGGATCCCTTGAACTCGACGGGTATCGACCAGAGGTGGAAGTTGTAGCTCAGCCAGCCAACCGGGCCGCTGTTGAAGACGAAGCTGAAGTTCTTGATCTCGGCGTACCAATCCCATGCCGCCTGGAGGTAGTTGCTCTTGGCCTCGAGGCCGTCGATCCAAATGCCAAACGCATGAACGAAAGTCATGTAGATGAAGGTGGTGGATATGACGGGGATGTAGAGCCTCATCCATCGCCTGAACAGCGCCGAGGCGAGGTTGTCGGCCAGCTTTGCCTGCTCGCCGGCGTGGATGAGACTCATGGGCTTGGCGGACAGGACGTAGCCGGAAATGACAAAAAACGAGGCGACAGCGAAATGGCCGCCGTGGAAGAAGTTGCGAATTACCGGCAATGTGGCGAAATAGTGACGGCCGCTGAAGCCGAAGCTCGATTCCAAGGCTACGGTCTGAGGGGGCACGTGGGCCCAGAGTTCGTGGTGATGCCAGTAGACCAGAAATGCGGCGAATCCTCTGAGGCCATCGAGATACGCCGTCGGCCTGAGCTTCTCAGGTTGACTGCCGGTGGGTTTTGACGACCATGGTGAGAGCACGCGGATAAGACCGGAGCATCCGGAAGAGGCTAGCCACGAGGTGATGGCTATCATGTCGGAAGAAGGGGGCCCTGAGCCCAACAGCTCGTCGTCCCGTTTTGGCTCAATTGTCCCTTCCAAGTCGCTCGGCATCCTAAATCTCGACCTCGCCAGCTCGAGAGAAAGAAGGTTCGAGATGGGCGGACGTTGATGATGAGCATGACCTCAAATCCGGGACTCTCCCCCCCCCCCCCAGTGGGCCAGACGCCGTTTCAGCCAGTGGGCCAGGGGGGGTCCTCAAAAGGGAAAAGGGGCTTTTGCCGGCCCCCACAAATTGCCCCTCGTCTGTGCTGCCTGCTGCGCCTCGCCAACCAGCGAGAAACGAATCTGGGCGCTGCCCGATTGGCCTTGGCTGGATCAAATTCAATATTTCGCAAAATATGCCTGAACCGCGGCCATGCAATATTTTTCGAGCTGAAAGCTGTCAATTGCTTGAAAGCGGGTGTGGTGTTCTGGCACGCGACACGAGAGAATCTTCAGAGGGAGTGGAAGTCGAAGTACCTAGGTATCCAATTAGGGAGTTACGGCCCGTAACGGCAACCTGAAAGGCGTTGAGGGTTCCAGAAGGCGGCACGCGACTTGAATCAGTCCCACGCGATGCCAAGACCTTCTGCCCCACGTCCAAGAACGCACAACTCATCAATTCGATGCCGATGCTCCTCTTCCAACCAAACAGCAGCCTCAGAACCCATAAACCAAGACATCAAGCCGGGAACCGGCACGCCGTGGACGCGTACTCACAAGCGCCAGGGCCAGCACCGAATAACGAGAAACATAATATGTATTCGTATTGCATTCACTCTTTGGATTTTACCTCAGCCGTGGAGGGTTCTCAGCTCTTCGCGACTTCCATGTCAACCCGCGCCCTGACTCCCTCCCTGTGTATTAATTCGGGAACATCCGAATCCATCCCTTTCTGCGGTAAATGCCAGGTCCTGTATTTCGAGCGGCACAATCACAACCCTCAACTTCACGCAGTCAGCGCGCCCGTGAACACTGAGAGCTCTGGTGCTCAGCAGTGCTCAGCCGTTCGTGTCGGATCCCCAGGTTTGTTCCAAGTATCCTGGCCTTCTCACGCGCCGATCCCACGGCTCGTCTCTTCAGAAACGGCAGGTTCTTCGCCGATGGTGTAACATGAGATCCAAGCCCAATGCCGCTGAGTCGTCCCGCCCCCGGCCCCAGATCCCCGTCCTACCCACTTCTCTGGGGGAGCGCGGGTGAAAACAAGCTTCCTGTTGCTTTGCCCTCCCCACTTGCCGCGTTTCGGCCAGGGTCGACCTCCTTCACGATCCGGGGCCGGACTGATTGATGGCGTTGTCAACGGACAACCTGGGAGCTTCTTGAAGCACTCCCACTTGTCTAACGCGCCGGGGTTGCCCTTCCACGGCCGGCCGACGCTTTAAAAGCTTGTGATAAACTCCTTCCCAGCTATCCTGACCGAGAACCAGGATAACTAGGTGCTGAAGTCTCTCGAACCCAACTATGGTTCCGCGAATGGGATGGAAACCCTCGTCACGCTTAAAACGGCACTCTCCCCGTATTAGGTCTTTGTGCGGATCTTCCTTTTCGTGGCCAGCACCTTCTAACCTACTGGTGAAGCTAATGAACCACTCAAGGGTATAAACATGACGGGTTCTACCACTACCATTTATCTTGGTAATTGGACTCCCTTACATAACTACCTAGTTGGTGGGTTATCACTTCCACGATCCAGATCTGTTCCGCCCCCCCACCATGGACTATCATTCTGAACCATATCCCAAAGGTCACTACCTAGGTAGAGGTAGCTAGCTAGAAACAATTTAGTCAGGTGAAAGGCTTTGCCGGAGCATTGGTAGAACTGAAACTAACCTGCTGTTGATTTGACTTTGAAAGCTGAGACTATGAGGCAGCCTCATATACCTACCGACTCACAACTTGAATGGATGGCTCACATTTCTCATACGGCGGTACCGGTCTCACTGCCAGTGGTTGCCCCCACCCGCGCAAACGCTTCACAAGCCCTTCCCGAAGCTCCTTTACCACACTCCAACTCTAACTGAGTCTTCCCCATGATACCCACCGGCGCCACGGCCCCAGCGACGACAAGCTGTACGGTTTGGTGCACAGTTATCACTACACCGCACATCGATATTGAATCAGCCCATAGTTGAAATTACCGTAACGGCCATTCGACAGCCGTTCCACACACCCCCTTTCATCAGCTATCTCCCTAGGTTGATCACTTACCATTCTCAGGCCACTTCGGATCCATCTCATACCAGAATGATGGGTCATCACAACTCTTGGTCGTCTCATTCGAGTTCGGGTCATAGAGCCGCTTGCAGGTGACGATGATTTCAGGGGCGCCCGAGTAAGTGGCGGCTAGGTCCTCCCAGCGGTAACCCGAGGCTGCGTTGCCGCGGGAAAAGGTCAGGTCCCAGTACCCGTACTGTGAGTCTGCCTTGTCCGTGAGAGAGCCTTCGGTTCTGATAGGAGGATGGGCGAAAACGGCCGACGTGAGAAGGCCGAGGCTGAGGATGCGTTGAAGTTGGTGCATGGCTGCGAGATTCCGGTCTGGGTCTGATGCCGCCTAGCCGGGGCTGTCTTGGAGGCCGCGGTGGGAGGGATCCAAGGGATGGCGTGACGGCTACCTAGGTATGCCTCGCACAGTAAAGACTGCGTTTGATGGGGAAGCCCAGCTGGAGAGCGGCTCAGAGGAAGTGACCAGCGGTTGGACGTGAAACGTTGCCCGATCTGTGGTTGCATCCGTCGCTACGGCTCATAGGTAATATGCGCGCGCTTCGTTCCTGTTGGTTATAGGCTGTAGTTCCATTTCGGGGACTCCGTGCTTCAACGGCTTATGCTCTCGCCTTCCCTACACAGTACAGTACTAATTCTTAACAACGCAACCAACACAAACGGGAGTACTTCATACCACCCATCTGCGTCAAGGCCCGGCAGGCTAGGAGGCGAGGTCCATGACTCCACATTGCTCGGTGCCGCCTTGCAGGTGGCACATCGCGGAAGCGGGTCGAACGGCGCAGCCAGCAGGTGGCGCGGCACTGCGACCTGACAAGGCGCTTGCTTGGAATTCCAAGTCTTGGAATTATGCAGATCAGCAGAAGCAACCCTAACCCGTGAACTCGTTGAGAAAAGCAAGCGCAAGCCGTCGATTGGTCACGTGAGAGCGAAGAAAATGGATGGGCCAGTGTTTGGCGTTTTGCACCTTCTTCCCGCTGCGGAAAGGCAGCAGCAACGTGCACACCCCTCTTCATCCCTCCTGCTTCTTTCTTAAACCACTCGAGGCATCCCTGTTTGCCTCATTTATCGCTGAACGGTGCTCTTCAACACGCTTGCGACAGCGACAAAACGTGGTCTCAAAGCCGCGATCCTTCCCTCCGCCGCTTGCCATTCTTGGAGCCCACTCAGGCTCTGCAGCAGAGCCCAACCCGCCTTAACAACCCGCCCTAACAACCCGCCCTTAACAACCGCTTTAACCCGAATTCGGCTGTTTCTGCTCTATCCTAGCAACCGCCCTCTCGCCCCCCTTAACCATCGACACAACTGTCTGTCGCCAGTGCTTATAACTTTTAAACCGTCATCATGAGCCGATTTGAAGGACCGGAGCCCGCTGAGCGGGATCCCACCCAGCCCTACGTCGCTGCTTTACAGTCGTGGGAAAACTCGGTCCGGGAGAGGCATGGGATCGAGCAGAACCTTCACATGAGCTACATGGATCTGCTTCGCCGCTATCGCGATAAATGTGACGAGTGCGACCGCGAAAAGCGCAACGCCATGATTTGGGAAAAAGAACAGCGCATGTCGGAGAGAGAGTTGAACGGCCTCAAGGTTGCTGTCGTAAGTCTCCACAGCCCCTGCCCGCCGCCCCATGGTCCATGGCCCGTTCCATCCCGGACCCCATCCCGAGGCCCGGGGTCGAGATGCCTGCGTTTGGACCCTGCAGTGCCGCTCCCATGGTCGGATTGCATCCTCCCGTCCCCCCCGTCGTGTTAGTAACACCGTTCAGGAAGCCTCTCCCTTTGCCTTTGTCGTTGTGGACGGAGATGGGGCCGTCTTTCGGGAAGACCTTATTGCTCGAGGGGAAGAGGGCGGCGGATATGCTGCTCACGAGCTGCACCGACAACTTAAGGCCTACTTTCACGAAAACCAGCAACTCTCCAACATCGACAGCATTTTTGTGCACGTCGTCCTTAGTGTTGAGGGGCTCTCACGGGCCCTCCATGCTTCGGCTACTCTACCCATTGTCGACCATGCGGCCCTGGCCAAGTTTGCCCGCGGATTCGCCCGCGCCCAACCTCTTTTCACCTTCACCGACGTTGGCTACGGCAAGGAACAGGCCGACCATAAAGTGCGTAAGCTCTTTGAGCTCATGGAGAAGAACATTCAGTGCAAATGCCTCGTTTTGGCCGGCTGTCACGATAACGGCTACGCTACATTCCTCGAGTCCTTCCGCAACAGCCACAAGATCTGCCTTCTGGAAACAACCCCTGCCGCTGCCGACTTCAAGAAGTTTAACTTCAAGCGCGTAATGTTCCCCTCGGTCTTCCGGTCGGAACCTATACCATCCAAGCCGAGTTCCTTACCGGCATTCACAGCACCGCCTATGGTGTCTCCGGCATACTCGGGAACCAGAGCTTCGCCACCGCCACTTTTCAGCCCTATCGCAAATGGGATGAACAGCTTACCCAGCCCAGCGGCCACCGTGTCGCCTAAACCTGCACCGGCTCCGGTTGCGGTGAGCAAGCCAGAGGCCCAGTCCAACAGTTATGCTACCGTTGGACGAAGCACCGCGCCCCTGACTATCAACATCGCGACCCAGAAGAAGCCGGTGTCGACTCGTCCATTTTATATGCTCAATGGCAATAATGAGCGCGTGGATGTCCCGCTAGGGAAGCCCGACATTAACGCAGTCAAAGCGCTCGAGGAGCGGAGGCAGATGAGCGGCATGAATCTTTGCAACCGCTACCATTTGGCCAACAACTGCAAAAACACCAACTGCAATTTCTACCATGGAGAGCGTTTGACTCCCGCCCAGTTGCTTGCGCTGCGCCATAAGACGCGGAACCTAGTCTGCGGCTCGGGTCACCACTGCCGAGAGGTTACCTGCAACCTCGGCCATCATTGCTCAAACGCGGGCGCTTGCTACTTTGGTGACGACTGCCGTTTCTCCGAGATGCACGGCATGGATATTGTATGTTTTCCTCGCCCGTCTAAAACGAAGCCCTGCTGACCGTGTGTACAGACCCCCACCATTAAGATTTACGAGGATGGTAGCCGCGAGCTCCTCTAAACTTAGAACCTCTTCCGCCGAGTTTGATAGAGAATTAGCGAGATGGGAAGCCATATTGTTGATTTAGCCGCGTATGAGCTGCCCCGCAAGTTGCGGCAACGTTTACACACGATAAGAGTTTAGCAGTCTCAGGTTTCCGGGACTTGAGCGGGGGCGAAGGGAGCGGGATGTTCGGATCGTGTTTTGTTGGTTTTTAGTCTGGGATGCTTCCTCGTGTAAGGTTGCTCCACACGTTCATTACTTTCAAGTTTATCGTCAAGGACCAGACCAGATTGATATTACCCAAATTCTAGACCGGATTCACTCTTTACCGTTACGAGTGAACTGAAGTTCGTCAAAGCACTTTGGACACAGCAACTGATGAATGAGTTACCTATCGGGGGGCGGCCTTTCAAAGCAAGGCCTTAATAATGATAATATATCGATCAATCCAACGATGCTGACCCCTTCCCTTTTCCTCCTCACACTATTCAAACTGTCGCTGATATCTCACATCTCAGCCCATTCACTCACCAACCCCCCAACAAAATAACTTTCTTAGCAGTCCTAAACCACCCTCCTCCTGATACAACCCCCCCCCTCCGCAAACACACCACACTCACACACCTTCACCCCACGGTGGAAAACAAGGAAAGGAAACAAAATCCACACCTGCCCCCAGCGCCCCCAACCACAACCTTCTCTACCTTCCCTCCCTCCTGCACAACCACCCAACCACGCTGATACCGATGTAGTGAACGCGGTACGTGTGTACGCCTCCCCTGCTCAAACCACACCCGCACAAACCCCGCGCAGTACTAGCACCAATAAGGACTCCTCCACACTGTGAACTCGCAACTCACGCTGCGGGGCAGTCTGGCGGGTGGGGGCCGAGGGCGGTTGTTGTGTGCGGTGGCGTTGGTGGAGGCACGTTCTGGGGGGGCAGAGAGGGAGGGGGGGCTCTTTGTTCGTTGGGGGTGGTAGTGGGTGTTGGTGGGTGTTGGTTGCGGGTGTTTGGGGAGGGGGGTGGGCGGCGGCGGCGACACGTTGGTTCGGGAGGGGCCATTGGGATTGGGATTCGGTTTGGGGTGTTTTGGGGAGGATGGTGCTGTAGGGCTGCGGGTAGGGGGGTGGTTGCGTGGATGGACACATTCAATGATTCGGCCTTGGGGGCTTGAGGGTTGTAGGCTTTCTTACAGTTACGGTCAGGGCTGTTTTTAGTGTCTCCGTTGTTTTCTTGATTTAATATGGGTGGAAGGGGGGCTTAGAGAGTATCAGTCATGCTGTACAGACCAGAAGTCCCCGGTTCGGCAGGACGGATGGCACTCCATGACCGCTTCGCGGGACAGTAAAAGTTGTTCATCCACCAGCATGTGTATAATTTAATTGTCTACGGACAATACCTGAATAGTTCTAGATTTACGCTGCTTCATCTAGTTCGACATACCAAGGGCTGGGGGTCACCAACTGAACTGGGAGCCAAAGCAGGCAATGAAATTCGGTACAGTGGTCAAATATTATACAAAGTAAAAGTCCAAGAGCCACCACTCCTGGGTTAATGGGCTAACATTCTATTCTAGCGTCAAGCTATGCCTACACATTCTTGCGTCTCTATATGAGTCTTTAAGTCGTCTGCTCGGCAGCGGCCGTTTGAATAACTTCGCGTTCCCATTGCGCCATTCTGTCGATTTTACGAGGCGACATGCTCTCCACCGCCCTACGAAACGTTCCCCAATAGGATATCACCGTCACCAGAGTGACCGCCGCCACGACGCAAGCTGCCCACAGCGCTGCAAATTCCTCCTTAAACCGATCGAATGCCATGCGAGAGAGTTCGTCGTTGTGGAAAGCGGCAAAAGCGTCAATCCGGGTATGGTCGCCTGTTAGAGCAAGCGCAACACCGAACATAACACCCCACGCGACCGCACATGCTCCGCCACACGTAATTAAGATGATGAGGATGAAAGCCTTGAGGATGATGACAATAGGGTTCTGGGCCATTTTGCTGGATTGAGGCTGTGTGAGAAGTTGACGGTGATGTTCAACTGGTCAAGATGGGTGAGAGTAGACTGGCGGATTTTTATAGAATGGGTATTAAGCGGCATGGTTTCAAGTACAACAATGCCTTCGTGATCTTGGTTTGGACAAGATACACTCTTTGCCTCTTTATTTCGGCAAGACCCGCTCCTCCACGGACAATACCTAGGCTACATGTAGGTATGGTGGCTTTGAAGAGCGCTGCAGTGTGAGTTAAACAATTAATGTTCCACTGTATGATTGTAAGGGGGTAAGGTTGTTTTACAATGTGGTTCTCTGAAGCAACCACATCTCCATTGTTCTAAACATTATAAATAAATAATGGTCTTCAAGTGCAATTATTTAACCATACCAAAGAGCTGCTATTACAAGTCCTCCCTGCCAGGACTACGTTGCAGAGCACAGCTCCTGCACAAGAACCCTCGGTCCCTATCCACAGCCCTAGGATTCATCTATCCCGGTACACCAGCGGCAAAGGAATCACGACTCATAATGTTCCCAACTACTAAGAGCGGCGTTCTCTTACTTGCAATGGCCCTATTGTCGACACAGGTGGCAGTGGCCCTGCCAACAGCCCCTGGCTCAACTGATCCCTTGGAGGGAGCTACAACTGACACCGCAACTGAGCATGGCAATGGGCTGTCCCTGTCAGATAAAATAACCATGGCATCCGTGGGCGGGTTGGGCGTGGTGTTCCTGCTTTGGGTATTCTGCTACCACAAATGCTATCGGGACAGACCGGGGGTAGGTAGTTTGCAAGCCCGCAGGAGGCCTTTACGACGATGGATGATGGCACTGGGCAGAGGGGATGAAAGGATTAGGGCGGCGGTAGCAAGCGGGGTGACGAGGTTGTGGAGAAAGTGGCGTGAAATGGAAACTGCAGTCAGGGGGGGGCGGGAGTACCCGTAATATTCCCACCTCCCGAGGTCGATACTGTTTACCCTAATTACTGAGGTAGCCGAGAGATTGAGTAAAGTAGAGACATGGAATACACCCGTCACTATCATCGTAAAGTAGCATGTGAGTAAAATTCCCATTATGTGAACCGAGTTCTTGGATGAAGCTATAGTTATCACACGGAGCGCAGAGTCGCCCGAGCCCCATGTTCTGGTGTGCCAGGGTACAGTGAAGCTTCGAGGTTGTACTATTAATTGCGCCATTACTACTACCTAGCCATATGAGTTGGTGCTAACGGGCTCTAGGGGTAGCGACCGAGTAAGGTTAAGGTACCGTAAATTACCTAGGAACAACAGCGGCAGATGCTATTTACGCCCATTCTGGCTCTTTATCCCTGGACAGAGACTTTGTTGTAGTTGGCGGGTGAGCTGGACCATCTATTATAATCTTCTTAGTTGACATCTTAGCCCTCTGTTCATCTCTATATACCATACTAGAGAACGGACTTTCTGTATGGGTAGTACGTTGTCGATTTGCGGTACGTTCCAGGGGTCCGCACTAACAATTTGGTAGCGTACAAGCTTACTTTTACAGCACCCCTTAACAATTGCAGGGTATATACTGTTACTATTTTCCTATTGGTGTAAAAAGTCTTAGCTGCTTCGTTGTAAAATTTGAACTATTGCGGCCCCCTCGATATTCCAGTTCTGTAAATTTACCCAGCCAGAGACTGTAAAATACCTTGCTTACGGCAGCTATAACGTTCTTCGCTAGGCTATTTCTATATAATGTACTGTGAATATTACCCTATTATGGACTTCGGTACTTGCTGGAACAGTACCCCTTATATTATTTATTAGCTTTATTTACTTCTATACTATATCTATACTTCTAATATAACTATAGATATAGCTATAGATATTACTCTTTCTATTATATAATAATATTGGAGGTTATATACTGATTTATAGAACTATAGCTACTATCTTAGTAAGCTAATCGTTTAATTATCTATATTTAGGATTAAGTTTATTATAGTTAATAACCTTAGGTTAAAGTCTATAGAGTATAAAAGTTATAGTACTTTATACTAAGTAGATGAACGGTTAACTATAGGAAAGTTCCTTTCTATTATTATAACCTCTTCCTAATCTAATATAGAACTCTGCTACTATAAACCTGAAATTCAGCTCTTATTATATATAGAATAATATTTATATTAAACTATAGTAACCTCTCCTATAATTCCTCCTCAACTTACTTACTATATAAAGTAGCTAAACTTCTAAATTTCAAAATAATCTATAGTTCTATAATAGCTAGTTTACCTTTACTTCTATTTCTATAATAATAACTATATATAGGATAAATCGAAGTAGCTTAATAAACTACTAGATCTATAGTATATTATTCCATTTATAAGGGCCGTTATAGCTGATAGTAGCCTATATACCTCGGTATATATAGCTTTTCTTCTATAATCTTTAGACTATATCGATGTTATAGGGCATTTACAATATAACTTTTAATAGACCTTTCCTACTCTAGTTTATTAAGTTCTTATATATATATAACTACTTTATTATAAAGTATCTTATAGTATATAAGTATTTTCTATAGTTATCTAATCTCCTATAGATTATTCTGAACCTTTATATAGAGTTAGTTGTTTAAAAGGATATTAACCGTTAGTAAGAGAATCTCCCTATTATAGATAAAGTAGCTACTTTTATCCCTAAAGAGTATTTAAAGAAGTACTACTATAAAGTAGTTCTTATAAAGTATACTACTAATAATACGGTTTAGTTATAGTATCGAATCTATCTATACTCTATAGCCTACTTACCTCTAGCTTATCCTCTAATATTCCTATCTAACGATCCTAGCTTTTCTTAGGCTTTATAGATATAAGATAACTAGGAGTTCGGTTATATAAATAACTCTTTTAAATGGGGTACTTAGTACTGCTATATCTTATATACTTATAACAGCTAAACCTATATTTCTTTTCTTTTTCAATATCTTTTTTAATAATTTTTAATAAATCTCTAGGCTATAAACAACCAGCTTAAGCTTTAATAGATTCGGTACTACTAAAAACAGTTATATATAGATTTATACTAAGGTATATAGGACTAGGTTTATAAAGGTAATAGGGATACCGAATAGGTTAGCCGATATATTATTTTACCTATAAGTTATATTAGTAGAGCTCGGTTTATTAGCTAATATTATTAAGATTTAATAGTAATTATCTGTAAACTCGGCTATCCTACTCTATTTATTACCGTTATTATAAATCCTAATTAGCTTAAAATCCAGTAAGAGCTTCTTACCGGCTAGAGTACTATAGATTATCCTAATATTGTTAGTTATATTTTCAATTTGAAATACTGGTCTTTACTCTGAGAGATTAAAAAGGGTAGGCTCTTTAGGGAGTTTATAGATATTGTTTAGACTATTGAGTATTAGAAATATAGACTCCTTTATTAGTATCTTTTAATCTTCTTAATATAGGAGTTTGTAAGATTATACTTAATCCTTAGGAATATTAACTATATTATCTATATAGAGATACCCCTTAAGTTAGAGGATCTGGATAGTATTCTATAGGGTATTATCTCCAGTAATATAGTTTATAGGTTTTATAGGGATGTAAATCCCTCTTTACTTTATATAGTTTGAAATTTAAGAACCTCTCTTTTATAATATTTAAAAGGGTTTCTAAAGCCTTTTTCGAAAGAGACTATTGTTAAGGAAGACAGTTACTCTATTTACCGGTACTATAATAATAGCTAGTCTATTACCTATAAAGTTAATAAGTAGGAGATATAACTTAATAATTGCTAGATAGTTCTATATAACCTCTATCTCTCCTATAAATATACTATTTATATTAATATTAAAGTCTATACCTCTATTAAAGCTATTAAATATATATATAAGTATATATATAAAGGTACCAACTAAACTATAATTTAACCTTCTATAGCTAAATACCTCGATAAGGTTAGAACTTATTTATAGTATTAATATATTAGCCCTATAGAGACAGTTATATAGCTCTTTAAGTTCTATACCTATAAAGAGTTTCCTCCTATTCTTAGTCTTCTAGTTTACTTTAAAGGGGAGCAGACTGTTTTTTTCCCTACAGATACTTCAAAAGAGGAGCTTACAGCTATTATAGAACGTATATTAACTCTATTAATAGGGTTCTTTATATATAATACAGCTAATATAAACTCTCAGTATCTCTTATATATTGATTTTCTAAGTTTCTTTATCTAGAACTAGAAGTTATAGTAGTAGAAGCCTTACCTACATTTACCTAATATCGGCTATATATAGTATATACCCTTAAATTCTAGAAAGAGATATTGTGACGAACCTGTCTCTGGACCCGTCCTGTTAGGGTTCAGTATCGGTCGAAGGTATTCTCTCAAGGGTGCTTAGGTTCGGTGCAGCCAAAGGGTGCACAACAAAGACTTGTCTCAACAGTAGGCTCTCGAGCTTGTAGCGAACTGTAGTTGTGATTGCTAACTGGAGAACTCCCAGAGCTCTCCAGAACGAGTGACTATATACCTATCTAATTCTTGGGTGCTCAGTGTGCTCAGTCCGGGTTCGACAACTGAGCTCACTGATCACTTCTGAGTTACAATCGTCCTGATTGGTGACCTTGCCTGGTGCTCAGTGTGCTCAGTCCTGGCTTGGCAACTGAGCTCACTGATCACCATCGATCGTGTTCCTGCCTTCCGATTGGCTTATTCCATGACTGGCCCGGGGCGTCCCGCGCCCCGCGGTTCCGCCTGTTGGCATATTCGTGACAGATATTACCTTTATCTCCTACTTTATAATATTACTAGGCTATATTCTTTTAAACATTTATAAACTGTTAGTAGCCGAGTCTACTCTACCTTTCAAGCTATATATATTATAGCTAGGCTATTAGAGTTGGATATATAATAGTTTAACTATTTTAAAGAGGTTACTAGCTAGTAAACTGGTAAGGTATTATAGGACCTTTTCTCTATTAGTCTCTTAACTAGGGATATTACAGACCCTCTTACTTTATAGGATTGTTTTAAGAAGAGGATTTATAATAATCTACTAAAATAAGTTATATAAATATCTAGTATTTTAGCTAATCTTATAGAACTCTATTTAGACTTTAAGTTATATTTACTTTATAATATCTTTATAGAGGTAAATAAGACCCTATAGGACTTTTAGCTTTTTAAACTATAGTATAACTAGTATCCGATAGTTGAAAATCCTCTTTTAGAGGCCGAACTATAGTATAATATAGACCTATAATAATATACTTTTATAGAGATCCGGTCTTAGTTAAATTAAAGGTAGGCTATAATCTTTAATAAGATAGTATCTTATATTAAGAGGAGCCTATAAATAGTTTATTTTTTTATTTAAGAGCTTAGAGGGATAGATAAGACTTTCCTTTATCGATGCCTTTCTTCTTTTTTTCAGATATATAGTTCTATTATTCTCTATATTACTTCTTCTAGAATTACCGCTCTATTACTTAATAGAGGCTATATAATATATTTATAGTTTAAGATACCGCTTAAACTTATAGAGTACTCGAGTTATTCTATATCTAAGAATATTCAGCTTATAGGCTTACTTTAATATATAGAGCTAGTTATCTAGAATAAAGTTCCGATATAGTATTACTTCTATTTTAAGGCTGTTAATCGAACTTTATAGGATATTTAAAGTTCTAATATACTCTTTAACAAAGTTCCTATTATACTCAGTAGGGACTTTGCCTAAATCCTCCCTATAGTTTATAAAGGGAACTATTTATAAGTTATATAAGCTAGTTTATAGTTATCTTCTATCTAGCTATAACTTTAGATTAGAAAGTTAATTAAAAATATATATATTTATAGTATAGACTCGGAAAATAGGGTATTTATATAATAGCTATAAGACTTATCCTATAACCTAGCTTAATACGATTCTATTAAGCTATTTAAATCTTTCGGCTATTATTATTTATAAGAGGAGCTAGTTTAAAAGGTTTATCCTCTTAATCTTTTAACCTATATAGTATTAGATTCTACTCTCTTTATAGATTAGGCTATTCTTTATCCTTAGAATATAACGGTTATAGATATTAATATTATAGTTTTAGACCAGTTTCTAGGGGAGAGTATTCAATACTTCTCTATAAATATTATTGATTAGCTGCCTATAGAGGATAAGCTGGATCCTTTTATTTTATCCTTAGAGTTTCTCTTTTCTTTAAACTTTATATCTCTTTAACCCTCTATTTTATAACTAAAAGTTAGAGCTCCTATTATCCTACTCTACAACTTATAAGCTTAAGAAGGTTTATATAATAAGATTTATATAGTTATTACTCGGTTTAGACGTTTTATATTTAAGGGTTATATTCTTTTAGACTTCTTTATTAGATAGTTATAGGTAATACTATAGGTTAAGTTATATTTAGAGATAGAGGACTTTCTATATATTATTATATAAATCTAGTTCTCTATTTGTTTATACTTTATAATAACTATTAATAAGTTTTAAAGGTAGTTATTTCGGTTAATTAAGATAGATTTATAAGAGTTTATCTTTTCTTATAAATAGTTTTATATTATAATCTCCTATATAACGGAGATATAGAATATCTCTATCTATTATCTAGGTCTAGGATAGTAGGTAAAGCAGGTTACAAATATTATATATCCTAAAGTCTTAATTTATTAACCTCTTTATACTATCTATATTTAAAACTATACTTTATAAACCTATTATATAAAACTTTAGAACCTTTAAATAATTAGAAGTTTCTACTTACTCCTCCTATAAATACCGAAGCTCCTATAGCTCTTTTAGATCCTCCTTAACCTTCTTATTATACTTACAGTCCAAAGCATCTATAACTACCTATAAATATATAGTAAAGGTACAGTTTATAGCTGTAAATAGGCTACTTATATAAGTAAATAGGCTAAGTCCTATTCCTATATAATCTCCTATATATTATAAGGAGGAGGGGTTATACTATAGGTAGTAGGATATAGTAGAGCTAGGAGACTCGCTATACTCTTTCTTTATAATCTATTTTTATATTAGTTATAGCCTCTTTTTTAGTTTCTACAGATAAATATATACCAGAGCCTACTTCTTAATAGAGCTAATAAAGTCTATACCTAGCTATTTAGTAAAAATAGCAGAGAGTAACTACTTTTTAGTTATACCCTTATCTATAATTATAATCTTACCTATAATTATAGTTTTACCTATAGTTATAGTCTTACCTATAGTCTTACCTATAGTCTTAGCTACTACTAAAGCTATAGCTATAGTAGCTTACTTCTCTACTTTCTTCTTCTCCTTTTTTATTAGGGTTTTTAAAGGGGATAATACTTCTATAACTTTCTCCTTTTCTAAATCCTTAGCTATAATATAGAAGGTATATCTCTTACTTTCTAAATTATAGTAGTAAGAAATATAGGAACTTTAACTATAGATATTAGATATAATATACTTTATAAATAGGCTACTACTATTTTAGTAAAGCTTATAATTATTCTTAACTTTAATATCTATAATCTATATTATTATAGCTTCTATATTATAGATATAGATTTATAAAACCTTATAGAAAAGATAATCGTTTTTAAAATCTATATTTAGATTAATATTATAGATTATAAAGTATTTTAGAAGCTCTAATATCTTTTTTAAAGGTTTAATAATATTCCAAATTTCATTATAGACCTCTTTATAGTTAAGGATAAAAGGATTCTTTACCTCTATAGGCTAACCTTTATAGAATATTTTAGAAGGCTATAGTTTAAAGGAACTAAAGGGAAGTAACTTAGGAATCTATAGCTATAGGATCTCCGGCTTAATCTATAGTTTAAGAGTTTCTAGCTTAGGAATCTATAGCTTAGTCTATAGTTTAGGAGTCTCCGGCTTAGGGGTCTACAACTTAGAAGTCTCCAGCTTAGGGGTCTACAGCTTGGTCTACAGCTTAGGAATCTCCGGCTTAAGGGTCTATAGCTTAGTCTACAGCTTGGGAGTCTCCGGCTTAGAGGTCTACAGCTTGGTGTACGGTTTGGGAGTCTCCAGCTTAATAGTTTATAGTTTAGAGGAGTATTTAAAGGTTGTTATTTTAAAAGTAAGTAATCTATTAGTCTATAGCCTAATACTCTATAACTAGTTACTTTTAATATTTAATAATATAACCTTTCTAGCTAATTTAATAGTATTAATTTAAAGGAGGTTCTATAGGCTAAGGTTAGTATTAAATAGTATTTATATATTATATATATAGTTATTAGAATCCTATAGAAAAGAATCCTATAAATTTAACAATATTTACTAGATATACTCTGAATTTTTCTGGGTTCTGTAGGCTTAGTTGCGGGAGAAAACACAACTCTAAGATATAGGTGATCGTAGTTGTAGAATTAAATTATAGGATAGTTGGCGATCGCTTAAAATCGCTTAATTACGTAGGGCGCGAAAATTCCAAAAACGCTAATTGCGTTGCGTGCGAAAACTCTAAAAACACTATAAAAAACAACAAATCCAATCAACCAGCCCGCATCAACCAGCCCGCGAAGCGGGCTGCACACCCCTAGTATTACAGTACTGGAGCATCTTGGAACAATCAAGATATGAGAAAAACGTATAGTTAGATGTTGAAATTATGAGCCGAACTTTACCAGTGAACATACCTCTCCGTGTAGCTAGAACATAGCAATGACGAGGGTGTGGTTGAATACCTACCTATATAATATCACAAGCCCTCAGAAATATACGAGGATAATTGGCTCGACCGCATTTCCACCACCTCGAACCCATTCGACCCAGAAGTCACCAACTAAAACAAATCGAGACCACGATGATCCCGACCAATATGAGGAGTATGGGCTTCGTGATGGTGATGCTGATGGGGGGGATAGCAGCTCTACCGACCACTGAGGAACAGCCAGACAACACCGCGACTGACCCTACACGTATTGCTATGATTATCTTCTTCGGTACGTTCTTGATTCTTTTTATAGGTATGGCATGCTCCATTAGGATGGACGAGTTGTGGAAGAGGAAGGATAAAGAGTTACGGGACTTGGCTTGGTTCCAAAGGCGGAACGCTCCGCGGCCTCAACGGGGTTATGCGGAAGGCCACATTGAAAGCAATGCGGGACTTCAACAGCATGCGGAAGGCAACGTTGAAAACAACGGTGAAACCAGTCGGATAGCCAATTTCGGGATCGCTAGGGTTTGGCGCATCTTGTCACGGCGTGGAAATGGAACATCGGACAGAGCCAGGACCAACGACATTGAACTCGAAGCGCAGAGGACAACCGGCAACCACAACGGGGCTCCGAATAGGCCTGAATAGGGTCCAGGTACATTGTCCGATAGCGGAGACTACCGTAGCGGGAAAATACAGAGGGCAACTACAGTAGTTGGCGCCAAGTACCGTAGTTTTAACAAAGTACGGTTGCTCTCAAAAGTACGGTTCTTCGCGTCCAACGTTTAACGAAATGAAGCTCCAGTTGATAAAGGCTGGTACAGTGGGCCGTTGTAGGTATAGGTAGTAGGCCGTTCAGAAGGTTCCAGTGTTTCCATCTTGTAGATCCTCTAAGGTCTGTGCGTAACAACCGTAGTTTTCTGAGCAACCGTTGTTTTCCCAGCAACCGTTGTTTTCCCAGCAACCGTTGTTTCCTCAAACTACGGTTGTTTCCCCCCACAGAGCCAGGCAGATAAAGCCAGCGGCCAACCAGCGACTTTGCACCGGCCGCAGGAGGCCTTTTCGGTTCAAGACCTTCCTCTTTCAGGAGCCGTCCACCATGGCCACCGATATCGATATCCTCAACAACGATGTGGCAAGCATCCAGGCCATGCTCGCGGCTGGGGAGATACGTAGCGTCCAACTTGCTGAGGCTTACCTCGGGCAAATTAACAAGCATAACACGGAAGGGGCATGGGGCTGAGGGCCCTCATCTCACTTGCACCATCTGAATCCGTCCTAGCCCAGGCTCGACGGCTAGATGAAGAGCGCGAGAAGACAGGCGCAAGAGGGCCTTTCCATGGCATCCCTATCGTGGTGAAAGTGAGGAGACCCCGGCATCCAGCACAGTATCTTTGTGCTAATCTTTCGCTTTCTAGGACACCTTCTTGACCGATGCATCCCTAGGGATGGACACAACCTGCGGTACCGCTGCACTGGTTGGGGCTCGCCGCAGTCAAAACGCAGATGTTGTAGACTTGGTACGGCCCAGATGGTTACCCGACCGGTCGCACCAGAAAGTTAACCGTGCAACAGGTTCTGAAGGCGGGCATGATTATCCTTGGGAAGGCCAACCTCTCGGTATGACCAAATGATCGAATACGGGCGATAGCCTGGTCACTAACCTCTGCCCGTTGCTACAGGAACTTGGCCTCTTCAAAGGGGACCCGCCAAACACTGGGGGTTGGTCATCCGCTGGAGGGCAGAGCGTTTCCCCTTATGTGGTTGGCGGGGTGCTACCGAATGCCACCTTCCTCGGCCACAGTGTAGGTGTTGGCTCTTGAGTTGAAAAAGAATCCCATGGCTGACGACTTTGCGTAAATAGACTCCAGCAGGGTCATCCTCGGGGAGCGCCATCTCCGTGGCTGCCGGCTTCGCCCCAATTGCTCTAGGCGCAGAAACAGAGGGCTCCCTGGTGCAGCCAGCTTCACGCGCGGGGCTCTACGCCCTCAAGCCAGCACCGGGCAAGGTCGCTACAAAGGGCGTCCTCGGGGGCTGGACCTATTCCTCCATCGGACCGGTTGCGAAATCAAGCCGAGATGTCGCCAACATGGTGTCGCTTTTGACAGGAACGGACTTGTCCCACGCACTAAAAGGGTCTTGGGAAAACCTGAGAGTTGGTGTTGTGAAGTACGACCCGTGGGCACCTCCGGCCTTCGTTGTTGAGCAGGTGGACTCGTACACAGAACAAGTGGTATGGGTTCCAAATCAAAATAGGTTGACGCCGCCAGCAGGCTAATCACAGAGAATCTAAACAGCAAACGGAAATGGACAAAGCTGCCGAGGCGATCTCTGCTGCGGGTGCTAAGGTTGTTAGGGACGTACCCCTTCAACCATTTTGGCAGCTGTATGACGATATCGAGGCAGAGCACGGGATCGACATTGAGATGCTATGGGGTAGGCAACTGTGTTATAAAATAAGCCCGATTGCTTCATGACCTTCTACTAACTTTGAAGCAAAGAGCCCAACTTTAAGAACGACTTTGACAATTTCATATCTCTCTACGAGACGACCCCGGTTCGGTCACTGGCAGAGCTCGTCCAGTACCACAAGGACCATGCCGATGTTTGCCTCCCTCCAGGTGAGAAACCCCTGCCCTTACTCTTATTTTCGCGCCCATGTTAATGCCCATCATTCACGAGCAGAGCACCCTTCACAGAAGCTCCTTGAGGAGGCGCTCGATGAAACGCCAGACCCGGACGCGGCTTCCAAGGCACAGCTGGTGCAACGGAAGGCACAGAAAAATATAACCGATGTGCTCTCGGAATTTGACCTCGACGTCATTATCTCTCATTGCGACGGGCGCATGGCCAGCCTTGCCGCCGCCGCCGGGTACGCGATTGCTTCGTTGCCACTCGGGTTTGCGGACTTCAACGGGCGCGCCTGGGGCGTAAACGCCATTGCCGGCCCCGGTGGTGAGGCGAAGCTAGTTGAGCTGATGAGCACTTGGGAGAAAACGTTCCCAGAAGCAAGAAAAGCACCACCGCAGCTTGTAGGCACTACCACCGCCTGAACAGGGCCGATAATAGAGATGTGCTGCCGAGGTATTTACATCGCAAGGGACTGTCGTTCAAGTGCCCAGGAGCATATTGATAAAGGTCAAGTCAGACCGCATCATCTTAAGTCCTAGATAGAATTCAAGGATGCCCTAGAACTCCATATTGGCTTCACGCGGTATCTTTTCTCTCGGATAACATAATAAGGATGGCTGAAGGTGGTATGCTGCTGCGAAAAAGCACTCGGGGTTATGTAGTACCCCATGAAACGTCCCAGCTCCTAGCCTTTTCAAGATCCAACATCATTATACCAGGGAAGCCTACCTTACCTGGCCACTAACAAACGGGTCAATCCGTTTCCGACCCTCAATCTCCCGCGTTCAACAAAGATTCACCCCTCAAGGGACAGCCTGCCGCGCGCGAGAGAAGGCCGAGCACCTCATCTACAGGCGTAGTCTCGGCGGTGGGATCGACGGTCTGGCGGGCCAAGGAACCTCGCTCGGCCCTGGAACATGGCCACGGCAAACGGACGATGTCGTTTGCGGTCGGTCAGCGTGAGGAGTGTGCCGGGCCGGAGGGCGAGCGTGGAGACGCCGGTCTCGGATGCGCCCCGGCACAGGCAGGCGGTCGATGCTGGACCGGACGAGGTTGGGAGGCGTCTGGTGTCGTTGCTCAAGGGCGATGCTCGAGGAGTAGACGACGTGTTTTACGTGGGCGGCTTAGGGTGATGTCGTCGAGGGTTGGGTAGAGGTTGAGGAACAGCATCTGGCAGGCTCTATTTGAGAGCACCTTCATTGTTCCTGTTCGAAGGTCGGTATCATTTCCGTTCTCGGATCATACAAACCCCGGTTGGGCGTACATACTGGTCACCAGGGGTGATCTCAACTCCGACCGACGATAGAGACCGAGCGGCCGGTGAGTTTAGGTTTCTCACGGTGGTATGCACAACCCAGCCGATGGGTTTAAGGCGGTGAGCGAGATGTCCCCCTTAAACCCCCCCGGTGGCGCCACCAACAAATACTGTGAGATTAGTCATTTGCAGAAGTTCTGGGTTAAGATCAACGTGGGTGGCCTGGTTCTTGTACACAGTACCATGAAATCGAATTGTGTACGGAGTAGGACATTGGGTTATTGGCGAGGGTCATCATGCCACGATGAACTGGAAGTCTACCTACATGACCAGGAGATCCACTGAGCACCTCTACCTTCGGTACCTTGCATTACAATGTTTTCCCGTTCGAGGTAAGAATGAGGGCATGAGCGGTTCCAACAAGGTACCTTATTATATACCCTATCAGCTGAGCCTGCCTCCAATTTGTCAGCGGGCGGAATTCCGCCAACAGTCGGACAACCGCCAAAAACACACTTTGGGGCGTGGGTTTCCGCTTCCACCCACCCCCTTTCTCTCTCACGCGAACTAGTTGTTTTCATGCCTTCCTTTAATGCAACGCTACCTGAAAAAACAAAATGTCATTGTCCCAGTCCGCCTTAGAGCGCCGGAACCCCCCACCGAGGCGCAAATCATGCGCTGCTTGTATCCGGGCGAAACGGCGGTGCAACCTTGCGCAACCGACGTGTTCAAGATGCGCTCATCGTATGGTTCAGTGCGTCTATCCATCGAGCCAAGTCGGCGGAACGATCCATGGCAACCCCGGAACCGAGGTTGTCTCGTTTGAGCCGAGAAGCAGCTCCGTAGTCGAACACCCCTATCTCCCTAACATTGACTTGCTACCGGGGGCGGACTCTGCCTTTGACACCGGCGCGTTCGACTTCCTCTTGGATACCCCAGATACTCCCAGCCACTTCAACCGATCCCCCGTGGTTATGAGCAGTACCATGGACGAGCGAAGCACAGGGGACAACGTCCCCAGCCTCGCCCTCACCCCAATCATGCCGCTTTACCCACCCATCGTGTCCAAGCCAAACTTCCACGTCTACCACATCAACTCCCCGCGGCACCAATACGCCATCGAGCACCTCATGAACGCGCCCAGGCAGATGGCGCACGAGAACGCGCTGCCGTGGTGCCACGCGCAGCTGTACCGCGACGCGATGCCGCGGGTGATGCAGGACGCGCAGGCCTGCAGCGCGCTGTACGCGGCGCGCAACCACGCCAACGCCGCCGCCGTGCGCCGCACCATCGAGGGCCGCGTCGCCGACCTCGTCGCGAGCTTCCCGTCGGCCGCCCCGGAAACCTCGACAACAACAACAACAACAATGGGCACGTCGTCGACACCAACACCGGCGGCGACGAGCCCGCTCGACACGCTCGCGCGCGCCCACGCCCTGGTCCTGTACCAGATCATGCGAATATTCGACGGCGACGCGGCCGTGCGCGCCGCCGCCGAGCACACCATGCCCTACCTCGTGACCGCGGCCAAGGCGCTGGCGCCCGTCGCCGGCGAGGAGGCGCTGCCCGGGCGGCCGCTGGCGGGTGCCGACCTGGAGGAGGAGGAGAAGGAGGGCGGCCGGCTGCTGCCGCTGATGCTGCCCGTGTACCCGCTGGCGGGCACGCGCGCGTTCTGGGAGGAGTGGATCATGCGCGAGTCGGCGCGGCGGACGCTGTTGTTGTTGAATATTCTGTGGGTGTTGTACCCGCTGCTGCGGAGCGGGAGCCCGATTCTGTGCGACAAGAATGCGCATGGGGGGCTGAGGTTTACGGCGTCGGCGCATCTGTGGCACGCGGAGGATGCGGTCGAGTTCGCGCTGGCTTGGGGGCAGCGGAAGCACTACATGGTGGTGAACTCCAAGTGTGTGGATATCCTCGCGGAGGCTCAGCCTGATGATATTGACCAGTACGGCCGGATGTGGTTGACGGCCACGTTGGGTGTTGATGAGGTGAAGGGGTGGTTTATCAGTAAAGGTGGCAGGTTGTAGCGTGGTCTTGCTTGAGCGTGTGGTTATTGTATGTAGAGGAAAGGGGGAGGCTTGATTTGACGTCGGCCACGTCTGGCCGTGGCTGTCCAGACATAGGTTATATACCAAACATCGACACTGGAGAGACAGTTCACTGCATAACCCCTTCCCATTTCCTAACTTTTGGTCATTCCCAAACTCTACCACCACTTTCCTTACAGAAGGCACACGAAATCAACCAACGAGAGCCCTAAGCGGCCACCAAGAACCGATCGAACCACTTCACAGCCTGCAAGAAGGCCTCCTCCTTCGCATACTTCTGCTGCGCATCCTCCAGATCCACGCGCACGCCAAACCCATGCTGCGTACCCGCATACAAGTTCACCTGATACGGGCTCGCAACCCCCAGCAGCACCTCCTCAGCCTCAGCCCTCGCGGCCGCATTAAACAGCTGATCCTGATCCGCCGCGGCGACCGCCACGGGCCCCTCCACAGCCCCAATCTCCTCCGCGGTCAACAGACTCGGATGCGCCGCGAACCCGACCGCGAACGCGCCCCCCTCGGTGCCGGCCGACAGCGCGCGGAAGGCGTAGCGGCCGCCGAAGCAGTAGCCCGGCGCGCCGATGCGGGTCGCGTTCAGCTCGGTGCGCAGGTAGGCGGCCGCCGTGGCGATGATGGGGTCGGTCACGGGCGGCTCGTGCGCTTCCAGAAAGGCCGTCGTGTTGAACCCCGGCACGTTGATGTCGCCGGGCGCGGGCTCGCCGTTGAACAGGTCGGGGACGACGGTTAGGTAGCCGGCGCGCGCGAAACTGTCGGCGAGGCTGTCGGGGTTGTTAGTACATTCTTGTTCCTTTATATAAATTAAGGGGGTGGGTTGACGAACAGCTTGTTCTCGGTGAGGGCCAGGCCGAACACGTCGGTCAGGAAGAGCACAGCGCTGCCGGCTCTTGCCTGTGTGCGGGGATCTGCTTCGTCGGGTTTGGTGATGTAGAGAGTGACTAGGAGGTGGGTTAGCGGGGTGTGTGTTGCGCAGGGGATTGTGGCTAAACTCACTGTCGTTGTGCACCACCTCCTCGCCCACGGGTTCGCCGGTATGGGCCACGATGGATGCATCGGGGTTCACACAGGCATCGGACTTGCCATTGCAGCCAGCCACCGCTCCTCCGGCGAGAAGCAGGGCACTCGAGAGAACGGAGGTGCGCATATTGCTAGGTGACTATGATTTGTTGAGGGTGAAGAGGGGAAAAGTTGCCACAGATTCTACTCCGCGGATGGTCGGGGTTGACCCAATTTATACCTCTGTGTCTCGGCTTGAGTATTGTCGGCGGCCAGCCTGTTACGCCATTACCCCCTTGTCCATCGGTAAGATCGCCGGTAATGCACTGGCACAGCATAACCCCCTTGGGTCGATGCGACGCTCCATGCTTGCCTAAACTGGAGCGATCAATGAGAATTACCGGTTATAGCGACTCCGATATCTCCTGGTTGCCGTTTCAATGCACCCCGGTATGCTTTATAATCGCCGGCAGGCCGTCTCGTTACGGAGTATTATTATAAGCCGGAATTAGTGAGCATCCTTGGCGACGGAACGGACCAGCCCTTATTCGCGCGCGGATTTAACGGGTGTCGGTGGGGAGGTCGGGCTACAAGACGCCATCGCCTGCGCGCCGGGATGTACAGACACTCGAATCACGCCAGGTTGAGTGTCCGGCTTCGACTAGTCCCTATCGAAGGCGGCAAACCCGTCACCACACCTTGTTCGTCGATGTCTAGGTAGATATCTGTTCTATGAGTTAACGCCTTTGAACGAACACATACCGCAAACCACCATGCCGCGCCGACCGGCAACCTGAAAACATTGAAGCCGTTCCCCAGCCTATAGCCCCCCGAGTCTCCAAGACTCCCCGCGCGGAGAAACAGCGCAGCCATATACAGATAGTACATGCTCCCAGCCTAGCCAAGGACACTCCCCAACACCGAACCGCCATCATGAACTCATCATGGACATCATCTCCCATTACCACCGCCCTGCCACCCTCTATCTACAATTACACCTCCTCCCCCGCAACCTCCTCATACCCCCCCGCCCTCCTCGCCCCACCCCCCCTCAAAATCTCCATCACCGCCGGGCTCTCATACATCTCGGTATAATTCACCGGCTGCCCGCCTAGCACCGCGGCGCCCGTCTCGCGCTGCCCAAACACCGGCGCCGGATCACACCAAAAATCCCTACAATTCGCCAAGCACCCCTTACTAAACGGATTGCGATTCCCCCTGCGCCTACCACCCCCCGCCGCCGCGCCCCTCCCCCTCGCCGTCTCAATAAACGTATCCACGCCCAACAACCGCCCCCAATGCTTCAACACCCCACCATGCCTGTGCCCATGACCATGACCGCCGGGACCGTGCGGCCCAACCTCGGCGCCGGAGGGGGGCGCCGAGGTGGCGGGGTCGAGCGGGGCGCCGGTGGAGGTGAAGGCGCTGGCGAGGGAGGCCGGGGCGCGGGCGTTGACGCCGAACATGTTCTCGTAGGTGGTCATGGCGCGCGAGACCTGGATGAACTGCACGAAGAGCAGCATGGACACCCAGGTCAGCTGGAGCGAGGCCCAGACGGCGAGGAGCAGGCTGTAGGCGTCCGCGTTGATGACGCGGCAGAGGGCCGGGGAGAGGACGTTGCATTCTTCGGAGGCGGTCGGGGTGAGGGTGGTGAAATCTGGGGGGGTGGTGGTGGTGGTTAGTTGGGTGTGTGGTTTGGGAGAAGGGAATGGGGGGGTAGACAAACAGCGGTGGGTGAGGACGTCGTAGGAGAGTACGCCGAGGGTGAGGTTGATGAGGTACAGGAAGAAGTGGCGGTGGTTGTTGATGCCGACGCAGTTGTAGACCCACGGGCAGTGACTGTTGACCGGTTAGCACATGGCCATAAACACCCGACCGGTTGGTAGAGGCCACTCACTGGTCATGCTTGGCCACGCAGCGCTGACACCTGCGGCAGTGCTTGCTTCGGAGCGGCGTCCGAATCATGCACGTCACGCAGAAATGCGCCTCGTCGTACTTCCACTGGCTGATCAAGTCGTCGATAACGGCCTTTTGCTCGGCGATGCCGTTGAGCTTGGGCACGAAACCAGGGTCGTCCACCATGGCCCTGGTGTAGAAGAAGCCAGTGAGAGAAAAGGAAACGATAAACACAAAGTTCCACAGCCATGTGCCGTCTGTTGCAATTTGTCAGTGACACAAATCAAAAGGAAACACCTTCCTGCGGAAAACCTACCTTCGCCAAAAGCCGTGCCGGGTAAGATGACGAACAACCAGTTCAGCCCCGCGAGGAAGAGGGACGCTGCAAAAATACCCGCCATCCAAGGCTGATGAACGATTAGCTCTACCCCATACACTCGGAGCCGCAGCACTTACCGTTTTCTCAAACTGCCTCATATCCGGCGGGGCGTACGCAAGCAGCTGCTGGCCCACCCACTGCACCGTGTACGCAGCCAAGAGGCCAAACGGAACACCCGCGTAAACAGGTAATGTCGAAAAGAGGAATATCGTCGCCCAGACGAGCATAAACGGCCACAAAAAGAAGAACTTGGTGGTGAACCCCCGCCTGTCCTTCAGCAAGTAACTCGCGCCCGGCCAGCTGGGCACAATGGCGTTCCCATCCTCGTCATAGCCGCACTCATACAGAGCCTTGTGCCAAGCGCCCGCCGTGTTCAGCTCCCTGGCGGTTATCGAAGGTGTTTTCCCCGTCGTTGTCTTGGCAAACCGGTCCGCGCCGTACTCGATGATCTTTTGGATGCAACCGGCGCTGCCCTTGACCAGCGCCCAGTGCAGAGCCGTAAACCCCTGCTCGTCCTTCGCATGCACGCTGGCTCCCCACCTCAGAAAGGCGTCGACGCAGGCCGGGTATCCCTTATAAGCGGCCCACATCAACCCCGTGTGACCGAAGGAGTCTTCGACGTCGACCGGGATGCCCTGGTGGAGCAGGAGGATGATTAGGAGGAGGTTGCCGTTGAAGGTGCTGATATGGAGCGTGTTGTAGCCCTGGGCGTCGGTGATCAAGGGGTCGGCGCCGTGCTGGAGGAGCAGGTGGACGGTGTAGTAGTGGCAGCGTTGGGCGGCCCATTGTAGCGGCGTCGCGACGCTTTCCCCGCCCTTCTTGTTCATCGGGGCCCCACGCTCGATCAGGAATTTGCACATGGCGTACTGATTGTTAATCGCTGCCCACTAGCGAGGAAACTGTTAGTGGGAGTCGGAGGTGTGGTCAGACCGGACTGGAGTAGACCGCGCTCGGTACGCACATGTAGCGGGGTGATGCCCTCGTCATCGGTGTAGGTCGCATCGTAGTCGTTACTCTCGAACAGCTTCTCCATCCCCGCAAGATCGCCCACCCTCGCCATCTGCATGATATCGTTCTGGGTCGAGTTGTTGTCCGGCATGTTCCCAAGCTCCACCTCATTGTTGAGTTTTGGTGTTGCGGTTTCTGATTTGGAGGGCGGCTGGATCGGCGCGCCGTTCACGGACGGTGGCCCGGAGTCGTCATGTTGATGCGCCATGGTCGATGGGCGCTGTAGGTCTAAAACCCAAGTCTGAAGTCTGAAATCGCTTGCGCCTGTCGTCGCGTGCTCGGGTTGTAGATCGGATGGGCTTACGGCCAAGTCGGAACGAGAGAGGAGTCGTCCTCGTTTTTGGAGGGGTGTCGGGTATTAGAGAAAAATAATCACAGCATGACGAGATACAAACTGCGCCAACTGCTGTTTCACTGGGGCCAAAAAAGGGCCACCGTTGGGAATGCTGAGACCAAAAGAGCGACCTTGCGGCGAGGCGTCTTCTCTGGATTGCGTGCAGTATTTCAGCAGGACCCTGAAAAGAGATTCAGCGCCGTCTTACCCGTCAACCAACCCAAAACGAGCGGTGCAGAGCGAGGCTGAGCCACTGATCCTCAGGTGGAGAGAATCTGATTCGTCTGAGGGAGACTGCCGCGCCGTTGCAGGGCTGAGACCCACTGGCGCGTCACGACGGAAATCTTGGCAAGCCTAGAACTGCTACGTAACCAACAAATCCACAGCTAAAATTCCATGATCCGATCCGGCGACCATCGGATGAGAGTGGCCCGATAATTCGACTTCCGGAGCCACCGCGACCCGTTCTCCAGCCGTTCCACACCAGAGCAGCGCCGGAGTACAAAGACGGCCGACTTGTCTTGCGCCGGCACCGACATCAATTCTCTGACCGCACTCTTCACTCTTTCTTTCACCCCCCTTCAACTTGACAATTGGCCAGCGACAATGACGGCGCTCGACACATTCAAAGCCGCCTTCGAGGCATCCCTCACCCCGTCCCCGACCGTCATCACAATCGGTCTAGCCATCGTCATCTTCCTCCCCATCCTCCTCCACCTCCTCTTCTCGGCAACAACCCCATACACGACCCTCCCCTCGGTCCTGCTCATCGGTCCCTCCGGCGCAGGCAAGACCGCCCTCCTCACCCTCTTCGAGCGCGGACCCCTATACACCCCCGACGCACCCCCCTCCGCCGACAAGCCGTCGGTGCCCACGCCCGTAGCCAAAACCCACACCTCCCAAGCGCCCTCGACCGTCGAGCTGGCCATCTCCACCGACAAGAAGACCACCACCAACGACACCAACGCGGCCAGCTACCGCACCGACCTCGACGCAGCCGGCGCCACAGCCAAGAAATTCCTGCTCGTCGACACGCCCGGCCACCCCAAACTGCGCAGGCACGCCCTCTCCCACCTCGCCTCGGCCTCGCCCACCATCAAACCCTCTAGCATCTCCGCCACCTCCTCCGAAACCCACAAATCCAAGCTCAAAGCCCTCGTCTTCGTAGCCGACGCGGCGGCCCTCGCCGACGCCGACAGCGGCGCGCTGGCCTCGACGGCCGAGTACCTGTACGAGGTACTCCTCGCCCTCCAGCGGCGCTTCCACGGGCGCGGCGGGTCGCGCGCGCCCGCGAGCGTGCCGGTGCTGGTGGCGGCCAACAAGCTGGATTTGTTCACCGCGCTGCCGGCGGCGCTGGTCAAGAGCCAGCTGGAGGCGGAGCTGGGGCGGATTCGCAAGGCGCGGAGCAAGGGGTTGCTGACGACTGGGGAGGGGGATGGGGATGAGGTCGGTGCTGGGGCTGGGGGTGAGGAAGGGGATGGGTGGTTGGGGGCGTACGGGACGGAGAAGTTTAGTTTTAAGGAGATGATGGAGTTTGATATCGAGGTGGAGGTTATTGGGGGCAATGTGCTTGGGGAGGGGCCTGGCGCGGATAAGTGGTGGAACTGGATTGGGGAGCGGGTTTAATCACGGGGTAGTGGTGGGAGTGGTGGTCGTATAATGGGCCCAGGACGGGCAGCATGGTGTATAATCAGGAGCTGTACTGAGATGACTTGCGTATCTATTAATGGGTATTAACGATCCAGATACCTTCCTCCCTCCCCATTTGCACGGGTTGAGCCCTCTCTATGCCGACATGCTACGCTCAATAATGCTGAACAATGCTGTCCAAGCCAACTAACCATAGACGTTGAGTCTCGGTTCCCATGTCTAATCGCCCTTAAATGCTCACAGTAGAACAACCCCGGAAAAACTCCTCGGCATAACTTCGTCGGACCCGCTCACGACTTCTGCCTCACCATCCAGGTCAACAGATCCACCTTGGTCACGACCGCCACGGGCTTCGAGCCCCCGCCCTCGTCCTTCTCCGTGACCACCGCCGCGCTGTTCCACTCCAGGAACCGGCTCAGCGCAGACAGTGGGCTGTCCAGGGTGATCTCGACAAACTTGCGCTTCTTGCCCTTGAGATCCGAGCCGAACCGGCGGGGGTCCGTGACCACCTCGTCGATGCGGCTGAAGTTGAACATGACCTCGCTGACCGGAGTCTGGGGCGTGGCGCGGCCGCGCGAGATGTAGCTGAGCAGGTTGCCCAGCGTGACCAGGCCAGCCAGCTTGCCGCCCGTGGGGGCGAGGACGGGCAGCTGGTCGAAACCCTTGTCGCGCATCGTCTCGATGGCCTCGGAACAGGCGCTGGTGGTGATGACCGATGACACGGGCTTGAGGCGGAGGGCACGCACGGTGGCGCCGGCATAGGCGTCGGGGGTGCTCTGGCTGTGCGTCCTTGGCCGTGAACGGGCGCCCGCGCCGTCAACGTTATCCGAGTCGTTGGGGAGGAGGCCGTTTGCAGCGAGCCAGTCATCGTCGGCAAACTTGGAGAGGTAGGAGCGGATGCTATCAGGGAGGACGACGACGACCACGTCGCCCTTGCCGAACCCGAAGTCCTTCACCGCCTTGAGCATGGCCGCCATGGCACTGCCGGACGAGCCGCCGACCAGCAAGCCCTCTTCGGCAATCAACCGTCTCGCGAGCTGGAAAGACTCGCGGTCGTCGGTCTTGTACCACTTGTCGACGAGCTCCCGGTCCAGAACATCTGGGATGAAGTCGTACCCAATGCCCTCAACCTTGTACGAGACATTTGCCTGCTCCTCGTTCAGCGCCTCGGGGACGGCTAGGATACTGCCGTGCGGGTCCGCCGCGATGACCTTGACGTTCTTGTCATGCTTCCTGAGCCCCTTGGCAATGCCGGAGATGGTGCCGCCAGTCCCCGCACCGGCGACAACAGCCGTGATTTTACCGCCGGTTTGCGCCCAGATTTCCTCGGCAGTCCCGAACTCGTGCGCGAGCGGGTTGTTCTCGTTTGTGTATTGATCGAGGATGTGCGAATTGGGGATCTCCTTCAATAGACGCCTCGCGACACCGATATGGCTTTCCGGGGCGTCCCAGGCGGCTTGGGTGGGTGTGCGAATGATGGTGGCGCCAAGAGCACGGAGGACGGAAACCTTCTCGGCGGACATCTTCTCGGGGAGGGTGATGATGGTCTTGTATCCCTTGATTGCGCCGACCAGCGCGAGACCGATGCCGCTATCCAAGTCAGATCATGCCACGGCCAAAACTAGAGTCGCGAGTACTTACGTATTGCCACTAGTGGGCTCAATCAGCGTGTCACCAGGCTTAATGCGCCCGCTCTTCTCGGCTTCCTCGACCATGCGCAGCGCTATCCTGTCCTTTACGCTGCCGCCGGCGTTAAACAGCTCAACCTTGGCATACACCTCGGCCTCGATCCCAAGCGACTGCGGGATCTTATTGAGGCGAACAAGCGGTGTGTTCCCAATCAGCTCGGTGGCCGACATCTTGACGCTGAGCTTGGGCGCTTCGAGGATCGGAACGGGCGGCCGCGGCTCGCCTTGCGAAGCTTGACCGTTAGGAGTGGCCATCGTTCCGAAAATGTTTGGTGTTCAGCGAAGCGCGGGGATTGTGAATTGGGTGTCGGGTTCGTCCAACTTCGACCAAAGCTGCAAAAGGTATCTCGCGATTTCGAGGCAGAGGTTGAGATCGTTCGAAGAGTGGTGTGATGCAACCAATTCTTTCCAATCCGATACCCCTAACGAGCAGCGACGGTGCGTAATAACCGAAGTAGTGGACAATGGCGAAAGCGTGGGCGGGAGTGAGGAATTGGTCGTTGGTGGGGGGAGAAAACGGCGTGGAATGTGGGATGTGGGCTGTTGGCTCCACAAGCCGACGATATGCGCCACCGGCACTCGCCCGAGGCACCGGGTCCGGCCGCTTCAGGGGTCTTGAGTTGTCATTCGCCCCCACCCGCCGTTCCAGAGCGGTCGGCGCATTCATTTCCTTTTTTGTATTCGTAACCAAGAGCTGCCGTGGAGCAGCCCATTGCTTTGGTCTTTCGGCGTCTTTTCCTATATGTGTATAGGTATCCAAGAAGGTGTAGAAGGGAAAGAATACATTTGTAGTTGTATCCTTTGGGAGACCGAGCGTCGCCGGGGCAAGGGACTACATCGGTCAATTGGGTTCTGTACCGGGGATTCCTTTTTTCCTTTTTCCATTACCCTACATCGCGGTCTCCAAATGTTAGGCTTCGGTCCATCGCCAGCGATCACTGTCAAAGAATGATATCCGAAGCGGTTCTCGGGCGTCTAAACATTCATGTCATGACCAGTCGTCTGCATCGGCGCGACTGTCAGGCTCTCCTTCCTCATATGCTGGGGGAACAACGAGGGACGGAAAAAGCAGCGTTGCTCGCTTGACTATCGGAGGGCACTGTTGTGTAATTAGAGGGGATGAAACCCTGTGTTTTTGGATGTATCTCAAACGGGAGAGTCAATATTGGGAGTGTAACTACTTGCTACTGTACGACTTGACCCGTGCGTGTGTTCTGGGTTGGCATCTGATGTCGTCGCGAGATCCGTGGGGTCGTGTGATGATAGACAGGGCAATGACGTCATTACCTTCATGGGTCTCCTCCTTCACTCGCTGCTCAACACAGAGACCATACTTCATACACCACACCACTTCACCAAAACTGAATCAGCGTGGGGATCCCACGATGGGCAGAAACGAGAAAATCGCCCGGTCGGTTGTGCGGGCAATTATCAAGGCGAACGGGACGAGTAAACAACGAAGCACCCTCGCGCGGATCCTTGCATTCTTCTCGCTCTTTTTCTCTCTGTATCGACTGCTGCTTCGCAAGATTCGCCCGGCAGATTTTGCCAATCTGCGTCGGAATCACTGGGATGTCACAGATGATAATTATGTACAGTCGTTTCAAGCTGAAAATGGTGGCCCAGAGGAGGAATCACTCAACGCGATAGGGGACATGGGCTTCTCCGGTTCGGTTAGTCAGAGTCTCGTAGTCCAAGAAGGCTTCTTCATCCAACTAACTTGGGTTAGACCTTCTACTCCACTGCCAATCAAAAGTATCTCGTCAAGTCCGTTCCCCGACATTCTGAGCATTCCTTTTTCCGCGAGGATCTCTTGACCCCATACGTCCAGCACATGGCAACCCATCCCCGCTCGCTCTTGGTCCGCGTCTTTGACTTTCTCGCCGTCTCAGGCGCGTCCTTGGGACGTGTTTTTCGGTCAGCGCCATCCCACCACATAGTGATGGACAACATCATGTACGGGAGGGAAGAAGCAAAGAAGCAGGGCGAGGCAGACTGGGAGAGCTGGGACCTGAAACCAACTTCGTACTTTTATCCCGAGAGGGACATCGCTGGCGGTGCCCTCGCCAGCGAGGCAACCAAGGACCACCTCGCCGACGAATTCCGTGACAAGATAATCCTTCATAGGGAGCAAGCAGAGGAATTTCTCTCTAGCCTCGAAGCAGATTCCAAACTGCTTTCGGAGCACAACGCCGTGGATTACTCGCTCTTTCTGGTGCGGATGCGAACCCCTCAACGCGCGGCCGCCTCGGTGCTTCCTCCCACAGAATCGGCCATAGTGACTACCGATCCGCCACTGGTCCCACCTTCCCAGTCAAATTGGAGAACGGGGGTTCCTTCGGCGGATGGAAAGTACATCTTCCGCGCCTCCATATTGGATTTCTTCTGGGCCAAGCACAAAGCCCAGCCGAAGGCTATGACGTTGCTGATCAAGCTCTGGAACACGTTGATAAGTAAACAGGGGCACATGAGCATCACCACCACGCCGGATGAGTACCGGGAGCGGTTTCTCAAATTGTGTAGGGGCATCGTGGAAATCAGAGAGGATTGAGGGAACTGCGGGCTTACGCCTTGCTTTTGTTATTCGGAAGTTGCTGCTTAATACCCTGAGTCGCGGTTTCATCTTTGCCGGTTCACATTTCCTCGAAGCTCTGTGGCAAGTTGCTCTCGGCTCATACCATCCCTCCCGATAACGCGGGTATTACCCAGAGAACGGCTTTGCCTGTTCGTTCAAACCCCAGCACATTGGATATCTGTTCATAGCAGCCCATTCGACTGTCTCCTACATGTCCAAAAATAAGTTAAACTTGTGAGTGCCCAGCTTCCCCCAGACGAGGTTGCGTAACTGATAGCAAGAGTTTAGTTGAAGTATTCTTTCGACGGTGCCACGAACGTGTCCACGCCCAAGATCCGCAACCGCCCTCCTCTATTCACCTAACTAAGGACTGGGCTGCCATAGCCTATGATTAATCTCCGCACCGAAGGTTGCTGTAACGCCCATACGCCGGGCTCCGCTGTGCCCGATCCGAGAAGGGGAAAGGAACCAGTCTTCCGGTAACCATGGCAGGGAACAGGCGTCGAGGACTTAGTGACCCATCACTGCGAGAGATAGAGCACGAGATTCTCCATACGACTATACTAGGAACGAGGCGTTCTCGATCATTCGAAATAGACGGACACGAGCTCGACTTAACTGCACTGGCACCCGTAACGTCACAGGACCGAAATGACTTCTCGGCCCCATCAAGCGACCCGATCCGGCCAATTCGAATGCCGTGGAGAACCCGCTCATCCTATCGACCCAACTCGCTTCGGCTCCTTGCTTGTGCTCTTCACGGCCAGTTGAGGCTGGATCCGGTTTTCATCGCTATAGAACACCTCAGGCGACGTCAGGAGATGATCATCCGCATGATTGGTGAGATACAGATGTGGCTGAACCAGAATCCTGCAGTTCCACGAGTTGCCGTTCAGCGACATATGTACCGGCTCCTTTCCCTGGCTCATATGGTCGCCGAGCCGCCTTGGGGTGACAGGGGATACCACGTCCTCGATGTTGTCGATCGCCAGCGGGCCGTCTTCGCAGCGATAATGGGATTTGAGGAGGAAAACGGGATCCAATACGACGAAGATGGGCTGCCGCTAATCCCTCAGCTACGCAACGAAGTCTCTAGCGAAGTCAATGGCACCCCCCAGCGGCTTCCCATGCACGGAATCTTTACCATAAACGGAGCCGACGACATTCACGGCATTCACCGCGGTCACCCGTCGTACGGTTTCGGGTTCTCCGTCCGCAACCCTCTTACGAACGGGGTCAACGGCAGCAACGGCACCCACCTCGCAAACGGAGCCAATGGCCACGATGGCAGCAACCTAACAAACGGAGTCAACCACAGCGACGGCGGTCATTCTACAGATGAAGCCGATGGCACTCGCCGCAGTCATCTCGTCACCATGACCCCCCGCCCGGCCACCAGCGAAGTCAACGGCACCCATACTCACCACCTCACAAACGGCACCACCAACGGAACCACCACCAACGGAACCACCACCAACGGAACCCACGGAGCCACCACCATGACCAACGGCACCACCAACGGCACCACCAACGGCACCACCAACGGCACCACCAGCCCTACAACCGACTCCCACACGACCCTCACCAACCCCCCCACGACCCCAAACACCCCTTCCCGCTCCCCCTCCACCTCCCCACCCCATAACACACCACCACGCAACAGCCCGGCAGACGACACCACCGGCCCAACACGGCTAAGAAGGCGGAGGCGAGTGCGGCGGATCCGCAGGGTGCGGAGGGTGCGGAACGGCGGAGCGGGGACGGGGTCGCTCTCGGTGCGGCCTGTGGAGAACGAGGACCGGGGGGATGTGGGGGTTCGTTTCGCTGTTGATGCTGGTGGTGGTGATGATGATGGTGGTGGTGGTGGTGGTGGTGATGACGGCGGGCCGGAGAGTAGTTGGGAGGATATTGCGGCGGGGTTTGGGTCGAGGTTTGGGGATGGGGATGGTGGTAACGGGAATGGGGGTGGTGATAATGGGGATGGGGGTAGTAGTGATGACGGGGGGTCGTTGGTTGCGGATTGGGTGCTGTTGTTGGGGGATTGAGTGAGTGAGTGGTTGGGTTGGGGATGGCGGTGATGAGGATGGGAATGGTGGGGTTGAGGTTGGGGAGGGTCGGTCGATGGTGTTTTGGCATTGAACGGGACTTTTGATGGGGGGGTTCGTATCGGGCCGGGTCGGGTTTGGAAGGGGGCAAAGGACACAGCGCTCGAGATACGCCGGCCTTGACGGCTTGTGTTTTAGTATGGTCTGGTTTAGAACAGCGAATTGTTACGAATATTATTCGTGCTTGTGATGAAGCTGTGGCAGCCATCCCATCCTCTGATTTGAGAAACACGCAGCGATTTGATTTGCCAATGCGCCCGCGCGGATTGGTCCTCGGCCACAGGGGTCGTGTGGGCCCCCAGATCGACGTCGCAGCGCTAGGGCGTTCGCTCTGCAGTTGGCTTCTTCCAACGTCGCAGGGCAGCACTGGGCGACCTGCGCTACAACCTCGTTGGCGGGCGGTCTCACATCATCTGTGCATTTCTCTTGGTTCATGGTATGCACCTCCTGTGAACCAGAACACGAAAGATATTCATCCTTGTCCCCTGTTTTATACCTCCAAGAACGTGTTCCGGGGTGTTTTCGGAACGCAACATCCGGATCGCGAGCATGCTGCGCCGCTGCGTTGCTTCCCCCGCCATTGGCATTGGACTTGGAAGTTGAGATCCTGCCCATGGTCTCGACTTGCGGGGTGTTTCTTTAAGGTCAAGCGTGCTCCTTAGTCACAATATTTGCATGCTGACCACCCCAAACTCCAAGTCCAGACCCGTCTCCAGTGGATTCTGGGAGTCCCGGATTCCGGTTGGTACCTATCGTAATTAACTACATCTAGGTATACAGTAACTTACAGCCGCGCGTCTCTCTCGCGTGCCGGACCGAGGTCGAAATGCCCGCCCGCATTTCCCGAACTTTCCGTTGAAACCGTTTAACCGAAGCCAGCCACACGACATGCAGGTGAAGCTGCAGGGCCGTTAACTCTCTGCATCAGAAAAGGATCAGGAGGCGAGCTCTCAGCCAATCACCCCTGTCAATACCTGTTGCCGAGGACGCAGAACATAGGGGCTCTGGGGGGCCGATAATATCCAACTTTCCCCGTCTTCATGGACGACCCCTTCTTTCCGCTTCCCGCCGCCGGGTTCAGGGGTCTGACCTTCGCGTGGCACGGGCAGCCGCTCGCTACCCCCCAACGCGGTGTGTGGGCATGTATGGAACTTGTTTCCGCTAAGGTGGCCGTTCGTGGTTCCCTTGGACTGATGAGGTTGAAGGAAGGGTTCCACACGCGCCGCGCTTGATTGTCAGGGCACCGATGCGACCATGGGTCCATCCAGACGGATCGGAGGCTGGGATCTGGGCTTCAGATATGAAGGGGGGTGGCATGTTGGAACCAACGTGCCGTGTGAGGGGTTCTTTTTCTTGGGGGCAGGTAGGAAGGCGGTGGTGGGATGGTATATGAATGGGGGGTCGCCGCGGCGGGTAGCCCCTTCTTTCGGTCCTCTGTTTGTTTCTCCAGATTTTACTCGCGTTTTCTTCAATTCTTTGTCCATAACTACCTACCTATCTTGAATACTCAAGTGCAGGATACTTGAGAACTTACCACCGCAACAATGGCCACCGCTGAAACGCAAAACCCTCCCGCCGAGGCCCCCGCGCCGGCGCTCCCCGACTACGTCCTGGACGAGGATGCCGTGCTCAAAGACACCGACGTGAACTGGCGCCACGGCCGGGCGCCCGACTACTCCAAGACCCGCAAGATCTACTCGGAAAGTAACCAGCCCCTGATGCCTCCCAGTCCCAGCTAGCACGGAGCCGCTAGAATCGCCGAATGAGCTAACCTACCCCGCAGCAAAGCACGCCAACCACCAAGCCGGCTCGCTCCCGGACCTCGTCGAGAAGCTGGTCAAGAACTGGGAGATCGAGGCTAGCTACAAGGTGGACCTGAAGGACTGGCGCACCATCGACCCGTCGTCGTACACCTTCTCGGTCAACGGCGGCCCGCCGCAGACGGGCGAGCACATGCTGACGGTCGGCACTTACAACGCCATCATCGAGGGCAACGAGTACTACTGCCCCATGCGCTCCAGCTTCGACGCCTCCCACAAGACCTTTAAGCGCATGATGCCCACCTTCGCCTGGGAGGTGATTGAGGTCTACTCCGGGCCTCCCAAGGTTGCTTTCAAGTGGCGCCATTGGGGGACCATGAAGGAGGATTATACCGGGTTGAACAAGTATGTTTCTTTTTCCTCCTACGCACCCCAACTCTTTTATTTTTCTTTTGGTCGTCGTGAGACTGGTGATGCTGACAGTGCTCGCGTTAAAGCAAAGGGGAAAAGGTCACAATCAAGGCGCACGGCGGGGAGATCGACATCGAAGGCCTTGTGGTGGCCGAGGTGAACGACAAGCTGCAGCTCCGCAACGTCGAAGTCTTCTTCGACCCCATGCTCATGTTCCGCCAAATGGCCCCGGATGGGGAGACGGGTGTGACCAAGGTCAAGGCTGACGACGCATAAATGAGCCACGGAGGGTGATGTAAAGAACTTTGGCAAGAATTGAACAAATCAGACAAAAGCTCAGCTGTTAACATGCCCATTTCCTCGTTACTTGCGCACGACGAAGGTGTATGAACAGAGGTGTAGTGGCGCCTGGGCTGGTTAATCACAAGGGTATCGGTCTCGAGCGCCAGGAGAAAACAGGATCACTTGGGTCTGGTCCGCCCGATCCTTGCTATCGCTCCATTCATTGATCTCTCGCCTGATGGGAACCCGGTTGTCAGGGCCCCAGCTGGCTTTGATTCCCTGGATGGAAGAGTACTTGTAAGCCATCCTACGGCAGTCAGTTATCACCCTCGAGTGGGAGTTTCCGTTCGGCCACTTCGATCAATCCGCAAAGAGGCGAGCCTCAAACGTGCTGTGAGTGTCCCTGATGTGTGCCCGCTGCCGGGTGGGAATGCACATAGAAGTTTCGGTTCTCCCTGCTTGGGGGTATCGGTTTCCGCCCAACCACCATCCCACGGGGTCTACGATGCGGCTCCGTCGCCCGGTGCGACCCCCATCCTGTCCTCATGCTGCAACCTCTCCTTTTCACTCGGCAGAGCGTGACTTCTGGGGTATGAGCTGTGTGGGATTGGTCTCGGCGCAGTACCACTTGTAAGACGGACATGTCCATGTCACAGCTCAAGACGGACAGGACTCTCGACCACAGCGCCTCGTCAAGCTGCGGGTACCGTCACTTTTGTTGAGACTTATTGGCGGCGGGTTCCCAATCCCACCCACGCCATTTCATGCAGTCTGCAGATCGCTGACTGCAGGGCGGGTTGTCGGGCATCAACAAGCTGCATGAGCTAACCTGCAGATGAGCCTCCCTATTTCCCAGTTGGGATAGCGTGGAAGACAGCTTAACCAACTTCGGAACAAAAAGGCGGCGTCTCAAGCGCGTGAAGCGTTCCGGAGCTTTGAGACAGCCTCGCCGAGGGCTAGGTCAAGTTACTAATTGCGTGAATTCAGAGGAAAGTGAGACAGGGCTGATGAAAGGTCCGAGACAGTACAAAGATACCTACTCACGAGATTGCTTGTTTCACCATTCCGATATAATAGGTATATAACCACCGACACGCCTGATGCGTAAATAAGAACACATACAAAATCCATCCGAGACACTAGCAACCTTCTCAAACATGTCTGCCTCGCGCATTGAGAAGCATCACGATGTCGGAGTTGAACATGACCGGTTTCCCCCTTGCCTCTTCCCCCCTCTCCACCACTCCCAAGCGTCACCCCCAGCAGGAACAGAATCGACGCCTGAGTTCGGCTTTGTCATCGAACCTCAGTTCCTCCCGGGGCGACAATGGCACGAATCTGGCCACCACGTCGATCTGCTAACGGTTTGCAAGGCGGCGTGGCTGTTAACGCTTAAATGCTTCGTCCAGACTGACATTGTCAGTTTTGCTTACCAGCAAGAGGCGGTGGAGGCAGGCTGCACTAGCAGGATGAACAACGACCCAGTCTTGTATTTCACTCGTGTCGACAATGACGAGGAGGTCCAGGGCTTCTTGCGAAGACTAGGAGGGATTACACCATCCGACGTCCTGGAAGCACCGCGCGGTCATGAAATTCGTGCAGTGAAAGGGCAGGGTGTGGCCGCCGACTTTGCCAACACGATGCTTTGTTACTATGGAGAGGGTGACTATGGAAAGGGTGACTATGGCACAAGACCCATGGGGTTGACTACCAGAAAGCCCCTGGGTGTAAGTTGCGTTGATTGACCGAGCGAAGCCTGATCACACACTAAACAAAAGCGGTACACCAGATGGACATTCTTGTCAGCATATCCAAGGAGTCGACCGACTGCATCTCGGCGGCCCTTGAGTTCCGGCGCGTCCATATGAGCCTGGATGCCGCGACGAGCGTCTTACGAACCGTCCAGCACATAGCCTCACAACTATTCGACGTGACCATGACTGCGCCGGGCTGCGATGTCGCGGTGCGGCTACAAGACATCGATGTTTGCTCTACCCACGACTGGCAGTTGGTGCGGCAACTTACCGCATCCATCAGCCCAGTAGAGGAACAGTGCCTCCATGACATGATCGTCGCACAATGCAGGAGGTCTCCCAATAGCACTGCGGTCATATCAACGGATGGCGAGGCCTTGACATATGGCGAGCTTGACGATATCTCCCAGCGGTTGGCCTACAGGCTGGTGCGGCTCGGCGTAAAGCCCGAAACGTTTGTGCTTAGCTGTTTCCAGAAGTCTATCTGGGCTGTGGTGGCCCGACTGGCCATTCTTCGCGCTGGAGGCGCTTACGTCTCGATCCACGCCACCAACCCACCCGCATACCTTGACTCGGTCATCGCCCGCACCGCCGCTCCCATTATCGTTTGCGATGAAAGACATGCCAACCAATTTCGGCATCTCGTCCCCATCACGATTGAGACTTCCCCTAGTATGTTACGGGATCTCCCGATGCCGGACCGAGTCCCTGTCTGCGACACGGTGCGGCCCGAGAACGCTTGCCTTATCCTCTTCACTTCGGGCAGCACCGGCAAGCCCAAGGGTATCGTGCAGGTTCATCGATCATATGCAACAGCCGTCCGGAACTACGCCAAGATCATGGCCCTCGGCACAAACACGCGCTTCTTCAGCTTTGATGAGTACGCATTCGACATCAGCAACCTCGATTTCCTAGTGCCCTTGATTAGTGGAGGCTGCTGCTGCGTTCCGGTACCCATGGCGACGACCCAAGACCTCGCCTACAACATCACCGCCCTGAAAGCCAACGCGACCTTCCTAACGGCGACCGTGGCCGTCAAACTTGACCCAGCAGACGTCCCGACTCTGGAGCTACTGTGCGTCGGCGGAGAGCCGCTGTCGACCGAGCTCGTGGCCAAGTGGACGGGCGGCAGCACGCGGCTCGTTAACCAGTACGGCATGGGCGAGACCGCCATCAGCTGCTGCTACAACGACAAGGTACGGCCGGGGCGAGCCAACCTGGGCCGGCCGACGAGTGGCGCCGTGTTCGTGGTGGACGCGTCATCCCACAACAAGCTGTTGCCAGTCGGGGCCGTAGAGCTCCTGATGGAAGGTCACCACCTCGCGCGCGGCTACCTCGACCAGACGACAGCCCGAACCACCCAGGCCGTCTTCCTCGACGCACCACCGACCTGGATGTCCGCTATGCATCCAGCACGGGCCTCGGGCGAGGGGCAAACACGGCTGTACCGTTCCGGGGATCTGGGCCGCTGGAACCACGACGGCACCATCGATTACGTCGGCCGCAAAGACCACATGCTCAAGCTCGACGGCTGCCGCATCAACGCGTTAGAGGTAGAGCACGAGGCGCGGAAGCGGCTCTCCCCCCTAGACACCATCATCGTCGACGTTTTCGGCCTCCTCGACGGCGAGGAAGACCCCGTGCTAGCGGCGCTTTTGCACTTGGACGGCCACTCCGCCAACGCCATGCGCGTCTCGCCCACCGCCTCTCTCCCGGGGGAACCGTCCGTCATGGATGTCGAGGAGGATCCCTATGCGGCTATTAAGGTGGCTGAGATCAAGGAGGTGATCGCGGCCGCCCTGCCGTCGCACATGGTGCCGACCCTCTTCCTCCAAATGTCACACGTGCCGCGCACGCCGTCGAAGAAGACGGACCGCAGGATGATCTCTCATGTCGGGCTGATGTACTACCTCGATCGGAGGGCAGAGCGGAGCAGGAACCCCACGCGGGGCCGGAATGATCGGTTTGTTAATTATGGTTAATACGATCATGGGCGCTAGGTGTTGGTCTGGACGGGAAAGGGGGGCTGTTGATAGTCGCGCAAACTTTCTTTGACGCGCTTGTTTCCCACCCCCTTGAGTTCGGTCCCCATGATCACCAGACAAGTTTTAATGAAAACCAGCGAAGGAATGTCTCATCTTGTTCCATCACACCAGCACGAAATCTACACTCGTTCCCTTAACCCTAAACAGCATCCGATTGTGGTCGCATCAAACACAAAAGACCCCCGGCGGCAAGCTGGCAGAACTGGTCCCAGGTCAGTGTCATCAGTACCATCCTGTCCGTAGACTCGAAGTACCCACCGCGGAGACCATGAAAGGGAGCCCGGTGCCTCTCCCCCTGAGTCCAAGACTCAACCCGAACAGGGTTTCCATGAGTGTAGAGCGGGCGAATCCACCAATCGTGTCAACCAGACTCAGCATCATGTAGAGTTGAGCCAGAGTATCCGCTGGCACCATCGAAGGTAACAGGGACAACAGGAAAAGGCGGTTTCCGTACCCCGCCGTCTGGATGACCAAGCCTAAGGAGATCGTTAGATCCAACAAGAATGCCTCGCAAAACCTGGTGACATGATCTTAGTCTCGTACCCGTAATCGTACCCCCCATCGTCTGCCACAATCCGATGACTACGGCGCCGACTACAAGAGGCAACACGCTTCCTACGCTAAGCGCCCAATCAACCTCCCAAGAAGTCAAGCCTGAGGCCGTCCTGATAGTGTCGGCCAACCTAGGCAAGGCGAAGGCAAAGCCAAGGTTGAGAACCGCCAGCAGCGGAAGGACATTGGATACCTGTGTGTCGTATCAACATCCCGTGGTTATTAGTACGTACCGTGACCATGACGACGACGGATTGTTAGGAAATCTGTGCAACTCACCTGAGCGAGAGACCAGTTGTATGTAATACAGGCCGGGTCCGTTGTTTCTCCCGCAGCATTCTGCAACAGGGGTTCGTCTTCCCCTGGATCAGCGTTTGGCGCTAAGGGACCGAGCTTACCCCTTTCCTAGGTTTCCGCCGGGAGAAGCCCATCACAGCAAATGCGAGGAGAAGAACAGCGGTGCCGGAGATGAGAGCGGCCCAGAGACTCCATGACAATAGCCAAGCTCCGATCGGTGGCCCGATGATGCCAGTAATGAGTTCTGGTATGAACACCATGAAGACGTTGTTCGTTCTGGAGTCGACGCACGGGATCAGAATCGATGCTCTGCACACTCCGCTAGGCTGCCCTCTTAGGCAACGTACCGTTTATTCTCGGGACTGACGTCGATTGTCATGCTCGTAACCATAGCCAGGAACACAAACTCGCCTCCGCCGAAGAGGAGGAAGATGGGTGATGCCAGGACGGCATTGACAGGGAACAGTTGCCGAAAATAGCCTTCCAATTCTCCGAGATCAGCGATAGCCCGTCTCGGGGAGAAACAAGAGGCTGGCAAGCCTGGCAAGTAACAAGACTCACAAATGGCTATGATACTGCCGAGGTTCAGCAGAATGCCGATGGCGCTCCATATCAGCACTGGACGCCGGCCGACCTTGTCCGCATAGTAACCCAGGGGCAGTCCAACAAGGAGGGCTGATACAAACAAGGAGTCAGCAAGCCATATCTGGCAATCACACCAAGGAACCAAAAACCCAGCAGCTGTCTTGTTTACTAGGAAGTGCCTCGAGAGCTCCAAGCCAAGCCCGGAGAGTGGCCAGTTGTTGTTGCACAGCGGGGATCTTGCATTCCCCCTCCCGAATCGGCCCAGCCAATCCGGGGGTTCCGGGCTCGCCGGGGGGGCGCAAAGTGCTCGAAGCAGACGGCGAATTCCAAGACGCGTATCCTGGCTGCAGCGGTCACGTTGTTGCTGAGGCCAAGCAAAAACACCAGGACAGCGAGGAGGGATATCACGCGCGCCATTTCGTGCGCGGCGGACGGCATCAGAAGAGAAGAGGAGGAAGCTGGGTTCGGTGACGAGAACTCCGCCCTCGGAGCCTTAGCGGGCATCTCATTACGCTTCGGAGTTTAACAGCACACCCAAGGGGCTCACATACAAGACACTGTCTCAGGCTGTCGGACCAATTGCATATCGGTTTGTCTTCGGATGTGGGTCGTTGCACCAAGGGGAGAAAAGGAGGGACACAACCACCGGTATCAGAGGTGACAGAATATTGAAAATGATATAATTATAAACGGCAGCGATTTGTATATAATCTACGACAGGTTTCATGGAGTAGAAGGCGGATGGAGAGTATTAAAACAAGACGTGAAACGGTAAAACTGGACTAGGATACGAGAATAAAAGACGCCGGACCGTAGAAATGAAGGCGAAAGCTACCTATCTAAGGGGTTGTTGGAGGTTGTTCAAGTACATGTGAGTTTCCCGGATTGCCGGATGGCGGTGGTGAAGTGCCTGGCTTTTCGGTTGCCATCTCTAGCTGGATCATTGCCAACTTGGATTCTCCCCAGTCGGATCATCCTCTGCCTTATCGTCCCCAGTCATACCGTTCATAGCTGCATCCTTCCCAACCGCATCGTCTCCAGCCGGATTGTCGCCAGCTGCAGTGCCTCCAGTCGCGGTGTTCTCCACTGCCTGGATCTCCTCGCCCTTCCGATAATCCCGCAGGTTTTCTAGGTCACCGCCCATCAAGAACTTATGGATGGTCTGGACGGCCTCCTCGGTTCCTACGCGCGCCTCTTCGGCCTCGCTCTTGAGCTTCTCGTTCTCCCACCTCAGGTGTTGAGCGACCACGACCAGCTCGTCGATCCGAGCCTTTGCCTGCTTTATATATTCCAAGGCATATCCGTCAAGCTCCTTGGCGATGTCCCTGGCGGCGGGATAGGCAAGTTGCAGGGTCTTGGTGTTGATGTCAGTGATGGACTTGACTGACTTGAACCCGCCATCTGGCCTGGTGTATTTGGTGGCCATTGTGAGAGAGGGCTGGTACCAGCCGCTGACGATTGTTATAGTCGCTGTTGCACTAGCATCAAAGAGTTAGCAGTGTAAATACCAAGATGATGGGGGAGTTCGTACGCAGGAGCGAGTAACCCTAGATGAGCTGTTTTTCCCTTTTCAGGTTTTGAGTGGCAATGGAGAGTTTCAATGGCGTTTAGGAAGTCCAGTTCAGACCGCAAAGGAGTGACATATTTAACTCAGTAAGGTTCAGGTCGGCGTACTCAACCAGAGCAACAGAGCCTCAATTTGCGGAGCCTCAACCTGGCCACATCCTTGCCCATGAAGATGGAATATCTCCTTGCTGTTGTTCGCTGATGTCAAGATTAATCAACTGCACTGATGCCCGATACGCCCATCATCCTCCAGCTGAAGAAAGACAGCTGGCAACAAACTCTGCGCCGGAGTAGGATATCGATGACGCTATTCCCAGTGTTTGGCTTCAGGGACAAGGCTGCGCCTGGGTCGGTGTCATACAGAAGTGGCATGTACAGGTACACACGAGGTACACTGGATGCTGGCGTACGGACAACGGTCCCCCACCTGCATTATCAGCGTGGGATGGCGTGATGTGGCGCACGGTTCAGACCGGGTGCCATGTTAGGCGAGCCCAGCCAAGGAGTCTCATTGTTTGCGTGCTGGATGCCGGATGGCATTGGCCAATGGCATTGTGCCAGCGAAGAGTTCTGAGCGAGCCCACGGGACCCGAAGAGGTTGCAGGACTGGAACCCTCCCTGCCTGACTCGGGTTTCGGGAGTAACCGATCGTCCACAACCCCCTTTCCTAACGAGTTCGGTTGGAAAAGAGCCGCGTTGACCCCAAAGCCTTGATATTGCGTGCATGGGTGGCGCATTTCCTAGTTCAAATTATGGGGCGGAAGAGGCTCAACAAGCCCGGGTGATATGTACACGTACCTCAAAAGCCTCACATTGACTTTGATCTCGCCCTCCCGGTTCCTTCGGTATTTCCGATCTTCACGTCCCTGTCCCTTGCCTTGTCCTTGAGCTCCCTCACCCTTTTCTCCAACTCTCTCATCTTTTCCTCTAGCGCCCTCTCACGAGCCGTCTTGGGCACCAAAGGATCCTCTTCCCAGTCACTGACGGTTATGCTATGGCTGAGATGCATCGTCAGCCTCCAGACTTCCTCCCGCAGATCCTGACATTGGTATGTCAGGTTCCAGCTTTTTGATCTTTCCCTCCGAAGTGCATCCCCAACGCCTCTAAACTCAGCCTCCAGGTGCAGTATCTTGGCGCGCAGTGCGTCTGCCATCTTATCTTGTGCCACCTCCAGTGCACTCATGACTTCCTTTGAGGGGCTGTCAGGATCTCCGATAGGCAGACTGTCTCTGAGTTGCCGTTTGAGCCGCTGCACTTCCTCCGTCAGGTCCTTGACTTTGTACTCCTGGTCCCACCTCATGGCTTCATCCCTGTTTAGGACCTCTCGAAGTTTTACAATGAGAACTCTGATCCGTTCTGCCTGTTTGTCTAGATCATCGTCCACACCACTCCGTATGCTCCCGGTAATGGTTTGCGAGTCCAGCTTCATTTCGCTTTTTGTGGACTTTGAAAAGGCTATAGTTCAGGGGTTCAGGGGTAAATAAATATGCCAGTCTCAAAAAAGAACTAAGAAACAAGATCAAAGGGCTTCAAGGGGCTTACCACGTTCCTTGGTCCCGACCTAAACACGCAAGGGCACCTATCTTGTTCTATTGTGTTGTGTTGAGAACTGGCAGGTTTCAGTGGCGCCGAAAGTGATGTGTGGCAGGTGTCCCAAAATGCCAACTTCCATCAGGTTTCATGCAGGAATTGGGCAGCAAATGGAGAGGCTCGTGTGACCCTCCCCTCCCCCCCAACGCCCTCCATTTGGTGACCCCCACACTACAAGGTGGGAGCCTGCCAAGGGTACGATGGTTTGCCTTTTTGGGAACACACTCGAATGGTCTTGCGGAACCAGGAATATAACCAGACCTCGATCAGACACGGCACGGTCAGCTGGTCCTCATGTTGACCTCATCTTACCTGGCACACATATCGGAACCACATTTCCGTCCCATAACAAAAAATGCTCTCCCATAACGAAGCTTTCAGTACTCAAGACTATGATTCTACGTCGCTAGAACTGTTTTATCCCCTGAACGATGTCACACGCAATGTCAAAGCAGAGTAAGCTTTTTCCATGGCCTGGACGGTAACTAGCAATAAGAGGATCAAGGCTGATCAAGCGGGATATCGTAACAGCATCATACTCGTCCCGGGGCTTGGAGGCGATTACATCGGGACGTGGAAAGCTGATGATGAATTCGAAACCGTCTGGCCAAAGGATTTATTGCCTCTACCTAACTACATACCAGGAGTCAGGGTCTTGTCCTTCAGGTACAACACATCACTAAACGGAACCACGAGCGACGCTGGCATACGAGACCATGCCAATGATCTGCTAGTCTGGCTATACAACGACCGAGAAGATGACGAGAGTGCGTCACTGAGGCCCCTCGTTTTCGTCGGACATAGTCTTGGCGGGATTATTGTCAAAAGCGTATGCAATCCACCTTTGTCTGCTATGATGTACAAATGCACCAGCTTGGCTGACAGTGGCATACTAAAGGCACTTACCAAAATGGCGCACGACAACAAGTATCAAAATCTATGGGATGCCAGTCGAGGCGTCATGTTCTTTGCAACTCCTCATTTTGGTCTGAATAAAGACAAGTGGCTACAATTTGCCTACAGGGTGTTGTTACGTCGTGCTCCGTCCAAGGGGGTTGTTCCCACAGAAAACATGCTGGACGAGCTGAAGGTCAACAGTGGCATACTCGATCGCGTGTCTGAAGACTTCCTACCGCTCCAGCCGGAGCTGTCCTTTGTGACTTTCGTTGAGAACACGCCAATGAAAGGCATGGAAGAACTTGTAAGCGCCTTATACCCGCAACACACATGACCCCGTTCTGTCCCGTCGTCGTTTAGGTACTAACTAACTGACCACCGCCAGATGGTCGACCGGGTGTACGGGCTCACCCGTACGCCAACAGAGTTCCCTCGCCGTTTATCCGGCGATCACATCGGGCTTTGCCAGTTCAAGAATCATGACGATGACTTGGGCGAGTTTGAACTTGTTCAGGATGGGATCCGATCTTTGATCAATGACGAGCCCAGAGCGGTACATCGCCTCAAATATCAAGAGAAACGAGCTCTCTACTCCCTGTGTCCCACATCATTCCATTGTCATTCCCGGGATACGAACCCCACCAAAGAAACCTGCGGTTGGATCTTCAAGACGCAAGAAATGGAACGTTGGCTCATCAACGACTCCGGCAAAGAAAAGCTCTGGATCTCCGGTCCGGCGGGCTGTGGGAAAAGCTTTCTCGCGCAACATATCATCACCAAGCTCCACGAGGGAAAGTCTTCGACGCAGCATGGGGTGGTTCACTGTTCCCTCAGCGATTCCCACCCATCGCGTGGGAACTTGGAGGCTCTGCTACGGGCCACCCTGCATCAAGCATTGCATCACGTTCCTGAGCTGGTCACAACATTTCTGCTTCCGACATTTGAAGAAGCGCAGATCCGGGAACATGATGAACAAGAAATATGGACAAGGCACGTTCTCATCACAATCTGGGCCGATGCCATGGCTGAGGTAATGGCCCGCCGCCCGTTGAGTTTTGTCATTGACGGGCTCGATGAGATCAGCAAGGAATGTCAAGATACCTTCTTTGACTGCCTGGGCAAACTCCCGCAGAAAACTCGAGCCGCATTTGAACGACTCAAACGAGGGCCAGGGGAACCGCATCCGCCAAAAATGAAACTTCTTGCTCTCTCCCGGGGAGATGAAGACATCCGTGAACGACTTGGTCGATTGGGGTTCAAATCCTATGATGTTCAGCCAAAGGATACTAAGGAGGACATCAAAAAGACCGTCTGGGCCGGAATGAGCTCCCTTTGGAAGGCTAGGGGACGCAACACCGATGCTCCATCGCAACGGATATGCAACAAGATTGCCGATGACTCTAATGGCTCATATTTGTGGTCGAGTCTTGTCGTGGAAATACTCAGGCGCGGCCGAATGACAAGCGAAAAGCAGATCCTGTTTCTTCTCGAGCGATATGTGCCAGGCGACGTCGACGATCTCTACTCCCACATTCTTCTCGGGTTGAATCAGAATCCAAGAAGCAGCACCTTTGTCAAGCAAGTCCTCCAATGGGCCATTTTCCAACAAGAAGGCCTGAAGCTTTCCGAATTCACAATTGCCAACGCACTCGCCAAAGCCACGGCGCAGCACCCACACCAAACCATCACCCCCGAGATTCTGGCTTCTTGCCTCGACGACAACATTAAACTCCGAGTCGAGTTCCACTGCGGACACCTCGTGAAGTTCCAAGACGATGGTCGCCTCTCTCTCATCCACCGAACCCTGAAACACCACCTCACCAAACACTTGCACACCGATCTCAACCCCCTATCCTCTTCAAACCCCTCCCCGTCGAGCCCCGACGCAGGGTTCTTCCTCGATCCGAAGACCACCCACGCCTCCCTCGCCAACCTCTGCATCGCCTACCTCACCATGCCCTGCTTCGGTACGTCTAACCCCTCCTCCCCTCCCCCTTTCCTTACCTAGCAACTCCGCAGCCCCCCCACTTTCCTCTCCCTTTCCTCCCCCAAAACCATCACCATCACCATTAACACCCGGGCCCTTTCCCAGACATCTCCACCCCCCCATCCACGCCCCTCACCTCCCCCTCCTTCGAATCCCGCCTCCGCCACCGCATCAAAACCCACCCCTTCCTCCGCTACGCCGCGCTACACTGGCACAAGCACCTCGCCCTCGCAGGCGAAGCGTGGCCGGGCAGTCAACAGGCTGAATCCATGCTGACGCGCAGAGCCTGGCTGGTGGATGGAGCCAGCGGGTATGGGCAGTGCTGGACCGAGGTGTGGTGGTTCTTTGTCAGGGGCGTGGCGCAGGACTTTCCGGTGGGGGGTGAGTTGGCGGGGCGGGTTGTTGAGGCGGCTTTGGGTTCTGTTGCTGCTTCTGCTTCGGATTCCGCGCCCGCGGTCGAGGTTGGGGTTGAGGTTGAACTTGGGGGTGGGAATGGGGGTGATAAAGGGGGTGAGGAGGACAGGGCGGCTCGGGATGAGATTGGGGACAAGCTGGGTGGGGGTTCTGGAGTGGCTGAAGGGGATGTTGGGAGTGCGGATTGGGGATCTGAGACGGAGGAGGATGGGGGTTCTCTTCATTCTGTTGATGACGGGGACGCCGCTTCGGATACGGATGAGACGGATGAGACGGATGAAGCGGATAAGCCAGATGAGGCGGAGGAGGTGGATGAAATGGATGCCCTAGCTCCCTTGCCAAAACGCAAGGACAAAGGCAAGGCGCAGAAGAGGAAGAGGAAGACGGCTGAGAAGGGCGAAGTCAAAACGGAGGTGGTGTACATGGACAGAACCGTCTACGTCGATCGGCCGGTGGAGAAGGTGGTTGAAGTGGACAGAGTAGTAGAAGTGGAAAGAGTGGTGGAAGTGGAGAGAGTAGTAGAAGTGGACAGAGAGGTGGAAGTGGATAAGACACCGCCAAAGAAACAGAAAGCACAACTAGGAAAATGGGGGCGTGTAAAAAAGGCTGGCTTGAAATTTGGTAAGTCTACACTACCCCAACCATAGTCGAGCGAACAGCGAGTAACTGACCATAACCTACAGCCAAGGAAGTGTTTGCAAGATAAGCTTAGAAGCTAGTCGCCCTGAGCAATGGATTCATAAAGATAAACATCACAAAACAGTAACAAGTACCGAGGCATGCTCCCAGCATCCAGTGAGTACCACTGCCAGTCGACCGATGATACTAAATACGGGCTCCTCCTTGGCGAAGAAGGCCTGCGATGATCTCACGAGCCTCGGGGTCATCTACCTCGGCCACGTTGACTGTTTCTCGGTTTCGTTGCCTCTCCTTTAGACCCAAATCGTCACCAGCCATATCCTCATGTGGCGTCTTGTTGGTATGCAACTGCCAGATGCTTAGACCGAGGCTAAACAAGTCATCCTCGACTAGAGGCGGTGCCGGGTCCCATCCTATCTCTTCTCCTCTCCGAAGCCTATTTGGCGACTCGTAATGCCACGTCGAATTCCCTTCCCACGTATTCTCGTCCTCGTTTTCATCAATATACCGCCCTTCGCCGAAATCACAAAGTCGTAGTTTGCCTTGATCGTCCATAAGCATGTTCTCTAGCTTTATATCGCCGTGGATGATGCCCTTGACGTGTAATTGCGCAACAATGTGAATCATCTGCTGCATGATATCACGGCGCCGCGGTGGTTGGAGAGGCAAAGTCTGCAGAACTGGTGTAGCAAGATCCATCAGGAAGCCCATACAATATACGTCGCCGTTTCCGTATGTCGACTTGAGCATCACTCTTCCACGGACTGGAATTGCGCAATCTCCAGCCGCCTTTTGAATTTCGTACTCTCGAGACTGGCCCCTGAGTTTGTAAACCATGGACGGGTGCCCCTTGACCCTGTAGAGCATGGTGCTTCCAGTGACGCAGAGTTCGGGCATCTCGACATCGAGGGTGGCGTTGTCGATGTCGGGTGGAACCGGTGGCCATGGCTCCTCCTCGGGCTCGTCCATTTTGGCGGAGATGTCAAGACTGTTTGCGCCGTCGACGACAAGGATGCGTAGGTACGTGGGTATAGAAAAGGGGACGTGTGCAGGCAGGGAAGGAACAGCAGCGTTGTTACTGGGTTGTGGGTGAGATTGCGTCGGGTGTCTCAACCCCTCTCTGCTGTTGGCAACGGAGCCTTCACTCATGCGGTTGGCATTTCGGCACTGTGTCGGATGCAACTAGGGTGGCCAGGGGGTGTTGGAGAGACAGCCAACCTGTTGTGACCATGCAGCAAACCTCAACCAACAAGACAAACTTGGCATCCGAATAACAATACTCGCCACTAACGTAAATAACTGAAGATTACATGAAATGAACATAATAAACAACAATGTCTGCCACTCCCCAACTCTACCTCACACCAATCCAAAGATGGTCTCAACCCCAAAGTTTGTTAAACCGCCCAAGAAAGCGTCGCCCGCGCCCTTCCCGAGAAACCTCCGGCTGTGGGACTGGGGAACTGGTTGCAGTAACGCAATCGGCTGGTTTCAGCCCTGGAGTGTCATCAGCAACCATCACTCTGTCCCGGCGGAGATTCCGTAGCACCTCGTCTTCGGGCACTCGCTTCTCAAAGTCAATCATCATGACCCTTTTCGCGGTATACCCACCCATATCACCCCCACCCATCCCCCGGTCTCCATCGGCAGACCACATCGGCATGGTCTGAGACTCCTGCCTCGATGATACGGCCAGTTCATTCCCGACCGTACCTCTTCCATCTTCTTTCCTCTCCACAACATCCAGCCCAACGGCGATCTCGATCCGCTGACACATCACCTGAAAAGCGGCCTCCTGGGCGTCCTCGAACTGGCACATCACCCGATGGTCACCGTCCACGCCCATAGCACACTCATTCCCAATCATCATCGTCGCACTAGTGGGATTGACGATGCACTTCCCCGTCTTTCCCCAGTGGCCCTTCTCATAGAAGCTTGTGATGGGGTACCGTGGCGAGATCTTCACAAAGTCCTCCTTGATCTCCTCCAGGTCGTCCGAGGCGCGAGTAATGGCGCCCACTAGCGAGGAGGAAGGGCCAGCGAGAAACGAGTAGCCGCTGGCAATCGACTTCCAGCTTTCCTTATCCGCCCCGCCGTGTGGTGTGCCAAAGAAGATTATGGCCTTGGTGGCGGACTCAATAGACGCGTACTCGGCCTCGCTGTTAGCGAAGCACATGGCTTGTTTGATGACCAGTCCGCCCAGGCAGTGGCCGACAAACACGATGGGCCGGCTTCTGGGGTCGGCGATCTTGCGCCGCTGGACGTTGAGAAGCGCGAGCAGGGACCGGGCGCTGTCACGGATGGTGGCGTCTGTATTGTTGTGGAACATGTCTGCGTTGTAGGCGAAAGAGAGGACGCGCGTCCGTGGCCGTTCCTCAGGGAGGAGCTTTGCAGGCCAAAAGACCTCGGAGCCCTGGTCCTGCCATGTCCAAGACTTGGTGGCGTCGCCGTCGAGACCGTGAACGAGGACAAGACTGTGGTCCAGGTAGTTAGCCACCAAGCAAGCCCTCGACCCAAAACACGCGAACAAAAGGTATCAAAACCACTTACTCGACAGTAGGAGTCAGGTGTTTCTCCTTGGTCGGGTCATAAACCTCTCGAAGGGCAAGTCTTTTAGCCATGGTTTATTATGTCGCAAGCTAAGCGAAGAGGAGTCTACTCTGTTCTGTGTTCCCATCAACGTGCCGAGTGCATTCATGGCGGTTTATCACCTCAATGAAGAGGCAACATTCAGTATTAAGTAAACATAGACCAAATCGACAAGGCTCCGACTGGAACCGGCCCTAGCCAGCTAGAGCCCAGCACCTCGGGGGAGCCACACTTGGGTACTTTGGAGCCCAATGTTGACCCCCACCGTGAGTGGTCGACCCCAGGGACAACCAGCCCAACCCAGTGTCAAGCCTATCAACGTAGCCCAAATAACAGCATGCCAACTTGGCTGTTTGCAGAACCAGGTTTTGAGTTCCAGCTAGCCCAATACAACAACATACAGGGAAACAAATCCCAGCCTCGTCCGCAGGTTAGTCGGCAACATCTTTCCGTTGGATACAGGATGTCCATTCGTATCATCCATCTATCTCGCCCAGTGTCACATTGAGCCCGGTGAAGCAATTCATGCCCGATGACCACTACCACCCACTGGCTCCAACACAGCAATGACAGAGCCTGATGCGGCTCAAAAGCCATCAGCTGAGCCTGATGTGATCACACGATTAGCAGCTCACGCTATCATCAACCGCGGCTGGGGGATTTCAGGGTCAATAGAAGTTGCACATTCATGCCTAATCCACACAACCGCGTTACGCACTCGAAATATGGTTTAAAGAGAGAGGAGCCGGTGAAGACCAACAGCAAAACACCTCCCTAAATACCGCAAGTCCCCTAGCGTTATTCGGATTTTCCACATAGCCACCGCATTCAGCTTTTGCCTTGCCTCCTCACGCTCAGTAAACTACCTACCTGCGGCGATATCCAAAATGCCGAGCACTCAGGGAATCGAGTCCGGCGGGGAGCTCCATGAACTGCACATTCCACCGAGCGGGACTCCGAAGCAAATTGAGTACGCAAGAGACATCCAGTTCTTCGCCATTCAAACCGCAAGGTCTGGTCCCATACTCACGATCTTGATCAACCTCGCAGCATCGTCGCCGTGCATGGGCTAAATGGGGACTCCCACAACACATGGACGCACATCCCGGAAGGTGGCAAAGGGCCCCAGACCCTGTGGCTACGAGATCTTCTGCCAGGAAAGCTCCCAAACGCCCACGTCATGAGCTTTCAGTACGATTCGTCCACCCACGGCATGTCCGAGCAATCAGTCCGTGGCAACGCCGGCAAGTTAGTCCGGCTGCTGCGAGATAAAAGGGAGGATTATGTTTGTGCGCCCATCAAGTACCATCTGAACAACGCTCACATCTTCGTTTAATACAGGAAGAGGAAGAGCGCCCGATCGTCTTCATCGGCCACAGTCTCGGCGGCATTGTAATCAAACAGGTAAGCAACGCTTCCCGCCTCCCCAACCCCCCACCCCTCCTAACACCCAACAACCACCCCCCCAGGCCCTCAAACACGCCAAAGACCACGACTTCACCGACATATACGCCCACACCAACGGCATCGTCTTTTTCGGCACCCCGCACCGCGGCGCCGACGCCGCCAGCTGGGCGGCCACGCTGTCGGGCATCCTGTCGGCCGCGTCCCGGAAGCCGCCGTCCAAGTTCCTCGAGGCGCTCAAGAACGACTCGGTCGAGCTACGCAAGATCTCGGAGGACTTTCGCCCGTTTGGGGGCAGGTTTAATATTGTTAGCTTTTATGAGGAGCATGCGCATCGGTTGTTGGGGAGGGTGGTGAGTTTCTTCCTTTCCTTTTGGGTCTTGTTGTTTTATTCTTGCTCCTCCTCGTGTCGTGCACTTTTGCGTTAGAAGTTAGGCGACACACAAGTACTGATGTGGATGCGTGCACTGTAGGTGGTGGACAAGTCGTCTGCTATCATGGGCCTGCCGAACGAGGATCCCATGATGTTGGGCGGCAATCACTCGACCATGTGTAAGTTTGGGGTGGGAGATAGACGGTTTGATCCGGTTTGGAGAGCAATTCGGCGGGCTGCGAAGGCGCGTCAAGCTTGATATCTCCATCTAAGGCAGTGAGGTCGCTCCCGAGGTTGTCGTGGATTTGAAGGCGGGGTGTCGATGGTGTCATCTTGTTGGTATCTTGCGAACGAGAAGGGGATACTCGGTTTTGTCGCAACATCAACCTCAGTCAGCATGACAACCCGGTTTCCTTGAGAAATATCATGATAAACAGTCCAACAGTGATACCGGGGTCAGTCAGTTTCGGGACTATCCCGCCAGGGATTCTTTCCTCTCGGCCATTCACACTCCTGGTATCCTCATCATCTCATCCAAGCAGGAATCACGACACTCCACCCGCATCGTTTGAAGCGTGTTGGTCCCACCAGCCCCCACGTCCCGGAAGGGCGGTTATCGGGTTTAAGCAATTGTAAGCCGCACCGGAACGGGGATGTCGAGAGCAAACCCGGGTGCTTCTCGGCCTCTTCCCTCGGCCGCCTAGTACCATCTGCGGGGTCCGTCCATGGAACCGAGCGTTGACCGTATCGATGGAAACAACTGACACCATTCGATAGTGACCCGGGGAGGCCCCAGTCGAGTGTCTGGTACACCACTTCGGGCAGGTATTGACCATCACGCCATATGTAGATGGATGCCAGCATGCGTTCACAGTCACGTCTGGCCCCCGCCACCGTCAAAGATGGCAAGCAGAGGGTTGCATAAATGGCCACCGGGTTGCCGTTTGTACGACATCCTGCTTCGATACCTTAGATCGATAATTCCCGACGGACGCACCCGCCCTCGTAGCCCTCGTAGTCGTCTCGCTCCGTATCTACAATCCAGACGGCCCAGCGACCATGGCGAGCCCCCCGGAACAGAGCTCGACCAAACTTGCAGACACCAAAACCCAGAGTATCGTCGATACCAAAGATGTTACTGCTCTCGGGTCATCCCCGTCGGCTAGCGAAGACTCCGGTTCAGACGAGGAATTCGAGGAGGACCTGGTCAAGAACCCCTTCCTCAACCCAGATGTTGCAGCACACTGGCGACAAGTGTACGAAGACGCCCAATACGAGTCCCGCCATGCGTTTGATCCCACCTTGACATGGACGGAGGAGGAGGAGAAACGGGTGCTCCGCAAGCTGGACTGGCGGATTTGCACATGGGCGGTACGTCGCTGGCATTCCTCTACACATCAAAGTTCCGTCAAGGCCCGGGGCTGACCAGAGTTGCGGGCAGTGTGTCATGTTCTTTGCATTACAAGTGGACCGTGGCAACATCCAGCAGGCGTTGGCAGATAATATGCTTGACGACCTTGGGCTCACCACAAATGGTAATTATTACGAACCTCTCCTAGCAGGACGCAGCACGGCTGACCAGAACAACAGATTACAACTACGGCATGGTCGTGTTTCTCATTTGCTTCCTGTTAGCTGAGTTGCCGTCTCAGTTAGTATCCAAGAAACTGGGACCCGATCGATGGATCCCAATCCAAATCGTGCTCTGGTCGGTGGTGGCCATCACGCAGTGTGCCATCACGGGCCGATCAGGTTTCCTTGCGACACGCGCGCTTCTCGGCTTGCTCGAGGGAGGGTTCATTCCGGATATTGTGCTCTGGCTGTCATACTTTTACACGTCTCGCGAGTTGCCTATCCGACTGAGGTTGGTCTTATCTTCAAGTTCCATCTTCGCGGTCCCTTACTAACTGAACCCGACAGTTATTTCTGGACAACCCTGTCGTTGACAACAATCACTACTTCACTCCTAGCCTTTGCTCTCCTGCACCTGCGTGGAGTCAACGGCTGGGCGGGCTGGCGGTGGCTGTTCCTCGTTGAAGGGCTCATCACTTTGCTAGTCGGACTCGCCTCCTTTTTCAACATGCCTGCCTCGGCCGTGCAGACCAAGGCATGGTTTCGCCCTAAGGGATGGTTCAACGACAAGGAAGTGGCTATTGTAGTCAACCGCGTGCTCAGGGATGACCCCTCCAAAGGCGACATGCACAACCGCGAGGCCATTACCCCTCGCCGTCTCTGGGAGGTTTTGAAGGAGTACGACTTGTGGCCAATGTATGCCATCGGCATCGTTGCGTTTATCCCGCAGGGCCCTGTGAACGCCTATTTGACCCTGACGCTCAGATCGCTGGGGTTCAACCCCTTTACCACCAATCTCCTGACGATCCCCTCGGTACGCACCATTGCTACTCTTACACCCAACACCGCTTGCTAACCTAAGTGTAGACGGTATTCCATATTATCACCCTGCTCATCGTGACTCGGATCTCCGAGTGGCTCAACCAGCGAGCGTATGTCGCCATCTGGCAGAACCTGTGGACGCTGCCCTGCATCATCGCCCTCCGGTTCTGGCCGGGCGTGATTAACGATTCGTGGGGTACTTACGCCCTTATCACCGTCCTGTTATCCTACCCCTACTGCCGTAGGCACCCCCTCTCCCCACTACCCCCTTCCATAAACTAACCATCCGCCCTCAGACGCAATCAACGTCGCATGGGTCTCCAAGAACGCCAACAACGTCGGCACCCGCACCGTGGCCTCCGCTCTTTACAACGTAACATCCCCCCTCCGTTCTCCTTTCCATTTCCCTTTCCCTTTCCCTTAACCCTTCTCCCCCAACCCATCCCCCCTTGTCCCCCCAACCCCCGCTAACCCCTAATCACAAAAACCAGATATCCGTCCAAATCGGGCACGTCGCCTACTCCTTCATCTACGTCGAGTCGGACAAGCCTTACTACCGGGACGGCAACACTAAGCTGCTGGCCATCAACCTGCTGTCCATCTGTGTCTTCCTGGCGGCCAAGGCCTACTACGTCTACCGCAACCAGTACAAGGCGGCCGTGTGGGCGAGCATGAGCGAGGCGGAGCGCGCCGACTACGTCCGCACGAGCGATGCGAAGGGGTGTAAGCGGTTGGATTTTAGGTTTGCGCATTGATGTACCTGCTACCTGCCTGGGTAAGGCGGGGGTTGGGTGGTGACGAAAGTATGGTTACTTACCTATCTAGATACCTGCCTAGGTGGGTTAACGTTGGAGCTGCAGTGTGGCGTGTCATGGTAGAGCAAAAGCCATGCGAAGTAATGGAAGATTCTTATGACCTGTATTACCTTTATCCCCCTTATGTCTGTTTGTGTTTGATGATGTCCTTAGTTGTGTAAACCGAACTCAACAAGTATCAGATATTTTGAGCGGTGCCCAAGCGATACCACTCAACGCAAGATCATATTCACATCTCATCATATGAGTATCCATATCTTGAAACACTAAGTTAGTCCCGCTGACTTTATGTTTCGGCGTCCAAACATCGAGTTCCTCCGGAAACCAACTCAGGGGCACCTGCATCGCGGAACATCAACGATTGCAATTGGCGCATCAGCATGTCAACCAGTCACTTTGGCGGAGTGGTTAACGCGCTGCCCTGCTAACTTTACTTAGCAGCTTAAGGCAGTTCCTTCGGGAGCGTAGGTTCGAATCCTACAGGTGACGCATCTTTTTGCCCTTCGCTCCTCGGTGCAGGTTCATCACCACACAAAGTATGAGAAGGAACACCGCTGCTATTCGCTAATATTAACTCGCTTTGCTATCTATTATCATAGACGCTTACAATACTGTGTAAAAAGGCTAACCCTCTCCGTACTACCCCCCACCCACGCGCCCCTTGTCTCACGTCCTCCGTTTGGGCTCCCTTTTACGACTCTTTTGCCTTGCCGCCTTGTAGAGCCTCTCCGTCGGTCTCTGCGTAGGTTCGGGCTGCTCATTGTGGCTATTTGATGGTCCAGGTTGCTCCACGTGAGTATTTGTTGGCTCGGGCTGCTCTGCTGTGTCTGGCTTCTCAGCGTGAGTCTCTGTTGGCTCGGGTTGCCCAATGTGGCCGTTTGTTAGCCAGGGCTGCTCAACAGGAGCCTCTTCTGTTCCAGGTTGCTCAATCTGCATCTCTGCTGGTTCGTGTTCAGCTTCGTTGCCGGCTGCGGTCCGAGCAACCACCCCGTCACCAGTACTCTCAGCAAGTCGACCGGCAGTGCTCTCCGCAGGTTGACCCGTCCCAAGCACAACCAGCTTCACCAATTCCCCTGCCTCTCCATATCTCAGCATTCTATACGCGTTTCCCGCAAATATAAGAAATGGTCCCACCGCGTCCACCACTTTCGGCATCATCAACTCATACGACAGTCCCTCCGCAAAGGCCTTGGCCTGGGATGCGCTATCGAGTTGCATCGTCGGAGATGGTTCCGGATCTGAAATGTCCCCAGCCCCAGCCGGTTTGCGGACCATCTGATATAGGCCTTCGAACGGGGCTAGGAGCCGGCCGGACATTTCAAACCCAAACCTGCGATACCAGCCAAACAGAGCCGACGGCGCAGTCACAATACCGTGGGCCTTATAGTCATCCATTTGTTCGCAGAGTTTTCCCAGAATACTTGATCCATGTCTGTGGCGTTGACTATCGGGGTGAATGATCAAGTGAAGTATCCCTGCGCAGTTGAGAACCATCAGTAAACCTGTCCCCAGGGCAGAAGTAGAGCTTGGCTTACGGCAGATCAAAGCATCGGGGCCCATGTCCCGATAATCCTTCTGTCGCTGGCGGTTCATTGTGAACACCAACCGAGTCCATGTCCCGACGTCCATCGTCCCTGGTGTTCCCGTTACCGCCATGGTGGGCTCCGAATGACCATCAATGCCAGCGGAGGTAACCTGGGCGACCATCCCGGCAAACTGTGACAGACTAGCACCTTCCCAGGAAACCACCCAGTACGCTTGTAGTCGTGTCCCATCAACACCCCCGTCCTAGCTGTGTCTCAGGGTGTACCGACCACTTTGCGCCATGCGTACCAGATTCATGAGCCACCACACCGCCACCTCCATCCCCTCAACCCCGCCACTATCATTTCTCAAAAAGGGGAAGACCATGTGGACAGCGGAATACTTGTCGTGAGTGGCCAAGTCGTGTTTGAGGGCGGGAACGAGGATATTACGGGCGATGTCGAGGATGTCCTCGCACGCCAGCCTGTGCATATTGCCAACATGTTGAGCAGGTCGAGGATCGCCGTGAGAGTCGGGAGTGAGGGGCCGGGACGGTAACTTTGCGAGAGTCTCCGTGACGGAGGCGAGGTCCAGCTCGTTGGTCACGGTCGGGGCAACCGCCGTAGGCGTGGCGGGTACGTGGCTAGTAGTACCCTTGGTAGTACCCTTGGACAAGGTTGGGGGAGCGGACGATGGAGCAACCGTGTCTGGAATAACGCTGCTTTTCATCGCTGCCGTTGGCGTGGAGTGTTGGGACATTGCCGCTCTAGCGTTTGCAAGAACCGTCTCGCCGTCAACAATCCTGCCGTCACTACCCTCACTAAGCGAGTCGCGAAGTTGGTTGTTGACCAAATCCGAGGTGGAGGCATCGTCCGACGCGGCGTCACGGCGAACCGTGTCGAGTGGGTTGTTTCCGCTGAGGGCGAAACCCTCGTTTTCGGAAGGGGTTGTGCTAACTGGTGGCATGATAAATGATGTGAATATTGTCAAAGTTACTTAGGTGGTGCGGATGATTGGGAGTTCGTGGTGCGAAGAAGGGGCAAAAGAAAAAGAGGCGCTGCGATAGGAATTTGTTTGGAAGAGAGGAAAAGATAGGTAAGAGGTTGGTTCTCCTGTTGAGGCGTAACCGTCTTCTGTGTCGAGTGGCTTTGCGCTTTCCCACGCGGAATGAGCGGACAATTACTGTGTATGGAAGGCATGAATCTCGAGGCCTGTTGAGGAATCAAGCATCATGGCATCACCTCATGCTTGCGGCATACCTACCCACACATCCACACACACACACACAAACCAAATAAGCCAAGGTAGCAAGATAGCCAGCAGCAAACCCATTAAATGATTAAAGAGCACCTAGCTATGATGAAGCCAGACTACTGTCATATAAACCCCTGAATTATTCCCATCCCCCTCCCATACCTCTATCTATTCCAGTGTCTCCCCCCTAAGTCAACCCCCCACCCACTCAAGGCAGCACAACCTTCAGATCCAACTTGCGGCTACTCCTCCCCACAAACGCCGTCTTCTGGTACTCACTAACCACCCAGTCCTGCACCTCGACGTCCCAGTTGCTCAGATCCCTCCTGGTCAACCGGCCCGTGAACTGCTTGGTCTCGCCGGGGTCGATGCGCATGCGGTCGAAGTCGCGCAGGGCGACGCGCGGGTTCTCGGCGCCGCCGAGCGCCACGTACAGCTGCGGCACCTCCTCGCCGACCACGGCGCCCGTGTTGGTGATGTCGGCGGTCACGGTGTAGATGACGTCGTACAGCTGCCGGTTGCCGCCGGGGGAGTTGTGGCCTGATGCGCGAAGGAGCGGCTGCGCGTCCGCGTCGATGGCGTGCGGCGGGAGGAACTCCTCGGCCGTCTGGCCGTAGTGCGGGTCGGCCGAGGCTTCCTTGGCGTCGGTGGTGTTGACGTAGGGGTAGATGTATTGGTAGATGTAGGAGAAGTCCTCCTTGGGGAAGAGGTAGTCGCCGAGGTTGGTGGAGAAGTTGCCAAAGGTCGGGGCCGAGGCGGTGGTGCCGGTGGTGGGCTTGTACTCGCCGGCGTCGGACTTCTCGACGCGGATGTTGCTGTACTCGAAGGTGGTGTAGCTGAGGCCGTGGCCGAACTCGTAGATGACCGAGGCGTTTGTCTTGTCAAAGTAACGGTAGTCGATGAAGACGCCCTCGCTGAAGTCCTGCTGGGGCGCACCGTTGCCGTTGTTGGGCTCATAGAGAACATCGGGTCCGTAGGCTTCGCGAGTCTTGCCCCAGGTGAAGGGGGAGCGGGCGGCGGGGTTGACGTCGCCGTAGAGGACATCGGCAATCGAGTTGCCCGACTCCTGGCCCGGGAGACCGGCCCAGAGGATGGCGGTGATGTTGGGGCTCTCATACCACTCGGTCAAAAGAACCGGGCCGGTCGAGTGGATGACGACGATGGTGTTGGAGCACGCGCCCGAGACGTTCTTGACCAAGTCGTCGCCATTCTTCCAGAGAGTCAAGTTCTTGCGGTCACCCATGTTACCATCCACGTTGATGTATCCCTCACCAGAGTCGGCGTTGACAAAGACGATCGCCGTCACGTTGTCCTGCGACACCAAAGCCTTCGTCGCGTCGGCGGCGTAGTTGGACAGGATGCTCTCGTATCTGGAACCGTCCTCAATAGCACGGGCCTGAAGGGCAGCATCGGGGGTGACGAGGTACGGGTAGTTGGCCGTGCCGGAGCCCCAGCCCATGGCAAGGGTGCCATCATCGCAGCCACGGTCACTGCAGCCATTGGGCCCGTTGGGGTTGGGACCAGCATCCTCGCCAATAACGGCGACGAACTTGGGCTTCTGCAGCGGCAGAGCGCCTGAGTTCTTTAGCAGCACGGTACCCTTGGCGGCAATCTCCCGGATGAGCTTTCCGTGGTCCTCGCGGACATCGACGTGGGAGTTGATCTCTTGGTAACCCTGCTTGGCAACCCAGTGGACCGGGCCGTACGTGTCCAGGGTCCAGAAGGAAAAGTTGATGGGGTCAAAGTCGGTGGTATTGCTGACCTTGAAAACGGAAGCCATGATACGCATGGCCATGTCATCGACACGGTAGGCAGGGACAGTGCCGTTGAGGACAGCCAGGGTGAGGTTGGTGCCCCAGAAGCTGAGGCCAGTGTTGAAGGACGTGTCACCCGGCATGCTCATGTCGAGACCAGCGACGGCGCTTGCTGCGCCGGTGTGCTGAGCCTGCCAATCGCTCATGACGAAGCCCTGGAATCCGAGCTCGTTCTTGAGCAGGTCGTTCATAAGCTTCGAGTTCTGGCAGCCGTACGAGTTGTTGACCTGCTGGTACGAGCACATGACGGAGCCGACGCCGGCACGGACGGCATCCGCAAAGGGCCAAAGGTAGAGCTCGTGCATGGTCCTGTCGTCGATATTCGAGGACAGCGTCTCGGTGATGTTGTGCCCGTAGCCCTGGGCTTCTCCCACCTGCCTGAAGTTCTCTGGATGGCTGTCAGCTTGGAGGATTGGGATTGAAGCCGTCTCAACTAACCTTGCTCATTGCCGATGAAATGCTTCGCACAAGCAATGACACCAGCATCCTGGGTACCCTTAACGGTCTCGGACATACCGACGCCGGTGAGGACGGGATCGGGGGCGAAGCCTTCCCAGTTGCGACCGGCAGCGGGCATACGTCCGAGCGGGCCGGCGACAGGGCCGAGCAGGACATTGATACCCTTGCCCTTGGCCTCTTTGCCCATGGCATAGCCACGGCGGTACATCAGACCTCTGTCCCACGTGGCAGCGGCGGTCTGGCCGGAGGGGAAAGCCGAGTTGAAGTCTGAGCCGCGGATACCGAGGGGGGCATCATGCATGCACAAGCTGCGGAGGCCGAGGCGAGGAATCGCACCCACCTGGCCGACACACTGCTCTCCTTGCCAGCTGTACTCTTGTTAACAAGGCGGTTACAGAGCAGTAAACAGCTGCCGCACTCACCCAACACCAGTGGTCAGGTTGACCTTCTCCGGCAGTGTCAGCTGCGAGACGAAGTCCCTAGCCTGGGCATACGCCTCCGCCCAACCGTCGGCGTCCGGGTTCATCCATGGCGACGGGTAGTGGGGGTCCGACTTCTCGAGAGCCCTCTTCTGGATCTGTTGTTGGTCGTTAGCAAGTGAAGCCTCTATTGGCAGCGCCAACAACCATTGGGCTGCAGATTTGAGTTGCATGTTGGCTGCGGACTGCAACGTTCAACAAGGCCGCCAATATGGGTAAACAGATCTTGCAGCGGGTAGAATCTGCTGCAAAGGGGACTCGTGGTGGGATCAATGATCATCAACCCAGAGCACTGGATCCGATGCTAACGAGATATTGCACCCGCACCTCCCTGGGGACACGGCGTAACTGCCCCTAAGAAAATGAGAAAAGGGGAATGGGAGACATGGCTCGTACCTTATTTACCGGGTTAATTGCGCCCGCAGCAGCTAGACTGCCGCCAACAAGGCAGGTAAGCGCGGCAGCGGCCTTCATGTTGAACCGCGTACACAGTGATCAGATCTGACCGTGTTCAGCTCACACAAGAAGCAGTTGGGCGACCGGAGAGTTGATAGGGGAGATGCAGAGATCACCGCCGGGAAGAGCCTGGAGGTGAGACATGACGCATGCGTGGCGAGTGACACACACCCTACATATATACGTAAACATTTCCCGGAATTGCAAGATTGGTCTTGCTGCTGCGTCCCTCCCCGGCCCACACGAGATCGGCCCTCTGGCAGGGCAGCAGGGACAGCAGGGAGGAAGCCGTTTGACCGTGCCAAGTCGCTCGGATCCCTTGCCGGGTACCACGGCGAACACGGCTGCCAGCCCTGGGCCTCGCGTATGAACCAGTGTGGGGATATCCTGCCAGATCCATCTTGGCCGGCAGTTTTCTCCGCATGTTTGCATTCCGCAGAGGCGGGGAGAGAAACCGCGTTGCATTGCGTCCACTCTCGACCTGACGAGTTCGGATGGCCGCGCTCGAGCCGTGGTTGGAAACGGGCCGATCTGTTCAGGGACAAGCAAGGGTGAGCTCTCTTCTTGCAGCCGGGCCAAACCCAGTCGAGCTTGGCATTGAATACCGCGGGGAAAGATCGCCGTTACGACGAGGCGACCGCGGACCGGTTAAATCGACTGTCTCTCTCGAACACAATCGACTGTCTTGGCGGCTCACCGCCGCATTCGGTTAAGCCAGGTGGGCCAAGATGTCTCCGACTCAGGTTTTGTTATGCTCTTTACCAACGAACCTGGGCATCATCGCATCGCCGTCGCTAAAAGAGCAAGAGTTGCAACTATCGCTATGATCAATCACTCGACTTCTGTTCGAATTCCCGAAGGTTAGGCTGACCAGACCCTAACCCTAACCCTGTTATAATTCGAGTTTCTAACCCTATAATCTTGGCTCGCAATCTTATAATACTGTAGATTAAAAAAAAAACATTGTTTATAATACTTTCGAGCGATTTATCAAAATCTTTATTATTTAGCAATTTATTAACTATTAATAACTTCAATTCGAATACTGTTATTTGGCGATATTAATATACCTTATGTGTTGCGAAGGCAGCTTCGTTCACCAAGCTAACCGAATCGGGGCAGAGCCGCCAAGACAGTCGATTGTGTTCGAGAGAGACAGTCGATTTAACCAGTCCGGGCGACCGCGTTCAATTGCTGACCGGAAGCACCCGTGAAATTGCAACCGGTTTGTGAAATCCGTTTCCACCACGTGCCTCGCAGGTGGGAATGAACTCGCAAGGTGCCGGTTGCGGTCGCTCCTGGGAAGGTATGGTTCCATCGAATGTCACAGAAATGACAGTGCAGCATTAGCAGAGGTAGGGAGCTTCCACTCGCTCGTGCACTTCCAGAGAGACCTGCCTAATACAGGTACGTGTCGGCCATTGCTTCGGCGGCGTTTACGTTTTCACGGCAGAAGAGTGACGATGTTGCTTCGTGAAGAGAGGCAGTCTCCGCTCTTGCCAATTGGTGCCGCGTCGGGTCCAGATTAAAATGGAAACAAACGCGGGCTGGTGCCGGAACTACCGAAGCAGTGCCCGTACCGAAAGGCAATGCAAACATCCAATATGGGGATCGGCGTTGGCGTCCGAGAAGCACCTGCTTTCGTTGACTGGCGGTCACGATTGTGTGGCGTTATCAGGAATCGTACAAAACCCCTGATGCGCCTGTGTACGGAATATGCAACCTTGGTGAAAGGCGTTCCCGCTGTCCACGCGTACCTCTGGCGACCTGGAATGGCTCAATGGCTGCTCGTGCTGCTGTCGCTCGGGCGATGGTGATGTCAGTCCAGAGAATCGAACTGCCCTGTGGAAACAGCCAAGCCCGCACCTTCCCCACACTCTCCCAACCGATCTCCAACTTTTCCCCGCGGCCCACCCCGCAAAAATCGCAAGCTTCTGGGTCCCAGCAAACCGAACGAAGCTGCCGTGACACGGTAAAAAGACAAACTCGAGCCGCGCTGGTACCCATTTTGGTGCACAACATCGGCCCTTTTCCATCTGTACTCCGCCGTTGAGGCCCGCACTGGGCTGGGGCAACAATTGAGAAAAGCAGCTATCCTCGACACCGTCGTATTCCAAGTTTTCGTCCCACCCGGCATGTTCCGCCGTGTATGTACACAGCAACAGTTTGGTGGAATCGGGAGGTAGTTGGCACGCGGTTAGCCTCTGATCAACGTAGCACAGTGGTGTAAGGGAAGGATCAGTCTTCTTCCCGAGCACCTGGTTTGTTGCCGGTCCAATTCCTCGGCCTTGGGAACGGAAATCCGGGCCGCTCGGGCAAAACAACGGTCATACTTCGTATGTAGTCGAGAGATGATCAGTTTGACTCACGGCTTATTCATCTCAACACGACTTGTTTGCCGGGGCCCAATGAGGCCCTCCCCACTGCCCTCCGCAAGTCCGGATGAGTAATGAGTCGGGGACCTAGGTAGCAGTTACAATGACAAGTACAAACAATAATCCGTACACAGGGACCACCTCCAGAGGCCCTTCATGGCTAGGTAGTTCCGCGCCCTACTCCTCCTCCTCGTCATTCTCCACCGCCGGCTCCCAACCCTTCTTGATCGCCTCCCTCAGCCTCTCCAGCACCGGGGTATAGAAAACACAGTTCAAAACCATGTGACCACTCTCAGGCAGCGCCTCCTCAAACCGGCGCATGCCAACCATATCCTCCGCAGGCCCCTTCCAGCCCTCCACATCCTCAAGCAAGCACACCGCATCAAACGTGCGCACCGCGCTCGAAAACACCGAGTCCCGCTCACCGTGCGTGGCCACCGGCTGCCACTGGACGCGGTCCCTGTCCTCCACCGCGCGCTCGTACCGGTACATCAGCCAGACGCTCTTGCGCGGGGTGCCAACATCCATAAACGCGAGGAAGTTGGTCGAGACCACCTCGCCGGGCTTGTCGGACGAGCGGCACGCGCGGTACACCTCGCCCAGCGGCACCACGTAGCGCGGCGGGTGGTAGGCGCGGAACTCGCTGCCGGAGGCCGCCGCGCACCGCCGGCCGTGGTAGGTCTCGTAGATGTTGAGGTGTTCGACCGCCTCGCGCGCGGCGCCGGGTTGGGTGGGCCGGTTGTCTGGGTTCGGGGTGAGGGTTGTGCTGAGGCTGCCGCCGATCTTGAGGAAGTAGCTGAGCTTGCTGCGCCGGGTTGGGCTGTCGGTGCAGAGTGGGAAGTCGAAGGATGCACGGCCTTTGACGCGCGTCTTGAGGGTTAGTAGGTCCTTGTCTGACGTGCAGTCCATGCGCTTGATGAAGTCGAGGAATTCGCGTGCCCATCGGAGATCGGGGTCGTTGTTGCTGTTGTTGGATGGGCCTGGGGCGGTGGCCTCGATCGGCGGCGTCGAGGGCTTACTAGCACTAGACTCCTCGGCGCGATCTCCTGGCTGTTGTTGCTGCAGATGCTCCTGGGCCACCTCTGGCAAGAGTTGGAAAACAGCAGTAGAGCGAGCCCCCACCGACGAAGAACGGCTCGAACCCGAGTCGCTTTTGCTGGTATCAGCGGCAGTTGCGTGCGCCGTCTTCGCGCGCTTCAACGACTCGCCGGCCTGGTCGCCAGTCTGCTCGGGTTGAGCCTGTCGCTTTGAGACCCGGACTACCATTCCGCCAGCAGTGCTGTTGGCTTCTTCCGTCGTATCGTTCTGGACTTGTCCAGTTTGCTGGTGAGCCTCGATGTTGTCTCCCATGGTCAATGATCGATTCACAGGGTGCTGTTGGGTGACCGAGTTTGTGTTATGGGGTGCGTTAGAAGCGATGGAAACAGCGGGGATCTCATTGTTTGAGTTGGCAACCGGCACGGCAACCGAGTTGGTTGGGACGACCGTCTGGGGCTTCAAGGCTGAATGGTTGGGTTAGCCTACGTCGACAAAAAAACCGGATGAAGGCCTCGAGAGGAAAATGCATCTCACCTTTCAGTTCCTTCAAAATATTGGCAAGAGTTTGCGCGTTCTCGTCCATTTTCGATTCAAGCCTGAGGCGCTGCTTCTGCTCCTCTTCTGAACGTTCCTCCATGTCTTCCAGCCGGCGCGTCAAATCGGCTGGGGTTGAATGTGTCGAGGGGTTGGGCACCCCCGTTGTTGGTATACCCGGAACACGAGTTACCAGTCGGAGGTCCTCGCCCGGATCCGGTAGAAGGATCCTGTGACGCCCGTTGTCGTAGCCTCGCGAGGCCGCTACAACGTTGTCACTCGATACCCTGCGCCTGAGAGGGTGAGCATGTGCGGTTTGCTGGTTGGCGTCCCAGGTTGGGAGCCCATGAGTTACTCTCGCAGGCTGCGGAGTCTGAAGGCGATGTGGGTACGCGTGAGAGGCAGTCTCAATGTGAGGTAACCCTTGGAAGGCCACTCCGGACGGTGATCCTTGAAAATGCGCCGGCGGCGGCTGCCAGTTGGCCATAGGAAGGCCGTGCATGCCCTGTCTCTCATCCATGTTGCGATTGTGAGGGGTGTTTTCAAACACTCGACCCGAGAAGCCCTGATAGCCTAATGAAACAAGAACTGTCAGTGAATTGGCAGTCGGACGCCGGTGTTAAGGCGGGAGAAGTTGTCCAACTGGGCTCACTCGCTGGATGGGGGGGGACCTGATGTACCTTCAGGATTATTGGGCCACTGAGACATTATGAAAATCGCGTTTTCAAACTCAATTCAAGAAGGTTAAAGCTGCTCCGTGTTCGAGGCCGAAGTTGGGTGCAGTCGATCGGGGTCGGGGGAAGATACTCGGGCCGTGACTCGACGCGTAGTATCGCCGGTACCTAGGCTTTCGAATCGAGGACAGCGATGGGTTCTTGATAAATCAAAATGAGCCTCTCTTTATCAAGCAACGTAGGGCTGCCCTGCAAACCGTGTTTGAAAAAGAAAAAGAAAAAAGAAACGAAAAAGGTGGGCGATGCTGCTACGACGCCAACGAAAGTGTGGAAGAAGGGTTGTTTGGTGGGCGAAGAAGAAAAGGCAAACACAAAGCGACCACAAACACAAGTGGGGAAATCAAAATAACAACGCAGGAACTGCTCATCGCCATAAAATCTTGGGGCTGTTTGGGAGCGTGGGGAATGTGGTGCGGAGGGTGGAGGAGTGTCCGGGCCAGGCCGGGGCCAGGCCGGAGCCAGGCCGGAGCTCAGGGGCAGAACAAGTCTGCTCGATAGGTGTATCAACAATATGTTCAGAGATTAGCGGAACAGGAGACAGCTGAGCATCCGTCCGCCAAGCAGGATCACGTTCACTGAACCAAGACGACAACAGTGATGACCAAATGAACCCAATTAACAGATGTACCAGCAGCTTGTGCCTGGCTGAAAGTCTAATACGCAGATTCAGCTTCACCAAAGCCATCGACATGAAAACGCCTGACAAAGGATGCCGAACCTCTTTCTTTAACCATCCCTATTTATTCCACTCATTGATTTGAGATGAGTCAAGTGAATGTCGTCTCAAACTCAGAATTGGATGTCTGGTGTGCCTGAAGGGCCAGCGGCAGAGCCGACTCCTCCTGTGGTGAACCCCGATCACTCCCATCTAAATCCGTGATACATCTAGCTGAGCAGAACGATGATCACGCTGTCGCCCCGCAAGAACCTGTTCTCTATTAGCATCGGATTATGGTACAATGAATGGGGGATGAAATGCTCACATTTTGCTGATGAAACGATCCTTGTTCACCGGGCGCCCCTTCTTGCCATTATGCATGGGGGTTTCAGTCCACATCTCTTTCTGTTTGGCAGCAAATCAGCATCTCTCCCGAGCCTCGCTTTCCACGAAATTCGAAGCAAACTTTGAGGTGCCGCTGCTGTACTTACCACATTCTCCAAAATCCTATCAGGGGTTAGCAAAGAGGTCCCAAAGAAAATGGAAAAGAGCAAATCCTTACATGTTGCAATGGCGATCGAAAGCCTTGACCCGCGCAAGCCTAAACAGCAAAAGCATCAGCATTTCGCCCCTAAACTCTCAACTTCAAACTCACAGCTTGCGATTCGACCGGATGCTGATCAGCACCTGCGAGTGGCTCCGCACAGCCGTCTGCAGCAGTGACAGTGGTCCGTTGCTCATCTCCCAGTTTTCCTGTACACGCACATCGTCAGCATCATCAGCCTCTACAGCCTCTGGGCTCCCTTCCCAGAGGCCAGTCTCCTCCAACATACCAGCTGGGCAATCTCATACTCCCTATCAAAACAACAGTCAGCATTTCCCTCCCCATACAAACACGTCCGGCCTGAGGGTAATAACTCACGTGCACTCATTGCGAGGCTTCTGGAGGAGTGCCCTGTCGGAATCGTCAGTAAAATCGGTCGTTAGGCTCTTGGGGAATGACAATAACCCACTGAATGTTGACGTCTGACATCTTGTTGATGGTTCGAGAGTAACTCTTTCGGGGCCGGTAGGTTGCTGTGGGGGGAAATCGACGAGGCGGGTGACGAGGTGACTTTTTTGGATGTTTGATGTTGAGAACCGTGATGAGCACGGCCAGCTGGTCGAAGGGGACCCACAGGCACGCGAACTGGCGAACTGGTCACGTGATGTAAAATCTGGATGTCACCGCCTTTCCGGTGTGGCATGATTCTGCCTCCCTGCAACAACACCAAAACAGGACAACATTGAGCATTCATTTTGTCACAATTAATTCCGCTATAATTGAAGGCGAGTTGCTATCGTATTTTGTCCAGTTATGGTCCAGCATTGCTTTCGCGACACACCAGCGAAGTATTAAACTAAGATAGAACATTCGGGGAAGCTCATCTTCGGGTCAAATTGAGCAACTCTCCTGAAAAGAGAAGCCCTGGAGATCTTGATGTTCGACTCAATTAGACGAAGGATATCACATTCTGGGCTTCAAATCAGACAAAGATTGAAGTATAAATAGTGATTACATTTACGATATTCAGAACGCATTATTGCTCGTTGGTCAACTTAGAGTTCCCCTGTAACGAACGGCTCCTTGATGCCCTTATTACTCTTCCCACCCAGCTCCGTTAACCCACCCCCAACAATCCAACCCGGCCCCCGGTCACCACCTATTTTTCCCACTGAACCCGATCTAGTAAACATACGGCACAATCCTCCACCGAACAATCTTCTTGTACTTCTCCCAATCCTCGCCATACTTGCGCGAGCACTTCTCGTCATCGCGACGGTCACGGTGAATAAGCAGCACCGCAAAGTACACCACATAAAAGTAGGTGAAAATCGCGCCCCAACCCCTCGCATCACCAGGCACAACCTCGCGCCCATCCAACATCTTGACGGCGCCCTCAGCCACCGTGCCCGCGGACAAGATCGTGTAGCCGGCCAGCCCCGTGGGCAGGCAGTAGGGCCAGGCCTGCATCCAGTCGCCCAGGTAGTTGATGTGGCGGGCGACGCCCCACCAGCCGGAGGCGAGCAGGCGGGTGCCGGCCTTGGTCTCGATGTACTTGAGGTGGGCGACGGCGGGGGCGTTGGGGTCGGTGCGGAACGCGTTCTTCTGGCTGTTGGACAGGCGGAAGATGGAGAAGGCCGCGAGCACCAGCGCGCCCACGCCCGCGAGCCCGAGCGGGCCGAGCGTTTGTGGGTGTACGGACAGGTAGCGGGTTTGTTGCGTGTAGATGAAGGGCACCCAGACGAGGTCGCCGAAGGCGAGCATCAGCCCGAAGCCGTCCGTGGTGATGTCGATGGTGGTCAGGATGGCGGGTTCCATGAATTGGCCGTCCAGCACGTAGAGCGCCTGCACGACCGTGATGAAGACGATGCTGTCGGTGACGAAGCCGAAGCTGCGGTATTGCTTGGCGATGAAAGCGCAGTTGAGCAGGATCCAGCCCGTCAGGCCCGGCCGGATCTCCATCCATTCCTTGAGGTCGATCTCGCCAATGAGGGGGAGTGTGACACGCGGGTTGAGCTCGCGGCCGATGAACCAGTCGTAGAGCATGTTGCCGGACACGCCGCCAGCTGCGAGGGCGCGGAACTCGGGGTTGCCGTCCTTGACGCCGAAGCTGCGAACGTAGACGAAAGTTGCGAGGCCGTACGAGATGAGAATGTTGGTAGACAGGATTTGTAGGTAGTTGTCGCTGATGAACGTCCACAAGGGAAACTCGGCGCCCTGAGCGAACGTGCCCGCGGCGCAGATGGCCAGAGTGAACATGGTCGAGGCGAATGCTGCGCAGGTTAGTTACTGCTCGCGTCCAGGCCATGGGGTCCCATGCTAGCTAACTAACCATTGAACTTGTACTTCAGCCGGCCGCCGTTCGCCAGCTTGGTCCCTTCCGTCTCCGTCCCCGGCAGGATCCGGTAGAGCACCGCGCTGAAGAGGTAGTATGCCAGCGTCCAGCCCGTAGCCTCCCAGCTAACGAGACCCTTGATTCCATCCTCGGGCCAGCCCACTTCTTTCTTCAAGAGGTCGAAATCGAGCGACTTCGGGTGGAGGAGCGACGGCGCGGGGCATCCTGAAATGTCGTTGCAGGCGAAGGCGAAGATGTAGATCAAGACCGGCAAACCGAAGCTAATGACTGCAGCACCAGGACTGAACGCGTTAGTTGAGAGCGAGGTCCGGGGAGATGGCGAGACAGCGAGTACTCACGGGCCGAAGAATTCGTATCCGTGTGGCTGCGACACAGCCTGCTGCTTCGTTTTGGACACCATGGTTGCGCTTCAGGGGCAATTGTTGGCGTCGCGACCAGTTGAGGTGTTGCGCGTTGCCTTTTATGTCGAGCAACAGCAAAAAAAAAGAAGAGCCGATGGAATGGTCCTGGGCTTGGCAATGACAATATGTCCCTGCATTAGCTCGGCCGGGAGCTTGCGTTCCGGATCAGGTGGGCTGCTCAACGACCAGAAAGCTCAGTTCGATCAAGACGCATCCTTGCCGGCAAACCGCGATCCGGATGGGCTGATGGCAATTGACGACTCGACAGGGATTGCGGGTGTTTTAGCGGATCGCGCGCGATGCGGCAGCCCATCTTGCAATGGATCCATCCATGTGGCTCGTGCACCAGCAGCTGCTTCCATTGTTCGTTCGAAGATGCTGGGGGAGTGGGGTGAGTTATGCAATAACGGGGCACCACCTTGGGGGCAAAAAGAGCCGAACTCCAAGTGCAGATGTCGATATGGAAACCTCGAATCCTCGGCCGTAGGGACGGAACGAAAGCCATCGTAAAGTCTAAATGAACTGGGGTTACTTTATTTACTTGTATTCTACCACCTTTATTTTAATCGACTTTTTTTGCTCAATTTGCTTTTATTTGTTCTTTTTACTTAATTTATTTGGTACTTTTCTTTCTCGAGTTCGGCCGTTTTTAGCCAGAGGGTAGCAGCACTCTGGCGAGGAAAATGCTCAGATAGGTACGAATGGTTATCAAGCGGGCTATGAATTGTATATATTTACTCTCTCGTACTAAGCGGTGATTAACCTCTCCAAACTACAAATATCACCACTTTTCGTTGCAGGAGGTCCCACGGCCCCGATATCGTTGCGCAAATGCACGCGCCTCTAGGCAAATGGTCGCAGCCACAACTACCGCGAAAATGAGTCACTTCTGCAAGGACTGAAAATGAATCGAATTGCCTCCCCCCTGAACCCTTGAGACGGTCGGAGCCTCTGACTAAAATGCAAGGACCGCCAATGCGGAAGAACTGAAGGGAAAAAGGGAAAATAAGTGACCCTCCCTCTGGTCAGAGCGCCCAGTAGCCAGCGCCCCAGTTCACTACTCAGAAAGGTCGAGAACTAGTAGCTACGAGGATAAGAAACCGCCCCCTTGGGACAACGACAAAGACAAGAAGATGTTGTCGTTGCGGGACCCGGTTGTTCGCCTTCCTTCTAAGGCGAATTGCCGGCTCAGCAGGGAAAAACCAGACGGCGAATAAACTCCAAGTCAATTGAATCTATGATCTCAACTCTCAAGTCTAGTAGAGTGGGCCAGCCAACCCTATTACTACCCAATGCAAAGTATCCAAAATATCCGATGTTGATCTGCCCCGGTCCGCCGTGCGTCGCCTTCGAATTTACCATCGTCACTGTTTCTTGGCCTTGAGGTAGTTGAGCACGGCCTGAGTGAACATGTCATCGTCCACCAGCTTCTCGCCAGCCTCGATGATCCAAGTTTGGCAGTTGCGCTGGGTTAGCCTCCGGGGCGGGTTGGAAGAAGGGACCTGGGTAAGAGAGTGAGCGCGTTAGCATTCATGGTGCCACTACCAAAGAAGGAAAGAAGAGTATGTTTTAGGAGAGAGAGAGAGAACGACAGGGAGTAAAGAAGAAGAAAGCGTACCATATCATCAACTGCATTCAGAGTCCGGGCCGGCACCGGCGCCTTTGCCGCGCTAACCTCAAATGGGCAGATCGGGTGGCCGGGCTTCTCGACTTTGTACGTGCGGTTGTTCCACATGGTCTCGTTGAAGTGCCTGGCATCAACCCATTGGAGGTTAATGAGCTGCGGTTTGCGGCTGGTCTCTTCGAAGTCGACGTTGCGCTTGATCTCAAGCTTGAACCCGTTCTTCACATCGCCAACGGCGTGCAGAAAGATGCCCTCTTGGGTATTCTTGGACTTCCGCACGAGAAAGCCCCAGTGGTCTTTAAACGGATGGCCGTTAAAGATGGCCAGAGACACAAGGAGGGAGCCGGCAGGACCCACAGGAGCAACGGCTGGAGCGGAGACAGCCGTCGACGCTCTAGGAACTGAACTCGGAGCAGGGGCAGGCGGAGGAGGGGGGGGAGGCGGAGGGGGGCCGCCACCGCCGCCGCCGCCGCCCGTGGTCTTGGGCGGGCTGCTGCTGCGGCTGGTGTTTCCGCTGCCCGTGGTCTTGGGCGGGCTGCTGCTGCGGCTGGTGTTTCCGCTGCCCGTGGTGGTCTTTCTCACTCCACCAGCGACCGCAGCCCTGACAGGGGGGGCTGCGGCCGAACGAGCGGCAGGAGTAGATGCATTTGCAAGAGCAGGTGCCCTCGCATTTGCAGTCGCCTTTGCCGTACCTGACGTCTTCACAGACTGGGGCCTCTGAACAACGGGAGTGGCGTTACGGGTAGGCATGATGATGAGATAAAGGACTTTGCGATGTTGCGGAAGACAGGTGTTTGACAAGGGCCGACCAGCGGGGAAAGGAGTCGAGGAATTTGAGACGGTGAGGGAAATGACCAAGGGAAGGATATAAGAAGTGCTGTTGACAAGAGGGATGAGAAGATATTGACTGGACGACCGATGGCAGAGACGGCTCCCTACATGTATATATAGCTGAAAGACCTTCGTGCTTCGGCACTAATAGCACCCCAGACCACTATCCAACGGGTCCCCATCTCCAGACTCTCAGCCTCAGCAGCAGTCTCAGATAGCTGGTTTGAGCGAGGCCGTCCCCTCGGCCAGGCCAAGTTTCTCTGCGTCCAAGAATAGCGACGCCTGGCGTGACGGTTGGCCCTAGACCTCAAGTGAGTACATCTGAGACTCGCTACGGTCGCGAGCTGCAGCCGCAGCAGTGTTGGTACTTGGTAACCGTTGCCATAACTTGCTGCGCCGTAACAACAAGAGCAGATAGGTTTCGATCACCGTCACGAATATGGGTTAAAACTTAACGCCGCCTGCCTACTACCTACCCAAACTTCCTGCCAAAGTCTCCTACGGCTTAATCCAGATGTAGCCACGAACAGTAGGACCTACTGTTTAATATCTCTATTCGAGTTTCTCCTGAGACTGCCGAGTACAATGTCTCTTATTTTCCCAATATAAACAATTTCGCCCCCCCGGCGGCCGCCGCACAAGTGCATTCAGCCCCCAACCTCCCACCCAACTCCTAACGTGCCGCAGGTTTCATAATCGGCCACCGTACCGTAGGTAAGGTGGGTTTTGATGCCGGTTGGAGGGCCACTTTGCTGCAGCCCTATCCGTGTCGCGTTTCACGGGCTGTGACAACAACCAACCCAACGTCAAGCCTCGATATTATTAGATGCGCAACAAAATGGCACAGCATCAAAGCATTTGGGCCTCGCCAATCGAGGCCAGCGGCACGTGCACTTGGCTGTAAAGGGGCCCGCCCGCTGCGGGATCGTTCGGTACCTCCCGAGTTAGCTACCTTACCTAAGGAAGCAGGAACATACTGTGTAGGTGCATACGGGAAGAATAGGGTAATTACCGAAAGACATCCCCATTAGCATTTCATTTTCTTGCCCGTCTTCCACCGGCTGTACCCAAAACTAGAAGTGGAGCGACGACGGAGGTTGTGGGCTCAACTGATGCGACGATCGGTCCTTGACAACGCTGTGTGCAAATGTAAGAAAAGGCTTTCAGTTGAATTCGGCGTGTAACAATTGACCTGCATATCCTCTGGTATGTGCATACTGGGTAAAGTGTTACAAAAATATCTTCTTACTGAGGCAGCCATCTCTCTCCCTCCAACTGGCGCTTCGCCGCTTCCAGCCAATGCCGCTGCCATAATACTCCATTCCAGCCCCATCCATATTCGGTCTTTGACCTTCAAGTTCGTTAGAAACAAGTCGCGAACCTCAACAACACACGCTGGCCATTTGAGAATTCAGACTCAGGGCTACCTTGTTCACATATTTGACTTATCCGGCTCCCACGTCACCATGGCCCCCAGCAAAACGCGCACCCCTTCTCCAGCCGCACCCGCCTATGTTACGGCCATTGCCCCCTTCCCCGGTACCACATTCGCCAAATCTCACCCCACCACACTACTTCCCTCGCCAGCCGAGATCAGAGCACGCAACAAAGCGACTGGCCATCCCAAGGCAAATAACCCCAACCGACCTCCGCCAGTCAGGGTCCCCGAGCTCGGGCTGCTCGTTAAGTATGGGACCAAGGTCACACGGGCCGAGGTCGAGGCCCAGCGCTACGTCTATCGGCAGCTACAGGGCCGCGTCCCAGTGCCTGAGGTTATGGGCTGGGCCGAGGACGCCGGTCAGGGCTTCATCTACATGGCCCTGGTCAACGCCCCGACCCTGGCGGCGCGCTGGACCCGCCTGACAGAGCCTGAGAGGCAGGCCATCTGCAGGGAGCTCAAGGGCATGGTGCAGGCGTGGAGGGGTCTGAAGCAGGATCCAAGAGAGGTTTACATTGGTGAGCAAGGCCACGTTGAAGACGCAAATAAAAAGATGTGCTGACACGTGTGACCAGGAGCCGTTGGCAGACGGCCGCTCAACGACATCATCGTCAAAGATGAAAGCCACCTCTACGGCCCCTGGCCAGGCAGCGGTGCGGTGCAAGCCTTTCAGGGTGCCTGCGACATCGACATCACGGGCCAGATACCCATCGTATTCACTCACGGCGATCTCGTCACCTGCAACATCCTCGTGACGCAGGGGCCAAACCCAAGGGTCGCTGCCGTCATCGACTGGGCCCAGGCTGGGTGGTATCCGTCGTACTGGGAGTGGTGCAAAGCGAAATGGGTTATGATGACTGACGACAACATGGATGACGCCACGCAGGAGCAATGGCGGCAGCGCTACCTACCGCTGGTGGTCCAGCCGCTTCCCGACAATACCGTCTACTACCCATGGCTTCGGTTTTCGCTTGCTAATTTGTAACCATGAACCGGTACTGGGAATAATATGCGTTGCAATTAGTGGCTTCTATTTGTCAGGTTGCGAGGAGTAGGAGGCTGTTTATTAATAGACCCGAAGTAATAGGCCCCACGCTTAGGAGTTGTGAAAGTGAAACACAAGGCTAAACGCACGAATTCATGAACTGTTGGGTGACAGCTGAATTCAGTGAGACTTGGTTCTAGAATATCAAACACACTGGGGTTGGTGGGATCTTATGCCGTCGGCCTCTTAGGTTTAGTGATACCTCTCTGGCTCTCTCCCCAGGAGCTCTATCAAGAATATTGTCCCCCTTTCAACCCCTACCAAACGCGTCAGCAAAGCAAGATAGCGAGAGCACGAATTCGGCTCATTCTTCACCCACATGCCTTGACTTTCTAGGCGGTGATCTGGTCTGCACCCCTCTCCGATGGGTGATGTGGTTGCCCGGACAACTTGATGGGTACCGACGTTCAGTGCTGCAACCCGGGGTGTGGACACAAATTCTGTGTGTATGATTGTGTGGTAGGGGAAGGAAGCATGTACTGGTTCAATTTGACTGGGAGAATCTCAGAATGGGAAGATGAAGGGAGCTAAGAACACCGATACCAGCAACCTGAGCCACGATAATGGCGAGATCTGACAGTTCTACTCTTGCTTAACTCCTCGGCCGCGGTCTCCAGAACCTAGAGTATTTGCAAGTGCTGGGAGTTTCCAAGTGCCCGCTCAACCTCCTTTCTTATGAGTAGGCATCTTGAAGGCAGTTCAATGGAGATAGGTGTCAGCTGTCATCGATGCTTCTTACCTAACTGACACAAACCATATTATAAAGGGACCGCGCGGGGCGCAGTAGGGCTGTCCCTAGATACCTAGGTAATCGGCTGGGAATTCAAGCAAGACGCGGGGACCCGTTGGGTAGGTAATCCAGGGACGCTGGCTACCTCCCATGACAGACGGTAATTCAGGTAGGTAGGTAGCCTTGGATCGCAGTCTATCACAAGCTACCTGACCTATAATAGCTTGGGTAGTCGCGCAATCATGAACTACCACGAAGCTATAGAGGTACCTTGGGATGGATAATATACCTATATTCACTCGTTCTGGAGACCTCTCGAGTTCACCAGTTAGCAATTGTAACTACATGTAGGTACCGTTCGCTACAAGCTCAAAGGCCTCCTGTTGAGACATCATTGTTGTGCACCCTTTGGCTGCACCGAACCTCGCACCCTTGTTTACCTTCAATCCAACTAAACCCTTTCAAAGTTAGGTCCAGGAGAGATTCGTCGCAGGATGTGCGCTGCACACAGGGTTTCCCTGGCGCGTGGCAGCACAACCCCACTTTCTTTCTTTTGAGCTTTCCGTCCTGCGAGATGAGATGCGAGGACGAAAAGGTGCTGCAGCACGCCGCCTGCCAAGCTGCCAAGCGCAAGCCGCATGCCACACCAATGAAACCAACACAGCCTGCGCCGACAGAATGAACACCGTTGTCGAAGCCGCGTCAGGGGTCTTCAAGATCCAACTTCAGCGAACCGCATCCAATTCAGGTATCGAACCGGACGTTGCGAAGTTGACATTTGTCTAATCTGCTAGTTCGAAAGTGTCTTCTCTTTGCATGAGAGACCCCTGCATTCTCCCACGCATCGCTCAGCGCGACAGCGCGCAACACGACCATCCCGTTTGAAGGCCCGCCAACAGCCGATCATGCTTTCCCAAAACCCGTCGCGGGGTCTTCTCCTCGCCCTCGCCGCCCTTGCTAGCGTATCTTCCGCCGAAGAGGGTACGAAAACGATCTCCACAACCACACCGGTCCACACACCATGTGTCGCGACGTCCACTAACGGCGCCTTCTTCGATCTGCGCCCGGACGCCGCTGTGGCTGTCGTCGAGGGGGAAAAGCCACATAAGGGGATACCCACTGAAGACTACACAGCCAGGGGCTGGGACTACGGATCGAACTTTACGATCAATGTCTGCAACGCTGCGGTCAAGACGGCGGAGGATGTCGTCGGGGTGGATGAGGCGCTGTGGAAGAACGTCAGCGCGTACTACGAGGCCGACGGGAAGGTCTACTCCTTAGGGTAGGATACTCTCATAATAGGGTCCGTACGTGAACAGTAACGCTGACTATGCCCCACAGACAACAATCAGACAACCTCGTCCCGCGCGGGCGCAAACTCGTCCTCCAATACACAGGGGGGTCACCATGCGGTACCTCCGACAAGAGCAAAGACAAGCGCGCCAGCGTTCACGAAGGGGCGCGATACAAACACTACGAGTTCGATGATGAGGATGAAGAGCTTGACCCTAAGAAGCCCAACGATGATGAGGAAGACGAGGATGGAGACGGCGAGAAGGATGAGGACGAGAAGAAAGGCGATGACGAAGACGAAGACAAGGAGAAGGAGGGAGAAAAAGAGAAGGAGAAGGGGGATAACACGCGCCGCAAGTCCGCGACCATTTCCTTCCTCTGCGATCACGACCCCGACACGCCCACGGCCTTCTCTTTCGTTGGCACCGACCCGGACGAGTGCGCGTACTTTTTCGAGGTCCGCTCGCAACACGCTTGCGCCGGCGCTGAGCCCCACAAGCCGGGCAGCGTCGGGCCAGGTAGCGTCTTCGCCATCATTTTCTTCATTACCGTCCTGGTGTACGTCGTGGGCGGTATCTTTTATCAACGCACCGTGGCGCATGCGCGCGGTTGGAGGCAGCTACCCAACTACAGCCTGTGGGCCGGCATCTGGAGCTTTATCAAGGTAGGCCGGGGCTTCAAGGCGTATGAATACCGCTCGCACTGACTTGTTCTTGCTAGGACCTCCTGGTTATCCTGACATCGTCATGCGCCCGCATCATCCCGAAACGGCGAGGCTACCACTCGCTGTCGGGGTCTCCCAATGGGAGGAACCGTAACCGTGACGACGAGAACCGTCTGATCGACCAGCTTGACGAGGAGTGGGATGACTGATGCTTCCGCAACGGGTTTGCTTTATTCGGTCTTGACACGTTTTCTTCGGCGTTGGTGAAGGCTTATTGCAGGGTCAATTGAGCATACAAGGGAAGAATGCCAGTCCAGTGCTGAGCTATTATACCCCTGAAAACTGGAGTATACTCGTCTCAATTCCGGTAGCTTGCTGCTTGGACCTAAATGAAGGCAGAGGTTCTAGACAATGAATCGCTTATAGAGGCAACTTGAATAGAATCTTTTTCCCACCTGCCTCATCGTCTCTTGGTTGAAATTTGGGATTGGACGCCTCCTCACGCCTCAAATATCTTGGTGGTGTTGGGAATGCTTGGCCTGCGTGAACAATGCCACATAGTGTCTGCCACATAACACGAATGTCTTGTACACAGTAGTTAAACCGACCACGTCAGGCCTGTGTCAGAAATCCTATTCCTCCTGTTCCCCAGGAACGGTTGCATTTTTAAATCCGCGCGTCCATGCAACTTGCGTGAACGACTTAGGAATCAAGATACCCAAGTTTGGACATTCCTCACGCGACTCACCCAATTCTCCCCGCTCCCCTGCAGCTGCGCCCCGCCCTGCTGCTCAATCATCGACATCGAACCCCTGCAGTCGCTCAACGGTCAGGCACCCCACCACGACCTCATTAACACCATTAACACCACCTTATCAACACCTCCCCACAAACACGACCTCCATCAACAACACCATCATGGGGCGCTGGTCACATCTCGATAGCGACGAGGACCGCCTGCCCGCTGGCATGACGCGGGTCGGCTACGACGCCGACACCCAAGTCTACACCTACCGCGACAGCGACGGCAGCTATTGGGAGGGCGCGCCGGGCGTGCAGTACGGCAAGATGTACCGGGTGCGGCAGGCAGCGCCGGTGCTGCCCAGCGCGTACGTCACGAGCGACCAGGAGTCCTGCAGCAGCTACGTCCTGCACGACTACGACCCCGACGACTCCTACGACGAGGACAGCGTCGACTCCGACATGCACACCCTCACCGACGAAGAGAAACAATCCCCCACCACCACCACCACCACCACCACCACCGTCATCGTCCCCTTCCCCGACAAAGCCGTCCTCCGCACCTCCATCAAACGAAAACCCATCCCAAACACAACCACAACCACGACCCCAACCGCCGACCCCGACCCCGACACCACAGACACCCTCAGCCTCGCCTCCACGCTCGTCGACAGGGCCGAGAGCATCCGCAGCCGCATCATCGACACGGCCAGAACCAACCGCGAGATCCAGCAACAGAATGTGTCCAACAACAACAGCGCCGGGGCCGGCGGCCTGAGACGGACGGGCACACTGTCCCGGCTGGCGCGGTTCCTTGGGTCGTCGTCGTCGTCGTCGTCGTCGTCGTTGTCGTCAGGAGTTGCGCGCCGCGCTACGGTGGGTGGTGGTGGTGGTCAGAATGGGCAGTGGCCTGGATCTGGGCCGGCTAGGCAGGGGGGTGGGAATGGGGCTGGGGGTGGTGGTGGTGGTAGTGCGAGGGCGGCCAGGGCAAGGAAGCGGGCGACGACGTTTGATGAGATTTTGGGGGAGGGGCAGTAAAGTAAGCCTGCGTGAGGGGGCTGTTGTGTTGGTGTGGGTCACGCTGAGGAATTATGAACTGGAGTGGGGACTGGCCGGAGTTTATGGTTGGTTTTCTTGTCTTTTGTGTCGCGGAACAGGCAGGATAGGGACATGGATGCTAGGAGTTTCTAACTATACGGTATTGGATTTGGATGGGGATTGGGGTCGAACTACACAACCTAGGATAACCCGTTTGGAATGATGGTCAATGACGATGCCCTTTTGATGAGGTCGAACAATTCACAAGATGAAACATTTTGCGAAAGATGAACGAACATTCTTAGCCTCCTGACATTGGTGTTGCTAAGCAGGCATGAACCTACTTCGACCATCGACCCCATAGTGTGCATCCGTTAAAATAAAGAAGGCTAAAAAGAAAGCACCATGTTCTTCCTGTGCAAAACAGAGGAAAATGGTGCAAAAGGGAAGGGGCTCAATCGGGGATCGAACCCGAGACCTCGCACATGATTTGTTTTCAAATCAGGGTGGAAACCCGAAGCGCGAATCATACCACTAGACCATTGAGCCGATGTGATAGGACAGCCCAACAAGATTCTTAAGTAGGGGCAAACACAAGATCCACGTTTCGAAAGTCTCCCCCCTTCCTCCCGCTCTCACTCCCCAACAGTCACACTATCACAACTCTACGGGTTAAAATGACCTCTATAGATTAACCCCATTCTTCCCATTTACATTATATTCTCCTTCTTTTACATGCCTCCAATTCTAAATGCGTGCCCTTTCTACCCCTCATTACCCCTTTTCCTTGAATGATCCTATGAATTCTTGAACCAGCCCCAGCACACTTGTAGAATTCAAATCGAGGGAGCTACGAAGTACTTAATTCCGTGTAGGGAAGCTTGACATATTAACACATCACACGCCGGGGAACAAAAGCTGAGTCCAATTGATGGATGTTGTATTCACAGTCGGCAATGATCAACTATATACATGAATGCTTGTGTGACAAGAGGCTTGTTTAACCAACCCACCACTAGATGCGGTATCCTTCTATAAACCCTATCGTACCCTTTACAGGCACTGGTAGTAGTGAGGAGCCGAGACGGCGCTGCAGGTCGAGCCAGACTAAACATGACAGTTAGCATGTTATTCTTTGTTTTTTGGGTAAAAGGTCAACTTACAGCGCAGTTGGTGCAGCCGGTGTAGCCGGTACCGCCGCACTGCTGGTACTTCTGGGACTGGCAGCCGCCGTTGTCACCGCCGCCGCCACCAGGAGCCGGGGTGGCCGAGGAGGTGGGCTGGCCCTGGGTGAGGGTGGGGCTGGGGCCGGAGCCGACCTTGCAGGTGGCCTCGCAGCCGGTGCAGGGGCTGCCGGCGGCCTTGGTGGAGCCGCCCGAGTAGACGGCCGGGCCGGGCACGGTGTAGCCGGACAGGGCCGCGTGGATGTTGACCAGGATGCCCGGGTCGGTCGACTTGTACGCGCCGGGGAAGGAGACCGTCGCCGGGCTGGCGCTGCCGCCGCCCGAGACGGTGATCTGGTAGCACGACATGTACAGCTGCGCACCGCCGGCGCCGCCCGCCGTGTGCAGGGCGATGGTCTCGGCGCGGAGGAGGTAGTCGCCGGCCGCGATGTCCGAGGGGATCTTGACGTCCATGCGCCCGCAGCATTCGTTGAGGTCCTTGTTGCCCCAGAAGTCGTCGTCGCCGGAGCCGCCGCTGGGGTTCTTGGCCCAGCCGTCCTCGAAGATCTTGAACCAGCCCGACGAGCCGTCGGCCGAGACGGCGTCGGCGACCTTGGACATGTAGACCATCACGGGACCGTAGTGGGCCCCGCCGATGGCCTCGTTGCTGCAGGAGCGGTCACCGTTTTGCTAGTGCCTGTTAGATTGTGATTGTGGCCCCGGAGGGTATTGGGAGGCGTGTGTGTCTGATTTAACGTACCTGGTGCATCTCGACGGTGACGGTGGAACCGGCCGGGACGGGGCACTTGGCGGTAGGGCGGGTGGTGCCGACATTGCAACGGACACCGGTGCCGCTCACGTCGGTGACGGGGGAGTTGGAAGAGGGGACACGGGCGCACTGGCTGCCGAAGTCGACGCCGTCAACCCAGAGTTGCTGGAAGGTGGCGTGGGCAGCGGCGTTGCCGGCCAGAGCGGCCATGGTGGCGAGGGTGAAGGACTTCATGGTTGCGAGGTGACCTGACGGGGTGTATGCTGCCGAGGATGGGAGAATCAAAAAGGTCCAGCTGCGGTAGTTGGGGAGGTCAGTGACCGATTTATACCACGTCCTGGCGTCGCATCTTCCAAGCCTCCCGCGGCGCTTCCCTCCCCATCAAGGTACGCTCGCTCTGCCTCCCAGCGGATCAGAAACCTGACATTCGGGTCGCCATCCCGCTGACGGCGCCAACGGCCTGTGACGCCTCCGCCTCCGCCAGTCCTCCAATTTCCATCGAGTTCTCGAATCCCACAGGTCGAGGCCGCTCGGCGCGAGGCGGCGGTAACCCCGTGAACAGAATCGGGCGTGACACCCCACACGAATACCACCCCAGAAGTGGTCCGGGGTACTCGAGGCCTTCCCAAATAGGGCGCTGGTGGTAGGGTCCATTGGCGGGTTTGGGGTCGGTTAATATGCTGGATAATCAAGGACGGCAATGCGGAATGGCACTACCGTGCGCTACGGTCCCAAAAACCGGGCTGGCGGCGGGCCATGTCCCGTCCCAATTTTGGCACCGTCTTTTTCTTTTTGGGGGGCACGGGGGGAGGTTCTCAAGGAGCAAGGAGGCGAAACTCGACTCCATAATGCCAAGTCTGTTGCCGATCGCGGGAGTCTCAGGTTGAAGAATCGGGAGATCAACAGGGCAAGCGAGAATCCTCACCTTTTCCGGGATTTTGTTTCGATGTGAACCGGGTCCGCGGAAACCTATTTTGGGCTCGAAATCATGGGATTTCTGGAGCCCGATGCAGCTGTCGATCCTTTCTCAACGAGGCAGAAGAGAAGTCGGAGTCACTCATGGCGGTTCCGGTACCACGGGGCCAGCCAAACATGCAGAGTGGCGCCGAGATGGAAGTCATGCCGAGCGGGATGCAGCTAAGGAGACAGAGTGCTACCCAGGATTATGAAAGTGCCCAAAATAATAAGTGTCAACCGGAAATGTGGCATGGTTCAGCCCAAGAGATGAAGTCATTGGCTTGGAACGTGCATGTCAGGGGGAGAGCCCCCCTTTGTTTCAACATCTCCAGTCGTCGTGGGTCTGTGAAGGCTGTCGGCCCTGGGATCCCGGCTGCCCTTGGCCGTGGGGCGTTGTCAAGGTGCATATCAACAGCGCTTGCCGCCGGACCTCTAAGGGGTTTCAAAAGTGCGAGCTTCTGTCACGGTGGAAACGTCGAAGCGGGAATTCGGGCCTGGTTACGCCTGGTTCGCTTGGCTCGTGAGATAATATCCCGCACTCACTTCTCATTGAGTTTGACCAACAGGAGGCAACAGAAAGCAGCATCTTTTACTTTTTGAGAAAGCATACTCCGGGACTACAAAAAGACACAGACAACCAAATGTTGTAAGATTCCAAAATATGGCAACATGAGATGGTCAACCCGAAGCCCCCGTTTGAATAAGCATTTCCCTTCAAAGGCAATAGTGTACACTCCATTAAGAGATTCAAGCCATACGTAGGTAGATTAGTAGTACAGCTCCATCCAGCTCACCCCAACATAAACAATCCATCCCCCCTTGGCCCTCCTCCGGCTCCAAACCCACAAATCTCTCACCCTCCAACCCCCCCTCAACACCAACCTTCATCACCTCCAAACTTCATCCCCCAAACATCACCCTTAAACACACCACCCTCCAAGCATCCCCCAAACACACTCCAACTACAACCTACCACCTAACCCTATACAAGCTACCACCGAACCCAATACCCACCCACCCCCCTCACCCGATCCCTCTCCCCACCCAACCCCCCAACCCTCACCCCAACACGATGCATCTGCCCCGACACCCCCCTCACCGCCGCCGGCAGCACACCACCACCACCACCACCACCGCCCGCCCTCGCCCGCAGCTCTCCACGCACCCTCTCCCCCACCCGCTCCCCCACCCCTTTTTCCTGCTGCTGCCGTTCCAGCCCGGCCTGAACTGCGGTTGAATCGGGCGCCCAGTTTGGGCGGGCGAGGCTGACGAGGGTGAGGCAGATGTCGCGGGCGTGGGTGTCGAGTTTGGTGTTTGTGGGGATCGGGGTGGATGCTGAGTTGGGGGGGAGGGGGTGGAGGAGGCCGAGGGGGAGGAGGTGGAGGGTGTGGTTTGTTAGGGTTGGTGGTGTTGGTGTGATGGTGGTGGTGTTGGCGGTGGTGGGGTTGGGGTTGGTGTTATTGGGAGAGGGTGGAGGGGGGAAGTTGAGGAGGTGGGCTGTCACGAGCGGTTTGGGGGTGACGGAGGGCGCGATGGAGGGGTTGTGAGGTGTGACGGTGATGATTGCTTCGTGCCAGGTCGGGTCGGAGATGGTGGGGGGTTGGTCTGTAGTTTTGGTTCTGGTTTTGTTGCTTTGCGGGAGGACCTGTGCCCAGCCGAAGTAGACCCCATTGAGGCGGTATCGGATCTCGTCCGGGACGTCGGCGAGGTTCGCAGTAGGTATGCCTAGCTCCGCTTGGCTGCGGCCGGTGCCGGGGACGACTTTGCCTTGGAACTGCAGTGGGAACGGCGGTTCGGGGCCCGAGTCCGGCCCAATAGGGGAAATGGTATTGGGGTCGACGGTGAGGGAGCGGGCAACGTGGGTTTGGTGGGCCGCAAAGTACGCTTGGTCGCGCTCCGCATCCCGTTCGGCGGATCGCTCGCTCAGCTCGTCGCGCACAAGCCCGCCGACCGTCTCGGTAATGAATCCCGGACGGACCTTGTTAATAACGCCTTCCACCGGGTCCCGGACCGGGGCGGTGTATCGGTTGACGGTCGTGGTGGCGACCATGGACGCCATGTAGACTCCCATTTCCAGGGGCATTGTGCTTAGAGAGGCACCCCGAAACACACTGGAGTCCGTAGACGTGCTGGCAACACGGAAAATGGGACTAGTGCACAGCGTCTTGCATCTCGATGAACCCTCTTTCATTTCGTTGGGCACCCCCTTCCCCGTGCAGAGGATGAGACGGAAATATCCATCGTCGGAAGCCTCGGGGACCCTGATGACATGCGTCTCCCTCACAACGTGGGCCTTTTTCGGCCCTTTCTCCTTCAGTAACTTCTTTGCAGCCTTGCCAATGTCTCTCTGCCAGGCGCGGTCGGTGTCGACAGCAAGTTGTTGTTTCTCGACCTGGTTCGATGGCGTCACATGCAACCAGCTATCGGTGGCGTTGAAGAATGCCTTGATCTTCATCCCGCTGTCTCCCGAGAAGCCCCGCTGCTGCAGCCAGAGAGTGCGATCTGCGGGGAGGGGGTGGTCTGGGGAGCTGAAAATAGTCATCTCCACCGAGGTGCCCGGTCCGCGATAGAAAATCAGCGGAGGTGAGTGGCGGAGGATGGTGTAGTGCTTTGTCGACTCAATCGGATGAGGGATCAAGCCCCCAGCGAAATGGCGCGCCTCACTTAGGGCTGTCTTCATAAAGGTAGACTTCTTGTCGGCCCCGGCACTGACACCGGGCCCGAAAGTGGCGGCCGGAGTTGCTGGCTGGGCATCGAACGGGCTTGGGGGAGGCGGTTCTGTTGCGAGCACGCCCGGGCCCAGCCGTGAGAGCTCGGGCATGCTCTTCTGCGTCCGGAGGCCGTGACCATGAGGAATTTGTAAGTGTGGCTGCTGTGGGTGGGCAACTTCTGCGCCACGGGAGATGGGTCTTGGTGGAGGTTGCACGTCGAGCCATAACTCTTGCTCCAATTGCGGCCGGGGACGTGTTGGGAGTGGCGGCGGCTTTTCCCCAGAATCAAATCCCCATTCGGGCAAGCTCCGGCCCGGTGGGGTGGTGGTAGAGGTCGGCGCCGTATTGTGACTCCCGACCACGCCAGGAACTTGAAGAGGAATCAGAGGATCACGGCTGCCGGTTCGTGACGGTTGCGGAGCTGGAATTGAATTATTCGCATTGATTGGCTTGCGCCGAATCTGCAACGGCGTCGGTGTCTCCATCAGCCTCTGTATCCAAAAAGATTAAATACTTAGGTAGGCTTGTTGGCTGCTTGTGAACTCAGGTCATCATTGGAATCCTTCATCAACATCTCAACAGTTTAGTTTGATGGGCTTGAATCCGAAACCCCTGGGCCGCTCGAACCCCTTTTACCGTTCGTTACATGGAAAAGATGTGGACCACTTGTCAAATGCAGCAGTTTGGTTGAACCATCATTTGCGCTTATACCCCTAACCCTGAACTCCAGGCAAATGAGCCCAGACAGAAACGAGATTCGAGATCAAACCGAGGCAAGAGGGTGTTTGGCTTTGATTTTACTCGACATGTTTTAGAAAGGAATGAGTACTTCGTACAAACCCTCCGCATTTCCCCGGAAGGACGAGACCATGTGCCGTGGTTTGGACTGCTGTTGTTAGCTGGCGTGTGGTTTGCAGACCATGGAGACTCTGAGGGAGACACCTTCCTCCTTTAAACTGGTTGACAACAGATTTACATGCTGAAAAGGCATGAACAAGCCCGCTACATCTAAAATTTGCAGGCTCGCACAGGTCAAATATCCTCGCCCCCCTCTGTTCTTCGCGTCTTCTTCTTCTCCTCTCTTCAAACCCGGAGCGGAAAGTCTCACGACAATTCGCTTCGGCTAACGAAGTGCCTGTTGCTCGCCGGGTGGGAAAAGCAGACGTCGAGTTGAGAAGCTTCGAAGATTAATTCACTGGTACCTTGAGATGAGGGAGTTCTATGGGCACGAAATGTTCCTGATCAAGGTGCCATGCCCCGAGCCAAAAGGGGGTATGCATGGTACCCAACCTGCCCCTCTAGTGTCCACGGGCAAACATTCCCTCCCCTTTAATGACGTAAAAGAAAAACCAAAAATTCAAAACAATGGACACCGCTGGAATCGAACCAGCTACTCCGCGGTGCCTGTTAATGAGAGCCCGGATATGTACCATTACACCACGTGCCCTGTGAAAGCAATTACTCAGACAAATCTTGTCAGCGTTTATTAGGGGCGGACGGCGTCCCATGTTAACCAACTGGCATATTGCAATCGGAAGAGAGTGTCTCACGCTCGACAACCAAACACTCCTCTCATCCCTAAGATTTCAAACACTCACATCCTCCTACTTAACCACAAAAAAAGACGGGAGGTTGCTGCTCGTAGACCGAACTTCAATATCAGGGAGATCGTGAAGATTTGCTGACGTCCGGACATCGTACCTCTGTAATATATACCTATACATTATTGCATTCGGCGTCTCTCCAGCTATAATCTAGCATTGGTATGTCTGTCTCCCATACCTGCTGTAGGAAACCTCGCAATTGTGGGACCGAGCACGCTGACACCCCTCGGGATTAAAGAAATGAGCCCAGACAGAGACAGATTCAATATCAAACCGAGGCAAGAGGGGATTCCTGTAGTGTACGATGGAGTTACAAACAGAGGTGTAACTTCCTATAGGTACCTACCTAGGTTGTCACGTTGTAAAATAATCGGGTGGGTGGGTCGGTGTTATAGCCGGCGTTGGTTTCTGATGAAGCATGACTCCGACGGTCGGGAAAGCAAACATCAAGTTGAGAAGCTTCGAAGATTAATTCACTAATAAGTACCTTAGAATGAGGGAGTTCTATAGACAGGAAATGTACCTAATGCCTCGAGCCAAAAGGGGTATGTATGGTATACACTTGACTTCCCCCTTTAGGTTCACGGGCAAACATTTCTTAATGACCTAAAAAAATCAAAGGTTAAATAAAGAGGACACCGCTGGAATCGAACCAGCTACTCCGGGGTGCCAGATAATGAGAAACCCGATATGTACCATTACACCACGTGCCCAGTGAAAGCATTTGGTTAGATAAGTTTTATAAGGCTTTATTAGGAGCCGACAGCCTCCATGTTAACCAACTGGAGTGGGTCAAGCAAAGCTAACGATTCATCATTCAGCAGTTCCGACGACGGCACCATTCTGATCAAGAGCAAGACGGTCGCCATCCCGAGCCAAATGCGGGGCAAGGGAGCCAGATAGAGGGGCAGGCCAGGTTTTCGGTGGGTCACCTATAAGACGGGACCTCTTTACACACCGGCCTTCGCCATAACGGATCAGAAGAGCTAGGGAAAGCAGTTCTCGGACGTGCTCGTTAACCTCAAAGGCGTCCACTCGAGCGGCACGGCTACACGGCCCAGCCGTATAAGCCTATACGTGCAGCTGTCGAGGGTACAGAACTGGGACGGGCTACATCTGTTTCGGAAACCGGCGCGCGGCGATATCATCGAGCCCAAGAGCGTGCTCGATCCTGGCGGCGGCGTCTTTACTTGACGGCGCGCGATGCCGTCCGGCCCTGCGAGTTTGACGCAGCGGGGATTAGGGTATGTTAGCACTACGCCCGGGAGTGTGTGGTCCTGTAGATAGGGCAGCTTCGTATCCTAGCCGTGAAGCTCGTGCTGGCGTGCGACGAAGTGGTTGACCTCGTCGTAAAACTCTTGGCTGCATACCTTGTTGAGCGGTAGAGGTAGGTCTTGGAGAGCCGTTGTACGTAGCAAGAGCTCCAACGTTCAGAGTAAGGTACTTATTCTTCGCGGCGCGAAAGGACATACACAGGAAGCAAGCTTTGGATAATTATAATACAGGCGACAGCCTCTTTTCCCATCAGTACATATACCCTAGGATTTCGATACGTAACAGGGTCCCGAGTCAACTACCGTATGTACATATACTCAAAACCTTTCCACCAGCATATACCCGTCGAGACTCATGGGACTAGGCCCGGGGTCTAAGAGAAAGAGGTACCGGCCCGACGAATCCGCATAATCCCCTCGGTTCCCCCAAACTACCTGGCTCGTGGCGCTTAGAAAAGGCAGTTACCTCCGCCGTCCCTGGTGATGAAACTATTTATTGTTAGAAAAGAATATTCGGCCAGGTCGCAATTTCTATCGCCCAAAGGCAAAAGGGCTGTTTCAATGGTGAATGCTTACCAATCGCCACCCTGGAAGTCGACACAAACGAAGATACCGTCGCCCCGGTCGGAGCAGCTCATACCGACCGCCTCTTGCGCCTTGATGCGCTTGAGCTGCGCCGGAGTAGGCTCCCCCCTTTTCTGGGGAGCAGGCGCGGCCAGGCCAAGGCCTGCGAAGGCGAGGACAAGGATAGTGGAAAATTGCATTTTGTCGGCGGGTTTATTTGGAGAATAGAAAGTCAGAGTATAATGGTCGTTGAATGAGTGGAAATTGTAAGGGAGAACGAACGGCTGTCGTCTAGTTTATATAAACCATTTTGAAACGTTGACAGTAACTAGGTACCTAGGTAGTAGCCTTCACTATCAACAAGTGGAGATCCAGAGTTAACCGACTCTGGATTACATATCGTAATTCCCTGTTCGAGAAGTGCCCGAGCTCCTCCGAGTCACGTTCCCTCTTACCTTGTTTGCTCACCATGTTTCGCTACGGTTGTACGCAGTATGCGCGGGCCGCCCCCTGACCTTTCGCTTCAGTACCGCACCAATAAGGAAACAGCTCCGTGTGGCTCGCCACACGGAGCCACAACGGAAACTGCTCAGGGGGCCAATAGGAGTATGCTCCCTAGGACCCGCAAGGAGCCCTGTGAGGCTCTGTGGGCGGAATAAATTGGTTGCGTGTGTGTGTGTATACAGTGTATTCCCCCTTGATCGTACGGGGTTGCCAACGCCGAGCTTGAGATGTAGCTGAAATGGGAAATGTTGATTCCACACTTAGTTTTAGCGAGAAAGAGTTCAAGGTTTAATTACATGGAGGCGCGTTTGCTGTTGCAGGCTGAAACCGGCTTTGCACCAGGCTACCAGCCCTCCGGTCCGTCGCTACAACGTTGCCGACATGCCCACCGCAGGCATGACCTGAGTGTTCCGTGAGAAAAGAGTTGCCAGGACTAGCATCAAATCCCTTTTGTAGGGGCGGTTCATATAGAACTAAGAGGTGACCCAGCACGCTTTAAGTACGCTACCAAAGCTCAGGTTTTACAATATCGTGTTATCAACGAACATGCTGAGACTTGAGGGGACCCCATAAGGTCTTCATTGACGGTAAGGGACTTCCAGATGTTGGGGGCGGTGTTAACGCGGAGGTCGACATTGATGAGGTCGTCCTCGACGCGCTACACCGGGAGGAAGTCATCAACTAGGGTCCATGGGACGGGCCGGTTGGCGACCTGATAACCGGGTGTTGTGGGAGGCCTTGCAAATTCAGAACGGTCATTGCTGCAGCTAGGCATGGAACTCCAAGGCTTAAGCAGGATCGCGTTCGGCCGTCTTAAAGAATTACCTCAAGATACAGACCGTAACAGACGTCTCTTTTCAATGCTCATGTTCTCAACCCCTACAACTCCCTTGTACCCAGTACTATAGAACGTTTCGTACCGGAGAAGATAACCCGCCTTTCTCGCAACCCGAATACTCTTCATCTGTAAGTGGGACGCCTGCCCAGCGTAGCGGGCGAATGCCCTCCAGAACTCATCCCTCAGCGCGCCGGCGTTGTCGAGGTAGACTCATCCATCACGGCCCATGCTGCCAATGAATTTTTCTAGCGCGTGCAGGGTGAGATACCGCTCGCACACAATGTCTAGCTCGTTGGCGAAACTCGGCCAGTGATTGTTCCTCGTCAAAAGGCCTCCATGGGGGAACGATTAGAGAAGACATGGGGGATCTGCTGTAGGCTCTCTCTTTGCGTCGACACCGCCATGTCATTGCGTTTGTCTGCAATGGCCCGGATATTCTGTACCAGGGGGTTGAGGCCTTCGTCGTTTGGGAGCCACCATGGGATAACGGTCTCGTCGGCGAAAAGTTCGGGCATTCGCGTGCGCATTGTGATCGTGCCTCGGTAATACATAAGGTACCTAGGTACAGAAGTATACATTATTGCATTCGGCGTCTCTCCAGCCATGATCCAGCCTTGGTATGTCTCCCAAACCTGCCGCAGGAAACCTCGCAATTGTGGGACCGAGCACGCTGACGCCCGTCGGGATTATCCCGATTGTCATCGGGTTGGCCAGGTAACGCAACAAAAAGCAGGCCCCCTTGAGTCTTGGCGCGGTGTTCAATTAAACCTGCGTGTCTGCGTTCCTGAACCCCAAAACCACTGCAAACTGGCCACGAAACCTTCCACGGCAAACCGACCGCATCCACTCATTCCAAACGAACCATTCCGAGTCGCTCCTTCCAATCACACTCTTTTCAAATATGGATTTCGCCATGCAGATTGACAACTCCCGCAAGCGATGCCGCGACGAGCCGGAGATGCAGGGCCCCAATTACCACCAGCACGTCGCGAAGAGGGCGCGCCAATGGGACATGGACGCGTCAACCCGCGATTCCACTCCCAGCCTAGGCGAATCCACTCCCTCAACACCTGCATCTATCGATGTGGACATGGACGACACTCCCCAACTGGCCCCCGTGCATGCGCCCACACAAGCACCGGAGCCCGAGCCGCAACCGAGATCCGGGGGAATGATCATTTCGGGCTGGAACCAGAACCGCCGGAACCAGTACCTGCGTCAAGGCTATCCTTTGGCTTGGATGCAGGGCTCCACACAGGTGCGCGACCAACTCGCTGTCTAAGTTCTTTCATGGCCCTGCTGACTTTGGACCAGTGAATGCAACTTAATACCAGTCCCATCACCACCACCACAGGATCGGGTTTGGGTTGGGAGAGCAGGGCTGCCGGCCGGGAATTCCGAGGTGCGGTGCACCTCTTGTAATAGTTAAATGTATTCTACCTTACCCGTCGAAGGAGATGGGACGTCGCACCGTTAGTTTTTGAATGAAACGGGCTACGACAGCCAGTCATAACGGTTGCCCACACACCAATCTGGGGACCCCAGGTCTGGAACCCCATTAACCGAGAGTGTCAGCCGGAGTGTGAGCCGCCAGTAGATGCCACAAACTTTCGATACCGTCAGCCGGTTTCAGCGCCCATGTCCCGATGCCATGGTCGCGGCGCGCCATCAAGTCCGATCCCGAACCCTTCCCATCGCCATGTCTCATGTGACTTCGGCTTGGGGGATAATAGAATCTTCTTGGGCCCCGGGTGTTCTCGTACTCACACATTACACAATCACTTCTCCCGACTCCGCGACATGACATAGTAAGCAGTTGGCAAAACTACCTATATATCGTGTAATTCGAAAACCATCGCAGCCTCCATCACTCCGTCGGCACACTTCACTCCCCACGACCAACCACCCCCCACAGCCGCCTCCTCCGATCCAAACCCACCCGAGCAACACTCGATCCCCCTCCCACTCCCCCCTCACTTCCCCCACACACCCAACCACCCCCCCCCCCCGCGGACGCCCTCCCATCCCAACTCCGCTCCCTCCCACGGCCTCCCGAAGCCGTAACACCGCACGCACATACATGTCCCACAGCCGGCCCGGGCCGTACTTGGACGCGTCCCCCGCCGACTCGACTCGGCGGCGTTGTACGTGTAGGGCAGGCGACGCCTGCGCGCGGCGGAAGGTCACCGCCAGCACGCTCTGCTCGTCGGCTGTGAAGGTGGTTGAGGATGGTTTGGAGGTGGTTGGGTTGGTGGTTTGGGGGTGGGGTGGGTTGTGTAGGATGATGGTGCCGGTGTGAGGGGGAGGTGGGGGGTGCCGGGGACGGCGGGAACGGCGGTGATGGGGTTGGTGTGGCTCCAGTGGGTGGGTGTAGGTGAGGGTTTGGAAGTCGTCGGTGTTTTTTGAGGATTAGTTGTGTGGTATCGAGGAGGACGATTCTGTGTTGTTGAAGGGGGGTCGTTAGTGGGTAGTTTTCTGCTCTTGATCTTGAAAAGTTGTTGTTGGTGTTGGGTTGGCGGACCTCGTAGCTTGTCGGGCTCTAGGTCGATAGCTTTCGCCATTTCCCGTTGTATCTCTTGCCTTCGTTTGTGGCAAATAGCTCGTCAACAAACTCCACGGTCGACGGGAGGATTTTGAACCAGTCAACTCAGCGGAATGCTTTTGATGAGTAGCCCGGTCATCAAGATTTTATCGACACAAACGAAAACAAGTCAGTTGTCGGAACGGCTACAAGTAGCTGCAGATCGTGAGGGTACTAATAGGAAAATCATGATCACATAGTAGATAGTTGTCAAGTTCAAACTGCCAGCCGGAGGCACTTGAGTGCCTCGTCAGACCCAACCTCATGATCAAACTCATCAGTTCTTACTTCGGTATCCGTCACAACTCTCGCAACCTAGGTAGGTAGTTAACTTGGAAAGTCTGAGTTGCCGTGTTTCAAACATTGTTTTATCAAAATCCCATGTTTCTTAGTACAGCCATAACTCGATGCTAGCGACGACGGCTTTTGCCTATCCTCCTGGTCAATAGTATAACTCTAGAATAACTCCTCTGTACAACTCTTGCATTCCAAGGGTTTCTCGAATTCCTGCTTCATCCCATTCAGCCATATTGAGAGCGGCGTGCCAAGGTCGCCAAGGAGATGAAGGTTCCGTTGATGCCGAAGGGAAATGGTGAAGAAGAGGGTTTCTGCGCACAACTCTGAGCCGTATGTGGTCACTCGAAAATTTTGGGAATCTTCCAATGGGTCCGGCGAGCTTCAATCCGTTGAAAACGACGGCAGAAGTTGCCAGTCACCCAAGAACTAAACAACACAGTCCTGGACTTTGCGAGAAGGGAGGGGTTAGGGTTTTTTCTTCTGCTTCCTCACGTGCCATCGCTGAGCGCACGGGCCAATCAATATTGCATCACCCATGAACCCCCACCATGGTTGATTGGCCGACGCCCGATTTTCGGTTCTGATTTGGAAGATGTCAACTGGCGGCGAATGGAGAAGAAAGTTCCTCCCAATTTATTGCACCCGCCGCCGCTGCCTGGACTCTGCTTTTGTTCTGCCTCAGCAATCGCGCCCTCTCCCACCGCACCCTTCCATTCGTTTGCGACTTTGGCCACGGATCCCTCATCGCAAACAGCCCCGTAATACCGCACACGTTATCCACAGCAGTCAAGATGGGCGAATCTCGGTTCGTTTCTACCCGATTCCCGCGCAAGTCGACGACGCGCGCGATCGACGCGCTCCCGGACGCAGACTGACAGGCAACCTGCGGACAGGCAAGAACTCGTGCAATGGCTCAACAGCCTCCTGCAGCTCAACATCACCAAGGTCGAACAGTGTGGCACCGGGTAGGTCCTCAACCCCTCCCCCGCAATACGGCCGCGCGAAGAAATGTCACCGAGGCTGACCACGCAAACCACTACAACAGCGCCGCGCTCTGCCAGGTGTACGACAGCATCTTTAATGACGTGCCCATGTCGCGCGTCAAGTTCAACGTCAACACCGAATATGCCTACATCCAGAACTTCAAAGTCCTGCAGAGTACGTCCGCCAAGACACGGTCCGCTTGTTGACTTGGCACACATTGCTCACAAAGCCCTGCTGTGATAGACACATTCACGAGACACAAGCTCGACCGGTCGATCCCCGTCGAATCGCTCGTGAAGTGCAAGATGCAGGACAACCTCGAATTCCTGCAGTGGACAAAGAGGTTCTGGGACCAATACTACCCGGGCGGCGACTACGATGCCGTCGGCCGGCGGAAGGGCGGCACGATGCCCGCCGGTGGCGGTGCGGGCCCCCGGGCTGCTAGCGGCGCTGCGAGGCGCCCCGGCGGCACCACCCCAACCACGGGCCCCCGGGCCGGCGGCATCAAGGCGGGCGGTGCGGCGAGCGCCGCCCTGCAGCAAGAGAACAACACGCTGAAGGAGACGGTCGTCGGGCTGGAGCGGGAGCGCGACTTCTACTTCAGCAAGCTGCGCGACATTGAGCTCTTGGTCCAGCAGGCCGTCGAGGAGGACCCCGAGCTCGAGAAGCCCGAAGACGGGCTCGTCAAGCAGATCCAGACCATCCTCTACTCGACCGAGGAGGGCTTCGAGATCCCCGACGCGGCGGAGCCGGTGGTGGACGACCAAGAGACGTTTTAAGGGGCGGCGGGCTCTGGCAGGAGGGGCAGGAGGCACAGAGGTGAGGAGCGAGTGTGGTGGAAGCTATGAGGAGGTAATTATCGGGTCACGGGCACGTCCCCCGAAGAACATGATGCATATGACACGGAGCGCGGTCGGTAACGGCTGAGGGGTCATCTTGGGATGGGTTACCCTCTATACCCCCGCACTGTCTGGTGCCGCGGCGCCGCCACCCTTTGGCTTTTTAGCATAGCCCGCGCACAATTAACTGTCTGTGAGAGCATGATCGAGGGCCGTTGGATTTTATCGTGCTTGATGGCTTTTTTTGAAGCCTAAATTTTGCGGCCGGCAGGTGGTCAAACCCAAACAAATTTCGCAGCGACAACACCAAAAGAAATCCGCGCCGAGACAAGTTCGTAAACCAGAACTCACGAGGCAGGGCTGTCTTGGGGTATGATAGAGGGGAGGTCACAACACGAGCCACCCGTTTGGACACAGCTTAAGGGCTAGGTTATTCAGGCAGTCATGAGGTTGTGGCTACTAAATATGAAGCTCAAGTAGGTACCTATGCCAACAAGCTTACCACTCACACTCAGTCCCAGCTCGGACAATATAACGGACATGACGGGATAGACGGAGGTCACTCTCAGTACGCCACCCCATACGCTCCCTCCAACCCATCCACATCAGATCCCAAGTACAGAATACCTACCTCATTCGCGACCCGGAAGCTTGATCAACCCTATTTCACACACGTCACATCAGCACCGGCAAGCAAGAATTTCACCAAAAAGGGGGGGGGGGGGGGGGAGAGGGGAAAAAAAGACCAAACTCACAGCCATCCGTCTGCTCGCGCACCGTCTCCTTGATGGTGCACTGGTTCGCCACCGCCATGGCCTGCTTGGTAATCGACCCGCAGCCGTCGTAGAAACACTCGGACTTGTCCATCGCCCGCTGCAGCGAGTCGCCCTTCCACCCGAACATGTAGTCGGCGTGCGTCCCGCCCCCCGTGCCCTCGAAGCTCCACACGAAGGGGTTGGGCTGCCCCGATTGCCAGAGTCCGTTGAACTTGGCCGTGTCCCAGACCGTTTCGAAGGCGACTTGGGGCATGCGGACCGGGTGGGAGGCCGGGCAGGCGGGGGCGTTGAGGAAGCCGTCGCTGCGGATCGTGTTGTACATGTGCGACTGGTGGTCGGGGCTGTCGAGGTTCTTGCCGTCCCAGCAGCTGGGGAGGGGGGGAAGAAGGGGGGTTAGTGGGCGTGTTTAGGGAGGGGGGTGGGGAGTGTGGTAAGGGGAGGGTAAAGGGGGAGGGGGAGAAGACGTGAAGGTTTAAACTGACGCGGGGAAATGGTGGGTGGTGAAGATGCCGCTCGAGCATGGGCCGGTGGGGAAGCTGTCCAGCTCGGGACCTCTGTTCTGGCCCTGCAGGCACTGGTAACGGAGGCCGACTTGCGGTTTGCCGCTCACGGTCGGGCTGCCCACGGTCATGCGGAAACCCTACATAATCCTCATTAGAAACCTACGACGGTCGGCCAAAACAACACGAGTGAAGGGGGTTGGTGGGCTACCGGTTTGAAGGCCGTGACCTTCTGCTGTTGGAGGTTATCTCTGATCAGGTCGAACTGGGTGTAGTAGACGGTCAAGCCACCCTGAGCGCCCTGGGAGCCACCCAGCAGGGGCTGAACAGGAAGAACAGGCACGCGGTGATAGGAGCCGTTGGGGTGCTTGAAGTACAAATGGGCGGTCCAGTAGTTCGAGAAGTCCTCAGACATCTGACAGGTTGTGCAGGTGGCTCTCTCACCGACATCCCCTTCCATGGTAGCGTTGAAGGCGTTGCCGCCGACGATGTGGTGGACATGGGCCGCCGGGATGGCGCCTGGCTGGACGACGGGGTCGAGGCGTTGGATAGTCAAGGTCGAGCAGGGGAAGCGGAGGCCGGCCTGAACAGGCGCGATCAGCGCGAGTGCTGCCCAGAGCGTCTTCATGTTCACGGTGTTCCACTGTATCTGGTCTTGGGAAGCGTGGTTCTGGGAGGGACCTGGCAAGAAGAAGACGAAGACCAGAACTCTGCTGCCCCGTTTCTATTCCAGCTTATATATAGTTTTTGCTCCCTGCCCAACTCCCTCTTTCTCGGCATTTAGAGGTTGGAACTACCACGCTTGGAACTTCCATGTGCATGCTGGAAAACCTGAAAGCTTCCCTTCATCTACCGTAGCGAGTCAACGACGAGTTGATAATGAAGGAAGCAGAACGTGAGCGAGAGCACCCACGAATCGGCTGGACTCCGCACCGCTGGGGTCCTTAACCGGTGGTGTGGTTATGCTATATCAGCGACGGCAAATACCACGGCGGCCGTTCGGATGCCGGCAAATGTGGTTTCAAGCTTCGATGCTCTGCGGGAAATAGTACTGCGGCTCGGGAGGGGGCCGAGAGGAGAAGGGATGATCTTATCACGATCCTATCAGCAGTCAAAATACATAGTATAGAACCGGGTCGTTGAGTGAACATTCTGTTCCATTATTAGCATTTACTTGCCAAGAAGACGCCATAGTAGAGTTGCACGCGGCGCACTCGTTGCTCTTCTTGTCCCGGTTTGCGAGATTGGCCAGACCTGGCGATGGCAGTCAGGGTTGGAGCTTATTGCCGCGGTGGGCGGTCACTGTATTATGCACAACCAACTGGTGCACTCATACTGTCGCCAATTACACACAGACTCCGCGGGCTGTTTTTCCCTTCGATCGAGGTGAACGGCCCATGTTGTCGTGACGGGTTGAGACGGCACTCGGCGGCAGAGGTTGGCTGCCGTCAGTGGAGAGCGGGCAAGGGTCTGGATCCAACCGGTCGTTATCGCCCGGCGGCCAATCAGGTTTCGAACCAGCCCGGCAGTCGATGACACCAGCGATCTCGTGCCCAGAACACCGCCAGGCACCAAGCATCATCAAGGTTCCTCCCATCAATCCTCTTTGTTTTTGTGTTTCCCACGCCTCATGAGATACCCCTTCATTCCACTGCGTTTTTGCATTATTCGCTACCATTATACCAGTATCCACTAGCCGTACCCGACCAATTAAGCTCTACTTGTACATACAAAGCAAGGCGACCCGGCCGCCCTCAGCTCAGACCGTCCGAACTCGAAACCGCCGTCCGAAACAGGCCGGCCAGCACCAACGGCCTTTCCCCGTGATTGTCCGTATCCTCAATTACCTCTCCCAACGACGTACTCGAACTCCCGCCATCCAATCCATCAATCCCCAACCCCAATCTCAATCCCGCCACCCCGAAATCCCATCCACCAACCACTAAACCCAAAAGACAACCCACCACCGGCAACCCAACCATGGCGCCACCCCTCGAGATCTCCATCCCCAGCACCTCCATAAACACCCCCGCCGACAACAACAAAACCAAACCCCACACCCTCTACAACATCACCATCCGCCTGCCCCTGCGCTCCTTCGTCGTCCAGAAGCGCTACTCCGACTTCGCCGCCCTGCACCAAGCCCTGACCTCCCTGGTCGGCACCCCGCCGCCCTCCCCGCTGCCCGGAAAGTCCTGGTTCCGCTCGACCGTCGCCTCGCCCGACCTGACCGAGCAGCGCCGCGCGGGGCTCGAGCGCTACCTGCGCGCCGTCGCCGAGCCGCCCGACCGCCGGTGGCGCGACACGCCCGCGTGGCGCGCGTTCCTGAACCTACCTGCGGCTGCGGGGGGCGGTGGCGGTGGGGCGTCGGCGTCCGCCTCGGGGGTGAGCATCGAGGCGCGCGTGCCGGCGATTGGGCTGCGCGATGCGAATCTGGCGGCGGCGAGCGATCCGGCTACGTGGGTGGATCTGAATAAGGAGATGAAGCGGGAGCTGGGCGTGGCGCGCGCGGCGCTGGCAAGGAAGGAGCATGCGACCGCGGACGGGGAGGTGCGGGAGGCTGAGGCCCAGGCGAGGAGGGCGCTGATAAAGGCGGGCAGCCTGATGGGGCCGCTGGAGGAGGGGCTGCGTGTGATGAAGGAGAGTGGGCGGTTGGGCGGCGGGGAGTTTACGCGGAGGAGGGATGCGGTCGAGGCGGCCAAGTATGAGAAGGGGTTGCTGGATCAGCTGGCCGCGGCGTTGGCTACGCGGGGGGGTGCGGGCGGGAGCAAGGAGCAGGGCGAGAGTGATCGGGCGAAGCTGGTGGGCACGCGGAGGCCGGTCGGGCGGACGATTGGCGCGCCGCTGCCGGAGACGGAGGAGACGAGGGAGCTGGACAACGCGGGCGTGCTGCAGCGGCAGAAGGTGGTCACCCAGGAGCAGGACCAGCGGGTGGGCGAGCTGGGCGCCGTGGTCCACCGGCTGAACCAGCTCGGCACGGCCATCAACGACGAGGTCATCTACCAGAACGGGCTGCTGGACCAGGCCAACGACGCGGCCGACAGCCTGGGCCGCAAGCTCGGCGTGGCTAACAGACGCGCCAAGAACCTGTGACGGGTACCGCCGCCTCCCAAAAAGATGGATTGGGATATGGATGCTTCGTCTTCGGTTTCTGCTGGGAGTGGCTCGTCCGGGACGACTCTCGTTGCGGTGGCGGAGGAGAAGATGGAAGAGCAACAAACGGGAGGCGGCGTAATGAACGCCGTGCTGTTGCTGATTGTCAAGTTTATTTTGGCCGGCGTTCAAGGGGCCGTGGTGGTGGAATGGCTCCTCGGGAAGGCGTTGGAGTTCCTAATCTGGGCTGTGGAGTTGGGAATGCTTTTGATCCAGCCTCCAGGTTGATAACTAATGACTCGCTGGGATGCCTTGGGTGTACAATATCGCTGGCAACGGCGTGGAGGTGCTTTGGTTTGCTATACGTTTACGGGGCATGGATACAGCCAGACATGGGTTTCACCTCTATTTGATACATAGCACAGAGCAAATCGGGAATACAGGCTGGCGTTTTCTTCCACTCTATTTTACCTGCCTTTTTCCTACGGTGCTGTCGAAGTCGGTTGAGTTGGTAGTATTAAAACATTAAAACATACCCGGCAAGACATCCTTCAGGTGTGCCAATGTTACACAGGTTTGTCACACCTCTCAAGGTTCTAGACAAGCCGACCGTTTTTCAGTGATACCCAACGTTACCTGAGAAAGATGCACATGAAATGACTGGCTCGTGTACACGCTCCAGGTTGCAACAGTGGGCGGCGCGCAAGGCGGCTCCGGCTGTCTCCCTGCTCCGTCCCAGAAGGAAGCAACGCCGGGGTGACAAGGGCTTTTGCTGGTGAGTTGTCCATCGGCCAATCTTTTGTGTGCCCCTCATTGGAGTGGCTGTGGTGATGGGTGAGCTGGCAGTCTGGCGACGTCACCCCACGATGAGGATGCATTATTTAGTAATTCGTTGCTCGGCAACACGAGCGGTTAACCTCAAGTAAACGCACATCTCAACGCTTCAATTTTAACAAGAAGTCCTCCCCTTGGAAACGAATTGACGCCATGATCATCACCCGCCGAGGTTCTTACCCCCGAAACTCAGCAGAACTTGGCGAAACCCAGCACAAGAGACTTGTCAAGAACAAGGCAGAGAAGGATTGACAACCTCGGGTGGCTCGAGGGTGGCTGGTCGGTGCCAGGTCGGACGAACCGAGGGGCTCATCCCCTCCACCCCACACTGCGAAGCGGAGCCGGAGCCGCGGATTTGCTGGTGGCCAGTGACATTTCAGGGTCCTTTGTTCCGAGTCCGCGATTCGCCGGGCAAGTGGGCCCGTCACAACCTGTCAAAGTGGACAGAACGCAGAACTTCGGTCGGATTGGGTGTCCACAGAGTGCCATCACCAGCCCCTCCATTGAGGAGGTTGGTCGGCGTCTGCGCACTTTTTGTTTTGTAGAGGGGCGATTGCCATTCGCTTGTTTGGTTCCTGGTGACGCGTGTTGAGACGACAAATGACGGATCCGCGGGGAAGAAAGAGGCGGGGTTTGAGGGCAGACCGTTGATTGACGGTTGCGAAATTGTGTTCTGCTGACTCGAGTTTGGTCAATTGAGGTCTTGGGGTCCTGAGGAGAGTGGTTCGATTGTCCCTGATTCAGGGTCCTTTGGCCAGCATGGAACTTCCCTGGACACCGCGTGTTGGTGTTAGGTGCCCCTTTTTGGAGAGCAGCTCTGGCCAGGAACACAGCTCGGGCAGCTTTCTGTGAGAGATCGGGTGGCTAGAATGGATGCATTCCATTGCCAGTGCCAGAGAGGAATGGCAGCCCGTGACAGCGGGAAGGCCCGGCAGAGCTCAGGCGGGATGGGCGGGACGGCTCTGTGCCTCGTTGTCGCTTCCTGGGTTGGCTCGGCTGGTTCGCTGGGCTGCAGATGGGCCGTGCGCCACACCAATTCTTCTGCCGCCGAATGGCCAGAAGCTTGTCGAAAGTAAACAGAACAGGGCCCGTGCCTGCATTTTTCCCTGAGAGGCCACCCGTCGCTTGCGCAAACCTGCGACTTCCAAACTGCCCGAGGAAAACCGTTGCGACTCCAAGAATTCCACATCGCGTTCAAAGTTTCAAAATTGTTCAGCCTACGAGTAATTGACGACAACAACACGAACGACCCACGACACCGATCCTAAAATAAATTGCGGGGCTGGGGAGGACGAACGAGATCAAGGTTTGGACAGACAAGGTCGACGCCACACCGTTTGTCCCGCTTGTCCGACCTCAATTGCCTTTGCTGCTTTTGCTTGCGCGCTTTCGGAGTTTGGTGCCTTGTTTCTCCTTGACAGTGAGCGCTTTTCTCATGTTCAACTCAAACGGTCACGCTTTTGTGTCTGGATCATTCTCGCAGCCCCCAACTAACCCATCTTGCCGTCTAGTTGTCATGACTTTGCAATCCTTATGGCCGCTTTGATACGACACTGAAGTTCGATTCGCCGTCATCCGACCGACTGTCGGCAACCCTCCCTTTAGCCCGACACACTTGGTCTTGGGCCGACTGGCCCCTCACCGACAATGAGCCAGCCACCGCCGCCTCCGCCCCCGCATGGGGAAAACCCGAGGACAACGGCCGGTGGCTCCGGTCTCCCACCCGGGAAATACGACGTCTTCATCATCCCCGAACACTCGGCCGGCTCGGGGTTCCTCTACCTACCCTCCCTAAAGCCACAATGGAACAGCTTCATTGCTGGTGTTGTGAGCACGCTGGCAGTTGTCATCATGTCGAATCTCGCTAGCCCCGTGGTGACGGCCATGTTCAACAGCCCCGACAAAACGTGGCCGTTCCTCTGGGTCACATTGGTGGCATGTATCGGCGCTGCGGCTTTCCTTTTGGGTCGACAGCAGAATGGGTCCTCGGACCAGCAAAATAGACAAGGCAACAATCAGTCGGGAGGCCACCAGGGACCGGGAGGAGGAGGATACGGCAACGGAGCGAGGTCGTCGTGGTACACCCCTCCACCTCAGAATGGTCCCCCACCAAACCAGGGGCCGCCCCCTCACCAGCCGCCGCCTCAACATGAGGGCCCCAGAGACGGCGGCGGACACTACCAGTCCTGGCAAGAACAGCCAAGACAGCAACCACAGCCTGAGGCCCAACCCCGACCGCAGCCGCAGCCGCAGCCGCAGCCGCAACCACAAGCTCAACCCCGGCCCCAACCACCGCCGCAACCGCAGCCCCAGCCTCAGCAGGCTCCACCGCCTCAACCGCAGGCTCCACCACCTCAACCGCAGGCTCAACCCAAACCCGAGCCGAAGCCGAAGCCGAAGTCGAAGCCGAAGCCGAAACCGCAAGAACCGAGGCGGGAGGTACCCAAGGAGGCACCCAAAGAGGCACCCAGAGAGGCGCCGAAAGAGGCACCCAAGGAGGCGCCAAAGCCGAAGCCACAACCACCTCCGGAGCCGAAACAACAACCGCAACCGCCCCCGCCTAGACCGACCTCATCAAAGTCGGAAGCCCCAAGGGGTGCCTGGGAAAAAGCAAGGGAGGAAATGCGGCGAAGAGAAGAAGAGCGCAAGGTCAAGGAGGCCGAGGCCAAGAAAAAGGAGGACACTGCCCGCCGCCTACGCGAACTTCGTGAGCGGGAGGCCAAGGAGCGTGATAAGAGGGAAAGGGAGGCCCGGGAGCGCGATATCAAGGAGAGACTCCGGCAAGAGCAGGAGGCGAGAGAAAGGGAGCGTCTTGAAAGGGAAGTGCGGGAAAAGATTGAGAGGGAGCTCCGCGAGAAGGCAGAGCAGGAGGCCAGGGAGCGCGAGGCGCGCGAGCGAGAAACTAGGGAGCGGGAGGCGAGGCTGAGGGAGGAGCAGCGAAAGAGGGACGAGGAACGGGCCCGCCAAGAGAGGGAGCGCCAGGCTGCCCGAGACCGGGAACGGAAAGAACGCGAAGAGCGCCTTGCCCGACTCCGTCAGGAACAAGCAGAAAGGGAAAGGGAGAGGGAGAGGGAGGAGAGGGAGAGGGAAAGGGAGAGGGAGGAAAGGGAGAGGGAAAGGGAAAGGGAAGAGAGGGAGAGGGAAAGGGAGGAGAGGGAGAGGGAGGAGAAGGAGAGGAACGAACGCAAAGGCACCACTTACGCCTACTCCTCCGTCGGCGAAAAGACCAGCATGTGGCCGAATGGGAAGCCGCCCAGCGTCGCCCCGTCCCAAGCGGCATCCACCCCGCCGCCGTCCAAGCCGACACCCTCTCAATCCCCTCCATCACCAACGAAACCAGCGCCGTCGGCAACGAGACCCGCTCCGTCGGCGACGAAACCCACCCCGTCGGCAACAAAACCTGCTCCACCGCCGCCAAAACCCGCCCCATCCCCCACCAAATCCACCGCCTCGGCGACCGGCACCGAAGACACCTACTCCTACCGCCCCTACGACAAACCCAAGAAGACGCCAGCCCGCAAGACGTCCGTTTCGGACTTTTCCGAAGCCTCCTGGGCCCCGTCCGCCTCAACCGCCCGCACCACTCCGCCGCCCTCCACCCGCGGCCCCTACACCACCAGCGATCCCCAGAAGATCATCATCAAAGCCGTCTACGGCTACCTCAACCAATTCTCCAAAACCCCCGCCTCCCAGCTCATCTCGGGCATCAACCCGGTCACGGACGGCCTCATCCTGCGCGTCACGTCGGCGGGCCTCTTCGTCGACGACGACGTCCGCGGCGTCGCCCAGCGCGAGTGGGACGTCAAGGCCTGGACCCTCAAGCTGGTCGAGATCTGGTGCCCCGTGCACGCCGTCTCGGCCCAGGCCGCCAACACCCCCGGCTCCGCGCCCACCAACCACCCCTTCTTCAAGACCATGCCGCAGGGCGGGCGCCGCGCGGCGGAGCGCGGCGCCACAAAGACCATGCTGGGCGAGGAAGCCGTGGGGTACATCGACGAGTTTGGCCGCGTGTGCGACGGCAACTGCAAGCAGGCCGCCGGCCGCGCTGGCGGTTCGACCGTGAGTGGGGGGAGTGGCAGCAGCACTGAGAAGGGCAAGGGCTTGCATCTGCTGCGGGCTACGATTAGGGATCAGGAGGGCAAGCGCTACCTGTTTGTCATTGATGAGAGCGAGGCCTGGAAGATTGCTGGCGGCTTGGCGGCGCTCCGTGGGAGTAGCCAGGTAAGGGCGCTTGGGGTTGCTGGCTTTAGTGGCTTGGAGTCCAAGACGTTGCTGGATACCCTCGGGTGGACGGCGTGAGTCGTCCTTCTTGGGCCGGGCAGGGGAGCGAATGAAGAGGGGGAGGGGGTGGGCCGCGCCCCGGTGTGATGGGATGGGTTGGGTTGGGTTGGCTTCTCCACTCCACTCGGTGTTTGTGGGAGGTTGTCTCGACGGCCGTCTCCACCTGGCAGCTGTGCCATCGACGACGGCCGGTCATGCCGTGGAGGTGGGATGATCTCCCGCTTGGAATATGCAACTAACTTTCCGGTTATTTTGCTGGTTTTGTTTTCTTTTTTTTTTTTTACACTCTCGCAACGTGCACACACCACAACAGTGTGTTGCAACCACTATAGGGAAGGGCGGAGGTGATGACTGAATGATGGGAGGAAGGTCATGAAAGGGGGGGAAGGGAAGGGGCGTGGGGTTGAACTGCGTGGGGAGATATCCATGTTTTTGTGCGCCATGTTGATGTTTTGTTTTTTCAAGATTGCGTTTCTCATTCTTGTCTTCGATGTTGTCATGTCGTCGCCATCCTATCAGATAACTCACATACCATTGCATGCATGGCATTGCCCGGCGGAGCACAGCACAGCAAGAGATGCATTCGGACGACTGTGGTCGTTGGTATATACGGTAATCACCTGTGAGGTACTACAATACACTCTTTAATACTCCATCTATCACTTCCTGGCACTGTGGTTTGGTTGTGGGCTCGGATCTTGGGTCGATACCCTCACGAAATGATGTCTCTTCAACCACGACATCTTTTGATTAACCTCATGTACGTACTATAATCATTACATCCGCCAACGCCAGCCAGCCAATTCCAGCATCTCAAAACAGAAAGCCACCCAAACCCAGGTATCTTTGCCTTCCCATGGTCCCAATGGTATCCTAACCTACAACCCAACCGTCTACCCATAACCTTACAATACACACCCCGCAACTAAGCCTGTCCCTCCATATCCCCAAGTAAATGCTGCTCTGGACGCCCACCCGGCACGTCACCGTCACCACGGTCGCGTGAATTCATCTCCCTGTCCACCTGCACCTGTTCCTGAAACTGATGACCCCCAAACCCAAGTTTTAACCGCGCCCGTGAAAACCACCCCCTTCTCCCTGCCCTCCCAACACCATCCACACCACCACCAACAACCCCCTTCCCCGCATGCTTCTCATCCCGAAACCCGCCGCCATCAAACGACCGGAGGTATTTCTCAAACAGCCGCGGCACCACAACCCAGCGAATCGCCAAGCGCGCCCCAAAATCCACGACATGGCCCAGGAACGCCCACGCGATGAACGACCAGTCCAACACATCCATCCTCTCCACCCCACCCCCGGGGGCCGGGGACGTCACGCGCGAGAAGGTGTATAGCGCAACAAGCGCGAGGTGCAGAGAGTCCCAGACGAGGCGGACCTCGATGCCGGGGAAGAGGAACATCTGCATGAGGAAGAGGGAGTGCAGGGCCAGCTTGGCGATGACGGCGGCCTGGGCGAGCAGGGCGAGGCGGGAGAACATGGTGGCGCAGATGGCGATGGCGAGGCCGACGCAGCCCGAGGCGACGAGCCCGTCGAGGGCGGTGATGCCGAGGTAGGCGGATACGGGGCTGATTGCTTCGCTGAAGGAGGGGCGGGGTGGGAGAGGGTGGGGAAAGGTTGCTGGTTCTGGGAGGGGAGGGAGGTTAGTTAGGGGAACGAGCGATGGGGGATGAGAAACGAACTAACCTCGTTCGATGACTGTTTGCCAGGTCTCGGGGAGCTGTTGGGCGAGCAGGGTAGGGCCCTCCTTTAATGGCCAAGTGGCACCGTCTGCCCTTCTGGGTGAGCAGGAAGAGATCGTCAAGGGGCAGTCGTAGACCGTCCGTAGGATTCCTCGATGGTGATTCGAGAATGCAGACGCCAGGTTGCCGTCGAGGTAGTTCGTGGTTTGCTTGCTGGCTGTCTCCAGGTCGCGGGACTCATATGAGCGGTCTTCAACCAGTTCGAACGAATTTTCGTAATCTGCTTCGAGGTTGTGATAGTAGAGTTTCCTGACGTTTGTCACGACTCGCCGGACGCGGAATAATGCGCCCGCGTATGTCTTGGGCACGGCACCCAGGCCATCGATATGACCATCCGGCCGGTTACAAAGCTCTGGTTCCAGCTGAATGGCGATGCAATAGGGGCCAGCCTCCGGTGTCGCGAACTCGTCCATTTCATCCTCCTGCCGGTGGACCACAACGGAGTACTGCTCTCCCGAGGAAGTGTCCCGCAGGGTGAAAGTGCAGCTTGAGAACGGGTCGACTTCGCCGGTGCAGACCAAGATAGCCACTTTCCCCCGACTCACGGTATTATTCGGCAGGTATAAATCGTCGTTGATGGATCGGATATTAGTAAATGTTGACCCAAAAGGTAACTTTTGCCGCGAGGGATATAGCGGTAGCCAGCGATCCCGATGATTCTTTGTCGGTTTGTGGCGTGGTCCGTCGATGTTAAAAAGCAGGGACATGGGGATACCATCCATGCTCCGCAAGATGCATGACATGCGATCCGCTGATTTGGTTAGTCGCATGATCGGCTCGGTGTGGAAGCCAAGCAGGCTGGCCATGATGATATGCATGTCTCCCGGCACCGTCGTCGCCCTTTTGCTGAGTTCATTCCAGACTTGTACGAAGAGCGTACAAAAGTCGGGGGCTAACCTTCCCTCGCCCACGGCAGCCCGGCTAGGTTTTACGCCGTTCGCAAAACCTGAGCGGAATTCTTCCCTAAGTGACCGGGTGAGGCTCTTCACTACCGATGTCTCGATTCCGACGCCCATTGTTGAAGTGGTATTTAATAACTGCATGGGTTGGCTTTGCGATTTCCGGAACACCACTCTCCCGATCCAGTCCGCAGGACGAGTAAGAGCCTCCAGCCAAGCGAGCCGCCGTCGTTTGGAAGTTGCAGTAGATGAGGCTAGCCTCTGTTTGGGCTGTGGCGAAAAGCCGTCGAACGTGCCATCGGCGCACTGAACCTCGCACGCAGACGCCAGGGCTGCCTCCTGAAAGGTCCACGACCTCCCCATCCACGGACTCACTGCGAATCTCGCAAATTGTTCGACGCTGTCCGAATCCACCACTGACGTACGCTCCAGCGTCGAGTCCAAAACCAAGATTCGGTCGGCGGCTTCGTAAACAGCGGGTAACTTGTTGATGGCCCGAAGCCGCAGGAAGCCAGCCGATCCACCAGGAGGCATGCACAAGGCGTCAATCCAGAGATAATTCGGCCGGCGTGCCGTCGCCGATTGGAAACCTGTGTCAAGTGAGCTGAGGAGGTTGAAATCAAGGTCCCCGTCCCTGTCCCTGCCTTGTTTCAGGGGTTTTAGCTCGCTGATGTGGGCGTGAAGACGCCGTAATTGGCATTCGGGTAGGGCATTGGTGTGCGCATTGCCAATCCCGTCGGACCACACGTGGGAAACGACAACAAAGCGTGTCTGGGCGGTCATCCTGGCGACTTCCATCCTGACCCCCTTCTTCGAGGATCCTCTTAGTCGAATTAGGGGTATCCCTCCATCCTCGATAATCGCCCGGATCTGATCCATCGGGGCGGCCTTGGGCTGGCAAAGGCAGCCGCGGCGGGCATGCTTGGGGACATAACTGAAAATATCGGCGTTGCTGGCGACGCACTCGTCGTCGGAGCAGCTGCGGTGGCTGAGGCCGGGTGAGTAGGTCCGGAAGAGGCGGGTAAAATAGTAAGCGAGGGCGTAGTTATATTGAGTGAGGACCTTCCGGGCGTAGAATGGGCACCATCCGCGCAGGCGCAACACATCCAGCATCAACTGCGCGCTGGGAGAAATGGTCTGCTTCCCCGGTGCATCTCGCGCCGGCACTATCTCACGGCGCATGCGAGTGGCGGGTGACGGCCACGGCCTGAGAGTCTCATCGATGTCGCCCCGGGCCAAGTCCCACATCACGCCCCTCAGGGTGATGCATAATACCTTGACGGATAGGATGATGGTCGGGATGGGCTTGACATGGCTTTGCGACACCTTGTCAAAATCCTCGGCCAGGCGGATGACGGCGTCGAGGAAGCGGGCATGTTCGTAAAGCACCAGTTTCTTGTCTTCATAATCGTCCGCATCTTCTATCGACAAGCCGTTGCTAGTGATAGCGTGTCCGGCGAGCCATTCGTCGAGGAGCGGGAGCAGGGGCTTCCCTGATACGCTCCGCGAGACCTGGAATTCGCGATAGTCGACCGGCCTGCCAAGAAACTCGGAAACGGTGCCGAAGTAGAGCCACGACTGCGCAAGTGATGCCAAACGCGGTGCGGGCAGGCTGGCCCATTGATCGCCGAAGCCGTGAAGCTTGGGGAAGTCCCAGAAGTCGGAGCCAAAGACAAAGGGAGTGTCGGCGACGAAGGGTATGTCAAGAGCCTCAACGCCAGACGCGGGGTGTGGGAGAAAGTCCATGATCCGTGCTCATTCAGAGCCATCCGAGACGCTTGTGATTGCGGGGTCCAGCCACGGCGCCATGGTTCCAGGTTCGTCCGTTTTGGGCCGGTTCGTTACTCCATCAATTGCGGTTTCCAGGTGGTAAGCTTGTCGAAGGGTGCGTGTGTTGTGGGATTAGTGTGTATTGAAAGCAGGCGCAAAGGAACGAGGAGGGGAAAAAGAAGGGTGAGGTGAAAGCAAAGCAAAGCAAACGGCAAACACCTCGGATCAACCGACAAAGACCGGGGGGGTAACGTAACTGCCCGCCCGGGCTGTCAATTCGAGATCTGTCTGTGCTGCAAGCTGGCCCGTGGCCCTGTCTGTGCCTGTCCCGCACCTGCCTGTCCGCCATGCACCTGCTCCTTCCGAGTTCCTGCCTTCCACCGTACCACGCCCTCGGCGGCACAGCCGTATGGAGTCGCGGCTAAGCGCCCAGTCCCAACTCGGACGAACTGGCTCACAGCCCGGGCGAGGAAGATCTGAGCAGGGACGGGAGCGGGGACTAGTGGGGGCTAAGACTTGGTGTCCGCTCGTCCACCACCAAGGTTACATCTCACTCGCAAACCACTCCCCTTCCTCATTTGGCATTCTGACCTCAGCAATAATTCCACGCACGACATTCAAACGCACGCCATTCAAACGCACGCATGCGCGCCCACAGCCCGTCCAATTCGCCCAAATCCTCTCCCGTCCGGGTCCTGCGGCTGCACGTGCGCCAGCAGAGATAGAGATGGCAGCACCCGGCCCAGAATCTGCCGCTAGTTGACGCGAGGTGCTGCAGGGAGCTGCGCATGCTGTGCCGCTGCTGCACAGGGCGACGTCCCCTCGGTGTGGGTTGCAGGCAATTCGCGATCGTCAACTGCGCCCGTCAGCTTGTGAGCCGTTTCCAGGCAGAACGTGTGGATCGGATGGGGCCGTCGTAATTCAGGTCCGGTCAGCTCTCGCTGCATCGCGACATCGCTGCATCACTCCATCATCCGCGGCAGGTTCGGGCGGGGATCTTGCATATTTCTCCCGGAGCTGATGCTGTTGGTTGATAGGTTGCGGGGGTTGAGTGTCGGTGTTGGTGTGTGTTGGTGAGTTGGGAGTTATTGTTGGCAATTGTGCTTGGCTGCAGGGACGCTGCCAACAGGAAAACCACCTAACCCAACACCAACAGAGCCGGAGATGTCCGATCTTGCTTCATACCGCCGGGCCCCGAGACATGTCGACGTTGTTGATTATGAATCTCGTTGTCTCTCCCGTCTGATGTGATCCCCTTGAGCCATCCCAGTACCTGACATCGCGCGAACTTGGCATCGTCGCATCAGACGACGGCTTTCGGACTCTGCAGCGCTGGGATGGCTCGAGTGGGTCTCACCCACATGTGGACGCTGGAACGAACGACTCCCGCCCTCGAACAAGTACCAAGGACGTACTCGAAACAGAAAATGAAAGAAGTCGGAATCGTAGAATCTAGTAACTACTTCGTAACGCTTGCCCTATGTGGTATAACAACATTATCATCTACCAACAAACCATGGTGCTCGTCAGCCCTCATCCCCCTCTAACCAAACACACCCCAACCCACACTACACTTCCTTCTTCGTACCATCCCATATCCTGAGCGAGCCATGCTCAGACATCAAACCTATTCCAAGCAACCAACCAACCCCATAGCAAACAAATCCACCCCCCGCCAAAAGGAAAGCCACAACCCACACACCCCCATCCCCATCCGCACCCCCCATCCCCAAATAAAACCCCCCTTCACTTCCCCCCGAGCGTCCCGGCCAAGTTCATAGACATGTACGCGTCCGCTCTCCAATCATCCTCATCACCCCCACCACCACCACCACCACCAGCAGCACCACCACCACCACCACCAACCGGCTTTCTCCCAATACCACCACCACCGACACCAGCGCCACGACCGCCACTCCCAGGCCTCAAGTCCCAATCATCCAACGACTCACGCCCATCCACTCCCGGCAGCCGAATCTGCGGCGGCGCCTGCGACGACGATGACGACGACACGGCCACACCAATGCCCGTTCCCGGCCCTGACGAAGAGCCTGGCGGCGGCGGCCTCTCATCGCGGCCGCCGACGAATTGGTCGAAATCGGGCAGCTCAAACCCGTGTATCGCCGGCTCGGCCAGGATGCCGCCGCCGCCGCCGCCGCGGGATGGCGGCGGTGGCGGTTGGTGCTGGGGCTGTTGTGGCGCGTAGGCCGCCCTGGTTGGGGTCTGGTCGTGGTCAAACGGTGCGGCGGCGGCGGCTGGGATCTGGTTGTCGTCGGCGGGCATCTCGACGGGGCCCGGGGTGACGGCGCCAGGGGGCGGCGCGTGCATGCTGTTCATGGTCATGGATCGGTCGTCGTAGCCCGGTTGGTGGTGGTACAGGTGGGGGTGTTCCAGCAGCGCGCGCTGCTCCAGGATGTGCGGGGCGGGCTCGACGTTGCGGAGGGAGCTGTTGGCGCCGCCGCCGTGGCCGGGGAGGGGCCCGCCGCTGGAGCTGCGGAAGCTGCCCAGGCTGGCGCGGTGGGGGTCGTCGAGGATGGGCCCGCCGTGGGTGGATGCTTGATCGCCGGTGGCGGTTGACGGCGGGCCGAAGGGCTCGCGGTTGTCGTCCTTGATGCCGAACTGGGCCACGGTGCGCAGCTTGCGGCTGACCCAGCCTGCGAGGATCTTGCCGCGCTGTTTCTCGCCGAGGCGGCTGCGTGGAAAGTCGCCCTTGTTGACGAAGGCGACGATGTCGACGACGATTTGATGCTCGTTGAGGATGGCATTGACGATGACGGGCACTATGGAAGCGAGGTAGGCTTTGCGTGCGACTTCAACGAGAACCACGATCAAGCCGCCGGCTTGGAAGATTGCACTAGAGACACGGTCAGCTCAAGTCAACGCAAGTTGTTTTGGGCACAGGACTTACCATCCACTCGGTACGATGTTGCGATGGCACCGTTCTACCGAAGCCTCGATATCAATGGGGAAGTGGCTCAAGCCATTGATCTCGAACGTCTCCCCAATGTTGCCCAGCACAAACAGCACCTGCATGTCGACTATCGCGCCGCCAGGCCCAATAGGCCGCCGCACGCTGTGGAGGAACCCGAGATCCCCGGTGCGCACGTACCGGATACTCGGGTCCTCGACCGTCCTCCCGTCGAACCGCTCCACATCAAACGGATCCTGCGACCCGTAGAAGCCCTTCACGCACGCCTCGGAGTCGACCCAAATTTCACCGTACTCGCCCTCCGTGCACAGCTCCCGGCTCTCGGGGTTGACGATGGCAATCTGCGTCGACACCGGTACCATACCCGAGTCTTGGACAAGCAGCGCCTTTGGTTCCCGCTCCTGGTCCGTCACAAAGATGAGCCCGCGCCGCAGCGCCTTGGGGTCCAGCCAGAGTTCCATGGGCTCGATGCACATGTAGGACCGCGAGGCGATCATGGGATTCAATATGTGCGAGTAGACCGTGTTGATGGCCGTGCGGTCGAGGCCCGTTGCCGCAAAGTGCATGCGAACCTTTTGGAATACGTCGACCCGGGGCCGGGCGTCCGCCGAGATCATCATATTCTTCAGTTCGTGCAGAGTGAAACCCTTCCCGGGCATCATGCTCATGGCATGATCCAGCATTTGAGGGGTGGCGTACGTGTCCTTGATCTTGTACCGCGACAGGATCAAAAAGAGCGAAGCCGGGCTCTGGGCGAACTCAACGGGCGAGAGGAGGTAAGTAGGGGTACCGATGTAAATACCCATCAGGCATGTGTGAATGAAGCCCAGGCCAGTCGTGCTCCTCACGCACCCCAAGACCGGACGAGAGCTGGTCATCTGGCAAGTCTCCTTCTGCACCTTGCACATACCGAGGATCGTGTCGTGGCCGAGCTGCACGGCCAGTCGCCGCTGGTCGGGGGTCCAATACGTCCAGATGACAACTGGGTAGCCGGGTTGGATCCAAGCAGGATCCATGGTGATGCCGAGATCTCGCAGGCCGCTGTACTGTTTTGGCGGTTTGCTGGTATTGTATGTGGTGGGGATCGCAACCTTGAGCACCTGCGCGGTTTGCTTAACGTGCTGCGAGACAGATTTTACCTTCAGCAGATGGTCAACGTCCTGATTCACCAGAACGGCCCTCACGCGATACTCCGAGACCAAGTGCAAAAAGGCCGGAACATCCTCCGACAAACGGTTCTGGTCCATGGGCGCAAGGGGGATGACGACGACGCCAAGGTTGATGCAGGCGTGGATAGCAAAGACGAAGTCCTCGGAATGTGTGTACATGAGAACAACATGGTCGCCAGCCCTAAGCTTCACCTTGTTCTTCAAGTAGACGGCGACAGCGGCGACCTTCATGTCGAACTTCTTCCATGTCACACCCTTGCCCTCTTTTCCTCGGCCGTCGATAGTGCAAAACGACAACTCCTCGGGCTGTCTGGCTACACGCCATTGGATGAGGTCGGTGATGCTCGAAAAGTTGTTGAGCGGTGTGGATGTCCTATCGTCGATGACGACCTCCCTACGGTCAATGCCTGAATACTGTTTGTCTGCCGGAGCGAGAAGGTCTCCGCGGGAAAGGGTTGCTATCGGCGACCAGATGCCTCCAACGGGATCAACGCCCACAGGCAAGTTGAGAACGGCGTGCTCGACCGCGAACTTGATGTGGACACATGGGAGGTTACCCTGGTCGAATTCTCTCCTGCACAACATGTTGCCAATCTCACGGCGGCCGTTCTTGAGCACCCTGGGCAGGGCGTTGGGCGCCGTAATCATGACACAATAGACGCGGAGATTGTGCTCTTGCAATAGCACGTCCATACACCTCTCCGCAAGAGAGTCGAGCAGCGCAGTGTCCAGCTGCCGAGGCGGACCTCCATTAGCGGTAGGGGCCGTGGACGCCGCCGGCGATTCGAGCACCACAACCGGGAGGTGTTCTTCGTTGACAAAAACGTCGAATGCGGAGCAATCAAACATCTTTGGCACATTCTTCATGATGCTGACAACAATGTGTTGGACGAAGAAGTAGCGGTGCTCGGCGTTCTCAGGGCCGCCGTCCTCAACCCACTCCACCTTCTGCCGAATTCGGTCCTCATACAGACCGAGAACGAAAATCTTGCCTTCTATGATGGTACCCAGGAGGCCGGTCCTGAGAAACTCGGGCTCGATCGCCGTGGGAGTTGGATCGCCAGGCTCAAACTTGTAGGGCCGGGCGTGGAAGATCTGCTCCGTGTGCTTCGGCAATGCCCAGAAGCCACCGGACAAGGACGGAGAATCGACCCAGATCTCGCCCACCATATTGGGCGAGGCGAGGAGACCATTTTCGGGATCAACAACAGCGAGCGTGGCATCGGGAATCGGATAACCGAAGGCGCCGATACGAATGGTTCCCGGCTCGGTTAGGGCCCGCTTCCCAACCTCGTCCCCGATGGCAACAACCAGCACCTCATTTGTTTTCAGTGCTTCCCTATCGAGAAGGACCTCGCTGAGCTCCATTTTAGCGCGTTCCTCCTTGGCGGTAGTTGTACTTTGTCCAAGCAGGGTCGAGAACCCGTTTGAGGGCGTCGGCTTCTCCTCCTCTTTCTCCTTCTCGTCCTCCGGGGTAGTTTCGGAGCCTAGATCAAGCTTCAGAGGGCAGCCCATGCGCTCTTCACCGCCCAACCAGTCACGGACGCCAATCAGCATGCCGCCGTGTTCGGGCAGGCAAAGCATGGGTGCCACTATCTCCTTTGATCGCGTATTGCGCAGGGGCCGGAACCAACGGTCGGTAAGAAGCTCGTTAAACTCGCTATCGACCGTGAGGGTGTCGACCAGGCAAAGCTTGACGGTTTGGAAGTTGGGGTCCATGCCTTTCTTAAAATTCCTCGTCGCCATCGGATCGGCCTGGTAATTGTAGGCCGCTCGTCTCAGGCCAGGATAGTCTGCAACCATAACTGTGGGCTTATATTTGGTGATGAGGTGGGCATAGAGGCCAGGGACGTCCACGGCCTTGCTCTCCAGCCAGACGGTGGTGTGCCCTCCGTACACGGTCATGAGAACCCCGAGAATCATGCCGATTCCCTGACGTGCATCCAGATAGGACAGCAGAATCTCGCTGCTCGCACCGCCGCCTATCAGACGGCCGTTCTTGTCGCGGAGATTCCTGTTGAACGTGTCGGCGGGCCCATTTCCGGGCGCGGTAGAAATGATGGCGCTGAGGCAGGCCATCTGGTGCATGATGGTCCGGTGACTCAGAACGACTCCCCTCAGATCACCTGTGGGCGCCCGGGAGAACTCAATGTAGGCCAAGTCCGGGACAGATAACGGAGGAACGTCGTCTTTCCGCTTCGGGTGGTAGCTCCCGAACTCGTTTGTCTTCCACCACTCGACTCCCTTTGGCCAATTGAGCTTCTGGGCGGTGATATCGCGCTGGAAGGCCTTGAGGTTGTTGTCGGTTGTCAGCGCCAGATGGGCCTGGGTAGAGGTTAGGATCAGATTCAGCTTCTGGTAGTCCTGTAGCTCGTTTATGGGCACCGCAACCACGCCGGCGATAAAACACCCCAGCAAGGCAATGGCGAAGTCAATGATCTCGGCGTCACGATAGATAAGCGCGACGCGGTCGCCACGGTACAAAGAGCTCTTGTCGCGAATCACTTGCGCCACCTTCTCCGCCCTCATGGCCAACTTGTCCCATGTAACGGATGCAATTTCTTTTCCTTTGCTGTCCAGCACCCAGTATGCTGGAAGTTTCGCCGAGGTACGGCCACGGTGCCTGAGCACGGCCGCGATGTTGTCGAAGTTAGACATGGGGATGGTTTCGTCATGAGGGTCGTGGATGGCAAAGGGGACCTCGCGCGGTTCGAGCGGCGGCTGGAATTGAAGAGCATCGAGCGGCGGCAAATCGTTCGCCGTGAGCATGGGTGGTGCCATAGCCGCCGTAGGGGAAAAGGCATCGCTCGCCGAGTATCGGTGAGGACCTCCATATTCTCCTGGGGCTGCTGGATCGTACGACTGGCCGGCAAAATCCGAGAAGTACGCTTGCGAATCCAGCAGTGTTCCTGTTCTGCTGTCATACAGGTTCTGTTGCGACTGGTCGGCATACCCTAGCTGCTGCTCGGGATTGAAGGCGTAGTCCCCGGATACCATAGTTCCTGAACGACTGGATGGGTCGTTGCCGGATGTTGCGGAAAGAAATAGTGAGTCGTGCTGGCGAATGCTCGGCCGTTGTTCGGCCATTGGACCCCCCGGAGCAAGCAGGGACGCCGGGTGCGACTCGATATTGAGATACGGAGATTGGGCCCGGTATTCGCTTGTCGAACCCACGCTCCCTCGTCGCTGGGTGTCTGCGGCGGAAGAATTCAGGGCCGCGAGCGAGGCGGCACGGTGATCGGAGGGCGGGCCCTCGTAGTCGTCAGGGGAGTGGATGCGTAGGCCGCCCACCTTGAGGGCGGGCATATCCCCAAATCCATACTGCGACATCAACTGGGTGCGCCGCTTCTGGTACCTGTGGAGAGGGGAGATGCATCGTTAGCGCGTTGTTCTCGTCAGCGGGGTAGTACGGTGTTGTGGAATGTCGAGCAGTGTTAACGGGCGCGGGGGATCGGACACTGGACGTGGGGGGCGAGCAGCCATACCCTTTCTGAGTGATGTCGCCCTCCTATAGATAACAACACGTTAGCGAGTCATCCATGAGGCACACAAGAAAGCGACGTATGAGCAAGCCAAACGACGATGCCCCGCCCGAGCTCCCTGCAATAGCCAATCTGTACGGCAACGCCTGCGCGCAGGAAACCAGGCGAGGGTAGAGAAGTGCAGCACGCGTTGACGCACCTCGAGCTCCTTGTCCAGATCCTCGAGCTGCCCCTGCAATTCCGGGCTGAGCGCAGCCATGGTGTCGTCGGTGTTGCGCAGTGGCTTCGGCCGTCGTCGTGGGGAAGAAGCGGGAGGTGCGGAGACGGGAAGGGCCACGGAACACTAAACACTGAAGACTGAAACCCTGCGCAAGTCTGGCGGGTCGTTCACGAGCGGGCAGTCATGCACAATTCCGTTGCCTCGGGCGCCAGATGCCCCCGTCACACCAACCCTTAGTCGCTCGCCAGGAGTAGGCGAGAGTGGTACGAAGTAGTGGTGCGGGTTTCGGTTGTTGGCCGACTGTGTAGGTTGTGACGTAACGTTGGTTGTGGGTGGGATGGAATTTAGCCAGGAGCCCGGAGCAGCATGGTGGAAGTGGTGGTCGCAACGGGCATTGTCGCCAAATGGTACTTCGTCCGCACAGAGGTTCCAGGTTTGGTGGGGCATGTCAGTTACGAGCTCGGACGGGCAGACCCTGCCTGACCTCAAACCCCTGGTTTGGCGCTGCATCCCCGCACATGGCAAGTCCCCACCAAAGGTTACCTCATCAGGCACTGGCGCGCGCTTGATGGACGTCTCAGAACACCATCCATTTCGTACCACACTCATGTGTGCAGGAATAGGTGGTCATTGGTGCGGGGCAATTACGAGGTCAAATACTTCGTATTGAGACTCAAAAAATCCAACAGGTGCAGAGAGGCAACCACAATAATTCCCGTCATTTGCAGTGAGGAAGCGCTTAGCAATAGGTACCCATGAACCGACTCTGTACGTCTGTGCAAGATTGCCGTCGTGGGCACACCTCAACAACCACCACCAACATCAAGGGGTTGTTGTTGACTGTCGCCAGGCCAAAACGGCCCTCTCATCGAGTTGTGTACACCACTTTGGCCCCTTCGTCGCGGGAACCGCTCTTCAAAAATTTACCTAAATCCATCATGTTATCAGTACCCGCCAACCTCAACACCTCAGTTGCCCAAAATCGCGGAGTCGGGCTTTGCCGGGCCACCCCAGGGCAGCTCAGCCCGACCCCGGATTTGCACCGGCGTAGCCAAGTCGGCATGCCCGCATTTGCGCCGGCGAAACAGAGAGCCAATACACAAGAACTCCCGAATGAGTCCAAGTCTTTGTGTGGTTGGCAGTCCCCCGAAAGCGGCTTAGCCTGAATCTCGACCTCCGTCTGGGGCAAACTCATTATGAATCATACCTGATCGCCTATTCATTGAGGAATTACTTGGTAAATATAAGAGGTGGCCTCATGAACAAGGAGAGAAGATCATTATTCTACAACATTGCTCAGTCTCTTCTAAAGTCTTTTGCCATCATTCTCAAATCCCTCCCCACGTCGAAACAGCAGCTCTTAAGAGGTCTCGTGAATCACATCAATATCACAGTAATGGAGGACCCCACCTCAACGAGTCCCGCATCGGCGGCACTGGAATGCCGACTCTGCGATGTATCCTTTGATACCCCCGAGGAAAAGCGGCACCACGCGAAAAGCGAATGGCAGTAAGTTTCCCATCTTTCACGTCTTTCATCGGATATTGTTTTAACATTGACATCAATCTAGTGTGTACAAAATTCGCTGTCGAGTTGCGGAGCCTGGGACTGTTATCACCCCGCCAAACAGTGCGCCTATCAAATCGTCAACTGGCCGCACAAAACAAGCCTGGAAGTCAACATCAAGATCCGAATCACCAGTCGCCGATGAGGAGAGTTACGATGAAGAATCAGAAAATGACACATCCTCCGACAACGATACGGTTGAATTTGTCGCTGAGGAATGCCTTTTCTGCAACCAGACCAGCAAGGACTTGGACGAGAACCTGTCACACATGCACCAAGCCCACAGCCTGGTCATACCCTTCCAATCCTCATTAGTGGTGGATCTCCAGACGTTAATTTGGTTCCTTCACATGGTCATCTTCAGCTACCGGGAATGCATCTGCTGTGGGAAGCGCCGCCGGACGATTGAGGCCGTGCAGCAACACATGGCGTCAATGGGCCACTGTCGATTCGACGTGACGGAGGAGATGGCTGGTTTCTACGATATGGAATCGCTCGGCCAACAAAGCGCAGAGGGCCGGAACCATCCCGACGATCGTACGCTCAGGTTACCATCCGGGAAGCTCCTCGGTCACCGCTCCTACGTCGAACCCACCTCAAAGAGCAGACCACGAGAAGAGAAGCCGATTGCCGGGCTTCCCGATGGCCCAGCTCCTCTACCGACTCCCCAGCAAACCAGCGCGGATGCTGAACCTCAAGCACTTACCAAGAGAGATCGGAAAGAGCAAGCGCTTACAACGCAATTCGCTCAACTGCGCACTGGGGATCAGATGAGTCTCGCGCACCTGCCACAATCCCAGCAGCGATCGCTTCTCCTGGCACGCAAGAAGGAACTGGATAATGTAAAGCGTGCAGAGAGACGGAAGCGCGGCCGACTGGATAGGGTGGGAAACAAGACGGCCATTCATACAAACTATTACAAACAGGAGGTCCCGGTGTACATGGGCGGCTAGATGGCACTTTTAGTACAATCAATACCCGAGTCGATTGTGACCTTTTGCATACCTATTCTGGCATCTTCGTGGACAACCGTTTGGTGACACGGGCATTCTCCACCATTTCATGGTTACCAGTTGTTACGCTCTCAACACCCGCAACGCCATGTATCCATGGATGTCAATACACGGCGTAAATTTCGGCCCCAGAGAGAGACCGATCCGGATTTCAACAAACCTGGAAGTGGAACCGGAACGTGGGAAACCCCCCGACCGAAAAGACCTCCAGCCAAAAATGTTCCACACGCAAAATTTCAACATGCATCCACACATTTTCTGAGACCTTCATTTCAGCCTTCGAGGCAGAGGTTCTCAGAGGTTGTTTTCGAAGGTGGCGACGGAAAACTCAGTGAACCAAGCAACGGTCTCGGCTGCAATAATTGCGCTCTCATTTGTGTCCTGTTTCGAAGGCAGGATCTGCTAATGTTACGATGACCAACCTCGGACAGCATCCCACGTTGCTGTTCTTCGTCCGGTAAGCAAGAGTCGCTCTCTCTCGCCCATCGCCTGGTAAGTTATCTCCCGTTATTTTCCGTCGTCTTTTCGACCGCCGCAGCCTACGTGATGAAATGAACGCAATTTCACAGACCTGTTCTGAACCTTCTTGTGTTGAGACCACGCTTTCTCGACTGATTCTGGGCCATCATTTGCACACTCGCTTCCACTACGACTCGCTTGTTCAGATGCTGATTAGTCTCCAGGTCATAACTATCATTCCCAACCCGGCTCCAAACTAGGAAGCGCTAGTCTTTGTCTCTATTCAAGCTTAATTTAAGCATACTATACTATACTGAAACTCAGTCCGCTTGTCCTGAATGCCGCTTTGTCTCCCTTTTGTACCAGTGCCAAAAATACTCGGCGAGTCTTGTTTCCGTCACAATGGCTTTACCGCTCCTCAACGCCATTGTTTCTCGGGTATCTTGCGTGGACGAGTGCCATGCCATTGTTCGAGGATGTGGAGAGGAGGAACCGTATATAAGGGCCTGATCCACCTGAACAACCCGCTTGTGTTGATGTTGTCCGTGTACTTCTTGACCCAACCCATACGTTCTCTTTACACTTTTGTAGAGTAGTTCAGCAGAGCTGCTACTTGTTTTTCTTTTTTAATACAAGATCATTCCCCCCTTTACCGAACATCCGGAATACCCAAGCACACCAATCCATCCGCAACGATCCCATCCTGCGATGGCTCAGAACAACGACAATAATAATAACAACAATAATAACAACAAGAACAACAACAACAACAACAACAATATGGCCGAGGTATACGACGACCCGAACATGGGTGGCCATTCCCAAGAGGAAGAAGATGCCAACCTCATGTTACCCTCTGCACTTGTCCAGCAATATCTCGACCAGGGCGAGCATGCCGACAATGGGGATCCCGACGACGGAGATAATGACAACAAAGTTGTCGACGGATATCTCAAAAACGAATATCCCGGCAGTGAGGATATCCACAACCAAGCCTCCAGTGACAAAGATGTCGACTTCAACGAAATCGACTTTGGATTTGACGCTGGGGACACTATATTTCCGTCGTCTCCGGACTCGGACCCGGGTGAAGGACTTAAAGAAGACGATGATCTGTTTGGCGACTTAGCCAAGACCTATCTCGCTTCTCAACAAGAGCCTGGTCCTGCGGCTCCCGGTACCATGTCCGCTCTTACTCTTCCGCAGACTGACCCCGTCGTAGCTGCCTCCCACCCTCCCCAGGCGCCAGAACCTGCAGTACCCGAGCCCGCCTTCAACCTCGCCGCAATCGACCCTGCGATCACCGGCGAGGTTCCCAGTACCGCCCAAGCGCCAACGCCGGCGGGAGTGCCCGACCCGCAACCACATCACGGTCTACCCGAAATCCCGACGACCCCGAACACTCGGGATTTCGTCCCACCTCAGAATGAGATTTCGGGACCTGCTCTCGCGGCCTCAACCACCAACCTTTATTATCCTGATGACCTTGAGGATTTCGTCCCCGGGATGGGGAACCGGAACCAGGGCCAATACCCTCTTGGCCCCCTTCAAGCTCAAGGCAACGGTACTAGCCAAGCGCCGATAGGGCAGGGAGGCTACAGCAACCAATACCAGTACCGAAAGCAACCATATGGTAACTCGGCGTACCCTATGCCGCCAGCCCAACCCAGCGGTGGGCAGTATGGCATGTACCCAAACATGCAGACGCAGCGGCAGTTCACACCGTCAAGGGTTGTACCATATGGGCAGCGCACCGGGCCACAGAACCCCGGCTATGGGGCTCAGATGCCTCAGCACATGCCCGGACCGATGAATATGACAGGGCAAGGCTATCCGATGCCTTCTACGCAGGGTTCCGGGCGTTTGCCTGCCTACGGCCCCCAAGGCCCCGGGCCTAACCAGGCAGCCTACGCACGACCCAATCTGCCAGGAACACAGGCCCATCCTCACCCGCTTAACCGTGGTAGGATGAGCCATAGAAGGAGCCGTAGGGCGTCACCCAGCAACGACCCTTCCCAGTTCTACGGCAGGCCCGCAAATCTGCGTGCGTGGGGTCCGCTGGTGACGGGCCACAGAGAACCGGAGAACTTGTTTCGATACTACCAACACTTTGCCGAGCTGAGGCCTTCGCTGACGTTCAACAGGGAGCAGCTCATAACTTTCTTTCTGGGGAACGGGCATCCCAATCCCCGGCGGAGCCTGACGCTGTGGGTTCAGAACGTGGCAGCCCAGTCGAACGCTCGGTACCCGAATGGGGGTGCCTCGACCAAATGCCGATACAAGAATTGCCCGGCGTCACAAAAGACCATCATGAAGGGCTTCTTTCGCGTGGCGTTTGACGAATACTCGGACCTGACTGGCAACACGCTCGACCCGATGCACAACGCGGGCTACATGCACCTACACTGCTTCGAGTCGCTATTTGACCTGGGCTATCTTATCCATCACGGCGCCGCTCGCCTAGGGTTCAGGGTCCTTCCCGACAAGCGCATCTTCAACCACGAGTCCAGGAACTGCGCATCCATCATCCGGGATCATGGCGAAATGAGCAGGACGTACGACGAATGGGTCGAGGGGCAACGGCTCCGGGCTGGCCATATCGAGGACATGAATGCAAGAAGCGAGGTCGGCCAGCAGTATAGCGGACTTAAGCCTTCACCCCAAATGATCCTTCCCCATTCTCAGCGCCTCGGATGCAAGCTCGTCGAGAAGCACCTTGCCCTTCAAGTCAGGGGTCGGGCGGCAACGCGGGACAACCGCGGTGGCCCTCACCTTGGGGTCCACAGGGGCGATTTGGACCTGCTCATGCAGCTGAAGCGTCAACGCAACAACGGGGGTGCTCTGGTACCCCAACCGGCCGCCACGCAGGCGCCAGCTGGTCAAGGTAAAAAGCGGGCCCACGACGACAGCGACGACGAAGACGACTACGACAGCGACTCGGACTGCTACGAGGTCAACGGCCCACCGTCCGACTCGAGACGGCCTAGGCAGCGACGGCGGTACGATAACAGCACCCTGGAGTCCTCAAACTCCAGCGACCCCAACCAGGTATACGGCGAGCCCGCGACCAAGGGGGGGAGGAAACGTGGCATCGACGATGTCGAAGACTCCTCCACGTTGCCCAACAACCACAACAAGCGAGCCAAGCAGTCCTACGAGACGCCTGCGTACCCCACCCCGGACAGCCAAAGCGCCGGGTACGACCTGTGGCTCGACCCCCAGTCCGCGTTCGAGGACAGCATCAACGTGGCCTTTGGCGACGAGGACCTCTACGGCGTCTCCGAAAACGACGACAAGGACGACGACAACAACGACAACGACGGCACCTACAAGCCCCCGCGGCAGCATCAGCATCAGCATCAGCCCAACCAAGCCTACCCCACCCCACCCCACACCACCACCACCAACAACAACAACAACAACAACACCTTCACGCTCGCGGACGGCGCACACACGCGCTCGCAAACCCGCGACGCAGGCTCCATCGTAGACGAGCTCGCGGCACAAACCCACCTGACGCGCTCCTCAGCCCACGCGATCCAGTCGCGGCTCGGGCAGCAGCCGGCACACGTGCGGGCGCGGGTGCTGGCGGCGGTGCCGCGCGAGTACGCCGCCTTGGTGCTGCCGCCGGGGGGCGAGGTGTATAACGACCGGTTGGCGGAGCGGATTGGGGGTTTGGATTCCGGTCAGCGGAGGGGGGTGGAGGATGCGGTGGCGCGGCAGGAGATGAGGGGGAAGGTTACGGTGGGGGGGAGGAGGAAGTTGCAGAGTATGTGAGTGGCTTGTTGCGTGCTGCTTGCTGCTTGCTGCTTGCTGCTGGGTGGGCTATTATTATTATTGGGGGGATGGATTATGAATGAGTTATGATGAAGAATGGGGGATACCTGGACCTGGACCGGGACCGGGACCTGGACTTGGGTTTGTATGAGGTAGGAGTTTTCTCTTACTCTTACTCTTTGAGCGTTTGTTTGGCTGGGGAAAAGCGAGGGATTCGCTTGTTTTTTTAACATGCATTGCATGAGTAGATGCATGGGTAGAGAGCGAGGCGTCCGGATGCATTTAGAGCCCGACCTAGATGGTTGTGGGATACTTTATTGTTGAGAATATATGTGATCAACAGAATATAATTACTATCTTGAGAAACAGTCTAATAAAACGTGCAGCGAGTATTGCCATGAACTCTGTGTCTGTTGTGTTTATGTGTGTCTTGGTAGAGTGTTATTGTCAAACTGCTAAACTGAGAGTTTTCGTTGACGTCTCCATGAACCAAGGAAGCTGACTAGGTTCTTTAACAGCAACTTGAGTATCAACTTGCATGTTCTAGATATGAAATGTCCATCATTAGATAAACCGCCGGAGAAAAGAACCGTCATGTCGTTCCAGTCGGTCCCCCCGGGCCTCGATTATGCAGTTACCCAACCAATCGGGAACGCCGTTGGCAACGGCGCATGCAACACAAACCAGCCAAGGACCCGACTGTTGAGATCGGGTCGTCCGAGTAGTTTATCGCTGATGGCTCCTTCGGACGAACACAACACCAATGTTTGCGCAGACAACTCACCATATGTACTCCATAGTGCCTCGGCACCTAGGTAAAGTGGAAAAAAGTATCCAGGTGGTCTGCAGTACCTACCTTAGTGCAAAAGGCAACCACTCGGTCACCACAGCCTCCCCAGCATCGACTTCCGTGATTTGGCCGAGGTCCATCCTCCGAGCAGCATCGGCCGGCGGCAACTCCGAAGGATGTGGGTTTCCGGCGACGGGAGGAGGGCAGGTCCTTGTGCGAGGCAGGCATTCCTACATTCTGCCCTCGCACCCGTTACCAACGCAACCACTTGATGCCTTCGGAAACCAAAAAGCGGTAGGCAGCTTTTATCCTTGCACCATGGTGCCATGCAATAAGTAAAGGAGGTCGGGGTTGTTGATCTCATGCGGGAGTTCGCCATGGTTCTTGAAAGAAGTCGATCCCAAGAGAAAACCTGAAGGAAGGCGCGTCCATTTTGAATGGATGCCCCCATACTAGCAACTTCCCCAGCAAGAATATTTAAGGATGCTCCAATACCACTCAGTTGTGATAACCATTACATCGTACTTCAAGAACTCAGCTTAAACAGAAAGATAAACTCTTTCGGGCCTTTCCTTTTCTCGAACCAAAGCAGCAATTGCCTGTTTCTCCTTTCCCTGCGACGCCAAGACAGCGGGTCGCGTGCCCTGACGACATTTTACACTCTTGACCGCGGGCCACACCAGCAGCTCTTGCGCTCCAGGGAGTCGACAAGCTTTGCCGTTGCCTTGCAGCAACTGGAACCCGGAGTGGTTGGACAAAAGAAGAAGGCATGCAGCAAAGAAAAGCCGTCCGCGCTTTGACTGCCCGTCTTAGAATGCGGGCTTTCAATACGTAAGGTACCTTATATAGAACAAGCACTTTCCCGCCCCCATAACACTGGAACTCGACGCGGAGGTATTCATCTCAGGTCGCTCCATCCCCCCGCCGACTCAAGTATCGGACGCCGACATCAACAAGGCCATTCATTGAGCGCGGCCCGGAACGAAGCTCATTTGTCGGGACCGCACTCATCCCGGCTCCCTGCAGTTGTGCAGGGTGACCCTGCATTCCCGTTCGTCGGCCACGCTCGAGGCTGAGCCCCGATCGGATTCCTGCTTTGGCCTTTTTCGACAACTACGAAGTACCATCACACAGATCTGACGGCATCCCTTCCCAAGTTACACGACAGCATCATTCGACTCGCTTGTCGTGAGACCACAACTATCCGCCCCTGGGACTCGCTGCAGGATTACCGACATACCTCCCGTCAGCGCCCCCTAGTATTCGGCTTCTCAACCAGTCATCGTCACCCCCATTTCCGACAAAACTGTTAGCGAAAAAGGTGTGATGGGGGGAGGCTCTAACGGAGCAACGCTTGGCGAGGCGGCCGCTGCTGCTGCGACAGGCGAGACGGTTGGCGATGCGCCTGCACTGTCACCTTTACGCACGCCTGCGCTGCAGGTCATTGTCTTGGTGAGTTGACTTTTTTGCATTCTCACGCACTCACATCTATCTGCCCCACGTTTTGCATTTCGACGACTAGCGACTATTTGATACCTTGAGTAGGTAACAAGCACATTTCCTTCTCTACAGCCGCGTTGGGCCGAGAATATCACCCCATCGGTCAAGTGTCCGCCGTGGAACTGGTGCTGGCGACATTGTCAGCCCGGGATGGTGGAGCCGGGCCGGAGCCGGTAATCTCGGGCCAGCATCGATACACGGTGCCGGTGCCCGATGCCGCACTAAGCCCAGAATTCCGCTTGTCTTTCTTTTTCCCTCCTCTCTTAGACCCCCACTTCTTTGTTTAGCTTTCTTCGACGAGCTGCATGGAACAAAGCGCTTCCCTGAACAGAAGCGTGGCGTCCGCGGAGTACCCCGGAAACCAGCTGCCGCTGCTTTGTCTCTCCCAGGCCTGGGGCCGACATGACGTCTGCGAAAGTTTCCTTGTTCTTCCTGCGGCCAGTGCCCCCAGAGAAAAAGCCCAGAACCATCTTTCCGTGCTAAACTTCCAAGTTGAAGTTGTAGCAGCAGCACAAAGGCTCTATCGGGGTGACACACTGCGCTCGTCATCATTTCCGCCATAGATGCCTGAGGCGGCCTACCTAAGGAGTGGTTGTGTGCCAACCCAGTGGTTGGTCTGCCAGCCGAAGCTGGAGACTCTCCTACCTTAGACTATCTACAAACCTCATAGCGGCGTACTCGTTACAGATCGGCTAACTTGTCTCCAGGGCGCTGGTGGAGGACCTTTAGAGAATAATGTAACCGCCTTTCTTGTGCGTTCAGTTGCGACGGGTTGGGCTAAGGGCTCGCTTGTTGCTGTTGACGCCGGTGTTCATCTCAGCGCCATCAAAACGATTTTGGAGCAGACGCAGCCGGCAAGTCTGGGGCAGCCTGATGGCCCGCCACTCCCTCATACGCTTACCACAGGCCCGTTCGCTGGGCTCGAGGTTCACAATACCACAGCAGAAGCAAACGCTGCGCAAATCCACAAAAGTTTGATAGAAACATATCTGATCACCCACCCTCATCTCGACCACATCGCCGGGTTTGTCATAAACACGGCCGGCTTGCCGGGCTCCCGGCCCAAACGGGTGGCGGGCTTGCCAAGCACCATCACTGCGCTGAAGACGCACGTCTTCAACAATGTAATATGGCCAAACCTTAGCGACGAAAACAACGGCGCCGGGTTAGTGACGTACATGCGCCTAGTTGAGGGTGGCTCCCCCGCCCTTGGCGAGGGGGAAGGAAGAGGCTACCTTGAGGTTTGCGGCGGCCTCGCCGTCAAAGTATGGAGCGTCAGTCACGGACACTGCATCGAAAGGCACAGCCATCGCGGCAGTAGCAGCACCCGCCACGGCAGCTTCGACGCATCTTCAACAGGGCTTGGGCCTGTGCAGAGCATGCCATCTCCTTCTCGCAACCTCCCGCCGCACACATCCCTACCCACCAACATTGGCGCTATCCTGCAGCAACACGAACGCCTACAAGCTTCCCCCGGTGGAAGGCGCGGCAGTTCGTTTTCGGTAGGGCCACCGGTCGACGAGTCGGTCTGTGTATACGACAGCTCAGTCTACTTCGTTCGAGACATACCCACGGGTCGTGAGATCCTCATGTTTGGCGACGTCGAGCCGGACAGCATCAGTTTGTCACCACGCAACAGGCAGGTCTGGCAGGAGGCGGCGCCAAAAGTCGCCGCCGGCAACCTCGCCGCCATCTTCATCGAGTGTAGCTACGACGACTCGCGGAGCGTGGAACGTCTGTTCGGACATCTCACACCGCGCTTCATCTACGAGGAGATGACCGCCCTCGCGGAAGAGGTCGTGGCTGCGCGGCAAGCCAAAAACAGGACCGCCAGCACCAGCGGCGGCGACAAAAAACGCAAGCGCGTCGTCAGCGACGCCGCGTCCCAGGCTAAGCGCAAAAGCACCTCGCAGCCAGGAACCCCTCGCCACATCGACACCCCCCTCTCCCCGCGGAGCCTCGATCCCCGCCGCGGCATCCACTCCACCGCCAGCTCCGTATCAGGCACCTCAAGCCTCGATCACAGCCAGGACCTCCTCCTGCCCAAAACCCCCGTCCCGCTCCCCGCCCACCCCCTCCGCAGCACCACCACCGCCGAGTCCAGCCCCCAATCCACCAACAACCACGAAGAAGACGACCAACAACCACCAGACCACCCCGACCACCCACCCGACCTATCCCCGCTCACCATCCCCGCCCCCCACCTCCCACCACCCCCACCAACCCAAGGCCAGGAGCGGGAGCAGGACCAGCCCTCGGAAAGGGACGGCCCCTCAACAGAGGAGGACCCTGCCCCTCTTGCCCCCCTCCCCCTCTCCACCACTTCGACGACGTCGTCCCCCTCCCTGCGGAATGCGCTGCGCGGCCTGACCGTCGTCGTCATGCACGTCAAGGAGACCATGGTGGACGGGCCGCTGCCGGGGGATGTCATACTGGAGGAGCTGTGGGAGCATGAGCGGGCTGGGGGGCTGGGGGTCGAGTTTGTGGTGAGTCGGGCGGGGGCGGGGTATTTGTTTTAGTGGTTTGTTTTTTTTGGTTTTCTATTTGGGTTATTTTGGTTCTTCTTTTCTTCTTCCCCCTTTGATGGGTGGGGGGCTGGGTTTTGGTGGTTGCTGGGTTGCGGTTGGGTTGGCGGTTGCGGTTGGGGATAAGAAAGGGGTTGTTTATATTCTGGCGTGGGAGGGGATGGCGTTGGGAGTGGGCGATGTCCGGTGGTGGGTTACCTGACGGGGTAGTGGGAATGTGTATAAACCCGGGGTGAGGTTGTATAGAATTACCGTTGGAGGTACCAGGGTGTTCAATACCAGTGTGCTAAATAGGTAGTTTTAATAGCAACGGAGTTATGAAGTACTACGCCCTGTTCTCTTGCTGAGAGTCTAAGTTCAAATGGTTCATGGTTTCGGAACGGTATTTTCTACTCTTACTTGCGCCGTCTGTTTCAAGCTACCTCTTCAGATGAAAGGATGTCATCATGGCTACGACTACCATCCAACCTTCCCCGGTTCATTTTACCCCTAAAACTCCAATATAGAGAGAGCCCTTTGATAAATCATCACACATTACTACCGTTGTCTATCCCAAGTTCTACCGTCTATAACGTGGCTAACAAGCAACGTGACTCGGCCTTTCCGTAGCCTACCCTAATTGGGTATATCCTTGCTCTCCAACTTCTTCGCGCCCTCCATACCACCCAAATCCTTCTCAAAGTCCGGCCGTGGTAGCTCATATGCTTCCGTCTGTCGACCATATGTGATCCCCCCCAACCTGCTGATCGGCCGTAGCACCTACAACACACACAAGTCAGCATCACCCCCTATCTCTCACAGCTCAGACTTCAAACTCACCTTCGCGTCAATGATATTCCTCTCCTCATTCACCGCATCCTCCCTAGCCCAAAACCGCGTCCCCTCAATCACCGCCAGCGTAGCCGTCACCTTCCCGGGCGTCGAACGGCTCTCAAACTCCCTCACACTCTCCAACTTGCCCTCAATCGAGAACACCGCCTCCTTCACCCGCGCACAGCCAACCGTCTCACAGTCATAAACAGGCGTCAGCCCGCTGACGGCCCACTCGCTCACACCGTAGGGCGCGTTGACGCTGGTGCTGTTGGCGGCCTCGACGAAGCCCTCGCTGATCATGTTGATGACGCACTCGCGCCGTTCGTGCAGGTTGCGCAGCGAGTCCTTGGCGCGCCCGGCCTCGAGCGCCGAGGCGAAGCCGACCACGAAGAGCGGCGGGTCGTGGCCGATGAGTTGGAAGTAGCTGAACACGGCGAGGTTGGTTGTGGATCCGTCGGCGGATCGGGTGGATAGGAAGGCGATGGGCCGTGGCACGATGGCGGAGATCAGGAGCTTGTAGTTGAACCCGGCGGGGCGGTCCGCTTCGTACGGGTCGATTGCGATGTGCTTCTTCGCGGCGTCGGATGGGTCGGTGGTGGAGTTGGCGCCGGAGCCGAACCGCCAGTTGGGGTCCGGGGTTTGGGTGTAAGTGAGGGTGGTGGAGGGGTCGAAGGGTGGGCGGGATGCTTCGACTTTCTTGAAGTCGGGGTGCGGGTTGCGCTGGATCGACTTCTCCCACGCGGCGGTCTTTTCGGCTGCCATCTTGGCTGGTGTTGGGCTGTTTGCTAGGCAGTAGTTACAGATTTTGAAGTTGGTATTGGAGTTGGTGCTGAGAGTTAAAGAAGGTCCCCTAGTCGGGGGCGCATAAAGTAAATATTGGTGTCGAGACTCGGAGTGCCCCGGCCATACACAGTAGGGGCGAAAGGCCGAAGGTGGGGGAGGGGCAACCCGCCGGGAGAGCGCTTGCCGTCGGGTAACGGATTGCGGAACGGCTGCCGGGTGTGGGCTCGGGTTAGCACAGGTGACCCACGGCGCCACGGAAGAAGATAATTGGAGAATGAGGGTTTACTTGACTCAATACCAGCAATCCCCCACCAGAAACGCAGCACCATCCGAAACCCTCGGCCTTTCCCGAGCCGCCGGGGCCGGGTCGTCGACGCAAGATATGCCAAGGCCGGCCTTCCACCCGGCCTCAATTGCCGCTCGTGCGTGGTTCGAACTTCGGCATCGTACGGCAAGGCCCGGCGCTGGGATCGGGCATCTTATCTCGGAAACAAGCACTTCCAAGCCAGCTTGGCGATGAGATGCATGTGATGCTACGTAGATTTCTTTGATCTAGTACTGTTAAGTAAATAACCAAGTCAACAATGGAACCAAATACCTAAAGGTTTTATTCCTTTTTGAGATGGAAGATGGCTTAAATCATTTGCAGCTTAGTTATGAGAATTCCACTCAAGTCTCTATCAAGCCCTCGCAACGGATGAGTTGATCCCGGACATTAGACTTTACCCCAAGGCAAGGGTTATTCTCGAATAGATTAACCAGCGAGTGAAGCAGCATGCCATCACCCCTCAGGAGCTCAAATCTTCCTCGAATGAGGTGCAGATCTCCATAACCAACGTTCCCTTCCCGGTTACGATGGCCTGTTATATAACGTGCTCTCTATGGCACCTCATCGCCTTCGCGCACCTGGCAGTCTCCCTCGAGGACTCCCATCTCCAGGACTTTGACATTCGGGTCCGTCAAAATCAACCACAATGACGGCCCTCACCGCCTACCTCGCAGCCTTGCTGCTGGCTCCTACCCTCCCCGCCGTGTTGGCCAAGCACATCATGATCCCAAACACGTCCTTCAACTCCCAATCCGACTTCGACACGGACTGGAAGTACCTGTACCCCTGGGGCAGCGACCACAACGGCGCGGCGCGCATGACCCAGTCGCAGGCGACGCTGGCGGACGGCGCGCTGACGCTGACGGCGCGGCGGGCGGAGGGGGAGAAGCCGGCGTCGCACGGGGGCAAGCAGATCCCGATCCGCTACCTGTCCGGGGCGGTGCACGCCAAGGAGCACTTCAACGTGTCGCCCGGGGGCGGGTACGACTTCGCGGGCGAGTTCCGCGCCACCACGGGCCGCGGCACCTGGCCCGCCTTCTGGCTGACCGCCGTCGAGGGCTGGCCCCCCGAGGTCGACATGGCCGAGTGGAAGGGCAGCGGCAAGATCTCCTTCAACACCTTCAACACCTCCTCCGAGGTCCGGGCCCGCGATGTGTCCTATCCGAGCCCCGGGGAGTTTCACAAGATCCTGTGCGAGGTGAGGGACGCTAATGGGCGGGACGTGAGTGTCAAGTTCTCCATGGACGGGCAGGTGATTGAGACGCAATATGGGCGGGGGTACGTGGGGAAGGCGTTGTATCTGTGAGTTTTATTTTCAGTTTCGTCGAAGGGGGGTGATGGGTTCGAATACGAGGATGAGAAGCTGACGATAACGACAGGATCATCAACCTCCAGATGGAAGGCTCCTCGGGATCGCCAGGACCGGAATCAGGTGAGTCTGCGTTTGAGGAAACAGCGCCTGAGCCACACTTTAGCTGACAACCCATTCTTTGATCATAGACACATTGTTTCAAGCCCGGAACCTCGAGGTGTGGAGTTACAACGAATGACGTGGGTTTGCGAGGGGGGTGAAGGTCTCAAATCGTCATCTTGTTGATTCTCGAGTGACTGTTTCTATAAGAGATATAAAATGAAAACGGGTTGCTAAGACCGGGTTCCTGAACGTTAAGTCGCATGGAATCTACATACCGATGTTCGTATCTCCTGTGAAAAGGGCAGTCGCCCAAGTGTCACTTTTAAGAGCCGAGCTCAGCCGGATCAACTGCCACACTGCATGACCACGTTGCTCTTGTTAACCGTGCCTCAGCTGTGACACACAAGGCCCTTTTCACTTCTTACTCAGAACCTTTCTGGATTGCCCGTCCCGCGCTTGCCAGGTCAAGGTCAGAATCATCAGATCATTTCCCGCGCAATTCCCAATGCCCAGCTTCTGAAAGCAGCCGGCTTTGCTCAAGCGATCCGTGCGACGTGACACTTGGACGGGGCCGCAGTTCCGTACAGCCCCGCAGCGCAAAATTTGCGACCCGATGAATGAATGCCGTTTGGGGGCCAGGCTCGTGGCGGCGTTGCAGTGCCCGCTGTCAAAACCACGTTGAGGTTTTTTCATCAAACTTTTTACTAGCATTGACCTCCAGGTTTCTTCTCGATTCGATCGAAAACTCAGGGTCGCGGCACCACAACCCAACTTGCCCGTTCAGGTTGAGGAGGTTGCAGATGCGAGGAGAAGTGAAACGAACCTTGGCAGTGCGCGGACCTGTTAACCAATCAGAAGCCGCTCCTTGACGCCATGCGCCTCAGGGCTCGCGCGCTAATTATGGAGTGGGCGAAGTTGAATTGGGAAGCATTGGATGGAAGCCACCAACTGCTGCAACTTGCAGTGCCCATCAGTGGGTGGGCAGCGCGGGCAGCGGCAACACGAACAGTCAACAACAGAAGAGTCGTGTTGTGACCGTTGACAATCCTCGTTTATTAAATCGATCGTCACTTGGAAAGATGGCCATCGCGCCCTCGCATCAAATTTCGTCGCATCTTGACCTCAATGCTTACGTGTTTATGGTCTGGCCCAGCTAGGCTAGGTACGTACATAGGTACTTCGTAGGGACAGTGGGTTGGCACGTTGGTTGTTGTTTTGGTTTTGGGTTGAGGAAGTGCGGGGGCCGAATGAGGACGAGAGACAGAGCGCCTGACACGGGCAATGCAACGCCAGCCCGACACATTTTCAACTCGACGCCACCCCCAGACTCTTCTGCACGAACAGACGGAGCCACCGAGCATTGAACACAGGGCTGAATCCAGCGGCTTTGGCACCGAAAACGGGGCAGGCCGCAGCATCGCCGCGGCACAGAAACACGGGAGAAATCAGAGATGGATGCATCGAGAGTGTCGTCGACGAAAGTGGGCGACTAAGACCAACCTGCTGACCGCTCGGGGAATCGCGCCTCTCCCGTCGTCGTACTGTGGACATAGGGCAGAAGGCTGCTTTGCCGTTCTTGCGCAGGAGATCGAGAGGGCTGGACAACCGGCTAGTCGGCTTTCGTGGGCATGGGTGGTGGGTGGTGGCATGGAACATGGGTCCCAGGAAGTTCATGCAGGAGCGGGTCTCGGTGTCTCCCCAAGTCCCAACACCAAAGGGGGCGCTCCAGCTCCTCGTCTGGCTGTCCAATCCCTGGCCCCTGGCCCTTTCAGCCCGTCGCCCTCCTCCCGCGCCCGCCCGCTCTCGCAACGAGACCAGGCACTGCGCACCGCTGGAGCTTTTGTTCCATCGACTCCGTCGATCCACTCCTCCCGCCTGCAAGACAGCTCTGCCGCCCACACTTCCATCCCAACCGTTTGACCGTTTGTCCTGTGTCTCATCTGAAGTCCCGAGCAACTCACGCCGTCTGTGATGGTTTGGAGCGAGTCCATGTCTCCCTGAGACGAATCCCGCCTCTTTTCGCTCTGCCGCGGCTATGGCGACGGCGAAACGGACGGCTACTGTGACTCTGCGGAACAGCCGGCGCCGCCAGACCTTACCCATCGCTCTCTTCGCAATCCCAACCCTGCTGACGAGCGCCGCCGGTGTTGCGAGCGCAACCTGTGAAGCCGAGTTCCTGTTTCCAACATCAGGACTCACACTACACCACCTCGACACCATCAACATCACCTACCGTTCCGACCTCGCCCATCCTTCACTGTCGTGTTGGTGCGGCGCGACCGGGCGAGCAACGCAAAGTTAGTGCCGTCCCCTCCTCCACCTGGGTCGCCAAGTTGCACCCGAATCCACCCTGTCTCTTCCTTCCGCCACACTTCCTCCTTATCTCCCAAGCACGCAGCTTGCCGCTGCCGGCCATCCTTGATCGCATGCTTCCGCAAACCATCTGAAGCAATTGCACTGACCCTCCCCTTCTAGAGTTCAGAGACGACGATGTCGGTCCGTTCAACGGGAGCGCCACCGTTACTCTAACCTTCCTGTCCGACGATCCTTGTTGGTTCGAGCTCGGCTCCCATTCTGGTGACTGCCGACGGACCAGCGAGACTTTTCTGCTGTCCGCGGACCAGCGCAACGCGGACGGTTATTCGGCAAACAACGCGCCAGAAACACCCCGCGTGCAACCCTTCTCGACGACACCCCCTTTGACAGCCCGCACAGCCGCCGACGTGGACTCAAAGCAGCCTGACGCTAGGGGAGACAGCTTCAGCACAGGCGCCAGAGCAGCCCTGGGCGTCGGAGTCGCGCTCATCTGCATCGCTATCGGCGCGATGGCGTCCTTCTTGTACTTTAGGCGCCGGCGCCGCACGCCAGATACTGAGGTATCCGGCAACATGTTCGACCAAGGTCGCCGGGGAAGGAAAGGGCCGGAGAAGAAGCGGGGGGGTGCGTTATCGGAAACGTCGGGGAGCTCTGATGAGCCGCTCTGCCCCATACAGCCAGTATACGACGGCTTCCCCGGCTCGATGGGCTACGAAGACGTGCGCTCGCTCCACTCTACTTCGCAAACACTCTCTACCCACTCGCACTCTCCCACGACGACACAGTCGCCCACCCACTCGCAGTCCGGCGGCTTCTGGACGCACGAGCGCAGCATCGAACGAGAGGAGCTCACAGCAGCGCGGCTGAAATCCCAACTCCAACCCTCCGCGCCGACCGTCGTATCTTACGGCCCCAACCCCGTCACACCGACCCTCACACCCCGCATCACCCCGCGACTGAATATAAACCCAGTCACCACCCCAGTAACCCCCGGCGGTATCGAGCAAGTACCGGGCCACGTCCCCATGATGCCCCTTCCCTCGGCCGAGTACAGCGACTACTCCAACTACAGCATCCCGCCGCCCGCACCACTCCCCATGCCCACGCCCGACTCCAAAACCTCCCCGCCGCGCCAACAAGGCGCCATCCCCATCGTCGTCTCGTACGGCCCCAACCGGGTAACGCCCACGCCGCTCGTCGTGTCCCCGACCGTGCCGCCGGACGAGTCGATCGTCAACCGGCGGATCCAGGAGGCGAGCTCGTCGTCGGCCGGGTCGCACGAGCGGCAGTTCTCGTGGGAGGCCGACTCGCCGCTGCTGGGGGCGTCGATGGGCCCGCTCCCGCCGTACGCCACGACGGCGGACTTCGAGGCCATGGAGAAGGGCGCCGTGCGCAAGCTGGCCGAGCCCCAGGCCCAGGCCGAGCTGCCCCCGACCAAGGACGGCTTCTACCACTACACCTCCGACATCGTCGAGTACGAGCTGCCCGGCGCCGCCCCGCAGCACGCGCCCCAGCTGCCCTTCCGCCCCTACCAGCCACACAGCGCTTATAATGGTGCTGCCGGTGGCAGTGGTAGTAGTGGGCCACATCATGGGCAGGGACGCGAGATTGATGAGCAGAAGTTTTTGTTGGATGATGTTGAGATTATGAGGCTGAGGGCCGCGAAGGCGAAGGCGAGGGCCAAGGCCACAAGCGCGAAGCGTGAGAGCAAGGAGGGAGAGAGGGAGGCCGAGGAGCATGATTTGGGCGAGGGACCCAGGTGACGTTGGTGATGGGTCGTGGACCGTTTTGGAGAGGATTCGAGCACCTTATACCCTTTCTTCTCACCTAATACCTACTACTACTACTACCGACCTACACAGCATGGAACGGAGGAGGATGGATCTGACAGGGAGGCAAAAGTCACACACACCGCGGAACGACTCGGGATATACCTGGACTGACTGGAAAGAGGTGGAGCATTATACCATTGGCAAGGCGTTGGGGATTTCTACGAGCTACATTTGACGAACTGGTGACGCTGTTCCCCGGCCGGTAAAGGTCTGGGTTTTGAATATAGTGCCTCACTGAAAAAGGAGTTTATACACACAAAGTCATAACCTATGCCCATGAACTCTATCCAATTTGAGGTTTTGTCCTGAAAATGCCCATGGCCTCGGTACACGAATCAGCCCACCTGGCGAGCTCAGAAAAGCCCGGACAACGCTCCGAGTATCTGATAGGTATTATTCAATCCTCGGCACTTGTCGCGTGTCTTGTCCAACGGGTCGCCGAGACTTTGACTTGGGTGCCTGCAGATGGATGAAATGCCTGCACTTCGACGAAAGTGAACCGCTTCCATCACCTCTTCCCGGGCAGGCAGGCAGGGCTGAACAAACCAACCCCAGCACCAACCAAACCGGCCCACAGGCACCATCCCAACCGCCAACAGACCCCACAGCGGGCACCTCGGCCGCCAAACCACCGAACACCCACCACCAAACGCACCCCTCACCGCCCGGCAGAAAAAGTTCCAGCGGCCTCTGCATCCCAAAAAAAAAAAAACCGGCCAACCTACCACCTCCCAGCTTCGATCTCTCGCGACACGCGCAGAACCCCGCCACCACCAACCACCACACACCCCAAAACCACCTACCTACACCAATTGCCCCCCGGTAATTGGCAGCCGCGCCGCAACCTTCCCAAGATGGCGCCCTCCCAAAAGCGCAAGTCGCTCCCCGACAACGACGACTTCATCCACACCATCTCGGACAACGACGAGCCCGACGTCATTGAGGAAGAGGAAGAGACACTCCTTACCGCTGCTGCTGCGTCTGCTGGGCGGCCGAATAAGAAGGCGAAGATTGCTGCTGGGGCGAAAAAGGAGGGGAAGAAGAATAAGAAGGATAAGAAGGGGAAGAAGGGGAAAACTGCTGCTAGTGAGGAGGGGGGTGAAGATGATAATGAGGAGGGGGACGAGGCGACCGGTCTCTGGGGCGCCAATGATGCCGACGATGGCGCCATGGACTCGGACTTTGAGTTTGTGGCTGGTGGGGGTGATGATGGGTTGAATGGGTTCGAGGAGGGCGGATTTGAGGGGTGGGGGTTTGAGAGTGCTAAGAAGGGCGTGGTGGGCGCTGGTGGTAATGGTGGGCAGGAGGCGAAGAGTGGGGTGGATCTGGATGAGATTATTCGGAGGCGGAGGGAGAAGAAGGAAAAGGGACAGGAGAAGGTGGAGGAGGAGGTGGAAGTTGAGGATATGGGGGAGGTGGATTTGGATCTCGACGATGAGGTGCTGGCTGAGGATGCATTTGGGATGGGGGTCGGGTCCGATGTGGACGAGGAGGAGGACGAGGAGGCGGAGGGTGGTGAAGAGCAGGAGGACGAAGAGATGGGAGACGGCGAGGGGAGTGCGGCCGAGGAAGAGGCGGACGGTCAAGATGACGATGAGGCCGCGTCAGACAATGATTCGGTGGCTACACCTGTGCAACATCCCGACGACGAAGCGTCCGAGGACGACGACGAAGAAGACGCCGAGGAAGAAGCTAGGCGGAAAGAGTTCTTCGCCGCGCCGGAGGAGACCGAAAATGTCGGCAAGAAAGGCGGGCTGTCCTCATTCCAAGGGATGTCGCTATCAAGACCTATTCTTAGGGGCCTCACTTCGGTCGGGTTCACGAAACCGACCCCTATCCAGGCCAAGACGATACCGATCGCGTTGATGGGCAAGGACGTTGTTGGTGGCGCCGTCACGGGTTCCGGCAAGACGGCTGCGTTCGTGGTGCCCATCCTAGAGCGGCTGCTATATCGGCCCAAGAAGGTACCAACCACACGAGTCGTGGTCCTAACGCCCACCCGTGAATTGGCGATCCAGTGTCACTCCGTGGCTACCAAGCTGGCCGGCCACACCGACATCAAGTTTTGTCTTGCTGTTGGTGGTCTCAGCCTGAAGGTCCAAGAGGGCGAGCTGCGCCTAAGACCGGACGTGGTGATTGCCACGCCCGGTCGTTTCATCGATCATATGCGGAATTCGGCGAGCTTCGCTGTTGAGACGGTCGAGATTCTGGTACTCGATGAAGCCGACAGGATGCTCGAGGACGGTTTTGCGGACGAATTGAACGAGATCCTGACGACGCTGCCCAAGTCGCGCCAGACAATGCTGTTCTCCGCCACCATGACGTCGACAGTCGACAAACTGATTCGGGTCGGTCTCAACAAGCCGGCTCGGATCATGGTCGATTCCCAGAAACAAACGGCCGTTACCCTGGCGCAAGAGTTTGTGCGACTGCGACCGGGGCGCGAGGAGAAGCGCATGGGTTACCTAGCGCATATCTGCAAGACTCTATACACCGAAAGGGTCATCATATTCTTTAGGCAGAAGAGGACTGCTCACAAGACTCGCATCATTTTCGGCTTGCTGGGACTGTCGAGCACAGAGCTGCATGGAAGCATGAACCAGGCTCAGGTAAGTTTCCCCACCTATTTCTCACCCACCACGGCACCATGATGTTAACATAACCCAGCGAATTGCCAGCGTCGAAGCATTCAGGGACGGCAAAGTAAACCATCTGCTTGCCACTGATCTTGCGTCTCGTGGTTTGGATATTAAGGGAATCGACACCGTCATCAACTACGAAGCGCCCCAATCCCTGGACATTTACGTCCATCGTGTTGGTCGTACGGCTCGTGCGGGCCGCAGTGGTGTTGCCATCACACTGGCAGCGGAACCGGACCGAAAGGTCGTGAAGTCGGCTGTCAGGGCTGGCAAAGCGCAGGGCGCAAAGATCATCAGCCGAGTCATTGACCCAGCGGACGCGGACAAGTGGCAGGATCAGATTGACGAAATGGAGGATGAAATTGACGAAATCCTGCAGGAGGAGAAGGAGGAGAAACAGCTGGCCCAGATCGAGATGCAAGTCAAGAAGGGCGAGAACATGATTAAGCACGAGGAGGAAATCAACGCGCGGCCGAAGAGAACGTGGTTCGAGACACAGGAGGACAAGAAGAAGGCCAAGGAGCTCGGGCGGGCTGAGCTCAACGGTGTCCGAGAGGCGATGAAGAAGAAGGGTGCGGGCAGACTCAGTAACAAGGACAAGAAGAAGCTCGACTCCAAGGCGGAGAGGAGCGACAGCAAGTCGACTGGGTGGAAGAAGGGGCGGGCGGAGAGAGACGGAAAGGGAGCGGTACTGAACCTGAAGAAGGTCACGAAGCCCAAGACAAAAGCGCCGGCAGGGCGTAAGGGGAGGAGGTAGCTTTTAGTGATATCCAGATAGTTCTTTGTACATGTTATTGTTCATACCGAGAGGTGCATTTTTGCTTGCTTCAAGTCCTGTTTCGAGTCCTCCAGAATTACACCCCTGTAGTTCACTCGCCCCGCCCTGGCCAGCGGGTGACGTAAGGCGACAGCCCAGGGGCAAGAGCCGGGAAACAACAGCTTTGCGCATTCCTGGTCAGGACGGATGTTAAATTAAAACATGGGAGTTTACTTCAAGATTCTTTTTGGGATCAATTGCCTTGCTTCTAACCTTCTATATTGCGCCTCCCTACCAGTACATACCTCAAGACATCTGATCCGGTAGACACGCGATCAACAATCGGAATCCAGCCAAGCTCGTCAGCAATCCTTCAGCGCAAACCAAATCTTTCGCCAGAGCTAAACCAAACCCTCCCAAAAAAAAAAAAGAAACTCTAAAAAGAACCACCATAACCTCCCTCTCCCGAACAAACCTCACCTCACCATCAACGGTGGCGCCCCTCAAACCACCACCCCTACCACCCCACCTCGTCCGACCCAAGCGCCTCCCCCTCCCGCCACCAGCACGCGCGAACCCCCATTTCCCACACCAACAACAACCACCCCGACCACAACACGGTTATCCACGCCCGCACCGCCGCGTCTCGGTCCTCGACTACCTCCTCCCCGCCGCCTACCGCGACCGCCTGCAGCGCTTCCGCCTCGACACCCTCCCGCGCTACCGGCGCGGCCTGCAGAGCCGCATCTACCGCTTCATCGTCGAGCGCCAGCGCCGCAAGCGCGAGCGCAGGGCCCGCCTCGGTACTGTTGTTGGTGTTGGGGGCCTGGTGAAGGCGCGTTGGCGTTGGCTTGCGCTTGGCAAGGGCCTGGGTAGCAAGGGGTCGGCGGCCGGGTCCCCCTCTGTAGGGCGCGGCGGGGCGGGGCATGCGCATGCGCCTGCGCCAGCGCCTGTGCCTACGAAGGGCGGTCGCGGTGACGTAGCAGACGGGCGCGCGGCGCGGACGGCGATGCAGAGTCAATATGGCGGCGGCGGCGGTGGCGGTGGCGGTGGCGGTGGGTATGGCTACAGCCCGTACGGGTCGTACGGGACGGGCCTGGGGTCTGGCGCCTCCACGCCCCCGGGCGAGCGCGGGTCGCGCCGGAAGAAGCTAGCCGCGGTCGCGGGGAGCGTGTACCGTGCCGGGGTGGCCGCCGCGAGCGAGTTGAAGGAGCAGTATAATAATACGAGGATTCGGGGCGTGGATATGACGGGCGCGCAGGTCTCGATTCCGGGGGCGTTTCCCGAGGTCTCGATCATCACCAGGGGGGAGGAGCAGATGGTGCTGTTTCCGACGTATGCGAAGAAGCATGTGAGGGAGTTCACTGAACGGGGTGGGCTGCCGCCGGGGGAGTCGTTCCAGGCCGCGAACGCGGCGCAGATGGGGATGAGTGAAAAGGAGTATTGGAGCCAGGAGTGGGCGAGGGCCGAGGATGAGAAGGCCGTGGTGGATGTGGATGTGAGGGGATGGATATACATGCCCAGCAAGGGGCCCATGACACGACGGAACCGTATGTTGGTTGGTCTTGCGAGGAGACTGAGTGGGGTTCCGGCGCCCACGGTACAATCGGAGCCTACAGCGAGCTCGCATGAAGAATATGAAGAAATGAAGGAAGAGCAGAGAATCGCCCGGGAGGCCCGAGAGATCGAGAAACGCGGGCAGGACGAAAAGGAGGTCGCGAACAGGGGAGGGTACAGCGAGGCGCCGGGCGGTTTGAAGGGGAACAACCAGATTTCTGCATCAGCGCCGACATCGCCCACCTTGTCAGGGAGGACGCCCACCATGTCACAGACCGACATGACAGAAGCAGAACTCGCAGTCGCCAACGCGAATCTCATGGCACGCCTTGGGCCTTTCATGACAACACCATTGGTGCAAATTCCCATCACCATCTTCTTTTACAACGAGGAACAGTCACGGTCCCACACAGTTATGACCGACGACTCCGGACACTTCAACGCTCGCGTCGCCCTCGAATTCGTTCCGACAGATGTCAGGGTCCTGGCGAACGAGAGTATCTCAACCACGAAGCCTGTCGAGATCACCGGCTCCAAAGGGGTCAGCCTGATCAGTGACGTCGACGACACGATCAAGCACTCCAATATCTCAATGGGTGCCCGCGAGATTTTCAGGAACGCTTTGGTGCGCGACCTGGCCGATTTAACGGTGGACGGTGTCAAAGAATGGTATCACACGATGCACAACATGGGCGTCAAGATGCATTATTGTTCCAACAGTCCATGGCAGCTGTACCCGGTTCTCGCGACTTTCCTCCACACGGCGGGCCTACCTCAGGGGTCAATGCATCTGAAACACTACAGCGGTATGCTTCAGGGTATTTTCGAACCGGTTGCGGAGAGAAAGAAGGGGACGTTGGAAGCCATCATTAGGGATTTCCCGGAACGCAAGTTTCTTCTCGTTGGAGACAGCGGGGAGGCAGACCTGGAAGTCTATACCGAACTTGCCCTGGCCAACCCCGACCGCATCCTGGCGGTCTTCGTTCGCGATGTCACCACTCCTGACGAAACAAAGTTCTTCGATTCATCATACAGCATAGACTCGGGGCAACGAAGCAGGCAAGGGAGCAATAGAGCTAGGCCAGGGGGTCAATCAGCCGGTGACGAGCTTGAGAGGAGACCACAACTGCCTCCCCGAGCGACAGCCCCACCCGCGAGCTCAGGGCCGATCATGGGGACGTTGATTGATTTTGACGAACCCGAGCCGGCAAGGTCTACAACTGGGAGTCTTCAGGACCTAGCAAATCTCAGCACTCCAGGCTCGGATGTCCCGTCTCGGAAACGGCCACCACGGCCAGCCAAACCAGCTGCGTTGCGGAGCACGCCCTCTGATATCAGCACCACCAGCCAGAGAAGTACTCCTACCGGGCCTGATCCTAGCCCAGGGCTACCCCTCCGGCCACGGACTTCTGCTGGGACACCTCCCAACACTTCGAAACCGACGCCGCCACCTCCCCCGCCTCCCCGCCGCCGCGGCACCGCCCCGATGGTGCAGCACCCACAACAACCGCGCAGTAGCGGCTACTTTAACTCGGACGTGCCCGAGATGGAGCCCCTCCCGAACGTCTCTGGCGGATACCCAGCCAGTATCTCTGAGACAGGGACGCCGCCAAACGGCGCGGCGGCAACGGCGGCTCTGAACAAGAAAGTGGCCTTGTGGCTGCAGAGGCTGGCAATGGCCCACGAGAGACTGGATAAGCAAGGGGTGAAGTTGTATACCTGGAGGAAAGGTGACGATGTGATTGCCGAGGCAGAGGGGATTGTGAGAGATGCGATGAGGAAAATGGACTTTGATGGACAACGACCGTGATGTTAATAAGGGATGAGGATAGGGGGCAGGGGGTTGAAAAGGGGGGAGGGATGGAGTGTACACATACCGCCGCGATAGATGGGTGTTATCGGTAGGTTAAGACATGCTTGCATGAGCCTTGACTCAGCGCCATCCCACCTTCCGAAAGTCGGTGCAGCGCAAGGAGTTAACGACATGAATACAAGGTAGGGAAGTCGTTTGTGGTGCCGGCGAGCAACACATAGCCAACCCCAACCCTTAATATAGATCTCACCGCCTGCCGTATCAAGCAGCCGCCTTCGCGACCCGCAATTAGCCAGCAGAAAAAAAAGTCCAGCGCGCTTCAACCGCTAAGAAGCGCGGGAAAGTCAACCTAGCAGTGCTGTGCATACTTCAGATGTATGTACCTCCCTCGGCAAGTAACAAATCGAGGTTGAGTCACCGGCCAAACTCTCGCCTCCCTCAACCAACAGAACCCATGAAAATTCAGGACACCCTTCGGACGGGTAGTTTAAAGCGGCGTGCGTGCGGAGGCGCCTGATCCTAAATGTATGCAGCCGCACACGCAAAGGTTGTGCGGGTCTCGTGCAAACTCCAAACGGTGCCAACCCCATCGCTGCGGTTGCACTTTTCCTCGCCGCCTGCGTTTTCTGCGCTTTCTGCTTGCTCCTCCCGCCGCTTTCGCTCCCTCGCCAAACTCCAAGCAGCAAAGCCATCACCGCAGCTTCGCCAACCGAGTGCGGGCATAGTTCCCACATCGCCGTTTCCCAATTCTACTTCCCGGCTCGTCGAGGTCAGTGGGCGAACTCGGCCGAGTGCCCCTCGCTTTATCATCGTCCCCTCCTCCCGACCGCACCAGGGTCCTCACCCCGCCATCACCATCCTCCCTCCACCGACCGGCATGCTGTGCTACGTCCAGATCCTGAGCACCCCCACGGCTGACACGCCGGGGGGGTGCCTCATGCTGCATTTCGACAATCGCCGCTACCTCTTCGGTCGCATAGCAGAGGGCACGCAGCGCACCATGGTCCAGCGCAAGGTGTCGCTCGCAAGGATCCAAGATATCTTTCTCACGGGATGCATCGACTGGGAGGCCACCGGCGGCCTGCTCGGCATGATCCTCACCCTTGCCGACCTCAAGGCCGCGTCCATCGCCGACATCGAACTCACAAACGAAAAGCTACGCAGGCAGGGCAGGAAGGAAAAGGACAAGGACCAAATGGCTCTTTCTCATTTGAATATACATGGTGGAAAGAACCTGGTACACCTGCTCGCCTCTGCTCGCCGTTTTATCCTTCGGAAAGCCCTCCCCGTCCACACCAGGGAGCTGCAGTGTGACCCCCGCGCCGACCTGGAGGGGAAGGACGACCCGGACTACGAGGATGAGAATATCCGTGTCTGGTCTATCCCGTTGTCGAAAGAGAAACCAGCGGCCCGTCCCTCCGGGGAGAGCTCACCCAAGAAGCGGAAGCTGAGCTCGTCATCAGAGCCGCGCGAGAATCTGGTAGCAGAGGAAGCGGATCAGAATATCAGAGAAGCCGTGGTCAAGGACATGTTCTGTTCCAAGTGGAAGCTCGATACCCTGCGCGAGGTGAAGCTTGCGGACGTGCAGCTGCCAGCCCAGATGTTTATCAGAAACGAGCAGGGCCACATTGAGCCTTACACCGGCCCCCCCGCCTCCGAGTCTCCCAACACCAAGGTCCTCGTCCGGATGCCTTGGCCGGCGTCTCAAATTCCCGAACTCCCCCCCACGAAGCCGTCCAAACAGTCCATGTGTTATATCGTGAAGTGTCATGCGCGGCGCGGCAAGTTCGACCCCCAGGCCGCTACCAGCCTCGGCGTCATCAGGACCGACTTCAAAAAGCTCACTAAGGGTGAATCTGTGCCTGGGAAGGACGGGTCCATCGTCACTCCAGATATGGTCATGGGGGCGCAGATTGAAGGTCGCGGTTTTGCCGTCATCGATCTTACGTCCCCGGATCTGATCGATGATTTGCTCGACCGTCGCGAATGGTCGAACCCGGAGATCATGAAGGGAATTGATTCCGTGTATTGGATCCTTTCCGACGGTATCACGCTTGAAAGCGAAGGGGTGCAGCAATTCATCAAGACACACTCGTCAGCCAAGCACATGGTGCTAGGCAGCGCCGTGTGCCCCAACGTCCCGGCCCTCGAGTCCCCTACCTCCCAACTCATCAAGATGAATTGTGTCGATAGAGACAGGTTTCCTCTCCCCGTGTTCGACACCCAACCGAAGTCTAAACTCGGTGGAGAATTACAATCTACCGCCGAGGTCGGCCCCCCCGGCCTCAAATATCAGCTTGCTCCAAAACCCTCGTTCGTCACGGACCTTGTCGTCCCACCAATGGATACTAAGCGACCTCTCTGGGAGCTGTCCACGTACACGCCACAGGTCATGAAGCTAGCCAAGATTGCCCAAAAGGCCGTTTCTGAGCCGGCCTTCCTTGCTAAGGTGGAAAAGTCGCAGCAGGACCTGCCCAGCCCGCAGACCGAAATCGTCCCGCTCGGTACCGGCTCGGCCATGCCGTCCAAATACCGCAACGTGTCGGCCACTCTGATTCGCGTCCCCGGCTGGGGTAACTACATTCTCGACTGCGGCGAGAACACGCTCGGCCAGCTCCGTCGTGCCTTCGGTTACGAGGGTGCCGATGAAGTCCTCCGGGATCTCCGCGCCATCTACATTAGCCACGCCCACGCCGACCACCACCTCGGCACCGTCAGCGTCATCTCCCGTTGGCGCGAGGTTGCCCCCGAGGACAAAAAACTGGCGCTCATCGCCACGTCAAAGTACCAGGACTTTATTCGCGAGTTCCACCAAGTCCAAGACCTCAGCCCGGAGCGCATCATCCCCGTCACCCTCCGCTGCGTCGGCAACCCGCTCCCTGGCCGCCACGGCGAACCCATCTTCCCCCCCAACGTCGACGGCAAGACCCTACAGCTCCCGCACATCGAATCCTGCTTCGTCGACCACTGCTACGAAGCCACCGCGGTCGTGCTCACCTTCCCCGACACGGGCCTCAAGCTGGCCTACTCGGGCGACTGCCGGCCCTCGCGGCAGTTCGCCGAGCTGGGCCGCGGCGCCCACCTGCTCATCCACGAGTGTACCTTCGAGGACGAGCTCGGCGGCGACGCCCTCGCCAAGAAGCACTCCACCTTGTCCGAGGCCCTCGACGTCGGCCGCCAGATGGACGCCCGCCGCATCCTGCTCACCCACTTCTCCCAGCGCTACCCCAAGCTGCCTGTTGTTGATGAGAGGGCCCTCAAGACCGACGGCGGCCGCCGCGATGTCGAGGTGCTGTTCGCGTTTGACATGATGCGGGTGAAGTTGGGTGAGTTTAAGCAGGCGGGGCTGTTCCTGCCCGCGCTGAGGGAGTTGTTGAAGGAGGTGGAGCGCGTGGAGGAGGGGGGTGTATGATATATCAGTTGATGATAGAGGGTATGGCATGTAGGGGGGTTTGTATAGTAGTGGCATGGGCGGTGCATTGTGGTGCATAGATGTCATAGACGCAGCGTGGGGGGTACCCCAGCATGATTGGAACCATCGTCACTAAATACTTGGGGGAGTTGGTTATAGAATACAGTTGGCTCTTCTCTATCTTCAAAATGGTCTGTCTGGCTGCTATTTTGGGTTCTGTGTTCTCCAGTAACAATTACTTGTCAGTTCAGGTTTGCCTCGCTCTCACATCTCACGCCTCCCCCGTTACGGTCAGGACAGACAACGAATCTATAACATCCAAGAATTTAAATACCTACAATGCAGAAAGAATACAGAAGAGCTCAAGCGCCAGAAGTGATTTGTTAAATTAATACTACAGTAATCTGCCCTGCGTCTCCGCCAACGGCAAGATGATGCTAATATTTCTCACCACGTACAAAGTAACTAGGAACCGAAGTAAGGATGGGAACTATTGGAAGGACGGTATGAATGGAAAGTGGCAATTTATTTCCTGTTCCAAACGACCACTACAAAGATCACTACAATAATTCCTTTCATATTGGACTCCGAATATTTGTCGAATAGCTTTTGATCCCCATGCTTCTTGTTTTCTTTTACTTACACCTAGATGATATCTCTCGACACCAACCAGCCAGCGACATCAACGCTTATAGAGCCCACTCCAAGTTGTCCCAGTCGATTGATGGCCAGGGCCACCCGGCCCCGTCTGTTTCTTGCGGGGGGACTTGTTGGCAGTCCCCCTCGCCGTCCTGTCTCCGTCAGGCCGCTGCGGGCGGAAACCGCCTTGCGGGGGGCCATCATACGAGTTGTTGCTAGGAGGGATGTAGTTGTCGGTCAAATCGACTTTGGGCTTGGAGGCAACGGTGGCAGTGGTGGAAGAGGTATGAGTCGGAAGGGTAGAAGAAGAGGAAAAGGCAAAGGGGTTGGACATGGAGGGGGTGAGGTAAGGTTTAGAAGAGGGATGGGGCAGATGAGTCCCATAAGAGGAAGGAGTCAAACAAACGGAAGAAGAGGAATAAGAAGAAGCGGCATAGGAAGAAGGGGCTAGGGTCGAGACGACGGAGGACCAAATTTCCTCTTGCCGGACCGCGCCGTTCGACGCGGGTTCGAGATGCACTGCACTCCCCGGCCCATCTACAGGGCCTGGGGCTTGGTATACCACACCATCATTCTGGCGGTTGCCGTTCGGCACGTTAACGCGAATCTTAGGTACACCCTCCACAGTCCTTGTTTCCTCCGGTAGTCCACCGCGGTGTTTGCTACCATGATGTTGTTGTTGTTGTTGCTGCCCGGCGGTCGGCAGCCTAAAATGCGGCATAGGCACACCATCCGCCATCTTAGTCCCCGCCGGTAGTTTGCCGCGGTGTTTGCTCCGTCCCCCCTCGGGATCCTCCCCCCTTTCCATCCTCTTCCTGACCTTCCGGTCATGCATCCAACGCCTCACCTCCTTAATCTCCGCAGCCAGCGCGTCACTCTGCGCCCTCATCTCGCGCTGCTCATGCCACCCAAACAGCGGCATCCACGCCTCCACGAGCCCCAACAACCTCGGCTCCTCCTCCTTCCCCCTCGCCCTCATATTCGCCCTCAACGCCATCAACACCTCCTGCCTTCCCCCCACCACCGCCAACACACACGCCGGACAGCCACTCTCGACCCTCTCAAACCGACACTCCTGCCTAACCCCCTCGCCATAATACCTCTCAAAATCCGCCCCCGAAAGAAACAGACTCCCCACCCCACTCAACACCTGCACCAACCACCTCATCCTCCTCCCAACCGCCCCATACCCATCCCCATCCCCATCCCCACCCCCCTCCCCGCCACGCCCCCCCATCAACCTCACCCACCCCCTAACCACATCACACCTGACCCCCACCTCCACCTTCACCAACCCCAACAGCGCGCCCACCAGCTCCCCATCCAACCCGGCATGCGCGCTGCACAGCAGCCCGCCGCCGCGGCGGGGCAGGGCGCCCAGACAGCGCAGGGCGCGCACGACGCCGCGGGCGGCCGGGTGCTGGCGCGAGAGCAGCGGGCAGTCGGCGGGTAACTGGGACGCGGCGAGGGCGGCGACGGCGTCGCGCTGGGCGGACAGCCAGGCGGCGGGGAGGGCGGCGGTGGTGGCGGCTTTGAGGATGGGTTTGAGGGTGTTGGGGGTGGTGGTGGTTGTTGGGGAGGAGAGGGCCGGCGGGCCGTAGGCGGAGGTGGAGGGTTGGATGGAGGAGGAGGTGGAGGAGGTCGGGGGTGGTTGGGGGGGCGCGGAGGCGAAGAAGAGGAGGTTGGCGGCTTGGTGGAGGGTTCGGTGGCCGATGTTGCAGAGCGGGTCGTAGTCGTGGTCGGCGGGGTCGTCGATGGTTTTGGTGGTGGAGGACATGGTGCTGCTGCTGTGTGTGTGGTATCGTTGTCTTGTCGTGGGGTGACGGCCGTGTGCGTGTCGTTTGGAGAGTGAGAGTGTTGAATAACTGAACGAGACCGAGTGACTTGGTTCCGTGTCGGTCCTTTTCGGTTCGTTATGACAATATAAAACCTTCAGGGACTGTGGAACCTTGGAACACTCGCTCTCTAAACGACAGTCAGCCTTCAAAATGTTTGTAGGGGTGTCGAGGTAGGCTAGATGGGGGGAGTGTCATAATATACTCCCCTAACACAAAGAACTTACGTCCATGTTGTTGGCGTTTTATTGTTCGTGTTCACTTCAAACAGGAGCTTTTTGGTTTGAACATGCCGGCCCCCCCATTGGTGATTAAACGTTCCCTGTTCAAGGGAGGATGAACAGCCAGCAAGCGCTGTGTAGGTATGGCTTGGACAGAGGCCGTGGATGACAGTCCGTTTTTCGTCAGACCTGCACAGGTTAGCGATAAATACAACCAAGTCTGAGGGGGATGAGACACACCATATCGACAGACCATATCCAGACTCGACATCCACCTCCTGTTGTACGGCTCTTCGAACTGGGAAAATTCCCATCCCATGGCTCGATTCAGGGAACAAACAATATCGCACTTGGTATTGGAAGCAGTGTGGAGTTTCACCCCTATATAAGTCCGACCTCCCCTTCCTGCTCAAGAACGCCGGGTATGAGAGCCACGTTCCTCTGAACCACGAATCAACGCCCATCATCCCCTGATTCATTATGATGACCCGCCAACGAAAAGCGGGATGTGGTGGAGAAGTATAACATGCCGAAAAGCCCTTTCCTATCTCCTCCGATATCACGGCCGCCGCCAGACCAACAAGATAAGATGCAGGTGGCCGATCCATATAAAGAGGAATAATATCATATACCGAAATTGTGGGAGACATGCCTTCGTGAAACTCCCCGCTCTGCCGTTACCGGACGGTGTTCTGTTGCGCAAAAACCAACGCCCCTCGCTTTTGCCCATCACCTCCTCACCGATCGCTCCTCTACGGGGCCATGGCTGGCCCCGGACAGCTCTCGTTCGCGCATCCTCAATTTGTCGGCGCGGATGCGCGCCGCTTCGGTCCCGTCGTCAGGATGCGCAACTTCGCGGAACCAGGGATGTTGCAAAGCCTGCTTCGCGGTGATGCGTTGCGCGGGGTCGTAGACAAAGATCTTCTGGAGGAGATCTAGGAACTGTTGCAGGAATTTGGTGTTTGAGGGAATGATTTCCTGGGAACTGGTCAGTCGTCTGTCATGGTAACTAATATAACAACGCTTACCGGGAGCTTTTTCATAGCCTTGACAAATCTTCGTGATGCTCGCGTCGTATCAGGCATAGGGTAGTCGAGCTTGAGACGCTTGAAGTATCTACCATCCGTTAGCTCCCTTGCTCTGATCGGGCCGTGAAGCGTTGGTACGCACTTGGAGGCGGGGTTCCCGCCGTTCCTCGTCATCCTGTTCACCTGCTGGACGAGAGACGAATCGACCCTGGCGTCGACGACTGCTTCCATCATAGCCAGATGCTCGAGATTATCGTGCGTCTGGAAGAGGGCATCGCCGGTGAAGAACTCGACCAGTATACACCCGATACTCCAAATGTCGCAAGGATACGACCACCCAAGACCGAGAATGATTTCGGGCGCTCGGTAGTGGCGGGTCGACACCACTGACGAGTGATATTCGTCCTGGAAGGTCGCCGAGCCGAAATCGATCAGCCGAATCTCCGTGTCCAGCAGCACTTTCCTTTGGCTAGCCTGGCGGTTGCTGTTGTTGGTACTAGCCGACGGTATTTTCCTATTGTACGTAAACGTCTGGTACTCGTTGTGGCACAGCAGGATGTTCTCCGGCTTCAGATCTGTGTGGATCAGGTTGAGGTCATGGAGAACTACTTCGAGTCAGCGCGCGTCCCTCCCTTAGACCGTTTCGGACGGGGCTCCTTACAGGCAACGCTGGTCAGAAGCTGGCGGGCGAAGTTCTGGATTTGGCTGTTCGGGAAAGGCACGAAACTGTTGCTCTTGAGAAAGTCGAACACGCTCTGGCCGAGGAGATCCATGACGATGCAAATATGCCCGCGGTAGTCGAAGCAGTCTCGGAAGTGAATGCAGCGGTTCCGGTTCTCCTCGTCATTGGCTCTGAGAGTCTCCAAGACGCGAAGTTCAATCTTACTCGCTTCGCGGTACTTTTGCACAGAACGGATGATCTTGATGGCGACGAGTTTCTCGGACACCTTGTCCCTTGCCTGCACGACCTTGCCGAACGTGCCTTGGCCGAGAAGCTTGACCATTTGATCTGCAGGCGAAATCCGTCAGTCCTAGAACATTCGTGAGTGATGAAACGACCACCTACATCTTTCGGTGAGGTCGTTGTCGGGGACGACGATGTAATGACCGTCGTCGTCATCGACACGGATGTTCTTGCTGTGCGGCGGCTGGATAACTTGTTAGCCGCCTCTACGGGCATCGGGGAAGCAGACTACTCACGTCGGCCACAACTTTGATGTGCACATCGCGCGCCTTCTTGGGGGGATAGGGGGGCGGCCGGTAGTGGGCGAGGGCATCGGTATATATCGCAGCCTCGCGACGCCTCGCTTCGTTTGCAATCTGCTGGCGGGTTGTTCTCTTCCGTTTATGGCCGGGCTGTGTATCGTACTCGTACTGGCCATTTGATGAGAGCGACCCGAGTGATGTGGCCGCCGTCGTGTGAATCGCAGAGTTTGTCCGGTCGCTCGCGGCAGTGGACTTGCTCGGGGTGTGAGAGCCGAGAGCGGCGCTGTGGTGAACAGGATCGTACGGCGTGGGCTCGTCGTCCCGTTTCCTTTTTTTGGCCGAGGATCCGGGCGCACCGCCATTCGTAACGACATGTGAGCGACCGTTCGCGAGGGTGGCCGAGGCATTCGCACGCTCGGGCTCAGGGGTGTCATCGATAACGATGATCTCTTTGGGCAGGCCGTTCTTGTAGAAGGTCTTCCAGTCCGGTTCCCTCGACCGGCGTTTCTTACGGGGAGGTTGCGACTCGGCCAAGGGCTGAGCCTGCGGAGCTGCGGGCATGTTTGTGTAGAGGTGATCGAGTCGAGATGTCCCATCCGCTGGTTCGTGCGGAGCGACTCTCGCGTGGCCCGACGGCACGGTGGCTACTCCATTCCCCGACGAGTGACTTGCGGCAGACGAGTAGCCCGGAGATGGGTACGCGAGTCGGCTGGCGGGGGGGAGGATTGGGGCTGGCGGGCGAAATGATGAGGAGTTCGCTTGGGCATACGACTGGTGCGGATGTTGATGATGGGGGTATCGGAAATGGTGCGGGCTGTAGTGCGGCAACGTTGCCGTCGCAGTTGTCGGCGTCGACATGGTCGCTCTGTCGCTGGCCGCGACGGAAAATGGGCGTGGGGACCAGGAGATCTGGTTAGTGAGAATGTAGAAGGGGAGACGAAAGCTTCCAAGTTGGTGGGAGAAATGGCGGAAGTGGTCGCTGGTTAGTCGACGACTTGGCCCCAGCGACGGGAATCTGACTGGTGAATGACGGCGCCCGGGGGGGCTTTGCAGTTGTTGTCCCGCTAAAGCAGGAACACCGGGCGTGATGTTCAATTCAGGTCGCTAACGAGACTTTGTTGCCGGCCGAGTCGGCATTTGTTCCTTCTGGCGTGTATCGTGTGTGTCGAGTGTCGAAACAGTTATTGTTCCCGGGTGTGCCCAGGCCTGAAGTAAAATGAAGCAGACCGGACCATGTCACGACATGGAGCTCGGTCAGATCCAGATTCACTCGACGGCGAGAGGGAGGCGGGCAAGGACCCGAACCCTCAGTGGTTAGTGTGGCCCGGGTTGCGACACTGGTTGTGCGTGGCAGAGCCCACTCGTTCAACAAGGACCTGGCAAAAAGAGAACCGGATTTCCGCTGTGGCCGAGGGACGGTTGATTGCCCTACTGAGCATGCACGTTTCGCTCGGCAACGCCGTTACAGGAGTCGGGTTTTGCCAGCCGCAAGGGCGCGCACGCATTGAAACTCTTCCTTTGCGAATCTCTCAGTAATCTACACACCGCCGAATCCAAATCACGGTTTTCACAAAATCCCAGCGCATGAAAGGGCTTTCCTGGGAGAGCGCAATCGATCAAACTTTGGATCGAAATGCCTCTGGCAGTGAATGGCAAATGGAAGCCGCCGAGGGTGGCCGTGGCTTCCGCCAAGTCACGGCTTGCGCCCTCATGTGTGGGCTCCGTGGCCAAACAAGAAAGTCGGCACCGTGCTTTCGGCTCATTGCTGGCGGCAGCCACCTTTCTGTGAGATTATTGCACAGTGCGAAAGAGACAAGTTTCGTGCCTTCCCGACCCCAGCCCGCTCCTCGAGTGCACTGTCCGAGTCTTTGCGCGACAGCGGTTCATTCCCTCCCAGGGGCCACTCCCCCGTCTGGCAGGCCCGCAACAGCGCCGCCTTTGAACATTCCAGCACAAGAACGCCACTGGAAGATCGCGAGGTGGTGGGCCTTTCGCCGGGTGGGGGCTCCTGTGCATCGCCGACTAACGTGCGATGCGACATGGTCAGCTTGAACCCCTGTCCTATCTAGGCTGTCATTGTAAGTCAGTACTCGAACTCCGCTTCGTAAAAACAGCCTGTCATTGCCCGCTCGAGGAGCGTGGCGTCGCCGACAAAGCGATTGGGGGTGCTCTACATGCAGGTCGGACTGAACATCGAGCATGCGAGCCGTGTTAGGTGCCTACATACCTAGGTTGGTCAGCGAGGAGGAGAGATCCGACGTCCCACCATGCAATCAAGGTCCCAGGGCAGGTTGACTCTCATCCTTCGGCGGGCTAAAACAAGCGCGGGAATTCGGCGAAATACATCGACTGACGAGTCAGCTTTTAAAGCCCCCCGAGAGCCATCCAGCGAGCGTGCTGCGGCTCGTGGTCCCTGCCCACGCTGCAACCGGGCTTGCTCCCAGGTCTTGCATGGAAGAAACATCTCGGGCTACTCTCGACTCTGACTGGAAGGGCCGGCCATGCAGAGCTCCCGGAAAGGAGAATGAGGGGCCGTCAGGAGAGAGGAAACAAGACCGAGCCGAGACACTAAACAAGGGGAATTTGCTAATTAATATCCGCAAGGAATATGGGGAGAATGTCCCATCAGCGGCTGCTCCTGTATCATGTCCCGAAGTGATCTTCCTTTAGGAATCCGCTATTATCCAGGCGAAGCGCGCTGGAACTCCCGAAGCAGGTGTTAGCGCGTTTCCCAGCAACACACTGCGAGCTGCTGCCAGGGGTTCCTCCCTGGTTTGGCACCCAGAAGCAACCTGAGGCACGGCGATCGACGATGGGAAGGAAGCAACGCGCTTCTCAACAGTTCAGCCCTCGAGTCTTCGGCCTCATCCCTCAGGCGCGCCATGGCAGGGGTCGATTTTTGTCGGCAAACCCGCCCGGCAGCAGCGACCAAAACATGGACCATTCACCCCCGGACAGAAACCGAACTGGCCGCGAGGCGAGAGTGTATTCGGAACGATTCCGGAGGTAACACACTCAGCACAAAACAGGCTCTTCAGTTTCCATCAAAACCTCAAACAAAAACTTGCGTCCGAGCCTCCCTCACCAATCCATTACTTGTAGATGGTGTGTGGAAAATGACTTCATCCTCCTGCCGGCACCTGCATCCGACAACAACCTAGGGAGTGACGGAAACCGAAGAGCCCGACCTGGCAGCGAGCGACCTTCTGCGGGGGTCACGGCTCCAGCAAGCAGCAAATGTGACCGGAAAGGCACCTGCGGGGCAGCGCCGTCCCTAAAAGGAACCACGAGTGGCACCAACCACGACCTTGTCCCGGGTCGCGTTCGATTCTTCCCGTCACACAACGCTTTCCCCAGCCAGTAGGAGTGCCGGAAGCGAGCGACGTCTCTCGTGCCATCTTCAGATGCGGCCCGCTAGCTTACGCTCCTACGTCAGGTTGGGGATGGGGCTCTTTGTGCGTTCCTACCCGCGATAATAGGGGGCGGCGAGGAGCCTCGATGCCTCAAGTTGGGAGTGAGGGAGTTCAGATCGAGGCGAAGAGTGTTTCCCCATGGCCGAGATTCTAGCCTTCGGAGCCCCCCCCTTTTGACACTTCGCCTGCGCATCCTGTCTGGGCTCGTCTTACACCCGACCCGATCCTTGGCATTGAGCCTCTGGGCCCCTTTGCCGCATAAAGAACCCCGCTTAGCTCTCGCAAACTCGCCTCAAATCGATGGTCTGACGATCTGCAAGTACTATGTATTCTCGCCAGTGTTTATCACTCGGGAAGTGGCTGCCCGTAAATTACTGGGAACGCGGTACGGTTTGAAGCCGAGGGTTGGAAGTGGCGTGGTGGCGCTGAGGTGTCCCCGCGTCTTAGCATTTCATCTCTTCTTCTCCTCCAGTAGGTGTCTACTGTGTAAATGTCGAAAAGTCAAAACATCCCAGCTCAGACTCCAGGCTATATGCCATGCAGCACGCTATGCAAAGCTACAGAACAGCGTTCCATCAAGATTGAAACCAAGTCCTCGTGACCCCCTCCCCACCCGCCAGTACCCCAAACCCAACCCACCAACCCGACCAACCCCAACCCCAAATCATATGGCTTCTTAAATCCCCCTATTAAACTCCACCAACCCGCCCTCGCCCCCCCTCCCATGGAACTCCTCCTCCAAGCTCTCCGCCCTGAGGCGCTGGCGCTGGGGGAACGCCGCGAGGGCGAGGGGCAGGGCCGCGTAGCTGGTGAGCAGGATCAGGCCGAGGTTGACGGGGGTGGTCCAGCGCGGGTTCTTGCGCAGCCAGGCGCCGCGCTGCAGGCGCACCAGCAGCAGCGGCGGCAGCACCATGATGGGCGAGCTGTTGAACACGCGGCTGGCGGCTGTTTCTGCTACCGCTAGCGTCGCCGCCTTCTTGCTCTTGCCCAGGCTCGCCTCGCTACTCTCGTCGTCGGCTTGCGGCGCCTTCTCCAGTGCTGCGGCCGGGCTTGGATTCTCTGCGGTCTTGCTCTTGGCCTTGGCCGGGAACACGTCGATGCCCGTGCGCATCTCCTCGCCGCGCATGAGGAAGACGTTGAGGGCGCCGGCGCTGGCGACCGCGGCGAAGGGCACCAGGCGGCTGAGGATGAGGCGGGTGGAGGGCGAGAGGCTCTTGAGGCGCGGGACCAGGCTGTTGAGACCGACGGCGACGGAGCAGGAGGCGGTCACGGCGAGGAAGTAGGACTGGGCGATCTTGGACCAGGACAGCGGCGACGACTTGTTCGAGTTGGAATAGTTGATGGCGACGTTGAGGGACTGGTTGGCCACTTGCCAGGCTATTGTCCCGCGGTTCTGTTGGACACGGAACGTCAGAGAAAAGACCGGGCAGGGAGAGGGAGAGGGAGGGGAGGGGGAGAGGGCGTACGCCGAGGCCTGGGGTCAGCATGCCTGCTGTGACAACCAAGTTGGAGAGCACGAAGCATGACATGCGGAAGGGCAGAAAAACGGCTTCACCCGTGTCTGGGTGAAGCGTCGAGTCGACAATCTTCTTGGCCCGCCATAGCTCGGGAGTCATCGAGTGTACATGGCCTTGCTTGTATGCGACCAGGGCATTCTTGGCTTGTTCGAGGCCGGCGCTACCGACGAGGAGGGTACTAGACAAAGGATATTCAGGTCAGCACTTGTCCGTGAGTTACATAGGCTGCTGCCGTCCCCAATTGGTGTCGATAACAACCTCCATCCGCAGTTGCGCAGTGACAGCGTACCAAGTAGGAGAGTACGCACCCGGCGCATCTCCCATCCCCAACAACCCCTCCACCCATTGAGCGTTCTCACCTCGGATCTGTGATTCCCATAGTATGCCTGACACGCCCCCAGTAAGTGCTAAGGTCATACTGTGACTCCGGGAGAGCCCGGCTGCCTGGGAGGGAAGCAGACATGTTGGCGGTTGTCCTTGGGCCCTTGGGAGGTGTGGTGCAGAAAGAGGGCGACGAAAGAATGAAGGGTATCAGATAAGGAAGAACAACGAAAATGAAGTATGGTATGAGCAATGAATGTTAACACAATGCACCTCTGGTCGCCCGGAACCAACCGCCCGTCTCTAGCCGCTAGCTTTCCACAACTGCGCTCGTGATCTACTCGCCCGGATGTCGCAAAACGATTCTAGGAAAGCGGTCAAATGGGCTTGCCGAGATGGTGGCGCTGGTGGCCCTAAAATCGGCTCCGGCGTCGGTGGGGTTCAGGGTTCCTGATAGCGGACTGCGGGGCATCCTAGCCTCTTTGCAGCGGGTAACAGGGGACGACCGGGTTGCCCCGCTTACAGCCGGACGGGACGGAATCTCCATGGATTGGAAGCTCGGCGTGCGTAACCGGAGTCGCATCTTCCGTCCTGCAAACGCGCTCACCAAACTTCAACACGACCGAGAGAACGACCGTCTCACGCGATGGACGTAGTACCGCAGGGATACTGAATTTTATCACACAAAGTGCATTTGGGCTGCTAAGCCGCCCCTCTCGCTGACAATGTCGTTCAGCCAGGGACTGCTTCGGCGGTTGCCCTTCTCGACGTCAACAACTCCCCTCCAAGCCCTGAGCTACCTGCTGGGCATCTCTCTTTTCAGCATCTCGTTCCTCGTGTTTCTCAATAGCAGTGTTTCGTTTGTGATCACCGACCTCATTGGCATCAAGGATGGCGTGGGCGACATCGTGGGCACCCTGGGCTTCGTCGATGAGATCGTCGTCCTCATCGCGTGTCCCATCTGGGGACTGGTCTCCGACCGGAGCGGCGTGCGCTATGTCGCCGTGCTTGGATATGCCATAATTGGCCTGTCTCTGTTTCTATTTGTCCAGGCGCGCAATGTCTATCCGCAGTTGTTGCTAGCTAGGATATTCTTTGCCGTGGGCGCCGCGGCTGTGTAAGTGATTGAGAGACTGGGAGAAGGAACAGTATGCTAACATATGCACGTATGCTATTCAGAACCACCATGGTGACCGCTATCCTCCCATCATTGACCGACGAGACCGGGCCGGCCGCAGAAACCACAGACGAACCAGCCCCGCCAAGCGGAAGACCAAGCGTTACCCTGTCTGTCGACTCCGAAGTGACCATCACCCCTGAACGCTTTCGCAGCGGCAGCGACCCCGCGGACGAGGAAGAACCATTCAAGGGCTCGGAAAGCAAGGGAAAGTCATCCGCACTCGCTGGATACGTTGGCCTCTTCACCGGTTGCGGCGCCTTGGTTGCGCTCGTGCTCTTCCTTCCCTTGCCGGCCCGCTTCAGTCACGTTGACGGCGTAACATTCGCCGACGCAATCAAGGACAGCTTTTATATTGTCGGCACCATCTCCTTTTTGGTCGCCATCTTTGTGTTCTTCGGGCTACGCGGCCTAAGAGGCGAAGAAGGCAAAGGTTTCCGAACGCTTCTCGGCTGGAGGGGTTCAAGCCGCCAAAGTACCGGCTCCAACTCATCCACCACCCCCAGAAACGTAAGGAAACGACCCTCCCCTCCCTTACAGCGACATGATACCCTTCACCCCTCACCCAGCCAACTAACACCCCTTTCCCTCCCCAGAACATCCTCCCCTACCACCACCTCCTCAAACGGGCCCTCCAGCTCGGCCTGACCGACTACGACATCGCGCTCGGCTACCTGGGCGGGTTCGTGGCGCGGGCGTCCACCGTCGCCATCTCGCTGTTCCTGCCGCTCTTCGTCAACACCTACTTCTTCAGCCGCGGCTTCTGCCAGGGCTCGCCCACCGACCCCTCGCCCGAGCTCAAGAAGGAGTGCCGCCAGGCCTACGTGCTCTCCTCCATCCTCGCCGGCGTCGCCCAGCTCGTCGGCCTCGTCTGCGCGCCCCTGTTTGGTTATTTGGCCAGCCGCCGCGCCCGCGTCAACTGGCCTGTCGTGGTGTCCGCTGTGCTCGGGATTGTCGGGTACGTGGCGTTTCCGATGCTCGAGAGTCCCGAGTATAAGGATGTCAAGGGGCGCGGTGGGAGCCCCGTGGTGTTTCTGCTCGCCGCCCTGATGGGGATCAGCCAGATCGGGGCGATCGTGTGCAGTCTGGGATCACTCGGCCGCGGGGTGTTGAAGGTGGAGGTTGTCAATGTGCTGGCGCGGCCGGATGGCGACCAGGAGACCCTTATCCAGAGCGCGGACGGCGAGGGTGATACCGCGCCATTGCTGGAGAACTCGACTGCGTTGCCGGAGGATACGGTTTCGAGGGTGAGGTTGAAGGGGTCGGTGGCTGGGGTGTATTCGTGGTTTGGGGGCGCGGCAATCTTGCTGTTGACCAAACTGGGAGGGTATTTGTTTGACACTTGGTCTACGGGGGCGCCGTTCTACTTGATGGCTGTGTTTAACGGGGTGCTATTGCTTGCCAGTATCGTCATCGACGTTGGCCGAGCGGCCGGCGCCAGGAGGCCGCACTTGCTTTGACCAACACCCTTCAAACCTGAGACGGGATATTTTAAGTTAAAATAAACACAACTTCCATCACACGACTCAGTTTTGATAACAGCTAACGAGCCGAATGGTCAGTTGCGGGTTGGCTTGTGGAATATAAGCTCCTAGGCCGTGCTCTGCCCCAGAAACGCTACGAGCTCGCCCGGTCAACCTGTTGAACTATTACTGCTTCTCATCGTAGTGAGCTTAAAAGGGAGCGGGCTCAGTTTGTTTACGAAGCAAAGGACGGAAACGGAGCTGATCAACTCCCAAGTAAGGGTTCAAATCTGAGCCAACATAATCCGATGTTATTGGAAGCAGAAGGGGATGAAGTTCATCCCTTATAGACGCGGATGTATGTTGGAGACGTGTAAATACTACAGTTTGCCAGCGTCTATGCTGCTTGTTGACAATCGCGAACCAGCCCGTCGCCCCTATCGGACAACATAAATGCCCCTTTCTACTATGTGGCCGCTCTGCAAGGTGCCTACCATACCCCTGACCTGAGAAGTCGTTGCTCGGGCCATGCCAAGTCAACAAACATCGTTCAGGGGGACACGACAGCACGGAAACAAGGAAGGGATCCATTATTTTGCACGGTACGCCAGTGTTGACCGCGTCGCAGAAGTCCATGGAAGTATCGAGGTACGTACGGCATATCCAGTGAGATTGACATGATCACTTGTACAACCAAAGCCCCAGGCGTCAGGGAGTGTAAAGAAAACTCAAGGGGGATTCCCCTCTCCAAACCGGTAGTCATCACATTATCACCACGCACCACCTATCTCTACATCTCGTTAAAGTTCCATGTTTCATGTCCAGTGGCTGCCGCACATGTCACTACCAGATATAAGCCATGCGAAGAGAGGAACACATAAATCAACCGACTCTACTAGTACAGCAATGGCGAAGCTGCGCGAATTTCCATTTTTGGTCCAAACGGCCAACCATTTTCCGAATACACATGTCCATGCAAGTATCAAGGCAACCCCGAGGGCCGGCGTTCGTTTAAAAGAGAAAAAGAAACTTTCGTTGTTTGGGGGAAAGTATCGAGGAACCATTTGCTTTGCCTTTCATTGAGGCGGGATGTTCACCCCCAGGTTTAACCACGTTGTAGTCGACGGACATGCCCATGCCCTCCTTTCCCGCTGTCCTTCATTGCCCCGTTGAATCCGCAAACTCGGGGAATAAGAGTCTGTCAAGTTCCCGGGGAGTGGCCCAATATGGACGAGTTTACTTGCCGCCCAGGCTGGGGAAGGCATCCTCGTCGTTCGTGTTGATCGGCTTGTTCTCCTGGCCACGGCCGCCACCACGGCCACCACGGAACTCACCGCGGGACTCGCCGCCGCGGGGAGCGCCACGGCCACGGCCACGGGCACCATCGCCACGGCCGCGACCGCCACGATCGCCACGATCACCACGATCACCACGGTCACCACGGGCGCCACGGTCGCCACGGTCACCGCGGTCGCCGCCACGGCCACCGCGGCCGCCCCGGGTGCGCTCAGGCTCAATGTAGCGGTTCTCAAGCTCGACGAATTGCTTGGTCTTGCGCTCACGCTCGCGCTTGGCCTTGCCGCCGGAGGCGGGGAAGAGCTCCTCCTCCTCGTCCTTCGCAAGAGGGGCAAAATCCTTCCACTTGTCGTCCTTGATGCCCTCGTTCGGCTTGCGGACCTGCAGCTCGGCCTCAAGAGCAGCCTTCTTCTCGGCCTGCTGGACGAGGTACTGGTCGTAGGTGATGTGCTTCTCCTCGGGCTCTTCCTCCTTAGCCTCGCCCTCGACAGCAGCCTCACCCTCAGCCTTCTGCTCAGACTGGGCAATCTCGGCGGCCGCTTGCTCGTCCTTCAGCTCAGCCTCGCCTTCGTTGGCGCCCCAAGACTGGGCAGCCTGCTTCTCGGAGTTGCTACTGCAAAGGGTGTTAACGACGGCGCAGAAGAGTGGGGGGTGATGCATGATAGGCTTACTGAAGAGCGCCTCTGAAGGGGTGACGGTCACCCTCCTCGCGTCTACCGCCACGACCTACGAACTCAACGTTAGGTCAACTGCGCCAGCCTAGATATTGATATCTCCTCGGCAGGTTGTAACTTACCACGGAAGCCGCCACGACGTCCGCCACGCGGCGCTTCGTCCGTGGTCTTACCACGGTTGGAGTCCCGGCCAGCGCCACGGTCGCGGAAGGCTACTCTCGCCGTTAGTAAAAAGGGGAGGGGGGAAGGCGGAGCCCGGGATTCGAGGGGTTACACACCAGCCTCGTTACCGCCGACATTAGCGCCGCCCCGACGGTTGCCAGTGGTGACCGGACCCTTGGAGGGAGCTAGGCCATCGGTGTTACGCTTGACCGTGTGGGTCGAAGTCTTCTCGGCGGGCTTCAGGGGCGGAGCGGGAGGCTCGTCTCCCTCGATGTCGTTACCTACGGCTTGGTGTTAGCATCGGGGCGTTGTGGTTGCGTCAGAGCGCGCGGCCGAGCTCGGGATGGTTCGTCAGTCGGCGAGTGGGGGGTAACCAACCGAGGAGGTCGTAAAGGTTCTGTAAATAATCAAGTCAGTTTCGCTATTCGAGATCGCAAAGCTCGAGTTGCTGATAGCTAGCAAAGTCATGATGAATGCACGATTGGCCGATGGAAGCAAGGCCTGCGGCGAAACTGGTGGGAAAACGCGGGGAGGGGGGAGAGCTCTCTCTTCCCCTCAATCAAAAAGCATAACGCACCTTAGTAGCGACAGACATCTTGCCGCTGTGGTTTATCGCCCTTCAAGGCGTATAAAATTTAGAAGACCACAAGCTCCGGATGGAGAGAGATGGAGGAGAAATGGTGGGTGAAACGAGCACCTCGCAGGACGAGCCCTGGTTCAGTGCGCTTGTTTGTTTCCGGTGCTGGTCCACGGCGGAATTTTCAGTTTCCTCGCCTGGGTCATGACAATGGCAAAGAATTGGAGCTCTCTGCTACACTGCTTGGGCAATTCGCCGGGGAAAGCTGCTGCACGGACCGCTTTCTGCCCCGCCACCACATTCCAGGAACGCAAGCCGACGTTTTTCCTTTTTGAAAATTCAGTGCGCGGGGTTCCTTTTTGTTAGGGCTTCGACTTGCTTCTGTCCTTGGAAGCGGCAAAGCGTTGCATTACAATCAAGCAAGTGAGGGGTAAGTCCGCCATTTTGTCACGATTGCCGCTCTATTCGCGCCGTCGCATCAAAACAGATAGAAACAAAAAAGTTACAAGATCCTTTCTAGGATTACAGGTCAATCGCCAAACGTTTCATGATATCCGCTGTCTACATTTTGTTATTGGAAGGATTCGGGGTTGGAGTAAACAACTGGTGCAGCCCCTGGCCAGCGAATACGATCGCTGTCGCGAGTCACCTTCCAGCAATGGAATGCACCCTTTGTTTGACCATTCGTCAATGACAGTGCTTTGTATTCGGGAATGCCTGCCTAACCCCCACGGAATTATTTGATATCGGCAAAGATGTCCTCGGTGGGTATGATGCACGCCTACCCAGTATTTGTGGCTTCATAGGTTCCCAATGAACAAAGACTCGCCATCCCGAAACTTGATGTCCGACGTGGACTTGTGGTGTCGCACTTCTTCAGTACAAATACCAAGTAGGTAGTGTATTTCGAACCCGGAGTCTCGTCGGGCAACGGTATACACCCTTTTCTTTCGTCTCTACATTATTTCCAGTCTCAAAAGGTCATTTTCTAATCCGATCAAAACAAGGGTCATGAATACAACGGCCCCTTAAAGCGACATAAAGTATGTAATGGCATGAGAAGAGCGTCACCAATTGCAGAGAGAAGCTTCATAAGCTATTGTTCTAGTATCGGAGATAGGCTTTGCTTCATACTCAAGAGGTTTGCGGGTTTATCATGCCGCAACTGGCCATCGAGCGGGTGGTTTGACGGGTCTCCATGGCAACCGATCCCGACCCCCTGACATCACCATTCTGTTATGGCCCGCTCAAGAGGCATCCTCCTTATTCCGCACGAGAACATCCCTGGCGAGCGTGGCGCCCTCAACCTCCTTCTTTTTGACTTATCCACACCTATACCACCGCCTAATTAAAGAGCAAAACTTTTATGGCGCCCGAAGTATATCCTCAGCAAAACGCCTGGCAATGAGCAGAATTCCCAACTGTAACGCCACCTCCACGATCGGGTATTATGTTGTTTTTTAGAATCCATCATGATCAGCGTGACTGTGAAACAGATCTAAACCTATGTTGCTGCCCGCCCGCTGGAAATGAGCGGGGATGGATATCGTTTTCTCGCAACCCGGTCTCGCTGCCCAAAGCAAAATTGCTCGTGGGGTATCTCAAAAACTTTTGTTCGCCTCTCTAGAACTTGTGGCCGCAGGGGCGGGTGAGGGTGCCATCGGACCTCCGGGCCCTCTTTTTGCTTTTCTTTTATCCCTCCGTGAATCGCCTCGGGTTGCTCCTGGTGCGCGCTCTGGCGCTCTGGCAGCCAGGGACGGTCTCGATACTTGGAGCGTTGCGTCCCGGTGCTCATAGGGAAGCCTTTGGTGGCACCTTGAGCAGTGTCGTCAACAGGTCCATCGGTCGCAGAGTCGATCGACTCATATTTTACCGCATGTTGCTGGTATCGAACGAGAATTGTGTGGGAAAGGCCATGCTCGCGCTTAGCCCAAAGGGGTCGAAGTCGTAACCCGGATCCAGTAGTTGTGTCATCGAGGGGTAAGTTGGATGTTGCGTATGAGTGGCATTTTCAATCGGTGACTGTCCGGCGATGGGCTGACTTCCAGGCGGTCCGGTCGTAACTGGGGACGAGAGGGACATTGGTTGTGGCTCGCCGGCATAAGATGGACCGGGATAAGGGCCAGGCCCGCTTGGTGTATCCGGGGCCTCGCCACCGTCGTCCATCATGTCGGCAGCAGCATCGTATTCCTGTTCTGTATCTGACGTATTAAAACCTAGGACGACAGAGTTCTATTGGAAAGGGCAGGGAGGGGAAAAGAGAACGAGACAACTTGCCGAGCTGCTCAATGTGGTTTTGAAATGAAGGCGTCGGGTAGAACGGAGCCGCCGTCCCGGTGACACTGACACCCCGGACGTGATTAGTCCCCGGCGGGAGACCGGGGATTTGCACCTGTCGATGCCCTGGTAGGCCATGAAGAGGTGCCAAGTGAGGCGGTGTTGCTTTCATCCCCGCCACAGGTGGCATCGACGGCCGACCTTGACCGTTCAAGTGCTCAGATGCAGCGGGAGACGCGGCATGCTGGGAACCGAAAGCCGCCGTTCCGGTCGGGGAGGCCGAATGAGACGACGGGGTATGTTGGTTCTTGGGGGACATGGCCGACTGGTGGGAGTGCATCGGTGGTGGTAGCGGAGAGACGGGAATCCCAGGCTCGAGTTTCGGCGCAATACCCGAAGTCGATCGCCGAGCGTGATGTCTGTTTAGAATGGCCCGCTGAATCGGCGGTGGCTGCACCAGGTTTTGGGGTACATGAGTCGGGCCAAGATTTGGGCTGCCAGTTTTTGCACGAAGCTCAGCCTGTACATCGATGCCTGCGAGGTTCCACGCGTCAGCAATGTGGGAGAAGAGAGAGCAAGTACGCCTTTTTCAAGGGATTTGTGAACCCCGAAGCCGAGCAGGTGTCTAATTATACCTTTCTCCAAGAGGACGCGTTCTAACAACGAGTTCTTGTAACGCAGCATGAGACACTCATCGGCGGCATGCCGGTGAGCAGCTTGGAGGTTGGCTAGGTTTTGCTCATGGGTTCGGATCGCCTCCTCGAGTTGTTTGATGTACTCGGTCCGGCGCTCACGAAAGGCCGCTTGTGCTTGGCGGTTTCTTTGCTTCCTCTCCTCAGACGTCGCGTAGATCTATCGATTACATTAGCATGTGTGCACGTACGGCCCCAGCCTACGAGCTCTCGGGATGACGACGAGATGTGACGCCGACCCTTGGCTCTGCCCAGAGGCAAGCCAAGGAGAGGGCGGGGCACCTGCGCGCAATCCTGTTGTTGACGTACCGGCTTGCGACCCCCTTTTCGTTTCGGTTGTTGATTTTCAGCCTGTTGCTGCGGAGGCGCAGCGGGGGCCTCTCCCTCTGGGCTTGACCCCATTGATTCTTCGCTATCCTCCTTGGACGGATCTTTTTTGTCGACGGACATCTTATCGGACATATCCTTGACCGTCTGGGGGAAAGCAAGAGCGTTGCGTCTGGGGCTTCTTGCAAAAAGGGGCTTTCTGGTACGGCCCGGGGCACTTCTAAGTTTCTGGCGCCAACAGCTATCCTAATGGCTACCACACTGCGCTACGCTGACCACAGAGGGCGTCCGCCTTTGTGCGGGGCAGCGTCAGCGGTGCGATGCGAATGCCGGGGGCTGCAACCACCTGAACCTCTAGTTCGGGCGACAAGCAACGACGGCAGCGGCCTGCTGCTGTATCCCACGCAACCCCAGAAAATATCCGAAGACACGCACCGCCCGGGGTGTGCTTGATCTCAGGACCGGGGAGTGAATGGCACCAATCAGTGCGTCATCTGGGGGAATGTTTGCGATTGCGGGATCCGGCAGTCTGGGACCGGGTCTGTGGTCAGTCCCGGCGATAAGGTAGGGCAGGCTTGGAGGATCGAGGCGGTTCCCCAGATTCTGTGTGTCAAAACCAGATTGTCGAGAGTGACTCTGGGAGGGTCAGAGATAAGCGGACGGCTGACGACAGGTCGAGGATGTGTCAAGAAAAGGAAAAAATGGAGGGTTTTATGTAATGTTAATGCCGTCCGAAGTGGGAGGGGCCCGCAGACCGCCGCTAGCCCCCAGGGGTCTGCACAGGGTCAAATAGCCAGGTGCTGCCACCTCACCCCAGCTCTGCTTCTGGGCTGAACCAGGTCACCTGGACTCTTTTTCTCGGGCCAGATCCTCGCCCCATGAATTGGCGCTCTCCCACCCGCACCGATGTCCCCACCAAGGAAGACCCAGCCTCGAAGATATTAAAAGTCCGGGACTCGTCCGCACGAATCGTTCTCTTGTCGGCTGTCCCAGGTGGCAGTTAGGCCTGCCTCGCCTTGGACCACGTTCGATTTCCGTTGCCCGACTCCCAGCTTTTCGATTTCCAACTCGCCGCCGAAGTCGAGTCGCGCAGCGGATGGCCCGGTCCCCACTTCTTCAAGCCCACTGAAGGCTGGCAACCTTGGAAAATGCCCACTTATCGTGTCGAGTGAGGAAAGGACAATGCCGATTCAGTCGACCTGCAGACTCGGATTTTCGAGTCGTCTGCTCTGGCTGGTCGGGGTGGGAAAGACGTTGCCCTTCGCGGGGTCCGGACTCGGGGGGCGCTTATTCGTTGGGTTCGGTTCGTTGGAGGGTGGGCTCATGCACAAGAACGTGCGGTTCCGTCCCCTCGGAAAGTGCCACTCGGTCATGGGCTGGTTGACTCCTGGGCACCCAGCGTCCCCATCCGAAAGGAAACGAGCTCTGGGGAGTGTCTGCTCTTTTTGGTGTGTCCTACTGATGTTGCAAAGCTAACCACGATGAAATTGGTTGATGATGGGACTGGCTTGATCACACATGAACAGTCGAGGCCCGATTCCCTTGTTTTGTGGTTACGAAGATGACCATTAACCATGTGTGTGTGAATTCCCGATTGAATTTTATGCCATGCGGTTTCATTGGGGGATGCGAACTCGGAGGCAAAAAAAAGACGAGGGTTGCTCTTTCCAAGGCAGGCGTGGCAGGCACTTGACAAAGGGAACGGAAGTGACGTGAAGACGCAAATGAAACCCCGGTAGGGATGCAACGGAGTGCCCCTCACTCTCACCTCGACTCTCGACCCTCTCATGCGGGCTTTAAGTGCGCCAAACATGAGGCAATCCCCAAAAGATTGCCGCCTCACCTTCGCTATAGCCGGAAGCTGAGGAGAAGGATCAGAACACCTGAATTTCTCTCCTCATACAAACTCTCTGCTCAGATCACTGTCTCCCTCCCCCACTCCCCATCGTCGCTTGCAACCGACCAGCAGGGGATGAAACGGTACCATTGGCACAAGAAGTACGGTTACCGGGGTCTCAACACGCCAGCAGGCTTCGGGGAAGGATGGAGGCGACCGAAGTGCTGCATCAGAACCCCCGCACCCACCAAACTTGGAATTTAGTCCACTTCTTCCGCGCGGGTTCATCGCAATTGAGAACCTCTCTTTCCTCGATGTAAACGTTCTCTGGGTGGAGACCTGTAATCTGTCAAAACCCATCCACGACGCCACCATGGCCGACACCGCTTCGAAAACCGGCGACTCCAGTCCGCGCCGGGGCACCGCATCCCCGAAATCGCCGCCCGGGCCATCGGGCGGGTCAAACCCGGCGAGCCCTCCCGCGTCGGCTCTGGGGCCGGTCGCCGGGACTGGACATCTGGAGGTTGATGTGCGTTCCGGGCCGTGTGCATGTTGAACGGAGGAGAATTTCAAGGCTAATTTATAAACACAGCCGGACTTTGTTGCTGATGACGATGGTGATGACGGCGACTCTGCCATGGGCTCGGTAGGTCCTGCTAATGGTGATCGCGGTTCATAAATGAGATCGGCCGCTCACAAGCTGAGCATCTAGCGCGGGGGCCTTAGCGACACAACATCGGTCATGTCCAGCATCTTCAAGTTCCGAGAGGAGAATGGCCGTACATATCACGCATACCGAGCAGAAGGTGAGCACTGCTCGCCCCGAGCCTCCGATTAAGCGGAGATGGCATGTTGTCTAACGCACCTTCTCCAGAGGCCGCGTACTTTATGCCGAACGATGAGGTATGATATTCATTGATGCGCAACTGTTAGCTTGCTGACAGGAAAGTGCAGCCAGAGAATGAACGGCTAGGTAAGACATTGGACTCTGCCACTGGATCCCAGACCCGACTGACCGCCAGACCTTCAACATCACATGTGCGTACGCATGCAGGACAACCGACTGTACGTCTGCCCGGCTGGGAATGGAAAACCCTTGAGCCGGGTCCTTGACCTCGGTACCGGGACGGGCATCTGGGCCGTAGATTTCGGTATGTCCTGGGATGTCAGCTGTGAGAGTGAGATCACGTTACTCACTATTACTAGCCGACGAGCACCCCGAAACCTCCGTATGTCCTCTTTTCTATTGATAAGGATTAATAAAGATGACGGTATTGTTGACTCTTGTCAGGTTGCCGGCATCGATCTGAGCCCTATCCAGCCGGATTGGTGAGTATCCCGCACCACACTCCCTGGTGGTATACTGATTGAACGCCAGTGTCCCACCAAATGCCGAGTTCTTCATCGACGACCTGGAAAGTGACTGGAACTATCACACCAAATTCGACTTCATCTATGGGCGTATGCTCACAGGCTCCATCAAAGACTGGCCCAGGTTGATGGCCCAAGCCTTTGAGTGAGCATTTCACAGTCCTCCAGCCCCGCTGTGTATGGGATTAACCATGTATAGCAACCTCAACCCTGGAGGCTACATCGAACTATGCGACTCGATCAATCCTCTCCAGAGTGATGATGGGACCCTGAAGGAGGATTCTGCGCTACTGAAGTGGAATCAACTCCTAGTCCAGGCATCTGATAAGCTCGGCCGCAGCTTGGAATCCGCGAAGCACTATGAAAGGCAACTAAGAGAAGCTGGATTTGAGGACGTTACCGAGATTGAGTTCAAGTGGCCGTTGAACCCCTGGCCGAGAGACGCCAGATATAAAGAGCTCGGTAACAGGACCCCGCGCTTCGTTTTGGATAACGTGTGTACTGATCCGCGGCTCCCCAGGTGAATGGAACTATTTCAACGTGCTTTCCGGCATCCAGGCTGTTAGCCTCATGTTGTTCACCAATGTCCTGGGCTGGCCTGTCATCGAAATCGAGGTGCTCTTGAGTCAAGTTCGAAAAGAGGCAAAGAATCGGGACATACATGCGTACTGGCCGGTGTAAGTTGCCCCCTGAATTTGGGATGTTGGGCAGGAGCTGATCATTGCGTTTGTTTAGGCGTGTGGTTTACGGGAAGAAGCCTGAGTAGTAGGCCGGACGACACATGGAAGGCGGTCCTCTTTGGGCTCTCGCGCATCAATGTTTACATCTCGAACGACTAGAACAAGGTCATTGCTACCCCTTATTTTCTCGGTGATTTTATATCTAAAGATAGATTTATGTTCTCCTTTTTGAATATATCCTTAAGACAGCGGGGGATGCCGAAAAACCCGTGCAAGTGACACGCGAGCACGCATCAACTCAGACACACACCCATTGGCATTGAGGCTTTTCGATTTCGCACACGGCCGACATCGGTCCCCAAAGCCGACGACTCGAACGAGAGGATGAAGCGGGCGCCCCTCCCTTCCCGATCTGGCACAGCTTTTGCCGCTGTGGTTGAGTTGGCAGGTTGGTTTTCATGTTCCAAGGTGGGGACAACTTTCCACTCCTCAGGTGACCACATGAATTTTATGCGTGGTGAGCGGGCGTCAAGCTTGGCAATCAATCTTTCGGGCTTGACGCCGAGAGATTCCAATTCGTCACGCTTCCTGAGAGAACAGGGCGTATCATTCAACGTGAATCCCAGGCAACACCACGCACGCCGGGATGACTGTCAACACCGCGCAGGGTCCCAACGAATGCTCTGGCAACCACCGAGCCACCCCTCTGGGTCGTTGTGTTACTCTTGTGTCACCGTCTCAGGTCCAGACCCGCAGGGGGTTCACTGCATGTTCGTCACGGCAGCCCTGCCAAATGCGGGGGGGCATGGCACTAACGAAGTGAAGTGTGAGACATGGAGAGGCAGGGCGAGTTGGGCTTCTGCCAGAACCGATTGGCCAACAAGAATCTCGGGATTCGGGGATCCAACAGTCAATACGGCCGGGGCCCATAGCCGTGCCGCTTGTTGACGGCTTTTCCGCGCGTCGACCATGGAGAGGGGTTCGAATGAATGATGATGCCCCTCGCGCTCATTGGGATGGGTCAGCTTCGAGAACATGAACACTCTAACTTTGTACCAAGCAAATAGTATTAACTAGAGGCAGTCGGTTCGATGCGTGAATAAGGGGACAATCATTTCACAGCTGAAGCTGTCTCATGTAGTCCCCGGGCAATGTCTCAGCGCGTCACCGAGTCGGTGGGTCAACCAACCGTTTGGCCAGTCGTGCGAGTTCCGTCGTGCATCACAGCTTGCATCTCCGGGACGCAGGTTATCTTTAAACCCTGAAAATGCCGCACCGAGCCGTTCATCGTATCTCAACCTTGGGACCGTCTTCGAATTCGACGAGCCCGAGTTAGTTGTCTTGTCATGACAGCGACCCAGGGCACCACCAAGGCAATTACCACACACAAAGGCGGGTTGCTCTCCTGTTGCCGTGTCGAAACTGAACAACCTAATTCTTGTTTGCCGCAAAGCGATTGGCCTGGACTTTGCAACCACATGAAGAATGAGATTCCGTCTTTTGGAAACTTTCTCCTGCAGGTGGGTGACGCTCTGGGTGGCGCTGATGGCAAAGTGCCGGAGGACGGCCCCATAAATCTTTTTATTGAAGCGAAGCTTCAATTGATGAGTCTCTGAGATGTACAATGTACATTGAGGAAGCGAAGAAGGAACGCTTCGTTTCATTTATAAGGTCAATCCTCCAGAGTTCTCAGAGGAGCGATTGGATGCTACAGTTCGACGTGCATTATCGTGCATTATCTCGCATTAGTGTAACTTGGCGTTGTGGCTCTGTGGCTCGACAGAACTATCGCTAGATGCGGATGTGTGGGGGCTGGGTAAATGTTGGAGCGCTATAGGCTAAAAAGCAGGGGGTCTAGAGGGCTATAGGCCTCTAGCAATGTTTATAGAAGCTTATGAAATTTATATTAAATAACTAGTCTACCTTTAATATTATTGAGTATAAGTAAAGGAAGATAATATAGTTAATAGAATATAATGTAGTTAAAGGAAGATAATATAGTTGAGATAGAAGATAATGTAGTTAATATAGTTAATGTAATTAATAGGAGATAATATAGTTAAGGTAGTTAATGTAATTAATAGAGGATAATATAGTTAATGTAGTTTATATAATTGAAAGAAGATAATGTAGTTAATGTAGCTAATATAGTTAATAGGAAAATAATATAGTTAATGTAGTTTATACAGTTAACGTAGTTAATATAGTTAATGTAATTAATAGGAGATAATATAGTTAATATAGTTAATATAGTTAATAGGAGATAATGTAGTTAATATAGTTAATAGGAAAACAATGTAGTTAATATAGTTTATATAGTTAATACAGTTAACATAGTTAATATAATTAATAGGAGATAACATAGTTAATATAGTTAATATAGTTGATAGGAGAGTTAACGCTATTACAAGTATATAACTACTTAGACTCTATTCTCTTTCTATCTAACAGGGTACTGTAGATATATAGTTAGAGATACCTAGTAGTATAACAGGATACCGTTATTGTAATAACCTCTCCTCTAACTATAGCTAGATACTTTCTAAGATTAAAGCTAGCTATACTCTAAAGACCGGTAGACCTCTCTAAGAACCTAAGAATTCGACTATCGAATAAGAGAAGTAGCGATAGTAGGTTTTAAAAGGGCAAGTATTTAAGTTAGATATTAACTACTATAATTAAAACTAATCTCTTAAAGGATATAGGTATAACTACCTTTATAAGATAACTATTAACTACCTTCTAAAGATATTCCTCTTTAACTAGGCTGGAGTATAAGGGACTAAGGTAGTAGTTATAGAGGTAGGGTAGCTAAACCTTTTTAACTTTTCAATATATAGTTAATATTAGTTAATTGTTAAATAGATACTATATATATATTAAGATATTACAATCTTTTAGTTATTAGTAGTTATATTTAATAGATTAGTAGATATCCCTCCCTTTTTTAGCTATAGTACCTACTAACTTATATACCTCCTACCTATAAATCTATCTACTTATTGTGACGAGAAGCAGATATTCCATGGGGTCAGGCCACCAGTCAATACAACTATAATATCGAAACTGAGACAAAGAGAAAAAGAGAGGTGGTGGGATCGCTAGCGATCGTTTCGTGGGGAAGTAGGGCGAGGCGCTATGCGCGCTAACCCCGATTGAGCCACAGTGCCATCACAGGCAACCACCTCTCGTGACAACCCCCCCCCTCCACGAAAAAGCTCGTCCGCGAGCTTTTGCTCGGAAAAGGTCCATCACTTTTTCTTCCTGTTGGATCGCCTCAACGGCGCGCCCACCATGACTGGTTCGTTGTCATCCTCATGATCCGCCGCGAACTCGTCGCGTTCGGCCATTTCCAACCATATTTGCAATCGTGTGGGCGGGCCAGACTTGTCGGGGTTCGCGTCATGGAACTGTTTCAACGCTTCCGGCGAGTTCTTGAAGTCGGCCGCGGGATACCATTCGGGGTCGGCTGCCCAGCCCTTCCAACGGACTTGGTACTGCAATTTTCCATAGTAAACACGGCTCGCCAAGAGTTGTTCGACCTCCCATTCCATGTCTTGATTCGGACCAACCTCTTCGGCATCCGGGGACTCGGGTGCTTGGCCAGGAAGAGGGTTGTTTAGGTGTAATCGTAGTCGGTCGGGAGGGAACGTGTCGGTTCCCTTCCACGAAGCTGGGACTTCCAAACGGTACGCGTGGCCAACCTTCTCGATGATGCGGAAGTGCTGCCGCGTAACGGGGAAATCGAGCTTATCGCTGGGTCTGCTCGTCATTTCGGTGCGCTTGATGATCACGACGTGGTCGTCGACGTCGAAATCTGGTACGCGGCGATGTCGATTCGCCTGCTCTGCTTGCTTCTCCTGCGCTTTAAGGATGTTGGACCGCGCGAAGTCCCCAAATTCCTGGATCTGGCGCGCCCTCCGCTGGGCCTCTTCGCGATTGAGACGCTCTTCGTGCGGCAGATCTGTCAGTCCGGTTCGTGATTCCCAGTCGAATGGTAAGGGCATCGCGAACCCAAACATCACTTCGTGGGGCGACAATCCGGTGCTGTCGTGCGGGAGGCTCGACTGTACCGCGTCAAGAGCTGGGATTGCCCGGGACCAGTTGTCTTGGTAATGGCTTACAAACGGTCGTAACCGTTGGTTAATATACTGGTTAAGGTTCTCGACTTGGCCCGCGGTCTGCGAATGACCGGGTGTGGCCAGTTTCCAATTGATCCCCAGAATCTTTGACAGTTCGTTGGTAAAGTCGGCTCGAAACTGCGGCCCCTGGTCACTGATGACCTCCATCGGGAGACCGTAGACTCGATACGGGCCTTCATAGTACATCTTCGCCGCATCGCGAGCCGTGGCTCCCTTCGTGCAGGGAATAGTCCATGAAGCTTTCGTGAGGCGGTCAATCATGACCAGAGCGTTGTCAAATCCGTACTTGTCTTTCGGAAGTTCGTTGAAATCCATCACAACGCTCTGCCATGCTCGCTGCGAGGGGGGGATTGGGTGTAGCAATCCGGGGGTCTTGTCTCTCGGGTGCTTCGCGGCGCGGCACACACAGTTAGCGATATACTGATCGATATCGCTGCCCATTCGGGGCCACCAGTACCGGGTGTTGATCAACTTGCGCGTCTTGTTTATGCCCGGGTGGGCGGTCGTCAAGCGCGAGTGTGCCTCAGTAATGATGCGGGTCCGCAGATGGTTGACGGCTGGGACCACCAATCTACCGCTCATCAACAGCAAGCGGCCATCCAGGAGCGAGTATTCGGAATCCTGCTCGCTGCGGGCCTTCTCACGGTATGGCTCCAACTCCAGGGCAGATTGGTTGTAACGGAGGAGCTCGTCGATGAGCTCGAAACCCGAGTCTGCGGGCGCCTCTATCTCCTCGTCAAGCGCCATCAACTCAACTTCAAGATCATCAGTGCGGGTTGCTGCGCCATCCTCCAGCACGGGGGTGAAGATTTGCAAGGTGCGATAGGCTTCCCTCTTCGCCTTCTGCGTCACTGTATCCTCGCTCTTGCGGGAGAGAGCGTCTGCCGCAGCATTCTCTTTGCCCGGCCGGTACGTGATTTGGAAATGGTACTGCGCGAGCAGCTCAGCCCATCCGGCTTGTCTAGCGTTGAGCAGGCGCTTCGTGCCAAAATACTTCAACGCTTCGTGGTCCGTGATGATCAGGAACGGGTCGTCCCCTTGGAGGCCAACAAGCTCGGCTCGCCAGCACTGCAGCGCGCGGATCACCGCCAGGAGTTCCTTGTCATGGATATGGTAGTTGTGTTCCGCGCCGTGCATTGTCTCTGAGAAAAAGGCGATAGGATGCCATTCGCCGTCCGGCTGTTGCTGGGTAAGTACGCCTGCTACCACTCCCTGTGACGCGTCGGTTTCGACGCGGGTTGGCTTGTCGTGAGAGAAATGGGCTAAAACAGGCGCGTTAAGTAGCCGGTCTTTCAGCTCCTCGAAGGCACACTGGCAATCCGCATTCCAGTCAAATGGTACGTCTTTCCTTGTGAGGTTGTTTAGTGGGCGCGCTGTTCGACCGTATTCGCGAACGAAGCGTCGATAGAAGTTGCAGAAGCCAAGGAACGATTGGACTCCCTTGACAGTAGTCGGCTGTTCCCAATCCCGAACAGTTTCAATCTTCTTTGGGTCGACAGCGATGCCGTCGGTTCCAATAATGAATCCCAAGAACTTGGTGCTGGTGACGTGGAATTCGCATTTATCGATGTCGGCCTGTAAGCCCGCCTCGCGGAGGCGCTCCAGAACCTTCCCGACGTGCTCCTTGTGCTCCCGGAGGTTGTTCGAAAAGATCAGGATGTCATCGATGTATGCGCTACAGAAATCGTCCAAATAACCCATCAAAGTGTTGTTGATGAACCGTTGAAAGGTCGCTGGGCCGTTGGTCAAGCCGAACGGCATCACTTTGTACTTGTACGCGCCGTATCTCGTGCGGAACGTTGTGAGTTCTTCGTGTTCCGGGTTGATCCGGATGCGGTGGAAGGCTTGGCGAATATCGATCTTAGAAAAGATTTTGGCTTGGGAGACCCGCGCCAGAGTCTC